AAAAGAGTTATTTCACTACTATCATCTCCCCCATATATTCCACCTCAAAATGTCGATAAAATGAAAAGAACCCACATAGCCAGCCTCATAAATCACAGACTTGCTATCCCTCAATTATGAAGGATTTTCATTTTTTGGTGTTTTCGACATGTTTTCACCAACTCATCATCGACTTTCTCCCTTTTGCAGCCGTCACAGAAAAATCCTGCACATAAAATGTCGCATTCCAGTTCACGACATCCGACATATTGTGATATTTGTGATATTTGCAGTTAGGTTTATCATTGATATTGTTTGAAGAATTGTGGATAATCAGTTAATATTTTGGAGGGTTTATTATACTTGCTGAAGAGCTTGATAGTTTGAAAGCTTTTTGAAGGTTTTTGTTGAAGTTGTGAAATGTTCTGGTTTTTTTTGTAATTTTTGCGACGTTTACTCTATTACCCTATCATACTGTTCAATATATGTCTTGATAGATCAAAATTTAATTCACCAATAAAAAACCGTTTGAATTTTGCCGAGTTGTTGATGGTATTTATGAATGTTCAACAAGCATGAACGAAAAGAAGAGGATATTTTGAAGAAAGACAGATTTGGTGACAATATTTACATAGTTTGCGACAAGATACTATGCCATTTTGATCAAGTTTTCATGATAGCAGGTGCATACTTTGAGGAAGTATGCAAAATACGAGTGAATGGATTACGTATCAAGCGGAAATGATATTATATCAACGAAATAGTGGAACAATCTTATCAGAACTCAATATGGTGGTTCATAAGACAAAATTCAGTAAGAAAGAATCAGATCGGCGCCGCAGACTTTGTCACTGTAGGATTAGATGATACACGAATAGTAATTGGATCATGTACGGTGGCGTGTAACTGTTCGAGAGTTTGATAATCGAAGTCCAACTCCACTTATTTGGTATAGACCTTCCAACTCTTCATTCAGTAATAGACCTACTGAATCTTTCAAATTAGTACCAGTCTTATCCCAAAGGTACCAGTCTCACAACAACGATACCGTTATTTTCAGCAACAAATCGACATTCGATGGTCAAGAATTATCGTGTAATCACCCATATATGGCATAATCTCGTATTTGTTTGGATATTGGGATTCATATACGATTTTACATGGGACACTAAACGATAACTATTGGCCCAGCCCTTGAAGTAATGAAACACAATCTCAAGATAATAGTTGCTGTATGATGCTTTGAATTGCATAATGTTCAATTCCAACAAGTGTTTCTTCTTAATCATCCTTTACTTACTCGAAACTCAAAGTATCTTATGTGTTGTATCAAAATTATTGAATCATCTGGTTTCTAATAGGATTTTGGAGGTACCTGTTTTGATCCATATACTACTAGAGCCGAAAACTCAACTGATTAAAGAACTTTGGTAAAATTTAAACGAACATATCCAGTTTATCACATGAATCACATGAACAGAATGACTTTACTACTTTATGTGGAATGTGGAGCTGAAGTTTTTTTCGGTATTTTTTATGTATTTCCACCATTTTAACCATCTTGAGGTGTAACCGGAGATGAACTATTTAAGTACTTCTGACTGCCTGCACTCGTTATCAAATTATTATTCCTAAAGCGGTACTAGATTACGTAAGAATTTACGTAATAGGGAGATCCTATTTTCGTCTAATCTTAAAAGTTATAAGTACGCGATTTTGGGACGATAATTGAAAATTCATAGTTATATATCTAATAACCCATTGATTCGATAATTAATAAAACCATTTGATTCCTTTGATTTATTCCTACTAGTTCCATTCTTTATTTTACTTATATCAATCGAAAATGGGTATTTTTATGGTATGTTGATGTCAACAAAATAATAATAGATTTATGAATGATACTAACCATTTTATAGTCAAAGCTTTTTAAAAACCGTGAAATGAGGATCTTAATGTTGGGTCTTGATAATGCCGGTAAAACTACCATATTGTATAAATTGAAATTAGGTAAAACTTCACAAACTGTACCAACTGTTGGATTCAATGTTGAAACAGTCAAACAAAAGAATGTTTCCTTTGCAGTGTGGGATTGTGGTGGACAAGAAAGAATCAGACCATTATGGAGACATTATTTCACTGGTACTGATGCTTTGATTTATGTCGTTGATAGTTCTGATTTGAAGAGATTGGAAGAAAGTAAAACTGAATTATTAAGAGTTATCGGTGATAAAGAATTAAGTGAATGTTTATTAATTGTATTAGCCAATAAACAAGATGTTCCTAATGCTATTAAACCAAAGGAATTGATTGAAAAATTCGATTTGAATAATTTACCTGGAAATCATATTTGGTCAGTTATACCAACAATTGCCATCAATGGTACAGGATTAATGGAAACTTTGAATTGGATTTCAAATAACAGTAAATAGTTAATATGATGAGTTGTGAATGTTGATTTTAGTCATTGCATCTCTTTAAATGCTACTAACTTTACCATCTTCTTCACCAAAATAAGCTTTATCGGCCATTTTACAGAATAATCCAGTTTCAACAACTCCTACTAATAACTTAATTTGTTCATGCAATTTTACAGGATCAGCAATTTCTCCAAAATCAGCATCAATTAAGAAATTATTATTATCAGTAATTACAGGACCAGCTTTAGCACTACCACCCGATCTCAAATCAATTGATTTAGCCCCTAATTTCTTCAATTCTTGAGATACTTTGACCCAAGAATTTGGAACAACTTCAATTGGTACCCCTTTTCTCCATTGAATACCCAAATATTTAGGTGATTTCTTTCTATAATCAGCAACTACAATGAATTTTTTAGCGGATAAAGCAACTAATTTCTCTTGAAATAAACAAGCACCTCCACCTTTAATTAAATTTAATTCAGGATCACATTCATCAGCTCCATCAAAAGCGATATCTAAATCAGGATATTGTTCAATAGTACCTAATTTCAAACCATTATCAATGATCAATTGAGTTGATTGAAATCCGGTAGGTATACAAATAAAACTATCTTTATTCTTTAATTGACCAATTCTTTCAGCTACGTAAACTACGGTACTTCCGGACCCAATTCCTACAACTTTGGCAGATTCAGGGAAATTTTCATCAACTGCTTGATAAGCAGCTACTTTCTTAGCTTGTTCTACGAGACTCATATTTCTAATGGCGGATATACTGGATTTATAAAGTGTAGTAGGTAATTTAAATCTAAGCATGGGTGCGAAATCGGCGGACTTTATGTATTTGGGGCCCCACATTTTTGTCGTTTAAACATGAATTTGTAGCGGCAATGGTAGGCATTGGAACTAATAGATCAACCAAGGTCATTTGAACACATTGTTGAATTCCATTTCATACAAAATGTAATTTCATAATCTATCAATCACTCCCTTCTCTATATAAATAATCCAAATCAGCCGCAACACCTAACCGCAAGACAAACAGAAAAAAACGCAGTCACAATATCACCTGACTCGCAGGTTAAACAAAAAAAACGTCGCGATGTCGCAGTTTTCTCGAAGACATCGACAGTGAGAAATGATAGAGGAAAAATTTAATTGAAAAATTTTTAATATCAAATTTAATAACTAGTTTTAACATGTCTGCTGCTAGTAAGATTTTATCAGAAAAACCAAGTGAATTAGAATTACAAGTTGCTCAAGCCTTCATTGACTTAGAAGCTCAACCAGATTTAAAAGCTGATTTAAGACCATTACAATTTAAATCAATCAAAGAAATTGATGTCTCAGGTGGTAAAAAAGCTTTAGCTGTTTTCATCCCACCTCCATCATTATTAGGTTACAGAAAAGTTCAAACCAGATTAACCAGAGAATTAGAAAAGAAATTCCCTGATAGACATGTTGTCTTTTTAGCTGAAAGAAGAATTTTACCAAAACCTTCAAGAGTTTCAAGAAAACAACAAAAAAGACCAAGATCAAGAACTTTAACTGCTGTTCACGATAAAATCTTAGAAGATTTAGTTTTCCCAACTGAAATTGTCGGTAAAAGAGTTAGATACTTAGTTGGTGGTAACAAAATCCAAAAAATCTTATTAGATTCAAAAGATTTAACTTCAGTTGATTACAAATTAGAATCATTCCAACAATTATACAGCAAATTAACCGGTAAACAAGTTGTTTTTGAAGTCCCAGGTGAATATTAAGTAACTTAATCTTCAAATTTATATAGCCTTTGCCAAATAAATTCAAAATCGGTTCCCAACATAATGAATTTTTAATCATTTATTAGGATAATTTTTTAGATGATTTTTAATTATCTATGTATAAATATCACATCATATAATAAATAAACGTGAAAAAAATATGTTAATTCTATAGACTCTTTGTGTTTTAAGTAAGAACTGTTCATTTAGCTATATAATTTTTCATCTTTCAATTTTGGAAAAAAGTCGTGTAAAACCTCAACTACCGTACACCCATACTTAAATTTTTTTAACATAACTCGTAGGGAAAAGTCCTTTTGATCCATTAATTTCACCCTCTGTCCATCCACTACCATCTAAATCTTCTTGAATTAAGATTATTTTATCTCCTTGACTGATACTGATTTCATCATCTCCATCAGCAACATAATCGTATAAGGCTTCAACGTATTGAATTCTTTTAGCTCCTCTTTTAGGTGCTACACTAGGACCTTTCTTTTTAGGAGTGTCTGAAGGAGCTGGTGATGAACCAGGGATTATAGTGATATAAGATGTAGGCACTAACCCTTCTTTACCATTATTATTAATCATAGTCCATCCAGAACCATCATCTTCATCAATGACATTAAATATATCACCTACCTCAACTGAAGTCTCATCATCTCCTGTAGCATCATACTTATATAATGCTTTCCCTGTTGTTCCTGAAGGATCAGGTGCTGATGCATTAGATTTAGCTCTATGTCTTCTTAAATTGAATAATCCTCCATTAGAACCAATGGTTTTATGACTGGTAGAAGAAGTGACTGTATGTAAAGATTGACCATCTGAACCATTATCTTCATCATGTTTCTTATTTTTAAAGAGTCCAAATCTTGATTTCTTAACTTTAGCTTCCTCCTGATATGATAAATCTTTACCACCAGCGAAATTTTGAATCACTTCTATGATTACCTCATTTTTAACTCTATGAGTATCTTCTTTCATAAAATTACTTAATAATGTCAATGATCTAGCGAATTTAGTATCGAATTTCAATGTTTGATCACTTTCTTTCTTTCTTTCTATCACGCTTTCTTCTAGATCTTGTTTAATGTTTAATGCACTATCTTCATATTTACTATATTCAATTGAAGATTTATTTAATTGACGTTTTAAATCAGTCAATTCTGGTTCTTTGACTATGAGACTTTCATCATCATGCCAAATCGAACTTGGGATAAAGTAAAAATCTTGAGGTTCTTTCCAATCAATAAGATTATGTTTAATATACATTGCAGTATCCAATTTTGGATTATTCTCTTCGATGGTTTTATCAATGGTAGTTAAACGTTCTTTGATTCTATCATTACAGTTCCTTTCTACAATATTAGCATTCTTGATGATTTTATTCAAGATTCCTACTCTTGATTCATTCAATTCTTGATAGTAATCTAATAATTCTGGAATATCTTGATAATAGTATTTATCCTTCAAACGGTTAGCTATGTTGATTTTAATAAGATAGTCGTTCTTTCCGATATTCATTTCAACTTCCTTTTCTTCTAATCTCTTCTGATACTTATCACTCAGGGATTTTTCGGTCTTTTGTCTAGCACTTTCAGTATTAGAACATAAAGAATCATAATGTTTCTTTGCTTTGGCTACATCATCTTCGATTTTGTTTCTTTCATCTTTCAAATAATCATGAATAACTTCAATTCTTTTGGCTAAACTACTGGTTTTACTTTTCAATGTGATTAAAGTATCACCAATCTTGGTGGTAAAATCATGAGCCAATTTATTTCTTTCATCGGCAATTAATTCCGTTTGGGTTAGTACATCAGTCCACAAAACTAACGATGCACTTTCCAAAGATCCCGGAGTAATTTGAGGATCATCACCAACAGATAAATGAGTTGAATTCTTAGCTTTCTTATCGAAATGCTTCTTAGTTAATTCCTTAAGTTTTGTGGCATATTCTCTTTCAATTGTAGCTCTTTCTTTATAGAATTCATCAATATCGCTCAACCATTCGACCCCGTTGTTGATCCATTTAGATGTTGGTTTGAATGAGTCTTTCAACTCATTACCTATAGATAACGATTCTAATGACATTCTCGAGGTTTTCGCGAGAATAGGAGTTGAGATTTTGCAACTTACTGACAAGAGATCAAGTGATGATCCTCAGTGGATTACAAGAGATTTCGATGATTTGAAGGGGTAGGTGGATATATATGGAGTTAGTTAGAAGGGTTTCTGTTTTTTTGGAGTTGAAATGATTCAATTTAAGGTATTTTTGACTGAAAAATCCTCTTATATCAGTTTCAAAACCCTGAAAAAAAGACAATATACTATTACAATCCCCATAATTTCTAATGTTTCATCAAATCCTAATAATAACCCATTTCACCACATCTAACTACCGTGTCCTACCACCTTTCTCACATTTCGCAACCGAAGTGCGACCTACAATCAAAGTGACTGGTAAACGTAATTCTTTCATTGGAATTTCTTCAGTCTTAAGAATTCTAAATCCGTTCAAACTTAGACGTAGGGCTAGATTAATCTTTGATATTTATAAGGAGTATAAATCGTTGAAAGTTAGATTTCCTATCAACAGACGAGATTATTCTTCTAGTAAAACTCAATTAAGAAATATTAAACGTCATGGGAAGATGATTAGATCCCAAAATGATTTATCTCGTCCTCAAAGTGAACCAAGTACTTCCAATGATGAACAATTAACTCCTACCACTTCCAGGCGTCAGAAACTATTTGGTTTTGCCAAAAGTGCTCGAGATATTTATATACCCAAAATATCAGGGTCGGTATCTCAATTGGCTTCAGGAGTATCAGCTAGAGCTTTTAATAATGATCAATATGATGAAGATGGGAAATTAAAGATACCTAAAGAGGCCAGTATTAGTCTAATGCCTACTTATAGTATCCCTATGGGAGATGGTAAATATAAAGTTGATGTAGCAGGATGGATGTCGTGTCCAGGGTTGATGACAAGGAAGAATCGATTAATCTTTTCATTAGTTAAACAGATAATAAAATATGATGTCACATCCAATCAAGCACTTCAGAAATTGGAGAGTGATAATTTGAGACAAGATATTTTACAGGAAAATGCCAGTGATAATGAAACCATAGCTTCCAGTGAATCTTTAGCACCTTCGATTGAAAGTTCAAGACCTTCTAGTGGGTTACATAATCATGAAGAAACTTTAAAAGAAAGGCTTAGTAGTTTTATAGCTAGGTATGTGGCTAATGCTGAATTAACTATTATAATAGGGTCAGAAGATATACGAGAAACTAAGAATTTGAAATCAGTGGCAGTTTTAACTGATGGTAATGGATGTTTCAGTAGTACTGTTGAAGTTGATTATAAACCATCAGTAATTCAAGTTCTGGCCACAAGGGATGAAACCGTTTGTTCGTTTCAAGAAACAAGTATCATCCCCAATACAGGAGTAGCTATTATTAGTGATATTGATGATACTGTTAAAGTCACCGGAGTTATTGGTGATAAACGAGAACTTCTTAATAGTTTACTTTTAAAAGATTTCAAGAGTTGGGAAATCCCACCAGTAGCTAAATGGTATAGTCGATTGGTTGAAAGCAATAAATTATCATTCCATTATGTTTCTAATTCCCCGTTACAATTATTCCCCACCATCATGAAATACTTCACTTCAGCAGGACTTCCATTGGGATCTATGCATATGAAACAATATACTGGTAATATAATTTCATCATTAATGGAACCTTCAGGTTCTAGGAAACGTACAGCATTAACTAAATTAGCTACTGATTTTTCCCATAAGAAGTTCATCTGTGTGGGAGATTCAGGTGAATATGACTTTGAATCATATGTCGATTTAGCTAGAAGATTCCCTGGTCAAGTTCTTGCAATCTATATACGATATGTTCCTAATTCATTATCGAATCTTGACGATAAGAGAGTATTTGATGAATTGAATCGATTATTGGCAACTAGAGATAAAAAACTGAAAGTATCACAAACCTATAGACCTGAAAGTATTGAAGATTTAATTGATTTGAGCGATACTCCAGTAGCCTTACCACGAATTCCTTCACCTACCAAATCACCGGTTGAAACCAATGAATCCCAACAACGAGCTGCTAAATTACCACCAATGAAACCTCGTAAACCAACTAATTTAAAAGGTAATCCTTTAGCACCTCCATTACCCAGTCGTACTAATATCAATCGAGCTACCACTGCTTCAGCATTGGATGAGGTTCATAAGTTAGAGAATCCAAAGTTACCCCAGAGACCTACACGTACTACTACCAGTCTTGATGCTGAAGATAATCCAACTAAAGAACAACTTTTTGATCATTTACAAAATATCTATTATTCTCATCATTTTGAAGACTTAAGAGATATCGATGAAAGAGGAGCTCAATGGATCGAAAGAGTAGTCGAAGGTATGAGACAACTTCAAGAAGTTGACACTGTTGTAAGATTCTTCACCGATGAAGATGAAGATTTATATGAAACCAGTTATGAGATTTTTAAAGAAGTTAATGAAAACACCTAGAGGTATATCTTATGTATTATTATACAGATTAAATTCAAATAAATTACTGAACTTAATTATGCGTTTATATGTCATTCCATCATTAAGCTGAAACTTGTTCTTTTGTTTGTTGTTGATTGTCCACTACAGTATCATCTGAATCAGGTTGTAAATCAAATCTTACATTCCCATCACCATAATCTTTAATATTACCATCATCAATATCAGGTAAATCTTTCTTGAATTCTGATAAATCCCATTCATCTTTATTTTCTTCTTCAGTATAGAATTTATCAGATAATAATTCCATAACAATTTCTCTACCAGTTTTCTTTTTCTTTTCAGCTTTTTCCTTTTCTTCTTTCTTTTGAGCTTTTTTAGTTTTCCATATATTGAAACTTTCAATTGTTATTGGTGTGAATTTTGATTTATCTAATTTACCTCTTTCTAATTCAATAAAATCTTCTAAAGTAATCTTTGGTGCACTTTCTTCGGCTAATCTTTCTAATCTCTTTTGTTCTTTAGTTTTTAATACGAATCCTGGTGGTAAAGAATGTCTATATTTACATTCATTACCTCCATTAGGACAAACCCAAAACCAACCATATTTTCCATTTTCAACCGCTTCAATGAAATATTTACAAACAATATCAGTGGTAGTTTTAGGATTACCATGTTTAGACATAATAACACTTCTTAATTTTTCTTCATCCCATTGATCCATGGTATCAGCTTCCTTCTCAGCTCTAGCATCAGTATATAAATCTTTCTTAGCATCTTTTCTTCCTACATTGATATCATGAGAGAATTTACACTTATTACCTTTAGTACAAACACCTTTTCTGAAAAATTCACATAATACTGATTTAGGATCAACACCGAAAGGAACTTTTTGTTGCAGAATACCGAATAATGCAGCAGCTTCTTTCTTAGCTTGTTCAGCGGCTTTCTTTTCTTCAGCTTTTCTTTTAGCTTCAGCTTCTTTCTTCTTAGCTAAACCTCCATCAGCATTGGTTTTGATTTGAGCAATTTGTTGTTGAACTTTTTTGGATTTGTTCTTGTTTTTTAAACCGAAGGTTTTGTCATCGACCTTTTGAGCTCTAGCTTTGGCTTTGTTCTTATCAGAAGGTTGTTGCTTCTTAGGTGCCATTTTAGTCTTTTTGAGTAAAATTTTTCATCTTGAGTATCGCGATGTCGGTTGCAAAATGTCGCACTGCTATATAAGAAAGGGACACTTTACAGACGCTTTCTAGGGACACTATCCAAGCCCACAATTACTACAAAACCCTTTGAAAGATCAAAAATATAATACATTCATTAACTATTTAAGTTTTTGTGACCCCCGTTTCTTCTCTTTAAGTCTCGTGGAATTCATACTGGGTGATGAACTTGGTGGCAGGACTTTAACACTAGAAGATGAAGGTGATCTCATATAATCCACATTAGGAGAATTTTTCAATTGTTTCTTAGACCGTTTCTTATTCCCACCTAAGAAACTATCAAGCATTTTAGGAGTGGAATCAATAATAGTTTCCTGAGAATCATAACCTGTAGGTATACGTTGCTCTCTCATTGGAGAATGCAAAGATGGAGATACAATATGAAGATTTGAAACTTCAAATGTTGGCGATGTAGGTAACACTGGAGTAGTATAAGAATCTCTTGGATGTTGTTGAGGATGTGAAGTTGGTTGTTGAGATTGTTGATGATATCTACTACTTCTGAAAGGAATATATGACCTTCTTGAACTCATTGAAACTGGAGTATTGACATTATTGATTTGTCCATTATTTGTATTGTTAACATAACTGGAGTTAACAATAGAATCAGCTAAACTATTCTTGAATGAAGTGTTAGATTGAGTTCTAGCCAAACTACGATTCAAGATTACTGAAGCTTTCTTATCATAAACAAATGGTGCTGAATCCAAAGGAGTGATGGAGTCACTAGTATTACTAGTATCTACTGAAGCACTGTGAGTATGATGGTTAGTAGAACTATGTCTCAAACCACTTCTTGCATGCACAACATTACTAAGATGAGAATTACCCATCCCACTACCAACTCTGGCACCAGAAGGGGGTAAATTATCATTTTCTTTAGTGAAGAAAGAATCAAAATCATCCAAAGCTGCCCACATATGACTTAATGAAGCACCTTCTTGTTGTTCTTCGATAGTAGCATTATCTTGGATATTTGGTGGTACATAATAATCATCTCTGTGGAAATGGAATTCTTCTTCATTTGGACCTTCCTTTTCTTCAACTTTAGTAGTACAAGTTGAAAATACCGCATGAACATTATTTCTAGTACTAGAAGCTGTAACTGCTGGCATTGGAATTGACCATCCACTATCATCAGGTATACCGAATAAAGTAGCTGTTCTTTCATATTCTTTCTTCATTGAAGAATTACCTAAACTCATTCTTAAAACATCCTTATCCAATTGAGAACCTGAAATACTTACACATTCATCCAATACTTCCAAAGCTGGTTCAGCATAACTTGTTAACAATAATCTCAATAACGGAGATATTAAATCAGCTCCAACACCAATGAATTCTTCTCGTTGTAAATCAACCAATGGCATAAGATATTTTAATGTGGTTAAAGTTTCAAGTTTAATCCATGAGGTTTTGTTTGATAAGAATCCGAGTAAAGTTACCAATGTTTGTGCTTCAAATTCTGGGAAGAATACATTCTTAATACTAGTGATGGTTTGAACCAAGAAATCTTTCTTAGATCTAAATCTGTTCTTACTTAATGATACAAAGATTTTAGCCAAAGAAAATTTCCCATTTCTTTCACTCATATTACTTACTACCATAGCTACTTCTTCTATCTCCTTTGGCATGGTTTTACTATCTAAAGCATGTAAGAATCTAGGTAAGTTAGCTATGATGGTCATCAATAATCTAGAATCTTTCAGACTGGTGATTATTTCACTATCTTGTAAAACATTCAATTTGTCCAAGAATTTAATAGTTTGTTCATATGAGGTTGATGATCTTAAACCTACCATCACCACAGGCTGTAATCCTTCGAATCTTCCTTCCCATTTAGGTGGGAACGTAGAGATCAAACATGAAACCGTATCGGGAGAATCTAAATCAATTTTAGAAACAAATTTCGACATTGCTGATAAAACTTCAATAAATTCTTGCTCATGAATGGTACTTAAACAAGCAACCCCTGACCAGAATAATTGAGGGAAATCAATCAATTTGGCGGAATCCAATTCGGCATTGATGGCATTCAAAGTCATTAAAATTTGCATAGCAAACCCTTGGATATCAGGAGTTTCATCGGAAATCGTATTGGATAAACGATGTAACATATCCTTCAACATTGGTTGATCCAAAATTGATAATAATGAACGGAACACTTGGAATGATCTACAAGCAATATGTCTTACAGCACAAGTGGTTGCCCAACTTAACGCCACTTTACTCCATTCCTCTTGGATGTTGGATGAGATAGGTGTAAGAATTTCCAAAACATTACGAACTAATAAATCCATATTCTTAGGTGTTCTAGTACCCTTTTTATCATTATTTAAATCATCATATACCCACAAGTACTTGAGGGGATCTTTGTTAGTAAGTTTATTGAGAACCATATCGATTTTAGGATCTGTTCTAGCCAAACAATGAAGTATGTGACATAATAATGTTGATACCGCTTCTTGAACGATAGGTAAATAATGGTCTAATAAGGAGAATCCAATATGAAGTAATAAAGGTAAATGAGTCATCATTCTATCAGTATGAGTAGTGAATAAATCCACCAAAAAGATTATTGATAATTGACCTAATGAAAGGGAAGTATCTTTCTCATTATAAGGAATTAATTCCCATAAGTTGGCAATATAAGGAAATTCTGTTGATGATCGGAAAGAATTCACCACTGAATGAGGTTTGGGTGGAATCATAGCCTTTTGTTGTAAGTTAGCTATTAATTTATCAATCATATAATTAACATCAGGTTGAGAAAAACTAAGGTAATCGATGATTTGACGAGCATAACTAACAAAAGTAGCATTCTTACGTTCTAATGAATTAGTTATAAGATATTCTACAATAATATCAAAGTTAGAAATTCTCGAACCTAAAGCTACCCATAAAGCTTCAACCTCATTCAGAATAATGGAACTGAATTTGACTGTTATTTCGAATAAATTATTAAGTACCATAATTGAAGCCGGTGTGAGATCATTGATGGTCTTAGCATTCTTCTTATCAACTTCTTCTTCTGAATCTGAATCTTTAAAAGCCAATTCTACAGTTTGAACCCAAGGTAATAAACATGATAGAATATTACTTCTAGTAGTATTATTAACTCTATTGAAACACATAGTAAGATAACTAATACGTTCAAAAGCATCTTCAGGGTGTAAAGAAGCTAAATGAACGGAAATTTCAAATAAAGCTTTCTTATAAACCACTCTATTAGTACTATTAACACTTCTAGCAAATACTTTGACTGAATCGGAATTATGAAATTTGGATTCCATGAAAGTTAAAAGTTTCATAGAATAACTTCTGATGAGTAAATTATCATCACCAATCAAAAAAGTTACTAAGCAGTACAACCCAACAGGGCTACTAACAAATTTTTTGTTTTCCATTAAAAAACTTACAAATGTTACGTAATAACTTTCAGTTGTCTTTGGATTATCTTGAGATTTATAACATTGGGATAAAACTTCTTGGAAGATTTCAGTATTTTCAGGATTCAACTTCAAAATGTTTGATAAAGCTTTTTTACCTAAATCATGAATATTATCTGAATTGGAACAAAGTAATGAATTGATCCATTTCATTAAACCTGGAGTATCAAATGACATAACAGCAAAACTATTATGGAGATCATTATTAGTAGGAACATCAAATTCTTCAACAATATTACCTGAACAAATAGTTGCCATACAACTTAAAGTTGAAAATTGTAAAAGTTTCCTTTCAACTTCTAAAATGGCTGCCGAAGTAGCTAAGTCTTTAGTTATAGATTTATCTAACATCGTTTGGTACCTTTCTTCAGTTAAATTCTTTGAATCACCTAAACCACACCATTCTTTTAAATAATTGAAACATCCAATTCTAGCTTCAAATGGTAACCAACGATTTAATTTATTCTTATTCTCCAAACCTATGAAAACATTTTCCAAGAATTTACAGAAATATCTTCTTAATTTCTGGAATGTTATATCGGTTTGAATATTTGAATTCGATAAGAAATTCTTCACGGTTTTGATAATTGATACCAAATTGGCTATAATCCAATCGTCATCATAAATAATACTATGTTTTAAAAATCTAGCAGTTATCTTACTAAGGATATTAATAAGTTCAATTCTTAATCTATCTTCATTAATATCTCTTTTCTTCAAATTTTCATCCCAATCGTTTAACGTAGATTGAACATTCTCAAGTAAAGTCTTGAAAATATTGATATTGATACAACTCAACCCCGAAATAATCGAATCTTTAACCATTACTTGTTGACTCTTCAATAATGGAAGAACCATTCTGAAAATCGATTTAGCACTGGTGATTTTTTGATGTTGAATAAATATTTGCATTGACCGTTTTCTACCATGAGTTGGTTGTGAAGGGAAAGATATCTTTTGTTCATTAGTTGAAGTCAATGAACAACAAACAAAAATAAGGTATAATCTCCATTGGTCAACTAAAACTTCAGGTGCTACTTCATTTGAAGGTTTTGAAAATAATGATGAAGTATAATTTTTATTATAACTTTCAGAATAGTCAAATATTTGTTCATGCATTTGTACCAAACGAACACAAACAATTGATCTACAAATAGCTACAGGCATTGGACATTTTTCAAAGAAAATGTCTAATAATTTAGGATAAATTCTAAACCATAATGTCGTGTCTATACCATAATCTGATTCAGCTAACCTAATTAGGATAGATTTTTTAAATTTCAACTTATTGATTCTATTCCTTTCAGGAACACTTAATTCTGATCGGAAAGGTTTGATAAGTTCCAAAAAATCTTGATTTTCCAAAATATTTATCAATCTAGTACCACTATCAGCAGCAAATTTTGATGATGACCGAGAATGAGTTTTCAGATGATTTTCACTACTTGAATCTTCAATTATTGGTTTTTCAGTGATATTATAGATTTCTTGATCAAATTGTTCAATTAATCTTAAAATTGAAATCCCAAAATATCGAATTTTTGGATCTTGATTACATAAGAAGAATAATCCATTACCTTCAATATCTTCAATTGAAGTAATTATATCTTTCCATTGTAATTTATCGGTTGAAGTTCTGGAAGTTGAATTATTTAAACCCAAATCATCAGTTTTATAGTTGATTTGATACAAATCATTCAAAACATCTTTACTCATTAATTCATCATCTTGAGATAATGGATGAGTGAAACTATTATTCTTTGTTTGGTTGCTCTGTTTGAACAGTTTCAACCAACAGTTTAATAATTCAACATAAAGTTTAAGTAGTTTTTGGAATTCAATTGAATTAAGATAATTTGAATTATAATTAGGATTAGGTTTTTCACTAAATTGGAAAGCTATCTTACCGAAATGATTCATCAAACTTATAGGATTTTTCTTTGAAGCTAATTTTTTCAAACTATTGATTGAACTATTAGCTATTCTGAAATTAGAATGGATGGAGTTTCTGGTTAAGATTTCAATAATGGTTTTAAATTGAATACCACAAATTGAATTATTCTCATTGTTAATAGGTACCATAGTCCAAGGAATGGAATCAATTAAAGTAGCAAATAACTCCAAATGAAGGTTCTTAGTTACTTGATAAGAAAAATCAATACCAAAATGGAAAGCTGAAAATGGTGATTGAGTTTTGGAAAATGTTGATGATAATGGTGTAGAAGTTTGAGATCCATTGATATCTTTCCAGATTTCACATCCATATTGATTATCTAACAATTTCAATAATAATCCAAAGTTCTTACAAATTTCTTCATGAGTTAAGTGATTATCGGGATTTTTAGCCGAAAAGGAGAAATCATTGGTTTCCAACTTCATTGAAGGTGATTTCTTATGCTTGGTTTTGGTTTGTTTCTCTTCAATTAATCTTTGATTCAATTTATCATCAGTAGGGAACTCTGGTCTTTTATTGATTTCATTATCCTTTATTATGGTCAAATAACTTTTAACTACCAAGATAACTTTTTCACATTGTAAATTTTCCAAGGTCAAACCATTGAAACTCAATTTCAATAACTTCACTATAACATTATCTAAAATGTAATTCAAATGCTTGTAACCTACGATTCTAAGTAATTCAATCAATGAATTTATAAGATAGATATCGGAAGTTATCCATTGTTGTTTCTTGTTGGTAGCAATATTATTGAAGAAAAGTAATTGGAATAAATTATCCAACTTCTTAATGGTATTATTCAAAGTATCGTTCAAACGGAATATGTAAACCCAAAGAAGTCTATCAATACAAGTAATGAAAGTGATTTTCTCTTCAACTTCAACCTTAGGTCTTAATTTGAACATATTCTGCTCAATTATATCAAACCAAATGTTTTGGAATAATTCTTTATGAGATACTGATAACGAAGCCGTGATCAAATTGATTGAACAATCCCAACTATTAGATATAGCTGTATTAACGCTAGAACTACCAGCATTTGGTGATAAATTTATGATACTTGAATTTGAAGGTTTGTTTTCATTATTTGAATTGGCTGTTGAATAAGATTTATTACATTTACTCCATATGAGATATGCTTTGTTGAAGATTTTTTCAATAGCATGAGTCCATGTTGGATGATTAGTTTCTGCTGTTAAGATATTAGCTAATGGTAATAAAAGACTCGATAATACTTCACAATAAGCTAAAATAATCAATTCGTTTTGTGCATTATTGAAGAATTTACCTAAAGAATCAATGAACTCGGCACTTTCTTCAAATACTTCTAAAGGATAATTTGTTAACTTCAAATATCTCATTCCATGAATCAATAAATGTAATCTTGGTTCATCATCATGATCAATATTAACGGGGATTTTCTCTAAATCGGCGATGAACCTATCACTAACACTTAAAAATCGCTTATGGGACATGTGACCTAATAATTCAGCAAATAAATTCCAATTAGCTGATCTTAATAATGATTCTGATGTGGTTATTGGATCTGTGGTCTTCAATTGTGTATAAACAATTTCTTCTAATTTACCTCCTAAATCATCTCCCATGATTTCTGAAGATGTTTGTTTGACAAGTTCAATAAGAACTCTACATAAAATATAAATTGATGCTAATGATTTTCTTTCGGCTTGTATAGCAGTTTCTCTGGCTTGATTAAACTGATCATCATAAAATGCTTTTTGTTTTAAAAACTCTTCTTCTGTGTCGGATTCTGGTAAAGGATTTACTGACGACGCTGATTGATTTCTTCTATGATCTCTTGCTGCCACTCTAGAAAGACTTTTACTTCTCATTAAACTCAAACTTCTTTTCAGTTTAGTACCATTACCATTCACACCATTTTTAACAATCCCAGGATTTGATGGTGAAAATTGATTCATTTTAGATAAATTAGTTTTGGCATTCATAAGTACTCTTTCGACTTCAGCTGCTGCTAATGATGCTACCTCGCTCTTAGATTTCCTCCAGAACATCACCGAATCAATCATTGGTTTAGGTTTTTGTCTAGCTATATAACCTAATGAGGAAATGATGTTATCAAACTGATCATCTCCATTACCTTCAGCTAACAATTCAATTACCTGAGGTTCTTGTTGCATGGAATATTCAAGACACAAATTCAATTTTCTTTCAGCATGACGAACAAATTGGGTGAATACTATATGAAGGGTATATTCAGCCGGCGATTTTAAATCAGTGGCCAACCCTTTACGTAAATTCATATATTCTTCACCATTAGATAATGTCAATCTCTGTAATGAAGCTGTGGATATTGGTGGTGGTAATTGTGGTGACGGTTTAGTATGATCTCTTGGAACTATATGGGATATAGGAGAACCTAATTGTGCGATGTTATTAGGAGATATCGTTAAATCATTGAGTATATCTCTTTCTTCGGTTTCATTTTCAGGTTTGAAATTATAGAATTGACCTTGTGAAGGTTGATGTGAGGGTTGATGCCCGAGTTGTTCCTGGTTAAGGTGCTCCTGGTTAAGTTGCTCCTGGTTAAGTTGCTCCTGGTCAAGTTGATCCTGGTGATATTCTGGTTCCTCATCGATATTATCATCAACTTGTTCCAATGAATCTAGATGTATGTACCTTTCTTTCTCTTTGATCATAGGTGATTCCTGAAGTTTGAACTGTAACCTATCTTGATTGTCTATAGAATTTTGTTTAACATGTAATGCCTTAGCAGTATTCAATTCGATCACATGATTATCGAACGAATCTTCGGTTAACGGTAACGATATCTTTGAGTTGTATTCTTGGCTTGAACTTGATACCAAAGGGTATTCGAAATTCTGATTAGGTGGTACTAAAGGTAATTCTTCTTCTTCGAGTTCCTCATTGAGTTTTTCAATACTTTGCTGTAAATTATTCAAATCATTTATGGAATTCAACGTGTGTCCATTGCCATTCCCATTGAACTGGAACTTCTTAAATCGTTGTTGATCTTCAAGTTCATCTTCATCTTGATCATTTATGTGAAAGTTATTCAAATCATTTATATTGTTGATATCGTCATTATCGTGGAAATCTTCAAATTCATTATACTGTTTGGTATAGTTGGAAGCAGGGTTGTCATCCAAATCAGGAATTTCAATCATTATGATATTACTGTATTTGAAGGTTTTGAATCAATGAATTATATTGATGATGACTATGAGATTCAATGGTAAAGTAAAATATAATTCTTGATGCTATTGGATTGAAATCTCTCTTTTTTTATTGTCTATGGAATCAGAAGATACTAATGCTGGTTGATAAGGATTGTGAGTTATTTTCGAGGATTTAAATAGTATTATTGTCTGATACCTTCCAAGATGAATAATCGATTCGAATCTCACTGTAAGAAGGTGAGGATTTAGGGGACCAATGTCGCGCGACATAGGTGGAACTGTAAGTGGTGATGAGGTCAGGGTTTTAGTTGACGTGACAATAAGAGGGTTTGGTCTAGGGGGTAAGGTAGGTTGGATAGGTGTACTGGTGGTTGCATGAGGTGGGTGTATTAGTGGGAGCAAATGAGGTTTATAGGGTTGAAATGCTGGGTGAGTAATGGAGATAGGGGGATCTGATGTGATTTGGATATCAAGTGTTGCCGGACATTAAGTCTGGAGGTAAAGGTGTTGAAGGATTACCGACGCAATGTTGAGGGAAGGGTGTTGATTTGTGGACGAGGATCAGCTTTGAGCAATGACTGTTACTGGTGTAGGTGTTAATGAGAGAGAAATTAACACAAAAATCAACAGGGGAGAAAGCATAGTAGGAAGTGCTGGGCCCCTGGATATCTAAGTCTCAAAATTACAGGTAACGTCTAGTTCCACTACTGCAACCTCACGAACCCCCATGAAGGATCTTGTTATCTCATGTCACAATACCTTTCAATTGACTGTTTAATCCCACATGACAAATGCATCTGTCTCGTATTCTCTAATCTCCAATTTATCTATCCTTCTACTCCGTCCCCTTTACCAACCATTGCCTAGGCCACCCAACTACTCTGAATCCAGCCTAAATACTTTACCTATCTTAGTCTGAAAACTTTTCGCGACAATTTGTCATGGATCAGTTACCACCATTAATAACCCAGTTCATAACGAGTTGTGAAGACCCCGAAAAAGACTTCGGAGCCACCTACTCCTCACAGATAGCTAACTTAATATCCAATGATGAAATAAGTTTACTTGTGTTAGTGCAAAACTTAGGTGACAAATTAACCTCAGATGATGATATCGAAAGAAGTAGAAGTATTCACTGTTTGAGTTCTACTTTAGATAATTTACCTCCAAATAAGTTGTCCAGACAAGATGTTAATGTCATGGTTGAGTTCTTCCTTGGGAAATTTGATGATAAACCTAGTATAAGATTCATATTGAAAAGTTTAAGCATTTTAATATCTTTCAATGGGTTTAATCCTTCATTAAATGATAACTTAACTAAGATTTTAAACAAGTTGGTTAATGATTATGATACCAGTAAACATTTGGCCAAGATAAGGTATGAAAGTTTCCGAGTTATTGAGAGCTTATTGAAGAATCACCAAAAGAAGATCGTTTCTGATAAGAATTACTGTACGTTATTAATCAAAGCATTTCTCCATATCGCTACTGGAGAGAAAGATCCTAGAAATTTGATCTTATCATTTGAAATTTGTGAAACTATCAATAAGAATTTCCAATTCGATATCAATGAAGAAGTAGATAAATATTTCATCAGTGAATTATTGGATAATACCTTTTGTTATTTCCCTATTTCCTTTAAACCTCCAGCCAATGATCCTTATAAAATCACTGCTGATCAACTTAAATTGAAACTTCGTCGTGCTTTGGTAAGTCAAGATTTATTTGCTAAAGATTTGATTCAAAGTTTACTTGAGAAATTAACTTCAACTAATCCGATGATCAGAAACGATGTTTTATTGACTATGTTAGAACTTGTTAAACTGTTCCAACCAGAAACTATCTTAGTTCATTGGGACATTATCTGGAATGGATTGAAATTTGAAATCTTACATTTAGATAATTTATCAGGATTCAATTCCAACTTTGATTATTTAATACCTAAAGGGTTGTTAACCATTGATGACAGTGATGAGAATAAATCCGTCTATCTTACCTTAGAAATCTTCAATCAAATGTTGGAAAAAATCGATAATCAACCTCTTGATACCATTAAAGAAGATTTGAAAGAATACTTATCCATTAATAGTAAATATTTCAAGAACTGTGTATTATTGGTAAGTAGTTTATCGACTAATCTGATTGAAGCCAATGATATTTTCATGAAATTCCTTTTCCATGATGAATATTTAGGTAAATTCATTAATCCAAATATTGAAGAAGATTTCGAAGAAGATATTGCTATAACCATTAACAAACAAAGAGATTTAATTGATTGTTTTGGTTATGCTTTAATATCTTATCAAATCATTGCTAATGAAGAGATCACTCACAATGCTTTACTTTCAAATAAAGATAACTTAATCATCTTCTTAGGTCAATTATTACAAGCAAGTTCCAATATCGAGAAGACTTTGAAAGTTAAGATTATCCAACAATATATCAAATTGATAGAAATCCCTAGTTTCCTTAACACTGAAGAGAAGAAATCATTGATTCAAATCTTGAATGAATTGGTGTTACTGTTGAATGATGGGGATATTTTAATGGATGCTATAATTGAAGGAATGGTCAAATTGATCAAATTATCCAATGATGAGATCTTGAAATTGATCATAGAATTCTTCTTACCCAACTTGTTGGTTAAAATCGATAATAAAGATCAAAGTATCTTGAAAATTCTTGAAAGAATCATCATTAATTATGAATTATTAGAGATTATTTCAATCAGATTGATCAATAAATTGGATAATGATAGTGAATATAACTTTAAGATTATTGAATTGATCTTAAAGTTGGTATACAAGATTCAAAACTCCCATCAATTCTTGATGAACTCTTGGTCAAAGTTCATTCCTACTTTACATAAACAAATCTTGAAAGATGAAAAGAATATCGAAATTTACAGTGAATTGATTGGTTTAATTGTTAAATATACCGAAGCATCTCATCATCAAGATATAATAACTCAATATTATTCAATATTTTATCAAAACAAAGCTGATTTGAACTTACCAGGATTCAAAGGAGTTAATAATTATATCATTATCTTCAACAAAGTGTTGGCAAGTATTGACAAGAATGTCACTTTCAACATTTCTAAGGATCAATTGAATGATCTTATCAATGATATTCCTACTATTAAAGAACCAAATTTGAAAATTCAATACTTACAACATTTATCCATCATTACCAATAAATTCTTACAATCTGATGATTTCCAAGATTTCTCCCTTCAATATAATGATTTATCAAAATTTGAAATTTGGGTTTGGATTTTAAAATCCTTCATTCTTAGATTAGATAAATTTGGGATGATGAAATTAACTGAACTACTTGAAAATTGTAATGAAATCCCTTTGAAAGTTTTCATCAAATTATTCGATATTTTATTAAAAGATTTGAAGATTTATCAACCAAATAAGGAATTACCTAAAGGAACAAAGATCATTTCCAAAGTAACTAATTTGAATGTCAAATTATTATATAAGCAACAAATGTTCAATATTATTCTTAATAAAATCTTATCAGGTACTTTAGATAATGATTTGAAGTTGAATTTATTATCAATCTTAACTAAGAACATTGATGCTAATATCTTGAAATTAAGAATCAATGAAATTTTACCTTTGGTCATTGAAAGTTTGAAATTTGATCATTTATTGACTTCAACTTTAGCTAATTTATTAATCATCATTGAATCAGGTAATAGTTTGATCAATGACTTACCCTTCTTAATGAAAAGATTGGTTGCAATCTTGGATTATAAGGTATTCAATGAACAAATCAGAACGTTAGCATTAAAGTGTATATTGGAACTTATTAGTGTTAACGAAAAAGATTTGATTCTTATTTATAAAACGGATTTATTAAATGGTTTATCGGCCAGTTTAGATGATCCAAAAAGAACAGTACGTAAATTGACTTGTGACATAAGACAAGAGTTATTTGAACTTAGATAGACTTTATAGAATGCATGTATTTACTAGAGATCGCAACTCTTTCATCCTACATCCTTTGGATACTGTATGCTAGAATTCTTTAATTCTGTACTTTACTAGGACTATATAATACTGTACTTTACTAGGACTCTTCAATACTGCACTTCCTCTATTGTACATCTCTTCTATGTTACAACCCTACCCACATACATCGCAATCTCTACTTCACTAGAGCTAGAGTAAACAGAAAATCATTATTCATTAATCTATTCATCGTCTTCATCATCTGACTCGTATCCTACAGGTGCCAAACCTGGAGTCAAACCTGGGAATTTGTGTTCCTTGAAAGATTTATCCTTCTTTGGTGCTTTCTTTTCAAAATTCAAAATTTCTGCTTGTATATCTTCCAAGTCTTCTTCGTCATTTATCAATAATCTTTTATTCTTTCTGACTAGCTTCTTCAAATATTTCTTATGATGATCATCTAACTGATCTTTTGGTTTAGATTTAATGATTTCGTAATTGATTCTTTTCAAATCTTTTGCTTCAGTGATGGCTTTTTTATTGATGATTTTATTCTTCTTTTTCTTTGTGACTTTTTTATTGAGTTCCCCAAGTAATGCTTCGGTACTACTCTTCTTCTTGTCAGAAGCTTTGGTGAGATCACCTGTCAACTTACGTAGTAAATTCTCTGATTTGGATTTAGATAAGTTTGAACTGAACATATGAGATGAGATGAGATTCTTCGCGGTGAGATCTCATTATAAAGAGATTTTAGGGTGCAACGAAATAGGTGAAGAATAACCATTATGGTGGAATGGGAGTAATTCTGAAGCCCACGGATGGTTATAGTAGGTTTGGAAGGTATTTTGGTTGCTGTAGTAAACCGTAAGGTGAAAAATCATCCTTCAGGAGGTAGATTTTACCACCTAGTTCGTTCTGGAGTCTGTATACATCATTTACGAAACTGATCGGCTTCTCCTCTCTATCCTGCCGATACCATCCTCATTATCACACCTCAATTTTCACATCTTCATTTGCACATCTTCACTTCCACGGCCTTATCTTCATCTTATCACAACCTCAAATTTTTCTACCCATCAAAAAATTTATCACGTGACAGATAACCCAATTAAGCAATGATGAAATTATCGTGAAATATCTTCAAGAACCCTCTTTTGAAGTCATTGAAGCTACCAACACTCTTTAACCATGGTATATATCATTTAATTATCGTACAAGAAGTTGAAAACTCATCATCAAGAGAGCAATGGCAATCGATAAATTTCAAATGAAAACTGGGGTAATTGGTGCCTCGGACATTTCTCTCACTATTTGGTAAAGACAGAATCAAAATTCCCATCACATTTCCATTGCATTACCTTAAACTACGATCATGATTGGACTTAGAATTCCTTCAGATCCTTCATCTATCGCCAATACTTCAAAATTAACTGAACACTTGCCAGTAAACTTATGCCTTACAACCTAAATACTACAATCTGTCAATTATTGATGTTCTCCAATTACCCTCATATAATTCAACTTTAAACGTCAGCTCCTCTTCAAATTCATGCCCGTAGTAATCCTCCGTGCAGTTAACGGACTTAATTACCACCAAATTTCACATTCTGCGTCCTATGCTTTCACATTCTGCGACCTGTGATTTCACATGTAATAATTCTCAATATAAAAGCTGCTCAATTCCCTGGAAAAAATTATATCAAACAAAATGTCTGTTACTGCTGATGGATTCGAAGCTTCCCCATTTTTACAACAATTAGCTGATGGTTTAGCTCAACCAGATTTAGCTAAAAAAGCCGTTGGTGGTGTTAAAGCTACTATTGTCTTTACTTTAAAGAACAAATCTGGTAAAGATCAAAGTTGGTTCTTAGATTTAAAGAACAAAGGTTCAATTGAAAAAGTTGATAAACCACCAAAGAATGATGTCCAATTAATCTTAAAAGACGCTGATTTCGTTAAATTAGCTAACGGTCAAGCTAACGGTCAAAAATTATTCATGAATGGTAAATTAAAGATCAAAGGTAATATGATGAAAGCTACTTCAATTGAAACTGTTTTCAAATCATTAGATCCAAGACCAAAATTATAATTGATTTATAATGTATGTGGTTTATTGTTTGTTCTCTGACTCTTGGTTTAGCTCTGATTCTAGCTCTGGTTTAGGTTTTCCACGTCAGCCCCTGGTTTAGCTTATTCCAGCTTCCTTATTTCGATCGTAAAAGATTGCATAGAGATTTCGTTTATTTCTCATACATAATAATTCCGTAATCACTGGCAACAATAAGTTGGCTATCTATTATCATATCTTCAACTTTGAAAAATTCCGGTAATCCCACTAAATACGTTATCTCCGCCAAATCTTTGGAAATTTTCAATAAAGTCTCTTCTCCATTATAAACGTAGATGTGATCTGATACTTTGAATTTGACAATTTCATCATTCAAGTCAAGTTGCTTATCTCCGATAAGTAATTTACCTTGTGCCCCGACAATCAATTCGGTAGTAAATCCCAAATCAGTTATGGGACTAGCCAAATTCATTAAAAATGTCAGTTGTTTAGTGAATAAATTGAATTTACGGACTTCACCACTTTCATAACCAACAATCACTGACTTACCTTTGGTTTCAAACTCATTTTCTTTATCATCTCCTTCATCTTCATGATCTTCTATGATCTTGATGACCGTCACGGGGTCGTGCTTATTTTTCACTTTGGAAAATCTATATACAATTGATTCACTACCGCATTCCCACATCTCAACCTCTCCATTCTTATTTCCTACTAAGAAGTTACGTCCTTTGCCAACGAATTCCACATTACTTGAGAACAATGATTTCATTATTCTGATATTCTTCCATTGTTTGATTGACCATAACTTTATCTGATTATCTAAACCTCTGGTAAGTATAACTTCTTTAGATGGGAAAACTTTGATTTCTTCAATATCCAAGAAATGACATTCAGGAATCTTGGTATTTTCTCCTGAAGTTATATTATAAACTGAAAGACTACCATCCTTATAACCTAATATAAGATCTTCATCTATTCTGGAAACACTCGAAACATTGTTCATTTTGATGTATTTCCCCATACTTAAGGTATATTTTTCGCCATTATCAAATACGTAATGTTTTCCCACTTTCTTGAACCTGGGATCATCATGAGTTAATTCAAATAGTTCTTGGTTCTCATTGGGCTCTCTAAGACCCAACCAAAACTGTGAACTGTCTTCGAATGAGTCTTGTATATTGAGTATCTTCATCACTCACAATAAATTTCGCGAGACAAGATCAACTCAGAGTATACCTTGAAGTCTGTCGAATACATCCTCATTTCCCTAGTTGCAACATAGAATATATCCATTAGCACCATAAGAATTCCTTCATAGCACACAAAATGGATGAAACTACGGCGATTTTCTTCGATCCAAATTTCAATGCTGTCAACTACCTCAATTCGATATTCAAGAAATTTAACAAAAACGAACTCAACAAGTTGATAAGTGTTTCCAACAATCTCATAATTCATTTGAACTTTTTAGTTAATCAGTTAAATGACGAAATATTGAAAAATTTAAAAGATTTATCCCTTGCTAACACCAATTCCAGATTCGAATATTTCTTAAAGTCATTGAAAAACTCCATAATATCATTGAATAATGAACTAGACTTACCGAAATTCAATCAATTGAAAATAATAAATACCCTTATCAGTTTCAAAACCATTAAATCCAAGATTTTAGACGTATTAAAGATATTCAAAGTTTTGTTAACGTTTTGTGATAAAGGAGAAATCAAAGTAACCAATTTCGAGAAACAGATCATCAGTTACTATCACCTGGTAATGGAAATTAATGATATTAACGACAAAATAATGAGATTACAAGAATTCATACAATTGAGTGATGTTTTCAAGAATTTGAATAATTTTAATAGTGTATACAAAAAGAATGTTGGAAGGTTCGTCCAAGAGAAAGATAAGTTAGATACTTAATACATAAGCCATGTTGCATTTTTTTCTCTGTTTTCCCTGTCCTTTTTCTTACAGATAATTCTTGAGATATAGAGTGTTTGATAAATTTTGCAAATATCATTATTTAAAATAAAATAAAAAAATTTAAAAGTATTTTATGGGCTCATCTTATAGATTTGGAGTCTAGGACTTCAATCATACCAAAATCATCGAGAAAAGATTACTGTAAGACATCATTCTAGTCAATTTTCTGAAAATGTGACTTTCTAAGAATATATTTTAAAAGTTGTGAAAATGTCTTATAAATGGGGATGTGGTCTAGTGGTATGACATTTGCCTTGCAAGCAAAAGGCCATCGGTTCGATTCCGGTCTTCTCCATTCTTTTTTTATTTCTCGAATACTACTTTTTAACACTTCCTATACATTAACCAGGTCAAGGATAGTTGTATTGCTCTTCAACACTCAACACCGATCAAAAATTGCCAAAATAAACGTCTATCTCATCTCCAGTATTCGCATCAAATCTCAGATCTCAAGACGCGAATAATAACAAACATGCCAGGGTATGTACAACAGTGATAATTATCAACAAATCAAGTACTAACATCTATAGAGAGACGATTACTTTACAAGCAGGTCAATGTGGTAATCAAGTAGGGTTGGAATATTGGAAACAATTGTCTACAGAGCATGGAATACTTGCAGATGGGACTCAACTACCATATCCACAAGATGAGCCTTATCCTCAGTTCGAAGGCCAAACTACCAAGAATACCATCAATGATAGAGAGGATAGACCTGAATTGTTCTTCACTTTATCAGATACAGGAAAATATACTCCCAGATCAATATTGGTAGATTTAGAGCCTTCAGTTATAAATAAGGCTACCAATAGTTTACCTATGTTTAATCCTCGAAACATACATTTGAGTGAAACTGGTAGTGGTGCAGCTAATAATTGGCAAAAAGGTTACTCGTACGGACTTGAATATCAAGAAGAGCTTATAAATTTGATCGATAGAGAATGTGATAAGTGTGAGAATTTATCCAACTTCCAATTGATTCATAGTGTAGCAGGAGGTACAGGATCAGGTGTAGGGTCATTATTATTGGAATTATTAAGTGATAGATATGGATCCAAAACATTAATCACCACATCTTCAATTTTTCCGTCCAATGAAAAGACATCTGATGTGGTGGTACAGCCATATAATACCGTATTAACATTGAAAAGATTAATAGAATTCTCCGATTCCAGTATAATTTTCGATAACGATTGTCTTAATACGGTGGAAAGTTCACTTTTCGGAATCTCCCAATCATTCAACTATGCCAATAATGTTAGTGGGTATGAAGGAGCTAATAAATTGATTTCTTATGTTATATCATCAATTTCTAATCCTATTAGATTCCCCAGTTATATGTTCACATCCATTGAATCGATATATTCAAGTTTAATTCCTACACCTGAACTTAAATTCTTAACGGCATCAGTAGCACCATTCGGAGAATTATCAAATTTCAGTAAAATCCCATCAAAATATAGTTTTTCCAATTTGAATGAATATGAATTGATACTTGAATTATTGAATGATAAATATAAAATGAATAGAACAGTCAACGAGACCAGCTATATATCAATGTTAACATATGTCATGGGGAACAAATTAAATCAATTAGATATCAATAAAGGAATATTAAAATCCCAAAAAAGACTTGATTTTGTACCATGGTCATCATCAACAATATCAGTAGTAAGTGGTAAAAAATCGCCATTTGTTTCCAATAAATCCAAACAATTAAACGGGCTATGCTTATCTAACAATACTTCCATAATTTCAGTGTTATCTAAGATCTTGAAACAATATGATTTATTGGCCAAGAGAGAAGCTTACATAAATTATTATACTGAAACCAATGATTCTGAAGAAAGATCTAAAGTGATGGATATGTTTAATGAATGTAAGGAATCGGTGATAAGTGTTATCGAAGAGTATAAAAATTGTCGAACGATTAAATACTTAGAGGATGATATTTTGGAAGATGAAATGATGTGAACGTAGTTACCCAAGAAAACAAGTAGAATTTTGGTATCATTACTCATAGTGCCATTTACTCACAATCATGTTGCTGTTATTTGTAGTATAAACCAACTCACAGTGGCATTTACTCACAGATCAGTGGCATTTACTCACAGATCAGTGACATTTACTCACAGATCAGTGGCATTTACTCACAACCAGGACCTTTTACTCACAATGCCCGTTCCACCCAGACCATTTACTCACAAAACTGTCAAACCCTTTGACAGCCTTCAATAACCTTAACCCCTTTTTACTGTATATTATGACTCAATCAAGTAATAGCTTTTCATATCGTTATCTCCCTTTTCCTCCGAAACGCGCGTTCTTATCAGTGTGGCATTTATAAGCACTTCAGATCCACTTTTTTTTCCCACCCTTAAAACTCATCATGACTACTGGAGACGAGTACCAATTAGAACATTTGATTTCTAAAAGAGCAGATGCTAGAGAAAAAATCCATTTCACTACTGTGGATTTAACCAAACAACCAAAAGATTTTAAACCCCATGATAAACCCTTACATTTAAGTTGGGGAACACCTAATGATGGATTTTTCCCTGTCAATTCTATTTCTGTTGAAATCCAAGATTCTCCTTTTGAAAGTTCTTTGAACTTCCATCATACTAATAATTCTTTAGAACAATTACCTAAAGATTTGAAAAAATTGGATTTAAGTCTTGAAAAAGATAAGAAATCAGTTAATATTGTTAAAAGAGGTGAAGACAAAAGTTTGATTGATATCAGACAAGGATTTCAATATTCGATGCATTCAGGAATGGATCAATTGAATCAATTTTGTAAAGATTTCATTGAAAGAGTCCATAAACCTGGTTATAATGAATGGACAACTACTTTATCTACTGGAGCTGGAGATGGGATTTTGAAAACCATGGATGCAATTTTAAATCCAGGAGATGTAGTATTAATGGAAGAATTCACTTTTGTGCCAAGTTTGATGATGATTAGAGAATGTGGAGCTACTGGGGTTCCAATCAAATTAAGTGTTAATTCTCATAGTGAAGGGATTGATTTAGACTATTTAACCAATTTATTAGAGAATTGGGAAACTTTAAAACCTGGTATGAATAAGCCAAAAGCTTTATATACTATTCCAACCGGTCAAAATCCAACTGGATTAACTCAATCAGTTGAGTTCCGTAAAAAAGTTTATGCTTTAGCAGAAAAATATGATTTTATTATTATTGAAGATGATCCTTATGGATACTTAACTTTACCACCATTCAAAAAACCTGATGGAGTAGTTAAATTAGATGAATTTATCACTGTTGAAGAATATTTGAAAGATCATGTAACTCCATCTTATTTAACCATTGATACTAAAGGAAGAGTGTTAAGAATTGAAACTTTTTCAAAATTATTTGCTCCAGGGTTAAGAATTGGATTTATTGTTGGACACAAAAGACTTATTGATGTTATCTTAAGATATGCTGCTGTGGTAACTAAATTCCCTTCAGGTGTAGCTCAAACATTATTACAAAATGTGTTATACCAAAAATTTGGAGGTGTTGATGGATGGATTGAATGGATTTTAAAAATGAGAGCTGTTTATATCCATAAAAGAAACTTATTGATCAATGAGTTGGTTAAATCCACTATCTATGAAAAGGGATTGATCGATATCATTGATCCAAAAGCTGGTATGTTCATTTCTGTAGTTTTGAAATTCCCTGAAGGAACTGATGTTCAAGAAAAAATCGATTTATTGAATTTTAAATTTGCATCTTTTGGTGTTGGAGTTGTTCCAGGATTAAATATGGCTGTTGATAAAAAATTCAGTATTGAAAGGGGTTCATTCTTCAGATTAACTTTTGCACCATTGAATAATGATGAAGAAGTGGTTGAAGCATCTAAAAGATTCGTTGATGCTGTAGAAGATTTCTTTGCCAAAGGATTAGAATATTAATAGACGGAAGTCACTTGTGACTGTTAAGTAGTCGTTCTGTCCATCTCTGAAACTCAACCCCCTAATTCCAATCTCAACCCTTTGATCTCAATCCTTTGATCTCAATCCTCAATTTCGCGTAAGGATCATGTCATTCAACTTCACTAGTTTTACTAAAGATTTAAAATCTTTTGGTGATAAAGTCACCAATGAATTCAATAAAGAAGTATTACCATTTGCTCAAAGAACTTCAAGATTAGTTCAAGAAAAAATCGGTAGAGTCAATGTTGATGATATAAGTCAATTACCTTCAGAATATGTTGAATTATCTAATAAATGTAATAATATCGAAAATTTATATAAGAATGTTTTAAAGATTACTGCTACTTATAATAATGAAAGTTATGATTATCCGTCAAATATTCAAGAATCATTTCAAGAATTCGGTAAAAATATCACTACAAGAGTTAGTAACTTATCAAAAGCAACTACCCCTGCTGAAGCTCAAGCAGCTCTTATAAATCCAACAACTGGGGAATTTCAACCTCCTAAAACTTTATATCATGCATTATCAAGAGCTACTGATGGATCAGTTTTAACTTCGGAACAAGCTAACGATCCTTTAATCAAAGCATTGGATTTATATTCATCAAATTTAAATAAAATTGGTAATGCAAGATTAGGACAAGATCAATTGATTCAAAATAAATTCAATAAACCTTTAACTGCTACTTTGAGACAATCGATTAGTCAAAGTAATAGTATTCAAAAGAAAGTAGAAGAAAAAAGAATTGATTATGATTTATCAAGATTGAATTTAACTAATTGTACAAATCCTGCTAAAGAACCTCAATTAAGAGTTATTATGGAAAATGCTGAAGATGAATTTGCTAATACTGTTGAAGATGCTATTAATGTCATGCAAAATGTTTTGGATCAAGCTAAACCTTTAGAAGAATTCTTAGAATTGATTAAAGCTCAATTAGCTTATCATAAATTAGCTGCTGAATTGTTAGGAGGTATCATAGGAGATTTTGAAGGATACGTTGAAGAGAGTCAAAAAACTATATCTACTAGTAGAGAATCTGGAGATTTCGATATTTAATATATTGTTTATTTAACTTTTTGGCTGCAAAAATTAATTTTCGAACTTTATTGATTCAAGTCTTAAATTTACAGCACTTTCAGTTCTAGTCCAATCATAATTACCCTCTAATAATTTAGCGTGGATAGATTTTAATGCTCTTAAAGTATCATCGTTATTTATAACGGCTGATATATTGATTTCATTAGCTCCTTGACTGATCATTTCAATATTTATTTGTTCATCTGCTAATACTTTGAACATAGTACCAGCTATACCAATGAAATTCACCATTTGTTTACCAACTAATGATATAATAGTCATGTTTCTTGTAACATCAACAGTACCCATTTTTCTTAAATCTACTAATGCTAATTTTAATTGTTTCTCTTGATCTGATTGAATTGATAAAGCCATTGATACATGGACTTCGGAGGTAGAAATTAAATCAACTACTAATTTGTATTTATCCAAGGTGGTGAATAAAAGGGCTAAGAATCCATGGGATAAGGTTTTCTTATTTGAATGGACATTTATAACCACAATATCTTGTTTAGCAGTAATAGCAGTAGCTGATCTTTTCTTATGAGTTGAAATATATGATGATGATAAAGTTTCATAAGCTGCTGGAGGATGTGGTGGGGTAGCTTCACCTCTTCTACCCATATTATCAGGATAAATAATAGTTCCATTACCTGAAGGATTCTCTACATTTTTGATTCTAATAGGGATTTTAGCTTTAATAACTTGTTCCATAGTGAAAGGATGAATGACTTCTGATCCATAATAAGTTAATTCAGCTGCTTCTTCTGGAGTAACACTATCTAATAATCTAGCATTTGGAACTTTTCTAGGATCAGCAGTGAAAATACCATCAACTTCTTTCCAAACTTGTAATTCTTCAGCTTGTGCTCCAACAGCTATTAAAGCTGCACATAAATCAGTATATCCTCTACCAACCCCATTTAATAATCCTCCAGGGACAACACCAAAATATCCTGTTAAAACTGGTATAACATCATTATCTAAAGATGTGATTTTTTCTCCTAATGATGTAGCTAAAAATCTATAAAAGCTATCATCAAATCCATTATTGAAATCATAATCTAATGGAATGATATCGGATAAATCAATATAAACGGAATTTAATCCATGATCTTTCATTAAACTGCAAATGAATCTACAGGATAATTTTTCCCCAATAGACATGATTGAATCTAAAGTTCTGTTACTGATTTCTCCAATAACTTTACAAGCATTCAATAATTCATGAGCTCTCGCTATTTCTTTCTTGGTATCATCGATTAATTCTTGTTTTATAGTAGAATCTTTAATCTTAGCTTCAGCATTATCAACATGATCTTGTTCAATAACAGCTAAAAGACTAGAAAAATCTTCTTCAGCATAAGCTAAGTCAGCTGCACGAAGTAATCTTGAAGTGGTACCTTCACTTTTAGTTTTAGATGATCTAGCTGAACATACTACTGCCACTCTGTTAGTTTCACTAGTAACTTTAACTATATCATCTACAATGTTTTCTGGGAATTTACCTACAGAAGTACCACCAAACTTTTGAATAATCCAACCACCCACCTTCAAGTCTAATACGGAGTTATAAGACTTCATTGAAGCTGGAGATGCTACCATTTTGATCTGTTCTTTATTGTTGAAAAGTTTGAGACTTGACTCGATTTGACTCATTTTCTGATTCTCATTATCACGTGAACCGGTACCGGAGATTTCCTTATCTATAGGATCATAGATGGTAAAATGGGAAAGCAAGTAGAAAGGTGGATCTAATGATTAGGAATTGAACTTTTGGTAAAGGAATTTGACCCAATAATTACATTGTGACTGTTTTATCACCTAGAAACATTAGCCCCATAACCTGACCTTCAAAGGTGGTGGTCAGATAAATGGTACGATGAGAAAAATTTGAGAAGAGCATCGGACAGAAATGGTTGATAGAATACAACAATCCCAACAACTTCAAGATAATGCTACCAAGAAGAAATTGAAGACAGATTTCAATAATGATGAGATCGTTCATTTCTTCCAGCCAAAAATTTGGGATCAAAAGTATCAACAAGATCTTAAACAAGAAATCAAAGATAGTCAACCTTATAGATGGGGAACCATTAAAGAATTAATGAATGATCAGTTATTAAGAAATGTTAGAACTGAAGTTATGAATGAAATATCTTTTACCAAGAAAGAAACAGATATCTATAAAGTTTACCAATCAGGAGATTTAGCCAATTTATCAGGATTAGATTGGGATGATTTATCTCGTTTACCTTCATTATATGAATTACGAGCTGCTATTTATAGTGAACAATTCAGAGATTTCATATCTACAGTTACAGGATGTGGGAAATTAAGTGGTAAAAAGACTGATATGTCAATCAATAGTTATACTACAGGATGTCATTTGTTAACTCACGATGATGTCATAGGATCCAGAAGAGTTAGTTTCATTCTTTATTTACCTGATCCTAATGAAATATGGGAAGAAGAGTTTGGGGGAGCTTTAAGATTATTCCCTTCAATTGTTCCAAATGTTCCTTGTACTGATTATAGTGCCAAGTTAATTCCTCAATTCAATCAAATAGCATTTTTCACTGTTCAACCAGGACTTTCATTCCATGATGTTGAAGAAGTTAGAATGAACAAATATAGATTATCCATTCAAGGATGGTTCCATATTCCTCAACCAGGTGAAGATGGATTCATTCCTGGAGAACAAGAAATGACTGAAAATAAAAGTACTTTACAACAATTACAAAGTAAAGAACTTCAAGAATTCGATTTCCCCAAACCTTATAGAACCGACTTCCTTAATGATGAGTTGAAGATTTATAATGATTTGGAAAAATATGATTTCAGTGAAGAAGAAGTTCAATACTTATCTAAATTCATTAATGAGACTTATTTGAAAGAGGCCCACATTGAACAATTGAATAAGAACTTTATTGAAGAATCCATCATAGAAATCACTCAATTTTTGAACGATGACTATGCTGATACTCTTTGGAAATTGTTAAGATCTACTGAAATTGAAAAACCAGCACCGGAAAATTCCAAACAAATCCAATTCCCTTGGAAATGTGCTATACCTCCTCATAAACAAAGATATATGTACATTGATGGGAAACCAAGCTTCGATTTGGACGAAAAATCCATCAGATTCGAAAATAAATTGGGATCCCAAGAATCACCAAATTTCAGTTTATTACAAAAGCTTAATGTTGAGGATACTGACTCCAAGTTAGTAGAATTATCTACATTTATGAAATCGATTGTGTTTAAAAAATGGCTAACTTTAATCACCAGCTTGATCCCCACTTCCGAACAATTATTAGTTAGAAGATTCAGACCAGGTCATGATTTCATCTTAGCTACTACTACCGATAAAAAATTAGCTCGTGAACATCTTCAAGAAGCTAATGTCTTACTTGAAGCTACCTTGAATTTAACACCTACTGCTAAAAACCCTGAAAACTGGGAACTGGGAGAATTTGGTGGATATGAATTATGTATGAGTCTTGATAATGAAGATGGAGAGTTTGAAGATGACGATCCAGCTATTTATAAACCAAGTGATCCAAATGATGATTCTGTATTATACTCAAGTCAATGTAAATGGAATTCATTAACATTGATAGTTAGAGACCCTTCAGTATTGAAATTCATCAAATATGTTAGTATCAATGCCAGAGGTTCCAGATGGGACATTTCCTGTCAATGGAATGTCAGGGATCAAGATGATGAAGAAGAAGATCAAGAACAAGACCAAGAAGATTAAGTAGATCAAGAACAATAAATAATGAATATATGAACCTCTCGGGACAGTTTACCCTAAAATATGAAATATTCCTTGGTGTACCGAAGTCCTTATCGGGTATTTTTCCAATAACGGGAAAAATTTTCAGAAGCTTGAGGAAATCGAGAACTAGATTTAAGTACCCAATCCCCCTGTGAAAAACATACCGATGAGCCAATCTGAACCTAATCCATTATTTGTATTCACTACAATTGCATCCATCATCATTGGATTCATTGGACTTTACTTCCTTAGACAATCTAAAAAGAATGGACCAGTATTAGATAAAGTTGAATTCAAGAAATTCCCTTTGATCGAAAAAGTTAGAATTTCCCATAATACCAATAAATATAGATTTGGTTTACCTAAACCATCTGATAGATTAGGTTTACCAATTGGTCAACATTTAGTTATTGGAGCTACTATTAACGAAAAGGAAATCACCAGATCTTATACCCCAATTTCTCATGATTATGAATTAGGATACTTTGATTTGATTGTTAAAACTTATGAAAAGGGTAATATTTCTAAATTATTACATAACAAGAAGATTGGTGAAACTATTGATGTTAGAGGACCAAAAGGTTTCTTTGAATATACTCCAAATATGGTTAAATCTTTAGGTATGATTGCTGGAGGTACTGGTATTACACCAATGTATCAAATTATTACTGCTATTTTAAGAAATCCTGAAGATAAGACCAAAGTTTCTTTAGTTTATGCTAATGTTACTGAAGAAGATATCTTATTAAAAGCTGAATTAGATAAATTATTACAAGATCATAGTGATCAATTACAATTAACTATTCATTATGTTTTAAATGAAGCTCCTGAAAATTGGAAAGGTTCTGTTGGTTTTGTTACTCCTGAAATTATGCAAAAACATTTACCTGCACATTCAAGTGATAATTACTTATTATTATGTGGACCACCACCAATGATTTCTGCTATGAAGAAAGCTGCCGTTGAATTAGGTTATCCAAAGGCCAAACCTGTTAGTAAATTAGGTGATGCTATCTTTGTTTTTTAAAGAAATATATCAGATCTTTATTGAACCATTGTTCTCTATGTCTCAGTATCTATCGCAATGGATCTACGTATAGATCTCTGTCCCTGTGACCTAGGGGCTTTCAATTTTGACTGCGCGAAAATTGACCCCAACTTAACCAACGTAGTAAAAGGATCTTTTCCTGTCATTGCTTGATAACGAAGTTTCTAATTACACTTTACCATCACCTTTTACTATACATAAAGGGTTAATTTATTCCCTTAACCCAAATTCTAACATCCAAAATAATTTAAAGGTAGTGGGAAATGTCATCAGCACTACCGATTCCAAGTAGATGCCATTCGTTACAATTACCACCAGTTGAAAAAGATGATAGACTCAATTTGAATGTCAGAACAGGTTCTGCTTCAACATTACACAATTCATTCATCTTTGCATTTGGTGGTTTAACCATTGGTTTAGATATTGCTAAAATTACCATCAGCGATATTTTATATACTTTCAGTTCAACTTTAGCCAATTCTTCAAAGTCGAAGAATATGTTCAGATATCTTTCCAATGAAATGTTTTATTTGAGTTTAATAGAGAAAGTTTGGTCAAGAGTTCAATTAGGACCCAAAGATCCTAAACCTTCACCAAGAATATTCCATGAAATCTTAGCTTTCAACAATTGTATTTATCTTTATGGTGGATTGGTTATTAATCCCAAATACAAACTAACTGATGAATCAAAAATGTCTTCAGTTCCACAAGATTTGTTAGTACCGATGAATGATTTCTGGGAATTCAATTTGGAGACCAATAAATGGACTTGCTATTATGATGGTAACGATGAAGATTTTACTCCAAGACCTAGTTTTTGTAATAAAATGACATCCATTAATTCATTATCATTTGTTGGTAAAGCTGATCATTTCGGTGTTTTAATAGGTGGAGGTAAAGATATCAATTCTAATCCTATTTATACTAATCTAGTGTTTGATTTGGTAGATAAGAAATTCATACCAGAATATTTCTCCTTAAATATCAATTCCCCCAAAGAATCAACTTCTGACCTTAATAACTTTGCCAATACTGATGATGATTATAATTTAAATATTGATTATTCCAATTCCGTCATTATCAATTTCAATAATCAGTTCACTCATTATAATCATCAATCTTTTGCTAACGAAGATAATCTCATAAAATCTCCTGATTTGAATGATCAGGGGAAATCAAATGAATCTTTATTGATTTATTCCCCAGTTAAAGATTCTTCAAAGATATCTAATCCTTTGTTATCATTCAAAATCTCCAAATCATTGAAAAGTGGGAAAATTCTTCCTGTTCATAGAAAATTCGATGATATAACTTCCAAAACCAACCAGATAATTCCTTTCAATTTAAGATATCCCTTGGGTGGATTATTTGGACAAAATTTAATTTTAACTGGATTCTTGGAGAATGATTATGATATTTCCATTTTCGTATTCAATAAACCAACAGGTAAATGGTCAAGATTGAATGTTTTCTGTAATCATGATTATGGAAGTCATAGATTTTGGGGAGGTTTTGCCTGGCAAAGTCATCATAAAGTGGTTTTAATAGGTAATAGTGTTACATCTAGAACTACTAGTGCAGTGAGATATTTCAATTGTATAATTACTGTCAGTTTACCTGTAACTAATATTTTAGCTAGTTCGGAATTAGCAGGTGGAGGTCATTATCATGATTCTGAAGGAAATAGAATTTATTTTGATGATTTTAATAAATCTACTACTGATGATAGTACTGATAGTATGAAATCATCATCAGATGATGCAGAGAAAATCGTTGAAAAGTCTATTGATAGACCTTTAACCCCTCCTGATAGTTCAAGAAGACCATCATATTCATCTAAGGGATCTAGAGGTTCAGTATCAACATCCAAATCTCCAAGAGCTATTAGTTTCAGTGAATATGTTCATTATGCTGCGCCAACTAATAATTTCACCACCATTAATTCCATCTTCCCTCCTGCTGCTATAACTTTGGGTAGAAACTTCTTGGATAGATTTGGCGATCTTACCGCTGATTTTGAAATCATTTCTGTCAATGGAGATCGAATCCCGGTATCATTAATGGTATTGATAGAACGATGGGGGAATTATTTCATAGAATTATTGGCTAGAGGTTATGTCAATGCAGTAGAGAAGTTCGATCAAAGTCAACAACTGGATGATCAAAGGCTAAGATCAAGTCAGGATAAATCAATAGGTTCATTGAAAGCTTCTATAGCATCAAGTCATGCTTCTTCCATCAGTTCCAGTAATTCCCATGATAAGAAGGGTAGATTATCAAAGAATAATTCTGCTGTTAATACCACCACTTTAACGTCAGTATCATCACCACAATTAAAATCTCCAAACTTATCGTCAACAAATATCTCATCAAATTTCTCCTCACCAACAAAAGATGAAGAAAAAGTCGATAAAACTTATCATTTATCGATGCCTTTGAGTCAAAGAAGATCAAATGATGCTCCGCAATTCAGATTACCTTTCCAAGATTCATCATCTAACAATTCCAATGTTTCAGTGGAGAAAGTCGATAAAAAGGAAGATATGTCATTGAATTTACCGGATAAATCCATTGATCCTTATTCTAATAACCTAGTATCTCATCAATCAAGGAAAGGATCTGTCAGTTCATTTTCTTCATCATCATCATTATTGGCATCTCATTTACAAGATATTCCTTCTCAATTACCGTTACCAACAGAACCTATACCTCCAGTACCTACCAATGCTCAATATAAGAGTTCCAGTAGGAAGAATTCTAATGATTTATCATCACCAAGAGGTTCATTGATTCATACTTTAACTCAACTTCGAAATATTCCAGTTAAATCACCTCGTTCATCACCATTCACATCTCCAAGAGCATCAATATCTCAACAAGGAGGTTTAGGTTTAACCAATTTGAATAAAATGGGTAATTTCGAAATGTCAAGTTGTCCAATTCCTAACCTTAAACCTGAAAAGAAAAAGGAAGAAGAACAAAAATCCACCCCACCTGAACCAACTGATTCTTCTCTGTCTAATGAAGAAGAATTCAATCCTTTCAATAATATTCTTTTGAATTTTGAAAACCTTGAAAATGGTACTTTCCAAATGGAATCTTCCCTTATTCCTCGTAAATTATACGTTCCATTTACTACCACCACCATTAAAGCATTCTGTGAATACTTATATACGGGACAAATCGGTAATAAATGGCTTTTAAGTCCAACGACTTTAGATAATTTGGCTTTAGCTAGACATTATAAAGTTCCTTTATTATATGACTTGATAAGTGAAGTTTTATTTGGTATCATTGGAAGAAGAGAAATTTGGGTTATTAAGAGAGCCAATGAATTAAAGACTGAATATTTCAAGCTTCTTAAAGAAACTAATACTCCTCATGATCCAGATTTCGAATTCCCATTAGATGAATATCAAGGTTTTATCGATACTGTTGATGATGGGTATTTAGATATTGCATTATTGAAGAAAATCTTAAGAAGTAATCAAGTTAATGAGAAGAAACGGAAAGAGAAAGAAGCGGTATCGAAGAAATCATCAAGGAAATCATCAAGGATGTCGTCACGTAGATCTTCAATGTTTGAAAAGGAAGATAAAGAAGATGAAGGGAATTTGGGAGAAAATGAATTTGAGGCTGATGATTTTAGTAAAGGTGAACTGTCAATGGAAAAAACCAGTTCTAATAGTGAAGATGATGATAATTTCGATAATTTGGGGATCGGATATTTAGATACTCCTCATGATTTACCTAACATCGGACCCAGATCAAAATCTATCTTTGATAGAGCAGATATCGATCAACCTAAAAGAAAGAGTCTTGATAGTTCAAGAAGTCAAAATCTCGAAATTGACGATGAAACTGAAAGAGAAGGATTGACTTTGGAACAATTAGTGTCTCCAGTATCACCAATTCCTAGTTTACATACCATTGAATTGATTTTCGAAAGTGTTTCGTTGGTGGCTGATTTGAAATTAATGTTACGTGCCAATAATGCTAAACAAATGAGTAAATTATTGATAGATTTTGAAATCGATATTGAGGAACAAATGGAACAAATCAAATCCAGATATGATGAAACACAAAGAATGATTAATTTACGTGAAAGATCTAATTCAACTATGAGTTTTAATCAAAGAATTCCTATGAATAGAGGATTAAGTTCCGATAATGAACATACCTTGAGACCGATAAGATCAACGTTGTCATTAACCGAATCCCGTGGTAATATAACTCCGACTATGACCCCACAAGAACAATTCGCTAATTCCAGACTGTCTAGTAATTTAGCTTTTGACGATCAAACAGGATCTCCTGGTCCTACCAATACAAGTGGGGGATCAACCCCAATGGGGCCAAACGCGGGTGGGGGAAATCAAGGAGGAGGATTTAATCCATTGGAAAGGCAACGAACCAATTCAAGTATTAGAACGGGAATTAGTGGATTGACCCCTTTTAAAGCCGTAAAAACGGATCCTAAATTAAATAGAGGAGAATCGAATAAAGATGTCGATAAGAGAATCACTAATCTTATCAAAAGGGATGAAAAATTGAAATCCAAAGTCGAAAAGGAGGAAAAAGCCCGATTACATAATCAACTAAAATTAGGTAAAAAGAAAGCAAGAGAACAAGCTAAAGAACATGCTAAAGAACAAGCCAAAGAACACAGGGATCTTAGAAGAACCATGAGTGAATTAAAATTTGATGAAATATCAATAAATTCCGAAGGAGAAAAGAAGAAACACGGACTTTTCCACCCTTTTGGGCTTCTCAAAACTCAAAAATCGGAGATATTCCCCAAGAATGGCGACGATAACAAATTAACCAGATCTAATTCTCCCACCAGTATTATTTCCAAAGACAGTAAATCTGACACTAAGAAATCATTCTTCAGTAAGAGAAAATAATGATATATTTTTTATTTCTTTGTCCCTTTATACTTCGCCCTTAACTTCCTTACCCCATAAAATTTCTCACTATAAAAAGGCCCGAGATTTTTCTTGATAAGTCCAACATTATCAATGCCAGATTTAATCCAACCAACTGAACTTAATCATGAATTGATTGACTATGCTTATAAGAATTTAAATAACTTACCAAAAGGAGAAGAATATGAGAAAATGATTTCATCTTTACCTTATAACTGTTGGGATAGTAAATTGAAATTAGCTAGAGATCTTGGTCATGAAAATGCTGCTGATTATGGATTGATTCGTTTGAAAGATTATGATTTCGATACTAAAAGACATAGTGAAGCCAGATTGAAATTCTTGAAAAAAATCTTTGGTAAAATAGATGATACAGCCTTTATTGAACCTCCATTTTTCGTTGATTATGGATGTAATATTAGTATTGGGAAGAATTTCTATGGGAATTTCAATATTACTTTCTTAGATTGTTCATTAATCACAATTGGAGATAATGTTATGATTGCACCAAATGTTTGTTTCACTACTGCTACACATCCAACTGATCCTCAAAAAAGATTGGATGTAGTGGAATATGCTTTACCTATCACTGTAGGGAACAACGTTTGGTTTGGATGTAACATTGCTGTATTACCAGGAGTTACTATTGGTGATGGGTGTGTCATTGGAGCTGGTGCTATTGTTAATAAATCACTTCCTCCTTATTCCGTGGCGGTTGGAAATCCTGCTAGAGTTATTAGAACCTTAGAATCTCTTGAAGATAGGGCCAGTGCTATCAAAGAAGTCAGTTAGGAATATTTAGATAATATAGAATCCAATTGTATCATCAGTACTTATCACCTTCAAGTTCTATGAAGACCCCAGGTTAATCTGTTCTCTGAAGACCTCAGGACAAACCGTTCTCTTAAGGCTTTTAACATACTCAACTCTCAAAATTCTCATTTCTCACCCAATGAACCACAACTACACAGATCCAGATATTGATGATTTTATAATCCCTGACGAGGAACCCGTTAACAATTCCTACCATCAATCATCACAACCACCGCCACCACCAACTAATACTTCAACTAATTCAAACACAGGGTTTCTTCCATGGACAAAAGTTGATTTATCTTCAACTTTCACTCCCTTTACTTCATCAAAAGCGTTTACTGATAATAATACCGTAAGAGAACATCAATATAGTGGTGGAGATACTTTGGATGAGCCAGTATTGACCACATTATCTCGAGATTTACTCAGAATTTGGAAAAGACTTACCATAGTGATTTGGCCCCACCAATTAGCTAAGTTAGCTAGCAAACAACAAGGGATTTTAATTGATTTCGCCAATTCTAATGGTATAAATCTTCCTGAATCTATCAGAAATCGTAGAATCAGTGTATCAAATAATGATGAAGATGAAGCTCAAAGTACAATTGATTTCAATAATTTGGATTGGGATCTTTGGGGACCTTTAATTTTCTCCCTTTTCTATTCTGTAGTATTAGGAATGTCATCAAAGACCAATACCAACTCAGTGTTTTCTGGGAGCTTTTCATTTATTTGGATATTCTTCATAGTTATTGGTTTGAATATCCAATTATTAGGAGGTAATATCTCCTTCATGTCTGCCATTAGTGCTGTAGGATACTCCATGTTCCCATTGACTGTAGGAGAATTGATATGTTCATTGTTTATAGGATGGAAGTTCTTAAGATTAATCATAATGGCAGTCTTATGTATATGGAGTATTTATTCAGGAGTATTAAGTTTAAAATGTTCAGGAGTTCTTCCTGGTAGAGTTCTTCTTGCAGTTTATCCTGTAGGTTTGATGTACCTGGTATTATCGTGGTTATCAGTGATTACATAATTACATAGTTTATATTAAATTACATTAAGATATTATGATACACAGTAATAAATAGATTATTAATGATAATCCCGACACATTATTGACGGTAGCACTATTATCCTCTGTGTTTGAAGTAGATGAAGTAGCCAATGAACTAGATGAGCTAGTAGTACTCATACTTGATACACTTGAAATACTTGTAGTGGTGGTATTAGAATATGATGAATAAAAACTAACATTTGATGGTTCCTTTAAAACATAAGATGTGATTCTAGTATCACCAAACCCGATTTGTGACTTTTCTAAATCAAATACTGTATAATATTTAGATAAGAAAGCAGCACCAAAAACCCAATATTGAGAATCTAATCCTTGAATCATTGAAGCACATTTCCCTTCTAAACCTGTAGTTGTATATTCTTTACCTTTGAAATCATTGACATTGACTTCAAAATCATGATCATTGATAGTGAAAGTAATGTTTTGATTCTGACAATCACATGGGAATGCATAATTCCCCTTATTATCGGTGATTAAATCATCACCAAAAAGTTTGGTATGAAGATTATCAGCATCATATAAAGGTAAAACAAACCCGGTTGTTCCAGTATCAATGATAGTTTTTCTAGAATCAGATTCATTGAATTTTAAAGTAACAGTATCATTAGAAGTTTCAATATTAGTTAAATTGATTAACCAATAATCATCATCATTTTCAAGTAATGGAGTATAATAGATATTATCGGTGAATTTATACAAATCATTAGTTGCTTTAGATCCAAAGATCATTAAACCACCATAATTTGAAGGTAAATCAATCATATCTGAACTTGAATCAATATATTTGATGATTTGATTGGTTGAAAGTAATGATAATCCAAAGATTTGTCCATCAATATCACCCTTTTCATTTAATTGATGGATCAAATTTCTATTAATGTTATCTGAAGATGAAGGAATACCTAAAATACCCGAAACATTGAATCCATTAAATAAATCTGGTACAGTTGAAGCTAAACCAAAAGAAAAATTTGAAATTCTGAAATTATCAAATTCCATAATAATATCATTTGATAACCCATTAATCAAATCTCCTTCAACGTTTTGTCCACTATAACTTAAACCAAAATTAGATTCTATAACTAAAGGTCTGGAAAAATCATTAAATTTACTAATAGTTGTTTGTTTACAAGCATCTGATTCACAAGATTGATTATAAACCCAAGATATTGATGATCCGGTATCTAATAATAAACGGAAAGTTTCATTATAGTTAGTATGTTCATCCCAAATTTTTGAAGTCAAATAATAAATGGATTTAGTATTATCAGTAAACACCATTTGTACATCATTATCTAATTCAATCGTTGGAGCCGATGATGATAATGATGATGTGGTGGATACGGTTTTTGTTTGTGTAGGTAAAGAATCTATAACATTTTCTTTATGATTATTATGATTGATTATAGTACCTAAATCTTTAACTCTAAAATCTTTAACTGGATGTAAGGCTAAAGCTAAAGGGAATAATAAGAAATGAAATTTCATGATATGCTTGATAATGAAATGACGATGAATATGAATATGCCAAAACCCCTATGAATTATGCTGAAATGAATTAAGTAAAAGCTAATGATTGAATCGTCAAACTAAAATGATTCGTCAAAAAAAAAAGTTGAAAATGATGTGGTGGAATAGAAAAAAAATGAACAAAATGAAGGTGAGATATCTCCTAATAATCTCTTTAACCTCTTATGCAAATGAATGAACAAACAGATGTTAAAACAAATGAATAAACTTTGATATTTATAGTGGGTTCGTTGAAAACACGGTCGCAGATTTTTTGTTTTGGTTTGGGCCACAAAACTTAATCGAGAACAACTTTATTGAGATGGGAAATTTTTTTGATCAAACACACAATAAACAGGGGAACTCGACGTGATATTGATGTATGGTGGTTAAAAGTATAATGATGGGTTTTTCCAGATATTTAAAATGTGAAATTTTGGCGTATTTAAATTGGTGGATGTTTTGATTGGTGTTGGGTGCAAAAATATTTTCCTAATACGGGTTTTAGTACAAGGGGGGGACAAATTGATGAGGCGATGGGCCTAAAGATGGGTCTATAGGGGTTACGGGCTACAAAAAAAATGTCTAGATCTCAAACTTTATTTTGAGCTAAAAATAGATGTCCTTAGTAGTAATGTCATATAATACGTGTATGGGGAACACCTGTAGTTCACGTTATATCGATATCATCTCGCTTAGGTGATTACTTTACACGAATTCATCTTATCAAAAAATATCGTCTACATTTGGTTTTAAACGTCGTATTGTTTGAATTGCGTGGGTTGTTCCTTAAGAGGAAATATGTGAACTGCCTCATTGACCTATAATTGCTGGATTTTGGTGGTTTGAAGTAGTTAATTTACTTGAATACTGTCATTGTAGTGTCTCTATGGGAGTTTTATCCAATAAAACCCATGGATTTCATCAAAAATAATGGGTTTCTCGGATAATCCTAGTTTGGAGTATATGAGACTTTTTCACGCTAAGTCGTGTGAAATCTATCTTTGTAGAGCATTTGACTTTGAAGCTTCAAGTTCGAATCCTCACAAGAACATTATGATGAACAAAACGGATGTGAACAATCTCTGAGTGTAATTAACAATTGCACATGGATTATAACACCTGCCTTCCTACTGAAATGTTCAAGGTTTTTTCTTGACATTTGGTGTCTATGTTTGTTAATTTTTAGATTAGGCTGATTCGGGTTGAGCTTCATAGAGGTTTTTCCAGAATTTTAAAGGTCTTTCAATGAGATTTCTCGACAGATTTATAGGTTTCACTGGATGCAATTGTCTTCTGACCCAAATTGCCTCCCCAATAATCGCCTTCAATAAGGATATTTATTCCTATTCTACATGCATTAATTCTATGAAAGTTCTTAAGATCTTGTATTCTTCTTTCTTCTCTTCAGTCTCTCCAATTTAGCTATCTTCATTAAATCATCTTCACTTGGTTCATAAATATGCCAGATTGTATAATGAGGTAAACCACCAACTTTAAAACCCATTTTTTTACTTAATTTCCCAAATGCTTCAGTTTCGGCATGATTTAAAAATGTAAATGCAGGGAAATTAACTCCTTGACGGAAAATATCAGCTTTAGCTAAAATTGACACCCCTCCTACCCCATCTAAATCAACTACTTCATTAGGATTTCCATCCTTTTCACGTATATAAGCCAAATGAACTCTCCAAGTAGGATATTCCGCATACCCTTCAACTATAACATCATCTTCATCTAATTTAGATGCTAATTCTAATGCTGGTTCACTTTCAACCCATGAATTTAAATCATAAGGTTGTTCATTACCTAAAAATGATGGTAAAGGTCTCCAAACATTAGGTACCATTACGTCATAATCATGTTTCATTAAATCTTGAATAACTGATCCTGGACAAGTTTCAATATCAACATCTCTCCAATAAACCCATGAATGATAAGCTTTTAAAGCATTTGAAGTTAACCAATTTCTTGCTCTTCCCATTAACTTTCTTCTGATTCCTTGAACTTTAACTGCATGTCTATCACTAAATCCTTGTCCAATAGCTTGTCCGAAATCTTTTTGATAAATAGTTATTGATCTAAAAGGTTTTTCATAATCTTTATGAAATGATTTAGGATCATAAGAATTTTTAACATTATTCATATAATCTTGATCCATATATAATTGGTATAAATCTGATGATCCTGATTTATGTTTGGATGTTTCTTCTTTCCTTAATTTTTCAACTAATGTACCATTTTGTAAAGCTACACTATATTCAAATACTTTTTCTAAAGTTCTATCCCCTTCAGAACAATCTGAAACCAAGAATCCAATATCAATTAACCCATGGTCATATGTAAGATTCATTAAATTGTGGAAGGCCATACTTAAAACCCCTTCAGCATTTCTTAACGGCATTAAGAATAATACGACGTCTCCATTATTCATTCCCTCAGCTGAACCTTTGAAATCATTTAAATCAAAATATTCAAAATCTGCTTCAGGCTTCTCGGTGATTCCATCCTTAGTGACTTCATAGATATGAGAATCGGCTTCGTAAGAAACTTCTAAATTCAGTTCTAAGATTTGTTCATCGATCTCAGGAACATCAAATATAGGAGTTTTGGATTTGCCAAAAATCAAATATAATGTGATTAAACTGACTAGCCCTATTACTAACCGCTTATACAATGGCGGTATCCCAGTTTTCCGAGGATTCAATCGATTATGAATGGGTAAATCTGATTTAAAACTCATTCGTTGGAATTATTTTGATCGAAGCGTGTTGAAAATCGCGACATCCTCGTTTGATCCTTAACTTTATTTGATCCTAGAGATCCAGGGTTCACGAAGTTTTTTCCGAGGTTTAAACTTCGATCGAATGTTTGTTAAAGAGGCGGCATAAGTATATGGACTCAAAGTTTGTTCAGGTCTTTATAATTTCAGAGAAAATAGTTCAATACCATACTTTATTGATTTAATACTTCAGTGACATTGAAAATTTCAGGCTTGAACCATTGTTGTTTCAAAATCTCCCAACATTCATGAGCAACATCAATGGCTTCCTGTTCGGTACTTCCTTTACCTTCGATATAAACTTTCAATTTAGGTTCAGTTCCTGATCCTCTACAGGTGAATCTGACTTGATCTTCACCAAGAATAGCCGTGATCATTTGAGATGTAGGATCCAGTGGTAAAATCGACTTATTATCTTTGGTACCTGTTTCATATCCCAAAGTTAAATCTCTCCAGTACTTTACAGTGAAACTACCAATAGTTTTAGGTTGGTCCCCTTCGAATGATGAACGTATTTGGCTGAAAATCTCATCAGTGGTAGATAAATCTGCTAATTTGTAATATCCATTACACTCTTTGAAATACCCATACTTCTCATAACCAGATTTGAGCTTATCTAAGGCATTCTCACCACCAGTAAACCATTTCTGATACAATTGTAACCAAGTTATGGCTGCAGTAATACCATCTTTATCGTTAACGAGATCAAACATGAACCCAATAGCTTCTTCATATCCAAAAGGAACGTTGAAACCTTGATTCTTCAAATCATTTCCCTTGTTCCCAATCCATTTGAATCCTGTTAAGGTGTCCTGGAAATGGAAGCCTTCCTTTTGAGCCATGGACGATAAGATCTGTGATGAAACCGTGGAGTTTAAAAGATAAGTATTGGACAATTGATCAGCTGGAGTGGTTTCAATGACATATTGAGCAAATAAGAATCCAATCTCATTACCTGTCAATTGTGTCCATTTCCCATTAACCTTCACTGATACTGTGAATCGATCGGCATCAGGATCATTGGCTATAACTAACTCAGCACCGTTGGCATCAGCTGTCTTAATGGCTTCATCCAAAGCACCTTTTTCCTCTGGATTGGGGAATTTGACTGTGGGGAATGACGGGTCGGGATTCTTCTGACTATCAGTGATGATCATATTACTGTTGAACTTCAGTAACACCTTTTCGAAAATTTCCAACCCTACACCATGAACTGGCGTATATACAAATTTAAAATCAAGGTCTTGAGTCTTGATGAGTTTATCTTCAACGGCTTTGACGTAACTTTGAGTGATTTCTGGCTTAACGCTGTGAACCAAATCACTGGAAAAATGCTTTGTGACGTCCCACACACCATCCCACGGTTTCAAGTTATTTTCAATGGATTGGGCAATATCATGGTCTACAGGAGGAATGATTTGACATCCATTTCCATAGTAAACCTTGTACCCATTATCATTAGCTGGATTATGAGAAGCTGTGACCATTACCCCAGCTGAAGCTTTAAAATGATCAATAGCAAATGGAACTAATGGCGTATGAACAAAAGATTTCTCTTCAGATTTGTTCTCCCAAGGAGTATTTGATAACTGAATGGTTTCTGGGGATAACGTATCTTTTGACCCTAAGTAATAAACTGTGAAGTTACGTAACACTGCCACAGAAGCAGTTAGTTCAGCGAATCTTTGTGAATGGTAACGATGGTCATACCCAATAACAATAGAATTACCTCCTTTCTTATCCAAATAGTCGATTAATCCTTGGGCTGCTTGTAATACTGTGACATCATTCATATGAGCGAACCCTGATTCCATAGAAGACCTCAAACCTGCTGTTCCAAAAGCAATCCTTTTACTCAATTTCTTCTCCAAAACGTCATATTTACCCTGTTTCTGTAACTGTGTGATTTCATTTCTCGATTGGGGGTTAATATCAATGGCTAACCATTGTTCAACCAATTCATCTATTTGGCTCATGGTTGAGGAAAAATCTGGAGATGGGAAATCTGGAGCGATGGCTGCGAAAAATATTGTACATTAAAAATCTAATTTATAGTTGGTGAGTTTATCTGATATAAGGAACCCTTGGATGGACTCAGAGCTATCAAGGAAGATTCTCTCACCGGTGAACTCTATGGAATCAACGAAATCTTGGAAAATTTTACCCTTCTTGGTGTATTTATGCATATCTATTTTATCAGATAAGGTTATGATATAACTACAAGATTTATCAATGATGAAATCTTTTAAGGATGGAACGTCTATGGTATGGATGACGGTGGATTTTCTGAGATCTATGAACTCGATAGAATCATTGGTACCATCAGTGGATGAGACAAGTAACCAATAACCATTGAAACCAAATGTGATTTTAGTGATAGTAGGGTATTTGATAGGTATGGTGGCAGCAGGTTCTTGGTCTTTGGTCAAATCGTAAACAAGCACTTCATTATCACCACCAATGGCAAACAATGCACCATCTACGTGGAATTCACCGGTAGTGGCAGGAGTTTCGATTTCCATGATTTTCTCAGTTTCTTGAAATAAACTAAATGATTTGGTGGTCATAACTACATAAAGGGATTTTAATTTTGGATGTGATTTGATATCTACGACATTACCTTTGAATTTGATCGTTTGTTCATCGAATTTCACTGCATTTTTATTCCCATAAATAGGTACGAGACTTCCGTTGTATTCAATCATATTGAGGGCAGTTAAAATACCTTTATGGGAGATTTTGGATTCTTCCTTAGTAATCAAATCCTTTACAATGATCAGTTTACCTCCCAAAATCAATTTCTTCACTTTATCATCATAGTATACGAATTTGAAATCATCGATATCTTCAGAATCTCCAAGACTAAATGTTGGTGTTGTTGCAGGTAATGTGAATTTCTGTGATTTATGCAAGGCGAACAATTGAGCTCGAGATTCTTCAATCAAAGCTTTTATTTCTGATGGTTCACCATTTTGAGATTCTTCTTCCATCACACCATCTCCAATCGATGCCAGTAATTCTTGTAAAGCCCTTTTAACTTCATCTCTTTCTTTAATGGCATTGGCTGCCACTTTCACCGCAGCATCGTAATGATACAATGAAGAACTCAATTCTTCTTTGGCTTTATTTAATTGTTTTCGAAGTGTAAAAATCTCTAATGCCATAGAATCAAACTCATTTTGGAACGATCTTAACATCGAAGGAATGGACTGTGCCCGAGGAGGTATGGTGACATCAGTATCTATGGGTATTAAATCATTGATTGTTAAAGGTTGGTCGTTTATCGGGTCTGTACTATTTGTAGATAAATAATTCTCAATCGATTTCCTTTCAAAAATCTTACCGCTCCTAGGCGATACCACAGGTTCCTGGCATATCTCTCCTGTCACTAGAAATGTTAGTACGGTGTTAATTATGGGGTGTTTCACAATGATACATACATGAACAAAGCATTTGTTTTGAGAGAGATGAGAAGTGCGAATAATATTTATAAACCCAATACACACGAAAATCGACCCAGGGACTTAGGGGTCCCATAAACTTTGTACTCTGTAGTTTATACTACTTTGAAATTTGTACTATTTTGTAATTTGAACGTTGAACTAGTGCTTTAAGCTAGTACTCTAAACTTTGTACCAAACATCCTAATGATGAGATGAATGATGAGATGAATGGTGAGATGAATGAGCTTCAGTCTTGAAACTTCCAGCATCACTCATAACATCATGATGTGAATAAACCATTTCAGGTTCATCGTGAACAGCACTTCTGAATCTTCTTCTTCCAGTACTGAATAATCCACAACAATGGCCTAATAAGTTGAAGAAAGTACATAATAAAGCAGCCACTGCACCTGACCAAATGAAAGCATAGAAATTGATGGATAAGAAAGATTTAACTCCATAATCATCAGTATTCTTATTAATTTCTGTCTTAGTGTATGACATGGTGAAAGTGATCAAAATCGAACCCACCAATAAAATAATGAAGATAAGACATTCAAATAAGAAGTTTAAGAATGATAAACAGCAAGAATCTGGACTCATGAAACATCCTAATAATTGGATTATAATGGAAATAACAGCTAAAACAGCACCTGCTAACAATAATCCAAAGGATGCAACTTGTAAATTACCGAAAAGTTTGATCTTACCACTTAAATCTCCTGGTAAATTCAAATTGTCATAAGTCAAATTATCCAATAAATAACTAATTTCTTGACTTAAGACTGATGAACTAACACCTTCTTGTAAAGTGTTATTCAATTCTTCTTTGAAAACAACCAAAGGATCAAATTTATACCCTACTTTTGGTTTGGAACACCAAGTAATGTTAACATTACTATTATCAAATTGTTTACCTACTTCATTAGATGAAAGGGTTTTAGTAGTACCGTTAATACTACCTTTACAATAACCCCAGAAACTTAATTGGTACACATCAGCTAACCCTAAATCATTGTAATCTAATTGAGTGATTTGACTGATTAAATTTGAAGCATCTGAACCTAATGAAGAAACAGCACTTTCCGCACTAGCAGCTAAACTTTCAACTGCTGAGCCAGAATTTCCAGTTGATGAAATGATTTGACTGGCCCAATCTTTGGTGGTTGTTGATCTCTTTGAAAATCCACTACTATCTAATAATTTAGATAAATCTAAACTATCCAAATGGAAATTTAACATATAAGTCTTAGTTAAGTATGATTGGTTGGAATAAGATCCAGTTAACCCAAAAATGGTTAATAAGGCAGCTGCCAATGATAAAAATATCAATAAGAATCTGAAGAACTTGAACATGTTCTTTATTGTGTTTGAAGCTTTTACTGTGAACTTTTACTGTTAACTCTTTTGAACTCTTTTTGATCTCTTAGTAACTTGATCTCTTAGTATCCTGATCTTTTAGTCTTTGATCTTTTAGTATTGATCTCTCAGGTATTTATCTCTTAGGTGTATGTCTCTAGTTAATCTGATGACTTCCTAACACTCTATCACTCTTTAAGTATCTTTAAATCCTTCTTTGGATAATCTACCTTTATATATGCTCACCAGGTTATTTTTAGATACCTGCGGTTTTTTAAAAAAAACAGGGGAATTGCAACAGTTTAAATATTTCTCAGATCAACACGTTCAAATCAAGTAATATGTGATTGATCCGATATTTCATTAATCGTGTAATTTTTACAATAAGTTCTGCTGGCCCATTAACCGAATTCTGTTGGAATAAAGAAAATGGCTGGCTAAAAGTCGTGCGCGTGCCCAATGGCTGCAACTTTTTCAGCAGCATGTTCAACTGATGCATTGTTGGAATGACTACTTTATTGTAACATGTGACATACTCACTTCTAAACCGCACTTACATTAACAGGATGTCGTCCTGTTATGATCTAACTTTTGTTTATTACAGACCAGTAAGAAACGTTTTTTGAAACCCCCGAAACTAGGGATATCTTCAAAAGCTAGACAATTTAAGTCAAACTGAGAGTCGCACTGATTAGTAACTTGGCCATTCTCCAAACTCTAAGTCTGTTTATCTATGGCCCTCAGACCAAGGACTGCAAGGCAATAAGTTAGCGACAACCCGAATGTTTAGAGCTTGACAGGGAGAAATGTAAGGATCCTTCAATTCGAATGTCTCACCGACATATTCCTGATGCCACGGGCGTGAGATAATCTCCCTGACTGTACCTTAGAGATGAATCACCGTTAGCGACAGATTAAGTTGTGATGAGAGGGGTAGTAAATTGTTAAAGATTTAACTATTGCTATAATTCCCCATTGGGACAGAGATCAAGGGGAAATTCAGGAACTTACGGTTCGGTTGATTTACTGATAACCTTATATATTACATCATTAATCTAGTTCATCGAATCCATCTAACAATTCTTGTTCTAATTCATCCAATTCTAAATCTTCGGATTTATGTTTCTTGGATACTTCTTCATCAGATTCGATTTCCAATGTTCTCTTTTTACTCTTATACACATCTTTTATGAAAGAATCAACTTTACTTGGTTGTTCCTCATCGTCTTCATCGTCTTCATCATCATCGTCATCATCGTCATCTTCATCTCCAGAAAGATCAGCAAGGAAATCATCAACTTCTTGATTGGCATTATCTAAATCATAATCTTCAATGGAAGTAATGGAATCAAATCGAGGTCGTGGTTGACGATTCTTTTGCATCATTATTTGATTATTCAAGTTTCTTTGATAATCTGCCACATCTCGTTTATCAATTCTCCAATTATTATCTGAAGTTTTGATTAAATATTTGCTTTCATCCATTTTCTTCCAATTACTTAAACTTGAGAACAACCAATCAGAATTAACAATTTTAACATTGGGTAAAATGTCTTTGGCTATTTTAACCTTCAAAGTTAATCCTTGACCTTCAATTGGTTCCTTACAAATCACATGAGTAACTTCAGGTAAAACTTCATTAACTACTGTTGCTCCAAATTGCTTACATAAGATGACCAAATCGAGATTCTCAAATGGAATATTTATGGGTAAAATTCCTGAAAAAAGAATAGTTAAACCTTTTAAACATTTAGATTTCAATTGTGGTATTATCTTGGTTAAATCTGGTTTTATGGTTTGTCCACTTTTGTACATCTTATAATATTCTTTATAGATGTTGGTTAAAGCTACTTGTAAAGTTTCCAATTCAGTGTCATCATCATAAAGTAAATTATCATTAACGATTTCTTCATCTTCATCTTCATCTTCGCTTTCTTGATGGTTAATTTTCTCTAAATCATGTTGTAATTTGGCCAAGGGTCTATCATGTTGTTGTTGTTCAATAGATAATGATCGTTGTTGGGATTGTTCGATTAAAAGATTCTTATTGTCTTCACCTCCTCCAATTTCCAACATTCTATCAACTGGATTCTTAGGATTTTCTTTATCTTCTTCATCTTCATTGTTTTTAGGTGATTCTTTGGGGGTTTCCTCGACCTTTTCATTTTTGGTTTCACCTAATTCATATGCTTCTAATTTAGCTAATGACTTTCTCCTTTTACTAGGTCCAGTGACTTGGCCGAATTTCTTAGGTAAGAAACTCGAATTGATATCTCCAATACCTACGAAAAAATCATATGGGACTACTTTAATTAAATTACTTTCCCATTGCCAAACATCTCCTCTATCATCAATAATAGCTACCATTGATTGATCAACAGGGAATAATCTTTTAAGATTTTTATGAGTCAAAGAACCACTTTCATCTCTACTTAAGATTCTATCACCAAAGTATTTACCTTCCGGGTCAATTAATTTGGCTATAGCTAAAGCATAATTTCTTGTAGCCATGGTATAAATATGCATTTCATAATATTTGGACATTTCTTGGAGGAATCGTTTCAAACCAGGTCTAAGTTTGACATAATACCAACAAACTAATGGCTGAGGCTTTATACCATTCAACTTATTAGCTTCGGTGACGATAGGTTCTTCTTCAAGATAAAAGGATTTGACTTCTTGAGCTGCTTTATAGTTGGGATTGGTAGGATCTTTCTGCCATTCGCTTATAGTGGGATCCACAGTAGCTTGTATAACTGTTTGATCTAAATCTACCACCAAAATCAATTTTTCTTCCTTAAGTAATCGGTCAGTAGTATTTTGTTCAATCTTGGTAGCTTCTTCATAACTAATCTTTAATCCAGTATTTTCATGAGACATAGAAATTGTAGCCCTATCTTCATAATTGTAACCGGTATAATCTTTTTCATCTTCCACAGCTTTCCCACATAAAGCACAAAGACCTCCATATTGAACTGCATGAGCACATGGTTCTTCAATTAAACATAAAACAATACCTTTATGACCTATTTCTTCATTAAGTTTAACCAATACTTGGGTAATTTTACCTTCAACAGGACTTTCATGAGTCCCAATCATCTCAACACGAATCTTAGGAGGAATTTCTTCCTTACTATGAGGGTCATCTTGATAATCCCAATATTTATACTTAAATAACATTTGATGCTTTCTAACGTCATCTTGCTCTTTACACATAATTGATGATATGGTCACAGGGAACGGTACCGAGGGTGGTAAAGTAATTGATACCGCCTCCGACATTTATGGACCTAGAATTGCTTGAGTATGTGGTGAATTGTAAAGATTGATCTGTTGGAATTCGAATTGGTGGTTAACTTTTCACTTTCTCCAGGATTATCCTTTGTTGATGAGAAAAATCGCGAGTTTTCTTATTATGTATGGGTGCACGGGTGCGGGGTCGGTTTATATTTTATCTATATATCATTATTCATCATTAAAGGCTTGAAGTTGAGATTCCAAGTCTGACATGTCACTATCAAGGTCTTGGAACATGTTAGTACCGTTAGGTTCAGTTTGAATATCGTTGGGTGTATCGATTGCCATATCAATTGGGGTATCGATTGCCATATCTATTATATCTGTTCCATTAATTTCATTGGCCACATCCGTTTCTCGTTGGTCAGTAGCAAATACAATATCTTCATCATTAACTTCTCCATCACTGTCACTATCAATGACTTTTTCGTCTCCAAAATTGAATCCAAATTCGATGGTTTCTCTTTCCTTTTCTCTTTCTTTTTCTTGAACTTCTTTTTCGGATATTAATCTTTCAATGGTTTCTTTCTGTTTCACAGTATCTGCTTTGATGGCTCTGATGACAGTACCTAGCTCATGGTTCAAGTTGTCTTTGAAAAATTGTCGAATTTCTCCAGTGATAGCTTGAGTTGCATATGGGGAAAAGTATTTTTCTGCTTTCATGAAGACATTTTTACCTCTTTTGTTTCTTCTATCAATAATTTCTTGTTCCTTCCTATCTCTGATAATTTTCCTTTTATTGGCATATGCTACAAAGTCAAAACTTTTATCGATAACCACAGGTTTTTCTTCAACTTTAGTCTCTTCATCTTCATCTTCGGCATATTCAGGTAATTCAGGAGGTTTGAAAGCATCAAATCGTTGAATTGGTGATGCTATCATTGGTAATTCAGTCAAACTTAATAAACTTTCATCTTCACTAATCTCAATTTCTATATTCTTCTTCCATTCATCTTCATTATCTCCAATGATAGTATAAAGTGATTGTTCTGTGAGTCTTGATTCTTCCACTAGCCTTAATCTGAGTTTCTCCATATCTTTCAACGGTTCTATGTATCTTGCAGTGTTTTGATATGTATAATCTGGAGGTAAATCGGGGAAATAGTTTGGTATGTATGATGGTTTCTTAGTATCTCTAGGTACTAATTCTGCAATTTCATATTCTTCTTCATTGAAAAACACTTCACTTTCAGCATCAAACGTTATATTTTGTAGATTATTGATGGTGGTTGAAGTTTGATGATTAACAGAATTTATCTCTTTTTGGTATTTGCTATAGATCTTCTTATTACGAACATGTTGCAAATACATACCATTGTAATCAATCTGTTTGTACTTGAAAGCATTCTGAACGTCACTTACCGTTGGAACGGTTCTTCTTTGAAGTTCAGTGAATGTTTTCAAGTCATCTATTAAATCAGAAAAGTACTTCAATGCCATTTCATTCAATTCTGTAAGAAAGTCATTTGTCACATGATACCCCTGAGCTCTAAGAACAATAGCAATGATCTTAAGGAACTGAAGATCTATGGGTGTTCGTTTGAAGGTCTCTGATACCGGTATGGTGGACATGGGCCTATTCAGTACCTCGTTGGGTAGTTCACTCATGTTGAGAAATTTGAGAAAACAATGCGAAAACTTACACATACTACAGAAATGTTCATAAATCACGTATATTAAATTATTCGGATAAAAGGTATTCTACAGCTCCTTGGACATTACCACCACTTCTTCTTAAGGCTGCAACGTTTCTATCGAAATCAAAAAAGCCCATATCATTTAATTGACTTAATTGACTTTCGTATCTTTCTTCTGGAGGACGGTTATCAGTTTCAACTGGAGTATTACCACCTTGACCACCAAATAATGCAAATGGGTCGATTGGTGGGAAACCACCGGCACCACCAGCACCTTGACCACCAAACATTGAAGCAAAAGGATTGGCAGCTGGAGTGTTGGTTCCTTCCGTGGTAGAGTCATTTTCTCCTACGGTTGGATTGGATCCTGGAGCAGGGAATGATGGAGGAGCTCCAGCACCACCTAAACCACCACTCATTTGCATCATTGATCTCATCATATCAGGATTGGATAACATTTGTCTGAAAAAAGGACTTTGTAACATTTCTCTGGCTTGAGGTCCCATAGCTCTTAATTGAGGTGACTGCTGGATCATGTAATCTAACATTTGGGGATTAGATAATAAAGAATTCATACTTTCTTGAAACATAGGATTTGACATCATTTGAGACATTTGTTCAGGATCTGGCATAGCATTGTTCATACCTCCATCAGGTCCAAACATTGATGCTGATGGTAATTGAGTATATCCAGCATATCTTGCACCGGTCAAGTCAGCTAAAGGATTGAAAGCACCTGATCCCGAAGAAATATTGGATGGAACACCATTATTACCTGAAGTGGTAGTAGTGGCAGATGGAGTAGATGTACTGGTGGTGGAACTGGTTGCAGGTGCTGGCTTTGCGGCAGCAGATTTCACTAAATGAACAGTATGTCCTGATTGAATTTTATAAGTGGAGATAACTTCGTTATCTTTTAATACTTTACCGGAATAAATCAACCTTTGTCTATCGGCTGGAACATCTGCTTTGGCGGCAACTTCATTCTTCAATTCCAAAACTGTTTGGGATGGAGAAATTGTCACTTCATATTTCAGATCTCCGGATGATTTGATATTAATAGTAATTGAATCGGACATGGTTGAATGATAAATTTGCCTCACAAAAAGTTCTATATAGTTCCACTGTGTCGCGCGACAAGGTCTTTTGGTGATAAAGTTAGTGAGAACTGGGCCCATTACTTTAGCGAGACTTAGGTACTAACCTACTACCAATTGAGGCACTGACATTCTATCTTTCATATCCATAATAATCCAGGATCCAAATACTTTATGGGGTTATCTATGGTCCATGTATAGCATTTATGATGTTTAAGGTAACACTCCATGGCAAAATATCCAAAAGTTGTGGTTCTTTGTGTAACTTCTTTATACCATAGTGTTAACATTTTGATTCTGAATCGGATAAGCCTTCTTTCGAATATGGGTGGGATGTAGAATGTAGGTAAGAACATGGATATATCTCTACGGTAAGTGTTGAAAAGTAGTGAAGGTTCTGGGCCTTTGATCACAATTGATGGTCTGGAAGTGTTTCTGGTTCTGCTTATAGAATTTAAGTAAAGCACTTCAATGGATGTGAAAGGATGTATGACACTAAAGATGGGTGGAGCATATTTCAAAAGACGCAAAGCAGCTTCTTTTTCTTTGGTAAGACTGTCGATAATATCGGCGTTTGTTTCATTAGTTAGGGCAAGGTCTTTTCCTAATGGATGTAGCTTGAGATACTCATAAAGTTCAATTATCATTTGAAATTTGAACACTCGTGCTTGGTGGATTGTTGCTATGACAGGTTGTAATGTTTCAAGATCTATGTCAGCCACGGCGTTAGTGTTTATTACATCTTGTACTGTCCAAGGATTATCATAATATATGTTACCTCCAAAATGCACTCTTCTGGTCCTCTTACGGGTATACTGGGGGAGGTACTTCAAACAAGGTTTGATTTTAGATATCTCTTGATGGTATCTATCTGTGAATATGAACTCAGAAGGCATTAGAGGGATTTTAGGGGGGAAAGAGCCTATCTTATATTGAAAATTTATACTTGCCTCTTTTTGACATAGAAAAAATTTCGTATGGTAGAGACATTTATGGTTGATAAGCTAAAAGCTGATGACACAACTCAATAACTGATTGGTCTAAGGGTCTGAATTGGATACCCAAATCTTTAACTGCCTTAGAACTATCACCTTTGAAATGAGTACCCGATATTCTCTGACCTGGAGTACCAGCAGGAATATTTTTGAATTTGGCCAATCTCAAGATATCAGCTATTTCTTGAGTATCATAATCTCCAGCTGATACTAAATATCTCGAATTCGAAGCATTTTCTGATACCAAAGCATTAACATGAGCATCAGCAACATCTCTAACATCAACATAAAGAGGTGCTTTTGTGGGTGGGATCTCAGAAGCATTAACCAAACTCCAAATAACAGCATTACTTGAATTTATGTCAGCTAAGGACTTCAATAATGTCGTAGAATATAAAGGTCCAAATACCATAGAAGGACAAATCACCGAGATATCGAAATTAGCATCTTGTTGTTTTATGAAATCCCAGGCTGCCTTCTCAGCAACCGATTTAGAGGCTCTATAAGCCATCCCAGGGTCTTTAGCATTAACTCCATCTTCATAAGTTAATGGACTGAACTCCTTTTCAGTATAAACTTTATGTGGCTGCAAACCTTTTGCGGCATCATAAATGGCTGCGAAAGATGAAGTTATAACTATTCTTTTCACTTCACTATGCAAACATGCTTTTAAGATTGTAGTAGTTCCTTCGACGGCAGGTTTCATTAATTCTTCCTCGTAGTTATTGACTTTGAAAGTAAAAGGTGAAGCTAGGTGAATTACTCCTTGACACCCATTTACAGCTTCTTTCAAACTGTCTAAATCATCAATATTACATACAGCGTAATCTACTGCACCAAAGATTTCTTTAAGCTTGGGATATTTACTCTCATCTCTTATGACGAGTTTAACTTTATAATCATTTAACAATTTCAGTACTACCCAAGCTCCAATGAACCCTGTAGCTCCTGTAACTAAAATAGTATCACCCTTTTTAATAGCTGAATATTTTTTATTGGTCATTTTCCCCTGTAATGAAAAAAAAAAGAACAGATAAGAGATTTTATGTATGTTGGCGATATTTTTCAAGATAAGCGGAATGGCCTATTTTTGGAGATTTGTGAAAACGGTCCTTTAATGAGATTTTGCGACCAAGCGAAAATCTGCATTCCCGATAAGATAACAAAAAGATCTATAAAAGACCTTCTGAAAACTGGTATATTCCAGTTCCAAAACCAATTATGAAGAAGAATAACAATGAAATAGATGTTAAGAGTGTTGATACTCCATCTTTAGATGTCGATAAGGGTGAACATTTTGATTTCTCCCTAGTTCATGAAAAAGCGGCTGAAGATCCAAATTTTCAGTACTTGAAAAATTTCGATGTCGAAAAATATGCCCATGAAGATGTTACTTACAAGCAAGTGGTTAAGAAGTTGTATAAACAATTTGCATGGATTATGACCATCGCATATTTCCTTCAATTCATTGATAAAGTTATGCTTAATTATGCTAGAATCATGGGATTAGTTATTGATTTGAACTTGGTAGGAAATCAATTCTCCGATTTACCAACATATTTCTTTGTAGCCTATATCTTTGGGGAATTTTTCCAAAGTTTCCTTATTCAAAGATATCCTGTAACCAAAGTGTTAGGGGCAAATATTGTTATATGGGGAATATTAACAGGATTTTGTGCTTTAACCAGAAATTTTGCTGGAATTTTAACCGTAAGAATCTTATTGGGTTTAGCTGAAAGTGCTGTTATACCTTGTATGGTACTTATCACTACCAACTTTGTTGATACTAAAGATACTGCATTCTTCACTGGTATTTGGTATTGTGGTTCGGGGTTAGGTCAAATTTTTGGTGGTTTAATCAGTTACTTGTTCCAATTAGTTAGCCCTACAGCTCCAGTTGCTGGTTGGAGGATTATGTTCATTGTTATTGGGATCTTGAACGCTATAGTTGGGATCTATATCTATTTCTTCTTACCCAGTACCCCATTAACCAATAGTAAATTGACTCCTAAAGAGAAATATGTTTTATTGTTACACTTGAATAAGGCCAAAATTGGTATCAACGAGGCCAAAAAATTCAGTTTGAGACAATTAGGTGAATTTTTCATGGATATTCAAGCTTGGTTATTCTTTTTTATCTCAGCTACTATTTCATTTTCCTCCAACACCATTTCAACCTTTTCATCATTGGATATCATGTCTTTCGGTTTCACCTCCAGACAAGCAGCTTTATTGAATATGCCAAGTGGAGTTGTCAGTATTGTATCATCAATTGTATCCACTTATTTCATTAGAAAGGGATTTCCTAGATTCCTTGCCATTTCAATCTTGTTAGTTCCAGCAGTTTGTGGAGGTGCCCTTATGTCATTCTTACCCAAATCCAATCAAGCAGGGTTATTGATTGGTATTTACATGATTAATACTGTTACTGCACCTCTAGCTATTTGTTATGCTTGGGCTGGGGCTAATGTAGCTGGATCTACTAAGAAAATCGCTTTCACAGCTTTAGCTATCAGTGGAGGATTTTGTGTAGGTAACATCACAGGACCTCAGAGTTATAGAGCCCATGAAGCCCCTGATTACTACAGTGCCAAAATCTCTATGTTGGCAACTCAAGCTGTAAGTATAGTATTGGCATTAATCATGGCATTCATTTATTATGCTAGAAACAAAGCTAGATCTAAGTATACGGAAGTTGAAACCGAAGAAGAAACCTGGGCCGATAGAACTGATTTCGAAAACAAATCTTTCCGTTACATTTACTAATTCAGTTAATGTGTAGAATGTATTTCCATATTGCTAATTCAATTTTTGTGTAGAATATATTTCCTTTTGTGTGCCCCGTTGTTCTTGTAAACACTTTCCTCCAACTATTAATTTGCAGCCATTGTTGATGTTCGCGAATCACGGATGAATCAAGATACAGAGAGTGACAACTCAGAATATGCCGAAGCACACAGCAATAAAAGCTTGGAAGTCCCAGAGGTCGATGAAGAGAAAGTAGAAATGGCGGATAGTGAAAGTAATTACGAGAAATCTGATGAAAAGGATGAAAGTAATGATGAGAAATTTGATGAAAAGGATGTAACACCTATCGATACATCGAATGATACTGACTTGCCTTCAAGGGAACCCATGAAAGATTATTTCAGATTGAATGAACCTATAATATTTGAACCTGAAGATCTTACACCTTCAAACAATCACTTATTAGTGAACAACTTGAATCGGATCAAAACTACCTTCGATAATCACCAAGATAAATCATCAATAGATCAAGGAACTTCAACTTTAAAATCGTTATTTCAACAAATAAAGAACGCCAGTATGATAAACACTCAAAGTTCCATTGAATGGGAGAAATGGGAAGATCTTATCAATGATAAATTACCAATTGAGGAAATAAATCTCTTGATCAATAAGGGTATACCCAATGAAATCAGAGGAATCATCTGGGGAATAATATCCAGGTCAAATAATTTGAAATTGAATGATTACTTCTATAACCATGCTAATTTGGAATCCATTCATGAACGTCAGATCAAGAAAGATATCACCAGAACAAGTTTCTATACCTCCATTTCCAAATTAGATAAGATTAATGAGATTTTTAACATCCTTAAGATATATTCTAACTATGATAAAGAGATAGGGTATACTCAAGGAATGATATTCGTGTTAACACCTATAAATCTTCAATTGAATGAATTCGAAAGTTTCAATTTGTTAGTTAATATCATGTATGATTATAATTTAAGAAGTTTCTTTGATAACGAAATGAAAGGTTTACATTTGATGTTATACAAATTCGATAGATTATTACAATTGACTCGACCCAACTTGTTCAATCATCTTATCAATCAAGGAATTAAGTCATCTATGTATGCTAGTCAATGGTTTTTGACTCTTTTCAGTTATAAGTTTCCTATTGATATAGTTTATCGCATATTTGATCATTTCATATTTGAAGGATTGGACTTCTTATTGAAAATCAGTATCAATTTGATGATTTTGAATGAACATAATCTCATGAATTTGAAGTTTGATAAGTTATTGGGGTTCTTACAGAATTCTTTGTTCAATATCTTTGTCAACGATAAGTATATTGGTGATAAGAGTCCTGAGAAATCTGTCATCACTGATTTCTATAGTATCGATAAAATCTTCAAGAACCTTATAAATATCAATCCTAATGATATGATAAAATTCGAAGCAGAATTCAATGAATTGTATCGCCAGAATAAATTAAAGGAAGAAAGAATCAATAAAATGAATCTTGTTAATGGGAAATTAAGGAATGAGATTAAATATTTACAAATGAACTTAGCTAGTCTAAATCAAGATCATTTGAGTTTATTACAAAACTTAATCAATTATAAAATCAAGTTGCCTGAATTGGTGTCACAGAACTTTGAGTTACGAGAAAACATTGACCAATTGACGGAAGATATCGATAATTTGAAAACTAAAATCAATGATGATGTTCCTGAAGATATTGAGAATCAAATCAGTAAATTGTTAGATATCAACAAATCTGAAACTGAGAGAAATATCTCTTTAGAAGATGAATTAGACGAACTAATGGCTCAAGATAAAGAGTTAGATGAGAAATTAGCACCTTTTAAGAAGAGTTGGTTCTGGAAATGATGTATGATTAAAATTTAAATTTCGGTTGTTCTTGTTCTTGTTCTTGTTCCTCTGATTCTTTTGGTTGTGGATGGGACTCTGATGTGGGCTCTGAGTTATCTTTCCCTAAATCATATACCTTATCGGTAGAAAGTAACCCGTCACCTACTGTAGCATCTTTATCCTTGATAACAGTGTAAAGTTTCTTATCTTCATTCAGACTTGGTTTGATGTTGACCTTCTCTTCAGGCTTGTCTTCATCCGACAGTTCATTATCATAAGGAACTATAGGTTCATCGGGGTCTTCCAATTCACGTATTTCTTCTTCACTTTCTTCGTCGTCGCTGTCTTCTTCTTCGCTTTCTTCTCGTTCTATCTCTCCCCAATGCGTTTCTTCGCCTCCTATGACTATTTCTTCATCTTCTTTCAAATATCCAGCATTTGCATATGTTATATCGATCCCAGGAATAATCAAATTATTATAACTTGGAGGTTTACCCAATTGATTCATAGTAGAAATCCAAGGAGGTACAGTTTTTCCATTTTCGGGTAACCCTAACGCTACTAGAAGTTCTCTAGAAAGTCTACCAGGTTTTATATCCCCAAGCTTATCATCACTCTCATCAGTGGTTTCTCGACCCTCATAGTAAACATCACCAAATGCCAATAATTTGGGTCGGGTCTGGTATTTGAAGAAAGCATCATGAAGTTTCTGGAAATCTATATCCAACTTCCCCAATTTAGGCTGGGTCCTGTCTCTCTGTTGTTGCCTTAAGGACAGATCACTATTTCTCATATCTTGAATACCTGTTTCAAGAATATATGACGGCAATTCGAAGGGAGCTTTTTCAATCCCTCGTTTACTGCTTAGGTAGTCTCTCTTTGATGACCAATGACTCGGCACCGGCACCACGTTCAAATTCTGCTTGATGGAAAGGAGAATAAATGGATCATTAGCATCGATATCTGATAATTCTACAAGTTGTGGGTTTCGTGCTATAGCTTTAAGGGTGGAAATAGGTACTTTAGTTTGTCTTCTTAATTGTCGTTTCGATACCGTCTCTTCGTCTGATTCATATTCATCGGATGATTCTACCACTTCTTTTTTAATTAACTGTTGTTTTGCTGGTGAGGGTGATTTAGCCTTTTCTATACGTTTTCCTCCGAATTTACTCAAGATTCCTTGGAATTGTTGGAAAGCTGGACTGTTAGGGTCATAAAGGTCTTTCAAAAGTCTTTCTTTCTCTTGTTCTTTTTCAGTTTTGTTATCATTATCATTATCATTAGTTGGCTTCACGATCTCAGTAGACGGTTTTTTCTCGGGTTCAGGAGGGGATACAGGTTTCTCATTTGCGTCAGTGGTTGTTTCTTCTAGCTTCCTCTTCTTAGCCTTCTCCCTTCGTAATTGATTCTTTGATAATCTAACCTTACCCATGTCTCATTCGCATCGCAAGATCTCAGATAAAGGGTGCGAGGTACCAGATGCGGTGGCACCAGCTGTGGTGGGAAATAACGAGGAAATTTAGTGCGACAGGTGGGTTCAATATGGTGCGGGCTAGAGAGAGATATTTCAGAATACGTGCAAGTACCTGGACCTTGACTTGGACCTGTAGGTTCTGCAAGACCACTTTCTAGAACGTTATCACCACCTAAACTATCTATTCCTGGATCACCCAATATCTTGAGTATCCAACAATCAAGCCATTCACAAAAGTTTCTAGTACGAGTTTATCCTACTGACCACATCCTACTTGTCTCTAATACTTGATCAGTCCTCTGTCACTATAAGCTCTTGTTTGTGCTCTCTAACTTATAAGTCATTCCTTGGAACTCTAGCACTAAAAGCTACATTTAAACTCCAACCTAACATTTCATTTCGCAGTCACGGGCATTTCAGGGCTTATGCCCTCGATGAGATTCTCATCAATAAAATTTTCATTAACTGAAAAATTTCTCATACTAATAATCAAACATGGCTAGAGGTCCAAAGAAACATTTAAAAAGATTAGCAGCTCCATCCCACTGGATGTTAGACAAATTGTCTGGTGCTTATGCTCCAAGACCATCAGCTGGTCCTCATAAATTAAGAGAATCATTACCATTAGTTGTTTTCTTAAGAAACAGATTGAAATATGCTTTAAACGGTAGAGAAACCAAAGCTATCTTAATGCAACAACACGTTAAAGTTGATGGTAAAGTTAGAACCGATACCACCTTCCCAACTGGTTTCATGGATGTTATCTCATTAGAAGCTACTGATGAACACTTCAGATTAATTTACGATGTTAAAGGTAAATTCGCTGTTCACAGAATTTCTAACGAAGAAGCTTCTTATAAATTAGGTAAAGTTAAGAAAGTTCAATTAGGTAAAAGAGGTATTCCATACGTTGTTACCCACGATGGTAGAACTATCAGATACCCAGATCCATTAATCAAAGTTAACGATACCGTTAAAATTGATTTAGAATCAGGTAAAATCACCGATTTCATTAAATTCGATACTGGTAAATTAGTCATGGTTACTGGGGGTAGAAATTTAGGTAGAGTTGGTGTTATCACCCACAGAGAAAGACACGAAGGTGGTTTCGATTTAGTTCACATTAAAGATTCATTGGAAAACACTTTCGTTACCAGATTAACTAACGTTTTCGTTATTGGTAACGAAGCTGGTAAACCATACGTCTCATTACCAAAAGGTAAAGGTATTAAATTATCTATTGCTGAAGAAAGAGACAGAAGAAGAGCTCAACAAGGTTTATAATTTGACTTGTAAATTAATACATAAATTACAACTTTAGTGGTTATTATAACTCTAATGGTTCGCACCATCTCTATAGGGAGTCCTCAAGGTACTGCCATTGACCCATTTGGTGAGGCTCCAGCCTTATCGCGGGTTTTTTTTAGATAACTTCTTATCAGATGCTTTGGTTAAAGAACTTACTCCAATTACCATTTTTGTTGCCTTTGGAAGATACTGGAATCGACCATTCATCAATTAGGGATTTAAATTGGGGGGATATCAATTTTCTTCACACAACAGATACTCATGGATGGTTATCGGGCCATTTCAACCAAAAACAATATGACGCCAATTGGGGAGACTTCATCTCTTTCACCAGTCAGATGAAATCCAAAGCCCATTCTCAAGGTCAAGACTTGATTGTGGTCGATACTGGTGATAGACATGATGGGAATGGATTAAGTGATGCTACTGTGCCAAACGGAAACAAATCGTTACCTATATTTGCCAAACAAGATTATGATATTTTAACTATAGGAAATCATGAATTATATGAATGGGAGAATAGTAAGACTGAATATGAGTTCATTGCTTCCCATTACGGGGAAAATTATGTCTGTACCAACGTTGAAATCTTAGATAATGATGAATGGAAGACTATTGGTAATAAGTATAGGTACTTTGAAACTCCAATCAATGGGTTTAGAATCTTATCTTTTGGTTTCTTATTCAACTTCAATAGAAACAATCAGAACACAAAGGTCACTGCCATCGAAGAAGTGTTGAAAACTGATTGGTTTAAAGATATCATGGATAAATTCCCGGAGAAAGATCTTGATTACGTAGTCATCATCGGACATATCCCTATAACCCATCAATGGAAAGAGCTCCAGGTTTTACATAAGTTCTTAAGATCATATTATCCAAACATTGTCATTCAATACTTTGGTGGGCATAGTCATATTAGAGATTTTGTGGTTTATGATGATAATTCCACATCTTTGGAAAGTGGAAGATTTTGTGAAACTGTTGGTTGGTTAAGTATCGATAACAAAATTGAAGGTGTGAGGAAGTTCAGTAGAAAATACATCGACTTCAATATGAACTCCTTCAAATATCATTCCAAGAAATTCGGAGATTTCCAAACTAAGCAAGGTAATGAAGTCAAACAAATGATAGAGAAGGCAAGACAAGACTTGAATTTGAATGAATATATTGGTCATGTTGGTAATAATTACTATATGGACTATGTGCCTATTGATGATAAACACAGTATATTTAAATTATTACTGGAAAAAATCTTACCTAGTTTGGAATACCCTAAAGATAGTAATGAAGAAAGGATGTTCATCATCAACACTGGATCAGTAAGATATGATCTTTATAAAGGTAACTATACTGTCGATACCAAATACATCATCTCTCCATTCAAAAATGATTGGGTTAAAATATCATTACCAAAATCCTTAGCCATCAAGGTATCTGCTTACTTGAACAAAGGAGGATATCTCAACTTATTACCAGCCCATCAATGGGCTCAAGTGATGAATCCTGAAAAGTTCATAACTACATCCGGCCATCACCCTGGATTCACAACTGCATCTAAAAATCAACCATATCCAATCAAAAGGTTAACCAAGGGATATGTTACTCATGATGATTTTGGTACTGATGGTGACGATACATTGCACTATCCTACCATTAACTTCCCAATACCTAATGTGGTTGACTCCAAACAATTCAAACACTTGGAAGAATCAACTGTAGATTTGGTATTCTACAATTTCCTCAAATGGAATGTCATCGAAGCCTTGATCGATTTAGATAATAAGGATTATAGTCAAGCAGTAGAATTCTATTCCGATGTGTATTTGAGTGAGATGATTACTAATTATATAAAAGAATTTGGGGTTTGATAACTATATAGAAATAATGGTGTCGTGAGGTTTATAATTTATACGATAATCGAAATTATCTACGATTTCTTTGTTCATTCCTGGTTGGTCAATGACAAGACTTAAAAAGAATCCAAACCAGGAACTCATGTTCTTCTTTGGTTGTTGAGATACGATTAAATCTCCTGATTCTCCTAATCTATTTCTACCACTCTCATCAAACTTTACCTTACCATTTATGTTTATCACGTAACTATTCAATCCGGGGATTAGATGGCAATCAAAGTTTGTAATTTGATGGAAAGTTAAAGGAGTCATCAACCATTTCTTTTGGAACTCTAATTTGGATACAATTGGTTCACCATTTATTATGACATTACAATTTGGTTTCAAGGCTGAACCTAATTCTGTGGCGTATGATTCGACGTTATTGAACTTTTCGTTGGATAAATCTAATGAGTTGAGCAATTCCTTTATGAAAGGCTCTATTGGTTGGGCTTAAAGTTAGTTTAATCCTGGATATATGGTGATAATGTATACTTACTTGGATCTTGATTCATGGTAAAAGTTTTCGCACTGAGAAGAGAGGTTTAGGAAGTGGTTTAAGTAGGGGATAAGTTCTTATAGCTGTTTTGCGTCGTTGGGTGTCAATGGGAGCTGTCAGGGGATATAAGAAACAGAGGATACTGTTTGGTGGTGGGAGTGGGCTTTTCAATGTCAGAAACGAGTTGGCATTTTACATTTGACTTTGATAATCAGGTTCTATGCCCATGTCTCAAACAAGAACTTTATCTTGAGCTAGCTATGTATTGACTTCGATGTGTGTAGATTTAGCTACTTGCTGAGCTAGCTGTGCGTTGTAGTAGCCACTTATCAAGACCGCCAACATCTTATGCCACACATTGGTGGAACGCAGATCTGCAATAGCTAACTACAAGTCCCTATGCACCTTTTCACCTAATTCAATGACAACATGTCGCTCAACTGCACACGACCTTTCCTCTATAAATACCTCCCTGCCCTAGATTATGTCATACCCACGAGTTTGCCCTATTGTCAAAGATTTGCATTTTCACAGTTCTTTATCTACCATCATGTGAGACTCGCGTGACAGAAAGCAATGAAAGCAACAATTTCACAATTAACTTTATGACATTTATTGATTGAAACACTACAGTGACCATCAATAAAACTATAAAAGGCCGTTATTCCTATCAGTAAACTCTATCAATACTCTTAAAAATGCCAGAAGATAAATCAAACTTTGCTAAAAATATTGCTGTCAGTGTTGCCGGTTCAATTGGAGGTAACAAATTAGCCGATAAAGCTGGATTAGGCGGAGTCGGACATATTGTTAGTGGAGTTGGTGGTAGTATTGCAGCCAACGAAGGTGAACAAAAAATTGAAGAAGAAGCTAGAAAGTAGATTAGAAATGTATGTGAAATATTGTATGTGAAATATTAAAACTGGATTCTCTCGTAAGTTTAAATACTTCTCTAGGCTTTAAGGTATAGTTATGTGCCTGACGCTACCTCCAAAAGAAGGAAACCTGCTTCTTTTTACATCATAGTACCTTGCGCATGGCTGGTGGATCCAGCCATCACATTTCCGTAAATTACATGTTGCTGTAAGGTAAAAGCAAAGAAGGCTATTCAGAGGTTTTGGGCAGATCTGGTATGATCTGAAAAGGGTATGAAAATAAAAAGACTATGAAAATAAAGAGAAAATAAATCTTCTGACCACCTTGTCTCTAATTCCCCAGCCAATTCCACATTCGTGATGAATTGTTTAATGTCTCTTTAATCATAACCACTAAATCTTGACGACGTGTATTAAAACTCCTTCTCAGCATTGTATCATCCCATTAGCCAAATGATATCATTGTCAAACATAATATATCAAAGTATCGATAATAGCAAATGTCGTCAGGGTCTCCTTTGTCGCATGTCGCAAATCTCATTAACGTTCCCAAAAGGGATGAAACTTGAACAAAAACGGTAAAGATATTTATCGAGATCTGAGATTTTTAAACATCCACGAATTCATAACTTTAGATACAACTAACAGTCCCGTATACCAACATAGAGTTTATTAGTCAATAAACTATATTAGCCAATACCTAAATTCAACTAACAAAAGTCCTGTCAAAGTTTATATTTTAAGGCTGGCTCATTTAACCAGCCATCGCGAAACAATAAGGCTGGCTCAAATCAATTGATTCAAAATCGAAACAAAAATAGAATAGCTGCTGGAATCATTATACTGTTTTAGGCAGATTGGCTGGATCATTGGCTGATTTACGTTTCAAATTATTGATTTGGAAATTCTTATTTAAACCAGGAATCCCATTGAGAAACTTTTGGATCGATATATTTCATAATCTTTACAAAGGTTTTTTACATTCATTCTTTTAATAAAGTATTATAACTATTTGTTATAAATCAAATTAATTTTACCAACTTAATACAATCTTTACTTTTTAAATCAATATTTTTTTGATTTCACTTTCGTTATTTATAGAGATCCAATTATCTCAAGTTTTGCAACCAGAAATATTATGAGTGTTGAAACTGCTGCTATGTTTAATAATAATCATCTTCCCATTGGTGATTTTAAACCTGCCCATTCAAGATCCAGATCTTACAATGAATTATTGAATAAATTTAAACAACAAATTACCACTGAATCTACCAGATTTAGAAACAGAAAAAGAAGTAATAGTGATTTAGATGAAGATTTAGAGAATAATAAAAGGTCAAGAACTGCACCTCCAAGAAGTCAAAGTCCTGAAAAATTACCTGTTATGCCATCACCAAGATTATCATCAAAATCTCCAAATGTCAGATCAAGATCTTTATCACCTAATAAATCATTAAGAACCGAAAAAATTGAAAGAAATTCAATTGATAACGGTGTTATTTCTCATCAAACTCAATCTTTACCTTCAATAGATCAACTGCCTGTTGAAGATTCAAGTAAAGGATTGAAAATATTAAATACTAGTAAATTCGGTTCAGTTAATAAATCCGATATTACTTTACCAAGCATTTCTGCGGTTTTATCTGATGATATCAAAACCTTGAACCAAACCAAATTATCTCCACCAACCACATCCTTGGATTATTTCGATACTAAACCAAATGAAAAGAGATTCTCCAATTATTCAAATGATGAAAAGAAACCAATTTTTAATTGTAAAATCTCCAAACCAGTTTTACCTCCTGTTGGCTTAAGTGAAAGGAAAATTAACTTCCCTTATGAATCTAATTATACTTATTTGAACAAGACTTATTTAAATGATGTTGAAAGATATCCTGAATATTTGGAATTGGCTCAATCATTAGTTCAATTATCAAAATCAGATAATATTCCTATTCCAACCAACTCACCAAAACAGTATTCATCATTTCCTCCACTTTATCCTTATCAAGTACAACAACAACCTCATCAATATCAACAACAAAATATACCGTACTATCAACATCAACAACAATATTATCCATATCAATATCAGTATTTGAAATCTCCTTCAAATGCTGTTTATGCATTCCAATCAAATTATCCATCCTACATACCAGAACAACCAGTTACTCCTCCAAAGAAACACACCAAGTTTATCCCTATCACCCCACCATCATCAAAAATCAACAAAAAGGAAGTCAAAACTTCATCTCCAAAGAGTCATCCTCCAAGAGTTTGTATATCTTGTGGATCTGATCAAAGTCCTTGTTGGAGACCTTCATGGTCTTCTAAAGAAGGTCAATTATGTAATTCTTGTGGTTTAAGATACAAAAAGACATCAGCTAGATGTTTGAATGATGAATGTAAGAAAATCCCTGCTAAAGGTGAATGGTCTCTTATGTTAAATAAAGGGTTACATACTTTTGATGACGGTGAACAATGTTACAGTTGTTTGGAATGTGGTTATAAAGTTGAGGTTAAAAAATGAGTTTCAGCAGTCTTTTAAAAGTATTGCTGTTATCATTAGGGTATGCGTTTCAGTTCTTTCTTATTATTTTTTAATTGTTTTATGATAATGACTATAGATTTTATTCACTACTCTAAGACTATACACTTTACTCTGCGCCGCGCAGTATTCTAAGTGGCCTAGGTACTCTGTTCACAATCCTTTGGCTGTGCTATTCACAACCCTTTGGCTAACTCGTCAATATGACTTTTCATATCATATCCACACACTTCATCAATAGTTAACTTATCTTCAGGTTTAATGTCAGAAGCACTAGAACTCCATCCTATTCTCTCGTTCAAATTCTCTCTGGCTCTTAAAGAAGCAGCCTGTATTTTGGTGACCCTTGGTTTTCTTTCTAATTCATAGAGTTTCAATTTCTGTTCAACGGTCAAATCAAATTTGGATGAAAATATGTAACCTAAAGCTCCAGCATCTTCAAATGCTGCTACAGCTCCTTGAGATTGATCTGGCATCATTGCATGAGCCGCATCTCCCAATAAGGCCACCCCTTTAGTTCCATTTTCATTAGCCTTTACAAAGTAAGGTAATGGTTCGTGAACATATAATCTCCATTGTTTGATATCATAACCACATTTAGAGAATAATTCAACCAATTCTGGATCTAAATCTGGACAATTTTCTATCAATTGTTCAACAGAAGCATCATTGTTCCAATCATTCTTCACATCTGTTTCATGGGCCTTATAGAAACAGTAGCAGGAAATCACTTCATTGTTTGCGCATGGTGATAACACAATCTTATATTTGGTTTCACCTCCCCAATATTCAATAGCTTCATTGTTGGAAAAATCTTTCAATCCTAATTCTCTAACCTTCTTGGTATCGAATAAAATTCTGATACAAGATGAGTCACTATTTCTAAACTTTGGCTCAATACCTATTTGTGGTTTAGTTAAGGTTCTAATACCATCAGCAGCAATAATCAAATCGGCAGTGGTCTTGACACTATTTTCAAATTCAACATAACCAGATTCGTAGTCAACTTTTATTGCTTTATGGTTCAAGAACAATTCACATGGTTTTCCTTCTCCTTCTCCTGTACAATATTCTTTCAAAAGTCTATGGATATCGATCCTATGGAAGTTAAAATAAGGGAATCCAAATTTCTCTTTATAATCACCTAATGGGTAAATTCCGTTGACTTTTCCCGTTTTCCAGTCCCTTCTGATTAAATTCTTCAAAATGACTGGTTTAGCTTTATAAGGGTCCACCCCCCATTCATTGAGCCAGTATCCTCCATTTGAAGCACAACTCAAAGATGCTCCAACTTCTCCATTGAAATCGTAACGTTCATAAATTCTTACTTTATGTCCAGCTCTTCTCATGGCTAAAGCTGATGATAATCCACCTAATCCTCCTCCCAATACTATTACATCTAATTTCCATGAATCTGTTGTCATTTTTTTCTTATCCTAAAATATACCATTATGGATCCATTTTATGGTCCTTATCAATGCAATGCGGCGTCGATAATTTTTTTATCGCGGTGAGATTAAAGCTTGTCGGGTATTTATACAGAATGAGAATAAAGTGGCCGTCGGAATTTGAGGTAAATACCATAATTAGACATTTCAGAGACTTCTGATTATATAATATTATTCATTCAGAACATTACTAATCCCAGATATTGATAATATCTTATTTTGGCCCAGTTCACGTGATGGTTTTCTTCATTATCTCTATCCCAAACACTGGTGATCATCTTTTCAAACTCACCTAAGTAACTGAATTTCAATCTGTTCTTGATACTATGTATCCTGGATAGGATATATTCACGATCTTCTGTTTTATATGCAACTGACCCCGCCATTATCAAGGGGAACATCAATCCAGTTTCAACGTCAGTATTGAATCTGATTACTTTCATGGATTTCAAAATAATAGCCAAACACGCTTCAATCCTGGAATCTTTTCTATTATACCCGTACCTGATCTGATGTAGCCTCAAGAATGCTGACCATTGTAAAGCTACGGTATATGAGGAAAGGATCAACTTTCCTTCATCCATAGAATTATCAATCTGAAAGGTGTTGGCTACTAAATCTAATTTAGGAGACCATTTTTGTAGTCTCATTTCAATCAAGTTAGCCAAATTATTAAATCTTTGTTCATTCTCCTTACTGTCATACCTATTCGTTCTCAAACTAGCTAAGGTGGAGATGTTTCCGATAATTTTGAATATCTCACCAGCAATACCAAACCTGAATCCAAACTTACTGTTCAAAATGGTTTCTATATCCTGCTCGTCATAGTCAGAAGTTTGGGATTTATCAACGTAAGGAGAAGAACAAGTACTCAAGCTAGATATCAAATCTAAGTAACAAAACAATTGAGTAGATAGTGGAGCGAATTTAGATACCTTCTTTATCCCACCTCTCTTTTCAATTAAACTGGCCGCCCTATCCATAGCCACATTCCAATACAAAGATGTTCCTTCGAAAATCTCTTGAATGGATATTAATAAGATGGACAATAGGATGTTCTCGTTGTCTGCCATGTAATCGACATGATGGCCAATAAAGAGAGCTTGGGATTTGGCTCTATAAACAGTAGCATCTCTTTGATATTCAAGATTCACGGCAATGGAATTGTTAGCTCTGTGTGAAGCTGATATTGCTATTATGGGCATCCTTACGAGTTGGTCCTCGATAGCTAGAGGTATAACCGTTCGAAGAAACCTCGTACTGGCTTTGTCTACAAATAACAATGGAGAAACATTGGTAATGAAATACCTCAATAACTCCAATTCCTTAGCTCTGATTGTCAATGATGTCATTGAACACATAGATAACAAGCTGTTCTTCTCCTCTTCGTAAAGTTCAGGGTCAGAAGCAATGGAGTTTGGTGATATCCCTTCGTCCAATACGATATTGGGGGTAGCCACTTTCAGGAGATCTAATTCAAAGGTCGGGGACTTTATTAATGAATTCAAAAGGAGTCTCTCTTTATTTGAAAGTTCGTCTTGACCATAGAACAAGTCATTGGTTATCTCAAGAAGGTTTAGAGGACTCTTCATTGAATCATAGAACATATTGATCTCAGATCCATTCAAATGTTGAATGTGTTGTTGCATATGTTGTTGCTGTTGCTGATGTTGTTGCTGCTGGTGTTGCAAGTTCTGTGTCTGTTGTGTCGAATCATTACCTGTGGGTTGTATTTCGATATTGGAATCATCGTTACCTGTCTCATTGACGAACTCCCGTTCTCTCTTGTCATTCCTAGGTCCATCACATAGCAAACCAAGTCGTTGGCAGTCAAAACATGTAGGCCAATCCTCGGAACATTTTTTCCTCCTTTGTTTGCAATTGCCACATCCATTATGGGAATATTTCAATTGAGATGTAGGTTTGTTAAGCTTCTTTCTCCCCATCTTCCTGACCGGCCTATTATATCCACATTGTAGACTCAAACTCTTGCAATTTTTACAAACTTCACCACCGTCACATTGTCTCTTGAGTTTATGACATCTGTCACAAGCTCTCTTTCTATTCAAAACGCTATCCATTTGTATGAGGGGGTAAAATGATAAATCGCGATAAGAGATCGATAACCGGCATATTCATTGCATTTTGCGCTCTATTTAGTATTTTTCCTTAACGATAGAAGAGGTGAATCTGAATTGGGTTTGATCTTGGTGAAATCATGAGCATCCAAACATGCTTGTCTACTTAACATGACAGCTGGAGCTGCTCTGGCTTTGATTGTTTGACAATAATCATTGGCGGCGGTGTCCCAAGGTTTTCCCTCGTTCAAAAACTTATCTAATTCAAACATCAAATCTTTAACGTCAGTAATTCCATGATTAGCAGCTTCGCCTCTGAACATAGTCATGGCATGAGCTGAGTCTCCACACAAAAGAACTTTCCCATTAGCATTGTCCCATTCCACAGCTGGCCAATCCACCAATCGAATTTGTTGTAAAGTATCCCAATCTTCCACACACCTATCCGATAACTTCTTCAATTCGGGTGCCAAATCTTCAGAATGACGCATGATAGCAGCTGCCATCTCTTCCTTGGTGTTGAAGGGTTCATTATCATCGGCTGGGAATGAAACATTCACTTGAGCATAATAGCCATCCCCACTATATTCCGGGGTAGATAACATTGAAAACCAAAAAAAAGTGTTGGAAGGGGTTGTTCCTTGGAATAATAAAGGATCGAATTTTTCAGCTATTTCAGCAACTTCATCCTTTGAAAGTCTTACTTTTGATCCTACGAATCTGATAGGTAATTGATAAGGTGTTCCCAAATCTTCTCCACACACTAACTTTCTAGTAATAGATTGTGAACCTTCACATCCAATTAAAACGGAACCTCTGAACTCTTTCCCATTACCACATTTAACTGTTACATTTTCATCATCACTATCTATGGAAACCAACTTACAACCCCAATCTACATCGATTCCTTCCAACAAGATTCTTCTTATCTGTTCCCTCCTAACTCTCAATCTCTTGGATGGTGGAATTGAAACTATTGACTCTGTTGTATGGGCATTGATATATTTGAAATTACCAGTATCCTTTTCATGAAAATTTGGTAATACTTGAGCTTGATAGATCTTTTCAACCAATTGCGGATTTAACAAATCTTTGAATGATTGTAAAGCCCAATGTAAGGTAATTGCCCAACCATGTTGTTCCCTTTGTTGTACTGATTCATCCCTATCAAATATAACATAATCAACATTTCTTGCTTTCAAAGCTTGAGCTATTAATAACCCAATCAAACCAGCACCACTGATTATTACTTTAAACTCTTCTTTTGACATTATTAAGGTTTAGAAGCGAATGTGTGCCTCTTTTAATCTTTTCATGCATCGCGTTAATGCCAGATATCGGAGACTTTAGATAGGAGCATTTTTAATAATTCCGCTGAGATTGTTAAGAGCGGCAAAAAAACCAATATTTCACTTTGATATAAAAATATCTCACAATCATGATTTTTATTCACCATTAAAATGTCTCATGAATCAGTCAATCCTATTGATCCTTCTATGGAAGGAAAGCTTGATGCAAAGTTTGTTGAAATGTACAACAAGCATGTAGCACATATCCCAAATAAACCAATTGATTTACCTGTGTTGCGTCAAAACTATTCCAAGATCTATTCCTATGGAACTGCTGAAGCTCCCGAGATCAAGAATGTCGAAGATGTGACATTCCCTTCTTTTGATGGGTATCAAGTAACCTTGAGAGTTTATAAACCCGATGATTATACTGGAGAATTGCCATGTCATATTGATTTCCATGGTGGAGGTTGGGGTTTGGGTGATTTGAATACCGAATCCCATATAATGAAACATTATGTTAAACTTGCCAAAATCTGTGTTATCGATGTTGATTATAGATTGGTTCCAGATTTTGCTTATCCAACAGGTTTGAAGGATTGTTTTGAAGCCACCAAATTTGTTTATAATAATCCCCAGATATTTGGTATCAATAATAAGAGTATCTCCATTGGAGGTGTTTCAGCTGGTGGTAACATTGCTTTAGCTGTTAGTCATCTTTGTAGAGATGCAGAGATTCCTTTAGTATTATGTGTTGCTGGTACCCCACAAGTTGATGATATTGAACCTTATAAAGTAGCAGGAGATTCTCCATATGCTTCCAACAAAGAGTTTGAATTCGCACCTACTTTGAACTGGGCTAGATTGAAATGGTTTGATAAGTTGAAGTGGGATTCTTTGAAAGATCCTGAAACTGAATTGAAGGAAATTGGGTGGTTTAAAAGTATCATAACAGCTCCAAATTTTGAAAACTTACCTAAAACTGTTATATTTACTGCCGGTTGTGATCCAATGAGAGATGAAGGTGAAGCTTATGCTAGTAAATTGATAAAAAATGGTAATGAAGTGGTTTTCAAAAGATATCCTGGTGTCCCCCATCCTTTCATGCATATGGATCTGTACTTATGGCAAGCTTCAGATTTTATTAAACGTACAGCTTTCGAAATATCAATAGCCCATGGAACTAGAGAATAAAACTTGAATATATATTCTAGATTGAATTGGAATCAATTGAATAATTATCTAACCCGAACTTAACCCTAATATCGTTATTGACCTCGTTATTGATCTCGTTAATGTGACTTTCTTCATATAAGCCATTGTTTAAATCTTTCAAATTCACATTATTATCTTTAATGGGATAATAGTTGATGTTGTGATCGATTAATAAATTTCTAACTTCACTTTTTAACAGATTATTGAAATGAATGACGATTTTATCGTTTTTGGTAGATACTGGTAAGTTACCTATGTTCAATAAACTGTTAACATCATTTAAAGTTTGCTTTAAACTATCAATTTTTGAAGCCAAAATTGATGATAAGTTCTCTAAATCATTAAATTTCTCTACTTTGGGTTCTGAATGACTGATTTGAATATTACATCCCATAGGTTGATATTTCTTAGTGATGGAATCATAAAAATTCGATCTATCGTAAGTGTTAATGGATTTAATCAACAGGATGATGGATATTGGGGGTAAAAACGATGCTTTTATACCTATGACTGGTTTAAAATTGGAATTATTATGACGAAACAGTGATACTGAATATTTAGGAATGAATTTGGAGATTGAATTTGGAATAAATCGTTGAAATTTTAGGAGATCATCATGAATGGGAGTCAATGCGCTGGGGGTAATCGATGTCAGATAAAATCTACGGAACTTTTTGGGTGTTGGTTGAGGTACAGGTACTCTAACTGGTACCCTTTGAGGGTACAGTTGTTCAAGGTTCCTGCTTAACTCTTCCAACGATCTTTTGACCTTATCTTTTAATTTAGCCCAGTTCTTAAACATCCCTTAAAGATATTTGTTGATGACGCACTGATAAAGGTGAGAATCTCACGTGACTACTCCATTATCGGAAATATGATTCTCAAAGGAATTTCGAGAGGAAGGGGAAGAGTTTGGTGGGAAGATTGAGCTGATGGTGATGTTGGATGAGTGTACTGATTCATTCGATGGGTATATCAGATGTATTGGTGATTTGGGTCTTGACCAGGTGATTTAGGTCTGATCGTGGTGATTTGGTACTATAATTACATAAATATGTCCCTGAAACCCCAACCAAAACTCATGGGATATGACCCTCAGTTCATGAACAACATCATATTCATCCATCTAATACCTCCGTTTTTTTCACTCTTGAATTTTCTCTTCTAATTCCATCTTTACAAAACATGTAAAAATCACAAAATGTTAAAACCAATTAACTAACGTGTTGAAAAAAATATTCACCGTCATTTAATCAATCATTCAACATTGATCTCCTTCCCCAACAACCCAATTGCCTTACTAACACCTTTACCTCGTTCATCATAGAAAAAAATCGGTCTTTAAACTATTCATACCCTCATAAGTATGGGTGTACCGAAGTTCAATTAGACATCCCAAAACGGTTAAATTACAAGGTGATGGATTAACGCGTTCTCAAAAAATTACCTACCCTTCAAAAAGTTTTATTGCTAAATTGACAGGTAAAAGTAAAATAAAAACCACAAATTTACCGTGTTAAAGGCATCAAAAGATATTTAATAGTTCCAACTTCCATTCCATTCATAGTCTTTGCAAATTAATCTAATCAGAACCATTGAAAATTCCCTTCAAGTAGATTAAGATCCTAAGGCTAAAAAAAATTTAATCTTCGTTCCCTACATAAATTATGAATACTTTAAAAGAAACTAATATAAGTCCTAAACCTGAATTAGATTTAGAAAACTCCATTATGTCTGAGAAAGTGAAAACTCCTTTAAAGAAGGAAGAATTAGAGAAAATCGCCAAAGAGTTGAAGAAAAAATTATCCAAAGCTTCAATAACTGCTAAACAACAGCAGTTAAGTCCAGTGAATTCAAAGGTTGGTAAGAATTTAAGTCCATTAAACAATTTAATTTCTAAAAAGACTGCAAAAGATGCGTTTGAAAGTCCAAGTAGAATTCATTATTTGTCGTCATCGTCACCATTATATTCGCCTAATAATAAATCTCCAACTCATATTAGGAATTCAGCTGCTATATCATTATTATCATCATCACCAATCATTGAATCTCCTATCAAGAAGTCTAAGAATTCATCACCTTTGAAGAATCAACCAACTATGGTTTTACAATCAGTTTCAACTCCATCCAAATCATCATCTTTAAAACCTTCACCTTCATTAAATCCCAAACAAACCACTCCTACATTATCCAAGAAACAATTGAATGTTAACACATCAATGGATAACGCATCAGGAAACCCATTATTGAGAACTCCAACTCAATCTAAAGGTAATTCAGGTAATGGTAATTATAATGATGAAGAAGGAGCGGATTTATTAATGTACTTAGCTACATCACCATCTCCAGCTAAGAACTATTTTCCTAACACCCCTAAGTTAGGAGGACCTACTAGTACCAGTAGAAACGAATCTTCTAATAAAGATCCAGCACCATCATCATCAACATTACCAATTCACAAACATTCTTCATCAAATTCATCAGCCAATTCATTTATTGCACCACCACCTCCATTAACACCAAAACGTCATATCAATTCAAGTAGTAAAACACCTCAAAACAGATTAACTCCTTCAATTAATTTGTTCAATAATTTGAATCCAAATTTACCTTCATCAGGGTTAGCTTTAACTCCTGCTGGATTTAATATGAACGATTATGTTAATTTCTTCTCCCCATCACCTGGTGGAGCTAATTTGAATAAGAATTTGAATTCTACCTTCTTAAAAACTCCAGATTTCAATAATTTATTAAATAACCATCCTAATAACGGTTCAAATTTGAAACAAAGTGTGGATGGGAAGATGATAAATTTCGATAAAGTTGGACTTTTCAAAGGAGAATCCAAAGATTAAATTCAGGTTAAAAAAAAGGAAAATACAAAGGATCAAAGGATTACACCAGGTTTCATTTCTTGTAACATAGGCATGTTTTGTTAATAGATATACTCTATACTTTCCGGCACTGACGGGAAATTTCTGGCTTTAAGGAACATTTTCAGGTGCCACAGTCTCTTTAACTCTTTTCGAGTTCTTTCTTCGAACTAATGGTCTCTTTGAATGATCCATGAGGTCTCGTTGCACGTTTCCTCTTCACTATAATCTCCAAGGTTTTGCAGCCATCTCCAAAAATTTTGCAGTCAGTGCGAAAATTTTCATCATGACTGCTACAGACATTGAACCTAAGGTGGAAGATTTAAAGATCGAGGATAAAGAAGATGTTGAAGATGTTGAAGTAGAAGAAGGCGACGAAGAAAAAAAGAAGAAGAAAAAGAAGAAGAGTAAGAAAAAGAAGAAAATTACTGCAATTGATAACTCCTATCCAGATGGGAAATTCCCTGAAGGTCAATGGTTAGAATATCCATTAGAAGTAAATTCTTATAGAACCACTGATGAAGAAAAGAGATATTTGGATAGACAAGATGAAAGTAAATGGCAAGATTTCAGAAAAGCCGCTGAAATCCACCGTAGAGTTCGTCACAAAGCTCAATCATCAATCAAACCAGGGATGACAATGACAGAAATTGCTGATTTGATTGAAAACTCCGTTAGATCATATGCCAACGGATCTAATTTATTGGATGCCGGGATTGGATTCCCAACAGGTTTATCATTAAACCATGTTGCTGCTCATTATACTCCTAACGCCGGAGATAAATTGGTATTAAACTATGAAGATGTCATGAAAGTTGATATTGGTGTTCATGTCAATGGTAGAATTGTTGATTCAGCTTTTACTTTCACATTTGATGATAAATATGACCAATTATTGAATGCTGTTAAAGATGCTACTAATACAGGAGTTGCCGAAGCAGGTATTGATGTCAGATTAAACGACATTGGTGAAGCTATCCAAGAAACTATGGAAAGTTATGAATTAGAATTGAATGGTAAAAGTTATCCTATCAAATGTATTAGAAATTTGAATGGTCATAATATCTTCCCTTACTCAATTCATGGAGATAAATCCGTACCAATTGTTCCTAATGGAGATATGACCAAAATGGAAGAAGGTGAAACTTTTGCTATTGAAACTTTCGGATCTACTGGTAAAGGATATGTTGATAGTGTTGGAGAATGTTCCCATTATTCTTTAAATGCTGATATGGATGTTAGTGGATTAACAGATTCAGCACAAAAATTGCGTAATGTCATCAAAGATAATTTCAACACCTTACCTTGGTGTAGAAGATATTTGGATAGATTGGGTCAAGATAAATACTTATTAGCATTAAACCAATTAGTAAGAGCAGGTATAGTTAATGATTATCCACCATTAGTCGATATCAAAGGTAGTTACACTGCACAATTCGAACACACCATATTATTACATCCTCATAAGAAAGAAGTTGTTAGTCGTGGTGATGATTATTAGGAAATAAAGAAAAAAAATCGGTATAAAAATTCACGCTCTCATCTCTGTGTACAATCTCCCTAACTTACCGCGGCTGGTAGTAATTTCACGTCTGCGTCGACCGGCATTATCATCAAATTTCAAATCACAGCCATTCAACTTCGCACTCCTTTTCGTTGTTTTTTTCCAACAGATCGATATGGAAGTTAGTCCAGCAGTTTTAGAATTTAAAGGTATGTGAAGTCATCCACTTACTCATCACAGCATTTATGGTGATAATTTGATTGATTAAACCGTTGGGTTAACAATAAATTATGAATGTTTTATTTTAAAATACTCAACTCATCTTGTCAACTAGCTGTCAAGTGACGCAAACGTACTAACAAAAATAATAGGTGATTTCCTTAAACCAAATACCGAATATTTGACTTTAACTAATAGTTCAAATGGTCCATTAGCTTTCAAAGTTAAGACCACTGCCCCTAAATTATACTCAGTTAGACCAAATGCCAACATTATTCAACCTGGTGATTCCATCAAAATCTCCATTAATTTACAAGCTTTCTCCCAACCTTTAAGTAAATTTTATAAATGTAAAGATAAATTCTTGATAGTTGCATTACCATGTTCAACTGATGCAGATGCTTCAAAAGTATCAGAATTTTGGAATGATTTAGAAAAATCCAATAAATCCAAATTAATTTCAAATAAATTGAAAGTAAATTATATTATTGAAGATGATGGAGATGCTATCAAAGAAGAAAAAATAGATGATGAACCAACTGAAGTTGTTGGATCCAATAAACCTGAAATTATTGCTTCAGGTGTTGCAACAAGTGATGATTCAGGTATTAAATCAGTTAAACCTTCAGTACCTGTTGAAGAAAAAGAAGTTTCCGAAAAGAAAGATTATGATGAAGAATCTTACAATGAAATCAATAAATTATCTGAAAAATTCGATAAAACTGAATCTGAAGAAACTAAGGTTATTAAAAAGGATGAACCTTTTGGTGTTTCATTGATCTTGACAGTTATATTAATGTTACTCGCTTTTATTATCGGGTGGTTAATTTTTTAGATCCTGTAATGTATTAACTATTTAATCTCCTATCTAAAAATCATCTTCTAATCTTCTTAATAAATAATCAATCTCAACTTTCTTGGTCAACGGAATTATGTAATCCTTATATAATTGGGATATGACCTTGGGGTCGACTTTAGATTGTTTGTTTTGACTGAATTTTAAACTTGGGTCAATACCATAACTTTCAGCTTTGATTTCTAATCTTTCCAAGATCTTGTCTTCAACTGCTTTGTTAGTAATTGATCTTTCAATACCTTCAACATCTTTTTCTTTGATCATTCTGATATAGTTTTCCTTATCATTTTGGAATTTAGATTCTGCTACAAATTTACCGAAATGAATTCTTCTGGAGATGGTTTGTAAGCATTCAACATCACTGGTAGAAACTGAACCTAAATTTTCTTGTTGTTCACCCAACTTACATGAAATTTTAGGTACGATATCATGAACATAGAATTTCTTGATCTCATCGTTAACATTGATCTCATTAGAATAATCAGCTAAAATCTTGGGATAATTGATTGAAGGTAAAATGGTGGGTAAAATATCATCAGGAAAGAAAGGACTTTCATCAGGAGCTTCATATCTTCTAACTTGGGAATGGATCTTCTCTAATTGTAATAAGAACCAATCTAACATTGAACCCTCAAAATTAGGGATGAACTTTTTTGGTTCATAAACTGATGGTGATGAATAAAATTGTGATCTTTCAATCAATGCAAAAACAATGGTTTCTTCCATTCTAATCAAAGCTTGACGAATGTTATTCAAATCAAGAACAGTGTCTGGTTTCATAAAATCCATGATGGCTAGAAATTGTCCGAAAAGATAAAAAGTCGCGAATATATTGAGTCAGAGATGTTACTCTAATCCTTTGAGGGAGTAATGGGTTGAGGGTCTTGGAACTTCTCTACTCGTTTCTTAGCATAATTAGTTAATAATTGTGCATCTTCAACTTCCATTTGTCTTAATTTTTCAATATCATTTTCTTTAGATCTCCTATTGATAAGTAATCTTCTGATACTGGAAAGTGGAGTATCAGGTTCTACATCATAATTCATTTCTTGTAAAAGCTTGAGATTAGTTAAGTTGATTTCATAGTTCATTCTTCTGGATTTATCAAATGCCAATATCAATTGAATAGTGGTAGTAATCCCCATAACCATAAGTACAGCATAAAGAATTTTGAACTTGTTTTTTTCAAATTGTTCTCTAGTTGGAGGAGTTTTATCATATTTCATCTTATAGTAATCTTCCCAAGTACCTGCTTTCCAAAATTCTTCATTATTATCGAAATTATATTGTCTTCTATGACTATTGGACATTCTGAAAGTTTCAAAGTTCCCAAATGTCGAATTACGATCTGTTCTATGTGTTTTGTACTTATAATCTTCCCATGTAACATCACTTCTTAAATATGCATTTCTTCTTACTGGATTCTTAAGTATATCGTAATGTTTCTGTATTTCATCAAATCTTTTACGTTTTTCTTCATTATTCATAAGTTTATTCTTTTCGTCATGTACTTCTATGTTATTGATTATATCTGGATGATATATCTTAAGGAATTTGTTATAATTTGATTTAATGAAAAGATCCGTTTCTTTGGGGGTAAGATTCATATCATTATCCAAACCAAATAATTTCTTAGGATCTGAAGTCCAATGAGGCAATTGATGTTTATCGTGGAAGTCCTTTATGTTAGTGCTGGTAGCATAAGATCTAATTCTTATTATTGAAGGATTCAAGATGGTTTGTTTCATTATAACCCTAAATCGCAAAACCATCAAATCGCATTTCCATGATTCCCTATTTAAAATGTCGCAGAGTTGTTAAAATGTCGCATGCTATTAAAAAATCTATAAATTGGCAATTAAGTTACCTGGATGGTTTTGGTCATTGACTCTGATGGATTTACCTAACTTGTAGATAGATTGGATGATACAGTTATCATCTAAAACTATTAAATCAGCATCACAACCAACAGTCAAGAACCCTTTTTGGTTTTGAAGGTTTAAAGACATAGCAGCATTATTAGTAGCAGTTTTAATAGCTTGAGCTAAAGGAATGTTTGTCCATTTGATTAAATTCCTGACACATTGGATTAAAGAAGTACCTGAACCAGCTAAAGTTTTAGTTCCTTCTAAACATAATCTGAAACCATCTTTAACAATATTTCTTTTATCCCATTTATAAGTACCATCTTCTAAACCAAACATGAAGATAGCATCGGTGGTTAAAACACATTTATCAGGATGTGATTTATAAGCTAAGGATGCCATAGATGCATCTACATGAATACCATCACAAATCAATCCAAAATATGGAGCATCATTAGTTATTGGGTTATTAATTAAACCCAAAACTCCAGGGTCTCTGTGATGAGGTTGTGGCATGGCATTATATAAATGTGTAATCATAGTGGCTCCTTGTTCTATAGCTTTTAATCCAGTTTCATAATCGGCATTAGTGTGACCAATGGAATAGATGATATTTTTGGATTTCAAATAAGGGATGATATCTATAATACCGTCGATTTCCGGTGCGGCGGTGATGATGGAGATATTTTCAAAGTTTTTATCACCATAAACGTGATCTATCTTAGAAGAACCTTCTTTAGCATCAACAAAAGTTTCAGTTGGATGACATCCTTTCTTTAATAAACTTATAAAAGGACCTTCACAATGAGCACCTAAAGAATCAGTCATATAATTAGTTCTTGATCTTTTCAAAATAGGTAAAACTTTTTCATACACTTCAGCAAAATTCGAAGTAATGGTTGGACAAACCCCAGTTACCCCAGTTTCTAAGAATTTAGCCATAACATCATTATAAAATCTTTTATACTCATCGATATCTTCTTTTGAACTATTACCATCCAAATTTGAAAAGTTCAATCCAAAGAACCCATTATTTTGAATATCTATCAATCCTGGAGCCAAGTATTTACCATTAAGATCAACTATTTTAGTATTAGCATTATCCTTTGGGTCATCTATGATTTTTCCTGTTTCATTATTAATGAATAACTCACTATCAAAGTAAGTTATACCATTATCTATTAAATTACAATTTGTGAACTTAGTATACTTCATTATTATAAGTAGCTACCTAGGGGAATATGTTTGTATAAGTAAGAATTGAAAGAATTGAAGAAATGTGTAAATTAAATAATAAATAAGAACTACGTGATATTTCGGCTACTTTGCATATTGACGTTACATTTGCGCGGAGGTTACATTTTTGTTATCTATAAAAGGTTTAGGTTTCCATTTACTTTGAGGTTACGGTTACACAGAAATTTTTCAAAAAGATTGAACATATATATAACATCTAGCATTTAGCATATCCACAATCAAATCAAATGAGACAAGCTACTTTTTCAAATAAACAAGATGCTTCAAATTATGTTGCTCAATATATTGTAGATAAAATTAATAGTTTTAGACCAACACCTTTGAAACCTTTTATCTTAGGTTTACCAACAGGATCATCACCTGAAGGTATTTATAAGAAATTGATTGAATATTATAATCAAGGTAAGATTAGTTTCCAAAATGTTGTTACTTTTAATATGGATGAATATGTTGGATTATCCCCAGTAAATGATCAAAGTTATCATTATTTCATGTATAATAAATTTTTCAACCACATTGATATACCAAAGGAAAATATCAATATCTTGAATGGATTATCCAACAATATTGAACAAGAATGTAAGAATTATGAAGAAAAAATCAAAAAATATGGTAAGATCCATTTATTCTTAGGTGGATTAGGTATTGAAGGTCATTTAGCATTTAATGAAACTGGCTCTTCAAGAGATAGTATAACTAGAAAGATTGAATTAGTACCATCAACCATAGAAGCCAATTCAAGATTCTTTGATAATGATTTAAATAAAGTACCTAAATTTGCCTTATCAGTAGGGATCTCCACTATATTAGATAATTCCGAAGAGATCATTGTTATTATCTTAGGTAAAAATAAGAAATTTGCTTTAGATCAAACTATCAATGGTAAAATGGGATCCAAATATCCAAGTTCTTGGTTACAAGATCATCCTAATGTGTTATTAGTTAGTGATTTTGAAGCTTATCCAAAATTGTAAGTAATATGTAGAAATTCCGTAAGTTTCCGAAATATTTTCTCTCACATCTCCATATGTTCATCTCGTTATCAAAGAGAGAGAGAGGAAGGAAAAAATCGCCATTCGTTCCGGTTCATTATTGCCGATATCTCATCATACGCCTTTCTTCAATATGCCACCCTCAAACTGTCCTAACTACTCTCCTATTAACATTATATTCTCATGTTGCAATGATTTATCATTGACTGCGAAAAATGCAACATTAACATCACCTTGAAAACTTCTACAGTAAGACGATAATTATGTGTTTAATTAACTAACCACCACAAATTCACTATTTCCCCTTATTGCGTTATCTTGGTATCATTTACTCCTCTAATCATCCAAATTCCTAAAATGTTCGAAAAAAAAGTAGTGTAAAAGTATAAAATGTTACCAGTGAGAATTGGTTACATCTAAATTATATGTTGTATTCACTCAGTTGCATAATTTTTTAATCCCCAGATATATTTATACTAAAACTGTTGAATTCCAATCACTATTCCTTTCATTAAGCATTATTAACGACTTCAATATTGTAATTTTGAAGAGGAAAGTTCTTAAAGTTTAAAGATTGAGGAATAAGGAACTTAAGAATAGCCCCATTTTTTGATACATCACAATGATACAATCACAGGTTGATGTTAATAATGTCATATTAAAACCGATGTTTATCGATAAAACAAACTTGGTGGATGACAGTTCTGCTGATATAACGGAAGGCAGTTCAAGTTTATCCCCAGATTTCAATTCAACTGCTTTCAATAACATCTTAAAGGATTATGATGTTGTGGATGATGATACTATTTTACATTATAGTGAAGAACTTTTGAATGAACTTAATGAATCTTTACAGTTGAATTCTTCATTATCGATGTTACCAAACTTCAATATCAACCCAACAGGGAAAGAACACGGTAATTATTTAATTATTGATTTAGGTGGATCAACTTTAAGAATATCTATCATTGAAATTCAACCTGAATCTAGTAATATCAACCGTTCAGAAAGAATCAACATCATCATTGAAAACAAGTGGATCATGGCAAATAACGAAAAAACCATTGATGATGAGTTTTTCAAATTCATTGGTAGTAAAATGATCGAAACTATAAATCAACAATCAAATATTTCCATTGATGATACCATTAATGTTGGTATTACCTGGTCATTCCCATTAAATCAAACATCTCATAATTCAGGAAAGATCAATAATGTTGGTAAAGGATGGATCATATCTGAAGAAATCTATAATCAAGACTTGAAAGATATCTTAGAAAACTCATTATTGAATAATTTCAATTGTAAAATCAACGTTAAAGTTATCATTAATGATTCTTTAGCGGTTTACGCTGCTGGCAGGTTTTTGAGTTCGGATTTAAAATTAGCAATGGTTTTAGGTACTGGTTATAATATTTGTTGTTCATTGAAAACTTCAAAATTACATCCTTTGAAGAGTTTAAACTCTGATGCCATTTTACTTAATAGTGAAACTTCCTTATTTGGTTCAATGTTAGCACCATTATCTAATGAATTTGATCTTGAAATTGATGATAGGTTCTTAAAAGGGAAATCTTTTAAAGCTTATATGGAATTAGATGATAATACTAAGATATTCCAACCTTATGAGATTATGACAAGTGGTAGATATTTACCTGAATTAACCAGATTATCAATATTGAAGTTAATGAAGAATAACGAGATTTTTTCTGATTTACTTATACATCCAACAAATAAGATATTCACTGTTTATGATGGATTTTCTAGTGAAATCCTTTGTGTTTTCTCAGAAAACAATTCAACATTGAATGAAATCAAAGACCAATTCATCAAAGAATTCGGTGATGATTTTAAAGATATAACTCTTCATGATTTAATGAAAATTCAACAACTAGTTAACTCCATAATCAAAAGAGCTAGTTTTATTGTTACTATTTCAATCATTTCATTCATCAAATTGTTAATTGATCATAATAATGAGACTTTCCCTAATAAAAAGTTAACTATAGGTTATGTGGGATCTATCTTGGTGTACTTTAATAGGTATAGAAATATGATCTTGGAAATGATTAATGATTGTGATTATATTAGAAACTTAGGCATAACAGTGGACTTAATGTCCATTGATGATAGTTCAATCGTTGGTGCTGCCATTGGTGCTGCTTATTATACATAGACATTTTTTTGTTACTGGTTTATCTGGTCTCTGATTTCTCTGATTTGATTTTGAGGGCACTTTGTGGTCGACATTAGAGGCTTTTGATCTCTCTGATTTCCTTTTTGAAGAGAAAATTTGATCCTTTTGTTGCTTGGTCAGTTTTTCCGGTCAAATTGCCCGACCTTCAAGTATTTCAGACCTTCTCTTTCCATTAAACCTTTTATTTTGCAACTGCGATTTTGCAACTGAGAATTTGCAACTGAGATTTTTGCGACATGCTAAGGTTGTTCAGAAACTATGCCAAAGTAGCAAACGGTTTGGCTTCTTTGAACTCAGTGCCCATCAAAAAGACCAGAGATATTGGTATTATCGCCCATATTGATGCTGGGAAGACAACCACAACCGAAAGGATGCTCTTCTTTAGTGGTCAAACCAAGAAAATAGGTAATGTCGATGAAGGTGATACTGTAACCGATTATCTTCAAAGTGAAAGAGAAAGAGGAATAACCATTCAACTGGCAGCTATTACCATTCCTTGGAATAACAATAAGATCAATATCATCGATACTCCTGGCCATGCAGATTTTACTTTTGAAGTCATCAGATCTTTGAGAGTTCTAGATGGTGCTGTGACAATTTTTGATAGTGTTGAAGGGGTTGAAGCACAAACTGAGAAGGTATGGAAACAAGCTCAAGAACTTCATCTTCCAAAGATATCTTTCATCAATAAAATGGATAGAGATGGGTCCAACTTCAATAAAACAGTCAAGGAAATCATCGAAAAACTTCAAACCAGAGTGGTGATATGTAATTTGCCATACTTTGAAGTTGTGAACAATCTCCCCAAATTCAAAGGTGTGGTTGATGTTATCAATAAGAAGGTGTTGGTATGGGATTTAGAAGCTGATGCTAATGGTAATAAAGTTGAGATACTTGAACCTTCTGATGAGATTAATGAAATTATTCTGAATTCAAGAGAATCAATGATTGAAACTTTAGGGGAATTTGACGATAGCATAATCGATGCATTCCTTGAAAATGATGAAAATTACTTGGAAATTCCATCGGCGATAATTAACGAGTCTATCAGACGTAACTGTATTGAGAATAATATTTCGCCGGTTTTTTGCGGTTCGGCATTCAAGAATATTGGGATTCAACCTTTGATGGATGCAATCACTAACTACTTACCGTCACCAACCGAAATCAATATTCCTGAAATAACTTCCACTAAAAGAGTTAAGAAGAAGGTTCATGAAAAAGTCCAAGTACCTATTAAGCTTGATACCAACAAAGGTATTCTTATCAATAATGATGATAATTTGACCGTAGCTTTGGCTTTTAAAGTTATTACTGACCCTATTAGAGGTGTCATGACCTTCTTCCGTGTATACAGTGGGAAATTGACCGCTAACAAACCTTTCATTAACACCCGTACAGGAGAAAAGTATGTTTTGAGAAATCTTCTTTTGATGCATGGAGATGAACCATTACCTGTTCAACTGATCTCTTCAGGTAATATCGGGGTCATAGCTAGTAATGAAGACATTGTTACGGGGGATACTTTAGTATCTCATGGAGCTTTAAATAAGAACTTTAGTGACCTTGAAAAGAATTTGAAATTATTACCTATTGAGATTCCACCTCCGTTATTTAACACTTCTATTCAACCTTTGACTGCTGGTGATGAGAGATATATGAATGAATGTATTCAATCACTCCTCAAAGAGGATCCATCATTGAAAGTCATGTATGATGAAGATTTGGGTCAAACGATTTTGAGTGGGATGGGTGAATTACATTTGGAGATTGTTAAAGATAGATTGATCAGAGATATGAAAGCTAAAATCACTTTCAACGACATTGTGGTTTCTTATAAAGAGACATTGACCAATCCTATCAATAAAGCCATCAAATCAATCGATGAAGATTCAAATTATTCGATTGAGATTGAAGTTGATAGTTTTGAAAGTGATGCCAAAGAAAGTTCCTTTGCTTCTGAAGACGGTAGCGAGTTATTAGAATATGATAATAATGTCATTATACTTCCATTATCAGCATCTCCAGCTGATGTTATAGAAGACTTTAATAATAAGAGATGGAAATCACAGTTCTCAATTGATGAAATATATGATAATATCGTTCAAGGTTTAACTGTTGGATTATCCATTGGTGGGAAGTTATACGGATTACCCTTACATTCTATGGCCATTAGAGTAAAATCTTGGAATGCACCTATTGCTGATAAAACTTTCAATCCTTCTAGATTACTTGATTTATCAAGGAAAGTCTTCATTAAAGCCATTGAATCCATTCCCCCCGACAACTTTACTATTCTAGAACCTATCATGGAAACCAAAATTTATATCTCGTCAGATAAACTCGGTGAGGTGACTCATGATTTGACGTCAAGATGTAATGCTACCATCATATCCATTCAAGATGAAACCAACGAGAATCTTGAACTCATCAATTGGGCTCTTCAAGAGTCAAGTAAAATTTATTTACCTCCAGACACTAATCTCCCCGTCACTTCTAATACCGACAGTATCAAGAATAAGAAAGTAGTAGTTGCTCATACTCCATTAAGAGAAATGATTGGATATTTGAATAGATTGAGATCAATGACTAAAGGAAGGAGTACTTTCGATATGGAATACTTAGGAATGCAAAGAGCTAATCATTCTCGACTTTCCATCATCTCCAAAGGGTTCTAACCTTCATTTTTGTGTAAATATGTATATAGATAAATTCATTAACCTTGTGACGACATTTCACCAACGTTACACACGACATTTCATCGAATTAACTTTACCTTACGACGACATTTTACTGTAGACGAGTCCACGACATTTAACGACTTTGTTGGGGATTTAGTGCGAAACCTTTTTTTATCATAAGATCAAAGTAATGACAGATCACTTAGACGTAGAAGAATTATCAACCTCACCATCCAATTCGTCATCCAACTCATCATTTGTACCAATTGACAAACAGGTGGTGTTCGATGCCGTTCAAGTTATTGATGAGTCCAAGACTTTCAATGATCGGATCATTCAATATATTGAGAAAACCTCACCTATTGGATCAATTGGTAATAATTATCATATTGTTTCGGTATTTGGATCCCAACTGACAGGAAAATCAACATTATTGAACAATTTATTCAATACAAATTTCGATGTTATGGATGAGAATAGAAGACAACAAACAACTAAAGGGATTTGGTTAGCTTATTCCCCCATGATTAATAGTAGTAAACCTTCTATCAAAGATAAGAAAGCAGAAAATATCTTTGTTATGGATGTTGAAGGAACTGATGGTAGAGAGAGAGGTGAAGATCAAGATTTCGAGAGAAAATCGGCATTATTCGCCATTTCAACCAGTGAAATCTTAATCATCAATATCTGGGAACATCAGATTGGTTTGTATCAGGGTGCTAATATGGGATTATTAAAGACGGTTTTTGAAGTAAACTTGTCGTTATTTGGTAAGACCAAATTATCAGGTAATGATGACCATAAAGTGTTATTATTATTTGTCATTAGAGATTACGTGGGAGTAACCCCAATTGAAAATTTAGCTGCTACCATCAAACAAGATTTGAAGAAGATGTGGGATGATTTGAATAAACCTAGTGAGTTATCAGATTTGAAGTTTGATCAATTCTTTGACTTAAAATTCCATACTTTGAGCCATAAAATCTTACAATTAGAGAAATTCCAAGGTGATGTTAGACTTTTAGGTGATAAATTCGTTAACCCTGATGATTCTGAGTATCTTTGGAAACCAAATTATCACCATAATATCCCAATTGATGGTTGGACCATGTATGCTTCTAATTGTTGGGAACAAATTGACTCTAACAAAGACTTAGATTTACCTACACAGCAAATTTTAGTAGCTAAATTCAAATGTGATGAGATTTTGAACAATCTTTTCTTGGAATTCACCGCTAAGTATAATGAATTGTTATTGTCCAAGGCTGGAGAAGATACTGATTATAAGGAAATAGGGTTATTGATGAAGGATTTGAAAGATGATTATTTAGATCAGTTTGAAATTTCAGCTTCAAAGTATAATTCTTCAGTTTTCCAAAGTAAACAGAAAGTTTTTCAGGATAAGATCCTTGATAAGTATCAAGAATTGTTCAATGTTCATAGTAAACGGATCATTAACACTATTTTGAAACAATTCAAGGATAAAATGGCAGAGAAATCTGATGAGAAATTCGTCGATAGAGTCGATATCTTGACTAAATCAAGTAAGAAACAACTCTCAGATAATTTAACCATGATTTCTCTTGATGAAATCAAATTTGATACCCATGAATCTGATTTACATAATGAAATCAATGAAATAGTTGCCAAACAACAAGTTATGGAATTGAATGGAATTGTTTCCAAGTTAGTTAAGAAATTATCATCTCAATTGAATAAGTTGATAGTTTTCGAAATCAATGATATTGGTGAAACTACCTGGGATTCTATTTTATCCGGATTCAAGAAAATCATAGATAACTTGTTATCTGCATATTATGACGAAACTACTAAGACTTACAATTTCAATTTGGGAATCGATGAAACCACCACCTCAGCATCAATTGATCAATTCAAATTCAAAGCTTGGGTTAAATTTTATCAATTGATCCAGAAAAACTTATCCAAAGATAGTATTTTGAACATTTTGAAGGACAGGTTCGATGAAAAGTTCAGATACGATGAAAATGGTATTCCAAAGTTGTACAATAATGAAATGGAGTTGGATAAAAACTTCAATAATGCTCGATTATTTGCTTTGAAAGTGATTCCTCAGTTATGTATGATCAAGTTATCTGATTCCACAGAAATCATTCCTGATTACGACATTTTCGATAAAGATTTGGTACAAAAATATGATGAAAATTATAATTTTGACGATGAAGAAGACGAAGATTCCAACAAATTCTCTCATATTATTAGTGAAGAACAGAAAACTGATATTTTGAACAAATTTAAAAAGGAAATCGATGCCAAATACATCGAAACCAAAAGATCGATCATTCAACACGTAACCTCCATTCCTTATTATATCTATATTATTATAGTGGTATTAGGATGGAATGAATTCTTAGCAGTGATTAGAAGTCCTATATTCTTCACCTTAGTGTTGTTATTTGGTGGTGTAGGATATGCCATGTATCAATTAAATCTCATTAAACCAGCAATGGTGGTAGGTCAAAGAATGTTGGATGAAACTATCGTTATCACCAAACAGAAATTGAAAGAGTTCTTAATCGATGATCATGACTTGCACCAAAGGAATTTCGATAAAATGAAAGAAACGGAAAACATCGAACTTGATGATTTAAGTGAGAGTAAAGATTAAATAGCATAATATTAAACATAACCTGAGGCATAACTAACACTACTTTCAAAATATGTGGTCACTTGACTACTTTGACTATAACCCAACCATTTAAATTTCCCTTCTTGGTGAAGTTCAAGTAGTTTTAAGACAATATAAATAGGTTTTTGACCACAAATCGTATTGCCGGTTAACTTTATATAATCATACCACTCTTTTGATGATCCTGAAGATGCTATAGACATCGATATCATGTCGAGGTTTCTAATGGATTTATAGATGGGTAAGTTCCCATTGATGGAAGAAACTGACGTTAAATCATCTTTGGTCAATGAGACTTTCTCTAAATTATTTAAGTCCATGTCTAATTTCTTGGTAAGATACTTAGTATAATTGAATCTAGACCCCCAATGACAGAAATCTGAACTTATGACAAAAGCATTGGACTTATCTTGGAAATATGGTGATAACGAATCTACCACTTTGGTTATTGAGGTCTCATCAATCGAACTGACCATTATAGGTATAATCTTAGGTCCTGATAGGTCTGTCAAGTCACTATCAAAGTCCTTATTGAAGTCTCTGATCTTATAGGCAATATAAGGACAATGCATCTCAAACGAATGTTCATCATTATCGGTGTCTTCATCCATGAATTTGAAATGATTACTCAATTTGACGAGTTTCTTACAAACATCAGTATCGACGTCCAAATCACCCAAGGGAGTTTCATAAGATTTATATGGACTCAAAGTGACATAGTTCTTGAAGTAAACATGATGGGAAGGTCCAAGGATAAAGATCCTTTTTATATTGGTCAAATCTAACACACTAAAACTTTCTCCCAATTGTTGATCACTATAAGTATAACCAGCATGAGGACCAACAAGGATTCGTGTTCCAGGGATTATGGAATGAGAAAATGAATCTTTGATCTGTTTGGTCAATTTAGAACCATTGGAAGTGTACCATAATCCACAATGAGTTGCTGGTCTCTTCATCCCTGATTCGCATTTGCAGCCAGTCGCACTACTATCAAAAAGTATGGAGAAAATGTCGTAGCCTTAACAGAGACGAGGCTAAACAAGAGACGGGATTATCAATAAATATGGTCGTATATTACTTGGTAACTTCAACAGTCCAACTATTTTCTAAAACAACTTCACCATCAAGAGTATAAGTACTTTTAACCGGACATTTACCTCTAAAGAAGAAACCTGAAGGAGTTTGATCTTCTTTAAATTCAATTGAATAAGGTTCTTCTCTTGGTTCAAAGTCCCCTAATTCAGTAACGGTCTTTTTGACAGTAATACCGGCTTTGACAGCTGCTTGAGTATAAACAAAGTTCTTTAATGATTTCAATGCAAGAAAATGAATAGTTGATTGATATTTAGTACCTTCGGGAATTGCCATTAAGATTTCTTCAGCCCCGTAAATAGGTACGGTAATCTCATCATCTCTGCCTTCAATCTTTACAGTAAACTTTAAAATTCTAAAATCTGTGTGATCTCCGTAGTTTGTCATTTTACCCAAAAATTCTTGTTTAGATTTTTCAGCAGCGATTGTATTCTAATATATAACAAACGAGCCGAGGTTGTTTGATTGATTCTAAATTGTGGGGTTTATTGTTTTACCTATAGTTGCCGTGAGAACAAACCTAATTGGGGGAGCGGTAATGGAATTGTTAGGGTGGAAGATACTTACCCCGTAGATATTTCCTATTATGGGTCTTTAGTTCGATGATATCATGATGAGATTGCTCGGATGAAGGATTAGTAGAGTTAGTGATTATGCAAGGGGTTGCCTGAGAATTAACTATACCATGTGGCAGTTGTTATGGCTGAGAAGCTGATGATGTTCAATCATGTCAAAGGATGTGACAAGAACTTGATGCTTCATTCTGTCAATTGATGTGTCAGTACCCCAGATTTCGCACCTCAACGCCGATATTATCCTAATCTTTGAATTTTGAAAAACTCAACTTCTGCCTGTAACTTATCCTTCAACTCATCAATTGTTATGTAATCATACTCAAAAGAGAAATCAAATATATCTGTGCATGAAGGTTCATTGGTTGAGTCCCTCACAGGTAATACAAATGAATGATTCAAACAATCTATTACTGTGAGTCTTTGATTGGGGTCCCAAGTCAACAAATTCTCCATAAGATCAATTGCTTTGGATGAAGCAAATGGATATAATGACGATAATCCAGTGTTAGTGTAGTTCAACTTCAAAAGATTGATATTCCAACCATTTTTGAAAATCAATGTCTTGGAAGGAGATCCCAACACTTTACAAATCTCCTGAAGTTGATTCAATTGATTTTTACCAATGAAAATTGGCTTTCTTCCATATAATTCAGCCAAAATACATCCAACTGACCACAAATCAATTGATTTATCATAATTCTTCTTGGATAACATCAATTCTGGGGCTCTATACCATCTGGTAGCCACATAATTGGTTATAAGTTGTGGTTTCGTATCACCTACAATGAAAAATTCGGTGTTTATACCTCTTGCTAACCCAAAATCACAGATTTTCAATATTCCTTGAATTGTAACAAGGATATTTCCTGGTTTTAAATCCCTGTGGATCACATCAGCTGAATGGATGTACTTCAATCCACATAATATCTGATAAATGAAACTTTGTATATGAAATTCACTAAATTGCATGGTGGAATAGATTACTCGAGCTAAATCATAATCACATAATTCTTGATAACAATATAACCCTTCATAAGGTTGTTGTGCAATCAAATCCAAATCAAGAAGTGAAATTATATTCTTATGACCATTGAAATGTTTCATAAGCTTCAATTCTCTCAAAGCTCTCTTCATCAATATCTCCCTTTCAAATATTCTAGTTACTTTCTTAATGGCTATTTGACATTTCGATGTTTTATTATCAACTGCTGAACAAACAGTTCCATATGATCCTTTCCCAAGCACATCAACCAACTTATACTTTTCATTTATTAAGAACTTAACATCATCCATGTTTTTGACTTTCAAAATCCACAAACACTAAACTAACTTTACTTCTTTGTAATCGCTTACATAAGCATTTACATAATCAGTCTTAGAGGGAATCTGCTTACATAATCGGTCCTAAATCAATTTTCTCATTTTTTAAAAATTTTTCATTGAGAAGTTACTATGAGTTCATCCCAGTGTAGATTCTATGAAAACAAGTATCCCGAAGTGGATGAAGTTGTTATGGTCAACGTGCAAGAAATTGCTGAGATGGGGGCCTATGTTAAGTTATTAGAATACGATAACATCGAAGGAATGGTATTATTATCTGAATTATCAAGAAGAAGAATCCGTTCCATTCAAAAATTAATCAGAGTAGGTAAAAATGAAGTAGCAGTTGTTTTAAGAGTTGATAAAGAAAAAGGATATATTGATTTATCCAAGAGAAGAGTCAGTGCTGAAGATATCGTTAAATGTGACGAAAGATATAATAAATCTAAAGCTGTTCACTCAATTTTAAGACACTGTGCTGAAAAATTTAATATCTCTTTAGAAGAATTATATGAAACTATTGGATGGCCTTTGAGTAGAAAATATGGACATGCTTATGATGCTTTTAAGATCTCCATTACTGATCCATCAGTTTATGATGTCATTGAAAATTCCAATCCAAAAATATTAGAAGAATTAAAATTATATATTAGTAGAAGATTAACTCCTCAAGCTATAAAGATTAGAGCTGATGTTGAAGTAAGTTGTTTTAGTTATGAAGGTATTGATGCTATTAAGAAAGCATTAACTGAAGCTGAATCTGTTTCAACTGATCAAATGCAAATTAAAGCTAAATTAGTAGCTGCTCCTTTATATGTTATATCAGTTCAAGCTTTAGATAAAGATCAAGGAATTGAAATTTTAAACCAAGCTATTGCAAAAATAACCACATCAATTGAATCTTCAGGTGGTCAATGTAAGATTACTATGGCTCCAAAAGCTGTTACTGCTACTGAAGATGCTCAATTACAAGCATTATTAGAAAGGAAGGAAGCTGAAGAGAATGATTCTTCTGATGAAGATGATGAATAGGTCATGTATATTAATATAAGATTCATAGAGTTTTGAATTTTATCGAGAGGTCGTTACTGAGAGAGAGGTCGTCACTGGGATAGAGGTCGTCACTGGGATAGAGGTCGTCACTGAGAGAGAGGTCGTAACTGGGAGTGATGCCGTCTTTCAACTTCGTATATTTCATGTCTTGTCCTTCAAAGGTCAACTCTCAAAGGGTAAGGATTTCATTATCTCCAATTCTCTATTATTAGCCCTCTCTATTATATAGCCAGGTAAATTACCCATTAATTGTGAAGGTATCATAAGCATTTGTAATGTTGGAGGTATGGAGATTTGATCAATTTCTATAAGTTCTTGATTACCACTGATATTCAAACTCCTTATGTTCCCAAAATCAACGTTTCTTAGAAGTTTAAGTTCATTGAAGCTCAAATCTAATGATTTTAAACCAAGAGGAAACTCTAAACTTTCTATAGTCTTTATAGATTGATAACTGAGATTAAGAACCTCAAGGTTTGATGGGAAGATAACATCTTTCAAATTACTGATTCTTTTATCATTATCAACCAATTCAGGATCCATTTCTATATTTAATTCATCCAATGATTGAGGAAAGACTACATTTTTCAAGGTAGTGATGAGGTTATTGCCAATGAAGAGTTTCTTCAAATTACTTGGGAATATCACTTTGTTCAAGGTTTTGATATTGTTGTTATTAAGATTAAGGTATTCGATTGAATTGGGTAACTTCAAAGGATTGATACTATTGACTCCATTACCACCTAAGTTCAATATCTTAACCAAATTGGGTAATTTAAGACCTCTGGTATTGGTCATTGATTGTTGTAAATTCAACAGATATAAGTAGTCAGGGAATTTGATACCTGTCATGGATTCATTAGGGATGAAGGAAATGTCAAGATGGTGTAAGTTATCAGGAAATTTACATCCTTTAAGATTATCTATGGGATTGAATGAAATGTTAAGCAGGTTTAAAGTTGAAGGAAACTCTATGTTCCTTATATTATCGATTCTATTATTGGAAATATCAAGATGTTCAAGGTTTTTGGGCCAATCCACATAATTTAAAAAGTATAAATGGTTCCCTTGAAGGTTTAATGTCTTTAAACTTTGGGGAAATTTCACATTATCTATGGATGTGATCATATTATTATTACATATCAACGATGTAAGGTTACTGGGGAATTGTATATCTTCCAAATTATTCAAAGAACCTCCTCCAATGTTCAAAATTCCTAATTTTTCCGGAAACTTGACTCCTTTTAAAGACATCATGTGGTTATTCCCATAATCAAGGATCTCCAAATTATCCCACGGTTCTATATCTTGTTGTATTTCTTCTAGTAATTTCTGTGATTCTTCATTATCATAAGATGCTACACTGATATCATACTTATCTATGATAGATATTTGAGTTACTTTAGATTTGACCTTCTTCAAGTTATCGATTAATGTGAAATATTCCGTTTTTTCCGTTTCAAACTCATTCCATGATTGTTTATTGGAATCAAACGTTATGTGGAATCCGATTTCTTTGAATTTATTGATCCATGGTTCATCATTGACTAGCTCACTATATGATCTTAGTATGGTTTCGAAATCTTCATTATATTCGATACATAAATTCAAATAATAGTAATCTTTGTCTTTCTGTATATCATTGAGTTCGGTGATTTCCGTGTGTTGACCTTTCAAATCTTCAATTTGGATTTGTGTGTACTGATATCTGGTTCCATCATATATAACTATTAGTCTAGTTCGTGGTTCATTTGTGATGGTTTCAACGATAGGGGTTTGATTATTAACTTGATTTCCACCATTGTTATCAGACTCCACTATTTCTATGGGACCAATAGGTCCAGTGGCGGTAGAATCTATCGTTACAGGTTTCACCTCATCTGCCATGTTTACAAATTTTTGTCAGTGCGACTTCTTGTTAAGTATCACCACATCTCATCTCACCTGTTTCTTCAAGCCAGAGTTGTTCGTAGACTTTTCATATATTGATATATACAGTTTTATGAGTGTTCAATGAATTCCCAATATTAATAAAAAAAAAACTTTCGTTTATGCTTTAAACCCCTTCAAACTTTAACGTTCCTAAACCTCAAACTATGCTTTAACATCTGTCCTACTGAAACATTGACAGCGATACTTTCTTGAAGATCATGGTCAGTGTTTCCAGAATCAAGTTTAACATCTCTTGCTAACACAAATCCACGTAACAAAAATAAGCTTAGAGCACATACTGCAAAGGAAACTCCAGCAAATAATGCACAATATTCGTATTGAGTTGGTCCAACAATATCTTTGACCAACGAAACTCCTATCACGGGTGATACTAACCCAGCAACACCCAAGAATGCCCAAAGCATAGAAAAACTGACATTCATTTTTCTGATTCCAACTAGTCTAGCTAAAAGAGGAGCAAAAGTCCCCCAAATAGTTCCCATGATTCCTCCAAGAATAAATGCCAATACCATTACTGTGGCATAGTTTCTGGCTGGAATCCACATAGCTAATACAAAAACCGCAGATAATGCATAGGCTTCGAAAGCTAAAGTGGTGGCACCATATTTATCAGCAAGTAAACCGATTAAAGGTCTTCCGAAGCATGAACCAACTTGAATCATAGCTGATGCAATGGATGCTTGATATTCACTGTATCCTAAAGATGTGGTGAAATTGGCTAAGGTGTATAAACAAACCACATATCCAAACATACAGGTAATGACATATATCAAAGCAAGATAAAATCCTATTGATGAAACCACTTCTCTATCGAAGAAAGTGAATTCGATCTTATGATGTTCTGATCTGTTTCTGAATAAAATGATAGCTATCCAAATAAGACCAAAGGATATAATACTTTGAGCCCGAAGAGCCCAAAATACATCTTTTACTTCAACTATTTTTTGCATTCCTAAATTGAAAACCACTCCCCCAGCCCCAGAACCGGCAGTAGCTAAACCACCTGCTAAAACTCTTCTTTTTTTGAAAAACTGAGGTAATATGGTCATTGCTGGTAATGAAATAAGGGCTAATCCAGCACTTTGCATAAGTCCTTGGGTTAAATATAATTGCCATAAATGTCTTGACCAACTAGCCAACATTAAAGATGTGAATTGAAAGCAATTTCCTATGACGATGGTGGCCCTGGGCCCAACGACCCCTTGTAAATAATTAATAAGTGGAGTGAAGATTAAAGTGGTACCAAAAGCTAACCCACCAATAGCCGCATAATCAATTTTTGAAGCTCCTGGAAAGGTATCATTATTAAGATAAACTGAAAAGTAAATGGCAAACCCTGAGTTCATCCCCCACGTACCGAAATTTATCAAGAAACATGCTAAACATATAACCCAACAGTATCCTCTATCAAATACTAAAGTCTCAGTATCAGAATCTTTTTCACTATTTTCAACTTCTTCTTCTTCACCACCAATATTCCGTTCCTCTATCTTCTCTTTATCGAACTGTGTATTATCCTGACTCATCTTTAGTTTACTGACTTATCTTGACCGATGAGGAGGAGCTGTCAGAATTTATATACAATTTTACTTTTCGCAGGAATATCTTACTAAGGCCGATGAAACTTTAAAAGAAGAGTAAAATCGTTTATGACCGAATTGATGATTATCACTTCACTGATAGGTTTTTATATGCTTTAGAGGTCTTAGAACCTATCCCGATAGGTTGGTAATGATATAGAAGTGATCTTGAACGATTAAAAGAGGATTTTATGTGTTTTACTTGAAAAATCTCGATACGGAAAGCGGTAAAATTTACCGAGATTTGATCTGTAAGTCGGATTACTGACTCATTGATTTTTTTTAACTTTGAGTCCAACTTTTCGGTCAAGAATTCCTTGCTGTCGGATCGATATGGTTTCCGTAGTTGATGCTGTGAAGTCAGAGAATTTACACGTTGTTGTAATTGATAATCATCCCAATGCGGTGCAGCTACCTAAATGGGGTAAGCATCCTGTTTTTCGGACTTTCCCTCAGATCCTATGAGTTCCTGCAAAAAAAAGTAAAGGAACCAACGTTTAAAAATCCAGTATATTTTGCTAGATCAACATCATTTCAAGGTCATCTATCTTAATTAGACTCTAATTCAAACCTTAACACACTTACTAATGTATAATTGCGCGATGATTTACGAAAAGCCACTTGGAAAAAAATAAGTCAAGGGGTTTGCCGGGAATCGAACCCGGGACCTCACGCACCCTAAGCGTGAATCATACCTCTAGACCACAAACCCATATTTAGCCTCGGTAGCGGAATTTCCCTTTATGAATATTGAATAATCGAATTTTGGATTTTTCTAGTTTATCTTGCTTTGTAATGATCCGGAATCAAAGGAATTAAATGGAAGTTGATCTGCAAGTGTCTGTATAGATTTGGGACACATTCAGACGGCTTTTACGGGTAGTAGGCACCATGTTCAAGCCATTGAGATTTAAGACTGTTTTCGAGAACAAAAGAATGTTGAAATTTATTTGAAAAATTGTTCGAATGGTCCCCCCCTCTTGTACCTCAGTTGCCCCTATTGAATTGCAATAGATAACTACTACATCGGCTCGTGTCAAATCCGGATTGAGTAATTAATATGTTGCTTATGCTATTGTGAATCACATAATGCGGTGTGTGGACGGAAGTGTACCGATTAGGATATGATTGTTGAACGTATCTTTCCTGTTTGGGTAAATCCTTGAATGCGTCACGAAGTGAAAGGAGCATATAAGAAGCTCACAATACTCAAATAATCAACAACCAACACCATGGTTAAAGTATTTGTTTCAGGAGCTTCGGGATTTATTGCCCAACATGTTGTCAAATTATTAGTATCAAAAGGTTATAAGGTTATTGGATCAGTTAGATCAATTGAAAAGGGTGAACAGTTGAAGAAAGATTTGGTTGATTTCGAATATGAGATCGTTGAGGACATTGCTGTTCCAGGAGCTTTTGATGAAGCATTAAAGAAACATACTGATGTCACTGTATTCTTACATACAGCTTCTCCTTTCCATTATAATACAACTGATGTGGAGAATGATTTATTGAAACCTGCCATTGAAGGTACAAAGAATGCATTGAAATCAATCCAAGAATATGCTCCACAAGTTGAAAAGGTGGTGGTTACTTCTTCTATGGCAGCAGTTTATTCTGCTTCAGGAGGAGATGCTAGTTCACCTCCATTAACTGAAGAAAGTTGGAATGATATAACTTTTGAGGAATCTAAAGCCAATGCTAGAGTAGGGTATTTGGGATCGAAAGCACTTGCTGAAAAAGCTGCTTGGGAATTCCTTAAAACCAAAAAACCAAATTTCACCATGAATACTGTCAATCCAACATTGGTGTTTGGACCTCAGGCATTCCCAACAGGGTTGAAGGAAACTTTAAATACATCTTCGGAAATATTGAATGGAATTTTAAAAGCCGGTACCGATGAACTGAAAGTTCCAGCCAGAAGTGGATTTTATATTGATGTAAGGGATGTTGCCAAAGCTCATTTACATGCTTTTGAAAGTGACGTTACCAATTTCAGATATGTTGTAGTGGGAGGTCCATTCTGTGTTCAAGAAGCTATGGATATCATCAATGAAAACATTCCTTCATTAAAGGGTAAAATATCTGTGGGTGAACCCGGATCGGGAGAAGAAATAATGAAGAATTTAGTTAAAGTTGATAATTCCAAGACTAGAGAATTGTTAGGTGATTTTATCTCTTTAGAACAATCGGTTATAGATTCAATCAATCAGATCATCTCCAAGTGATTCACCGAGGATGTAGTTCAATGTAAGTCCGTTAAAATGTTCATCTCTCACCGAATTTTTTATACCGAACCTTCGGAAAATATCTTGATCCATAAAGTTCCTTCGGGTGTAAAGAGACATACCGAAAACGAAGGCGAATTATCACCGAAGCCGTAAATAATGAAAGGTTTGCCCAGTTAACATTTAAGTCCAGGTTTTCTTTAGTTCGGGTTTTCTTTTACGTCCCCATCAACACTTTGGGTTTATTATTTAAAAACATCATTGTAACCATATTAAGGTTTTCGATATAGTTGGCTCAAATTCAGGTCCAGTCATCTTCCAAAGTGGCTTTAAAACAATCCTTAGCCGTTTAAAAAAAAATGTCCTGGAGTAACTGTTGGTTGATACGGTTTTTCACCTCAGCCAAAAACCGTGAAACAGTGTCTCGATCTCAGGTCAAGAGACACCTTGTACATAGAGAAAGATTATAAAGTCATCATTGTCTAACCTCTGGACTCTTTTTCGACTCTAATGATCTTCCCATTGAAGCCGTTTACTATCCGCATGTTCCATGAATTTTTTTCAGGTACGGGATTTACTAAGCTCCCGTCATCAACAGGCTTATCTCCTGGTGGGCAAATGATTTAACTCCCTACGGAGTTTTGTAATCGGTCTAAACGTATCACATGGATGCCCGAAGGATTATTAATTTATTTTATTTAAATACCTTTGACTTCTCTTCCGTTGATCTATCTTGACATTTGAACTTCACCAATTTCTGTTTAGTCTCCCTGTTAAGTCTAAGTCTCCAATCTATTCAGTATTTAAGTAATTCATTCAAGTACCCCAGCCTATAAGAGAACCTGCTAAATCTCCCAAATGATACAAGACACACTTATTAGTATAGTGACTATCATTCCTAATACTGCTTATTATCTTTTCAATATCAACAAGAAGGATGATAAACCAGACTTATCATCAAGAAGTCACAAAAGACGGGATTCTAATCCCCATAAGAAGAAACATAGAGCAAGAATCGAATCCCCTGAAACTGTAGCCAAATCTCAAACCAAAACTGAAGAGGTGTCATCATCAGAGTATTTCCAGAATTTCAAGGCATCTAAACCTCAACTGTGCCCTGGAAATGACTTGCCCGGTGGTTTGCCATATATTGATATTAAATAGTTATATAGTAAGATTAGCGGGCTAATGAATAAATGAGTGATCTCTCTTATCTATGTACGGCTGGTATGGAAGCTGATCTCAGTCAATGGCTATGATAGACTTTCATGATTGATCTCCATAATCCATGGCTTAGAGAACTCGATTGTCAGAGATTCATCGTCCCTAATGTATTTGCTTGAAATTTTACCCTCTCTACATCCAAGCTAGCCACTCGTCCACGGTCGCATTATTCTATTTTAGGAAGTCAAGCAAAACACTGCCATCAAAAATTTCTCACTGCTCAAATAAACAGATCCAGAGTTTCACATTTGCATTACCATAGAAAAAGCTATTTTAGGTACTTTTAGTATAAATCAACATACTTTATCCGATACACCAGTTTTAAATTTAACTCCTATTCATCCGCTTATCACACAAATTCACAAATTCAATGTTTTTCCTAACAATATTTTTGTTAGTTGCTACAGTACTTGGTGATGTTTCGATCACAGCACCAAAGGCAGGAGATTCATATTCGGCCTCAGGAGGTTCAGCATCTGTTGATATAAAATGGATAGATTCTACTGATGATGATGATGATCAATTTTCTTTATCAAAAGTTAAAACATATACCATATCATTATGTACTGGACCATCATCATCCATCGAATGTTTTGCTACCATTTTGAAAGCTGAATCATTGGATGATAACAAATACACAGCTTCAGTTAAAGCTTCAGCAGCTGATGATGGATACTATTTCTTCCAAATATATGCTGTTTTCCCTAATTCAGCAGCTACTATCCATTATACTAATAGATTTGAATTAACTGATATGACGGGTTCAACTAATACTTTGACTGTGAAGAATACCGTCACTGGTACTGCTCCTCCAGCTCAAACAAACGGTGCTGATGCTTCAAGTTTTGATTCAAAATCTTTCACTGTTCCTTATACTTTACAAACAGGTAAAACACGTTTTGCTCCAATGCAAACCCAACCAGGAAGTAAAGCTAAAACTGACGAAAGTTGGTCTCGTAAATTCCCAACAAGTTCTGTCAATTATTATACCTCCGCAAGTCCAAGTCCGGTGGTTTTAAGTACTATCACACCAGGTTGGTCATATACTATCAATTCCAAAGCAAATTGGGCATCCCCAGCTCCAACTCCAAGTATCAAATATGCTCCAAAAGACAGAGTCACCAAAGCCAGTTTAAGCACTGCTGCCAAATCAAAGAGATGGTTAGATTAGGTTTTTTTTATGAGTTCTTTCAGATTTTTTCAGGTAACCATATCTTTGGAGTTGTCATTCGATTAACTTCGAAAGTTACTTGAGAGCGTCCTTACCTTTCTACCCTTCACAATATCAATAAACATTGCCTTTTTGTATTACCTCACTCTCTCACGTGACCGCCTGAAAAATCTTTCGTCAAGACGCGATTTGAATCTAAACAAATATTCAACCATGTCATACAACCATGATTCAAATACTAGTTCTGCCGCCTTAAGGAAGAAGAAGATCTTGAAGAAATCCATCAATTTCAGTATAATGGTGATCGGAGAAAGTGGTATGGGAAGATCAAGTTTCATCAATTCATTATGTGGAGGAAATTCTATAGTACCAACATCTTCAACTATTGATCAAGATCCTTTCACCAAAAAATTAACATTAAGACATGAAAACGTCGAATTAGAAGATAATGAAGGTCACAAAATCTCTTTAAATATTATAGATACCCCAAACTTTGCCAATTCAATCAATTGTGATGAAGATTTTAAGATTATTGTTGATTTTATAAGACACCAATATGATGAAGTTTTATTAGAAGAGAGTAGAGTTAAGAGAAATCCAAGATTCAAAGATGGAAGAATCCATGTTTTATTATATATGATCAATCCAACAGGTCATGGATTGAGTGAAATTGATGTTCAATTTATGCTTCATATTAATAAATTAGTGAATTTAATTCCTGTTATTGGTAAAAGTGATAGTTTAACTGCTGATGAGTTAAAACTTAACAAGAAATTGATCTTGGAAGATTTGAAACATTATGGTATAAATTATTATAAGTTTAATGAATTCGAATATGAACAAGATTATATTGATGATGAAATTATTGAATACAATAAATATTTAAACAGTTTATTACCATTTGCAATAATCGGGGCTAATGATTTTAGAACTAATGATGAAGATGTTTTGAAGTTAAGAATTGGTAATCCAATCAATTCTAAACCAATTAATATTGAGATGCCAGAATATAATGATTTCACTATCTTGAAGAACATCTTATTAATCACTCATTTGAATGAATTTAAAGAAATCACTCATGATATTATTTATGAAAATTACCGTACTGAAGCTTTAAGTGGAAAAGAATTCCAATATATTAATGGTGAAAGAGTGGTTAATGAAGCTGCTAAATCTGATATTAATGGTTCTTTTGATGATACAACTAACCAATCAACTATTAATGATGATTATTTAGCTAAGGAAGAACAAATCAAATTAGAAGAAGAAAGGTTGAAAAAATTCGAAGAAAGAGTTCATCAAGATTTAATTAATAAACGTAAAGAATTATTAGAAAGAGAAAATGAATTGAAGGAAATCGAAAAGAGATTAATGGCTGAAGGGTTAAAATTAAATGACGAAGGTGAGATCGTTAAAAATGATGAGTAGAGCTTATAGTTAAATGTACATTTGGCACGTTAAGTGAAGGAGTATTTTAATTCTATTTTTTGTGAATTTCACAGTTTTTCCAGTTTTTTTTTGTGTAGCAGGAAGTCATGAGATAAAGTTATTGATGGCATCTTTGACATGGTTAAGGGTATAGCGTATTATTGGTGATGGGTTCATGATATGTGAGAGGATTCTTAGCTGGACTTGTTACGGTGGAACGACCCACACCTATTTTATTATACAGAATATATTATTTTGGCTTTGCATAGGATCACAGCATTCACGGTATCAACCTTTCAGAGACTGCAGTATCGAAAAATCTAGCGTCAAGAGGCGAAGAACATCTATAATGGATTGGACTATAAGTCTATCTATTTTTGTTTTATAAAGTGCATTCTCAAGACAAGTTAGAACTACTTGTTCTCGATGTATTGGTTGATGGTGTCGAGGACAGACTGTTCTAAAGAAATGGGATTTTCCACGTAGGCCATAGTCTTTGAATTATCCCAAGGGTAAACCCTGTTAGCAACATCCAATCCTGAACCTGGTTTACCGATGGCAGCTTTTCCTTTTAAGGAAGGAATCTTTTCATTGATAATATCAGCACAAGTTTGGAAAGAGTAATTTTCAGTCATTGGGAGATATCTGAAGTTAGTAACATCACTTTCAAAAGCATGAACATGGACTTTAGCAACATCTCTTACGTCAACATAGGTACCATCGAATGCAAAAATTTCAGCATCAGGACCTTGGTCAACAAGATTGGTTAAAAATTTTACTGAACTGTTCAAGTTTTGTCTAACATTGGCATCGAATGCTTGAGGACCAAAAATCAAAGTTGGACAGACAGTGTTTAAAGTAAATTTAACATCTTGAGTTTTAACAAATTCCCAAGCAGCTTTTTCAGCATTACGTTTGGAAACAAAATAGGCATACATGGGATTTACTTTAGCATCTTCATCACGAATAGGATTCCAAGATTCTTCAGTGATAAGGGCACCGTCTGGATTAGTCATATTATAAGCATCGATAACGGCAGCTGATGATGAGGTGATAACAACTTTGTTAACGTTAACACCGTAATCTTTGATGGCGTTTAAAGCGTTGATGGTACCGGCAACGGCCGGTTCAACAATATCTTTGATAGCATCTTCAACTTCAAGTCTAACAGGTGAAGCAGTATGTAAGAATACTGAGACATTAGAATGTTTTTTCAAAGCCTCATCAAAAGCATTAGGTTCACCGATGTTTTCAACGATTTCATAGGAGAAGTTGTCACCAAAGTCTTTGACAAGTTGATCACCTTTGGAAGCTGATCTGACAGTTCCAACAACTTTATAACCTTTTTCAACACAGATCTTAATAATATGTTGGGCAATGTAACCATTGGCACCAGAAACGAATATTTCACTCATTATTGATGAAATGTTTAAGAGACATTAGAAGGTTTTTATAAACTGGACAATAAGGGACACTCCATTGAGTATCCCTTAGCTCCATCTGCTGAAACCTATTTCCGCGTCACATTTCCGTAATTGGGATTGAGATTTCTAATATGCTTAATAATCTTGACCGATAAGTCCGGACTATAAAACCACTACAACCCCAGGTAAAAGGGTGAATGGAGTGACATGAGGGAGACGAAGTGAGAATAAAGGAACAAGGGTTATGGTAGTTGATTTTTCTGATTATGGAATAATCTTTCTATTAGTAAACGACTGTTGAGAGTCGAGTAAAGAAGCATACGAAGATAAGTATGAGTTCAACTCGTCTATCACCATCGACTTATTCCAACGACCACCATCGAGTTAACTCCAATTACCACCACCGAAGTAACTTGGACCATCACACTGACCATCACACCCCATATATCATAGACTAGAGACGAGAAAACTAAATCTTTTATAACTCTAAACATCAACCTTATACTTTTCAACAATCTGGTCGAACTTATCGTTCTTATCTTTTCTATCGACCAAATATTGATGGTCAGGATTGAGTTCAGTCAATTTTTCAATCAATTCAGGTGATTGTTTACCTGATAAATAATTCATAACTATTTGGTTAGCTAAGAAATCATCATTTTTGATACCTAATTCAGCAAGTTGATTTTGGAACTCTTGAGCTTCAGGTAAATGGTTCAATTTCAATGACAAAACGAATAAAACGTTCAAGATTTTGAATCTATCTAACTCATTATCAAAGTCATTGGCCAATAATTCATCATAGAAGTAAAATGAGTTATTGATGTTGTCAGTTTCACCCTTTAAGGCTAAAATCCAACTTTCAATAACATGATAAATGACATCGTCTTTCAAGATTTCAGGGAAACTCTTGAAGTTATTGAAAATCTTGTTAGCTTGATTGAAGTTACCTTTAACTAGATAAAGTTGGATAAGAACCAAATAAGGTTCTAATTCATTTTTTTGTAAAACGTTCAAATTATCAATATAACTAACCAAAAGTTCGATACCTTGATCTATGTTTTTAAAGAATTTCACTAAATATAAACTGGTCAATATAGCTTGTAATTCGAATTTTGGTGATTTGATATCTTCAAAATAAGTGGAATCATCGGTTCCAAATGAATGTAAGTCATTCCATGCAGATAATAATAAGAATAATTCTTCATTTCCTGGGAATTTGGTCTTACCATCTTCGATCAACTTGGAAGCATCTTTACCAATAGCAATGGTTGATCTGACTTTGTATTCCAAAACTTTCAATTGATTGACATCAGTGAATTGTTCTACTGAGTAATCAATCACTTTATGATGTTGCCAGGTATAGAATTGGTTTCTTATAGTATATAACTCTCCTGAGTCTCCAAAGTCCATGTTGTTGAAGTTCGCGAAATCTAATACGTAACGCGAGGTTGAAGAGTGAGGATGGTAGAGATAATTTGACCTGTGGCTATGACTTGTGATGTTTACCAAGAGTTTTGATTGATGATCTAAGCGTCTTGATCTCGTCATACACTTTCGATATTATGATCCAGCCATATGAACTGAGACTTGAGAATTTATACATGTGAACCCATGATCTAAGAATGAACTAATTTGAATGGACTCATGATCTAAGTATGTCCTCATGATCAGGATCAAGCTTATGTTTTCGAAATAACTCTGATCTGATCTGAGTCCTACAAATAATCACCTTCTAACTCCACAGTAATAGATCATATGTCTCAAGTAATCATGTCGCACAATTTCATGGATGCAAGTCAGTCAAACAATCCGAAGGATGAAGAACTATCCTTCGTGGATATGACGACTCCCAGTTTGAACAGCCCGAATAACTATACAGACTTCATAGCCGATTCTGTTTCCATCAACTCCAGAAGTAAACTTATCCTGACGACTCCAAACATACAGGGAGATCAGGCTGTCTCCATTACACACACCGGCAAGAGACCGAAACACACACGAAGGTCCAGAAACGGCTGCATTAGTTGTAAGAAACTTCGAATCAAATGCAATGAGATGGTCCCTAAATGTGAATATTGTACAAGCACTAACAGAGAATGTGTGTATTATATCACTTCACAAAGAAAGTTCCTTGAGAAACCTAACAACCGGTACACCAACAAGCTTATCAAATCATTGGAGGATAGAGAACAATCACCCACGGAAATTTCCAATTTTGAAGTAAAAATCTTGAAACATTTCAAGATCTATACCTTACAATTTACGTCATTCATCAACGGACCCATGCATTACCTTACCACTGTAGACATCCCCAATCTATTTGAATCCTCACATGTGGTCAGACTGGCAGTGTATGCCTTTGGATGTCTTAACTCTTGGGTTATATGCGATTTACCAAATCCTAAACCGGGGAAATCCTTGATTTTCAAGAACCAACTACGCAATCCTTTCCATTTTCTGGATTCGATTCAACGGAAATTATTCGATACCAACTTAAATTTTCTAGATGATTTCAAAGGATTACCCAATCTTCAATTGGGATTGAAGTGCCTGCAATATAAATCATTTCTTTATTCAAGTAGAACTTTATATAGTGTGACTAACATTTATTTAATTCGACTTATTGATGAGTTGAATGAAGAGTTGAGTACCGGGCAACTATCTTCAGAAAGAGGTAAAGCTCTTGTCATTGGAGTGATGATGGTGTTACTTTTCCTTGCTTTACATAGTCATAACACCACACCATTAATGAAATTTGATGATAAGTTCCAATATTGTTATGGGAAACAAGTCGAAGGTAAACATTTGGATTTGGATACTGATATTCTTACTATATGCTCGGTTATAAGAACAAAGACCACTTATGTATTCTCGTCATTAGGTGATTCAGAAGTTTCTACTCTCTTGGCCATGAGAGCTGTAGATACAACTCAAGATTTTTACTTGATCAACAAACTTCAAAGTCAATTGGAAGAGTCCAGGAATCAATTCACCTCCAGAGAAGTGGATATACTAAATTCTAATTTGAACCACCTCAAGCAAGGGTTTTCAAGATGTTATGAACTCGATTCACCAATTGGTTTATTCAAATTGTTGACGAGATTTTGTGATGATTTCTTGGACTTGGCTAGGAATAAGAACTTGTTTGCTTTAAGAATTCTTTTTATTTATAGTTTCGTGATGTTAGAGCTAAGAACATGTTTGTTTGTCAATAAGAACGTTTGGTTGGATTATATGGAATGGTTCAGGAGCTACAATTCTACCAAGTATGGGAAATGGGCCCATGCTTTTGACTTCACAATATATAACTTGATAGGGAAGTTGGATGTTGAGTCTACAAGAGAGCTATTGGATAAGGATTTAGAGCATTAAATATATGTACATTAGTTTTTACCGTAACCATTAGCGATTCTAATACGTTCCCAAGTGGAAAGTTCAGAGTCTGAAGTTCCGAAGGCCCCATTAGACTGTGGGTCAAGGGTTTCTGAGCCTATACTTTCAGAACCTTCGGAGCCCATAGCTGGAGCCTCGCTCTCTCCAAACATGGGCTTGGGATTAGGTTGCTTCTTTGGAGGATTGTAATGAACTTGGTGTAAATCGTTAGACCTGAACGACCTGGGATCTTTCACCTTATAACTCTCGTCCTGACTGGTCTTTAAATAATATAAATAGAACAAAGACAATTGATGTCTTTCCATGGCATTCCAAGCATCGTATTCAAGGGTTTGAGATTTCAACTCTTCAGATTTCCTCTGGTAGTAATATCTTCCTGCCAATTCGTTACCCATTATCAATGAAGAAACACCTGTTAAGAATGATAAGAAAGGACGATGAATAAGTTTTGTGGGACCCCCAAGGTAGAATCTTTTATAAATTGAAGGACCTGAGAAACCTAAAGTAGCAACAGTATAACTCACAAGACCTATTTTGAGGAGAGTTCCTTTCAAATGGGATTCTAAGGAGACTCTATTTTCATGAGAAAGTTGTGAATCAGCTTCATAGAATTTCACTGAAGCATTGAATTGGTCTTTTGATAATTTATTAAGCAAAGGGTTGTCAGACATCAGGTGCGAGGTTTTAAGTATTTAGTGGGACGAATAGCGTGAGAAAATGTTAGACCGCAGGAAGTGGTGGAAATGGGTGCGAAAATTAAAGTTCAGCGTGAAAAAAATCCACCAAAACCCACACAGATGGTGAGAATTTACAGAGTGTAAGAGTGAACCTTCCATTACAGGATAGATATATTAAACCACCAAAATGATTTCTATACTAATTTATTATCTCTTCTCTTATCATCTCTCAACTTAATTAATTGTTCAACCACTAAATCAAATTTAACAGTTTCATTCTTACCTTGTTCTTCTTGGATATCTCTATTTCTAACATTAACACTTTGTTCTTGTTCTTCTTGATCTCCAACAATAAAGATGAAATTGTATTTTAATAATTGACCGGTTCTAACTTTCTTTTGTAAAGTGTTACCAGAAACATCAACATCAGCATAGAAACCAAATTCTTTAACTAATCTTTCTTTTAAGCTTTCAGCATATTCAAAGAATTTAACCCCAACAGGAACAACCAAGATTTGTCTTGGTGATAACCAGAAAGGCCATTTACCTTTGAAATGTTCGGTTAAAATGGCAGTCATTCTTTCAACAGAACCTAAAATAGCTCTATGAATCATAACAGGTCTTGAAATAGAATCTTCTTTGTCATTGTGTTCAGATTTGAATTCTAATTCGAATCTGGAAGGTAATTGGAAATCTAATTGAATAGTGGCACATTGGAACCATCTTCCTAAAGCATCACTAATCATAATATCAATCTTAGGACCATAGAAAGCACCATCACCAGGATTTAATTCCCATTTGTCACCTAAAAATTCGTTCAAAGAATTTTCTAATTTCTTTTCAGCTTTATTCCAAGTATCTAAACTTCCAACGTATTTTTCAGGTCTAGTACTTAATTCCATCTTGAATTCAAAACCAAAGATACCATAAACTTTTTGTAAGAAATCAAATGATCCTTTAATTTCTTGTTCAATTTGATCTTCAGTACAGAAGATATGAGCATCATCTTGTTGGAATCTTCTAACTCTAGTTAATCCAGATAAAGCTCCAGAGAATTCATTTCTATGAATGACTCCAAAATCGGCAACACGCCATGGTAATTCCCTATAAGATCTTTCTCTACTCTTGAAGATTAAACAATGACCAGGACAATTCATTGGTTTTAAACCAAAATGGTCTTTTTCAACATCGAAAGTGAACATATTCTCTTTATAATTACCCCAATGACCTGAAGTTTCCCATAATTTAGAATTATACATGTTAGGAGTAATAACTTCTTCGAAACCTCTTTGTCTGTATTCAGATCTCATCAATTCACATAAGTTATTGTAAATTCTAGTACCATGAGGTAACCAGAAAGCAGATCCTGGAGACATTTCATGGAATAAGAATAATTCTTGTTCTTTACCAATCTTTCTATGATCTCTTTCACTAGCTTCTTTTAAGAATTTCAAGTGTTCATCCATTAATTTTTTATCAGGGAATGAGATACCGTAGATTCTTTGTAAGGAATCATTAGTAGCATCACCTTGGAAATATGATGATGAGTTCTTTAACACTTTAAAACTCTTAATTCTACCAGTATGAGGAATATGAGGTCCAAGACATAAATCAATCAATGGACCACATCTATAAACGGTAGTGGAAGTATTATCAGGAACTTTATCTTTAATGAATTCCACTTTATATTTGTTATAATGGAACATCTTTAAAAGTTCTTCTTTAGTCATTTCTAATCTGACGAATTTTTGTTTCTCTTTGATACCTTTAGTAGCAACTTTTTCCAAGTTTCCAAAATCTGCTTGAGTAACTACACCTTCACCATTGTTGATAGACATATCATAGAAGAACCCATCGTTGGTTGGAGGTCCATAAGATAAATGACAACCATAATGACATTCACAAGCTTCACCTAAAACGTGAGCTGATGAGTGCCAGAACACTTGTTTACCTTCAGGATGTTCGAAATCCAAAAATTCTAATGAACAATCTTTTTCTAAGACTCTGGTTAAATCCCATAATTCTCCATCAATCTTTGAAATAACTTGTCTTTCACTGAAGGATTTCCCAATTTCATTGGCAATATCAAATGGACTAGTTTCCCAACTTTTACCAACTTTGATAGTTCCATCTTTCAAAGTGATTTTGATATCTTCTCTTGGTTTTGAAGCTACATCTTCATCATACTTAGCTTTCAATTCATCAAACATTTTAATACGGTAATCGATGAATTCAGGTTGTGGGTCTAATAATAAAGGATTGGCAGGTTTTTTGGCTGCTTTGGCAGATTTACCTGATTTTTCAACCTTTTCACCAGCTTTACCAGCTTTACCAGCTTTACTTTCATCAACAACCTTAGCGGATTCACTAGGGTTGGATTCGAGCTTCAAATCATTGAGTTTCTTGTCAACTGACATTACGTGTAAATTTTTTTCAACGAGAAGACCCGCGCATTTGAGTCAGAATCGGTGTGGGAAGTAACGAAACGGGCCGTGGGGTATGGACGATTATAGAGAACTCTCTATGCTCAATGGAGAGATCTCCCAACTATTCAGTCAAACTGATGTTATTTTATCGCTGAACAGGGATAATATTGAGGAGTTAAAGTCAGTGAATCATCAGATTTCAACCAAGCTTCAAACTATGGATACTACTTTGAATGAGTTATTGGTGGAATTGATGGACAGTTTGACCAGAATGAGACACTCCAGTTCTATTAATCGGTTTGGTCAGTTTGAAACTGTTCCTTATAAGCCTGAAAGGGCAGGAGATTTGATTAATCAGATGAACGGGTATTTGAATTCGATAGATATCGATAATGAAAGACGTCGACAGTTTAGAAATATTTTGAATGCCACAAAGGCTTTGGATGGATTGGTAGATAAGGGATTGAACGAGTTTGTTTCCAGTTTAGAGAGTTGTATAGGATCTTTTGGTAATTAATACTATGTACATTAAGGAGACTCTGGGGAGATGAGGTAGATGTAGCCGGTAACACCCAAATCAAAACGTCTTAGGAGCTAAAGTGGCTATTTTACTATATTTTAAATCTCTTAACTCTTTGGCTACCACTGATGAAACTCTTGTCCCCAAAGGATCTCCATTCTTATTTATCAACACACATGCATTATCATCAAACCTCACAGTAGACCCATCAGGTCTTCTTAAAGGAGCTTTTGTTCTCACCACCACAGCTCTACAAATATCTCTTCTTTTAACTCTATTATTAGCTGATTGTCCAGTTATACTGGCTGATAAAGGTTTGGCTTCTTTTACTACCACGGTAATTTCATCTCCGATTTTGGCAAAGTTCTTGGGACTATGTCTCAACACCTTGATACATTCCACAACTTGAGCTCCGGAATTATCAATAACATTCAATAAAGTCTTTAAGTAAATCATATTAAAATTTTTCACTTGGGAGAAATGTGCGATAAAAACATTAGGTCGAGATAGCAGCGGATGGGTCGACGCATATTCATAGTGGTAGTAATTACTACCATTGTCGCGGTAATTGAAAAATTCCACGATATGAAACCTAGAAACTGGCATGAAACCAGGATAATCGTCGATAGAAAGTCAAGATTTCAAGGTCGATGTACTTCCTTAACTAATTCCAACCAAATACCAACACTAATTGAGTTATTTAAGCAAGATCATAAACGATTAGTGAAATCATCTTCCCATGCTTATATTTATGCTTGGAGGACAGCAGACAAAGATAAAGAATGGATGAATGTTCAATCAGGACATTACGATTGTGGGGAGAGTGGAGCAGGACTGGAACTCCTGAAGGTTATTGAAAGAAGCGATGTTTATAATGTGATTTTGATAGTCACTCGGTGGATGAGTGGAGGATCTATAGGACCTAAAAGGTTTAAACACATTAATGAGGTAGGTAAGTTACTGCTTGAAGATTTTGCTCAAAAGAATGATGATTGAATGACGACGACGACGACGACGACGACCATTAACGACCACAAAGAAACTAACGTGAGAGATTGAATAAGACAAGACATGGTAGGGGACAACATACAACTGACAACCATAATCTTTTCACATACTAAAGTGTTTTGCACCCACTCACGTGACACGACCAATAAAAATCTAATTAGGTGCGAGTCAAAACTTTCAATGTTTAAACTACCAAAGAACTTGTTTAGACCACTTAGACCAGTGTTTAGACCCACCAGGCTCTATTCATCTGTTCCGTTGACTGCAGAAACTTATAAAGATAAAGTTTCCATCAACGACAAGTTTAAAAAACTTAATGACTCAGATATCGAATTTTTCAAAGGGATCTTGAAAGATGAATCAGGTCTTATTACCGGAGACGATTGTTTGGGGTATAATGAAGATTGGATGAGAAAATATAGAGGACAAAGTCAATTGGTTTTGAAACCCAGAACCACAGAACAAGTGTCGATGATTTTGAAATATTGTAATGCTAATAATTTACCCGTAGTACCTCAAGGAGGTAACACTGGGTTAGTTGGAGGATCCAATCCAATTTTTGATGAAATTATCATTTCTGTAGCCAATTTGAATAATATCCGTTCATTTGATCCAGTTTCAGGGATCTTTAAATGTGATGCCGGAGTTATATTGGAAACTGCTGATAACTATTTAGCTGATAATGGATATATATTCCCATTGGATTTAGGTGCCAAAGGATCTTGTCATGTTGGTGGGGTTGTAGCCACAAATGCTGGGGGTTTAAGATTATTAAGATACGGTTCATTACATGGAACAGTATTGGGATTAGAAGCAGTATTACCTGATGGAACTATTTATAATTCAATGAACTCCTTAAGAAAGGATAACACTGGGTTTGATTTGAAACAATTATTTATTGGATCCGAAGGATCTATCGGTATCATCACTGGAGTTTCAATTTTATGTCCTATAAGATCACTGTCGGTTAATGTTGCCCTTTTGGGAGTATCAAGCTATGAAATGGTTCAAAAAGTTTTCATTGAAAGTAAGAAAGAGTTGGGAGAGATTTTATCGGCTTTTGAATTTATGGATTTGAATTCTCAGAAGTTAGTTGGTCAATATTTAAAACTCGATCATCCTCTTGAAGATGAATATCCTTTCTACGTTTTAATTGAAACTAGTGGATCCAACAAAGACCATGATGATGAAAAATTAGAAACTTTCTTAGCTAACCAAATGGAAGCTGAACTTGTTAACGATGGAATCATTGCTCAAGATGAAAGTCAATTAAGAAACTTATGGAGTTGGAGAGAATCCATTCCTGAAGCTTCAACTATGAATGGTGGGGTTTATAAATATGATGTTTCCTTACCTTTAGATGATTTATACTCTTTGGTAGAAGCTTCAAGTGAAAGATTAAGAGGTGAAGGATTAGTAGATTTTGAAGATGGCTCTAAACCTGTAGTTGAAGCCATTGGTTATGGTCATTTAGGTGATGGGAACTTACACTTAAACGTATGTGTTCGTGAATATTCAAAATCCGTTGAAAGTGTGTTGGAACCTTTTATCTACCAATGGATCCAAGAACACAAGGGATCGATCTCTGCTGAACATGGATTGGGATTCCAAAAGAAGAATTATGTCGGATACACTAAGAATGATATTGAGATTAAGTTGATGAAGGAAATCAAACATCACTATGATCCCCATGGTATTATGAATCCATATAAGTATATAACAGCTTGAGAATATGAAAGGTTAAGTACGTGAATCTCAAGTATAACAGCTTGAGCACGCTTAAGTATATCTTTAGTAACAGGCCAAGAGAGAGCGGCCCTGTCAGAGACAAAAATACATAAAAAGTCCTTTATTTCTATCTACAACTTCTCTGATCTAATCAATGATCCTTCTTCATACAACGCCTCTAATTGTTTACTGAAGAATCTCTTAGCTATAGGTCTTTTAACCTTCATGGTTGGAGTGATAACATCATCAGATAATTTCAAAGGTTCAAAGTCAAATAAAACATTATGAACTTTCTCAAAACCATGAAGTAATGGATCAACCGACTTATTCATGGCTTTAACAAAGACTGTTTTAACTTTTGGATTGTTCATATAATCAAGAATATCTTTATCATTAACTGAATCACCAAAATTCTTTTTAATCCATCCTTTAATGGATTCTGGTTCAATTCCAACAATAGCCACCAAATAAGTTTGTAAAGAATCTCCATGAACGAAGATTTGTGATAATAATGGGAAACATGATAAGTAAATATTTTCAATCTTTTCTGGTGAAATATATTCTCCTTGAGCTAATTTGAAGAAATTCTTAACTCTATCAATGATATGAATTCTACCTAATTCATCAATTTTTGCCACATCACCAGTTGAAAACCAACCATCTTTATCTAAAGCTTTAGCGGTTTCTTCAGCATTCTTATAATAACCTGAAAAGATTTGAGGTCCTCTTAATTGTAATTCACCTCTTGGACCACCTTCATCATTAATATGATAGTTCATTTCAGGAATTTCCCTAACTCTTACTTCACAAGTAACTGAAGGAGGACCACAAGATCCAGGATTAGAATCAAATGATGGAGTTGAACAAATTCCAGCGAAGGATTCAGTTAATCCATATCCTTGAGAAATACCTACACTTAAAATGGCTTTCAAGAATTTGATAGTATCAGGAGAAATTGGAGCTGACCCACAACCAATTGAAATCACATTATCAAAACCCAATTTTTTCCTGATTAATCCCGATAATTTATCATAAAAGAATGATTCACCTCTTGCACCATCATGTTTACTTTGTTCTTTGACTTTATAATCAACTAATTTCTTGAATAAGTATTGTAATACGGGTTTCTCACTATTATGAATGGTTTGTGATTTTAAAGTACTTTCAATCTTGGTTAAGACTCTTGGAACAAGTAATAAACCATGAGGTTTGATAACTTGAACATCAGTTAAGAAGTTAGCAGGATTAGTTGTTGATGGGAACCCAATCTTGAAACCTCTTAATAAAGCAAAATTGATATTCATTCTTTCATAAATATGAGCTAAAGGTAAGAAAGAATAATAATTAGTTGGATTATCACCGATTTTATCCTGATTATATCTACTATTATTCTTAGTTAAGCAGAAAACCAATGAAGCTACACCATTTTTATGGGATAAAATAACACCCTTTGGATTAGCTCCAGTAGTTCCTGAAGTGAAACTAATCGAATAAGGAGTTTGTGGAGTTGGAGGTACTTCATCGACTGGATTGATTTTACCAAAAATTTCAACTTGATGGAAAGCATGAACTGCAAGTCCGGCCTTTTCTCCTTCACCAATTAAGGATGAATCAAAATCATCCATTGATACTAAAGTAGTTAAATTGACCAATTCTGTTGGGTATGTTAACTTCAAATCAATCAAAGATCTCAATTTATCACCGGAACAAACAATAATAGGAGATTTGGTGGTTGATAAGATATATTCTGAAGTCTTTGGACCTAAAGTATCATATAATGCAGTATTAAGAATAGAATAAGTTGAACAAGCTACATCAGTAATACACCATTCTTTTCTATTATGGGAGAATAATGATACAATGAAAGATTCTTCATCAGTTTTACCATGATTTTGAATCTTTTGTTGAACTTCTGGTGATGGTTGGAACTTATTATTCTTCAATACATAAAACATACCGGCAGCAAAATTCTTTCGACGATTATCAATCTGTTTATAAGTTTCATACTGATAAGTGTTTGTTGAAGGATCAAGAGATCCAAAACAAAGTTTATCACCATGAGCTGCTACTGAATGTTTAAAAGTAGCAGCAAAAGTATCTAAAGAAGGATGAATGGTCTCAAGTAATTTATCCGGTGAATATTTATTCCTATAGATATTTGAATATCCTGGTTGATCAGTGTTAGGAAGAGGAATCCCATAACTAATAAGGGATTCATCTTCAGTTACAACTGCTGAAACAATGGCCTCAATATGTTGAGGATCATTAGGGTATAAAGACATTTCTGATTCGCGAGAGATTATCGACACTCTTTATACTAAAAATAATACCGAGGTATCGGTTCTGTGGGGAACGCGGTTGTAAAACGGCACTATTTATTACCATCTTTAAGTAGAGCTTTGAAACCTGAATTCTTCTTAGGTTTACGTTTGATGAATCCGGAGTCTGATGCCGAATCACTATCACTATCACTATCGCTATCACTATCACTGTCGCTATCAGAATCACTATCAGAATCAGAATCACTATCACTATCACTATCACTATCGGCCTTTTTTTGAGCTTCCTTACTTATAGGCTTGGTGGTGGAAAATTTATCTTTAACAGCAGGGATTCCACTCTTGGTTAAGTCACTGAGGGAATTGAGAATAGGTTTTTTGATTTTATCGATGAATGTAGGCTTTTCAGGTTCAACATCTTTTTTAAGTTTCGGAGTTGGCACCTTAGATTTAGATGCTGTGGGTGCATTGGCTGCTGGAGTTGCTGGGGTTGCTGGGGTTGCTGGTGGTTTGGTCTTGGTTACCTTCGTTACTTTAGGTGTTGTTTTGGTTGGTTTAGGTTGAACCGTCGGTGATGCTTTAGGTTCTTTGGTTGGCGGTGATTTGGGATTTTTCACAGGCTCTTTGGTCCCACTTTTGATTACTGTTTTAGGTATCGCGACGGTTTTTTTTGCAGCCAATTTCGGTGACACGGAGTTCACTGATTTGATTACACTGGAACTGGAGTCGTCACTATCACTATCACTATCACTGTCACTGTCGCTATCACTATCACTATCACTAGAAACTTCACTACTTTCACTGGAACTGGAACTTGAACTTTCACTGGATTCTTCAACTTTACTGATTTGTTGTATTACTTCTTCTTTTGTCATGTGATCTTTATTACTACTTCTACGTCTTTCCTTGGTTGTTGGATAAACTTTATCAGGTACCATGGAGATTTTAAGGTTCTTGAGAATGGAGTTGTTTCTGCCGTTACCTTGAATGGTTTCTTTAGGTTTCCTTTGTTTGAGGTATGAGATGAGTTCTTCATGGGTGTAGGTGTCTTTAGATTTATCGGGGGATGATTTGGATTTAGTTGGTGATGGGGGAAGGTCTTGGTTTTTAATTTTTTTGTCTTCATCGACAATTTGTTCCTCTTGATCTTCTTTTTGATCTTCTTTTTGATATTGTTCTGGTTTTGGTTCTGGTTCTGGTACTTGTACTGGTTGTACTGATTGTACTGATTGTTTTGGTACTTGTACTGGTTGTACTGATTGTTTTGGTACTTGCTGTTCTTGTTTTTTTGGTGGTAATGGCTGTTTTTCTGGTACTACTTCTGGTTCTTGTTCTTCTTTTGCTTCTACTTGCTCTTGGGTTGGTTCTTCTTCCAGTTCATCGCCAGACGTGTCCATATCACTATCACTACTCTCGTACTGACTCTTCTCCAATCTATTCAAAACCTGTTCAGTCTCCATTTGTGTATGCATAGGAACATTCAACATCCCTGAAGTAACCCTGATCCCATTACCATTCTTATGGTCTCGTTTCACGGGTATGATCTTCTCATCAACTATTTCTGGTGGTGGTAAAGTGATATTTTCCAACGATTTCTCCATGGATTTGTTGATCTTATCATTAACAGGAACGGTCTTCTTCTTAGGAAGATGGTTGTCCACCTTTTCGAAGAATTCCAAGTTTCTCTTTCGGCTGGTTCCTGGAACTGATTCGTTTATCAATAAAGGTGCTGGTTTGATCAATGGAGTACTCTGGAGATCGTGGTAAGGAACACTGGGAGCAGCCATGGAAGTTAAATGTTCTCCAGTACCATGACTTCCTGTAATACCATGGCCATTAGTTCCATGGTTAATGGCACCTGTACCAGCAGCCACATCGAAGGTAGCATTGAATGTTCCATTGACGGTCAAATCTGGAAGACTGTTGTTGATTAAGATTCTTAAGTCATCACCTGACTCTAAGATATCACCAACTACGAATTCAGGATCCAAATCACACTTATCAGAGCTTTGAAACTTTTCAATTTCCAAGATCTCATCTCGTGGATAAAGTCTAGTGTATTGGGCATGAATGTTGTTACACAAAACCTTCAACGTGATGGTGGGGTCTGTTAAATGAAGGAATTTCCTTACACCATAAGCTTCTAAGTTTGTGGTATTGACGGTGCTAAGGTTGATAGGTATCAAGTGTATTTTTAACTTAATCTTCATGGTGAAAAAATCGCGTTTGACGATGGGAATCAAATAGGGTGAGGTGGTGGAGGTTCTCGTAGAGGGCAGTGAGAGGGCCCGTAGATAATGGGGTGCGAGTAGTGAGAAAAATTAGTCCCAGTGGTATTAGAATATCGTGGTGGGCAACCAGAGAAAGATCATTATTCGTTTATTCGTTTCGTCATAAAATTAGTGCTAATTGGCAGTTTTAGAGGATCTTGGTGACCTCAAAACTCTCTCATAATGCCCCAATGTCCTTAATAAGACTTGAACCCTAGTATATCCCCATTAATCGTCCCACAGTAAAACTCATTACTGAAAGGTCTATCCATTGCCAACGATACTATCCTCCCACTATCTTGTCTTATCCTCTTAACCAACTTCCCATCTACTGTCCTGAAGAAGAACAAGTCCCCATTATCACTAGGAAAGATAATATACTGTAAGTCGTTCTCATAGTTATAATTGAGGGTTAACGGTAAGTTTTGAAGGAACTTATTCCTGGTCAATGGTCCGAAGTTGATCAACTTATTCTTAGGTGGATAATTCGATAACATATCCCAAACCTTGATCTTATCGTCATTTCCAGTACTGAAAAGGGTATGTCCCAACTTATCCCAAACCAATCCATTTACTGGTGCTGAATGGGCTTTGATGGACTCCTTCGTGAGGTCTTCGTTATAATAGTTGGATGTGTTTAGCATATCTAATCGGCAAAGGCAATTGTTACTTCTTCTTATATCCCAAATCTTGATTTCTCCATCGAAACCTCCTGAAGCGAGGATATTTTCATCCTTGGGGTGCCATTTCACCGTAATGGTCTTTCCCTTATGGCCCTTTATGGTTTGTGCAGTGGAAGTAGAATTGATATCTAGCAATCGGATGAACGGCTGGTCCGATGCTATAGCGATAAGGTTGTTCTTGATATCGAAGGAATATACTCTATTATTCAAATTGAATTCTTTAATGATGGAGAACTCGTTCGTGTCCCATATTTTGACAGTATGATCAAACGACGATGATATAAACATTCCGGTATCAACGGGCCACCATTGGACGTAGGAAACTCCAAAGTCATGACCAGTCTTTCGAGGTATAGTACCTAGAAGTCTTAAACCTTGGTTCTTGGCGGTGGATTTCAATGAAGAAATGGGTTCTTCGCCGGAGAAATCAAACCCTGAGTCCAAATTAGTAAGAAATTCATCGCTAGTTTCACTACTTTCCCATAACTTGATAGACAGGTCAGCACTACCACTGAGAAGATATTTAAACTCATGATTTTCAAGACTTAGACAATTTATCGACCCATTGGAATGGTAATTGGTATTGTGAGGATGGAGGGATATATAGGTGGATTCAATGAGGGTTTTGGAGAATTCTAGGGGTGAAATGATGCCTAGTTTCCTATCATGAATGAGTGAGTTCATGAGAAACCTCTGTGACTCAACTTAGGGAGAAATAGTGCGACTGGGTGCCACTGGATTGGTAAAAGTGCGACTCCGTAGGTAAAAGACTGGACCTAAATAGTGAGAACAGGGTGGAAACAGTACCGCTCTTTATCATTAGCGTTAGAAATTCGCGAACTGAAAAAAAAATTTTCAAGGATGTTAGACATTAACTCATTTTTAACCGAAAAAGGTGGTAACCCTGAAGCTATCAAGAAGTCCCAAAAGAAAAGAGGAGATTCTGAAGAAATCGTTGATGAAATCATCGCCGAATACAAAAAATGGACTCAAATCAGATACGATTTAGATGAACTCAACAAGAAAATCAACAAATTGCAAAAAGATATCGGATTAAAATTCAAAGCCAAAGAAGATGCTAAGGACTTATTAGCTGAAAAGGATGATTTATTAGAACAAAAGAAAGCTTTGATCGAAGATGAAGCCAAAGCTGACAAACAATTGAAGTACAAAGTCAATCAAGTTGGTAATATTGTTCATGAATCAGTAGTTGACTCCCAAAATGAAGATAACAACGAAATGGTTAGAACCTGGAAACCTGAAGATTTAGAAGATGTTGGTGCCACTGCCAGTTGTACTGGATCCCCAGCCGCTTTATCTCATCACGAAGTATTATTAAGATTAGATGGTTATGATCCTGAAAGAGGGGTTAAGATTGTTGGTCATAGAGGTTACTTCTTAAGACAATATGGGGTTTTCTTAAATCAAGCATTAATTAATTATGGTTTATCTTTCTTAGCTAAGAATGGTTATACTCCATTACAAGCCCCAGTTATGATGAATAAAGAAGTCATGGCTAAGACTGCTCAATTATCCCAATTCGATGAAGAATTATATAAAGTTATTGATGGAGAAGATGAAAAATATTTAATTGCCACATCTGAACAACCTATTAGTGCCTTACATGCTAATGAATGGTTTGAAAAACCTTCTGAACAATTACCTGTTAGATATGCTGGATATTCATCATGTTTTAGAAGAGAAGCTGGTAGTCATGGTAAAGATGCTTGGGGGATTTTTAGAGTCCATCAATTTGAAAAAATTGAACAATTCGTTTTAACTGAACCAGAAAATTCTTGGAAAGAATTTGATAGAATGATTGGTTTAAGTGAAGAATTTTACCAAAGTTTAGGTTTACCTTATAGAGTTGTTGGTATTGTTTCTGGTGAATTAAACAATGCTGCTGCTAAGAAATATGATTTAGAAGCTTGGTTCCCATTCCAAAAAGAATATAAGGAATTAGTTTCATGTTCTAACTGTACTGATTATCAATCAAGAAACTTGGAAATCAGATGTGGTATTAAACAACAAAACCAATTAGAAAAGAAATACGTTCATTGTTTGAATTCTACTTTATCAGCAACTGAAAGAACTTTATGTTGTATTTTGGAAAATTACCAAACTGAAGATGGGTTAAAGATTCCTGAAGTGTTAAGAAAGTATATTCCTGGAGAACCTGAATTCATTCCTTTTGTTAAGGAATTACCAAAGAATTCAACTTCAAACAAGAAGAAGAAATAGATGTGGATGTTCTGATTGTGTCTGTGATTGTCTCTGTCTCTGTGATTGTCTTTGTCTCTGATTTTGTCTCTACTCTGTGTCTACTCTGTCTCATAATCACCTCCCATAAATATGTCCGTCACATAGTTATGTCCGTCACATAGCTGTACTCGTTGCAAAGACAAAAGGCTTTCTACCCCAGATCAAGCTAACTTTCCACGTCCAGTATGTCGGTAGAGTGAAACAAGACATCGACTGTACCCTCTCACTCCATCAAGCTGCTTTCCTGATATCTGGAAATGCTCTCTTTCGTTTTCACTAAAGTCCAAAGTAAACGCCAACCCTTCACAAACAATACCTCTCTTAAGATCTCCAAACACCAAATTGTTCCAGAAGTATAAACAAGATCTAATTTTTGTTATACTGACATGATTTCATCAACTCATAATCAACTTTCTGGTTTTTGCAGCCATCTCAGACATCACGTGATTTGATCTTTCTTTTTATATTGATCACGGACGAAGCCACGGCTGCCACCTTATTGGCATAAAACAGATAACATACATTCAGGAGCATATATATAACATGTTTCCTCCATTAAACTGCTTATGTTTCGATTGACACCTTGAACTACTCCCGTTCATTTTCATTAGGACCCAAAATAGACTCTACCAATTTTCTACTTTTCGCAAGGATTACCAAGAGACAAGCAAACTCCCATATGAAGTCAAATACAATTCACACTGACACACAATCGACACTGACACACAATTGACCTCGACATGACGCATAACTACACTGATAACTCACATAGACAAAATTTTATGAAGACAGTAAGGGAACGATAAGTTCTCATCTCAATTATCCATGTGCTTTGACGTCTGCTCTTCACTTTTGTAGCCCTGATATCTGCTCCCCTTATATTCTAACCCTCATGTGCCCTTACCCTACGGCCATGGTCTCACAACGTTATATAATTGGTCAAAAGTGTAAATCCCTTCACAGCAACTTAGACGAAGCTCTGGACCATGTCGCAGATTATACACATCCTCAATGATCCAATTGACCCTTTATCACCAACTTTTTACTCCAAACCTAATATCAATACTGACAAATAGCCTAACCAACAGGAAATTACCCAATGGGGCTGTTCCACCGACCCACTTACCGATTTTAATGATGAAACGAATAAATCAAAGAAATCTTTCAGGAGACTTCTCGGGAGTTACCCTTTTGGGACGTATCACCGAATAAGTAATTTCACATAATTTACGATTATTTAAGTTAATTCTCCACTAAAAAGCAACCACAGCCTATCATACCGTTCCATGATAATACAAAGCTGAAGTATAAATTGAGGTCAATTCCAGTTGATCATTAACAAAATGTCAATTGAATTAAAAGGTGAAGCAAAAATCTCAGGTAAAAACTGTATCATTGCAGGAGGTACTAAGAATATGGGTGGTGGAACTGCCGAAGAGTTAGCTAAATTTGGATGTAACTTATTCTTACACTTCCACTCAGATAAAGATAAGGCAAATGCCGAAGCTTTGAAAGAAAAATTATCAAAGTCAGTAAAAGTTGAATTATGGCAAGGAGCTTTAGATGACGAATCAGATGTTAGTAAATTTTTCGAAGCTGGTGAAAAGTTCTTTGATGGTGGTATTGATATTTGTCTTAACTTTGTTGGTAAAGTATTGAAGAAGCCAATGGTTGAGTTTTCTGCTGAAGAATTCGAATCAATGGATACCGTCAATAATAAAATTGCCTTCTTTTTCTTACAAGAGTCAGCCCGTAGAATTAATCAAAATGGGAAGATTGTTACTTTGGTCACTTCATTATTGGCTGCTTATACTCCATTGTATTCATTGTATCAAGGTACAAAAGCACCAGTTGAGTTTTATTCCAAGGGATTATCAAAGGAATTGATTCCAAAAGGTGTTAGTGTAAACTGTGTTGCTCCAGGACCGGTTGATACATCATTCTTCTACTCTGGAGGTGAACAAAAACAAGATATTGAGTTCTATAAGACGGTTACTATTAGACAAAGGTTAACTTATGTTGAAGATGTTGTACCAATTATGAGATTTTTGGTTACTGAAGGATACTGGATCACTGGCCAAACCATTTTCTGTTCTGGTGGGTTTACAGCTCATTAGTAGAAGATCATTGGAAGTCTCTAGTACTGGGCTCTAACCTGGTGACTGTATTTGGTCTAGTGACCGTTTAGGCACTGGACCTTATTGGTCATACTTATTTTTCTATCAATAAATGTTCCCACGTTACTGAGTAAATCCCCCGACTACGTCCCCTGACTGTACATACTCTCTGACTACGTCCCCTGAGTGTACATGCCTTCTGGCCATGTCCCCTGACTCCATGATTCCCCGGGGACGTGGAACCTTCTCCGTGTCTCATGTCGACATTGTCTGGGTCTAAAAATAACTATAGATCATAGATCAACACCTCAGCCCTTGATTTTAGGCAGCTCCTGACCATCACTACAGCCAAGTAAGTCACTCTAACATTCAGTTCATCCCCTTTCGATGAGTATCTTCACAACTGTCCATAAATGTCCATAACTAACTATAAGTCTCTATGCGTCTATACAAACCTACACAAATCTATACAACACTACATCACACACACCATCACTTTCCTACCTCTCACAATAATTCTCCTACCTCTATCTCCAACTTCCCGCTCTAACGTCTCCTTATAATCTCCAGCCTTCCCACCGAGACGTCAAATTTCATTTAAGCCCCGACAATTTCATATAAATACCACCCACTCGCACTCGACAAAAATTAATTATGTCATATCAACAAGGACCACCTCAAGGTTATAACCAAGGCCCACCACAAGGATACCAACAAGGGTACCAACAAGGGTACCAACAAGGTCCACCACAAGGATATTATCAACAACAAGGTCAACCAATGTATGTTCAACAAGAAAAGAAAGAAGGACCAGGATGTTGTTGCGGGATCTGTGCTGGTATTTTAGCATGTTGTTGTATTGAAGCATGTTGTTAGAGAAGAGAGATGTACTAAAGAGAGGGCTTTGATCACTAGTACCGAACACTCATTAGTATCGATCATTAACTAGTACGACCAGGACTTGAACGAGGCAATCGCTATTCTATGTTAACAATATACATTATCACCCTACTCACTTCTTGAACCTCCTATTAGGACTGAAAGCCATGTTATTTTGCATGTTCATGTTCATATTCATATTCTGACTATTCATATTCTGGCTATTCATATTCTGACTATTCATACCACCCATACTCTGACCACCCATACTCTGACTGTTCATGTTCTGACTGTTCATATTCATATTCATATTCATATTATTATTCATCATGGGTTGACTCCGATTACCTTGACCTTGGTTCTGTTGACCTTGGTTCTGTTGAAGTTGAAGTTGTTGTAACATTTGTCTGGAACGTAATTGGATCTGTTTCAATCTTTGGAAATAATTAGGGAACTTTTGTATCAATTGACTTTGAATTAACTTAGCTTGATTAACTGCTTGTTGTTGTTGTTCGGCAGTTAATTGGGTTTTATTGGGTGCTAATCCTGTATTCCCCATCATAGCTAAGGCCGACACTTTATGTTGTAATTGTTTAAACACATGTTGGTCTTGTGGTGATAATAATGTATTGAATAATTGTTGTTGTTGTTGAGTCATTGCTTGTCTTATAGATTGGGCTGTAGGTAAATTAGAATTTTGTACAGGGGAATTTTGGCTGGGTGAATTAGGTTGGTTGAAATTGTTTTGTACGGGTAATTGTTGTTGTAATTGTTGCATTCTTTGAGGTCTTTGATTCATTTGTTGGTTAGGTTGTGATTGTTGGTTATAGAATGATGAAGGATTAGGTGATACTTTTTGTTTCTTGTACATGTTTTGTTGTTGTTGCTGTTGTAATTGTTGTTGCTGCTGCTGTTGTTGTTGTTGAAGTGGTGGCTGTTGTGGTAATTGATGTTGTGACTGAGGTTGTGATTGAGGTTGGTTGACACCTCCTTGCATTTTTTGTCTTAATTGTTGTTGTTGTAATTGTTGAGCTCTTAAGGTTTGCATCTTCAAATTATTTAATCTTGCAGCATTAGCATTGGCATTAACATTGACATTGGCATTAACATTAGGTGGTTGATTATTTACATTTACTGGTGGTTGAATGGTCTTAGATTTCTCAGGACTTGGTCCTTGACTTATAGTATTAACTCCTGAAGCTGCTGCCACGGTAACATCTTTAGATAACTTCTGGGCTTCTTTTCTCTTTCTGATATCTTCAATGAATCTTAATCTCATGAATTGTCCACTAACAGTGTTAGAATCTTTATCATCCAAACCACTAACAACCAATTTCCTTTCATTATCGTCAGTTCTTTTATACTTGTTGGACAAAAGGAACATGATTTCTTCATAATCTGAGGATTTGTGTAAGATCATTTCTTCAGAATGGACCTTTCTTGGTTCTCTATGAGTTTCTGGTCTATGGGTGAATAACATCTTATAATCTTGAGTTTGTTCATCCCAGGACTTTTGTAATGGTTCTGGTGTAAGGAGGTCGTCATTATAAGGATTCAAAGGTACTGATAAGTCTAATTCTCGGTTGGTTAAGTTAACAATCTCACTTTCCATCTGTATAGCTAGTTGATCGGTGAATCTAGTTAATGCCGAATCAGTATGATAAAGGAGATCGTAGTATAAAGATAATTGGGTTGGTCTTAAAAGGGTCCGGTAAGTTTTGGGTTTGAGTGTTGAATTGTTAGTAGTTCCATTAGTACCATTGGTGGTACCTGTACCATTAGTTGTGGTAGTGGTATTGGTTCCTTTAGTTGTATCAGTTGTGTTGGTAGTACTTCCACTAATACTACCACCACTTCCAGTATCACCGGATTCCTCTTTATCTTTGGCCAGTGCTATTTCTACCATATTCCTATGATCATAAACTTGTAGTATCAAACATCCATCATAAGGCTTGATAGCAAAGTCTTTGATCAACTCGCTCATTTCTACCGGTATTTCTTCCCTTAACACATGGTGTAAGAAATGTTTGATCATAGGGGAATCCAAGGGGATGGTTTCTTGATTGAACTTGTAATGGGTAGGATAAATATGGAACGAAAGTGATGGAGGGTAATTACTATACTTTTTCAAGATCTCTTCCGACGTGGAAGCGAAATGGTAATTCTTCGGCAACTTACGTTGAGGTGGAGATTCTGTGGTGGCAGTAGGACCATTTGATTGATCAATCTTTGCACTGCTTATTCTTGTTTCCACCATTGATGAAGGAAGTTTGGGCGCGAAAATAATATGGGAAGTTAGTGTGGTGGGAAATGGGTCCAGCGAGCGAGAATTGTAGGTAAAGTTAGTGAGAGTTAGGGAGGAATAGTGCGAATTGGGAGTAAAGTTAGTGCGAATTGGGAGTAAAGTTAGTGAGACTTGGCAGTAAAATTAGTGAGACATAGGTTGAAGAAGACTAGAAATCGAGGTCCTCTTTTAACCAATGAAGAAAGTAAAAGAACAACGAAAGAAGAGGAGAGACTATAGAAACAGCTACCACCACAAAAAAATCTTTACATTCCTATAAATCAGACGAATCATTCGTCAAGCAAAATACCAATAATTTATACAACTTTAATCTATCAACTTCATTAAACACCCATAATCCAAAGATCTCTCCTGTTAAATTTTTCACTATAATCAACGAATCATTCAACTCTACATCCATACTTGTCACCCCATTACCTAATCCTTGAGGGAAATAATGATTGGAAACGTTATTTGGTACTAAACCTATTGAAAATAAATCGGGACTGGAACGATTCAATAATACCAATCCATAACAGAAAAGATTTTGTAAGTCTTGAAGGTTGGGCTGGTTGGTGGTAGGAACTTTGAATTCTCGGATGTATAACGATAAACTTCCTTGATAATCTGACTTATTCCATTCTTCAGTTTCTTGATCGAAGTTATATATCACACAATATGACGTTTGATATAGGAGTCTTTTGATGGAGGGATCATATCTGCTGAGAACATTGAACGTTATGGTGTTTTTGTACAATTCCAAAGCTTTTTCGCTGGTTAATTCCTTAGTTTTCTTTTTGTCTTTGGGTTTAGCCATTGGAGGGTAATGCGAATTTTTGGTGATGTTGAATATTTATAGGTACGGAGGTATTTGGAGGTTGGAGAGGTCTAGAGACACACAGATGAGTAATGAAGGAAGATATGGACTTTAGATGGTGGTAGGATGTTTCAGAATCCGAGAAAGTCGTCTGTAGCAAGAGTTAGCCAAAACTCTCTTGATATTGGAGCTAAAGATTCCAAAGTAAAACCATTCAATTAATTACCCTTATATCTATCCCCATACTTCGTTACAGCCTCTCAAATCTTCTTCACCAATTTCACTGGGTTCTCAGGTGGCATATTTAAGGTGAAAAATGCGATTGCTCAGTAATGTTCAGATCAAGTCTCAAGTCAATTAGATCCTTCCACTCAACCATTCCAAGATTCGTCAAGGTTGGTGACTCAATTCCTTCAATTTCTTTAGCCTTCCAAAGTCCAGGTAATTCCATCGACTTATCCAAAGAATTGGCTTCAGGTAAAAGTGTTATAATTGGAGTTCCTGGAGCTTTTTCACCCGGATGTACTCAAAGTCATTTACCAGGATATTTCTCTAAAATCAAGGAATTTGGTGCTAAAGGTTATGAAAAATTCATCGTGGTTGCTGTTAATGATGCTTTTGTCATGAACTCCTGGTCAGAAACTTTTGGTGACTTACCAGAAGTCAAATTCGTTGCTGATGCTTCAGGAGATTTCGTTACCGCTTTAGACTTGAAGTTCGATGCTTCCAAGTTTTTTGGTAATGAAAGAGCCAAGAGGTTTGCTTTGTTGGTCGAAGACGGGGCTGTTAAGGGAAGTTTTGTTGAACCTGATAACACCAGTGTTGATGTTTCAGCAGCAGACAAGGTTTTACCTGAAGCTTAGAAATGTATGCTTTTCTTCTTGTATTTTGTACAGTGTTGACGTAGTGTCATGATCACACCACTACCGTGTAAGTTGCCGACGTCTTCTCTACACTCCCACTATCTCTACCGGTCTCATTCGCAAATTTCTCATGTTAAGACTATCGTTCTCCTTTCACAGCCTAAGGCGATACACCACCTTCTCCACCAAAGACATAGACCGGTCGAGAAAATGGATAGAGCAGTTCAGTTCCACTCAAATCCCTAGCAAGCACTTTGAAATCACGTTTTCAAGATCATCGGGACCTGGGGGCCAAAAGGTCAATAAAACATCATCAAAAGCCACCGTAGCCATGGAAAACGATAAATGGCTCAACCCTCAATGGTGTTACTGGATTCCTGAACCCATAAGGGCCCAACTTAGGGAGAAGAAGGTACGATATCAGACGAAAACTGGGGGCATTCTCATCCAATGTGATACATCAAGAAATAGAGATACCAACGTTAGTGAGTGTTTTGAACGGTTAACAGAGGAGATCAAACGTGTAGCGTACTTTGAGCCTGAAGTCACGGAGGAGAATAAGAAGAAATGGGAAGAATTGAAGGAGGTCAGTAAAGAGAAGAGATTGTTTAATAAGAAGAAGGTGAGTGATAAGAAGAAGCTACGGTCTAAGAAGTTTGATTTTTGATACACGGAGTTTATTGTGGAGGGGCCAGGAAGGTCCGTATCTCTGGTCTCTTAGTTCTCTTAGTTCTCATTCCTAGTTGTTGTTGTCTCAGTTTTCTTAGTGTTCTTAGTGTTCCTAGTGTTCTTGGTGTTGTGAGTGTTCTCGATGTTCCTAGTCCTCATTCCCATGAGTTTGGGTCCATTTATCGCAACTCTGGGTCCACCTGTGGATATTCTCTCGGTCCATCTCCCACTAGCCCATCGCCTAAACTATCGCGCAGCCCATCTAATTCATCCGCGAACCACTATGGAAACAACGTTAAGCCCCAACATCAAACGTTGTGTTTCCTCCATTGAACTGGCTTTAAGCTCCATCCAGTCGAGCACTATCATTACTCAACCTGAATATATCACCTACCAGCAAACCTGGGACAATTTAGACCACGGAGAAGTTGAAATCGATACTCAAGATGAAGAATTCAATACCCAATGGATAGCTAGAACCAGAGAATTCATCTTTGATAATTCATTCATCACCATCATTCACAAGTACATCGAAGAAATAGTGGCCCAGGATCCTGAAGATACCACCATCGTCGACATAGAACAGTTTAAATGTAGTTCTCATCTCAAACAATCATTAGACAAAATCTCCACCGTCCTAGATCTTACCATTTCATTGATCTCCCACGATCCTTTGTTCAAGAAAGTGTTTTATAAACTCCTTTCTGTGGTAACTACCACAATATTTGAAATATCCACAAAACATTTAGCGATTTTTTGGTTGTTTTTGGAATCTAGAATCGACACCATTAAAGCTAAAGCTTTTGATGGAAGTATGGGTGATAGAATCTCCATTTTACATTTTACTAACTCCTTGATCGATAGACATTTCAATCAGTACCATGGGGCTAAGGACCCGGTTCATAAAGACACATTTAACGATACCATTCAAACGAGAATTCGAATTTTTACCAATAAGATGTTAAAAGTTAGTGACGATACCGGGCTCAACCGTCATTACCTCCTCAGTGATAAGAAATCCCCTAAGATTTTACCCCGTAAGGCCAAACGATTTGTCAGTGATATTCTTTTGATCTTTGCCTTGATGAAAGATCCCTATACTTTAGTTAAGAATGAGAGTAAGTTGAAACAGTTTTCAAGGGTTGCCAGTGATTTGTTTGATGAACTTATGAACCAGGAGATTCATTATTTGAAGAAGAACCCTTCAGATAAGTTCAAAATCCCCGATACTTTGCCTGAGAACGAGAGACTTTATTTGGTGAAGAAATATACCACGAAATTTTACTTTCCTGAGGTTTATTTCCAAAGTCAGTTCAATAACATAGAGAAACAGAAAATAGAAGACCAGGATGCTTTGTATGATTTGTTCGATAATGCCGTGTTTAGAGAACAAGTGATTTTTCAAATCTATTTCACTTGTGATTTCCTTTTTGAGTTCACTAATTCTAACAAGAAAGCGTTGTTGAAGACCTTACCGGCCAATTCCAAACATTTCATTGAAAGTTCTACCAGTGATTTCATGGCTAAGACATTTTACCGGATTAAAAAGGAAACTTTGAATGGGTTCAGATCCTCAGACAGCCACTTATCGTTCTTATTAAGTAATTTGAGCTTGAGTGAGAAGAATTGGTGGTTTTGGCTTTTGAACGGGAAGAACAGTAAGGTTTTGGTGGATAAGTCGGTAACGGAAGAAGAATTGGTGAAGAATAATGAAAAATTTGAAGGTTTATTCCCTGAAAAGACCACTAAATACTTCAATATCTATGCCACCCCACAATTATCCAAACGGATGAGAGGTAAACGAGGTTTAGACGAAATAACGTTGATTGAACGAGACGTAGAGATGGGGGATGAAGATGAGGTGAAGAAGTGGAGATTAAAGAGGCTGAAAAGAAGTAATTGGTTAGAAGTGGGGGAATAGCGTAGTTAATAAACGATTTGTAAGTGCAGCTCTAAGTGTAGCTCTCTTGAAACTGGGTGCACTGGGTGCAAACTTTGGAGACAAATTTAGCGACACTTCTGGCGACACTCACCGCGACCACTTCTCGTCATCGCGTACAGATCGCGGCTCATCTCAAACGCGCTATACCTTATGGCTAGGAAACGAAAGAGTGCAAAGACAGCCATTAAGGCCAAATCCACTCAATCCAAGGCTACAGCCGAAAAGCCAGTGGTCAAAAACCCTCCCCGTCCTGTTGGACGGATGAGAACACGTAACAATTCCACCCAAATAGACGATGTTCCTATCACCCTAGTTAAACCAGTTACTGACAAGATGTTAAACGATTTGACTCCACAACCCCCTAAAGAACCCGTGGAAATACAGGATACACAGGTAGCTGATAATGATACTGAAATAGAAGGTGAAAAGCCACCAGAACTTCCAGAACATCCACAATCCCAAGATTTAGACGAACCTGAATCAGACCTTAATTCATCACCCATCAAATTGAATCGTTATATATCACCAATACGAAGAAGTGTGGCCTTTTCTGATGACTTAATCAGTGACACGCCAGACTTGAGACCTCCAGTCAATGCTACGCCCAAAAAGTCCATTCTCAAATTGAGTCCTAGAAAGGCTGAAAGAGCCCCTTCATTCAAGACTTTTAACCCTGAAGACGCTAGCTTTTGGTCCAACGGTGTGATAGTTCAACTCCCACCGCATTCAGATAACTTCCTTACCCTTTTCAACGGTTGTTTGGCGGTATTGAAGGATAAACAGTTCAAGCTACGATTCGAGGTATATGCCTCGTTGAACTATAACATGAAGATTAATGACTTAAGCAGTATTGTCAACCAACCATTCAAGTCACCCAAATCTCCTCGATCCCCAAAACCACCAATCAATCGAGTTTCACAACTATCGGCCCTTATACAGCGAGATATCAGTGATATAGAACGAGATATATTCAACCAGGAAGACGATAAAGAAAACCTCCCAGACAAGAACCATCAAGATAAGAGCGATCCGTTTTCTACCAGAATAATCAGCCAAAGTTTGAAGTTAATGCTTCTAGTGATAAATGAACCAAGCTTAAGTGAGCTTCTCTCGGTAGATGATATCCGATGGTTCTACTACCATTCATCGTTGATGATCATCAAACCTGAGATTTCCAAAGCCTTGGCTATAAGCTACTTAAATATCTTAAAAGAAACTCCTTTTGTACCTAAGCGGAAGAGATTGATATTTGATAATCCCACCATCGATATCCCTGAACATATGTTATTCGGGTTACTCAACATGAAGTACTTCCCATCAGTGTCACTTCAACAGGAGAAACTTGTGGCCCTCAAAAACTTGGTCAAACAATTCCCTAACACCATGACCCATAACTTCAATCATTGGTTCCCAGTGTTCATGAATCAAATGTTCACCTTAACGGGAGCTGGGTACACCAAACCATTCATTCTACTGATTCTAGTGTTGATGGAAAGTTCTAGAGTGTTCTTGAATAACCATAATGTGGGTACGATGGTCAATGATTACTTGGAACAAATGGAAAACGATAGTTCCAATTTCGATTGCCTAATTGGGATACTTGAGAATTTGGCTGATAGTCAGAAACACAAAAACGCTTTGGATATTTGGTTCAGTATAACCTTGATGGTGAAACAACGTCTGGGATTCGATAATTGGAAGTTTTTGGCTCGTTGGTTGAATGTTTTCAAGTATTGTATACCACGGGAAACCCCGGAGATGGCTATTAAGGCTTGGAGGGCTGTGGTTTATAATTTGTGTTGTGACTTGGATAGTGGAAGGAAAGCTATGGTGTTGAGCAAGGAGACGGCCAAGGAAAAGGCCGTGGACAAGGTCCAATTAGAGAATAAATTCGATCTTCTCAAAACCATTCTTCATTGTACCACCTCCAACACCCTCGAGACCATGGATGCGTTCGACGGAATCATACTTTGTATGGTATATGGGTTGAGTCGAAGGACAGACTCAATCTACTGGGATTATTTGCTTCAGCCAGTAATGGAGTTCTATTTCATCGGCGACAAACCCAGCATTCATGGGTCCAATGGTTCTAAACTCCTCATACGGTTGATGAAACCCAATAATGAAACCTTTGATCCCTCAAGGTACCTTTCTAACGATAAATTACCCATCACTAGTATCAGACCGTTGGACGCCGGCTGGATCGCTCTCAACACTGCCAAGTTTCTCCCCATTATGAAGCTAGCCTTACAACAAGACACCAGACCTGAAGTCAAATTATCGGTTATAACTTCATTCTGTGACTATTTGAAGGGACACAAGAAAGTTCTTTCAATGGTAAAACCTCAACTTCACCAGATGATGACGGGAATCTGCCACCATGACATTTCTACCAAGAGTTTAGTGGCCCCATTTGCATGTTTGATCAATACCTATGGAGTCCATGAACTATTAGAGCCAGATTTTATCCTGCTTTTCACCAATAAACTCGTACAAGGTAACGGGGACTTGGACACTCTTCTAGGCAGCCTAGATAGGTCCAAGAGCTTACCCATAATCACCCGATACTTCAAACTCAAGGGAGTGGATAATACCTTCGGTCAGAGATTGGAATTATGTAAGGTGAACTTTACTTCCCCCATTGAACTTAAAGAGTGTGGGGAGTTACTCAAAACTTTTACTGACGTGAATAAGTTCCTTAAAGGTATCATACAGAGCTTGGTGCTCTTAAAGGAACCAGAATTTCTCCAACTGGTGAAGACTATCGACATTGTCAACTGGAATATTCAAAACTTCAAGGTATACATTGCTCTAATCAAGACCTCCCCCTTCCCATACATGTTAACTAATGGCTGTGAGATGATCCAGGAGAAACTCGAACGGGATCCAGCAGTTATGGACATATTTCCAATTTTGTGTGACAACAATGGAATTTTCCGGGGCACTTATAAGTCCTTTTTGGCCCGGTATGAGACTTTGGACGATGGTGGTAAGCAGGAGTTCAAAAAATGCTGGAAAGATTACTTGGACACTGTCAGAAGAGAAGAAAGATGGGGGGATTTAGATGAAATGTTATGTGCTGGAGATTTGGGAGAATCTTTTGATGTGAGTAATTTACCACGGTATGGAGCTAAAGTAGAGCTTCAACAACGACTTGGAATGAGAGGTCTGGAAAAAGAGTATGAAAAAGGGGGTGAAAAAGGGGGTGAAAAAGGTGGCGAGGTAATTCCTGAGTCGTTGGAGATCCCTTGTTCGCTGGAGATCCCTGAGGTTGGAACATTGGAAATCCCTGACTCTATGGGATCATTGGAGATTCCTGAGTCGCTTGATTTAGGGACCCTGATTGTCCCAGGAATGGAATTAGTTCCAGAAACTGTGTCTCAACCAGGACTCGACCTGGATTCAGATACCCCTGATAACACCTTCTCATCAGAAACAGGCAGTAACTCCGATGACGATCTCAGTTCTCCAGAGAAACTGAACAAAAGACCGGCAGAAGAAATGTTCACCGTCAAACGTCAACGATTAATGGATATGGGGTCCGATAGTAGCGACTCTGTAGACGAATCTCCCTGTAAGAAACCAGAGATAAACCATAATGAGAAAGTCAACCGTATGATGTCGTTAGCTGATGAATTGAGTCACTGTGAACTCAATGGACAACAGAAGAATGAGTTGGAATTGAAACTTCTTCAGTTTTTAGTATCTCTTAAGTCACTGTAAATATATAACGAATTTTAGTGATACAAAATAGAGTTTGGTGCCATTTGGTGATGGATGATGGGGAGAAATGGACGCGGCAGACAGGAAACTGTAGAGAAATAGGCGCGCACTGACCGGAAATAGGCAGCCCCAGCACTAAGCAGCCGCTACAGATGGCTACAGATGGTGCGAAAAATTTTCATGTCTAAACGTAAAAGAGACCATAACATTGTGCCTCTAGAGAACACATATGGGGCTCTACAGAGTGATGATGAACCCTACGACTTCTCCAAGAAGAATGATGATCTCATACTAAATGACGATTACCAAAGTAATGACTCAGACTCATCTGATGACAGTGTTATAGTTGAAAGCGATGATAACGAAGACCCATCTCCACAAGGTCAAGACATAGAAATTGAAGTTGATGATGTACCACAAGCTTCCTACGACTCAGACGAAGGACCCAGGCGAAAAATACGGAAGGAAAATGATCTTAGTACCAATAAAGATTTCATTGGCTTTGGATTTGAATCCTCAGACGAAGAAGCTGCCGATGACCTTAGTGACGATGGTGTGATAAGTAATGACGAGGGGGATTTAATAACATCCACAAACCCTTCAAGTTTGTATCCTTGGATCAAAGCCCATGATCATTCCACCCAAAAAGAAATCGCCGATTGGTTAACTATGGAGATTAAAGATTTCATCAACTATATCTCACCATCGAAGGAAGAAATCATCATGAGGAACAACGTTGTCAATAAGCTTAAAGAGGGGATACGGAGATGCTGGCCCGATGCTGAAGCCCATGTATTTGGTCTGTATGCCACGGATTTATATTTACCAGGATCTGATATCGATATAGTGGTGATATCTCAGAACGGAGATTGTGAAAACAGACATAAGTTATACCAATTAAGTTCCTTCCTTAGACAAAACAAACTAGCACGGGAAATAGAAGTTATAGCCGGAGCAAAGGTACCAATCATCAAATTTATAGAACCGGAAAGTAACATTCAAATCGATGTTTCTTTCGAAAGAACCAACGGGATTGATGCTGCTAAGAGGATAAGTAAATGGATAGGCGATACCAAAGGTTTAAGGGAGTTGGTGATGGTGGTAAAGCAGTTTTTGAGAAGTAGGAAGTTAAATAATGTTCATGTTGGAGGTTTAGGTGGGTATGCTACCATTATTTTGTGTTACCATTTCCTTAGGTTACATCCCAGGATATCTACCAATAATATGAACATCTTAGATAACTTGGGATCGTTATTAATTGAGTTCTTTGAACTTTATGGAAGAAACTTCTCTTATGATAATTTGATTCTAGCCATAGATCCCGTGACAGACTTACCGAAGTACCTTAAGAAGTCTCAGTATTATAAGTTGATTACTTCCAAGAACCCTTTCTCCTTGGTGGTTCAAGATCCTAGCGATCCTGATAATAACATTACCCGTTCAAGTTATAACTTGAGAGATATTAAGAAAGCTTTCGGAGGAGCCTATCAACTTCTAACCGAGCGATGCTACCAGTTAAACTCGGCTTCGTATAAGTCTCGTATCGGTCAGAGTATCTTGGGTGATATCATTAGGTATAAAGGTAAGGAGAGAGATTTCAATGATGAGAGAGATTTGGTAATGAACCATGCTTTGGTAAATCACGAGAAGGAGGCCATAACTGAGGTTAGTGTTGTAAGTAGTACCGTGAGCAGGGATGGTGGTGGTAAGAAAGCGAAGGAGACTAAGAAGGTCAAAGAATCCAAAAAGGAGACCAAGAAGGAAACTAAGACCAAAGACACTGAAAAGGGTAAACCTGGTAAGGTGGTTGTTATAGATGAACCTAAGGAGTATTTCTCCGAAGTCACCATTGATACCGAGTCTGAACCTGAGTCTAAGGCCGTGCCAACCTCTGTGTCAGGACCTAACTCCCAGTCTAAGACTAACCAAACTAAACCTAAAAACGTAGCGGATTTCGTTCTAGTTGAGTCAGAATCCGAAGAAGAAGAACCTCAGCCCAAGAAGATTTTGGATAAGGACGCCAAAAGAGATTACTGGAGACAAAAGGGTTTAGAGTTGTAGAATAAGTAAGTATAATAATGTCGCATAATTAATGTCGTTCGTACCTCTACCTTGAACAATTAATGTTTGTGACCCCAAAGGGTAGGCTCCGTGACCTAACAACATGACTTCCCCTGGAATTGTCTGTTTAGCACCACCTTATCCTTTAAACTCTCATAATGCCTTTCAAAGAAATCTGGAGGGATATCATTGATTATGTCCTGAAAAATGTCGTGGATTCCTTCACCACTTTTGGCACTGGTATGGAAATGTTTGATTCCGCTGTTCATTTCCAAGAAGTCTGCCACCCCTGGTACCGTAGGAGTCACTGGTGGACCCGTAGCACTGGTTACAAGATCACTCTTGGTTCCTATCAAATAAATTTTGATCTCACTATTGGTCTCATTGTTTAGTTTCAATTGATCTATCCAATAAAGGGCTTTATCAAACGTGGATGGATTGTGAAGGTCGTAGCACACTAAAGCTACCTTGGAGTTTCGGTAATACATGGGGGTAAGTGATTTATATCGTTCTTGTCCTGCGGTATCCCATATCTCTAGATTTATCCGTTTAGACTTATCGGAGGATTCCAATTCTTTGGTGATAAAAGCAGCACCAATGGTACTGGATAATTGATTATCGAACTCACTAGTTGTGAACCTGTGAACAAGGGAGGTCTTTCCCACTGAAGAGTCCCCTAAAATGACGACTTTAAACGATGGACAAGGTAAGCTCATTGAGGATTTTGCGAAGGGGATGAGATAAGGGATTTTGGGGGACAAAAGTGGGGGGAGAAATGATAGTTAGTTCATTATGACCATGGAATCCCCCATAAGGTTCCAGAGGACGTCTGAGACTATTTAAAGAGAATTTGATCTAAATATACCAGGTTATGTGCTCGGTAATTGCCGGAATACGTTTAGTTTTTGTGTAACATCTCTAGTGCATCATTTTCGCGGACATCATTTGAAAATTTTCATCATGAGAGGTTTAACTATGTTGAGAGCTATTGCTCCTATGACTCCAAGATTCACTCCTGCCATGTATAATGGTATGAGAAGTACTTATGGAGTTCGTTTCAATTCCACCGCCAAAGGTGAAGAAGCCAAAGCCGAGGAAACTGCTGAAACTGCCGAATCAGCTAAATCTGATGCATCCGAACCAAGTGAAGATCCAGTTATTACCGACTTAAAGGCCAAATTATCACAAAAGGACAAACAATTAGCCGATTTCAAAAACCACTATGCCAAAGCCATAGCTGATTTCAGAAACTTACAAGATAGTACCAAGAAGGAAATTCAAAAGGCTAAAGATTTCGCTTTACAGAAATTTGCTAAGGATTTGATTGTTTCTTTGGATAACTTCCAATTGGCTTTACAATCAGTCAAAGAAGACACTTTAAAAACCAACGAAGAAGTCAAAAACTTATACGATGGGGTTGAAATGACCAGATCAGTATTTGAAAGAACTTTGACCAACCATGGTATTGAAAAAATCGACCCAGTTGGTGAACCTTTTGATCCAAACACTCACGAAGCTGCTTTTGAAATCCCTCAACCTGATAAGGAACCAGGTACTGTGTTCCATGTACAACAACCAGGGTATACTTTGAATTCCAGGGTTTTGAGACCAGCTAAGGTTGGGATTGTCAAAGGAGAATAGGCGATAGAACTTGTATATACGACCGGGGGACACCTGGAATCAACAGTGATTTACTGATATGCTCTATGTTTGATTAGATTTGGCTATTGGGGCCATTAAGTCTCCGTAATTGGCCACACTAACTCTAACTTTCTCTATCGAGTCTTTTTGTCTCGCTGAGCAAGGTCTCGCACCATCTCGCACCATCTGGCTTCATCCACCACCAATAAATCCGGTCCGGACTCGCAGTGGTACCACCGCTTATGACTCAATGTCCCCCCGCGATATTTAACTCTGAAAAATCTGAAAAATCACCAATGTTAAGACAATTAAGATCATTTTCATCAACTTCTGCTAGTTTAAAAAACTTGAAAATCGGGTTAATTCCTGGTGACGGGATCGGTAGAGAAGTTATCCCTGCTGGGAAAGCTATTTTGGAAAATTTACCTTCAAAATTCGGATTAAATTTCGAATTCGTTAACTTAGATGCTGGTTTTGAATTATTCCAAAAAACTGGTACTGCTTTACCTGATGAAACCGTCAAGGTTTTAAAAGAAGAATGTGACGGTGCTTTATTTGGTGCTGTATCATCACCAACCACCAAAGTTGCTGGTTATAGTTCCCCAATTGTCGCTTTAAGAAAGAAAATGGGATTATATGCTAACGTTAGACCTGTTAAATCCGTTGAAGGTATTGGTAGACCAGTCGATATGGTTATCGTTAGAGAAAACACCGAAGATTTATATATCAAGGAAGAAAAAACTTACAAAGCCGAAGACGGTACTAGAGTTGCTGAAGCTATCAAGAGAATTACTGAATCAGCTACCACCAGAATTGCTAAGATGGCTTACGACATCGCTTTAAAAAGACAATCTATCAGAGGTACTGTTCAATCATTACATTCTGTTCCATCGGTTACAGTTACCCATAAATCCAATGTGTTATCACAATCTGATGGATTATTCAGAGAAGTTTGTAAAGCTGTTTACGAAGCTAACCCTGAAGAATATAATGGTATTGAATACAAAGAACAAATTGTTGATTCAATGGTTTACAGAATGTTCAGAGAACCAGAAATTTTCGATGTTGTTGTAGCACCAAATTTGTATGGTGATATTTTAAGTGATGGTGCTGCTGCTTTAGTTGGTTCATTAGGGGTTGTTCCATCAGCTAATGTTGGTGATAACTTTGCTATTGGTGAACCATGTCACGGTTCAGCTCCTGATATTGAAGGTAAAGGTATTTCTAATCCAATTGCTACTATTAGATCTACTGCTTTAATGTTGGAATTCATGGGTTATTCTGAACCAGCTGCTGTTATTTATGAAGCTGTTGATGCTAACTTGGCTGAAGATAAGATCAAGACTCCAGATTTGGGTGGAAACTCCAGTACCAATGAAGTTATTGAAGATATAGTTAGACGTTTGAACTAGGTTTTTGTGGTTGGAGATGACAAAGCTGATAGAGCTGATTAGAGCTTGTGTAGGCTTGACATTACTTAAATACTTACATTAAATATACTAGAAACCTGTCCATTCGGCTTCCTCTCCGCTCTCGCCTTCTGACTCGCCTCCTGACTCACCTTCTGACTCGGCTTCTGACTTGTTGGAGGTTTCTGTGACATCGCTTGCTTCGTCGTCACTGGCTTCGCCGTCACTGACTTCGTCAGTAACATCTTCGTCAGTAGCATCCTTTCTCACAAAACAAGCAGCAAAAAATCCAATACCTCCATCCTCCTTAGGCACCGATCTCACACATCCTCCTGCTAATTCCTCAACAGTCTTCTTCCCGGCCAATGCAGTGAACTCTTCTGACCACCCTCTTCTTTCCCATGAAGGTATCACTATCTCCCTTGGTGCCAACTCCCATTTCTTCCCTATATCCTTATCCATCAAAAGATCCACCACCACTCGTTCGTTCTCCTGAGCATGAATCGAACACGTCGAATAAACAACCTTCTTAGCATTGGGGAAGGATAAGGCATGTCTCATGATAGTAAACTGGAACCTTCCTAATCTTTCAAGTCTCTCATTATCAACTTCAACCTTCTCTTGCTCATCTTCAATGGCTCTACCAAAAATTCCCGACCCCGAGCACGACGGGTCCATCACTAAACCTTCAACATTAGGGAAATCTTCAACCCGAGTCTTTGTGAAATCTTCATGAGTTATATGGATCAAATCTCGAGCGCCAGTAGCTGTCAAACACATCTTCTTTAAAGTCTCTACCCTTCTAGAATCTCTCTCGAATGCATAAACTAATCCTTTTTCTGGTTGTTGAGCTAAATATGAAGCTATGTGGGTGGTTTTATTCCCGGGAGCTGCACAACCATCTATAACTTCTTTTGGTTGGAAGTTCAGGAATAATATCGTGGCAGGGAAACATGAAGCTCGATCCTGAATGATGATTTCTCCTCCCTTATAAGCTTGGGTGTCCATAATCTTCTCCCTAGGATGAACCCCATACAAATTGGGAATGAATTCATCTTCATAAATCATCCCTTCCTTAATATGTTTGAAGCCCAGACTCGGTTGCAACTTCCTGAAAAATTCATGCGATGAGAAGAACTCTGGTACGGAGATCTTTATGGTATTGATACGGAACCATCTGACAGGAGTTTCGTCATCCAATCCCTTGACATTAGGTAAGTCTTCAATAGCAGTGACTTTATATTTTAGTTTCATTTTAATGAACTCAGAATGAAGTCTAGTCTTATGTTTCAAGATTTCATCTTTTATAGGGTGTTTCCCACTCTGGATTCTTCCTTTGGAGAACACTAGATCATAAACCAACAAACATAACATATTATCACTGAGTTTAAGACGTTTTATTCCTGGGGATTCTTTGATCTTGGAACTTTTGATAATTTTCATCACATAATCTTTATATTTTAATGTGGAAATCACTAATGCAAACACATGTTTAGGGTTTTCTAACTTTTTATCACCAAAAATTCGATTCTGGAGACTTCCATTACCTTTACCCATGAACTTTTCCCCATTAAAATAGAGTTTCATGGTGATGAGATGGTAGTAAAACTGTGAGACCAGAAAACGAGACCAAATCCGCGCACTGATCAAAAAGTTATCCAACCTTGTGGCAGTGAATAATCCATTAGTTTAACGTAAAATATCGCCCAATTGTGTGATTTTACTGTGGTCTTCCATAGAATTGTGTACTAAAAACCCCATTGTTGAATCAAATCCAGGTTAAAACTGACCTATGTCACCACCTCCTCCAAATGCCTACAAACCAGGCTTAAAACTAACTGTAGGTTCCCACAATGTATCTATCATCAAATATATCAGTCAGGGAGGGTTTGCTCATGTTTATACTTGTACTATCGACCCACCATTTCAAGGGAACTCCGTAGCGTGTTTAAAGCGGGTGGTAGTGCCTAGTAAATGGCAATTGAATTTATTACGACAAGAAGTTGATGCTATGAAACGATTAAGAGGTAATCCCACCATAGTATCATACATTGATTCCCATGCTTCTCGATTGAATGAAACCATCGCATCGGTAGGTATGGGCGGAGTAGGGGGGGATAAACAACAATATGAAGTGTTCCTCCTTATGGAATATTGTTCCAATAATGGACTTATTGATTTTATGAATACCAGATTAACTAATAAATTGACTGAACCAGAAATCCTCGTTATCATGAAGGACATCACTTTGGCTGTGGCTATGTGTCATCATCTTCAACCACCGTTGTTACATCGAGACATTAAGATCGAGAATGTATTACTTGATGACAAAAGAACCTATAAATTATGTGATTTCGGGTCCGCTGTAGGGTATTCTCCGGTACCAAAGAACAGCCAGGAGTTCAACGAGTTATTTGAAGATATAATGCAACATACCACTCCACAATATCGATCACCAGAAATGATTGAACTCTCAAGAGGATTCCCAATCGACGATAAAGCCGATATTTGGGCTTTGGGATGTTTCCTTTATAAATTATGTTATTATACCACTCCATTTGAAAACCAACGTCAAACTTCCTTACAAGATTTGGAGCACCTGATCTTAAATTGTGCCCAAACTTTGAAAATTCCTCATAATATGCCAGGATCCAATTTCAGTCCTCGGATGAAAAACATCATCAAATGTTGTTTGAGAGAAGATCCTAGACGGAGACCCAATGCCGTGCAATTATTAGAAGAATTGTGTGCCATGATGAATCAAAAGGTCCCTAATTATATTCCTGCCTCGGTATTAGAAAGACCAGTGGCTAATAGTTATCCATCAAATCATTTATTGAAATCGCATCATGTTAACAGTCAAAGCTCGCCTCAATTACCTGTTAGGCAGAGTTCTAAGACTGACCCTTTTGCATCCATAGACAAGACAAAGGTTTTGGCCAAGAGTCCAGGTGCTGGTGCTGGTACTGGTACTGGTGCTACTGGTGGTGCTACAAAAGTTAGTGCCGGTACAAAATCTAGTACTACTGGACAAAGTCAAACCAGTCAAACCAGAAAACCTTATGGTCTCTCCAGACCTAAAAGTCTTTATGAATCCCGTACAGTATCACCACCTGTTCTCAAAGATTACATCGATCAATTGAGTAAGAGTAATGAGAATCTCGCTTCCAATGAAGGAACTTTGGATTTCCTCAAAGAACGGGAAGAGTTAGAAGACCAGGACACTGGTTCGAGTTTCACCAAGTTCAAGACTGGCTTGAGACGGATCAGTACGGGAAATTCCGTCAAAAGTCAGAATAATACCGGGAACTACAATTATAAGAGATCCAGTATTTCTTCAATCAAACAACTCTTGACAGGAGGTTCATCAAGAAAGGTTAGTAATCCTGAAAAGGACAAAGATGAGGATGTTAAACCACCAAAGAAGTTATCTATTCAAAGAAGAATGGCTCAGTATTTGAACAGCGGTGAAGATGATGTCAAAAAGACCGCTTCTGGGTATGGGAAATACACCGCTGAAGACGATTTGAATGCTATCAATGATATGAAACCACCAAAGGTTCCTGTGAATTTATCATCCAAGAAATTGGCCAAACCTAAATCTTTAGATTCTCCTTTAGTGGCTCTTCAACCTGTTGGCAGTACCAAGTCCATCAGTACCATGCCAACCACCACCAAGCTTAACACCACCAATACAGTCATACCAACCACCAAATCCACCACAAACTCCATTCCTTCCAAATCACCTAAAAGACCTCCTCCAAAACCTAAAAAACCCGTCTACTTAAGAACTCCGGAGAATAACTTCCCCGAAAGAAGATTAAGTAACTCTAGTGAAATCTCCTTACCAGATTTGGATGATTTAGAGAAACAATTCGCCAAGAGATTCCCTAGTTACGTATAAAGGTCCAATATATATTTTTTTATCTTTACAAAAATGTCGCTAAATGGATATAAATGTCACATTGTGTCGCACTGTGTCGTATATCTAACAAACAAATGTCACTTAATGTCGCATAAACCACTTTTACTGACTTTCTTCAAAATCATCCAATGAATCCAAGATAAAATCAACTCCTTCATCAAATCTCTCTATAACAACATTAAATAATCCATCACAGTTGGATTTGATCACTCTACCGAACTTTCTACGAGGTCTCTTGACTTCTTCTTCCTTAATTATTGGACCTCTCAAAGTAGCATTTCCTGATAACCAACATGGATTCAAATTTGAAGTGAAAATAACGGAGTTGGAATAGAACCAATCCACCATGGATTCATCCATTACTGGTACCAATGGTTTAAGATTATTTCTATTCAAGAAACATACGGTTCCTTTGACCATATCCTTAATTTCTTGAGATGATCTCTTAGCGAAAAGGTGAACGATGGATTGGTAGGCTTCACCGAACCCTACAAACACCAATTTGTTCAATTTACTGAAGTAACTGAGATAATTGTCCCATAAATACAATAAAACTTCCTGACCAAAGATCACGGGATTATATGATCCAATTGGTGTGGTTGATTGATTCTTTAATGCTAAAGTTCCATCATCATTTGTAGGCAAGTTAAACGATGGAATGTTTATATCAATATAACCGATATTACGAGGTTGACCATCGTCTTCAGCCTTAATTTTCTCCATTATTTGAAGTAAAGGATGTTCTAGAATCACTGAGGTATTACTCTCAATAGATCCATTGATAGGATTGATGTTAGCCCAAATTTCTGGAGGATCATGAACTGTCACCACGATGGAGTCACACTCGTAGATGTTAGGTGAACAAATGACAAGATCTTCTAATCGTTTAGGTAAGTCAGTTGAAAACGGTACGTATTTATCAAAGTCACTTTGAATGATAGGAAGGTTGATGAAAGCATGACTGTTGAACAATTCTTGGGCTTGGTAGGATCGTATAGGGTCAGAGACTCCTGTGAGTTTATAACCAGGGGTTTCTGATAATTCATAAGCTTCATCAAACAGTTCGGTGGGGTTACCTGGTTTTAAGCAAGTCCAATATTTCAGTTGATATTTGATAACCTCATCAACCACTTCAATGGTATCCAACATTGGCTGTTCGGTGATGGTTCTTTCAGGGGGTTCACCAATTAAAACTTTAGCCACGGCCAAAGCACTTTTACTGATGGAATCCAAGTTATATCCCCCTTCTAAGATTACCGACAATTTCCCTCTAGCTATAGCTTTTAACATATGGGTCATATGACCATATCCAGCAGGTGTAACATGACATCCTCCTACGATATCTCCGTCAGCTGCATCGAACCCTGATGAGATGATAAGGAAATCAGGATCAAACTCGGAGATTATCGGAATTACCACTTTTTGAAATGCATACATATAATCACCGTCTCTAACTCCAGGGGTTCTCCATGGAATGTTAACGTTATAACCTTCACCGTCTCCTTCACCACTCATATTCAAACCTCCATATTTGGTACCGGGGTAGAACTTCCCATTCTCGTAACGGTGTAAGGAGATGTAAAGCACTCTAGGGTCATCATAGAAGCATTTTTGTGTCCCATTACCATGATGAATATCCCAATCCAAAATAACTATTTTTCGTACTGATTCGGGATAAGCTTTTAACATGGCTTTGGCAGCAACAGCTACATTGGAGAAAAGACAAAACCCTCCTGGGGTGTCTGGTTCCGCGTGATGTCCTGGAGGTCTAACCACAGCCAAGGAATTCTTCACCCGGCCTTCAATTACTGCTTTACAAGCTTCAATCGATCCTCCACAGGACAATTTCGCCGATAAGAAAGAATCGTTATTGACATAGATGGAATCTCCGGCCTCGGTTTCTTCCAATAATTTATCACGACTCATAGTTTCTGTGGATGCTATAAATTTCAAATGGTCTTCACTGTGGACTTCTAAAATCTCTTCGGCAGTTGCTTCCCTGATGGGTAATTTCAACATTAATGGACCTAAATTATCATTTCCTGCTAATGAAGGGTCCTGGATAAGTCCAGCCTCCGCTAACTTCTTATAGATCCGATAAATTCTTCGAGGATCTTCAGGATGGGGGTCGATGTATTCAAAATACGAGGTAAAGATTTTGGCATGGTACCTCATTCTGACATCGTACACAAGTCCGGTTTTTAAAGGAGTGTAGAATAATTGGGGTTCTGTGGTGGGAACAATGTTGATTTTGGGAGAGAGTTTGATTCTCTTTTCATCACCATCGACTTGTTCGTCATGGTGTTCTCTCTTTACACCGTTCTCCATGTTGAGATTTTTTTTTCTTTGAGGTTTGAGAGAAGAAGTTTGTGGGAAGTTGGTGCTGTTGGCGCGAATTTAGCGAGGGTTTTTGGTAGTGTTGGCTACCGCGAACTTCAGGCGGTGGTGGAAGATCTTTAGTGCCGTGCCTGTCTAAATTAAGTACCTTAGCGCAAGGGGGTAGCGACCTAACTCGCACTATTTGATTAACTATTATCAGGTAAATGAGTCTTTTAAACCCTGATGCACGTGATAGGTTCGATGCTTATGGATATCCAGAGCACAATGGGATGTATTTGGACCAGCTTGGGGTCATGGCGGTGAAGTGGCGGTTTGAGAGTGTTCCGGGATTCTTCCATCAGAGTGATGAGACTACGGACGATATGGAGTTCAGGTATGTCAAGGAAGATTTTGGGGTTAAGGGCAGTTGGAAAGAGGTGATGGAGAGATTGGCCAGTGTGAGGTCTTCGCTGTCGTCATCATTACCTTCATCCCTGCCATCTACAGACCAAACCAAATACAAACTTCTATTTCTAGCCCGTCATGGGGAAGGATACCACAATGTCGCCAATGCTAAGTACCGAGACCAATGGGCATCCAAGTATCGTTTCATAGGCACCGACGGTGTGATAACTTGGGGTCCTGACGCCAAATTGACCGACCTAGGTAAAGCTCAAGCTGGTGAGAATAACCTCTTTTTAAAGCAGCAAGTCGCTAAAGGTATGCCTATTCCCACAAAGTTCATCGTATCACCATTACTGAGGTCAATTGAGACCATGGTGCTAGAATGGGACGGAATAGATATCCCTAGACCTATAGTTAATGAGAAAGTCCGTGAAACCATCGGTATAAATATCTGCCACCAAAGAGCTACCAAAACTGAACTCACTAACTTCCCCATTGATTTCCCACCAGACTTCCCTGAACAAGACGAGATCTTCCATGGTTTTACATCCAGGGAAGAATACTACCAGCAGTTCCTCAGAATCAATGATTTCCTTCAGGAATTGTTCGAAGAGGATGATGAAGTGGTCAGTATCACTTGTCATGCTGGGTCTATCAGAGCGTTTTTGACGGTGATAGGACATCGGGGGTTCACTATTCCTACAGGAGGAATGATCCCTGTTGTAGTGAAGGCCAGCGCTAGTACCAGGAGTCAGTGAGAGTGGTCAATAGTGTTTATATTTAGTGTTATCGCTACTTAAAAACCCTAATATGGCTTGAATCTAACGTCATCTTTCTTATCCTTCTTATCTTTGTGTTTCTTATCTTTCCTATCTTTCTTATCCTTCTTGTCTTTGTGCTTCTTGTCCTTTTTGTCTTTATGTTTCTTCTCCTTTTTTTCCTTTTCTTCACTTACTTCATTCAACTCCACAACATATGGCAATTTCCATAACTTCACCACTCCATCCTCTCCACAAGTCAATGCCTTACCGTCCCAAACCTTCATATCTCTCACCACTTCTTCGCCATGAGCTCCTGGGAAATTGATCCTCTTACTGAGATCAAATGTTTCTGATTTCCCATTAAATGGTACTAAGGACAATGAATTAGCTGAGTTAGCTCCAAAACTAACAAACCCTTGGGGGTTTAAGTCGATGACATATTCACAGTCTGTCCAATTACTACGAACGTCGCCCAAATCATTCATTTCCTTTTCTTCAATGGTTTCATAATTGGTGTTATTCAACGAATGGAACGATAATGTCTCCATGTGGGAAAGAATGGCAATTCTTTGTGGACTTATGAAGTTACAGCTATGAACGGAGTTATAGTTAATCACTTGGTGTAAGGAATCGTCCTCATCGGTTTCATTAAGATCATAAATATTGACGTATCCATCAGTAGATCCCGACATAAGGTATTGTGATTGAGTAGGATGGAACTTTATGGCGGTTATATCATCATGGTGGGAGTCTACGTAAGATTTCATGGGGGCCTGAGGGTTTCTGATGTCCCATAAGTGTAATTCTGCATCTGTCCCCATCAATTCGGTACCACCAGCGAGTATATTTTGGCGGTAATCTAGCGATAAGAAAGTGTTATTATCGTTAGTGAGCCCATGGACCTGTTGTTGGGTCCTTAAGTCCCAAATCTTGATCCCATCGGTAGAACAAGTGGATAACAAGTTAGAATCAATAAATTTAATGGCATTGATTGAACCCTCATGGGCTGTAAATTGATTCATTGGACCCCCAGTGAAATCATAGGTCCTCACTACACCATTACTGGTACTACACACGAAACCTTGGTTCCAAAGTTCCACTGCTAGCACCCATTCGTCAACATCTCCATTCCAACGGTAATCAAGATGAGCATTCATTTATGCGCGAATTTGTCTTAAAATCCACAAAAACAATTTTTCCCTTGAATCCACATAAACAATGAGTAGTAGAGTTAGAAAGGGACAAACGTCTTTTGCTCCTAAACTCAAGAATGTTAGGAGGAAGGTGACATTGCCCACACCTGAAAGTACTCAGAAACCCAGTCAGGTGACATTTTTCGAAAAATCCAGTGATAAACCCATTGATGATGAGGATGTAGACCCTAAGGATAGTAGTAAAAAGAATGATGTAGCAGTAGAGGATGATGATAATGATGATGACGATGGTTTTGATGAGGTATTGTTCAAGCATCCACTGAGAAAATCTTCGTCATTCTCCCAAAGAAGGTTATCAGGGATCAGTTTGAATAAACCTGGTAGTAGAAAGAGTTCTATAAGTTTAGCTATAAAGCCCAGGTTATCGATAGATAGTACTTCCATACCCATACCCATTGAGATTCCCTTGGGGAAGAAACGGAGAACGCTGTCTGTGGTGGTCAAAAGGCCCAAAAAAGATGAAAATAGTGTTGGCGCGGTGGGTGGTCTGGTGGGTGGTCTGGTGAGTAGTTCGATAGGTATAGATCCTGGTACAAATGTCACCGGAAATGCTGAAGTTGGTGTTGAAGATGATGATGGTGATGCTATGAGTGACACGGCAGTCGCTGGTACGATAGTTGCTGGTATAGCAGGCACTTCAGCAGATACTGATAAACCAACTGAACCAGAACCCATAAAACCCAAGAAACACAAGATTGCTCGTGATACGCTCTTTAAACAAGGGATTAAAATCATTTATGCTGTGGGTGAAGACTCTAAAATTACGAAGTTCAGGACTGGTTCTATAGACGGAGGTGACGAAGGGCTACCACTAGCCGATGAAGAAGTTGATTTGACGTTAACTAATCGTCGACAAATCCCTAAAGGTCTCGCCGACCAACCTTCAGAGCTTTTGTCCTTCTTTCAGATCGATCCGGGGTTCATGACTATGAAAGATTTGACATATAACGACTTACCTGTTGGTAAAGTTAGTGAAAACTATGAAATGGCTCGAGAAGCTAAAGTCAGGCAACAAAGGAGTCGAGATTATCGTCGTAATGTTCGTCTATGTGCCAAGGTCCGAAATATACCCATGGAGGAAGCCGAATTTATAGTTACCAAGATCTATGAGATAGTTGATGAGCGAAAAGTTACATATTTGGAGGCAGAACAGTTGTTTGACAAAGAAAGAGAAGAAAGAAAGAACAACGGAATCAAAGAAGAAATTAACGAGCCCAAAAAAGAACCTCCAAGAATCAGTAAACTTCAGTTGGAGATCGGGGCCAATGGTAAAATGGAAGTTAATGCCGAATCTACCATTATTTCTGCTCAAAATGGTGCTCATGGTGACCGTACTGTGGAAGAAACCAATCCTTTCGAAAGACCTATTTTGGGTACCACTTATAGTAATCGACAATTATCTGACCGATGGACAGTGGAAGAAGAAGAGAAGTTCTTTGATGCTTTGGCTGAGTGGGGAACAGATTTCACTATCATAAGTAGTCTTTTCCCATACAGATCAAGACGACAAATCAAATCCAAGTTCAATGTCGAAGAGAGGAAACGTCCAGAATTGATAGAACTTGCTTTAAGTCGAAAGAAAACTGAGAAGGCAGACGCACGTGAAGAAGAACTCACTCTCGAAAGTTTGGAAGAGTTTAATGAATCAATAAGGAGAATACGTCTGGAACACGAAGCCCAAAAGAGAGAATTGGTGAAGGCTAAGGAGAAGGCTGATAAGGAAGATGCCGAAAGAAATAGATTGAAGGAGATTGAAAGAAGATCAGGTAAGAGGCCATTAGAGAGATTGACCAGAAATAAGTCTTTAAGAACCAATGAAGAAGTTGTTGGGACTTTGGATAGGGCGAGGCCAGCTTAAAGTCAGTGTACCCAGTTGATGACTTACTGATGTGCCCCTGGTGTTATCGCAAACCTATGCCTTGAAGACCTGTGTTGTCAAATGTTGGTTTGTAGAGTATGTTGTAAATGTATTGGTAATGGAATTATTGTTCCTAATTGGGGTGATACATCCCAATTAGGCAATTCTAAGCACAACTACGATTCTCTGACCAAGTTCTCTGTCACTCTCTCTAAGTCCCTACGTTTCCACTTATCTCTCAACCACCCCTTCACCTTGTCTAGCACCATCATCTCTACCCCCATATCCAGCCGTGCCTATGGCCCTACAACTGGCAGAGAAAGAGTCAGAAAATTCGCGACATGAAAGACTATCACCTCATAATAGAAAAGAAAGAGGATATTGTCAAGTTTCGAGTCATTGAACCCGATAAATGGGCCCATTATAAAGTTCCTGGTATCAGTTTATGTGTGTTAGGACTTTCCTACGGAGTTTTTCGGTACAATAATACCCAAGATCTTATGGATTCCCTATGGATAGTACTACCATTGGTCATGATAGCTATATTGTTATGCAGACAAGGTAGGGAAGACAGTATGATGATAATCAAAAACATAGGAGTTCAGCTTCATTCCCAAACCCACTGGAAGTTTGTTAAAAGTGATAAAAACCTTTTTGTTCCCCTTACAAATATAATTGATCTCGTGATTCATGAAGGGTTCTATGGTTATGGGAATGTCATCTTCTATATGTGTATACTAACAAAGAACACCAACGACAACGAGATGATTAAGATTGTGTTTAGTCAGCTTTTACCTAGGAAAGAAATGTTGGTGGACATTTGGAGGGAGAGTAGACAGGTGATGTTTAGTGGGAATAGGCATTGGAGGAGGATACCAGGACAGGGTTTGAGACCTGTGGTGTGAGAAGGTATTTGCATGCTCACATGGTGCTTAATGTATTGTGTGCTTGTAGGTGGAGGTTGTTATAGTTTAATTGTAGAAATAGACGATACTTATGTAGAGTGTTGTAGGTCCGGTTGTTTGTATGTGAGCATCCCAGGTCCATGTCGCCGTACTCTAGGTCCATGTCTTAGGTCCATGTCGCGGTATTCTGACAAAATCCTCTGCATCTGCTACATCCGTTCTCTAACCGCGATATGATCAACTACATCAAAGCAGATTTGTTCTCCCATACTGGTCCTGGAGTCAAAGTTTTCCTCCATGCCTGCAATTGTAAAGGTTCCTGGGGTGCTGGAGTGGCCACTGCGTTCAAAAAACATTTTCCCAGTACCTATGATGTCCATAGACAATATTGTCACCAATTCAAGTCTCACAGTCTGGATCTTTTAGGTAAATGTCAATTGATCAAGAACAGCCCTACCGACAAAGGTTTTGTTCAACTTGGGGAATGTTTTGTGGCATGTGCTTTCACATCTGATGGGTTTGGAAGGAATGTTTTACCTCCACAAGATATTTTGAAGTATACAGAAATCTCATTGAGGGACTTAGAATCCCAGCTTAAAGCGTTGGATGTGGAATCTTATGATGGTAAACCAGTGGTGAATTTGCCCAAGATTAATTCAGGGTTGTTCGGTGTTCCGTGGGAGGATACTGAGGAGATCTTAAAACGAATTGATCTCCATTTCAATGTGTACTACATTTAGGAAGGTATATTTGCGGTTGTTTAGGGGTAGCCATGGGGTGGTTTTGGTATAAGAAGAAAGATACGGTCTTGGAGGTTCGAATGATAAACTTACGGGATTGGTAAACACGTTAGGACGTTGAAGATCAAGGGAAGAAGGGATTGAAAATAGTCGTCTATTTGAATGATCTTTCAGCTGTCCTAGAACCTTCAAATTTCACTACGACGTTCTATATTCCTCTCTTTTCATCCCTAAAACTACCCCTAGTCCCTACAGATGGTATTTAAGTCAGAATAGACGAGTTCCTCTGTGACAGCGATAATATCCAAATTCTACTCTAAGACCTTCAAAATTAGCCTTTTCGCCTCCCTGAAAACTCCTACCATATCAACTCTTCCCTAGCTTCCCTCCACCATCACTTGCAACCGCATCCCACCAGTCAATCGGTCAAAATCACCACCTTCTCTCCATCACCCTTTCCTCAAAGTCGCAGAAAAATTTTCTCGAATCAAAACAACCAAATCGACAAGCTTCCATCAGTTTACTGCCCACAAGCCAAACCTTTGGAGTTTATCGATAATTGTTTGTGTCACAGCTTTCAGTTCATTTTCATTTCCTTTTGTGTTTTTTTTATTTTTGTATTTTGGTTAGAAAACCGTTCATTCGTTAAATGTCACACAGACCTAAACACCAGCGGAGTCAAAGTCATAATTCGTATAGGTCGATGAGTCCTCATGAAGGATGGGCTCAGGGTAGAGCTCAAGGGATGTCTCCAGGGGCTCAAGGAAGGTCACCAGGGATGGGATCCCAGGGGATGCCACCAAGAGAGGTTGAAGACTGGCAAAGGTTGATCCCACCATTACCTAATGATTTTGATTTCAGTCCCAGTAAGAGTCAGCTGGGTGGTCAATCACTGAACGTAAGTCAGGGAGTGAGCCAGGGCCAGTTCAATCAAAGCCAGTCGGGTCAGACCCAGTTCAATCAGAATCAAAGAAACCATAGTTCCCTGAGTCAGGGAAGTCAGAGCCATTCTAATGGGAGCCCCAACATCATGCCTGGTCTGTTCATCACTCAGCGTCCTCCTAATACTTACCGTCATTCCTTCCACACACAGAATCAATTCCACGTCAAGAATGATCTCCCTACGTACGTTCAGAACCAATTATCTAATCCTACCAAGTTCAAACGACTGGGGACCAATCCTTTCAGGACTGAGGACGGACAAGGTGGTCAAGGATCTGGGCAACTGCAAAACCAGAATCCAATTCAGCCAAGTCAAAAACTGGGTCCGCCAAACCAAATTCCCCCAAACCAAATTCCATCAAATCAGGGCCCACAGAATCAAATACCACCAAATCAAGGAAGTCAGCCTGGCCAAATCCCCGGTCAAATAAACCAAACCCCCGGTCAAATAAACCAAACCCCTGGTCAAATAGGTCAGGGACCCAACTTCACTGGAGCACGGAAGAAAAGTATCAAAAAACGTACTAAAATTTGTCGTAAGTGTGGTAAAGAAATCACTGGCCAATTTGTACGAGCTTTAAACTCCTCCTTCCATGTAGAATGTTTCTGTTGTAATGAATGTGGAAAACAATGTTCATCCAAATTCTTCCCTTACGAGATTACAGACCCTTCCACCAACGTTAAGTACCAAGTAGCGTTGTGTGAATATGATTACTTCAAGAAACTCAACCTCATCTGCTTCAATTGTGACAATGCTTTAAGAGGGCCCTATATTACCGCATTAGGAAATAAGTACCATTTAGAACATTTCAAGTGTAATGTGTGTCACAAAGTGTTTGAGAGTGATGAAAGTTACTACGAACATGAAGGTAACATTTACTGCCATTACCATTACCTGAAGAAATTTGCTAATCATTGTGAAGGGTGTAATAGTTCCATCGTTAAACAGTTCGTAGAACTCTTTCGTGGTGGTAGAAACCAACAATGGCACCCTGAATGTTATATGGTGAACAAATTCTGGAATGTCACTATAAGCAGAGAGTTCATTGGTGATAAGAAGTTACTACAGACTATTCAACAGTATGATGAGTTACCGGAATCAGAACTCCTAGTGTTGGAACAAGCCATTGAAAATCTCGTGGTAAAGATCTGGATGACGTTATCCAGCTTTGAAGAACTAACAGCTTCATGTATTTCCGATATGTTACTCAATGCCTGTGTGGGTAATCAGTTTAATGGACTTTTATCCACGGGGAAATTGATTTTATACGTCGAAGTTTTATTTAAGGCCATTGATCTGTTGGTACCATTACATGGAATGAATGGCACACCCCTGCCTGGCACACCATCAGCAGGAGATGAAGAATTCTCCTTCCAAGATCAAGGTATGTTCCTCAAAAAAGAACCCAGAAATGTCTCCGGTAAGATCATGAGCTATTTAGCTATCTTAAGAAAGGCTATCCAAATCAATTTGAATGGATCAGGAGCTTTACTGTCGGAATTATTATCAGTGATCACAGGATGTGCCCATTATCTCAAGCTTTTGATCAGAATAGGTCTCCAGAATGCCCTTAAACTCAACAGACTCCGTATGGATAACGTTGCAGTGGAAGGGTTTTTAGCCCACATCAAAACTTTCGAAAAACTTTCCCTGGATAACTTTGATGTTATCAGTGATTACCTAATCATCCCATTGAACTCGGTAGATTTCTGTAAAGTGTGTAATAAATCCATTGAAAAGGCATGTTACAAGTTTGATAATGATAGGTGTCACGAGAAGTGTTTTAGATGTTCTAATTGTAAGAAACCACTCGTTGAAGATGAACTTTTCGGTGAAATGAAGGTCAAAATCGATGAAACTGATGGGAAATTATATTGTGGGAAATGTCATGCTCAAAATCAAACCATTGTTAAGGTAGAATCGGTGTCAGATCTTGAACAATTGGCTTATTTGCTTAAAATTGCCTTTTTAAGATCAAAACAATTGATGTTACACAAACCTCGGGCCAATAATAAGACCTTGGAGAAAGAACAGAAGCTTAGTTACTCAAATACGTTGAAAGATATCACTCAATTACGTACAAAGAGAGAAAATCAGAATTTATCCAATTCCATCAAGAAAGATGCCAGGAAATCGGTGATTCTTGATGCTCCTAAGGGAGAAAATGCCCCTATTGGTGAAGATACCATCTTATCCATGGGTAGTGAGGATAAGGAATTACAAAGGAACGGGTCGATGAACTCAGAATCATCGTTTATTCTTTCTCAAGATGATAATGAGGTATTTATCAAGAAACTCAACATCAAAGATGAACCTCCTACTAAACGAGTGATGTCAAATAATCAGAACCAATTGAACAGAACGTCAGATCTTTTGAAGAACGAGAAATCCTTAACTTTGGATGATATCCCTAGGATTGTGGCTGCGGAACAAGCCCGTGATCAACGACCTAATGCCTTTAAGCATCATAACAGTTTATACCAACGAACAGCACTGAAATCCATGGAATTGAAACCTTTACAACAATCACCGTCATCCACTTATGGCCATAGTCCTGGTCGGGACGATATTCCTGCGGAGAAGTTTGAAAACACTTCCTTGGTAGACAAGAAGGTTAAATATTATAGTGAGCTTGATAAGTCCCAACATTTCATTCTTAGACACATTGCCGTGGAAGCATTGGTCCAGTTATTGAACAATAAGTACAGTAAGACGGAACTTTTAGGTCTCATTCACACCAAAAAGGCAGCTACGTTCTGGGATAAGTTCAAATTCGGCCATGGAGAGTCCAAGTCCATCAATGGAGTGTTTGGCGTGGAACTTAAAGACGTAACCAAGAAATACGGCATTGATTCCGATTTGGGCGTGGGTCCAGCCAAGTTACGTATCCCCATAGTGATCGATGATATCATTAATAGTTTGAAGACCAAGGATATGTCGGTAGAAGGGATCTTCAGGTTGAACGGGAACATCAAGAAACTTAAACAGTTGACGGCCGATATCAATAATAACCCATTGAAGAGCCCCGACTTCTCCCAACATTCTGCCGTGCAATTGGCGGCATTGATGAAGAAATGGTTGAGAGAATTACCCACCCCGTTACTCACATTCAACCTTTTTGACCTTTGGATAGAAAGTCAGAGAAACCCCGACAGTATAACCAAGAAGAGGCTTATGAAGTTGGTTTACTGTATGCTACCACGAAGCCACCGAAACTTGGTGGAAGTGTTGTTGAATTTCTTCAAATGGGCATCATCGTTTGCTGAGATAGACGAAGAGAGTGGGTCTAAGATGGACGTCCATAATATCGCTACCGTGATCTCGCCTAACCTTTTATACAGTCGTAGCGATTCAGATCCTGGAGATATGAATCTTAACTCCTCAGGAGAAGGCTACTTCCTTGCCATTGAAGTGGTTAACCAGTTGATAGAGATGCACGAAGAGTTGAGTGTTATTCCGGACGATTTGTTGGAGTTTTTTGAAGCGTTGGAGTACCCTGGTGATGGTAAGGAGCCTACTACCAAGGATATCATGGGGAAGATTGAACGTTATTCCAAAGACCATCCGAAGTTTTTCGTTACTTATGACATCAAAGATGAAAATAGTGATCCTTTGAACCATGAGGTTAGATCCAACACCATCCTAAGAGGATTGTCTAAGGTTACGGAACATCATGGAGAGAATGATAGTGTTTAGGGGAATAATAATTAAATTTTATTCGGTATTTTCTTTTCTTTTTTGTGTAACATCTTTTTGTTTTTGTGTAACATCTTTTTGTTTTTGTGTAACATCATTTCTCAACCTCTTTTTCACCTATTTTCTCGCGAGGAAACCCTTTGCGAGTAATGTCATTGACAGTGGATTCCCTTAAACAAATCATCACCGACAGGTTACTGGCCGTGGTAGCAGAAGTAGAGGATGTATCAGGAGGTTGTGGCCAGGCTTTCGTGGTAATTATCGTTTCGGATGTGTTCAAAGGTAAGAATAAGCTCATGAGACATCGATTAGTCAACAATGCTTTAAAAGATGAAATAGCAGTTATTCATGCATTTACTCAGAAATCCTTCACTGTGGAGGAATGGGAGAAACAAGGAGGGAAGTTGGCCTAGTAGTCGCTTAGAGGTTGTCTCGAAGTCGTCCAAAGGTCGTTTAAAGGTCGTTTAGAAGTCGCTAAGAAGTCGCTAAGAAGTCGTAGTAATATATATTATTTAAGATTCACTTGGTGTAAGCTATTACTGGCTGCTGCTTGTGGCTGCTAGTGATGGTAGGGAGTGGTAATCATCACTTTTTTGGCCTGTTGGCACCACTTTTCCTTCTTTTGGACTGCTCTTTTGCTCTAGTGGTCCGGAGTTAGTAATCCGGAGAGTGGCTCTCTTTGAACTATCGGACTTATTGCACCATCTCTCAATAGTATTTTATGGTTCCAGAGCTACCACAGTCCATATATGGTACCGCAGTCAAGGCAGAGCCCTACAGGTTGATCTACTGTGCCTTCCGGTAACTTCCACTAAACCTCCTGACAATGTACATCCATAACCCCCAAAGAATCACATAAAGACCAAGTATCACTAATGGGTACACCCTTAATCCCGTCTTACTGGATTGGGCAATCACCCCCACCAAGAAAGGAATTCCTGCTGCTCCTGAACCTCCAATAGCACAGATAAATCCCACTCCCGAAGTGTGGAACGACGATGGAAGGATCCCTATGGATGCTACTATGGTGGTCTGGAAGATAGGTCCCACAACATAACCTGTGAACGCTACAATGATGAATATTAATGGCACAAACTTGGTGAAGGAGAAGATATAGAACAATGTGTACCCCAATACCGATAACGAGATGTAAGTGAAGTTTGCACTAAGCTCTGTGGAGAAATAATGGGCTGTGACAAACCCTAACGTTGTTCGACCCATCATAAGTCCACACCAGAAGGTAGTGGCGATATGAGAAGACTGGCCAAAGGGGAGGTGATTGATTCTGGTGAGGAAAGAGATCAACCACGCCCCGAATCCTACCTCTGCCCCGACATAGATGAAAAGGATAGATGAAAGTACCCAAACCAAAGGTTTCTTCATCACCTGACTAAGGGGAGCTTGAATACCAGGAGTGTCATCAGAATCGGCATCAAGGCCAGCTTCAGCAGCTTCTGCCACTTCCTTCTCCATCTTAAGCTTGGTCACGTACTTATACTTAGCAGCCGTCTCATATTTATAAGCAAAAAAAGATGTGGTGAACATAGATAAAGCCAACCCACACAATATCAAATAGTACTGGTTCCATTTCCAGGGATTAACTTCCCTTTCAATGAGGTAACTGATCAAACTTGGTGATAACATCGACCCCAAACCATAACATCCGTGAAGAAGCCCCAAAATTTGATTGGAGTCCACCAATGAACCAATCCATGTATTACATGCGGCATCTAACACCCCACAACCGATTCCATTACAGGTAGCAAATACCACGAGAATGAAAAACGGTGGTGCGGTAGAAAAAGTCCCATACCCTAGGACCATAGCTGCTGTCCCGATCATCAAAATCCCTTTAAGTCCTACCTTATCATGGGTATAGCCATTAAGCATCCCCATAAGGATATACCCCGATATTGATGATAAGAAGATACAGGCCGTTTGCATGTCATTGACATGATATTGTTTCTGAAGGATTGGTATCAAAGTACCTACACTTTGTTCAGCTAATCCAAAAAGGATGAAGTTGATTAAGGATACTATGATTTGGATCTTTAAACGGGTACTTTTTCTCCAGTCCAAAGAATCTATGTAAATAGTGGACCCTTCGAATTCCACGGAGTACTTCTCCATCAATGGTTCCTGAGGAATGAAGGGCTTATTCACATCATCTAAATCATTCAATTCTATTGAAACCATGGGATCGTAGGAATTTTAGGAATTTTGGGATTACTCTCGGAAAGTCGCATCTCATTACTTTACCTAAAAGGGGTTTGGGGAGGTGGGGGAGATCGGCGGTGGATTTAGTTCCATCTGTCTTCCCTGTCTTCCTGTCTTCCTGTCTTTCCTATCCTTTCTCCCTGGACTGCCGCCCTGGTTGTCGCATAAGCTCCTCAGTTTCTTGCCTACCTTCCTATTTACAGTTCTACATCTAAAGTGTGGGGGACTATCACAAGAATTAGTCATAGAGATCAGATCAAACAGAGTCAAACAAAATTGAGGATCTGGCTATACACCAGGTATATATTCCTACATGTGGGGTGCGAGTCATTTGCTGACAGTAGCTACACATTCTAATTCAACCTTGATGTCGGCATTTGGGAATTGAACCATAACACATGATCTAGCAGGTTTATGAGGGAAGTATGAAGTATAAACTTCATTGATCTTAGCAGCATCTTCTCTATTAGTAATGAATAATAAGACTTTCATGACATCTTTCAATGAAGAACCAGAAGCGATCAATACTTCTTCTAAATTCTTAATAGCTTGATGAGTTTGTTCAACAACATCGGAAGAATATTTTCCTTCAGAATCTGAACCAACAGATCCTGAGGTGAAAACCATACCATTGAAGATATATGATTGGGATAAGAAACTTGGAGGTTTACCTAATTGTTCGTTAGTGACTTTGGTACTCATTAATAATTTTGGTGGACGACGAATTCCTTAAGTATTCCGCGATAAGATAAGCTTTGGTGGGGGGACGACTAAATAACTGGCCGTATAATGGCCGGAAGGTAACTAACACTTAAGGCATATGGCGGCATTTTATCCGTAGGAATTCTCACTGGCGGACTGTTGGCGGCTTTTCCCTATTATGTACTCCTGAAACCCTTATCTATTCATCAATCCCGCGAACAAATCCTGATTCCTATCGGCCACACACATTGTCTCGTCTACTGTCCCCATCAAATAAGCTTCATCGAAATTATTTGTTAACCCATACTTCAAAGCCCTTGCTAAATCAAACTGGAATATCGCTATTCCATGGAGCGTACCAAAAGAGAACCTTGATATAAATGCTACCACTATCTCCATGTTCATTATGGGATTATCACAATGTTTGATCAAATATTGGATAATCTCTTCCACCCCCATAGCACCCTTGGGTAACAATTTGTCCTTCTCCAACCATTTCTCGGGGATCCTTCCTTTCGATAATAACTTCATACTATCGAGATGAAATGACACTAACTCCAACCCATAATATTTAACGTACCGCAAAGGGGTATCTTTGATGGCGAAAGTCTGATAATTTTCAAGGATCTTATTCATACACATCAAGTTCCGTTCACTAATAGCTTCTAGAACGAATTTACCTTTGATATATAAATGATCATAACTTTCATATCCATTAAAAGTGACAAATTCCTCAAGAGAGATCGATTCCAATGTGCTGGGGGTGATATCTCCTTCTGTAACCAATTTGGTCAACTGCTTACTGGTCATTTCATCATCAAATGCTGAAAGGGCAAACATGAAGTCTTTCTTCAATAGTTCATTCTTGGCTGAAAGTTCCTCAATCTTTCTCATGAGTTCCAGATTTTCGTTTCTGACCACTTCTAGCTCCTGCTTTCTCTGACTACGAAGCTTCCTTTGGCTTTCTCTCATTCGTTCCAACCGATCGTCATCCTTCTCTACGAGGTCTTTACTGTGAAGGGCAGACATTATAATTTTTCGCGTATTCTTCATGGAGTTCATGTCCGTCCACTAACAACTCCAATGGCCACTGACCGATGATAAACGGTGATTATAGCGCTACTCTGTCATTTGGTTATGCCTCCTTTCAAATTCACTTTGATGGTAATTATTTGTAAATTTTACGAAATTTTTATATTTGTGGCATTTAAGCATGTTGTGGTATTTAGGGTTTTTGTGGCAAACTAAATGCCACAAATAGAAAAAATCTATATAGTTTACCTTTAAAATATGCATATCTATGAAAATAATCTAATCCCGTCGTCAGCCTCTTCTTCTTCATCTTCTTCCAGTTCTACCTCAGCCATATTAATCTTTTGTCCCAACAATGAAGCAAAGAATTCATCTATTTGATAATCATCCCATTTAGTATTAACGGGAGTCTCGAAGTGGGAAATAGGTTCTTGAACACTAAACTTCAATTTTCTTCCTTTAGAAGCTTTAGTATCGATATTCTTGTTGTTCTTTAAAGCTTTTTGATTGGTTTTCAATAACGTTATGTTTGAGGTAGGGTTAGATATCTTTTTATCGACTAAATCATTCAAAAGAATACGGTAGAAATCTTCATCATTGAAAATTTGTTTGATTTCATTCTTTGCCAATTTTTCTCTTTCTTCACCTTCTTCATCTTCATCTTCTGATTGTTCAGCGACATATCCCAATGGGGTAATAGAACTTCTATTTAAGAAAGTTCTCTTTTTCAATCTTTCCATGTCATTTAAATTGTTTTGTACTTGTTGTTCGGCAGATTGGTTGATAAGTTTGAACTTGGAAGCATTCAAAGCACTTGATCCTGATGAGTTATTGACTTTGTTAGACCATTTGTTCAATATTATTGATCTCTCTTTGTTCAACTGGTTATCCAAGGTTTGTGTAGCATCACTATAGCTGGATAATTTTCTTTTCTTGATGGCCTTTGGTTCTGTTTCCAAGAAACGAGCTCTAAGTGTGAGTAAATTATCTAATAATTGGAAACATTTATCTTCCACCTCAGATTTTAAGTCTTCTTCGACATCGAAATCCCCGTTCACTGGTAATAAGTTGGCGTTGGTCAAGGATTTTTGTAATTTGATTCTAACTTCGATCAAACTGTCGAAGAACTTGTTTTGTTTGGAAACAGTGTAACCTTTTAAGGCATCGTTGACGGCAGATTGGGCGATTCTCTTACCGATACTCTGACGTTCTTTTGACATGAGTTGTTTGAGCTTGGAACGGTCAACTTCGGCATCTGAGTCAGCTTCTGAGTTAGCCTCTGAGTCTTCAGATCCGGAGTCTGATTTATGTAAAATACCATTAGTTTCTTCTTCATCACTTTCTTCACTATCACTGAGATCAGCTCCACTGTCACTAAGATCAGCTCCACTATCACTTCCTTCGATGTCACTTCCTTCATTTACATTTAATTCACTGTCGCTTCCTTCACTACCACTGAAACTATCTTCCTTGTCGAACAACTCACTCCTACTGACCTTGGCTCCTCCATATGCTGGCATCTCAGTCCTCAATTTAGACTTACCTACCGCAACATAATGATCTTTACCACCTTCTTCAACAACCCTCTCTTCGTCAGACTCTGGGGCTTCATTCTCTATATCGAAATCCGTCACTGGCTTGATCTTCAGTAACTCTTCTGCTAACGATCTCTTCATACTCATCTCAAAATTTTTCGCGATGATTAGACTTAACTATGGGGAACATATAATCAGAGGTTTTCGAAGTGTTTGTGGACTTGAAGAGCTGTGACTTGACCTCAAACAATATCAGCATACAAAGAGATATAATGTGAAGTTCTGGTGGAAAAGGGTCGAAATTACACGTAAACAGACATTATGTCCAAATATGCACGGTCGCTTAAAAGTTCACCACCAACTTCTGACCAACAACACCATAATTTTCCACGGTTTGAACCTTCCACTTACCAAATTCCTACTCTAACCTCCTATACCATTACTCTCCAACGGTTATCACCACTGGTAGTAACAAAAACCCCGAGCACTTGTCGTAGGCTATGAGTGCGGCAACCGTGCGAGTTTTTTGTTTGGAAATATTGCCAAAATAACTATCATGAGATTGTTAGGAGTTTTTTATATATTTACGTTGATATTAGGGATTCAAGCGTTGGCAGATCAAGGAGATGGAAAGACTACGTCGAAATCTGCCACCACCATTTGGGTAACTATCACTACTGATGGTGCACCAGTGGTTGTCCAAACAACTTATAGTCAATCATTTGACCAAGCTTATACGGAAGCGGATACTGAGACGGTCAAGAGTGGTACTGTAGGGTTGGGAAGTGCTTCTGGGTCCGTAGGAGGAATCAGAAGTTATGATAAGACCACTATTTCCAATACTAATGGGGCTGGTAAGTTAGGAGGAATCGGATTGTTGAGTATTATGTTAGGTATGTTGGTGTAATAAACGCTATATATTGTCACTCTCTGGTACTTTGATGTTTATGCAGACATGCACTGGCTCCATGGCGCTGGTACTGGTCGGTATTGGTGCCCTATGTTTCTCTAAGATGGCTCTAAAGTTCTATGGTGGCTTTGAGGCTTCATGGGGCTTTAAAATATGCCCTAAGATGCGGTTCAAGCTGTGAGATGTTTCTAGTAAATACACAGAAGTGATAGTCATCAGACATCTCTGTATACCCCACACAACTCCTACAAATCGTCCCTATTCCTCTCTTCAATGTAAACTAAATAGTACTTAAAAAATTAGTACCGCAGACCTAGGTCGACAATGGCCCTAAATGTCCTCCCCTAGGTCCATTTAACTTTCGCACCTCCCTAACTTCGCGCCCCCGCTACCATCGTCGTTCATCACCAAAATATCACCAAAATCTCATCGAAAAATTTTCAATTGTGGATATGTCAGAAGAACTCGTTAACCAAACTGAAAGTTTAACTTTAGATAAACAAACCATCTTATCGTCCAAGGAATCCTTTAATGCCAAACATCCTTTAAACAACCAATGGACTTTATGGTACACCAAACCTCAAGTAGATAAGAAAGAAAACTGGCACGATTTATTAAAGCCTGTGATTACTTTCTCTTCAGTTGAAGAATTCTGGGGAATTTATAATTCAATTCCTCAAGCCAACCAATTACCTTTAAAATCCGACTACCATTTATTCAAAAACGGAATCAAACCAGAATGGGAAGATGAAAAAAATGCTAAAGGTGGTAAATGGCAATATGCTTTCACCAACAAAAGAGAAGTTGGATCAATTATTAATGATTTATGGTTAAGAGGATTATTATCAGTTATCGGAGAAACCATCGAAGATGAAGAAGAAGAAGTTAATGGGATTGTTTTAAATATTAGAAAGCAAGCTATTAGAATTGGTATTTGGACTAAATCTTGTGATGATGAGAAGTTGAAAGTTATCGGAGAAAGATTGAAGAAGGTGTTGAGATTGAGTGATGAACAAAAGATTGAATTTATGAGTCATGATGCTTCAACAGAAAAGAATGCCAAACCGCAAATAGTTTTATAAATGGGTGTTTGATCTGAGACTTTTGTGTCTATTTCTCTGTCTCTTGGGCGTGTTCTTATAAGAGAAGTTCTGTGTTTTGTGGGAGACTTCGTATTTGTGGGGGACGTTGTTTTCTGCAACTATGATTCTCCAGTGTATAGGAAATCTTGAGTTCTCCAAGTGATAGATAATCGGCGACAGATACCAATCGGTGCTAGTGCAATTGGTGACAAAGACAGTACTCCGAGAGGCAAGTCAAGGGCCATACCCTCTAACGTATATTCACATCAATACCCCACAGGATTTACCTTATCCCTCACAAACTCCTGAACCTTCTCCCAATATCCTTCCTGTGTAATGGTATCATTATGAGTACCCTGTTCAAATGTCACAAATGTCTTATCTCCCCCTAACATATCCCTTATCTTATCCATATGTTCTGGTGGAACTATTTCATCTTTACGTCCACTAAATAATAAGAATGGGATATTTTCAGGTATCTCAGGTACCAAACTCTCCAGATCCCAGATCTGATGTACAAACATCGTACAATACTTCAAAAATGGAAAGATATGAGGTACGGTCTTCCTGATAGATAAGAAAGTGTTCTCTAAAATCACTGCGCTTACTGATGATGACATTGTAGCTGCCATATAAATGGCTACTGCTCCTCCAAGTGACCTTCCATACAAAATAACTGAAGATTCTCTATATTGTTCATCATTATCAAGATACTTCATCACTGTTTGGGAATCAATTTTTATCCCTTTCTCGCTGGGACTCCCCGTACTCTTCCCATAACCTCTATAGGAGTATATGAACACATTGTACCCGAAATTTTTGTAGAAAATCGATACTATAGGCAAAGCATGGCCTATATTCCCGGCATTGGGCGACAATACCACGATAGTTTTGTTTGTATACGTTGGTGAAGTCTTGTCTTGTTTCAACGAGAAACACTGTAAGGTTTCACCATCTTCTGTGTGCAATTCTATCAACTCATAGTCCATACCATATTCGTCAGGTGTTGAACATGATTCACGTCCATTATTTAAAGATGACGGATAAATCAAGGATGATTGGTATGAGTAAAGTCCTGCTAACACCAATGTGCCTAATCCTAGACCGATCTTGGCTAAGGTTTTCATGACGTGGAATATCTTCACCACTATGACTGGGAACATTGAGATGTTTGAGAATTATGTGAGAACTTGTTGATAGTGAGCATGTCTAACAACCTAAATCTAGCGAAATTTGCCTTCAATATCTATGGCACCCTTAGCACAGACAACTCCCCACCATCATCTACATCCAGTGGTACGAGGAAATCTCGTTTGGTGTACAATTGTGAGAAAGAGGTATCATGTTTAACTGATTTCGATACCGTGGATAAACCCAACACCCACATCATCATAGGTGGGAAGAACTATTTGAAGTTGTTGATGGTCAACGATGACCAGCTGCATGTTCTTAATGAGATAAATATCCTTGATCCCGTACAGACGTCTAGAGTTTCAGGGAATAAAATCCATAATTTCAATACCATCAAAAGTAACGGTAATCTTCTAGCTGCTGGTATGGTGGACGGGTCCATTAATATGTACCAATTGCAGAACAATGGGAAATCCAGACTCATAAAGAAGTTTAACGACCACAAAAGAAGAATCAATTCCCTTGATTTTTATGATCCTATGGACCCTTCAGTATCGAATCTCCTTATTTCAGGTTCCCAAGATGGTTGTGTCAAAGTCTGGGACTTACGTCAAGCTTCTATCAAACCTGTTAGTACTATACTACCGAAATCCAACCATGATTCCGTCCGTTCGTGTCAATTTTCGTCCCATTCCAGGAAACTCACCATTTTGACCGTCCACGATTCAGGAACTTTGAACAAGTACGACTTGAGGTCGTTATCATCGACAAATTCGATGAGTGAAAGGAAATGGACGTTCCATACCGGGCCCTGTTTGTCACTCCATGTTCATCCAGAGCTTGAATATGTTGCTACTTGTGGAAGAGATCAAAAAGTATGTATTTGGAACTTTGCTGATAATTCTTCCTCATCGTCTCCTGACCATGTCATACAGACTTATGGTCCGGTACTGAAAGTCCGTTGGTCGACCATCCCTAACGGTGATGATAGTTCGTTATATAATTATGATTTGGCTTGTTCGTACTTGAATGAAGATCCAACCATTACCGTGTATAACCTCAAGAGAAAATACGTTCCTAAAGAGATCATTCAATCTTCCAGACCATACCTGAACTTTATATGGGGTAAAAATAACCAAAACACCAGGAAAATATGGACCCTCACCAAGGGGAACCAGTTCAAGTCTACTACGTTAGATACTGATGATGATGTTTTCAGACCATCGGAGAACTTGAACTCTGTCACTATGGATTGGGGAAATGGTGTAGGAGACTTATCGTTCATCAGTCAAGATAAGTTGGACTTTGAATCTATGGAACCTAATGATGACGACGATTTGGATGAATATCGAATTCCTATTGGTCACAGTCACAGCAGCTCGTTTAGTACGATATCTACATCCCCTGTAGATGTACCAAGACCTTCGCTTATACGTTCATCAACGGGATTAAAGAAATCCCCTTCTCCTTCACCTCAAATCAGAAATGCTATAAGTTTCCATGAGCTGCCATTGATCAACCAATTGAACCATGTGGGACTCACCCCACCACGACCAGGAATGAAAAGAGGATCATCTCAAACAACTATAGATTCAATTCCTTCAATAGCATCTCCTGATAGAAAACATTTGCTTGTGAATCATGTCTCCCCTTACGTCATCCCATTGTCTTTACCCCTACCTTTGAATGATGATATTGTGTTTGAGACCTTATCCAACAACTATCTTATAACCATACCTGATGGATTCTCCTTGATAGATGTGTGTCTCTTGAATGCCTCGGTGGCCGGAAGTGTTAATAGATTTAGAGATTGTCAGATCTGGAGAATATTGGCTGTAGGGTTGGAACAACACCAGGACATTAAGGAACCCCCTAAGGATGTAGACACCGATATTGATGAAGATAAAGAAGATAACAAATCGATGTCTTCCGAATTAGGAAATTTTGTTGGTTCGTACACGTCCAACTCTACCTCCAATTATGGAGATTCTGCTCCTTCAGAAACCTCTAGGAAGTCCAACATCGAAAGGAACTCTTCCACTAATCTTATGGAGATGATAAATCATAGGAACTCCTTCGCCAACGGCATAAGTATTAGTCCTTTGAGTCCAAATCTTTCTCGATCTAATAGTATGGTAATGGGGAGAATTATAATGAAAGCCGATGAAGATAATGAAAGTGCTGTTATTGATGACGAAGATGAAGATGATAAAGATAAGTTCGATAAACTTCCACGAGAGGCCACGAGAGGAGAGGTCTTGAGATCGGAGACCAGAGAAGGTTCCAATCCGGTGATCATACCCGGAGGAAAAGAAGAAGTTAGGTTCAAAGGATCACCTAAAAACGTCGCCATTTTGAACAAACTTCGTGGTGGCTCATTCAGAGATTTGGATAATGAGAATGTTAATGTCAATGCATCGTTCTCGGCAGATAAACACTCCAATTCCAGTTATTCTCATTATGGAGGGTCTAATTACGGGTCCAATTATGGGTCCAATTATGGTAGTGTGAAAAGTCGTAGAAGCTCCAGCATAGCACCAACCTACGGATTCTTAAGTAGTAAGAATGTTTATGGGAATGGTTTAGAGGAGGTGGACGAAGTGGCTTCAGAACATGAGAAAGTTGAAGAATCTGGATTGAGCAAAGTTTTGGCTTCTAAAGACAAGGAAATCAGTATACCTTGGACTATCAACAACTTAATAGAAAAGTCTTTGTACCATGCTTCCTTACAGGGAGATATTATCCTTTGTTCTTCGTTGTCACTTCTTTTTTATAATTTTGTCAGACCGTTGAATTTGAAATTTTTCAGTCGTTCTAGGATCCTTGAATGGCTCTCGTTATACATAGAGATTCTTCAACGGAAGAGATTGTTTGTGAACGCCATCAACATATTGAACTTGTCACCCATTGATCTCAAAGACAAGTTACTTCAATTGTTCAACTTCGATACTTTGAGGCTCTATTGTGATCAATGTAATGAGTTGGTGGTGAATGAAGACACAAAGAGAGGTTTCTGGTACTGTGAGAAGTGTAAGGCCAAGCAAACTAATTGTGTTTATTGTAACGAGCCATGTAAGGGGTTGAACGTGGTGTCAAGTTTGAGATGTGGTCATAGAGGACATTTTGGCTGTTTAAGGGAATGGTTCATTGAATTGGAGAACTTAGAGTGCCCAGGAGGGTGCAGTGAAGTTTTATTCGATTAGGGTGGGTCCTGGCCCGCTTCTATATTAATTCAATATCTCCTATATCTACATACCTCCTTACTAAACTATACTTTACTATATATATTCCCCCCGGTATCAACTCTAACTCATCATCATCCTCTAATTCAAGAACAATGTCACCTTTATTGACCTTGATGAACACCAACTGATCGATCTCGGGTTTAACTATCATGGAAATACCCGAATCTGTATCCAAATATGCCAAATCTTGCGGCACTTTCTTCAAGAATGATCCATTGTATAAGTCAGTCATCAACTTAAAGTGTCTGGATATATAGCTTTGCTCTTCAAATGACAATAGCTTGGAATCTCTGTTGGTGGAGATCATATCAATATAATGAATGGAGAATTTATCGATCTTGGAAAGTCTTACTCGAAGATAAGACCTCACCAAATAGTTCAACCGTTCGATATCAGTTTCTATGATCATAAGCTGGAGTTTGAAATCCGATGTAATGATGCCTGAGTCGATGTTAATGTCACCATATTCATGAGAATCTAGAAGAAACTGTTGTTGGCTGGAAATCTTAGAAAGAACATCTTCAAGAAGCGATTGTTGGTATGGGAGTAATTCTGGGGCCATTCTTTCATTGAGCATGGCGGTAGTTAGGGATTTGTAAAGATCTTGGTCTTTTTGGGTGGACTTTTCAAAGTCTCTTAAGATATCATCAACTTCCATAACGCGACAGAAGTGAGATTAGTGCGAAATGGTGGTAAATAGACCCATATCCTTGGGTAATAGTGCCGCACTCTAGGTCGAGACTCTTGCCCTAGTTGGGTCCAGAGATGAGTGTGATCTCAGTCGCGTCACTATGGATAGGCAGACTTTACTTCAGCAGAAACGACAACGATTACAAGAATTAAGACAAAGACGGTTGAATGTCGATGACGGAACTTTACCTTCTGCCGCTGTGACCCCTAAGGAACTGTCTGAAGGGTCAATGGTGGCCAGTGAGGTCAGAAAATCAGAAGTATCTACAACCAAGGTAGATGCTGGTGTTCAAGTTAAGAAGTTCGTAGAAGTTTCAAGATTTGATAAGGGGATACAGACCGATAAAAAGGTAGTGGTGGAAACTCCTCAAGTGGTGGAGGTGGCGGAAACTCCAGAATTGGTAGAAACTCCTTCCGCCCCCAGTCCAGAACCAGAATCTACAGTATACATAGAGGATATGATTCAAGTCAAACCAGTCAGTAATACAACCACCGGTACAATACCATTGCATTCTTATATCACCACTGATCCAGTGATTCAAGTAGATTGTTATGAAGATTTGGTCGCAATCATGTTTGAACAGAAAGTCATCATATTCAAACAACAGCTTGTGGCCGTAGCTGTGGTGGAATCTGTGACTCCTATAGCCCTCATACGATTCTCCAGTCGAAACAAAATTGTCGGAGGATTGAAAAATGGTAAGATTGTGGCATGGAATTTGAATGAAGATGAAATGTTATCATCACCACCAAGTTTCGCCCATAAAGATCTCCATGAAGGTCCTATCACGGGATTGGAAGTAATAGACACTTTGGTGGTTAGTTCTTCTTACGATAGAATCAATTTCTGGTCGGTGAATTTCCTTGCTTACCCCCAACAAACCATTCATTTTGAGAGTGAGCTTATGAAACCCTTCATGATACAAGATTTTGAAATCGTGGCCGACCCCAAGATAGATGACATTGTGATCTGTGAGTCGGGCCTCAAACGGCTAGTCAATGATGAGAAACGAAACTTTGTCCAATCAACCATCAGTACGAGGAACCTTAAAGGGGTGATAAAAATTGGTATGAAGGATGATACTTCCATACTATGTGGGTATTCCCAAACTTTTGACCTCTATGTGTTCAATATGTCCACCCAGATCACTAAAATTACCACCAACTACATCATCTTGGGGGTAGAGGACCGTAAGGGACATCAATTCCAGTTCTCAAGTTTTGGAAGAAGGCTTGATAGTACGGGAGTGGTAGAAGTTTGGGACCTTTCTAAGGATATCTCTCATCCTATCATGTCCATAAATACTGAAGTTTTGAGTGTAGCTTTCGCTCAGGACTTCATTATTGTCACTCATAGTTCTGGAGTATCAGTATACGAGTTAGAGGTATCTTCAGAGATCAAGTATAATATTAATGATGTTATTTAATGTACAATATTCATAAGACGTTAGAAGAAAACATATTAGAAGAAAAGCTTCTCTTTAGCGGTGATGGCGATATCACCTCCAATTTCTGTTTCTTGTGGTTGTTGATTCAAGGAGATCTTGTCACTGGTAGCGAGAACAAGTAATTCAAAGAAACATTTAGATGCCTGTCTTTTCATGCTGACGGTGTTGGTGGTGATAGTTCCTAAAGGTACCGGATTTTGTAAGTCATCTTCCATGACTGTTTTGAAAGTCGGCTCTTGGGATTTCTGGATGACATTGGAAATTTGAGTGGTGGATTCAGTGGCATCAATTTGGAGATCAATGACTTCTGGTTCGTGATGCATGGATAAGTCAAAATTTAAGTCATCAAATGCAAAGTCGTTATCATCTATAGCCATGGAATCAAACCCGGGGTCAATATCTTGAGTTTGGTCTTCAGGATTGAGTTCTTTTTCTCGTTGGGATAATTGATGGCTCAATTCCACTAAGGTATTGTCGAGGTCAAGTTTCATTCTCTTACCACATAATTCGTTGATTAAGTCACATTTTTCTCTATCGGAGAGCTTGATGTTGATGTACTGGTCTCTCCAATTAGCCTGTAATTGAAGGTTTTGAAGGGATTTGAGGTCTTCAATGGGGATAGTGAGTTCGGTATCGATCTGGAGTTTTCTCTTATTGGTTTTGATTCCATTTTCCATGAGTCCGGTTTTCTTAATCCTTTGTCTTGGTGTTGTTTCGGTGACTGTTTCCACTGGTGCTGTAACTTCGCTGGGTATGGTGGTGGGAGCCTTTAACTCCAATGGTGGGATATCATGGCCCAAATCTAAAATACTTTGTTCACCTATATGTCTGTCGGCATCTCGTCCGATCTCAATTGAATCTTCAAGGTCGAAATCCAAGTCCACGTCGAAATTATCGAAATTACTGAATTCAAAGTTGTCCACTATTTCCTCGTCATCGCGTCTCCCTAATTCTACCGACAAATCAGGGATACCGTCGTCCTCAAACTCAAAATCTTTCTGGTATAATAAATCATGGTCAGTAATCCTATCAGGTAAGATGACTTGGTTAACGTTGACGATATTCCTCGACGTGACATTGGAATCCAATGTGGTTCCAGTAGCCAACTTAAATGAATGCTTTAACTTATAAAGAATGTCCTGGACGTCATCAAGTAAATATTTGGTCTTTCTGGAATAAATCTTCACGATACCTAAAAGTAACTGTCCTGATAATCTTAAGGTAATGGAATTATCTAGAAGTTTAGATGACTCCACCAAGTCAGTGTTCAAGAACTGTTGTTTGGATAGTTTCTTCTCGAAGTTGGAAGCTAACCAAATCTGTGATAAAGGTCCTTTCAAATCCATTGAGTAGTTTTGAAGAAAGTTTCGTAGGAAGTTATTTAAAACCGCGTCAGGTTCGCGATTTGGTATCCCAGTACTTCTGAAGTGTGAAGTGTCCGGGTAACTTCTCAGTCCGGGTGAGTTCGAAAGCGAGCATGGATTCCAACATTTGAACCACCTTCACCAATGAACCTTGAAAGCAGACTCAGTGAGTGTTTGAACGATGTTTTGAGAACCGCAGGGTACATGTTTGAGATCATCAACAAGAATAAGAAACAAAGTAACTTCATCACGGGGACGAACAATCAATTGATTCCCCCTATTATAACTGCTCAACTAGGAAGTAGTATAAGTAAGTTTGATGATGTTCTAGATGAAACCATGGGGAAATTCGATGACGCTAAGTGGTGTATTGACTCTATGGTTGAAAGCAAGCAGAAACAGGTGGAGATGAGGAAAGAAGAGGAAGAAAGACAAAGAAGGTTGAAGGAAGAAGAAGCTAAGAAGGAAGAGGCTAAGAAGGAAGAAGCCAAGAAGGAAGAAGAGAGACAAAAGAAACTCGAAGAAGCTCGTAAAGAAGAGGCTAGAAAGGAAGAGGCTAGAAAGGAAGAAGCTCGTAAAGAGCAATTGAAGAAAGAGAAACCTGAAGAAAAGAAAGATGATTTTGATTTCATGCAATTCGATTTTATGAACGACGTTAACAATGATATTCCTAACCCTTCGGATATTTTATCATCCATAGATTACTTGGATTTGAACCCAGAGAAGAAACAGGAACCTCCAGCAGGAAATACTAGTGAAGAGAAGAAGGTGGAAGATTTGGATATCAACAATATATTAGGGAACAACGATTCTATATTGGATGGATTGAATATGAGTTTATTGGATGAACAGCCTCAGGATATCAATGTGGAAGAGGATTTCGATGTGGATAATTTTTTGAATCAGTTCGATAATTAGTGAGTATGATGGTAGGAGAAGCCAGTACAGTGCGGGCCTGTAGTGATTATGGGCCGGTGGTGGATGATTTCTAACAGAAGATCGAATCAAACCCAAGTATAGTATTAATGAATAATGACAATTAATTCTACTCTTCACTTATTCTATGCCTGCTCTTTTCTTAAATCCTCTCACTCTCCTCTAGCTATGCTACAATCCGCGCGCACACATTTCCCAATCAGGTAGTCTACAACATCCAATGAAAACTTCAAAATCTCAACACCGAAAATATTTTTCACTTAACCATGTTCAGATCATTACGTTCAGTTAAAACCCCAATTAAAAGTCTTGTTAGAACTTATGCCACTGAAGGTGAAGGCTTAAAATTATCATTGGCCTTACCTCACCAAACCTTATATTCCAACAGTGAAGTCGAACAAGTTAATGTACCATCAGTTAATGGAGATTTAGGTATATTAGCCAACCATATACCAATTGTCGAACAATTAAGACCGGGTTTATTAGAAATCATCACCAAATCTGGTGAAACTGAAACCTACTTCGTTTCTGGTGGTTTAGCTACTGTCCAACCTGGTAATAAATTAACTATAAGTGCCATTGAAGCTTTCAAACCTGAACAATTCGATATCAGTGAAGTCAAAAATTTAATCACCGATGCCCAAAAAAGAGCCAGTTCATCTGATGAAGTTGTTAGTGCCGAAGCTAACATTGAATTAGAAGTTTTAGAAGCTTTACAAACCATTGCTAAATAAGGAGAAGGGAGTTTTTAGTATGGCATGATATTCACCTTTGAGGACCCAAACCTTAGGTCTTTGTTTAATCTTTGATCCTGGTGTTTGTGTTATCAATCTAGTTACCATCTTTGTGTGTCTTTATGTCCCATACTGCACTAAAATTGTATACAAAATGCATATTTTCAATAGGTCCCACTTTTTACCCCACTAATTTTTCACCCTTATGGTCCATCGTTTGCTGTCGATCTCTAACTTATGTGTCACTTTCAATGTCTCTACCACCTAATTCAGTGTACATCGTTCCTGATGATCACAACCTTTACTTCCATACCTTCGCTAAACTTCTCTAACACCACTTTCTCGTGACTGAGATCTCCAGATTTTAATAATCGGAAAGTTTCGAAAAATATAAATATCCCCCATTTTTCCCCCATTTCCCATAATTTTATTTCAATGAAGAACCCATCGTTAGTATTGAACAAAGTCGATGAACTTAAGTTTGTGGATTATGACATTGATGAATCCTTAGGTGACAATGAAGTGTTAATTTCCAATATCACTACAGGAATTTGTGGGTCAGATATTCATTATTATGCTCATGGAAAGATTGGTGATTTCGTATTATTAGAGGGTAAGCCTTTAGTTATGGGACATGAATCAAGTGGAATTGTCACTGAAGTTGGTCCAAAAGTTACTTCTTTGAAAAGAGGTGATAGAGTTGCTATTGAACCAGGGTTACCTTCGAGATTTTCCGATGAGTATAAGTCCGGTAAATACAATTTGTGTCCGCATATGGCTTTTGCTGCCACTCCTTCTAAGGAAGGGGTTGAAAATCCTCCTGGTACTTTATGTAAATATTATAAAGCTCCAGAAGATTTCTTAGTTAAATTACCTGATTCGGTTTCTTTAGAATTGGGTGCTTTGGTTGAACCTTTAACTGTGGGGGTCCATGCTTCTAAATTAGCTAGTATAAAATTTGGTGATGTAGTAGTTGTTTTTGGTGCTGGTCCAGTTGGACTTTTAGCTGCCTCAGTTGCTACTATGTTTGGTGCTAGTAAAGTTATGGTTGTTGATATTTTCGATAACAAATTACAAATGGCTTTAGATATTGGTGCTGCCACTCATGTCTTCAATTCTAAGACTGAAGGAGGAGTTGATAAATTAGTTGAAAAATTAGGTGAATCTCCATCTGTAGTATTAGAATGTACTGGTGCGGAACCATGTATTCAATTAGGAGTTTTGGCTTTGAGAACTGGTGGTAGATTTGTTCAAGTTGGTAATGCTCCAGGGTATGTTAAGTTCCCAATTACTGAATTTGCAACCAAAGAATTGACATTATTCGGGTCTTTTAGATATGGTTATGGTGATTATAAGACCTCTGTAGCTTTATTGGATAAGAATTATAGAGATAAATCTAAGAAGATCGTTGATTTCGAACAATTGATCACTCATAGATTTGATTTTGTTGATGCTATCAAAGCTTACGATACCGTTAGAGGTGGTAACGGATGTGTCAAGTGTATTATTAAAGGTCCTGAGACTGCTTTATAGATAATGGATGTATCTATGTGTATTTTTATGTGTCTATCTAACTCTTTGGTGTCTTTCCGTCAGGAATCGAAGGGGTCCTCGAAACAGATTCTTGTCAGTTTCTGGCTCGTCTAAAACCAGGGTCTATTGTTAAGTCTCCGCTTTATGGGGACATTTTTGGAAATTCCGCATTTTGCAGCCATCGCGGCGTATTTATTTTTCTACTTATGCTTTTAATAGCCCTTTTGATAGTAATTGATCTTAACGACATCAGTTTTCTTCAAATTATTGACTTTAACTACCTGTCCATCCCCAGGGAAGATATCAAATCCATTATCATGAATGAAATTATCGTTTTCCAAAAGGATTTCAACTCCCTTGACAGGTTTATTGGTTGATAATGTAACTTGTCCATCTTCAACGGTGATTTTAACCTCTCTATCGGGAAACTTCAAGTATTTGATAGGTTGTGGCCAATCTGCAGCACTACAAATGATGGTTCCGTCTTTAACAACTCTACTATAAACAACTACCGGCGACTTATTGGTGATTTTGAATTCCTTAACAAATTCGGTGGTTTGGTTGGATTTCATTACCACGTTTTCGCTGAAGCTATCCAATACTTCTCCAGTGGTAACATTGTAAACGTCTACCTTCAATTCTCCTTCAACGTCAGTTAATGAAGAATTCACTCCCCAGATATCAATATTATAATGAACTTCTCTGTAGTCGAAAGGTGCACCTTCCTTTTGATCAACATCCAAATTAGGGTCTGGTTTCTTCCATTGGTTTCTGTACATACCTACACCCAAAGGTTTTGATTCTCTCTTCACGGAGTAGTATGCCAATTTAGGACGTCTATAGAAATCAATTAAAGCCCATGAAGCTACTGGCCAACAATCGTTGATCTGCCAAACAATGGCCCCAGATGAATATCTCTTCTTGTCACCTCTCCATTCACGTCTCCAGCATCTGTAAGCATACCCAAGACATTCAGATTGCATCAATTGGGTAGCATAGATCCAGGAATCGAAATCAAGCCCTTCTACTTTGATGTTTTCTATAACGTATAATGCCAATCTTCTTTCAAAGCCGTCGGCCTTATTGTGGAAGTCAACAAGATATGATTGAGGGTAAAGTTCGGTCTTGTCGGTGATACATTGTTCATAAGTCTTCCTACTAGGTAACGCCTCCATACCAAATTCCGATACGAACCTTCCACCCAATCTATACCAGTCTTGATACTTTTCTTGATTGCCGTGCCACACATTCCATTGATGCATGTCTCCAACAGTAGGGTCGGCACTTTCTTTGCCACCCCAAGGAGATCCTGGATGGTAAGGAACTGATTCCAAGTACTTCTTCATCAAAGTAGGTAAAGTGTTTTCGTAGATGGTTCTAGCAGGGAAATTTGTTTTGGAGTAATCACCAGATAAGTCATCTTTATCCCAAGTCAACCCCCTTTGTTCAGCTACTTGATAGTCTTCATTGTTACCGGCAAATACGGTTAAAGAGCAATGGTTTCTGATCCTCTTAAGTTGAGTTCTAACTTCTTCTGACACCAAATCAATGAATTCCTTGTACCCTGGGTATTGACCACAGGCGAACATGAAATCGTGCCAGATAAGAATACCTTTCTCATCACAGAGATCATAGAACACATCTTGTTCGTAGTAACCACCACCCCAGATTCTGATCATGTTCTGGTACCCGTCAACCATTAACTGTAACCATTTTTCATAATCATCAGTGGTCAATTCCGTTTGGAAGGAATGGCCCGGAATCCAATTAGATCCTGAAGAGTAGATAGGAACATCATTGACCTTGAAATAGAAAGAGGTTCCTTCCTGGTCATCAAAAGTCTCTTGGATGAGTTCAACCTTCCTCATACCGATCTTTTTTTGGATCTCGTGCACCACTTTATCATCAACTAAAGTGAACTTGAAGTTATACAAATAAGGAGTCCCGTGACTGAAAGGGAACCAAAGTTTAGCATCTTTAATGGTGAATTTGGTTGAATTTTTACCTTTGTGTACAGTAGCTTTATGGTTTTCAACACTCCCATCTGGATCAGTGACTTCAATATTAAAGGTTAAATCTTTGTCGGCGATAATGTCCGATTCTACCTCTACATCAACCACATCGGATTTGATTGTGGTTTTCACATAAACATCATCGATCTTGTAATCATAGCCAATGAACCTTATAGGTCTATAAGGTCCACATGTCATATAGTTTGGACCCCAATCCCAACCATAATGGTACTGAGCTTTTCTGATTTGCATTCTACTACTCTCCCCATTGAACCCAAGGGCTTTGAAATGTTTCTTTTCAAGGTCTCTGGCTATGAAAATGGCGGCTTTAAAGTAAATTCTCAATTCATTGGCTCCTTCCTTGACTTTACCAGTAACATCAACGGTATATTCAATAAACATACTTTCAGTGGATAAGATCAATTCTCCGTTCAAGTAAACATCAGCAAATGTATCCAAACCTTCAAAAATCAATTGATACGTAGAAAACCCACCATCATTTTGGAAGGTGGATTTATATTCCCAATCTTTCTCACCGATCCATTGAAGATGTCTTTCATTATCGTCTTCAAATAAAGGAGGAATTTCTCCGTTAAATTCCAAATCCGGATGTATCTCACATGTATCTCCAGGCTTACTGTTGCTCCATTTGTCACTATCACTGGCTTTATATTGCCAATTGTCTAAAGTTACACTCTTCATGGTGAAAAATCGACAGCGATCGAATCCATTTATATGCGAAATAGCGAAATATGGGGTGAGACTTAATTAGGTAAGAACTCCTTTGGGGGAAATATCCCGCAACGGTGATATTACTTGATTGAGACATTTTTTTCTAATTTTTACTGGTTAGTATGTATTATGTACATCTCGTGTTTTTTTTTTTGACTACCACCTGAATGCAATTACGAATTCCGAAATTTAAATCGTCGGTAAATGTCTCCTTTTTTGATCATTGACACATTAAATTATCTCTTACAATGTAAAATATCCGCGATTCAAATGAAGTATTCACTTGATAAGTTCTTATTATTTGGCGACTCGATTACTGAATTCAGTTTTGATTCAGCCAACAATGGGTTCGGAGCTAAATTGTCAGACACTTACATCAGAAAACTAGACATTGTAAATAGAGGTTTCAGTGGATATAACACCAACCATGCCCTTTATCTATTACCGGCAATTTTGAATTCCACTAGTGATATCAAGATAATGACTATATTCTTAGGTACAAATGATGCTAGTATTGATTTCCAGAAGGTTCCGGTGGAGACTGTTCGGACAAATATGTCAAAATTGATCCAAATGGGTAAAGAAAAGGATATCAAGATTATTGTTATCGGACCCGGTGTTCACGACAAGAAGATGCTGGATATTGTAATCCCCGAAGGTTTTTCCTCTAATAAGAGTTGTAAGATATATTGTGATGCTATAGGTGAAGTTTGTGTGGAAGAGAAAGTTCCATTCATTCCATTGTTTGATATTTTCCAAAAAGAATCGGGTTACACTAAGGATGAGATTTTCAATGAAGATTGTGATTTTTCACAATTCTTAACTGATGGAATCCACTACAGTAGTAAGGGATATATCATTCTCTTCGACGAAATCATCAAGGTTATCAAGAAGGAATATCCAGAATTAAGTCCGGAAAATGTTACTAGAAGGATGCCTGAGTGGGATGAGATCAATTACGATGATTTAGATACTTTGAACGATTTCTTAGATCCTTGATTTTGTTTCGAGTACTGGACGGTATATCAGATTCCTTGTTTCACCAGAAGTATGGGATGACTTCTTGGATCCTCAATCTTCATAAATACTTATACATTTAGACTACTTAATATAGAATAAATTTGCACGTTTAAACTTTTTGATTCTTCTTTATTCTATCATGGAAACACTGGATCCAGCTGTGGATACATCTACTTCACTTCCTCGTCTATTCTTATCGTTTATATAAAGTTGTAAACTCATACTCCTGACATCTCTAAACACCCAAAACACCACCGCACCATCAAAATCATCATCTCGAGGTATAACACTACTTTCAATGAATACCTTCACCTCTTTGTCTATCGGATCATACTCATGCTTAGAGAAATTGGTGTTGATCCTTCTGGTGTAGAACAGTAAAGTGAACCTGAAGATTTCAAACTCCATTTCACTATATAACTGTAACAATAATTTAGCTGTATAGATCTGACAATCAGCTATAACTGACCATCGATTGACCAAATCCAACGTAACTCTGAAGTTACTGATGGCCATCCCACTGATGAAATGGTATAATCCAGGAACTGCGCAGATTGCTGATACCTCTCCTAATTTCTTGTTTTTTACCATCACCGTATAATAAGCTATGAGTACCATATTATGGAGGATGTGAAGCAAGAAAGCTTCGGGTGTTGATAAAAGCGTATCCTTCACCACAATAAGGTTCTTACTTAGCTTGGCTGGGAATAACAACATATCGAATTCGAATTGTAAATAACTAGATCTTTTCTCCTCAAATGATAAATTGTCATGATGCAACAACCATATCAATTCATAAAGGAAGATATTACAGTTGAGAAATTGATAATTATAAGCATCAATGTCCATGGTTTGAAAGATCTTTGACGATTTCTTGATGATGGATTTATCAGTGATGAGTGGATGTTCATTAAATAAAGAATTCCAACCATCAACACAAATCGCTCCAGCTAAAAGGTTCACCGACAATTCCTGGGATTCATAGAATCTATTGAAACTCTCCAAACTATCCTTGATCAATTTCTTAGGGATGACAGTTCTTGAAGGTAGAAGGAAAAAACATGACAATCGTATAGGATCCCATTTAATCTCTTCATTGAAGTAACCATTCAAAGATTGATAAAAGAACGATACCGCCGATTCAGGAATTTCATTTTTACTCGAGGAAACTGCCGATACATGAATACAACATTTGGAAAAATGATCCAAATTATTCTGGAATATCTTATGATCAAGAAACGGCGTATAAGGTTCGATATTATTGACATATAATTGATATTCCACGGAATTGTTGTTAGTGTCCTGGTACAGTGGACTGTTGGAGAAGTTGGAGATGGAAACTGGGATAGTCCATTGTTGTTCTGGACTTTGCATATTACTCTTATTGTATTGTTCCATAGCAAAAGGATCTATTTGATCTAAGAACGTCCCTGTGTAATTATTCAAGTTTTTAGTGTTTGTCAACTCTGTAACTTTCTCCAACTTAACCTTCTTGATTTTCCTGATCTTCTTGTGATCAAAGATACACTTCTTTTTATGGTCTTTACAATTTTCACACACGTTCTCTTTAGGTTGCACTGTACATTTTATCTTTCTCTTTCTACAAAAATTACAAGCTTTGAGTAACTTGAACGATGAACCTTCAAAATTGGTGGCTTCAAGTCCTGGTTTGAAGTCATGTGCCACCTGTTCAATGGGTCTAGTTTTACCCTTCGTATCGGCCATTTCTCAGATGATGCGAATCTGGGGAACAATTTCTCACCCTCCTTTCTATGCCGTATATGTCTTAACCCTCCTTCCATGAACTTTTCATCATAAAGTTCGAATGATTTCCATTTTCTCATTACTAATCCATCAATGTGTTATCTCTCATGGGTCACGCTCTAACGATCTTATTGATCTCGCAAAGAATCGTGGATAATTGATCGCAATGAGGAATTCGCAGCCAACTATAAAAACCTGGGGAAACTGCTCATCATCATTATGTGGTGGAAAGAAGCAAGTATCTATCAAATTTGGCCCGCATCATTCAAAGATTCCAATGATGATGGTGTTGGTGATATCCAAGGGATTATTTCCAAATTGGATTATGTGAAAAACTTAGGTGTTGATATCATCTGGTTATCTCCAATGTATGATTCTCCTCAAGATGATATGGGTTACGATATCAGTAATTATGAAAAAGTTTATCCTAAGTATGGGGATTTGAATGATATGACTCAATTGATTGAGGGGTGCCATTCAAGAGGAATGAAATTGATTTTGGATTTGGTCATCAATCATACTTCAAGTGAACATGAATGGTTTAAACAACTGAGAGCTTCTTTAGATAACCCAAAAAGAGATTGGTATATCTGGAAGAAACCAAAATATGTTGATGGTAAGAGATGTCCTCCGAATAATTGGTTGTCTTACTTTTCAGGAAGTGCTTGGGAATATGATGAGGCTACTGATGAGTATTATCTCCATCTTTTCGCCAAAAGTCAACCCGACTTGAATTGGGAAAACGAAGAATGTAGAAACGCCATTTACAACAGTGCCGTGAAATTCTGGTTCGAAAAAGGTATTGATGGTTTCAGAATCGATACCGCAGGTATGTATTCTAAAGACCAAAGATTCTTAGATGCTCCTATTGTTTTCCCTGATAATGAATATCAACCATGTAAGGTGTTCCACCAGAATGGTCCCCGTATTCATGAATTCCATCAAGAAATGTTCAAAAAGGTTACTTCTCATTATGATGCTATGACTGTAGGAGAAGTTGGTCATTGTTCTAGAGATGAATTGATCAGATATGTTGGAGCTTCCAGAGGAGAAATGAATATGATGTTCTTATTTGATATGGTTGAATTGGGTAGTGATCCATTGGATAGATTCCGTTACATGGATTTTGATCTTACGGATTTCAAAAATACAGTCATCAGGCAAAGTGAATTCATTGGAACCACGGATGCTTGGACAACTGTTTTCAATGAAAATCATGATCAAGCAAGGTCTATAACCAGATTTGCCAATGACTCTCCTGAGTACCGTGTGAAAAGTGGGAAACTTTTAGCTATGCTTCAAAGTTGTTTGAGTGGAACATTGTTCCTTTACCAAGGTCAAGAAATAGGTATGACCAATGTCCCTAAGGAATGGCCCATCGAAGAGTATAAGGATATCAATTCCATCAATTACTACCAAGAGCTTGTGGAGAAACATCCTAAAGATTCTGCCAAAGTTAAAGAATTCATGAAAGTCCTTAATCTCATTGCTAGAGACAATGCCCGTACCCCTGTACAATGGGATAGTACTGCTTATGCAGGGTTTTCTGGAGTTGAACCATGGATGAGGGTCAATGACAATTACAAGGAAATCAATGCTGCTTCTCAAGTAGATGATCCAGAATCTCTCTATAACTTCTGGAGTAAATGTTTGGCAAACAGAAAGAAATTCCCATCCTTGATCTATGGACAAATAGAGATTCTTAATTTGGATAACAAAGATACTTTTGAGTTCGTCAAGAAAACAGAAGGTAAGGACGAAATCTATGTCATTTTGAACTTCAGTCAAAAAGATGTTGATTTCACACCCAACTCAGAATGGAAGTTATTGATAACTAATGGTGATAATAGCAGTAAACTTACTCCTTACGAAGGAAGAATTTATAGTATGTAATATATATTCATCATGCATAGGGATTAGAATGGGCTCTAATGGCTCATTCCAAATATTGGAGGGCTTGGATAATTATAACCATCATTAAAATCTTCAATGGAATCGTTCAAATAGAATCCAACCAACACCACACTATAAACTAACATTAAAATCACACCTTTGAAATAATTGGATTTCCCTTCAGCATAAATGTAAGTGAACAAATAAATAGAAATCAAAGTAGCTATGATATCCCAACGAGGGAACACAAGGGGGAATAATTGTAATGGATCTTCATAACCAGTGAAAGTAGAATAAATGGCAAGAACGGGGATTTGGATAAGTACCACTTGTAGAGCATAGGCAGAACCAATTTCCATGGATAAGGCAACATTACCACCAATAGCGAAAGAAATGGCATTTATGAATTCGGTGGTATTTGGAACCAAAGCAAACACCGTTAAACCCAAGAATTTAGGATTTAAAGGATAAGATTTTAACACATCATCAACAACATCTACCAAAATTTCAGCTATCACAGCATATAATATTGTTGCCCCAATTAATATGATTCCAGATTTCGAACGAGACCAATTAGGGGCATCATGACCTCCAACTTCCTCATCCTCTTCAACTATGCTATTCTTATGTAAAATTTCCTTTTTTATGTCCTTTTTGCCTGGAGTTACTGGAGTGGTTCTTCCAGGACTCAAAAGTTCTTTTTGTACGTCTTTCAAAATATCCTTAGGGTTACTTAAATTCAAATTAAGATCTTTAGATTTTCTTTGTTTGGCGATATTAAGGGTGGAACTTGAGGGTAAAGGAGCGAATGATTTCTTAAGATCAATTGAAGGCAAATTCATCTTTTTCTTGCCAACATCTATCGATGCTACACTTGGAGATCTTAAAGACATTTCATCTTTCTTATGATGTTCTTGGTTAGTAGCCCAGATCAATGATGCATGAGATCTTAAAGTGAAATAAATACCACAAAAGTATGCTAATAATAACGCTACAGCAGCAGTTAAAGCAAAAGGTTGGATGATATTATAGTACAAACCATCTAATGCAAATGATGGTTGAATGAATCGACATTTAGTATAATCTTTGATATCATTAGAAAGATCAGCTGACTTACACTTAATCTCATAACTTCCATAGATTTGATAGAACAATGAAGGAGTGAACATTGTTAACATTCCGAACAATAACATTGTTGAAGAAACACCAGCGGATCTTGGATTATATCTTTGAGTTTTACGTTTCAAAGCTCCTGAACACATAGATAATCCTGGTAATAAAAGTACCCCTGCCAATACTGAGCCAATCATACCACCTTCAACAATTTTAGCCTTAGATTGACCCAAAGCTACACAATAAAGAAAAATTTCCACAATTGTGGAGAAAAATGCATTTATAAAAGCACCAACTCCCATTGAAGATTGAGCAGAAATAGATGCCACTGCTTGACCTATGAAGAAAGCCAATGGAATGGTGGAGAAAAGACAAGCTAAAAACAAGAATCCAGGATCTGTTAAAGTAATTTCCAAACCCAATTGTTCTCTTAAAATGTAGAAATCAAAAATCACAAATATCACGGCAAATAATAAATTGATAAAGAACACATTGGTACCATCAATAGTATACTTATAATAATGTAATCCACAACATCTGTAGGTACATAACAATATTGATTGGTTTCTTTTCCTTTGTTCAGTTTGATGACTATAATAATGTTTTTCGTCTTCGAAATGTAAGGCTAAAGGATGACGTTTCAAATGAGCACAAATTAAATTGGTGATATTGGACATTGGAATAGTAAACACTATCAACCAACAAAGTATACCGACAAAATAAAAGATAGGTTGCATGATACCATAGAAAATTATGTAGAAGATAATTCTAGGCCAAGTCCAATTACCTCTACCGAAGAATCTGACTTTAATGTTAACATCATTATTCTCATCATCATCAGCGTGACCATGGTCAACAGCTTCTTGATTCTCGTCATTAAGAAACGTGTAAGCATCTCTTAAAGGTCTACCTTTATGATCTTTGATTAAAGGTCTTGATTCGTTTGAATTGGTTAATCTTCTAGGAGGTGCAAAAAACAATCTTCCTTCTTCTTCTGACCTCCATCTATGAAATTCATTGATTGAAGATCCATAGATATCATCTTCTTCAATATAATTTTCATCCTTGTTAAGTAAGACGAATTTCCCGAATGGGAATAACCAGAATTTCCCCAAGTTATAAATTAATTTGATATATGATCTTGCGTCCTTTCTGAAACCAAAACCCGTGGCTACAAATAAGGACACAGCACAGAAGCAACATATGAGATAAAGAAATAATCCTAAAGTAATGGACCAAATGAAATTGGTAATATAAACCCAAGGATTCAATCCCAGAGGTCGATGTTCAGTTTCATGAATATCTTCTTCAGCTCTAGCAGCTACTGATCTTTTCTTTTTATACAATGAAGGTTTCCAAATCTTTATACCAAAAGGATGAGTGGAGTTAATGGCATCCTGTCTTTCTCTTAAGTTCAAAGATTCAATTGTTTGGGATGATGATGAAGATTTAATCGATTCAGTATCTTCCAATGCGTCATCTTCACTTTCAATTTGTGGTGTGGGAACCACATTTGCTTGTCCATAATCTTCATCTAAATCTTCTAAAACTTTCAAACTCTCTTCAGCACTTTCTAATTGATGTTTGATATTCTCCTCCATAGGTGTGGAGGTCATTGAGGTATCAGGGAAATATGATCCATTATCTTCCTTCTTTTTCTTCAACAAAGCCTTTAAAGCTGCATGGTATCCTTCTAAATACTCTCTATCCTTCTTGTTATAATCTTCATCGGAGATATCGTCGTTTATATCATCATCTACGGAGAATAATAACTTAGGCTGGCCCGATGGTAATCTATTTAAATTTGGTCGTTTTTTGAATTTTCCCAGACTTTTTTGTTTCAAATTATTACTTCCGGAGGAGTTCAATCCTTGTATGCTAGTACTACGAGACCCACCCAGTTCAATGGGCTTTAAATTGGGGGATTTCTTACTATCAGGCATTTGTAGTCGTCTAAAATTATCGCGGAATGGAATTTAGACCCTTTATTTTCCGGGTAAGTGTTTCAGATGGTCTACGGAGATTGTACGAGATCGTGGGAGATTGTACGAGATGGTAAAGAGACCGTAAAGAAATTCTCTGAATTTGTCAAATCTTCTTATATTCTAATCTAATCATTCTTGACATCACTACCTAAACGTCTACCTCTACCAGCGAAATTCGAACTATGAGTTTCAACTCTTCTTACAGGTACCAGTGAAGGTCTTCTTAATCTAAAGGCTGTTGTTCCAACACTATTATTGGATGGATATCCTAATAAATTATAAAACCATAAAGGAGCCTTCAAATATCCCTTATCAAAGATAGTATCGGGTATAATGTCAGAATCGGTGGCAGCTCTTGTGCCAACTCTAAACTCTGGGGCATTGGAATAAGATGTTGGTAACAAATTGAAGAATGGTATGGTATCACTTTGTACACATTGATAGAAATAACCTCCTAAAATCCCAATACCAGTATCGAGGAATGCAGGAAACCCTTGAGTTATCATCTTAATGAATAAGTTCCCAAATGGTAAATAGTATGCTTTGATGGGTATGATACCTAAGAAGTTGATTATGGAGTTTTTCAGGTGTCTTGACCAGATATATCCAATACAACTTAACATCATACTATGAGGAAATGGGAAATGAAGTGGATCTATAAATCCATAAATGGTAGTTATAACTACAATCATTGTTCCTGTTAATAAGGTAAAGTATAAACAATCAGCGAAGTTATTATTGAATCTTCCCCTTTCAACGTTATTAGCAAAGGTATAAAAGAAGTAAATATCCAAAATACCTTCCATCTTATTACTGGCCATTAATCCTGGAGGAACTAAGAAACAAGTAAAGAATCTATAACTCTCGCACAATCCCATGAAAAACGACTTCACGGCTTGAACTTTGGATTGGGCGTGTGTCATATTGTGATAGGTCGAACTTAAGACATATTTCAAGTGGTCTGTGGAGAAAATCAAATCTCCAAGGGATATCAATTGCATGGAACAAGCGAGACTCACAACCAATGTGGAGACTGTGAAAAACCTCGTCACTGGAGGAATGTTTCTGATTGTGTCAGCTAATGTCGACATGTTCAATTATCTATGTCTTAATGTGATAGTCTTTGACCTGATTTACTTCAATGGTTGGTGGCACACCTGAAGTGGGAAGTTTGTCAAAGAAGCTGAGAAGTGCGAAACCTGAAAACCTATTCAAGATGAACTCTACTCATAAGTTAGTGTCGTTCTTGATGAACGTACCCCATGAAACAAGAGATAAGATTACTGTAGAGTTGAAGAATGGTACTAGTGTTAAGGGGATGATATTGAATTGTTCACCAACCATGAATTTATCATTGGAAAATGTATCGTTGGTTGTTCCCAATCAAGATCCTGAGATGTTACAGTTTATGAATATAAGAGGGAATCAAATAAGACAAATCATTCTACCCGATGACTTGAATATAGACCATGTGTTAGAGATGTCTATGGCCCACCGTGGAGGTAAAAACACTGATGGAAAAGATAATAAAGATAATATACGTGGTGGAAGAGGTAGAGGAGGAATTGCTCGTGGTGGACGAGGTGGTAGAATAACAAGAGGTAGAGGTAGAGGTATGCCTTCTAGGGGAAGAGGTGGTTCAAGGGGAGGATTTTCTTCAAGAGGATCTAGAGGTATTACCGGCTCCAATTCCCAACCTTTAGCCAAAAGACGAATCTAGAACAAACTCAAATAGAATACTGTCATCTAAGTATGTGTAATATAAGAACTTCTTTTTTAATTCCTTTATTATTCTATTTACACTATTTATAAATTCATTACCACCAAGTTCTTTGACTGGCTCTTCTCTTCTTGATAATCTTCTTATATTCTGGTCTTTGTTTGACGATAATGTCATCCATTTCCTTGATAGCTTTGGTTCTAGCTTCAACTCTGTCTTCCATAGTTCTTTCCCATTTGTGTTTCTTGAATCTTAACATACCTCTCATGAAATTCTTGTTGTCATACTTGTCTTGATAGAATTTCTTTGGTAATGGAGGAATCAAATCGGAGATCCCGAACTTATAACTTAATTTGAATAAATCTGATGATCTTCTTAATGAATATTTAGGTTCTTGCCAACGTCCAGTTACTGGGTTTTTGTTAGGTAAAAATGGGTTCATTGATGGGTCATCGATGGTAGATGGTTTTTCACTATAGGCCTTGAAAGGTCTTGGTGGATACTTCAAGAAAAACCTATGAAGTTTTGCTGGAAGCTTAGCAAATGCTTCCTTAGTGGTAAGTGACATTATTGAAAAATTTTTCTGCGAAAGGAATTTTTGGTGATAATATGAGAGGTGGGTGTTTGGTTGCCTATGAATGTAGGGTAACCTCAATATGGAACATGGGTATTGGTAAGGGCTCTATGATGCTTCTAGAGAAATTTAGGCTTTTTTCGGTGGAAATTGAAGCTGTGAAGGTGTTTTATGTGCTTGAGAAATAGGTTTTTGGCGTTTCTGCTAACTCTATATTGTTCAAACTTACTGGAACTCTCAATTGGAGTCGCTGTGATGTTATGATTTGTTCCATAATTACCCAGAATTCCATAGAAACCCAGATCATACTGATCTCTCTAACCACACTAAGATCAAGTCCTATATCTCCCTCTCCCTCCAAAACCTTCCTTACGGTCCACCAACCATGACGCCCTTCCTGTCATCACCCTGTCCTCGTCCTCCTCTTATCTCGACCCTTAAACCCCTTCTTCTCCAGAGATCGAAGGGGCCACCTCCCATTACCTTTTTGGGTCGCAGCCGCGATGACTCAAACCATGAAGTCCTATACTATAGTCGTTAAACTTGGTACATCCTCCTTGGTGGATGAAACCACTAGGGAGCCTAGGTTGGCCAACATGTCATTGTTAGTGGAGACAATGGTCAAATTACGTCGTCAGGGTCATAAAATCATTATCGTTTCTTCAGGAGCTATTGCTGTTGGAATGAGAGCTATGGGGTTCAAAAAAAGACCAGACAAATTATCACAAGTCCAAGCCTTAGCCTCTATTGGACAAGGAATCTTGATTGGGTTGTTCGACAACTTGTTCAGACAATTATCTCAACCAATTTCCCAGATCTTAATCACCCGTAATGATATCGTTGATTTCACCCAATATAGAAATGCTGTCAACACCATTAACGAAGTCTTGGAGATGGGTGTGATTCCAATTGTTAATGAAAATGATACCTTGTCGGTTGCTGAAATCAAATTCGGTGATAATGATACTTTATCAGCTATAACAGCAGGAATGATGCATGCTGATTATTTATTCTTAATGACCGATGTTGAATGTTTATATACCTCCAACCCAAGAACGGATCCCAACGCCAAACCCATTGTCTTGGTCGATAAAATTGATGAATTAAGTGTGTCAACTGAAACTGGTGGGTCTTCCGTAGGAACTGGGGGTATGACTACCAAATTAATTGCAGCTGAGTTAGCTAATAGTGTAGGTGTAACTACCATCATATCATTGTCTTCCCAACCACAATACATTCTTGATATTGTTTCTGATATTCAAGAATCAGAGTCTTTACCAGTAGAGGAACTGAGAAAGAGATTAGAGACTAAGATCGCCAATAATACTATCCCTCGTCACACTCGATTCTTGGGATTACCAAGGAAAGCTATGATCAAGTCCGATAAGAAGTTCTGGCTTTTACATGGACTTAAAACCAAAGGGGAGATCATTGTTGACAAAGGATGTTATAATGCTTTAACTAGAAAGAATAGAGCCGGATTGTTACCTGCGGGAATAGTTGATGTTAAAGGAACTTTCCATGAAAGTGAATGTGTTGCCATCAAATATTTAGAAAGTGAAGATGAAGAACCTATTTTGGTGGGACAATGCAGAGTTAATTATAGTTCCGTAGAAATCTCCATGTTGAAAGGATGTAAAAGTAGCGACATTGAAGATATTTTGGGTTATGCTGATTCTGAGTACATTGCCCATAGAGATAACATTGCATTCCCACCTTTAGTTCCCCATTAGACTCAGATAGGTGCCATATCTGGACCTAGTTTAAATGTATAGAGTTTTTATCACCCTCCTACCATTTCGCAGTAAATTTCCTCGCCAGTCCTACCGCTATCCACTGCCACCTACCGCACCATATCTCTGTTGCCGCATCAATCGCACTTCATGGAACTATCACTCAAATCAAGGTACAAGACCCGACAGTTGATTTATGATGAAGAAGTCGAGGATCGGTTCAATTGCATCAACTGCTTTGAGTCCAATGTTTATATTGGTACTGAGCTGGGTCAATTACTTCATTACCACAGATTTGACGACTCACCACAATATATCTTGATATCTCAACAAAAGATACGAAGTTCCTGTGTATCTAAGATATTAGTTCTTCCCATAGCCAGGAGAGTAGTAGTACTATGTGGTGGGTCTATGAATTTGTTCTCCCTACCGGAATTGTCCCCTATTCAATCAGGTAAGTTGAAAGATATCGAAAATATCCTGAAACTCAACGATAAAGATATAATGATTTTAATGAAAAACAAGATGAAAGTCATACGACTTCAAGAAGATATTCGACTGTTGGGGGATATAGAAGTTTCTGCCAAGATGGCAGTAAGTATGGGGAAATCAGCAGTTATAGCCAATGACAAAGAATATCAATTGATTAATCTACAGAATAGTTCCAAGACTCCATTATTTCAATACCGTCAAGATGAAGATGTACCTCCTAACATCGTAGCATTTGATGCTAACGATAGTGGCCAAAAAGAGGTTTTGTTGACTATAAACTCCGATGGAAACACTTCTATGGGGATGTTTATCAATTCTAACGGAGATCCTACAAGAGGAACATTTACCTGGATTGATAAAGGATATCCTAATAACGGCATAGCCATTGAATGGCCCTATGTGTTTGCCATATTTAATGGTCAATTAGTGGTATCTTCGTTGATATCGTTGGACATAATGGAGACAATTAATGTTGAAGGGAAAATGGTTTTCTTAGATATTCCTGCTTCGGTTCAAGACGATAATTATTTGACCAACGGCATTTGCAAACAGGCCTTGTCAAGTAAGATGGTGATACTTCGTGATAAGCAGGTAGACTTACTCTTCCTTAATGAAGTGGATGATTTCTTATCCGAACTCACGAAGTATATTAATGGAGAGGTTGATAAAATAAAGTTGATAGATAGTGATGATGAATTGTATAAACAATTGAGGTTTCTTTATCTCATACACAAGAAAGAATATGATTCCATTGAGATTGACGATACTTTGTTATCAATACTATCCTACTTGAACGGAGGTGAAGGATCGTTCTTCCAAGGTACTCAAAAAATTGCTGATTTGGTTAAGCCAAAACTTGATGATGATTTCAATCAATTCTTCATTGAGCAAATCAGGAAACAATACCTTCAAACACACAAATTGAGCTTACAAAAGCAAGCTTATTCTAATCTCAAGAATGATGAAGATTTCATTGATCTTGTGACAAAAGATAAAGATTCTTGGAGAATCAAAACCCCAAATTTGGTCAATATTATTAAAAATTTAGAATCCCAACAGTTTTATAGAGCCATGTTGCATGCTTATACGTTACTACAAGATGATGAGAATATTTGTGTCATGGCAGTGGCCTTCTTGTCAGGAAAATACCCAGGTGATGATACTGATTATGTGGAAATGATCTTGAAATCCCTTGATAAGGTGAAGGATGATAAAATTTATCGAGATTCACTTCTTGAGATATTACGTGTAGATTCTTCAAAGGGTATTGCTTATATGAAGAAGAACGTTAAAGGAAAACACACAGCAACTCATTCTGATATCATGAAAGAGATGATAAATTTATCCAAAAATGAAGATTTTGCATCCTTGAAATTGGAAATCTTGGAAAATACTTACAAAGATGGTAAAGGTGGTTTAGAAGAGATCCTTGATCATTTAATAGAAATGTTGAAATATCCTAATGAAGTTCAATCCAATAATTTCATGATTCTTTTTGAAACTTTCAAGATCGAGAATACTTTCGATAGTCACAAGAATATCACAAGTTTTGTCAATTACCTACAGATGATTAAAGATGCCACTGAATGTAAGGAGTTTATCGAAATCTATTTGAAAGCATATGAACTCATCAACTATCTCAATAGTGACAACTATAAACAAATCATTGACATGTACCCCTACTTTAAAGTTTTCGATAAAGAAATAGAAGATATCATTAAAATAGATTTCTTCACAGCTGAATTCTTGGCTGTCCATGGTAAACCACCATATCCAGATGAGAAATATTTTGTTGAAGAACAATTAACTGATGTTCTGACAGCAAAAAATGATCTTCTTAAGGTTTTCGTACATTACAAAGACACCCAAGATACTTTAGCGATGAAACACTTCATCAAAATGTATGAAAATTATTTCACTGCCAACGAAATTATCGATTTGTTACCTTCAGAAATGTCATTATCGATTGTACAAGATTATTTCATCAACTTGTTCATAAATATAGACTCGATACAGAGAAAGTTGATAATTAGAAAGATATTTAATAGACAAGAAGCTACTGTAAGTAAGAATTTATATAAAGATTTCACATCGGAATCAAATAAATAACAACATCAAGTAATCTACCAACATTCCAGCCCAAAAATATAAACCAGTCTTGACATTATCAGTAAAGAAGAACCAACAACTTGCAGGATTATCAAGATCTGTTTGTTTGATTCTATTGAATAATCTGTAGAATCCATAAGCTCCGAATGAATAGAAACCTAATCCCATATTAGCCATGAATCCTGCAGTGAAGAAAGATAAGGCTTGCACTACAAATATACTATTTACAATTTTTTTGGTGTTGTCTTTCCAAACTAAAGCAGTAGATTTGACACCGGCTGTTTTATCAAATTCTTTATCTTGATGGGCATAAATTGAATCATAAATCATCGACCAGCAAAAATTTGAAAAGAATAAAGGTCCAGCAATAGATAAATCTAATGGAGCTCCTACAGCAGGAAATCCAAGTAAGCATCCCCAACTAAAACATATAGATATCATTACTTGAGGATAATATGTGAATCTTTTGAATAATGGATATAAGGAAATGAAAGGTAATGACAAAGCACCCAAATAAAAACATTCAAAAGGTAATGATAATAAAACTCCTAAACCAATAAACATTTGACTAGCTAAAAAGGTAAAGGCTTGATTTCTAGAAACTCTTCCACTAGCTATGGGTCTTTCGACAGTTCTAAGAACCTTGTTGTCGAGATCCTTATCTAACATATCATTTATGATACATCCCGCTCCTCTCATAACAAGAGCACCCACAGAAAACAATGATGTTGCGTAAAGAAATGTTGTCAATGGAGCTGCAATTGAATAAGATGCCATTGTGATTGCCCAGAAAGAAGGAACAAGTAATAATGAAGTTCCAACAGGTTTTTCTAACCTTAACAATTCGGCATATGGTATCCATTTTTCAGGTAAATGCCTCAACCATCCAAGATTAGCAAGTCTAGCTAATCTGGCACTTTCTCTTTGTTCTGGTGTGAAGGGATCCTTCAATTGTTTAACTACAGTAGTATTGAATCTCACATGTCTCAAAGGGTTCGCCAATGATCTAATGTTCCTTAAAGGAGAAACCAATCGTATGCCAATCATTTCGCAAACTTTTCTCACACACTTCAAAGTTTGTTAAGTAAATCTCCTCTAATCGTTCATTCTTAGGTCATCATCGAAGGAATCGAACTCTTCGTCAACCTCTCGGTCTCTCATTGATTTATGACCATCTATCAACATAAGAAGACTATTTATGTCCTTGGTCACAGTGTTGAAATCCTTTCTAAACTCGAATACCTGTCTACACATTGGACATAACCCCTTGGAAGTGTCTTGTTCTAGCCATTGTAGTATACAATGTAAATGGAAGTTGTGTTGGCATCCTGCTCCTAGAATTAAAGGACATTCATTCCCAGGGTATTTACAATTAGGACATGTACCATCAAAGGCAACTCTACAAATCCCACACAATTCGTCAGTGATGGAATCATCTTTTAGGTCCCAATGCCACGATGCCACTGCTTGCCAGTCAACAATCTCAACCTTCATGATTGGTTAAAGTCGATGGGTGAGTTAGAAATTGTTAGATCTCACAGAAATATATATTACAAAAGCGCGTTTAACTCTTTTGGTATACCAAACCTTTGAAAATGTCAAAAGAGTTTCCATCTGGTTGAAGTTCAAGTGTTTCACCAGTGGTGGTATCTCTGACAACCAATAATCCATGATCAGTGGTGATACCTTCGATTTTACATTGTCTGTTAGTACCATGAGCAGTGACAGTGACGATTTGATGTGAATGGAACCATCTCTTATAATATAACAGTAAGAATGGTGAAATTCCTGAATGTTCGAACACACTATAAAACTGGTTGACTGTATACATGATTTTTGCTAATAAGATCTCGTGTTCAAATGGTGGTAATGGAGGGAGGTTCTTTGATTGTCTGATTTGATTTAACTTATCTAAAATCAAATTCAATGATGTGGTTGGAGCTTCATTCGAAACATTGATACCGACACCCCATACTATATTGAATTGATTGTCAAGATACTGGGAATTGACCAAAGCCCCTGAAATCTTCGAAAATTTCTCTTCAGTTCCATCCACAGTAGTTGGGTTCTCATTATCCAACAGGGTGAAATATTCCGGTTTTAAGGCATATATATCATTGGGCCATTTCAATTTCACTGGTAAATCTTCATATCCTATACCATTATTATCCAAAGATCCATAACTGAATATAGATTCAATTACTGCCAATCCTAAAACATATTGTAAGGTGACGATGGATTTGGCTTTGGCAGCTGGTATTCTGAACAACACAGATTGAGCCATCACTCCCTTGGGATTGATCCATACATTTCCCCCTCTTCCCCTTCCTGAAACTTGGGTTGTGGCCGTCATTACCATTCCATGAGGTAAATGTTTTAACCATCGAACGTTTTTGTCGAGAAGTGTGTTGGTAGATGTCACTACTTCTCCATACCCTATAACTCTCCCAAATTCTCCCTCCACGTTGTTGCCCTTGTACAACTGGTCTAATGCACCATAGTATTTGTGAAGATTGAAATATGGAGTTTCTTTTCCATCAGGTAATCCTGCGGTGTGGATCTTAAGATGAGTTCCTTCTGAAGTGTTCACAACTTCGTCCTCACCATGAAGATAGAACGTATCATTAACATCTTCGAATGAGTTGTCCACAAAATCCAAGTTCTGCTTTAAGGTGTTGGTCAACGAGATAATTTTCTCTGGGTTTAAGGCTGAAGATAAATGAATAGGTGTTAATTGAGGTACTTGGAAATCATTATTAACCTGTAATCCTAATTTCTCCAATAGTGATTTCATGAACAACTTTCTATCATTATCAAATTCTGCCAAATCATTCAAAATCCCATCGTTGGATGCACCGAACTCCGGATGTGTTCCTGTCAAAATAGCTGCTCCTTTACCAACTTTACAATAAACAACTGCGGCTTCAAGTTCTTCTTTCATCTGAGAATCTATTTCAACAGGTTCGGTATATTTAGCTAAAACTTCGACGTCTCTGTAACTCAGAGCATTTACAAACACTCCACCTCCATTGTAGTAATTGTAAACTGCAGATGGACCTGGTAAGTTTGAAACCAATCTTGTTATTTTAGCACCATCATGGGAATTATAAACAAAACCTTTATAAGCAGTACCCTTACAAACCCCAGGAAAAAAGCCAAGTTCTCTGGGTCCACTGACTTCCATACTAGTACCTGCCTCAAACTCAATTCTGTTACTGGCATAGTAACCTCCAGCACAAAATCCTAAATATTTACCACCTTTTCTGACAAAATCTGTAATAACTCTATTCCCATGTCCATTAAATGTATTTACATAGGGTAAATCAGCACCTCCAGGTATGACTAAAGCACGAGTTTTAAATTGCCATGGATCATTCAATAATGCTTTCTCTCCAACAGTAACCACTGCATAATATGGCGATAAATGAAATCTAAGTGATTCAATACAGTGCTTAACACTCTCGGTTGTGGTACCGGGACCGGCGTACACTAACACATTCATCTTGAATCTCAATTTTTCAGTGAGAATCAATTCTGCTGCAACTGATTAAATCCTATAAATAGACATGGAAGAAATAGGTGAATCTACTACATTGGATCCCAAGCCAGGATATGTAATCAAGACTAGGCTACTCAAATCATCAAACGTTCAAATAGGGACTAAAATTTTCATTAATGTTTGTCATGATCCTCAAGTTCCTAAACCTCCACAAGATTTTGATGCCAATGTGGTATTTCCCTTGATTGTAGATAACCAATGGGAAATTCCAATTATAGTGTCAAGAGAAAAAGAAGTCAAAGATAAGTCTGGTCAAACCTCTTTATGTTACGATTGTTGTATCAATGATAACTGTTTTAGATGGTGTACTATCAATAGCGATTTGAAACTGATCTTGAACGAATGGTGTTTAGAAGCTGTGGAATTATTATACAACGTAGTGTTGGAGAGACAATATCTGATTCCTAAGATGTTAAGTAAAGGAGAATTGAGTAGAACCGAAATCAAACAGAAAGACTTGACTGATGATGGATTAATCAAGAAACTTGATGATTTGAAAAAAAATGAAACTTTAGGACTTCTAGAGGAGTTGCATAATGATGATATGGATGTGGATATTCAACTCAATCCCCAACCTTCGAAAAAATTGAAGAAACCATTGATAGAGGAGCTTCCTTCGGAACCAATACAACCAAAAAAAACTACCAGTAAACCCATCTCCCAAACAAAGAAAACCGGAAAGAAGGTAGAGTATGATGTCAGGATGAAAATGAATCAAGGAAGACTCATAGTCATCTTCAAATCTAATCTTCCTTGTGAAAACATAGGGTTATACCATGATAACGATAACATCCTCATCTCCAGTACTAGTAACGAATTCTCACTTCAGGAAGTCAAAATTCCCGTTCAAATCAAAGAGTTAAGATCTTTCTATACGGGAGGTGTTTTATACATCTTTTGTTAGACAATAACAATCAACTAAGATGACTCAAGCACTTCAAGATAAACTAAAAGCGGAATTTCTTGGGATGTTATCGCGCATTGAGTAACCCAAAACGGAATTTCACCATCCTTTATAACGGTTTAATTTTTCATTTCAACTTCAGATTATAATGAGTGAAGAACAATTATTAACAGGAGGTTTCGATAATTATGAAGCTATTGAAGTACAGCCACCTAAGAAATCCACTTTAGAGTCTGAGTTAAAGTTCACTGCCAAATCTTCAGGTCCTTTGATTATTAGTTTTTTTTTACAATACTTATTGTCAGTAACAACCATTTTTTCAGCAGGTAAATTAGGAGCTAAAGAATTGGCTGCTGCATCCTTAGCTGTATGTACATTTAACATTACGGGTCTTGCAGTGTATCAAGGGATGTCCACATCTTTAGATTCCTTCTGTTCCCAAGCTTTTGGTTCAGGAGATTTCTTCAATGTTGGTGTATATTTCCAAAGATGTTCTTTGATGATCTTTGTGGTTACTATCTTTCCTTTGAGTTTTATATGGTGGTTTGCTGCTGATATTTTAACTCCTATGATTGGTGATAGAGAATTAGCTGAATTAACTCAATTATATTTGAGAGTTATTACTTTGGGAACCCCAGGTTTGTTCCTTTTCGAAACCGGAAAGAGATTTTTACAAGCCCAACATATCTTCAATGCTGCCACTTACATTTTGTTGATTGTAGCACCAATTAATATCATCTTGAATTACATTTTAGTATGGCACCCAGATTACGGTTTGGGTTTTATCGGTGCTCCAATTGCCTGTACCATTGTATATTGGTTGATGACTATCTTATTGGTCTTATATATCATATTCATTGATGGTAAGAAATGTTGGAATGGTTTTGATTTCCAAAAAGCATCCATCAATTGGATTCCTATGTTGAAATTAGCTTTACCTGGAGTGATCATGGTAGAAGCTGAATATCTTGCATTTGAAGTCTTAACCATTTTGGCTGCTTCTTTCGGTACAGATGCTTTAGCTGCTCAATCCATCGCTTCTAATGTTGGCTCTTTAGCTTTCCAATTAGCTTTTGCTGTAGCTGTTGCCATAACTACTAGAATTGGTCACTTTGTTGGTCTGAAAGATGTCACTGGAGCTCGTAATTTGTTGAAAGTGTTCCTTATCTTATCTTCGCTCCTTTCAGTTGTCAATTTCTCGTTATTATTCTTTGGTCGATCAATGTTAGCACGTTTATTTACTGACGAGAAGGGAGTTTTGGAAATTTCTAAACAATTGATAACTCTAGCAGCCATCAATCAAATTTTTGATTCGTTCAATGTTCTTGGTGCTGGTGTTTTAAGAGGTCAAGGTAAGCAAAGAATTGGGTCAATTTTAAATATGATCTCATATTATATTATTGCTTTACCAATCGGTTACATCTTAGCTTTTCCTTATGGTCACGGGGTTGCTGGATTATGGTGTGGTCTTATTTGTGGTGTAGCTTTCTTGGCCGTCTCTGAATGTGTGGTTATTTATTTTAGTGACTGGGAAGCTATTTTTATAGAATCGTACAATCGTCATGATCATTAATGCATATAGACAATTTAGCGTTTCCCTTCTAACTTTATGAGTTGTCTGATCTCTCAGGTCCTCCAATGTCCGGTAAGCATGATATTGTTCTCATCCTGACCAACCTTCATCATCATTATAACTACTTGATCTCATCTCACCATCGCGACAAAATTCTGCGATGCCTCCAAGAAGAAAGTTCGATAAAAAGAATGCTACAACATTCAGTGTTGTTCACAGAGCCCATGACGATGAGTTATACTTCGATAATGACGCTTCTAGACATGTTTTAGTTCCCATTGGAAAAAAAGGATATACCAAGGATCAGTTGGAATCCACTTTGGGTGAAGAAGCTAAAAAGGTTAGAAATAATGAAGGGATGGCAGCACAATATGGGATCTATTATGATGATTCCAAATATGATTATATGCAACATTTGCGTCCCATGGGTGAAACTGGAGATGCTGTATTCATAGCTAAGAAGGAAGATAAAAAAGAGAAGAAAGCAGATTTGATGGAACTCTTGAAAGATCAATTACCTTCAGAGAAACAAAAAAAGATTACACAAGAAGATTTGGAAAACATACCCAAAGAATTGAAAGGTTTTAATCCAGATATGGATCCCAGATTGAGAGAAGCTATGGAAGCTTTAGAGGATGAAGCATATATTGAAGATCAAGAAGATGATCTTTTCAATGAATTATTACAAGGAGGTGAAGCAGGTGACGATGATTTCTACGACGAGGAATATGACGAATGGGATATGGATAACTACCAAGATGAATATGAACAATACGAAGGTGAAAATCATGACTATGAATCAGATTACGAAACTCAAGAAAACCCTTATAACGAAGGAGAAGCTCCAGAATTAGTCGATGACGTCGCCATTAACACTGCATGGGAGAAAGATTTTGATAAGTTCAAGAATAATTTCAAGAATGAAGACGATTCCGATAATTTCGATTCTGAAGATGATTTTGAAGAAGAAAGAGACGTTTTACCTGATTTACCAGCAGTTGCCAAAAAGTCCAAAACTAAGCAACGGAAGAAGAAGGGTGCTATGACTGATACCTCCTCTTTCTCCATGTCATCATCTGCTGTATATCGTACTGAAGGTTTAACGTTGTTGGACGATAGATTCGAACAATTGACTAAAAAATGGGAAGCTGAAGAAGAAGAAATACCTGAATATAAGGAATTCTCCATGGAAGATGAAAGGGGAGATTTTGAAGATTTATTGGATGATTTCTTGGATAATTATGAATTGGAAAAAGGTGGTAGAAAACTCATGAAGAAGAATGAAGAATTGAAAAAGATACAACAAGCTTCTGATAGTGCTTCAAACACAAAATTAGCTGCCAGACGTAAATTGAACGCAGATTTCAATAAATTATCATTAAATTGAAATACATAAATTGGGTTGGACCTTTAATACTCTTAATCTATCCCTCTACCATAGATTCTAAGTATTATCATGAGCTTCAACTGCTCTATGGAGCGCGGAAAATTTTTAACTCAAAACGATTTGGAGAAGGACATTTACCATTGGCATTTTGTCCATCAGTTTCATTCTATTAACACATTTAATATTTCAGGATTGGATCTTAGCTTCAGGAAGTTCAAGAGTAAATAAAATGACATCAGTATCGAAAGTTTATACCGATGTTTTATCAACTAAACCACAAAGTTTTTGGGATTATGAAAATTTGGTTTTGAAATGGAACTCCCAAGATAAATATGAAGTCATCAAGAAAGTCGGAAGAGGGAAGTACTCTGAAGTCTTTTTGGGTGTTGATTTGACTAGTGGAAGCAAGACCGTCATCAAAATCTTAAAACCTGTCAAACGTAAGAAGATCAAGAGAGAAATATCCATCTTGCAGAACTTGGTAGGAGGTCCTAATATCATTCAATTATTAGATATCGTTAGAGAGCCGGCACTGAAAACTCCAGCATTGGTTTTCGAACATGTGGATAATATTGATTTCAGAACCTTGTACCCTACCTTCACAGATTTAGATATCAGGTATTATATGTTTGAATTATTAAAAGCCTTGGACTATTGTCATTCTATGGGTATCATGCATAGAGATGTTAAGCCTCATAATGTTATGATAGATAATAACCAAAGAACTCTTCGATTAATCGATTGGGGTTTGGCTGAATATTATCACCCTAAAACTGAATATAATGTAAGAGTAGCATCAAGATACTTCAAAGGTCCTGAGTTATTGGTTGACTTCAGATTTTATGATTACTCCTTAGATTTATGGTCCTATGGTTGTATGTTCGCTTCTATGGTTTTCAAAAAAGAGCCATTCTTCCATGGTAAATCTAACACAGATCAATTGGTACAAATTGTTAGGGTTTTGGGATCAGACGATTTAAACAAGTACTTAAACAAGTATAAATTAACTTTATCAGAAGAATACGAAGATTTAGGATACTACAGTAGAAGACCTTGGAAAAGATTCATAAATTCAAGCAATCAACATTTGGTTTCAGAAGAATTCTTAGACTTACTCGATAAATTATTAAGATACGATCACCAAGAAAGATTAACAGCAAAAGAAGCAATGGATCATCCATACTTTGATCCAATTAGAAAGAACAACTAAAGAATAAATAATGATTAATATGACTATTCTACTTTTAGCTTTATCTCTCACATGGAACTTCCGTAATTTAAAACCACTTACGTTTCATTTGAATGATCTGATTTTCTGTCGACTGATTACCCTCCATATATACATATATTAAGATTCCAATCTTACCATTGAGTCATAGTCATCTACGGCACCATCCAAATCAGGATGTTGCAAATTTACACCCCTTATCAGTTTTTTTGCACCCGTTCGCACCTGGACGTTATCACCTTACACTTACCCATTAGTTATTCAGTTATGGCTCCCATAATAACAAAGTCTAAAGTGTACACGGAGGTGTTATCTCAAATGCCCAAAAATTACTATGACTATAGTAATTATGAGATCGAATGGAATGATCCCGATAATTATGAAATCGTAGAAAAAATCGGTAGAGGGAGATATTCCGAAGTCTTCACTGGAGTATCCATAGATAACGGTTCGACTGTTGTTATTAAGGTTTTGAAACCTGTCAAACGCAAGAAGATCAAAAGAGAAATATCCATTTTACAACATGTTGCTGGAGGTCCAGCCACCATCGAATTACTTAACGTCGTAAGAGATCCCCAAATTAGGATCCCAGCTTTGATATTTGAACATATTAACAATATTGATTCCAAGACATTGTATCCAACCTTGGGTGACCATGAAATAAGGTATTATATGTACCAATTACTACAATCATTGGATTTTTGCCACTCTAAAGGTATTATGCACAGAGATGTTAAACCTTTGAATGTGATGATCGATAACGAAAAGAAGGTATTGAAATTGATTGATTGGGGTTTGGCAGAATACTATCACCCTGGAGAGGAATATAATGTAAGAGTGGCCACGAGATATTTCAAAGGTCCTGAATTATTGGTAGATTATAGATATTATGATTATTCCTTAGATTTGTGGTCATATGGATGTATGCTTGCTGCTATGGTGTTTAGAAAAGAGCCCTTCTTTCAAGGAAAATCAAATATCGATCAATTAGTTCAAATTGTTCGTGTTTTGGGATCGGAAGACTTCCATAAATATTTGAAAAAATACCAAATAAAATTGTCATCTGATTTCGATGATTTGGGTTTGTACTCCAGGAAACCTTGGAAAAAATTCATCAATTCCAATAACAAACACTTGGTATCCTTGGAATTCTTGGATTTCATAGACAAATTGTTAAAATACGATCACCAAGAGAGATTAACAGCTAAAGAAGCCATGGACCATCCATATTTCGATCCAATTAGATCTGGTTTGTAGAATATGTAACATAATTTTGATCATTTAGTAATAGTTTTTTTTCATGATTTATTTTCTGTATTTTCTCTAATTTTTTTGGAAGTTGTTGTAACTCCATGAAATGTGAATTCTACAAAATAAGAAAGAAAATCAAAAAATCTATTCAAGCTTCTAAAAATCACAGAAAAATCATAGAAAGCATAAAATTGCTATAATAATAATCTTCACTCCTTACATTCATAGTATTGTCCAATTTCGGAAAATTCTAGATAATTTCATTTTCAGAGTGGAAAATGGTATATTTTTTGCAGCTCGCATTTTCTAGAACATTGATTCAAAGTATTTAAAGTAATTCAAAAAACTCAATCATTAAAAATGTCTGATCGTTCCAAAGTTTACTTCGATATCACTGCTGGTGGAGTTCCACAAGGAAAAGTTGTATTTGAATTGTACAATGACATAGTTCCAAAAACTGCTGAAAATTTCAGAGCTTTATGTACTGGAGAAAAAGGTGAAGGTAAAGCTGGTAAACCTTTACATTATAAGGGTTCAATCTTCCACAGAGTTATTAAAGATTTTATGTGTCAAGGTGGTGACTTCACTCATGGCTCAGGAATAGGTGGAGAATCAATTTACGGAGAAAAATTCGAAGATGAAAACTTTAAAGAAGTTCATGATCAGCCATTCTTATTGTCCATGGCTAATGCTGGTCCTAACACCAACGGATCTCAATTTTTCATTACCACTGTTCCAACTCCTCATTTAGACGGTAAACATGTGGTGTTTGGTAAGGTTATTCAAGGTAAAGGTATCGTCAGAAAACTTGAAAAGTGTGAAAAAGGTGACCAAGACAAACCTAAAGAAGATTGGATCATTGCTGACTGTGGTGAATTACCATCTGACTATGTTCCAGTTACTTCAAATGATGGTACTGGTGACATTTATGAAGAAACTATGGGTGATTCCGACAATATCGATGTCAAAAATCCAAAGTCAGTATTCGAAGCTATTGAAAAATTGAAATCCATTGGTACTGAACAATTGAAAGCTGGAAATTTGGAAAAATCTTTAGAAAAATACAGCAAAGCTGCTGATTTCTGTGAAGAATATTTCCCTGATGATCTCTCAGAAGAAGACCTCAAAACTTTACATACCTTGAAACAATCTATTTTCTTGAATGCTTCATTGGTAGCTTTAAAATTAAAACAAGGTAAGCTTGTTGTTTCATTTGCTGATAAAGCTTTAGAGGAAATAGAATCAGGTGATGATAAATCTCAAGCCAAAGCATTATATAGGAAAGGTATGGGATTATTATTATTAAAAGACGAAGAAACAGCTCAATCATGTTTGGAAAATGCTTTAACTAAATCTCCTGGAGATGCTGGAATCTTACAGGGATTAAGTCAAGCTAAAACTCAAATCAAGGCCCGTCGTGACAAACAAAAAAAGGCTATGTCTAAATTCTTCTCATAGTCAGTGTAGATACGTAAAAAAATGCACCACATATGATTATGAAGCTCTAAAGCCCCGAAAAGCTCTCTTTTGTCCTATATTACATTAACTTTAGGCAATGCTGGCTAGCCCACTATTCGCGGGGAGAACTGGTGGTAATTCACATCACGGTACATCTCATACCGCGAACATAACATAACGTCGCCCTTGACCAAAAATCTCACTGTTGGAAGAAACTATATTGATTCTTTAGTGTTTACATTCAATACTTTGAAAATTCAATATATCAAAAGGCACTCATTAACTTGATTGGCTCGTCGACTAGTTTCATTAGCATTACACAAATTTAATTAATTTTAATTCCAAAGATTTCCTTCAGTTAATTTGTATTTTAGTAATTGAAAAATTTGAAAAAAAATAAAACTTGTAAAAAAAAGGTAAAGAACTTGTAAAGTAAAGAAATAGATTTAATATCACATCACAACCAGATTAAATAGATAATGAGTAGAGATTTCCCCCATTCAAGTGCTCCTCTTCGAGCTGTTAAAGAGGTGCAGTTTGGATTATTTTCACCTGAAGAAGTGAGAGCAATTTCCGTGGCTAAGATAGAATATCCTGAAACCATTGATCAATCTACTAAGAAACCAAGAGAAGGTGGTTTAAACGATCCAAGATTAGGTTCTATTGATAGAAACTTCAAATGTCAAACTTGTGGTGAAGATATGGCTGAATGTCCAGGACATTTTGGTCATATCGAATTAGCTAAACCTGTATTTCATATTGGGTTTATTGCTAAGATCAAAAAAGTTTGTGAAAGTGTTTGTATGCATTGTGGGAAATTATTATTAGATGAATCAAATCCTTTAATGGCACAAGCTATTAAAATAAGAGATCCTAAAAGAAGATTTAATGCCGTTTGGAGTGTCTGTAAAACTAAAATGATTTGTGAAGCCGACCCTGAAGACGTTGAAAATGGTAGAGGAGGTTGTGGTCATACACAACCAACTGTCCGTAGAGATGGTTTAAAATTATGGGGTACTTGGAAACAAAATAAAATGGAAGAAGAACAACCTGAAAGAAGGTTATTAATGCCTTCAGAAATTTTGAATGTTTTCCGTCACATAAACGCACAAGATTGTTATAGATTAGGTTTTAGTGAAGATTATGCAAGACCAGAATGGATGTTAATCACCGTTTTACCTGTTCCTCCACCACCAGTTAGACCATCTATTGCCTTTAATGATACTGCCAGAGGTGAAGATGATTTAACTTTCAAATTGGCTGATGTTCTCAAAGCTAATATTAATGTTCAAAGGTTAGAGATGGATGGATCTCCTCAACACGTTATAAGTGAATTTGAAGCCTTATTACAATTTCACGTTGCAACTTATATGGATAATGATATCGCTGGTCAACCTCAAGCTTTACAAAAAACTGGTAGACCAATCAAATCTATCAGAGCTAGATTGAAGGGTAAAGAAGGTAGATTAAGAGGAAATTTAATGGGTAAAAGAGTTGATTTTTCAGCTCGTACAGTTATTTCTGGTGATCCAAATTTGGATTTAGATCAAGTTGGGGTTCCAATTTCCATTGCTAGAACTTTATCATATCCTGAAGTTGTCACACCTTTCAACATTCAAAGATTAACTGAGTATGTTAGAAATGGTCCTAATGAACATCCAGGGGCAAAATATGTTATTAGAGATAATGGTGATAGAATTGATTTGAGATATAATAAAAGAGCAGGAGACATCGCTTTGCAATATGGTTGGAAAGTTGAACGTCATTTAATGGATAATGATCCAGTTTTATTTAATCGTCAACCTTCCTTACATAAAATGTCTATGATGGCCCATAAAGTTAAAGTTATGCCTTATTCAACTTTCAGAATGAATTTATCTGTTACTTCTCCATATAATGCCGATTTCGATGGTGATGAAATGAATTTACATGTTCCACAATCACCCGAAACTAGAGCTGAATTGTCACAAATTTGTTTAGTTCCTTTACAAATTGTTTCTCCTCAATCTAATAAACCAGTTATGGGTATTATTCAAGATACATTGTGTGGTGTCCGTAAAATGACTTTACGTGATGTTTTCATTGAATATGATCAAGTTATGAATATGGTTTATTGGATCCCTGATTGGGATGGAGTTATCCCACCACCAGCTATTATCAAACCAAAACCTTTATGGAGTGGTAAACAATTGTTATCAATGACTATTCCAAAAGGTATTCATTTACAAAGATTAGATAGTAATTTAACTTGTCCAAAAGATAATGGTATGTTAATTGTTGATGGTGAAGTCATGTTTGGTATAGTCGATAAAAAGACTGTCGGTGCCACCGGTGGTGGTTTAATCCATACTGTCATGAGAGAAAAAGGTCCAACGGTTTGTGCCAAATTATTCAGTGCTATTCAAAAAGTGGTAAATTACTGGTTATTACATAACGGGTTTTCCATTGGTATTGGGGATACCATTGGTGATACTGAAACCATGAAACATGTTACCACCACTATTGAAGAAGCCAAAGTCAAAGTCCAAGAAATTATTATAAGTGCTCAACAAAATAAATTGGAACCTGAACCTGGTATGACTTTGAGAGAATCATTTGAACATAATGTCTCAAGAGTTTTAAATCAAGCCAGAGATACTGCTGGTAGATCAGCAGAAATGAATTTAAAAGATTCAAATAATGTCAAACAGATGGTTACTTCAGGTTCTAAGGGGTCATTTATTAATATTTCTCAAATGTCCGCTTGTGTCGGTCAACAAATTGTCGAAGGTAAACGTATTCCATTCGGTTTCAGTGATCGTACTTTACCACATTTCACTAAAGATGATTATTCACCTGAATCTAAAGGTTTCGTTGAAAATTCTTATTTGAGAGGTTTAACTCCTCAAGAATTTTTCTTCCATGCTATGGCTGGTAGAGAAGGGTTAATCGATACTGCTGTTAAGACTGCCGAAACCGGTTATATTCAACGTCGTTTAGTTAAAGCTTTAGAAGATGTTATGGTTCATTACGATGGTACTACACGTAATTCTTTGGGAGATATCGTTCAATTTGTTTATGGTGAAGATGGTATTGATGGTACTCAAGTTGAAAGTCAATCAATTGACACCATCCCAGGTTCAGATTTCAATTTCGACAAACGTTACAAGATTGATTTATTAACTGATGATTTATTGATTGAATCCAACCAAGAAATTAAGGGTAATATCGAATTACAAAAACTTCTTGATGAAGAATTTGCTCAATTAACCAAAGACCGTAACTATTTAAGAGATATTTGTTTCATTAATGGTGATTCTTCATGGCCTTTACCAGTCAATTTACGTCGTATCATTCAAAATGCTCAACAAATTTTCCATAGTGGTCGTCAAAAAGTATCAGATTTGAAAATTGAAGATATTGTTGAAGGTGTCAGAGATTTATGTTCTAAAGTCACAGTTATTAGAGGTGAAGGTAAATTGGTTGAAGAAGCCCAAGAAAATGCTACCTTATTATTCCAATGTTTAGTAAGATCAAGATTAGCCTCTAAGAGAGTTATTGAAGAATTCAAATTGAATAAAATGTCTTTTGAATGGGTTGTAGGTGAAATTGATACTCAATTCCAAAAATCTATTGTTCATCCAGGTGAAATGGTTGGGGTTATTGCTGCCCAATCCATTGGAGAACCAGCTACTCAAATGACTTTGAATACTTTCCATTATGCGGGTGTTTCTTCAAAGAATGTTACTTTAGGGGTTCCTCGTTTGAAAGAAATTTTGAATGTAGCTAAAAACATTAAAACTCCTGCTTTAACTGTTTATTTGGATAAAGAACTTGCTTCTGATATTGAAAAGGCTAAAGTTGTTCAATCAGCTATTGAACATACTACTTTAAAGAATGTTACTTCAGCTACTGAAATTTACTATGATCCTGATCCAAGAACTACTACCATTGAAGAAGATTTTGATACCGTGGAAGCTTATTTTGCTATTCCTGATGAAAAAGTTGAAGAATCTATTGAAAAACAATCTCCTTGGTTATTACGTTTAGAATTAGATAGAGCTAAAATGTTGGATAAACAGTTAACTATGTCTCAAGTTGCAGAAAAAATTTCCCAAAACTTTGGTGAAGATTTATTCGTTATTTGGTCCGATGATACAGCTGATAAGTTGATTATTAGATGTAGAGTTGTTCGTGATCCAAAAACTTTAGATGAAGATGATGCCGAAGAAGATCAAATCTTGAAGAGAATTGAAGCTCATATGTTAGAATCAATTTCTTTAAGAGGTATTCCAGGTATTACCAGAGTGTTTATGATGCAACATAAATTAAATAGACCTGATGAAACCGGTGAATATAGACAAGATCAAGAATGGGTTTTGGAAACTGACGGTGTTAATTTATCAGAAGTTATGACCATTCCAGGGGTTGATGCTGCCCGTACCTATTCAAATAATTTCATTGAAATTTTATCTGTTTTAGGTATTGAAGCTACTAGATCAGCTTTATACAAGGAGATCTTGAATGTTATTGCTTTCGATGGTTCTTATGTTAATTATAGACATATGGCATTATTAGTGGATGTTATGACATCTAGAGGTCATTTAATGGCTATTACTCGTCATGGTATTAACCGTGCCGATACTGGTGCTTTAATGAGATGTTCTTTCGAAGAAACTGTTGAAATTTTATTAGAAGCTGGTTCAGCTGCTGAATTAGATGATTGTAGAGGTATTTCTGAAAATGTTATGTTAGGTCAAATGGCACCATTAGGTACCGGAGCTTTTGATGTTATGGTAGATGATAAAATGTTACAAGGATCACAACCTCAAGAATTTAATGATGGTGGTGCTACTCCTTATAGAGACAATGATGTTGAAGATGATGGCGTTCAATTTGAAGAAGGTGCCGGTTTTTCACCAATTCATACAACGTCAATGGTTGATAATGGTGGCTTAACAAGTTACGGAGGTGTTGGTTCACCATCTCCAAGTTCACCATTTAGTTATGGTGCAACTTCTCCAGGTTATGGAGGTACTTCCCCAACTTATTCACCAACTTCCCCAACTTATAGTCCAACTTCACCAAGTTACTCCCCAACTTCACCAAGTTATTCACCAACTTCACCAAGCTACAGTCCTACATCACCATCATATTCCCCAACATCACCAAGTTACAGTCCTACATCACCTTCGTACTCACCTACATCACCATCATATTCACCAACTTCTCCAAGTTATTCACCAACTTCCCCAAGTTACTCACCAACTTCACCAAGTTACTCACCAACCTCACCATCATATTCCCCAACCTCACCAAGTTACTCACCTACATCACCAAGTTATTCTCCAACTTCTCCAAGTTACAGTCCAACTTCCCCAAGTTACAGTCCTACATCACCATCATACTCCCCAACTTCCCCATCATACTCCCCAACTTCACCTAGTTACAGCCCAACTTCTCCAAGTTACAGCCCTACTAGTCCAAGTTATTCCCCAACTAGTCCAAGCTACAGTCCAACTAGTCCAAGCTACTCACCAACATCCCCAAGTTACTCTCCACACTCACCATCTTATTCCCCAAAAGATGACGAAAAGAAAGATGACTAAAAAGATTGATTAATGTATGAAATACTTAATTTTCATCTCTTCCTTTCTTCCCTCGTAAAGCCTCATTCCTCCACTGTAAAACTCACCCGTCACTCGTCCATGTAAAATCACGACTCGGTTGACTCGTCCGCCTGGATGCATCGGACTTGTAAATGGCTCATCCTTATTTTTTAGCCGCGCAAGAACTATAAAGCCTGGACAGTGTGACACATTCGTACTTCCACACCTTCGATTCTACGACATTATGGTATTTAAATTTACAATTGATAACTGGACAAATAAATTTACACCCAAGAATCAGCTTCACAGATTTCCAAAACCGTTGGTAAGATTTTTGGGGTATCACGAACCAAAAGCGCAACCTGACTATTTCATATGGTTAGAGATCTTAATAAGCTCATTTTTAGGAATTCTTACATTAGAAGGGATGTTTAGATCCCCTAACGTGTTTAAGAATCACAATGGACCAATAATCATTGCTTCTTATGGAGCCTCGGCAATTCTTTGCTTCAATGCATCTCAAGCACCCTTAGCTCAACCAAGAAGTGTCATATTAGGTCATTTCTCCAGTGCTTTGATTGGAACTTGTCTAGAGAAATTATTCAGTCTTTCTGAAGGGGGTAGAAATCATTATTATCTCGGTGGAGCATTGAGTGTGGGTGTTAGTTCGGTGGTGATGTCTATCTTGAATGTTGTTCATCCTCCTGCGGGTGCAAGTGCATTATTACCGTTCATCGATGATGAGATTCGAAGTATGAGTTGGTGGATTCTTCCCATGCATTTAGTCAGTAGTGTAGTCATTGTGGGAGTTGCATGTATCACCGGTAATGTCATAAGGAAATATCCTGTTTATTGGTGGACCCCTTATAAAAAACCAACAGAACCTCCAGTAGAATCAAAATCTCAATCTCCAACACCCGAGAAACCTCCTACTAACAATAGCTCAGAAGAGGAGAAAGATGTTTCAACAACCAATCTGAAACCATCACTTTTTATTAATGAAAAAGAATTGATCATTCCTCCAGAATTGATATTGGATGAAGTTGAGTTAGATTTCCTTCAGTCCATTCAATTGAAAATATCTGAATTGCATAGTTCCCCTGTTTAATCATATATACATTAATTATTTACTATTTATATCTTCTAAGGTGATTAATTTCTTATCGAGATTGTTGAAGAGGTAATCTGCAACATCATCAGCGTTAGTTACTGGTCTTACAAATCCATTGACTTTATCACAATCTCCAAACACTTCATGTCCTTTCTTAAGAGCTTGTGTGATGATAAATCTTCCATCGGGCTTTGTATCGTACATGATTCCTGGTCTGATAATTAACGAGTCGATGTCAGATTTTGATAACACATATTCCGATTCTCTTTTGGACCGTATATAATCATGTGGAGTGAAAGGGAGTTGTGTATCAGCAGAAACATACACCAATTTCTTCTTTGGTCTTGGATTTATCTCATAAGCTTTCAAAAGTGAAATTAGACTAACAGTATTAATTCCATAAAGGGAGTTGTCACGAGTCTTATTCATGGGATTTGGTGATTGGAACATCCGTGTAATTGACAATGGATTCTTCATGATATCTTTGTAAGACTGATTGGAGAACATCGAACCAACGCAATGGATGATAATATCATAATCAGTGGAATATGTCGAATCATCGAATATGTCTGCTGATTTGTATTCAATCCCTGGAAGTTTCAACAGGGGGAGCGTTCTGGAATATGAACTGACTTTGAAGCCATGATTGACAGCTGAACGACAGAGCTTGGAGCCTAAGAAACCAGTTCCTCCAAATACCGCTACTGACATGATGAGATCTCACTAAGTCTGGGATTGCGAAGTTTTTCGAGAACTACCCAAGTTTGCAGCCATTGTCAGCAAATTAACAGGGAAAACAGAGAAAAAAGAATATGGGTATCAAATAGACACATATTGAAGAATTAGAGTATCAGAGAATGGGGAAATATCATAGATATGCATATATTATTCAATAAGTAAATTCGTAAAGTAAATTCATTAATTGGATTCATTAAATTTTTTTCTAAGCATGACAAATTCTTCATCTTCAACTTCTTCTAAAGAAGGATGTTTATGGATTTTAGTTAATTCGTCATCAGTCTCTATGTCAGTATCGGAATCGATATCTTGATTATTCAATTCAGTTAAATTCTTTAAATCTTCTAAATCTTTATCATTGACGACTTGAGCGATTGGAGAAGAAGGAGCTGGAGTTGAAACATTTGATGAGTTGTTTGAATGGCTTCTTTCTGGGTAAGTATAAGAATATGGAGAATGTACCCTTTCAAAGAAAGCTGGTTCCTTTGATTCTTCTTGTTCATGAACTTCTTTTTCACTTTTTTCTGGAACTTTCACAGAAACTTTCTCAGGAACTCTTTCAGGAACTCTGGAAAATTGTTGGAAAGGGACAAACATAGATTTGAGAAGATTTTCAATTTGTTGTCTTTGTAATTCAACTTCTTCTTGTTCTTTTTGTTCTTTGATTTTTTGTAATCTTTCCCTTTCTTGTTTAGCCTTTTGTTCTCTGATTTGTTGTTCTTTCAATTGTTGTTCTCTGAACTTTTGTTCTCTAAGTCTTTGTTCTTTAAGTTGTTGTTCTCTAAATTGTTGTTCTCTAAATTGTTGTTCTCTGAGTTGCTGTTGTCTGATTTGTTGTTCTCTGAGTTGTTGTTCTCTGACTCTTTGCTCTCTTTCTTGTCTCTCTTGTCTTTCCTTTTGTTCTTTTTGTCTTTCCAATTCGATTCTGATTTTCTCTTGTCTTAATTGTTCTTTTCTTAATTCGTTTTCATATTGTCTTAACTTTTCTTTTCTTTCTTGTTTGACTTTTCTGATTCTGAATTGTTTTTCCTTTTCAATTCTTTCTTGTCTTTCAAGCTTTTCCTCAGCACTTCTGATCAAAATGTTGAGCAAGTTGATTTCTCTTTTAGGGATAACCAAGTTTAAGATGTCCCCTTGTTGTTTGAAATAGATTTCATTGATGTCAACTTTATCTAAGTTCAATTTAATCTTCAAGTTGAAATCATATTTGTCAGAAAATAATTGTAAGATACCAAAACTGTCGTTAACTCTGTAGATTTTGAATTCAAATGAAGTAAAATCTTTGAAATAATTATAAACTTGGAAAACTATTTCATTCTTATTATTGATTTGGTTTACCAATTTTGGTTTGAATTGTTCGATTTGTTGATAAAATGATTCTATTTGTTCGATAGGTTGCAAGAATCTATCAAAATGGAAATTTTCTAATGGTAAATATTGAATTGGCAATGGATTGACTAACATTGTATGTAATAATTGAATTGTTTTAGTAGTAGAATGTAAACTTTGAGTAAACTGATAGTACAAATTAGGAATTTCAGGAACATTTTATAGTCACTGATGACAAATGGAGTTTTGCAGCCATATCGTCTGAGAAAATCTTAGAATGTTCTGTCGCGGTAGAAATTATCCCGTTTGGTCATTTTCTCACCTCTGGGTAGAACCTTCTAGAATAATTGATGGTATACTTTGTAGTGAGCGTAATACGAAACCTTCTAGAATATTCTACGTAGAATCCAAGGCTATTAGAACCTGATAAGAGATACAATCGGGCCGTAGGACCTCTCGAGAGAGTGTTATTCCATTCCTTATCTCAAGGGTTTATCTTTCAGATATGGTGATTTCCATAATCAAAACCTCTTTCATCTGATAAGGAATCGTGCCAATCATTCAGAGAAAAAGCCAATATTCAACTCGTTACTACGGGCCTATTACCCCTTATTTAATCCCGATCATCCACTAAGCATTCACTGTCAATCTTATCAGCTCTGTGTTTCACTTAGAACCCCATAATTCAAATGCTTTTCGGTTCATTCCGAAAAAGAAATTCTCATCACGTGAGATGTAATGACTCAGAGACAAATTTGGGTGCAAATTTTCATTCACTTAAAATACAAGATAAATTACCACCAAATGGTCGATTAAATCTCCAATTTCAATTCCATGACTCTTTAAACACTCTGATACACACCTTAGACAACTAGTCACTCTCCCGAACAACACTTTAATCTTTCAGTTAGAGTTTCCTATACGCAACTTGTTATTACCCCAGAAAAATGAGGTGAAAAAAAAACTCAAACTAACGTGAAAATTTAACTTACTCAAGATGAAGGTAGATTTAGAGGTTCCCAATACTTTGATACTTCTAGTCATAGGTATAGCTTCCATTCTATTATTGAAAGACAAAATATTAAGTCTCCTTAGTCACGGAGATCAAGGAAAAAAACTGGTGAAGGACAAGCGGATCATCAAGCATAGTAAGAAGATGGTGAAAAAACAAATTATAGTTGTTGGAGCCGGATTGATTGGTCCTCGCCATGCCCACCACGTATCAATAAACCCCAGATGTGAGTTATTTGCCATTGTAGACTTATTTCCTGTACCTGAGTTGGTGGAGAAGTACAATACCAGATACTTCCAGAATATCAAAGATTTGATAGGTTATTGTGATTCCAACGGTTTGAAATATCCTGATGGTGCCATAGTTTGCACCCCCAATCATACACATGCCAAAGTAAGTAAAGAGTTGTCAGATTATGGCATTAATTTGATCATTGAGAAACCCGTCACACCCACACCAGAGGATTCAAAAGCTTTGAAATTATATACCATGAATAAAGTGAAGGTTCTTGTTGGCCATCATAGAAGATTTCATCCTGTCATTAAGGAAGCAAAGGCCAAGATCAAACAAATTGGAGATGTCCTAGCTATTCAAGGTAGTTGGTGTTTGAAGAAGCATCACGAATATTACAATGATTGGAGAAAAAGTAGAAGTGGAGGACCAATGTTGATAAATCTCGTTCATGATCTTGACCTTCTCCAATACTTGCTTGGTCCTGTACAGTCAGTTTTTGCAGAACCTTTGAAGAACTTGAGAGATCACGATGACGAAGGATGTTCCTTGGTTTTGAAGTTCAAATCTGGAACTATTGGTACCTTTGTTGTTAGCGATAATATTCCATCCCCATTCAACTTTGAAAATGCCACAGGAGAAAACCCATTGATTCCTCATTGTCCTATAGATGGGTTATATAGAATCTTCGGTAATAAGGGTACTTTGTCCCTTCCTGACATGAAAATCTATTCTACTGAACACTGGCACAAACCAATGGTTGTGGAAGAACTCAATAGACCGGTGGGTGTACCATTTGATGATCAATTGAACCATTTTGTTGACGTGTTAAACGGAGATCTTATCAAGTGTACAATAGATGACGGTATATCAGCAGTTTTAGTAACACAAGCCATCATGGAAAGTTTAGATACGGGAGAAAGGGTCATAGTAAAGGATTTATCAGTAGTTGAACCTAATTTCAATGTTTTAGGATTAAAAGAATTAACTCCAGAACCATTGAAACCAATGGCAACAGCCATCAAAGTCAATTAGAATCGGAAACATTGGGGATGGGATTATCAGGGAGAAAATAGCATAGAAACAATACACAAAATATTCATTACCTAAAAAAGTGATAATACGGAAGTATCTTTAACAATAACCCCATTATCAGCTTGAACTTCTCTTTCATAAGGAACATCACCTTTAATCTTAACAGAAATATCAGTGGAGGTTCCTTTAATATCATCAATAGTTAATTTTTCTTTAACTTTGAAACTTTCTTTAACGTCATTGACTTTAGTTTTAATGTCAGCATTGATTTCTGCTTTGATAGAACTTGAGCTGGAAGGACCCAAGATTGATTTAGATTCAGTTGAGGTCTCATCTAAAGTGAAAGGGAAATCAGCAGTTGAGTTCTTGGTTAAGTAAGTTAAACCAGTATCGATATCAGTAACTTCAACATTAAGCTTAGAACCACTGATTAAGATTAAGGTGGTAGTGGTGGTAGTTGAACCTAAACCTGAACCTGGAGGACCCATCATTTTCTTAATTTCTTTTGATTGTTTGGTCAAGATATTGTGGGTGGAAGTATTGGTAAGAATGGAATAGTTGAAAGTACCAGTTGGTAAAGTGACATTGAATTGAGTGATTAAACCAGCTTTGATACTCGATTTGACAATTTCATTCTTGATTGATGGTTGGTAAGGAGAAGTAGCAGGTGGGTTAATCAAAACACCTGAATCTAATTGGGAAGATTCACCAATGATGAAATCAGATGAAATATCTAAAACTGAAGAAGCCCAACCTAAGAAGGAACCTGAGATTGACCAGTTAGGTAATGAAGAACCTTTAATAACTGGATGAGGTAAACCTGGAACACCAGGAGGAGTTGGAGCAACAACTGGAGAAACAACTTCAATTTCAACCTTAGCACCTTGATACAATAAAGGTAAAACAGAAATTAAATCAACTTCATAACTTAAACCGGAGAAAGATCCAGTGTCGGATAATGGAGTCCATAAGTTAGTAGTATTAGCATTACCACTAATCTTGTTGGAGTGGAATAAAGTTGGTTTTGGAGTAACAGTTTGGATGTAAACGTCATCAACAAAGACATTCAAGTATCTTAAAGGACCATTAGCACCATCAATGTCGTTCTTGTAGTAAGTGATTTCTTCATTCATAGGAGAAGCGAAAACCAATAATTTACCACTGGTAATATTAGCAGGTATAGCAGGAATTGAATCTAAGGCATAAATGACATCAGCAGGTCCATTAGATTCAAAGATTTCGTTAGTGTAAGTGGTGTTGTCATTAAATAAAGATAATTCCAATTCGACTTGAACATCACTGTCACCTTCTAATTTAACAAATTCAACTTTAGATTTAGTGTTGAAAAGATTTAAGAATTGAGTAACATTCTTAACAGTTGAAGATTTGGTTATAGCATTCAATTTACCATTTGGTGAAGCAAATCTCCAAAGAGGGATTTTATCAACTAAAATTTCACCAATGATACCTTCACTATCGATAGCATCAGAATTAGTGACATTTAAAGTTAAGAAACCACTAGTAGCGGTGAAATTGAGTGGATGGAATTTTTTGGAAGTTTCAACAGTGGTATTCAAAAGTAAAGTAGAAACATTGGAACCCAATGGGAAAACGAAAGGTTGTTGAATTTCAAAAACTTCTAAAATTGGAGTGGCAGGAGCAGCAAAGCCTAAAATTTCAAAGGAAAAAGTTGGAGCAAAATCAAATACCTTACTTACAATTAAGCAAGTAATTAAAACAGGTAAGATCAAAAATCTTCTTGATTTTGGTAACTCTTGTTCTTTATCAGTCAATTGAATCATTATGGTCTAAGGAGTTATTGGGAGATTTTCACTATTTATATTGCCATCGGTCAGCCGGACGGATAAATACGAGTAGATCTCGCGGGGGGCCGACTATTCGGATAGCTCATATGGTGATGTTTCCATGGGAAAAAAAGGATATTCCAAAGGAAGGATTAGATGTTACGATTTAAGGTATGATTTGATGATTTTCAAATTGGTCATGGTCCATTCAATTGTTGTAAATAATACATTTTGTTATATCTTATATTTCAGGTCAACTTTAATTTGAGATGAGATAAGTAATCTGATTACCTAATATCCGCCTAAGCAAAAATCCTTATCATCGGGGGATACCGTGGATTCACGTGACATTATGAAAAATTTTCTTTTTCCCATAAATTGGTTAAATTAAGTCACTACACGTTTTGAAGTTGGCGATCAGGATAATTTAAACTTCACTTTCTGTGGGGCACAGTTCAGATCAAAAAGAAAAGAATATTCTCAGAGCCAAGTGGAGGCAGTATCGAAAGCGGAATTGAGATGATCGTCATACTGTACTTCACATGAAACAGATCTTTTAATTCTGTCCAAAACTACCGGATGTGGTATCGGTTAAATAGCCTGATTAAACTTAAACTAGCTAATCTCGTCGTATTCGTCAAGTACAATAACCAACAATAAGATCCCTTTTCTTCTCAATCACCGGTTTTTGTGACACGGGTTTACTAAGGCAAAATCAATAAAGGATTTACGAAAGAAAGCTTTCATGCATTCAATAAACGTTTCTACGGCATGGTTTAACCATCACTTGAACTCATACCTAAAAGAGTAAGGTAAGCTGAATAATAAGCTGCGACCTGAAATGGCTGAAAGTCTGCAGTGTCGCTGGGGCTTTTTTTTTCCTTTCATCACAAAACATCATGGTATTTCACCTAATTGAACGCTGATAATTTCAACTGAATTCATCCCCAATAATCATATCCATCTCTCCACCTACCGTACCTTATCCTTCAACGATGAAATCATCCAACTGGACCCACGTGTGTCAAGTGTCAAAAATTCTTGGTGCCAAGATGAAAAAAGCACACGACATCATTGCAACCATTTTTGCAGCCATGACTTGGCACCCTATTTACCGCGAAGTTGGTACCACCATGGGCTTAACGTTAGGGGGAAATCAAGAAAAAGTCTCAAGCTTTCACACCTTCTTACAAAAAATACCTGCAACCGTTAGACCAAGAAATTTTAAAGTCGTTACAACTATTATGCCTTTTAATTAACCAGAACGTGGTAGCGTCGCCATATATAAAGTTGGTAAGATATCTTGAAAAGTTTTATTCATCAGAAATCAAATCAAGTCACAAATTACAATAATGGTTTTACATCAATTTGATTATATCTTCGCCATTGCCATGATCTTCGGATTCTTGGACGCTTTCAATATTGGGGCTAATGATGTTGCCAATTCATGGGCTTCATCAGTTTCTTCAAAATCTTTAAGATATTGGCAAGCTATGATATTGGCAGCTATTTGTGAATTATTAGGTGCCGTTTTAGTTGGTTCAAGAGTTAGTGATACCATTAAGAGTAAAATTATTGATATTACCATTTTTGAAGATAATCCAGCTGTTTTAATGTTAACTATGTCATGTGCTTTGGTTGGTTCATCATTATGGTTAACTTTTGCTACTGTTATTGGTATGCCAGTTTCAACTACTCATTCTATTGTTGGTGCTGTTATTGGTGCTGGTATTGCTGCCAAAGGTGCTGATAATGTTATTTGGGGTTGGAAAGGGGTTGCTCAAATCATTGCTTCATGGTTTATTGCTCCAATCTTAGCAGGTATTTTAGCATCTATTGCTTTCTTAATATCCAAATTTGCCGTCTTAGAAGTTAAGAATTTCGATAGATCTTTAAAGAATGCTTTGTTATTAGGTCCAATCTTAGTTTTTGCTACTTTCTGTATCTTAACTATGTTAATTGTTTGGAAAGGTTCTCCAAACTTAGGTTTAGATAAATTATCAACTGGTGCTACTCTTGGTTCAATCTTCGGTGTTGGAGGTGTTGCTATGATTTTATATATCACCTTCTTATACCCATACTACAGAAGAAAATTAGTTTACAATGATTGGACTTTGAAATGGTACGATATCTTCAGAGCTCCAACTTTTTACTTCAAATCAACTGATAATATTCCTCCAATGCCACAAGGTCATCAACTTACCATTGATTATTATGAAGGTAGAAGATATACTGAAGATGAAGTTTCTGAAGTTTCAAAAGATATTTCTGACGAAGAAAACAAAGTCGAAGATTCAAGTGATGAAATCACTACTCAAGTTAAAGAACAAAAATCTGGATGGTTCGTTAATGCTTGTCCTCCAGATATGACTACTAAACAATATTGGTTATCATGTGCTAAACAACCATCTAAATGGGGTCATTTAGTTTGGCAATTCATTATTCACGGTTGGGTTCAAGATGTTATTTCTTTACAAGTTATTTCAAAAGGTGCTTTAGCTGGTGATTTAAAGAAAATGCATTTATCATCTAAATTTTATGATAATAGAATTGAATTCATGTATTCTATTTTACAATGTATTACTGCTGGTACTATGTCATTCGCCCATGGTGCTAATGATATTGCTAATGCCACTGGTCCATTATCAGCTGTTTACACTGTATGGCACACTGGTACCGTTGGTGCTAAAGCTGATGTTCCTCAATGGGTCTTAGGTTACGCTGGGGTTGCTTTAGTTATTGGTATCTGGACTTTGGGTTATAGAATTATGTCCGTCTTAGGTAACAAATTAATCTTACAATCTCCTTCAAGAGGTTTTTCCATTGAATTGGGTGCTGCTGTTACTACTGTTATGGCTACTCAATTATCTATTCCAGTATCAACTACTCAATCAGCTGTTGGTGCTACCGTCTTCATTGGTTTATGTAACAGGGATCTTAAATCAGTCAATTGGAGAATGGTCTTATGGTGTTATTTCGGTTGGCTTTTAACCTTACCAATCGCTGGTTTAATCGCTGGTATCTTAAACGGTATCATTTTATATTCACCTCATTATTAGTATATTAGTTTAATTTATAGGATAGTAAGTTTCTATTTCTAAACATCTATTTATTCATAACTTCGAACTCTCAGGAATTTGAAAGGTTTTTCATTCTTTAAACCTAACTCACTTACTTCTCCTATATCTTCTTCTTCTCCTTGAATTCTTACGGTGTAATATTTAATCCATGATAATTTCCCAAATCTATTATGTCCCATGTTAACAATCTTGAAATGATAATGGAAGATATAATATGGTACTGAACCTTCGTCAATAGTGATATGGACTTCTCCATCAGTATTCATAATCCAACGTCCATGGTAAATTCGATGACCATCTCTATTCCCTTTAACTTGATCTAGAATGTTTGAAACTACATAATTACTTCTTTGGAGATGTGGTATAACTCTTGTTGGCTCTAATGTTGTCAATACTTTTAACACTTTCCCATCAGGAAAGAACCTTAAGTATCTATAATAGGTAATGGTTCGTACGGGATTGGTCCAACTATTTGAAAACTCAGCTCTTGATCCTTCTGAATAATAATTGATAATACTGATATAACATCCATTGAACTTTATGAATGGTCGATGGAACAACATGTATTTCCAGGAGTTATTGTATGATGGTAAAATCTTGAGTTGATTCTTAGGTACGGGTAAATCGTCATCGGTGGTAGATAATTGGTAGTCTAATTCTTCATTCTCCTCGTACCTTTGTGGGGGATATATCATGGTAGCTAGATGACGAAAGATTGATGGAGAGAACCCCAAATATGCAAATTTCTTACATACCAATGATAAACTTATCCAAGACTCCGGAGATTTCTCTATAAGTATTTCCATTATATAAATCCATATATCATTACTGAGTTTAGTAAGCGGCGATGGTCCAGTCATTAATTTACTAAACTTTTGAGTCAATTGACCTTCTTCGTCTTCACCATTATCATCTATGAGACTGGGGGACGTGGGTTCGGAATCTTGGAATGAAAGAATCAACTTTTCAACATTAATCTTCTTCACCAACTCTTCATTGATAGGATTGGTAATCTTCTTCACTTGAGGAATCTTATTTGATCTATAAAGTAAATCCACTCTTTCATTGAGCTTGAACGCTTGTCTGTACAATGTCACAGCATCAGACATCAAACCTTGAGCTTCCATTTGAGTGGCTTTCTCGAAGATTTGAACTGCTTCATCTTCTTTATTCATAGCTTAGTGAATTTGTGGAATCTGCGCGGATGATTTCACATACTCCCCAGAAGAATAGGGCCAGGCTATCTATAGGCAATGGGTTTGGTGATGATTTGGATATATCAAGTTCATCATATCTATCGAATATATCCCATAGCTTTTCCCCGGGAGGAATTGAGTCAGTGACGAAGAATTTACATCAATCAGTTGACGAGAAACCCATCAAAGTGATCACAAGAATCAAGCCTGATCTCGATTCTATCATTGATAGTTCAGATAATACCGTGACTGTTGACACCGGTAAAGAAACCTTATCATTCATGTTTGACAAAGTATTCGATTTCACTTCTCAACAACAAGAGATCTATGATTATCTGATAAAAGAAACCGTAGACGACGTTTTCAAAGGTTACAATGGTACTATCCTTGCCTATGGTCAAACAGGGTCGGGTAAATCGTATACTATGCTAGGACCAGATATTGAAGGATCACAGAAAGGGATCATTCCTAGGATAGCCGATGAGATCTTTCAAAAGATAAGGAATGGTGATAAGATAGAGTACACTTTAACCTTATCAGTGATGGAAATTCATCTTGATCAGATCAATGATTTGTTGGTAGACAACCCAAAATTATCAATCCATGAGGATAAAGAAGGTGTTTACGTGAAAGGCTTATCGAGTATCTCCATCACCAATGCATTTGATCTTTATAATGTGATCAAGTTGGCACTGAAACATAGGAAGTCTCATAATACAAATATGAACATAGAATCCAGTAGATCACACGCTATCTTCGAGATCAAGCTTAAACAGAACCTAGATGATTTGACCAAGACGTCAAGATTATTCCTTATAGATTTGGCAGGAAGTGAGAAGGTCGATAGGACAGGAGCCTTTGGCCAAACATTAAAGGAAGCTAGAAATATCAATTCTTCATTATCCACATTGGGGAATGTTATCAATGCACTTAATGATAGGATGGCTCATGTTCCATATAGAGATTCCAAATTGACAAGAATTCTTCAAGAGTCTCTAGGAGGTAATTCTCATACAACACTTATTTTGAATATAAGTCCCAGTAAAGTGAATGAATTGGAGACTTTGAGTACCTTAAGGTTTGGTTCCAGAGCCAAGAATATCAAGAATCATGCTCATATTAATAAGGAATTGAGTGTAGAAGAACTAAAGACCAGACTTGATCACATGATCAAGTTGAATGAAAAGAATAGGTTATATATTGAGAGTTTAGAGAAAAAATTGGCAATTTCCGATGCAGGGATACCCAGACAGGACTTTAATACACCAGTGAAGGTGTTAGTATCCCCAAGATTATCCGATTCTCCAAGTAGAACACCTGTTTCCCCTAGCGGTTTTTCGCCAGGAACCAATACGTCTTCTCCAACTGCAAGTAGAATTCCTATTTCTCCTAAATATCTGGAATCTCGTATTCCAAGCTTTAACTTCAAGGAGAAGCTTCTCGACAAGGATAACAGGATCAAGCAATTAGAGCAAGAACTTCTCAGTCATCGAACTAAAACTATGGAAATATCCAATGACGAGGAAATCAAACTTAACATTCTCGAGAAGTCTTTGAACAAACTCAATCAGAAACTCAAGGATGTAGAAATCATTAATATCAATCTCCGAAAACATCTCATGATAAATGAGAGACTTATAGACCAGAAACAGGAAACCATCGATAGACTTAATAAAATACTTGACGAGCAGAACAAAGTCAATCTTGAAGAGAAATTATATGGATTGAGAGAGAGATTAGAACCTGCTAGTCCAAGATCAGGGCTTGATTTGAAAATTATACGTCCTATTATTGGTGGTGAAGATAGTGATTAGTTTAATGCTGAATAATAATCGAGTTTCAACACTTTCGTGATTTCTCTAGGTCCAACAGAACCCATGATCTCCATAATCTGATCTTCATCTTTTTTATCCAAAATACACATCCTTGCAACAGATTCGAGCTTTTTCTTATTCCTCCCGGCTTTTTCAATAGCTCTTTCCCTAAGACCTCCTGAACTGTTGGCAATTCTCATAGCACTAGTTAAAAATGTTCTAGCATTCTTCATGAGTACTTCTTTACTATTTTGTGCTTGTGGGAGAGGAAGAAGACCTCGTTGAACGTCAATATCAGCTCGTTGTATAAGTACTTGAGCATATTGTTCGTTCAACTTCCCTAATCCTTCAACTGTGGTTTTTCTTCTTTCCAGTAAATCATCTTGAGCCTTTTTGAGTGTTTGGGTGATAAGTGTAAGTCCCAGCCACAATGTTGAATCATTATCGTCATTTCGATCCATGATAGCTTGAACAGCATCTGACTGACTCATGAATCTTTCAGCAGATGGAGGGACAACATCCCAAAAGTTGTTGATTTCGGTAAAACTTTGAGAAATTAATGATGATATGAATGCTTTTGTGATCTGGTAGTCTATGATTTGATTATTGGTGACGGAAGAAAGATATTGCGATTGGGTATTGGTACTTTCAGTGAAACTATTAAGAAACTCTCCAACTATAGATTCCAAAAACAAAGAAAAGTCTCCCACCACCTGCTGGAATGATGGAATATCCGCTATGGAAGTAATATTCCCCAAGAATGCCTGTATCAATTTATACCCAGAAACAATGGTATCGAAAACATCGTTGGGTTGAAGCACTTCCTCAGTAACGGCTTCAGTTACTGATTGAGGATCTTCGTTTGAACTGCTATGATCGTTGTCTATCTTGGATAAGTCATTTATGAAGGATCTTAATTGGTTGATTTGGGTGTTGATGAGGTTCTTGAATAGCTCTTGTCCTTTCTGGTATATTTGAAGTACATCGACATTATCATCACTTAGCTGAGATGTCTCTAAAACATCTATGTATACCAATCCCAAATTATATGACAAATCCATCGATTCCCTACCGTTCATGGACTGTTCGTGGGTATTCATTATCTGGTCCAAGGGTTTAACAACAGTATCACCGAAAAGGAAATCATCTGTATTCAAATCCTCAAGTAATTCAGTCTCGATGTAGGTGGAATAAACATGGTATACTAACCTGGCGATGTTATACTGGATGTCAAGGTCGGAAGAATTGGCCAAAGCTTGTTGGTACTCTTTATAGGCTTTTTGATAGAATCTCAAGGCTTTGGTCAAATCCGAACCTAACCATCTGTCACCACTTTCTTCATCAGTAGCTGCTTCTTCAAAAAAATCTGTACCTAAATCGTTAGTCTTTACTCTTTAGTGATAACTCTGTTTCGATAGTTCTACATACTCTTCATTAGTGATGAGACCGATGCGCGATAGCGTGTTTCAGATATAATGGTAGAGATAAGTCTGATCGCTTCAAGTCCAATACCACTGGTCGTAAGAATATCAGTACTAGTCCTAGGTATAGATTGGACCAAAGATACTGAAAATTTTGTAAATGTGCACGTTACAGACTTCACACCAGCTCAAGGAGGTGTTGATCTAGAGAAACAGTTTAGTGGTGGAGAAATAATAGTTTATGATAAGGTGTCAATTGATTACATATATACCATTAAAGTATCTAAATCGGAAATCACCACAATAGCTTCTTACTTAGAAGTTGATGATTTGAATCATGGGTCTAGCATGGACTTACTTGACAGAGTAATATGTGCTAGCGTGGAGGTACAAATAAATGAAGATCCTTCTCTTCTAAGGGTAGGGACATTGGTTTTCCTCGAAAAGATCAGTTCTGATGATTTAGGTGTCAATAAGGGATTGAAGTTAGTTAAAAGAATCAGAAAACACATCCCCCAGTTGGCACACAAGTTACCAAAAAAGAGAAAGTTGGAAACACTGTTATTTAAGCCTTCTAAGATACCCACTGGCCAGAGTCTAGCCTTCCATAATTATGGAGATAACGAGACTCAAGCATATTTGAGTAAGAATATCGGTTTCGAAGACGCAATGGGTAAGGATTCAAGTGACGAAGAAAATGGAGCTCTTGGTGAAAGATCATCAACGTCTTTAAACATCGATGCATCGAGAATATTATCCCAACCAAAAGATGCAAGAAAAGTATTGGAATTTGCAAGTCCGTTCCAGAAACCTGCACATTCGAGTCAGTCTAGTGAGATGATACTTGATAGTCAAGAAATCCCTGATAGCCAACATCAAATAGATAGTCAGCATCAAATAGATAGCCAACAACAAATTTCAGATGCACAAAAGACTAGTCCTACATTTCATGAATCCCAAAACAGACCAGGAAGATTAGAGACTTTGAATAGTCAAAATTCCCAAACCAAAGAACCTTTAAGACAACCTCCCACCTCACTGGAAAAGAACTCCCTGGAAGGTATTTCCCTCGATAAGAGCATTCTTTCAGCATCAAGTAACATCGCCAGCAAAAAAACCATTTTTGATGATTTTGTCATTAATGTCATCACCCTTAACAAATTGTTAAAGGTCCCCGATACATTAGAGATGATAAACAAAAGACATATCTTCCAAGTCAAAGGTAAATTAAGAATGACTGAGCCTTGGGAGAATTTCATGATCAAGCCTTTCAAGAGAACATTCAAATTAAGTAACTTTAAACTATTTTTGATAGATAACGACAAATACCTTCCGCTTGAGTTCTCCGATGCAGAACTATGTAAGTTTTTCAAAATAGCGGAATTTGAAGAGTTTCTAGTTGACTACGATAATATTTTGAAAAACCTCCGCCTCCTCATGAACAACAGATTCACTGTGAAAGTAAGTAAAAGAATAAGAGAATTCTCTGGGTTTAAGAATTCCTATTGGACTTGTACCAATAACATATATGAATTAGCTTCACAGATATAGACCCTCGAAGTATTTCAAAGTTTATTTATAGACGAATGTAGGATTACTTAAAATAACTTTGCCATGATCATGGCTCTGTTGCAATCAGATAGTATGAACTATAAAACAAGGCTGGAGCCGCATGACCGTTAAAGCTTTATAAATCCTTCTGTATCTAAAAATAAATTTGTGTGAGACGACTATGGAGTGAGAATACACGACCCCTGTAAGGGGCTGATCTGAACAGCCCCTACGCGAATGTTATATAAGATCTTGTCCAAATCCTTGAGTAAATCATAGTTTTTAAATATGTACATTTGTTATAACGATATTGCAAGAAGATCCTTTGGTCAAGATGTTAAATCCACAGCTGATAGTTTCAAAAGTTGGGATACTTGTATGGACAATAAAACATGTAAAATTGTAGCTATTGTAGGTATAGTTTTAGCATGTCTTGTAGCATTTTGGATAATATCTACCCTTGTACGTTGTCTTTGCATGGGTTTTTCTTGTTTAGAAGCTTTGTGCTGTTGTTGTTGTAGATCTGCTTCAAAAGGATATACTGAAAAACAACATCCTTATACCAATCCAAATATGTATCCTCCACAACCTCAACCTGCTCCAATGTATCAACAGCAGTACCAAGGTTATAGGGAAGTAGATAGTGGGTATAATCAACCAAATAACCATACTTCCACCAATCAGAAAGGATATCAACCTGTAGACCCATTCCAAGACACCAGAACCTCATATAAGGGTCATTTCTAGGAAATCAATACTAAGTCAAAGGACTCAAACGAAGATTAAGTCACGAAAGTTGAAGACTAAGTCAAAAGACTGGTTCATTTGACTTCACAATCAGTCCATTGGATATCAGTCATGTATATTATATAAGTGAAAAACAATATAAGCGTCTCATTATAATCCACAAACCAATATTTCCGTTTGTCTCTTTCAAATGTCAGCAGAGGTTCATTACAAAGGTAGGTTAGTTGACTCATCATTCATAAGACCCCAACATCCCATAAATTTGGTATTGTGTTTAGATGGAACACAAAATGAATTTGGACTCTTACCCTTCTCCAACAGTTTAAGATTTTTTCAACTATTGGATAAGGATGATGTTAGACAAATATCCTACTACCAACCAGGGGTGGGAGTTAAGTTTACTAGTTCGGTCAATCAGAACGTTATCAATGGTAACCTCAAAACTTTAGGTAGACAGATTGATGCTGTATTCGCTTTCACATTTGAGCTACATGTTAAAGCTGCTTATATGTTTCTAATGAGATATTATCAGCCTGAAGACCGTATTTACATCATAGGGTTCAGTAGAGGAAGTTTTGCCGGAAGAATTTTAGCAGGGATGTTGGAAAGTGTGGGGTTGTTGAATAAAGGATTGGAAGAAATGGTAAACACAGCTTGGGAGATCTATTGTAATTGGGAGAATTCAGGTCAACCCAATAATGAAGCTTTTGCAACCAATTTGGTGACTGAGTTTCGTAAAACGTTCTGTAGGACTCAGGTTAAAATCCGTTTCATGGGATTATTTGATAGTGTGAACTCTGTTGGTCTTTTGAAAGATAAGATGTTTCCTTATACCAGTAAGAGCAGTATTGTTGAACATGTCAGACATGCCGTAAGTATAGATGAACGTAGAGGGAAATTCAAGCAAGTGCTTTTCGAAGCCTTCAGTTATTTCCCCCACTTGACCGATTTAGAATATGAAGATTGTGTAGATATCGATGATAACAAGAGTTTTGTATATACGGGGAACGTCTATTTGAACAGATTGACCGACCTAATTCGAAAACTTTTGGGCAGACCTCCATTAAATCGAAGAATCGATGATGACTGTACTTGTCAGGACATCAAAGAGGTTTGGTTTCCAGGTAATCATGGAGATGTAGGAGGAGGATGGAAACCTGATGAGGGTACAAATCAATGTTTATCTAATATGTCATTAAGATGGATGTTATCCCAAGCTATTGAATTTGGTATAATATTCAGACCCCGGTCCATTCATGACTTTGATCAATCACATCCTAATTTAGCTACATTCTTATCCTATAACCATGATATTCTATCGCTCAAACATCAGAGAGATATGAACCACGATCGATATTTGAAGTTACCATCCTATCCTATAATTGGAAGCAAAGGTAATGGGGCATCATCAATTTTCCAAGTATTATTCTGGTGGGCTATTGAGCTACTACCCATTGGGATTAAGGTAGAAGATGAGAATGGTCAATGGAAGAATATTTATATTCCCAATTTGGGAAGAAATCGTAAGATGCCTCCTAATGCTTCTTTGCATTGGAGTGTATTCTATAGATTACATTATTTCAAAGATTATATGCCTGGGAATCTACCTGATGATCTTGGCCCAAAATTTTTGTCTCTGATTGGTTTTTCCTCATTAGCAGCCACCCCAGAATATCAACACTTCGCTGAAAACCTAACAATAGAGAAAATCAAGAACGATTGGAATTCTAATGTTTGGCAAACATTACCTGATGAACTACAAGAGATTTTAAAAGAAAATCCAGATATTTGATCAATCCTTCAGATCAACTTGGGTTCAAATTCTATGCATTATATATATATTATATTGTTCTGTTATTTTTTTGATTGTATCATGCTCTAACCAACGACTAAAGTACTGTCATCGGAGAATTCATATTCAGGAATTTCTAAGTTTAAAGGAGCTGGACCTTTTCTGATTCTACCAGATATATCATAATGAGAACCGTGACATGGACAGAACCAACCACCGAAATCACCAGCTTCACCAATTGGAACACAACCTAAATGAGTACAAATACCCAACATAACTAACCATTCAGGGTTTTTAACTCTTTGGTCATCAGTTTGTGGATCTCTTAATTTAGAAACATCGATATCATTAGCTTCACTGATTTCATCAGCAGTTCTATGTCTGATGAATACTGGTTTACCTTGCCATTTGACAATAACATTTTTACCTTCTGGGATGGCTCCTAATTTGACTTCAACTTTGGCCATAGCTAAGACATCAGCTGAAGCAGCCATTGATGATAAAAAGGCTTCAACAGTTGATTTAGCACCAGCAGCTGATAATAAACCCATGGAACCAACCATAAAGTAAGTGAAATTTCTGTTGGTAGATTCACCTCTTTGGTTTAAGTAGTTAGAATAATCTGGGTGATCATAACTGGATAAGGCTTTGGTGGTAGAAGTTAAGCTTCTGGTGTTGAAAGCACTTAAACTCTTAAAATTTCTGATTGATCTTAACATGTTTAATTTTTTTTACTGAAAAATTTGTGAGAAATTGCGAATTTATGATTGGCAGAATCACCGGTCGTGTGAGAGGAAAATCCTCGCACCAATGGTGCGATATTTGGTACTATGAGAATAGGTCCAGATTGTGCGGTGAGTCAGTCCATAGCTTGATCTATATTTATGTTCTATATATTAGCTTGGATGAAGAAGGATATGAAAAGTTGGGGAACATTTCTTTCGGCTGATGATTCTTTTCATTCAGCTGGTAATTACTTCATTCAGCTGGCAATTACTTCATTCCGAATCCTGATGATTCATTGATAGCTTTGTGTAATTTCTCGAATAATTTCTCTCTAGTACCATATCTATATAAATCTAATTGATTGAAACATGTATGACTTAGAGGTAGCTTCTCACTGTCATAGGCTATCACCTTGATGGAGAATATCATATTTTGGATTCCCGTGGCTGGAATCCTATCACTACCAGTCACAAATATGAGGAACTTCCTCTGTTGGCTGAAATTCAAACTTTGAAGATAATCCCAAAACCATTCAACTATTGCATACTCTTTAGCTGCCTCAGGTTTGTAGTTGATGATAGATCTTAAGATGTCAATATCTAGCTTACTTTCGTCATCTCCACATAAAAGTAATTTGATTTCTTCTGGTGCAAACAAGCTTAACCCATTACCGTTGGTGACAGATTTGAACCCCTTTAAAAGTTGGTTCATGGGTATGGTGATACCATCATGAATATGGAATTTGGCATACTTTTCAATATAATCATTCAAATTCGAACAGTTGACTCTGACCCTATCTCCATTAGGAATAAGATTTCGAGTCACGTGATTCCCTTCAACATCAAGTAAAGTGATTTCAAAAGTTAACTCCAAAGCCTCCAAATCTTCAGGAGATAATTCTTTCAATTTCATAAGGTTGGATGATGATTGTGGGTAAATCTGCTGGAAATCACTGAATCCAATAGGTAAGTTCAACAATATCTTATAGAAGGCTAAGGGGAATTTCAAATTCAAGATATTGGAGTTATAAATAGCCAACCCTAAGATAGCTCCCAATAAGAAGTAATACTCCTGGTTAGTATTGTGAGGTAATAAATGAAACCAAAGGAAGTTTGACTCATCAATATTGGAAACTAAACCTTTTCTTGGATTTAAGATCTCATCGATAATCAAATGGAACCATTCTTTTCTCAACCCACCACCATCTATACCTGGTTCATTGACGAATTGGATCTTCAAACCTTTCTTCAAGTTCTGTTGGTTTAATTTTATGTGACTTAATGAATCCTGAATGATATTGTTTCTTCGAACTCTAATACGGAAATAGATATCCAAAGGGATTTTCTTATCTAACGAATTAATGAAAGCTTCTTCGGCTTTCCTTTCCATCAAACGTTTGGCCTCATACTCTAAAATCATGATTTTATTTCCTAAAGTAATCAAATATGGATATTTACTGAAGAAATACGTAGCTGAATCACTATAACAATTCAGATCTCCTTTGATGTAACTCAAAATTGTCGAAAGCTCAGGTAAATCCTTGTTCTTATGTTCTGCAGCTTTATTGTTACTTACCCAAGCATCGAAATCCATTCTTAAGTTGACATAATCCACCAATGAATTATAGAATATTGAGTAATGAAGTTCATCTGAACGCATGTTGTATGAGGAAACAAAGAGTTTCAATACCATGGAAGATGTTTTAATGTGCCAGTCATTACCATATTGATAAAGTTTGATTTTGGTGAAAGAATCTGTTTTCTTAGATTTATTAAGATGAATAGTCAGTTCTTTCAATTCTTCATCCATAACCTCCAAATTATCAGACTCGAGAATCTTGGATTGTGGTTTTGATTTCCTAGGGGATTTGGAATTGATGATAGTGAACAATCTCTTCAAATGGAAGGTAATATAAACATTGATGAGATCCACCTTGGTGACAAAACTCTTTACTGAATACTTCGAAAACCAGCTTATGAAGTAATTCTTCACTTTGACTGATTGGATATTAGAAATGATCCCCAAAACTCTTTTAGAGATTTCGTAACTTTGGAATTTAATCTCTTTCACATTGATAACCAACCCATTATCGTCGTTTTCGAAATGACTCAACGCATAGGATAAAAATGGAATTTCAAGGAGCATCAATAACCAACTATAGTTCCGTGCATCTTCCCCAAAAGTGACAGGCACTCTCTTTAACAATTCTAAACACCCTTTCAAGGCATTGAACAATGGCCTCTTTGTGGGCAAATTGATCAATAGGTTGAAAGTGTGGAAAATGTCTTCAAAATCAATATTTGTCTTGTTATAGTGAATTTTCTTACTATTTCTGTTCACCTTGAAAGAGTTGTTCAAGCAACTATAACTTCTGAAACTATTGTACAAGTATTTCGATAAAGGTTCGAAGATCTCATGGGGCTTTGGAGATGAACTCCCATTTAAGCATTTTTCAATAGTTTTCTTGACATACTTACTGGAAATGAAATGTAGTTCTTTACCTTGATCGAATTCATGGAAATAATCTTCAAAATGGGTTAGAATATTGGTGGTTTCACAAACGGAACATCTAAATTTGGTAGAATGTTGTGGATACGAAACTATGGTTGAACAGCAAGTACAATTTATGACAGAAAATTCCGGTTCTTTCATTTTATTAGCTATCTGACCAGCAGCAGCTTATGTGTATTCGATGATGAGTCTTATTGACTGTTTGATGATGAGTCTTTTCAACTGTTTGACAAAGGGTCTTATCAACTATTTGTATGTAAGGATTCTTCAAGTTAATATTATTCCCACTGAAACCGTTGGGATGTGGCTTTGATGTCAGAAAAGAACCACCTTTGGAAATTCTCAAGTACAATCGATTCAATAAAGCTTGATATATCCTCTTAAACAACTACCTTGCGTCTGTGGCTATGAATAAAGGTGAATATGTGGGTAATAGCCTCCAAGGCACAGTGGATCTGTATACGAGTCTCAAATCCACAGATACGCAATCAATGACTTTTAAGGGGCTTATTCCAACAGTTATCTCCTAAACAAATCCGGGATTACTATAATGAACAAACTAAACTTACACCTGTGATGCTAGTTCTCTCACTAAAAGGTTCCTATATCCCTGATGATTCAACTCTTAGATACGATCTCTTAGTTATCTTTTAGACCGCGCAAGATGGTATACTTAGTGTCAGAGATCAGACCTTCAGATAATATCAAACAATCAGTTTCAGGAAGGTTCTTTGGTAATGAAGAATGTTTGGTGATCAATAAGCATCATAAGATTGAATTTTATTCCGTCAACAGTCTGTCAATCGATTTGATAACAACTGTGCACTTGAAAGGTATCTTACACATCAATACTTTCAGACATAAGAATTTAAAGAATGAAGCACTTTTGATTCTTCTTAGAAATGAATTGAAAGTCTTACATTATGACACAGAGCTAAAATTCATTCATTCGGTCAAATTCGACAAAACTGATCAAAATCCCGCTATCAATCCAGTTTTTCAAATAGATAACCTATATCATACTTTAATTGTACACTTATTTGAAGGGTTCATCCACATTTTCACTATCAATGATGATTTTGAGTTTGTTAAGAATGCTGTCAATGTTAAAAGGGTCAAGAAGGGACCGTCAAAAACTAATTCAACGGAGTTATTCACCTTTGATACTCATTTCTTCGATTTCGTAGTTATTGATATCAAGGTCGAAGAAAACGTCATAGTTCTTTACAGAGATTTCAATTATAATTATTATATCCGGGTTTATAGCACAACTTTCCAGATGGTCAGACAATTCAATGAATTCATAGATACCCCCGTCTCCATTATACCTTACAAGAATGGATTTTTTGTATTGACAGATAATTATCTTTTATTTTATACATATAAGACCGGTGTTACAATCAAATATTCACTGGAGATGGGGGTAGACCCAGCTTCGAGTCCTAATTGTTTGGTGAAGAAGATCGATAATTTCTCTATGTTCAATCATTATCAAATCATAGACGATGAAAGGATCTTGATAATCAATAACTCCGGAAAATCATTCATTCTTTACATCAACAGCAATCATTCACATACATTTATGTCTTTCTCGGCGGTGGTTTTGATCCATTTAGGTTTACTGACCATTCCTGCTTCAATCAATTATTTCGATGGGTTGTTCTTCGTAGCTTCCAAGTTATCTCAATCGATTCTATTCAAAATAAATACTGCTGAACCGTTCATTGAGATACTCCATTATTTATGTGGTTCGTTGCCAATAATGGATATTGATTATATTCATAATGATAATATGGAATTGTTGGTATGTCAAGGGGGATACGAGAGTGGTGAATTTTGTAAGATTTCCAACCGAAGTTTCTATATACAAGAAGATGTACATATCTCTTTATCATCAACAGGGAAGTTGGTGAGCTTAGATCTGGGATTGATGGTGGTTAATGACCAATCATGTCAATATATCGAAACTTCAAGACTACTTGGCGAGAAGATCAGTGATACCAACAGCAGTGCTTCCGGTATTTCGTTGTCTCCTAACATATTAGAAGTAAGAATTGGTGGTAAAGGTGAGAGATTGGAAATAAATAAAACTTTTGTTCAATATGGAAACTGGACGTACCGAGGACCTATAGAGAAGTATAAAATCATTGACCATGGTACCTTTTCTTTCTACAGTGGTAACCGAATCATAATTTACCATCACAGACTCATACAGGAATTCAACTTGACTAAAGAGATAAGTGATTTTGATTTCATCGAAGTCAACAATGAGTTCATTGTGTTGGTGACATTCTGGGATGGTGAATGTTCAGTATACCTTGCTAATGATGAAGAATGTGAGCTCATCATTCAAGAAAATTTATCTCCATTCCATGCAACTAGTTGTTCAATCGAACAACTTAATAAATCTGAATGTAGAATCATTCTTGTTAATTCCAACAACGACTTGATACTAAAAACCCTCAATTTCAAGAAGTTTACCATCGATCTAACCAAATTGGTGTACCATTTTCCAGGGAAGACGGTGAAATTGATCAACAATGGCGATAGATGTATTCTATACAACGATAAAATATATGAATTCAATGATAAAGTGTATTGTGTTGACGATAAAACTGGTGATATTGAAGATGTAAGATTCTTCCAAGATAGATTGGTGGTGGCATATACGAAACACTTATCTGTCTTTAAAATACATCCCAGTATTGATACTGTGTACAGTACTATGTTCAACCTCAAGTCCATTGAGGTGGATAAATACTCCGTTCTTTTATCATTAGACAAATCTGTTGATGAGTACAATAAGACCTATCAATTACTGTTGGTAAATCATAGAATGGAGGTTTTGAATGTTTATCAATTTGAAGAGTTACTTATGGTTATTGACATACTTGCAATCCCCTCGATAAACTACGACACTGTCAGTGTTGAAGATATGAAACTTATATCGAAGATCAATTTCTCTGCCAATTCATTCCTTGCTCTCTGTAAAGCAAGTGCAAAGCTTTTTGCTATTAAAAACGGCAAAATTGTGTTCTTGAATGATATAAGATTCGAAAACACCGATAAGGTTACTTTCAAAGAGATCAAAGAAATCAAAGTGCTTGATTTGGATAAAATGACTTTCTTGGTTACTGGAATGGAAAATTTCCTTATCAGGCCAAAGACCATTCAAGTATGGGAAATTCTACCCTTTATTCACAAATCACGCATCTATGCTATTGCCAGTGGATTTACTGATGATTATTTAATACTTGGTGATGTCATGAAAGGATTGGGTGTATTCCGACGCAGAGGATTGAATTTCAGTATTATCAGAATATTCTTGGCTACTAAATTTCTAAGTGATATGATCATTAATGAAGATATCATTTGTGTAGATTCTTACGGAAACATCCAAGGGTTCAATATGGAGTTCCAACAAGTGATCTCATATAATATTGGTGAAACAATCAACACTATCACCAAGATTGATCCTCCAGTACCTGAACAAGATTTTGCTTCGAAATTTGATGGTCCTAAAGAATCAAATCTTGCCCTTCCCAAAGCCATAATTGGAACTAATCTTGGAGGAATCTACCAATTGAGTCAAATCAACGAAGAAACGGAAACCATTCTTAACCAATGTAACACAGAATTGATGTCATTCAAACAATCATTTGGTGACGGTATGAATGGTGAAATGGTTTTACAACAAGATGAAGAAGGAGAATTCATTACTAAACCTATACAAGGTATAATAGAGTTAATGATGGTACAAAATTGGTTGAAAAAAGATAAAGTTTTATCTGAAAATGGAGGAGAGGTTTATGATGATATGAAATTATCACTCCCATCATGCTATTCCCATAAACTGTTTCTTCAAAGGTTGGTGTTTGACAGTTGTCTTTAAGACTGGAACTTACTTCAGATCCAGGAAAACAAATTCGCGAAAATTTTCATGTTTAGCGATCTCAAAATGTTAGACAGTGATGAATCAGTGACATCTATTGAGTCAGTTGAATCATCATTGGACTTAAAAGAATGGTTAAATAGTTCGAAACTGATTCATTTCCGTTTCAATCCAGAAATATATGAAGAAAGTTTGGAAGTAAATGTGTTTGATGAGAAATACAATGATTTTTGCTCAAAGAATTATAAGTTATTACAACAATTGAGTGAGATAGAACAAGAAGATATTGGAGTCATTTATGAAAACAGAGATGATCAAATTGATGGTTTGTTCCAAAATTTGATCGAAAATGTTGAAGGTTTCGTTAAAGAACTTGAAGATATTGAAGAATTGGATTTTGAGCGTATTGAAAGTTATGCCAAAATATTAACCATATTGCATTGTTTGAATGGGAAGAACTTCTCTACTTCCAAAGCTGGAGAAATCAATAAATGGATAAATAAATCAGATCCTCAACCTACAAATGAATTGATAGAAGATATAATGATCATTGAAACTCCATATAAACACCCATTTTTTTGGAATAAACTTATAAATAAATTGATTATACGTGGATTGGTCAATCAAACCATCAAAATTATGGAAAATTGTGGGTTCCAAGACCTTGAAGGTACCAATATTTTCAAAATTATCGAAGATTTCATTGAAATCTTGAAAAATTACAATAAAATGTCAATTCAAAACTTCTATCAATGGAAATTAATTGTGTGTAAGTTTAGAGATTCCATCCCATTATTCAAAGATGATATAGAAGTTGAGCATTTGAAGATTTTGAATGAAATTTCTAATCTTTTATATATATTATCAGGATCAAATAAGTCAATCATAAATAGTTGTGATAATTGGTATGAAATAATAGGTGCTTTGAGTTCATATAAATCCGATACCATTGATAGTGAACTTATTGATGAATTCTACCAAATTGCTATTGATGAAAGACCTCCTGCCATAGATGAAGATAAAACATTCATAGATATCTGGGAAAATAACTACCTCAAAGTCTTGAATAGAGTTGACGAACTTGATAGTGGATTGAGTTCCATTTTATCCAAATTCTTTGATCTCAAAGGGTTCTTGAAACCTTATTATGATCTCCAAACTCTTCAAGATCTTGGTGATCTCAAAGATTTCGAAGAAAGAAGAATTTCTCATTTCTTACTCATAAAATTTTCATTATCTTGTTTGAATAATCATCATTTGGCACCCATAGGGGTTGGTATCATCACCAATTCTAATCTCATTAATAACTTCAAATTTGAACCCATCTTGGCAGAATTTTTAGTCAATTATAACTGTCAAACTAATGACGATTTGGAATGGTGTTTGACTGTATGTATCAAATTCAAACTTCTCGACATTGCTAATGAATTGTTCAAGAAATATAGCTCCAAATCTTTGAACGATGGTTACATTTTCGAATCATTGAACATGTTGGTTAAAACAGGTAATGTCAAAGATAATGCTAAAGAAATCAATATGATTGTTTGGGATTTAATATTTCAAACTTCTTTGGTTAATAATAAACCTATAAGTGATGAATTGATTAATAATATCGTTACTTATAAATTCAAATATGATTTAAATCCTATCATCAAACAATTCTTATCACCTTATGGTGTATTGTTTGAAACTTTCGAACTTTTAAATCATCCTGAAACTAACTACAGAAAGATTTTATTAAACTTATTCAACTTATTGAAATTCATGCATTTACCAAAGAAATTCTTACCTTTGTTATTATCACAAATCATCCCTATAATGGAATACTTGAACAAGAATGATTTGATTGATTTGATTGAAATAATAGATGGATTTGAAGGTAGTTTGGATTCATTATATTCTGAAAGTAATGAGATTTATACCTTTTCCATCAATAACATCGATAAACCTGAACCTTATGATTGGAGACAGTATATGGAAACTAATAGTATCCCAATACCTAAAGATGTCAAACAATTACTTGGTTTCTTAAGGCTAGAAATTTCAAAGAAAATACTGAAGGTGTATATCAGTTAGTCTCTGATTATATAAGCCTGCTTATATAATCGAGCTTACTTAAGCATTCAACAATACGAAATATTCCGAACAAGTAAAAGATATATAGATACAGAAATATAATGAAATAAACAAAGAAATATTTATTAACAAGTAACATCTTGTTGAGCTCTAGAATTTAATAATAAGGCAACGATTAAACCGTATAAACCTAAGACTTCGGCGAAAATTAAGATTAAAATCATACCGACGAATAATCTTGCTTGTTGAGCAGTACCTCTGACACCAGCATCACCAACGATACCAATAGCAAAACCAGCAGCTAAACCGGATAAACCAACGGATAAACCAGCACCTAATTGAATGAAACCAGTGTATAAAGCTTGTTGTTGTTTTAAACCATCGGAAACTAAAACACTAACAACTAAACCATAAATGGCAATAATACCTGCCATAATAACAGGAACAATGTTTCTAACTAATAAATCTGGTCTTAAAACACAAGTGGCACAAATACCGACACCAGCTTTAGCAGTACCATAAGAAGCACCAAAACAAGTGAAAATAATTGCTGAAGCACAACCAATTGCACCAAAGAATGGAGCGTAAACTGGACTATAATTGTTAGTATTGGTCTCGAGTTATATCAAATAGGTTTTATCTTATCCTTGGGATGTGTTATCTTTATCATTAGGAAGTAATATCTTTATCGTTAAAAAGTAGTATCTTTATCATTGAGGTCCCCTTATCGCCATTGCTTGCTCCGATAACTTGGCATTATTGTCTTCAATCCAAGTCAATGGTCGACCAACTGTTGTCTATAAGTATTGATTACCTTCAGGCAACTTAGATTCTTTTGATTTCCTTCAATCTATCATGAACGATAAAACTCGGTCATTCTTTCAAGGAGATAAAGAAACCCCTGAAAACTTCATTGAAACGTGGGAATTTCTACTTTCAATCGACTGAACATTACTTCCCGTGTTAATTGTCAACAAATTGATGGATTTTGTGGAATAATTGATAAAATTCGATGTGTTTTAATGTTAACATACCATAAATCTGACATGATAATGATAATTTTTTTGTCGACGATGAAATTAATCGGTGTAATCCTGGCCTGGTATTTACCACCGCACACCCTCGCCTATTTGCGAATCTGAGAATTTGTTGCTGCGACGAAATTATCCCGCTTGGTACCAGAAGAAGGCGCGAATGGAAGTAAAACGCTCACTTTTTCGTGGTATATTTCATCCTGCGATCGATTTCTTCCCTACTTAGGATTTTTCTGAGATGAGATAAAAGTTTTCAGGTGAGCTATTGCAAGGAGCCTAACGGATAAATAAATAATAGTTTAAAACATGAGTAACCCAAAAGCATTTCCATTAGCTGATTCAGCATTAACTCAACAAATCTTAGATCTTGTTCAACAATCAACTAACTTAAGACAAATCAAAAAAGGTGCTAATGAAACCACCAAGACTTTAAACAGAGGTATTTCAGAATTCATTATTATGGCTGCTGATACTACTCCAATTGAAATCTTATTACACTTACCTTTATTATGTGAAGATAAAAACATCCCTTATGTTTTTGTCCCATCAAAAACTGCTTTAGGTAGAGCTTGTGGTGTTTCAAGACCTGTTATTGCTGCTTCAATCACTACTAATGATTCATCAGCTATCAAAAACCAAATCTATGCCATCAAGGACAAGATTGAATTATTATTAATTTAGATATGTAATATATACTATTTGGTATCAAGCTCTAGGAAAGAGATTAAGAGGAAAGAATGGTTTAAGTGGAAAACTTAGATGCATATTCGAGCACTCGTCAAGTGATTTTCTAAGCTTCTTGCAATGACTGTGACTATGACAATGACTACCAGTTGTTTTCAGTCTTCGTTTTCGTGGTCCTGGTAACTTAACTATTGATTTCTTTAAAAACACTCATCTCTGTTTTTTTCCCGGGAATTTCATTGAATTTAATGTTTTGACTCCTGCAATACATGATTGTAGGATAATACTCTAGAAAACTCTCCAGCATTGGTCTCGCTGTGAAACTCAATCGTTGGTTTTTCACCTCATCTCTCCCAGTATTATATCTCGAAAGTGAGAATGCGCAGAAGTGATGAGATGAGTACCCAAGAAATAACCAAGTTCTTGAGGACACAAGAGACCATACAGATCGTTCCATTGATCGATGACATATTGAATGGCACTAAAAAATTTCCCAATGATCGTGTTTTCCTTTTTGAATTGATCTGTAATAAGTTACATAAATTCAAACAAACTCAAGATCAAGATCCTGAAAAATTCGATATATATAACCATTTACTTTGGAAATACCTTGGTATCTTATGGGGTGAGGTCACATTGGAAGTTAGAAGTAAATATTTCAGAAAGGTTAAGTTTTTGGACATTTTATGTTTAATTTTGAAGGGAAATGATATGATCAGAGAGTTGAACCATATAATACATTTGGTTATACAAGATGATTTGATCAAATTCGACGAAGCTAACTTCAAGAGATACGTTGCATTATTGAAAGAATTTCCTCGTGCCCGTGATTCCTTCAGTGACACGACTCAAGATGTAATACTAGATTGGTCGAACATTCTTGTCCAGTTGATGAGATCTTTCGACTTTAAGGATATTAATGACTCTTTGCCAGAGCTTTTACCGATGTTGAACAAAGAAACTAGTAAACAGATCAAAGTCAATGTCGAAACCATCATCAAGAAGAAAATCAATACTGACAAAATTGGTGATTTGATTGATTCTCAAATACTATCCGATGACAGCATTATTGAACTTTATAGAATCCTCCTTTCAGTGGAAGAAGAATCAAAGGAACGTATTTTTTTGAAGATAGTCAAAAAGCCAAAGTATGAAGATTTATCGATCAGACTACTCAAACTCGTCAAAGGAGGATTATCTATGGAGTTTTTAGACTCCATTTTCGAAGCTGGTAATTGGGAATTAACTCAAACCTTGTTCGAAACCAACGATAATCTCACTATTCACAAGACCCCTTTGGTTATTGGTGGTATAGATGAAACTAGCAAACAGGTGATTCCTACCATTATCTCCTCATACATAAGATCAAGACAATTCTCAAAATTGATTGAACTTTGGGAACAACAGAAACATGATATTTGGTCTTCTGAATATGTTGTTGACGCTGTATCATCGCAAGTAAGTAAATTACCCTTATTGGAAGTTACTGAAGCCCTCAAATCTTCAAGATATGAGGTTATTTTAGCTGTCATAAAGGGTTCTAGAGTGAGTTTGGATTCCATTAAATCATCAGTCTTAGAACTTCAACTCACTTGGGAATTGAAATTCTACCTATTATCTACATATCCTGAATTAATTGGTGATTTGGAAGCTCACAAACAGCCTCATGATCTCAAAGATCATTACTTCTTTTACTATCAATTCAGGGTTTTAGAATTGAAAGGTATCAATGATAATATCAGTGGCACCACTATGGCAAATTTTAAACCTAACGATCCAGTTTATTTCATCAAAAGATGGTTTAAAGTTATTGATAAGTTTGATCTCGATGTAGAGGTTTCCGACATCGAAATGGTAGAAGTATTCAAGAATGACGAAATATTTGAACACCCAAAATTGATGGAGAAGCTCATCTCCAGAATTCATGACCTCGAGTTAATTCCTATGATTCCTATCCAATGTTTTAGTAAGCGTTTGAAGGAAAAGTTTGTGACTTTGTCAATAGAGCAAGAGAATTATAAGACCTTAGAGTATCTTTTACCCTCATTCAGCTCAGTCCTCGAAACAAATGCTGCAAAATTAATCGAATTTACTAATCCAGAAAACTTAACCATTTTCAAGAAGATATGGATCAATTCCCAAAAAGAATTCAGAATAGAATTGTTGAATCTCTTAAAATCAGATTTAAAAAATTCATTGATCATTGATATTGTTTTGCGTACGAAAACCACCAAATCCAAAATCAATGATGACACACATATAGAAGAAAATAAGAAAGTAGATGCCTTGAAAGAGAAGTATTTCAAATTTATCGAAAATCAATTGAACAAGACAAAGAATGAAGCTGAAATAATTGGTTATTTGAAATCTTATGATAAAACTTTGCCATTACCAATCATCAAGAAATTGGGTGAAATCAATTCAAAAGATATCAACGAATTGTTATTCAAATCATTCACACAATATTCTGATGTCTATAAAGTCTTAGCTCTTTATATGCTTTTGGATATTGATGAAAGCATCATCATCGAATATTTGAGAACTCAGCCAACGGCCGCTGGTTTCGTGGTTGTATCTTTCGAATATGATTTAATTTCATATAAAGATTCAATTGACAATAAAACCATAAGAAAGTATATCAGTCTTTTCAAATGTTTATTACAAATTGGTGGAGAACCTTGGTTACTCACCCACTTCATTTCCAAAGTCTTATCCAACCTTGATACTTTTACCAATCACACCATAGATGTTCTTAACGTTATCGAAAGAGCAGAAAATCTTAATCAGTATAATATTGAATTGATTTTGAACTTGATCTATAAACTTGACTACAATACTACTGACGAAGAAAGATTTAATTTAGCATGTAAGATTTTATCCAATATCTTACTTTTCAAAAGATTCAGGTTATCATCTAGAAACCATTTGATCGTTTCTAATTTATCTAAATTGACGACAGCATTGACCGTGGATAAGCCATTGAGTGAATCATCGATTTGTGCTTTCAATCTTAACAAATTGATCAACAATTTATGTAATCCTCCTATAAAGGTCAACAATTTAACTAACAAATCCGTCAAAATCAAGAAACAAGTATCTTTCCACATGACAATCTATATAATCAATTACATCCAAATGAGTTTGAGTCACAATTTCAACAAAGCTATCACAAATGAATTGGCCAATGCTATATATGAAATTTTGAATATCTGCTCGAAGAATGATTTAAAACTCATCAATAATTATTTGGATACCCAAGGAAAATTCTTCTTCAAATCCTTATATAAGGATTTCTTGACATACGGTAAATGGAATGAATAGACGCTTTTAACAGACTCTACAAAAATCTTGTTGGATCGTTTGAAATCAATTGGCCCAACTTTCTCTTTATATCTACTGATGTAGATACTAGAAGATCCCAAAGTTTTCTTTCAAATTGAGGTTCTTGCGGTTTATGATGTACGGAATGTTCATATCTCAATACATCTTTTCTGGTTATGAGACCAACCAAACACCCATCAGATTCTACTAATATGTATCTAGGTCCTAATTTGACAAAAATCTCAGCCACATACTCCAATGTGGTATTGGAACTAATGGTCAAGGGGCAAGGATTGACGAGTTCTCCCATATTCAATTGTTCGTCGTTGTGGGTTTTAGAAAGATTCACCACCATTTCATCAGGTAGTTCCCTATTCTCGAAAAAATATCTTATATCAGAAGTGTTGACGAACCCCGATATCTTGGGGGTAAATTCATTGTCGATGACGGGGTAACCTCTATAATCATTCTTTCCAATTATTGACTTCAATTTTCCTACTGTCAAAGGTGTATCGCTGATTACAGGTAATGCTATCAATACATTAGACATAGCTTTTTCTACGCTATTTAAATTGAAAGAAATATCTTCTTTGGGATCAATCAACGGTAATCCATTGAAAGTGATCATCTGATCAGCTATTCCTCCTTTACCCCATTTGTCACCTATGAATTTAGTAACGCCTACAACTATCATGGTAGGGATGATGTACCTAATAGCCCCAGTTAATTCGAACATGATGACAATAACAGTCACTGTTAAATGTGTAATACCACTCAATGTGGCAGCTGAGCCTAAAAATGCATAAGTTCCCGGTATGACACATTTGTCTGTAGTGCAGTTTTTGAAAATGAATAAATCAGGATTTTTGTTGTAAAACATTTCCATCAAAACTCCAACGAGTCTACCAAAGGTAGCCCCCACAGCCATTGAAGGCACAAATATACCTGCAGGTATTTTACAACCATAGGTTATGATAATCAAAAGCATTCGTATCACTGTGGCCATAAACAATGAAACTATCAACGAGCCACTATTAGATTTACATATCTTCAAGTCATTTATCCCATTACATTCGTTGAAAAGAATCTGCATTGATTCTGTCATATCAATTTTCAAAAATTGATTGAAATAACTGATAGATGATGTGAATAATGCTAACAACAAAACCTCCCTGACTGCAAAATTTGTAAGATATTGTTTTCTGAAAGATACCCACATGATATTGAATTTGGATTCGACAATACCATAGAATCCTCCGAAAAGTCCCAACAATATGTAAACCGGAATCTCATAGTAATGCCAGTCCGTATCATAAACAACTTCAAACATTACCAATTGACCCGATCTGAAAGGGTTTATAGTAGCAAGGGTTGAAACAGCTACTAAGGAGCAAAAATATGATTTGAATATGGTTGATAATTGAAATACGTTGGAAATTTCTTCCATGGAAAATAGCACCCCACCCATAGGTGAACCAAATGCAACAGCAACTCCTGCTGCTGATGTAGCAGTTAAAAACTCTCTAGCTTTGGAAGCTGATTTTCTGTACTTTTCGAATAATTTACCGATAGAATTCCCCACACTCACAGCATAATGTACTGAAGGCCCTTCCTTACCAATACTCAACCCTGAACCAATTGCTAAAGGCAAAGTGATGGATTTTATCAATAAGGTTGACCATCCAAGGAATCCTCTCATGGAGAATCCTGACACTATACATTTGATTTCTGAAATTCCTGACCCAGCAGCTAAAGGTGAATATCTCAACACTATGGTAGTTGTTAAATATGCAAGAAACATGGATATAAGGATATATTGGAAATAATTCAAAGTTTCATATGGCCACCATGTATGCCAGCTATCACAATGGCCCTGTTGGTAACAACAAAAGGTTTCGTTCAAGTAAAACCCCTTGGAGCAATATCCAAATCGTACACTTGCAAGCCATGCAGTTATCACGTTCAAGGAACCAGCGATCAATCCTATCGTTACCCCCATGAGAGATAACACTAGCCAGTTCCTAATAAACGAGAACAATTTGATCTTTAAGGAGCTTTGCAAGGTTTCGGTTTGAGAATTCTTATGATTTATCAATTCATCTTCAACCCAATCGATTGTTACGAATTCATCGAATCTTTTCACCTCATTGATGGATTGTTGGTTCTTCCATTTACCTTCTCGATCTCGTAACTCCATTAACTTTTTTCGCACCAAAATTCTGCCATTATCCTAGGACTTTTAGCGAGAGAATGGTCGCATTGATACCATAGTTTTTGGTGCGAGACTAGCGTAAATTTTGGCTGTAATTAAAACATTAGCCAGATATTTATCAACTTCATTCTATTATCTATAAATCTATTTATGTATCTATCTGCCACAAAAGAAATCTGTCTGCAGACTCCATATAACATACTCCACTATTCTTGAATATATTTCCATATGTTGTCACGGTATTGGTCGACTAAACCTTCATCAAATCCATCGTCGTATTCGAAATAAGAAACGATGATACTCAATCCCCCAAGTTCAGTTGAAACCACACCGATCATAAAGTCAGATGCGGCTGGACTCATATCTTGACTAAACACTAAGTCGAGAAGTTGGAATTTAGAGCCATCATCTTTAGGGATTCTGATCAATCCCAAATTAGATAATTTTGTTGTTTCAGGTTTCTCTTTTCCTAAAGCTTTATCAAAGAATTGACTTTCATTCCCAGTACCACAGACGTCTCTCCAAGCTCTAACTTCGTATAAAAGTTTATCATTGTTTGCAGTGGCTTTTAAGTTTTTGTTGAACTCAATGACATCATCCCAACTGAAACTCTTGATATGTAAATTTTGATTCAATCCCATATGAGGTGAGTTACCCCATATCTTATAATCTTTATCCCATGGAATAAATTTTCTCAATGCTATTGCCACTTTGTTCACGGAATAAGTGTCCTTGTATACCGATTGGAAGGTCAAAGCAAAGATAACATCTAAATATGAAGTTAAAGTAACATTTTTCTCTTTACATTTCTTCAAAAGGGTTTTCAATTCGTCAGGGTTGAATTTTAAAAGCTTGAATGCAATATCTTTGACGTCCTTGGTGTTCAAGAATCTTCCGGAATATCTAGGGTATGGGGGTACCTTGGACATGAAAGTTTCATTATGAGGCTCGTCATACTTCATATAAGCATCAATTGGAGGAGGTAAATCATTGGCTAATAAAGTTTCATCAGTGGATAAATCAAACAAAACACTCTCCATTTCATTATCTTCGGAGTCCATGATTCTCAAATACTTGATAAACTCTTCATGGAAGTAATTCCCGTTAATACCGTCAAAAACTGCATGGTCAAACACTGCTGCTAATGTGGAGCTCTTCTCATTGTACAAAACTTTGAATAACGCCTTTTCAACACCCAATTGGAAAGTAAAGGAGTTAAGGAATTTCATACCCTCTTCATTGAGTAAGTTATCAGTGATATACTTATCTTCTAAATCTACGTAAACATCATCGAATGTGATCTTTTCCACCGGTCTCAAAAGGGACTTTTGGTCATCGGGAAATACATTACAACTCAACATCCCATTTTCAAGGATAACTTTCCTCAATACCTTACTCAATGTGTTTTTACTGAAACTATTGGAATAAGTTCCTGCTACTTGAAATGTTTGATAATATCCAAACTCTTGTCTACATTTGAACAAAGTCTCGTATGTACTTAAATGTCTTCCTTTCATTGATGCTTTATCCGCTAACCTCCTATATTTGAGTGAGGAACTAATGAGTCAAAAGTACGTTATATAGTTGCAAAATGCGAGTTCACTGATCCGTGTGATAGACGGATCAATGATATTGTGTAGTACACTACCTTGAATTGGTGAAGAATCTTTTGATATTCGGTCGTGCCAATGCTAATTACAGAATCTTATTGTGAATAGACCCATGACGTTAAACCACTAAAAAAATTCATTGAAAGCAATAAAAGAGTCATATTAACTTTGAAAAAATTAGCTTCGAATACTTCGTGTGTAGGGGCGGTCCAAATGTACTCTCATATTTAACCAATGGATCTAAATCCAACTAAACCTAAATTTCATCAATCGGTACAATTTGCGATATTTGCAAATATTTCATTTAATAATTTCAATTCGACGTTATATGGGAGTAGCCTCTCAATCTCTATCAACCTGAAAACTTCTGCTCCTCCGTAAAGTCCAGTTTCCAAAGAGCAATTATACGTTAATTATTTTTTTCATCAACTTGTCTTAAATACATGCAAGGAGTCTTAAGTTGTTGACATCATAGTCACGTGACGCATGCACAAGATGGAACTCCTGATTAAGTAAGCAAGGACCAAAAAATTAAGAAGAAAATTGAGACCAAAAAAATCATCAAAAGCAAACTTGGAAATTCATCGAAACTTCAATTAAAATCCACTAAAAAAAAAAGGAAACTCAAACAATCAAGACTAACCATACCAAACAAATTATAGTGATCATTTATAAACACCGATCACAATCAATTAAAACCCAATTTTTTCAAATTTATTAGGGCAAACCATTATCTTGACAGTGAATTCAATTCCCTGGAGGGATAGTTAAGATGCTACCAAGTAAATTTAATTCATCGAATGAATCATCAAATTCTTCCAATATCATGAATTCTATAATCAATAACTTCTCTTCAGAGAGTTCATCACCTGATAACAAGAATATCAAAGGACCATTGGATGATTCAAAAGAAGATTTAAATAGCAAAGATAGCGAGGATTTCAAAGAAATTAATAATAAGGACGAACTTAACTTGAATAACGATGGGGACAGTAATACAAATTCCAATGAAGAATATGCTCTGTCTAATTCAATATCCAAGATTTTGAATCCAGAGGAAAATACTAAAATTAAGAAATATTTCTGTCCCACTTGTAATCAAGGATTTACCAGAAAGCATAATATGATCAGTCATGAATTAATTCATAGTCAAGTGAAACCTCATATTTGTTCTGTGTGTAGTGCAAATTTCAGAAGGATTCATGACTTGAAAAGACATGAAAAATTACATACTGGTGAGAAACCATATAAATGTGACTATTGTCAAAGATCTTTTGCTAGACCAGATTCATTGACAAGACATCAAAACAGTCAAAATGCATGTCCAGGATTGAATAAAATGAAACAAGCTCATGGGGCTGTTGTTTTGCCACGTCAAATTCCTCAACAACTACCTAACCAATTGCCACCGTCAAATCAACTGCTGATGTCTCCCAATAATCGTTATTTGAACATGTCAACAGCTTCTTCATCGAATCCACCCAACTCAACAAATTATCCTTACGAACCCTCGGGTCATAGTACTGATACCTATCGATCGGACGAGCGATATTCCAGGGATAATTCTCGTAGAGACAAATTTGAGTTACCTCCAATCAGAAACTTAAATAATAGAAATCCTGATAAAAGACATGTAACCACTTCAGATAATCATAATAGTGGTTATACTACCACAACCACTACTATCACAACCACACATCATAATGAACCGGGTAAGGATGAGAACGAAGAAAGAATGAAACATGATTACGAACATAATTTGGCTGTACAAAGATACCAAGAAGAAAACAGGCGTAATGAAAACGATAGAAAACGAACTGAAGGTGATCAAGCCAAGAATTTATCCAGTAACAGTGGAAGTACCAAATCAAATCCACAACAAACCTCAGGTTTCGAAGAAAGTGAGCATTCAAGACCTAATCTTTACCCCAGTGGTCTGTTCAATAATCAAAATCAACAATTTGGCACTTATAATAATCAGTACAATAACAACCCATATAACAATTCATACGGTGGTCAGTACCAGAATCAGTACCCCAACCAGAATTTTAATCAAATGCAAAATCAAAATCAGAACCAATTCCGTAATCCAATGCCCAGGAATGTCGATGACAGAAGAAGAGCATACGACTACTCTGATGATTACATCAGCCTTTCCAAGTATAATGATCTTGCATTGTACACCCAATCTTTGGAAGAAAGTCTTAATAAAATTAATAATAGGATCCAAAATCTTGAAGATGAGAATGTCGATAATCGTATCGATAGAGAAAGATTGAAACAAATCAAAGATGAAAGACGTAAAAGAAAAAGAAAGTTGAACATCGATGATTCTGGTACTTAACAACCACATTCGAGGTTGTAATAATGATGAATGATATATAGATATGTAATTTTAGGACACTATAATATTGATCTCTCTATCTGGATGTAAAATGAGAGATTCTGATTTTGTTTCCCATCGCATTCTCCACCCTTAGATTGCATCTTTGTAAAATACGTTGAGATCTTCAAGATACAATTTGGGACTCTAATATTTCTAACAGTAATATGACATGACAGATGTCTTTGGATGGAGGAGATACCAACATTTTCCCATATTGACACAATCTAATTGAAGGGCCCAAAAGAAGGGTCCATTTTTGTGATTAAATAGATGTTTGTGGACCTTTGACTCAGGCGTTCTTAACAATTGGGATACTATACTGCATTATCTAGCATTTTATGGCGTCACCTTTCATAACATGTCATGCAAATGCATTCAAAATTGCAGAATTTCTCGTTCCATGGTGGTGGTAAATATTCAAATTTTCGATGATATTCTCTGGTCCTAAGAGAATTCTAGCTTGAAAAACGACAACGTATTTGTGGACATTATTTGGTTTTTTCAATTGCAAACATTATCGTTGGTACAGGACATCAGACTTCTGAAAACTATAAATGGGGATAATTGCCCTTCAAAGAGTATTCTTTTGTATACTTTTTTTCTAGTATTTTTAGTTTTACAAAATGTACTTTTCAAGAAAGATTTTTACGTTTACTTCACATGGTAATACTTCCCCTAGTACAGTTTCACCCTCAATTTGCGAGTCCCTTGGTGGTATATCACCCCCAATACCCACCATTCTGATTTCAGAGCCAACCTACGACTCACTCGCTGAGTTCTTTGACAACTTGCCCACAGTTGAAAGTTCTTTTGGCAGTGATCGCTGCCCTACTGGTCACAATTGCCATCCCAAATCCAGAGCTGAAGATAATTATAGCTTCAGTGGGAACGGATGGCCATTGGGTGAGAATATACAAAGTCAAGTCCAATCTGGCATTTCTTCCACCGAAAGTGTTGAAGTCAGACCATGGTGGAAGTCTCCCACCCCAGATTTTGTGCCAAAATCAAAACGTTTGAAGTCCGGACCATTTTATAAAAGATCGAAGGTTGTTTATGTCCAAAAGTGTTCACGATATGACCAATACAGATATAGAATTAAGACTATGGCCAAAGCAAAATTCAAGAGCGGCTTCATCAAAATATTCGGAGAATATGAACGTCCAATTCAATGTGGCCCACTACCTCGTGTTGAATATGATACCGTTTCGACTTATATTAGTCATGGGACCATCTATATATATGGAAAACCTCCAAAAGATTTTGTTCCTGAACCCGCTGATGAATTTCCATACCAACCAGATGATAAACCATTCCCAAATCCAAGCACCATCAAATCAAGCTTCGTCTACCCATATGATGAACCACATCCAACGCTTACTTCCGAGGTCGCTAACTCCGAATGCTCGGGTGTACTTACCCCTGTTCATTACAGTTTTGGTGACAGCTATTATGAAGAGAAGTCCTCCAGCGCCGATTTCTACCCCACAGAGAGCACGGTCGAGCCCAACTATCCTTCCTTTGCCAAAATATCACACGAAACCTCAGATCTTTACTCTGATGGAGGCGTTTTTCAGCGAATCATTGATTTTCCACAAGTAATTGATCATTATGAATCGCTCTCCAGTTCTTTCTACTCGGATGTTGATGTCTCCACTGCTACCTCACATCCATTGAGAACCGTCAACGAATTGGACAATTTGCTGCATGAGATCGTTCTAGTCGAAAATGGGTTACAGCTATCGTTGCCTTCGAAAATCCATGATGCATTATACATGCAATCAAAGGATTCAATAGCAAGTCCTAACTATTGTGATTTCAGCACCAATCACCATAACATATCGAATGGTATCAAAGGCCATCTCAATTGCGAAGGTGATGGAGTAGGACCTGACCTGGCGGCTCACGTACAAAAGCGATTGGTTTCTAGTCAAACTTCCTTACTGAAACCATTTGAAGATTTACGAACTACGCATGTCTTTAACGAAGCGGTGGATTGTACTGAAATCTTTGAAGAATTAAGGGGAAATCCAAGATTTTTTCAAATTTTCAAACGAGATGGATCCTTCAAGGACTTACAAAAAAGAGGAAGAGAAAAGTTCTTAAAATTTGTCAGTCAACACAAGTCGATTAAATTTCCCATAGGAGCTCATTCAAAACCTAGAGAAGATATTGTAGCCAAATCTGAGCACTCTTCCAAAAGAATAATCAAGAATGAGACTCTTCGTGGTCTACCACCCTCACAGACTGTTTCTCGTTCTACGAAGCTATCAAAACGAAATTTGATAAGGTTTGTCCGCTCAAAATGGAAGCCAGTCCCCCTTTGTGAATCTGGAGATTTATTTGACACGCCTGATTTATCAATCGTCACTCGAGTTGGTGATAGAGAACCATACCTGGAAATAAAACACTCGCCCAGTATCTCGAGTGTGGTTCCCAATTCCTATTTTGATTCTTTGGTGTCACTTGAAAATTCAAATTCACAATCGTTGAGGGGCCACTTGGGAGTGGAATTATATTCTTCACCTTCGTATTCTGAAAATAGGCCACCCTCTTCAAGGGGTCATGAGCCTGTCTCAATACCAATTGAAGATTATTGTTCGGATTATTCAACAATTCAGCCACTTCGTATCATTAAGAACCAGGTCGCTCAAAGGGATACAAGATTTAAGCTAACAGAGATTCTCAAACCCCAACCAGCTCCACCACTTCAATTTAAGAGTAACAATCCATATCAAAACAAATCCAGTTCAAAGTCCATATTTACTCAGGGCTCAACATCACAAGAACACGAAAACTATGCTTCGAAGGAAGATAAGACAATACCACTCAACATTTGCAAACAGCATGATAGTAAATATCAAACTACAGCTTCAACTCCACCTATTCCACACTCATCTGAAGTCGAACGCTTACAAACTTTGAATCTTCCAGTTTCAAAAGATAGTGACAACCCTCAATTCACACGGCTGACTGATCAAATCACATCGTATCCGGAAGGTAGGTTTACCATTCAGGAGACAGATTCTTGCATGAGCTTCAAAAGTTTGAATATTAACAATAATAAGGAAATCAAGATTTCTTCCTTAGGAAGTATGTTTATTGTCGAAGGTAAATCTCTTGAAGATAGTAAAATGACCAACATCAAATCCATAAAGCCGGAATTCACAATTAATTTAGAAAAAAGAGCTGGAAGGCGTAGGCAGCTCAAAGACATGAAGTCCAGAATGACCATAAAAAAAAGGATGATGAAAAAGACATTTAAAGAGGGTTTCTCGTTTAGACACTTATTTCCTGAGGACTTTAGTTACTGCCAATCGAACATTGGTATAATAAATTTAAATTTGAAATACTTCCCTTTCAGGGCCAGGTATAGGTTGAAAAAAGTATTTCTCGAATACTTGTTGGGTCATTATCCAATCCAGGCGGTATTTCAAAGTTCTATTGGAGAGAATTGGAAACAGGTCAGACACACATTTCAATTATTTGCTTTAAAAGTCAGAGTAGAGATTTTATATTTGTTACACGAATTCAGAAATCATGAGTTAGATTTTGAAGTGCCAATATGGTGGTACGAATTGAAAGACGCAATCAGAAAAACAGTGGCCTTCAAACCCCAACATCACGGCCATATCGGTCCCCGTTCTATCACTTACCAGTCAAGTTCAAGGAAAAATTTCCAACAGCGGATGCTACAATTTTTGGAACAAAAACCCGATATTCTTGAGCAACTTACTGACATTTATTTTCAGAAGGATGCTATAAAGTTAATGGAGTTGAGGTCTTTGGGTATTAGTGTTGACTCTTTTTATGCTAGAGCATGTTTAAATATAGCAGAATTAACACCCCCAGAAGTTGCAAAAAGGTTCTCCGATCATTTTCATCCTCGAGATTTTGATCCTAACTATATAAGGTATTACCGTGACTTGAATGAATTACTCGAGAAGTCTAGAAACGCAAATTTTGACTTGGCTGACCAACGTCACCATAACAAGACCTTTAATTCCACGTATGGCAATGCGAGATACAATGCTTCAAACATTCATAAAAATTCAACTCATAGATTTGTTAGAGAGTCACGCTTTCACAATCTCCATGAGCATTACCCTTATCTTGATGCCCATATCCATCCACGAGTTTTTGAAGTTCATACGAATGATTCAAAAAGGATAAGGAACTCGTTGAATAATACTAGAGGCAACATCGAGGAAACTTCGTTGCCTATGAAACCTTGCATACATGGTTTGATCAATTGTTCTGCTTGTCGTGCTAGCATGATCAGTGGAAGTGACACCTTGGAACACGGTTCATACTTCCACCAATTCAATTCAATACCTACTTTGGCTACTCGAATTTGTGATTTCTCGAACAATTCTCTTTCGGATGATAACGGTGCTCCCAGAATCAAATTGAACTTTTTCAACTTTGCCGATACGATGGGACCCAGTTCCTCGAATAATCACTCAATACATTCCTCAGTTGAAAATTCCAAACACACCTTTGAAACGACCATTCGGCCGCTCGAGGAGTCTTGTATCAATGGCTTAAAATCTTCTGCAATTCCTCCTCAAGAAAAGACCTTCAGAATTAATTTTGACAAAAGAATGCTGGACTATAGGTCGACTTAAGCGAAGTGACATATCTAAACTCAAAATCCTTCGACAAGAAAGCCACCAAATTCTGACTGAGTGGTGGGTGGATGCTTGTGATTTATTGGCTTTCCAAAGTCCACCCTAGAATAGCTTATGTTCGCCAACAGAAACAGAGCTGTTGAGTGAAAACGACAAACCTTTTCAAACAGTTCAAAATTCTGAATCAGCTCACGAGAGCTTGAAACCAGTGAGACTCGCCAATATTTGATAGACCTGTAAGTCAGTTCCTTCAGAAAGTATAATATTCGATGAATTGGTGAGATTTTTCGATATATAGACCTTTGCATTTGACACAGAAGTCATTTAGCGGTCTCACCTATAGAGTTATTCTAACTCAACTAAGTCATGTTTTCAAACTTATAGATCAAAATAATTTGAACTTTCACTCCCTCTCTCTTTCCCTTTATTATTCCATATCAGTACTATGCTGCATCTCAATTTCAAGCTGTGCGGTTTAAAGAATTTGCAATTCGGTATACACACTACTGATAACATTAAAAGTGAGGCAAAAAACTCCTTAAGGATCAAATCAATTTATATATTCCTAAGGAGATTTAAATTGATTAGTGATTAAAATAAAGAACATTAAGTGTTCAGAAGTGAATTTTATTACTACTTATTAGAGCTAGATTATAAGGGATTTTTGTCTGTAACTACAAATAAGTCATTTTTTGCCATCAATTGTATCAGTAGTAGTTATAGTTAAGTACGATCTTAAATTTATTGAAGATCAAAAGAACAACGATAATGAGTATTATTAGAAATAGCGACGAGGACTGGTCAATTATCTCATCGTCATCTGACTTTGACGAAAGAAGCTCTAATGCATCAGTCAATGGAGATGATAAGAATGATTTTGAGGGGGTCATCAAAAATGAAAGTGATTCATTTAATGATTCTGAAGTCACTCAATTGATCAAAGAAATAGAAGAGCAAGGCTCAATTGGAAGTTTGAGATTACCCAACTTATCCGGTCCATCTCTGAGGCAAAGTTCTTTTGGATCTGATTCAGGAACAAAAATGGACATCAAATCTGATCTTGTTAGGAGTGATGCTACCATTACGACCCATCAAGTTAAATCGGACGGAAATGAGGCAGACAAGTCGGTCGATAAAATCATCAGTTTTTATGAAAGTTTGTCAGCAAACACTTTGAAGTTGCACAAATCGATTAAGGAGCAAGGGGAGAATTTGTACACTAACAAGTTGAAGGACTTAAGATTGAAATTCGATTCTGCCATGTTTGATTCCGTATATCAGTCAGTTTCAAACTGGATGCTGGTTAATTCCCAGTATTTGATATACCTTTCAATAATTCCCAGTTCAATCATGATCTACGTCTTGTACTCCAGACTCCTTGTTACTGAAGAACCTCCTCAAGATTTCTGGAATTATTCGATGTACAAATCAAGGCAAGTTTTCAATGATTTGATTTATGAAGAAAACGTATCTTGGTTCGGAACTAAAAGTAAAAAGAATAGATTTGCAGGTTTCTTGGAGTACTCCGCTTCAGAAAGTGTCAACATTTTGAATGCTTTGAAATCCACCACCAACGTATTCATGAATAGACTGATAGTTAGACTCAATGCAATTGGTCATTATACACACTTCCATGGTGGCTATTTCTATGAAGTAGCGAAATCCAAATTTGATCAATTTTGGGGGTATTCTGAAATATATTCGAAAACTCTTATGGAAGGATTGAAAACGAATGGAGTAAAGATCATTCTGGAAATAAAATGTGTATTTCCCTCGTATATCAGTAAAGTCAAAAGTGATTATGTCAAATTGTTCGAATCTGTGAAAGCCGAGTCTATTTCATTATCAAAAACTGGGGTACAGGGAGGAAAAGATTTCTATGAATTGATAAAGAATGAGGGAGTTTCAAGTTTGAATTTCATGAGAAACCAAGGTCAAGCTTTCGTAAGCTTTTATTCAAATCAAGTTAAACCCTTTGGAATTCAAAAGTTTCACCTTTCAACGATCCAAATGAAGGGCTTTTTCGATACAAGCGTGGCAGCTGCAACTAGAATGATCAACTTTGATTCCAAGAATGCTGGGGTTTTAGTTTCAAGAATTTCAGATGTCTTCAAGTTATATAAATCAAGGGTGGGGGAATTGGTGAACGAATTGTACACCTCAGCCAGATGATAAGAAATGGAATTGTAATTCCAAACGAATAGATAAATGAATTGTTTTAACGGAAAGAATTGGTTGGTATGTGATTTTTGTTTTAGTGTCAATGTTATATTTATTGGGATACCTTCTTAATCTAACGACTTTCACGAATTCTCATTAACTATATCCTCATAGTTCTCAACAACTCTCAACTACTTCTTTTGATGCAAATTTTCGCGAAGTTCAACAAATAATCAATCTGGACAATAATGGGTATCCCAAAATTCTTCAGATTTATATCGGAAAGATGGCCTACTATATCACAACAAATAGATGGATCACAAATACCAGAGTTTGATAATTTATATCTTGATATGAATTCAATCTTACATGCTTGTACCCATTCTAATGACGGTACTATAACAAAGTTAACTGATGATCAAATGTATGGAGCTATATTTCAATATATTGAACACTTATTCGAAATAATCAAGCCTCAGCAGACCTTTTATATGGCAATTGATGGTGTTGCTCCAAGAGCTAAAATGAATCAACAAAGAGCTAGAAGATTCAGAACAGCCTATGAAGCTGAAGAAAACTTGAAGAAAGCTATAAAAGAAGGTTTAGAAGTTCCAAAGGATGATCCTTTTGATTCAAATTCTATTACCCCTGGTACCTTGTTCATGTCTAAATTGACTGATAATTTGAAGTATTTCATTCATAAAAAGGTTTCTGAAGACTCCAATTGGGCAAATATTAAGATTATTTTATCAGGTCACGAAGTTCCAGGAGAAGGAGAACATAAGATCATGGAATATATTAGACACATGAAAAGTCAAAAAGACTACAATTCTAATTTAAGACACTGTATTTATGGATTAGATGCTGATTTAATTATGTTGGGATTAGTTAGTCACGATCCCCATTTCGCTTTGTTGAGAGAAGAAGTCACCTTCGGTCCAAGATCAAAGAACAAATCAACAAACGTTAGTGACCAAACATTTTTCCTCTTACATGTATCATTATTGAGAGAGTATATGTCATTAGAATTTCAGGAATTAGACAACGAGTTGAATTTTGAGTACGACTTTGAAAGAATCTTGGATGACTTCATTTTAATCATGTATGTCATTGGTAACGATTTCTTACCCAATTTACCTGATTTATTCATCAACAAAGGTGCTTTTCCATTATTGATTGAAACTTTCAAACAAAGTTTGAGACAAATGGATGGTTACATTAATGAAGGTGGAAGAATTAATTTGAAAAGATTGAGCATCTGGTTGAAATATTTATCCCAATTCGAATTGGAGAATTTTGAAAAAGCTGATGTAGATATCGATTGGTTCAACAAGCGTTTAGAAGATATTTCCATTACTGGAGAAAAGAAAAGAGAGAAATTAGGAAAATTGATCATCAGTAAAGACGAAAAAAAATTAGTTGGGTTTATCAAACCTTGGTTGATGGAAGTGATCAATTTGGATTATAAAACATTGGAATCCTCAATTTCCAATGATTCTTCTAAGGTTTCTATTAACTTGAACTCTCAACATTCGAACGATTTTATCTTGAAAAACTTCGAATTTTTAAAGAAACTTTGTCAAGAATTAGGTTTGTTGATTATTCATTCGAGATCGAAAGATAATTATTTGATTCAATTAGACGTGGACGGTATAAATCCCCAGGAAACAGATGAAGATTTCAACGAACGAATTAACGATACAAAGAAAGTCTTCAAGAAATATCAATCGGCAGACTTATTTGAGACAGACTCATTCGTCGAAGAGTCTAAAGACGTTTATAATAAAAAGTTCATGGACTGGAAAGATGGTTATTACAAAGATAAATTAGGGTTTTCCATCTATGATGAAAAGGAAATGGTCGAATTGACTAAACATTATATCGAAGGTTTACAATGGGTCTTATTCTATTACTACAAGGGTTGTCAATCATGGAGTTGGTATTACAAATATCATTATTCTCCTCGTATTTCTGATATCACTATTGGATTACAATATTTATTAGACCACGAAGAAGCGATTGAATTCGAAATGTCCAAACCTTTCAAGCCTTTTGAACAATTGATGGCTGTCTTACCAGCTAGATCGAAGAAATTAATGCCCTTAATTTATCAAAATCTCATGATTGATCCTCAAAGTCCAATAATTGACTTCTACCCTCATGAGGTTGACATTGACATGAATGGTAAAACTGCTAGTTGGGAAGCTGTCGTTTTATTGAGTTTTGTTGATGAGAAAAAATTGATCGATGTTTTGAAACCGATCGAGGCCAAATTGACCCCTGAGGAGACTAAACGTAATTCTTTCGGTGGAGACATTCAATTCATTCATAATCCTCAATTCGATTCACTTTATCCTTCTCCATTGCCAGGATTTTTCAATGATGTGGAACATGACAGATGTATCGAAGGGGTTTTTAAATTACCACCAATTGATAATTTCAAAGTCGGTTTATTAGAAAATGCTAAGGTTGGTAAAGAAGCCTTAGCTGGCTTCCCAACTTTATTCAACTTGCCGTTCGAATCTGAGTTGATTTTGAATGAAACAAGAGTTTTCCAAATGGGTTCTAGATCTGAATCAATGGTTTTGAAAGTTGACAACATCTGGGAAGAATACACAAGTCAACAATTTTCCGACAAATTCTTAGGAGAAATTGTTTATACTAGATATCCCTACTTGAGGGAATCCAAATTGGTCGAAATTGTCGACGGTGAACACAAATATGAGTTCAAGGGTAAAAAATTGGTTACTGAGTTGGAATCATCAGAGATCAAAGACTTCAAGCAAGAATTAACTAATATCAACTACGATTATTTGAAAACCAAAGCTATTCAAATGAAAGCTACCAAATTAATAAGGGTTTTACCTGTCAACGGGTTGATCAGAAATTCAAGTGGTGCAATGGTCAAAACATTTAGTAAAACAGTCGAGACCTACCCAATGGAGTTAATGATTGAATCGGTTATCAATCAAGATGATCGTTTTAAAACTAGACCTCCTTTACCGATCGATGAAGAATTCCCAACTAACAGCCAAGTTATCTTCTTAGGTGCTTTCGGGTATGGTGCTCCAAGTTTAGTTGTCGGATACTCACCTGATAATATGAAATTGAATATCAAGGTTAGCAAAATTGCTCTTGGAGATGAATTATTCATCGGAAAAGAAAGACAAGAGATTGAAAAAAGAGAAATTCAATACTACCCATCCTTTGATGTATGCAAAAGAATTGGAGTACCACCATTGTTCTTAAGTAAATTAACTAGTGGTTACATGATCGAAGACGATTCCAACAAGAAACAAATTAAAAAGGTGAATGTTGGTTTAGAATTGAAATTTGAAGGAAGAAGATTGAAAGTCTTAGGTTACACCAAGAAGTCAGGTAAGTTCTGGCAATTCAGTCCCTTGGCTGTCAAATTGATCCAAGATTACAAGGTTAAGTTCAACAAAGTGTTCAGTAAATTGATGAATGTCCAAGGTAAAGCAATTCCTAAGATTAGTGAATTGGGCATTACTGCTGATGAATTGAAAGATTTAAAACAATGGTTAACCGAAGTCAAATCTTCTTTGATCAAAGTCGGTTTAGAAAGCGAATTTTTGACCAAATTTAGTTTTGAGGCCATCGAAAAAAAATTAATTGAATCTGTCAATAATGGTACTTTCAACAAGTTTAGCAACAAAGATATTAAAGGGGTCCCCAAAGAAGCTGTATTATCTCCATCTGAATCCTACCAATTGTTGAGCAATCAACACTTTGAGTTGGGAGATAGAGTTGTGTATGTTCAAGACTTCGGAAAGGTTCCTTTCTTGTCCAAAGGTACTGTGGTCAGTATTGATCCAATCGGAACAAAAGTTCAATTAGGGGTCATCTTTGATTTCCCTCTTTTAAGTGGTAATACTATGAATGGAAAGATCAAAACCAATAGAGGTTTAGTCATTGAATCTTCCTTTGTTTTGAACTTGACCAACAAACAGTTGATTTACCATTCTAAAGCCTCAAAAGCCAAACCCATCTTGAATCAACAAGAAATCATGAAGAAAAAATTAAGCACTTTACAGAAGGATGCCAACTTGTCAAATACTCATAAGAATGAAATTCTTAATTTGATAAATTCCAAAGTCAAGCCAAGTGACTTGAAAACCGATGGTGATTCAAATTCCAATGCCATTAAACAAATTTATGGTCAAATTTATAATAACATCATGAGTGAAGGTACTGCTCCTATGGTTCCAGGCATTCCCATCCCTCCGCAATTCACTCAGCAAACAAATGCTGCCGCTCCCCCACAAGCTGCTCAAAGAACAGAGGGCCAGCAAGATTTCGCTAGTAGAGGTAGAGGAAGAGGAAGAGGTGGAAGAGGAAGAGGATCCTCCAACGGACGAGGAAGAGGTGGAAGAGGTAGAGGAAGTGGTGAAAAATAATGTATTCTATAGATTTTAACACTAAATAAATTACTTCTTATTTTCCTATTTGGAGATAACTTTTCTACTATTTACATGGGCGTTTCAATTAGTTACTTTATCGAGTATTTTGATTCTGCTCTGGCTTGTCTTCCTGTTGAAGCTTGGGTTTCTCATCCGGTAGATTTATCAATCCCAACGACTCCCAGTTACTTTCGTCCATCAACTGATTGTCCATTCTACATCTCAAATACTGCTTAGCTAAAACTCTACAATTGGGACTATTTTGATTGTTAGTGACTTTGAGACACTTCAAGTACAGGTTCATTTGTTCAGTACATTCTCCAAAATGATCTAAGGGGAAAGAACCTCTCTCTGGGGGTGTAGGGGTCCAAGCTCTGAAATTTCCACCTGGTGCACCACTAGCCATCTTAATTCAAAAATCTGATGATTATTTTCTGTTTAACTCGCGATTAATGTCACATGACCATGAATCGTGATCTACTCTTGAAAGAAGTGTACCTTGTCATTCTTAATGATATAGTTAATGTCAATGGACGAAAGTCACTGGTTATGTACGCTAAGTTGTAAAGACCCATCCTGCAACAAAACTTTACTCTAAACCTAATGCCACCAAGCCGGATCAATGCGAAATTTGAACAAACAGAGTGTATTCATATATAAACATTCCGGGTGAATTGTATTGAGGTTGGCAAACTCATCCTAAGAAACACATAACTTGACCAAAAATATTAGCCAGAATAATGGCACGTTTCAAACGGAGTCCGAGGAAGATAGAAAGCAATCAAGGTATCACCAACACAAATTCAACTCGACAAGTACGAATAAACCCGAAGAGTAAAATCAAGCCAAAGAGTCTTGTCCAATTTTTGACCGGCTTTTACAAGTCACACCCAATACAATCAACTGGGGAGAGCGGTAATATAAGTAGCCCCACTGAATATTCAAGCAAATCGCTTAAATACAAAGACAAAGTCGAATGTACCCAAATCACTCAAAAGTATAGTTCTCCCAAATCGATTCACAGATCTCCCAATAGTAAGCATAATGAAATAGGCACTAGGTATGAGGTGCTGCTCAAAGATTCAAAAGATATGAACGGTCAGAATATAACAAAAGGTGTTACAGAAGATATAAAAAAGGTTGGCAGTTCTGTCACAAATAAGCAGCTGCCCAAATCGAGTCCATCGAAGCCAAAAATTGCTAGTAAAATAATAGACCTTCTGAACCCTATATCTAACGACCCCGAAGAAATTCAAAAGGGATTAAAACACGATGACAAGGAAATTTCTAAGAAAATAGCAGACCATGCTTTAGTGGATGTGACCCATCCTTTAGATACAGAAAACTCTCAGGTACCACATGAAAGTAACCGAAGCCCAATTACGAGATACGGTGGCCATGAAGAATTGCTTCCACTGTCGAATCACAAAGAAACAACCCTCGCAAGTGTAAGAACTATCTTACTTTTACCCAATACTAGTTTGGGTGTTCCAGTAGAAAGAAATTTGACATTCCATGAAGGAGTTTCAAGTTGGGTACCCACTCCACATCAGAGATCTATAAACTTATCACCCTGTCTGAATACGAAACTACGTTCAAAATCTTCACGTAATCAAGCAAATCTGCAAACTCAAGCTGCTGCATGTTTGACTTGCCTGAGAAGATCAAAAGATTGTGATGAATCGATACCCACTTGTGAGAACTGTTTGACTTCGAATTTGTTCTGTCTCTGGCCATCGCAGGTCCCTGACATCGTGAGGAAAACGAAATCCAATCCAAAATCCATGGAGGAGGAAAAACAGGAAGTGATGTACGATGAATCTTTGTCCGTATCTGCTTAGGGCTATTAATTACCATAGTGACTCAAAAAAATCTTCTCGTGGTAATAGGACTTACGTGATAGATTGATTTTGTGAGCACCAGTATAGTAATATCTATCAATTCTCGCGTACACATGGACAAGAAGTGAGAAGGGCAAGAAATATAACGTTAACGCTCTCTTAGAATTCACGTATAACTCTACTCTCACTTACAGGGGTTTTTGAAATCAGTATATAAATTTCACGTGTCGGCAATATCGAGTGATATACTTAGAGCCCCCTAAAAGTAAAAGTGATTCCAAGTCGCACTTTGGTTTTAGTCAACCCAACCCAACCCACCACCACCTATTGATGTCGAGTTCAAATTATTTTTGGATCATGGCTGAATATCTCTCCCCCGGTTGTTACCTTCGTGATACTAATGTTCATTCACTTTGAATCATCATCCTCGGAAAAAGGTTAATTGGTGATACTTAAATAGACTTCTTTCACAAAACTTCGAAATTTGTAAAAATCACAATACCTGTTAGTGAATAATCTTGGAACGATCAAAAGAAATGATGTTCTCGGAGAATCTGTGATTAGACCTAAACAACAAGACTTGATCACCCGTTCAAATCACTTATTTAGGGACCTTTAATGGTCTTGAATGCGCCCAAATTATATTATAGTCTATGGGGTGCAAGGTCACTTACATAGATTTATACAAATTACGTCAATAGCATTCACCGGGACGTCGATGTATGTGAATCATTGGCCCTGGAAGCGAGGAAGCGAGGAATAGACTGAACTGGTGGCACACTGTCCTATATTCAAGCTCATAGGATTACACGAATGCCAGTTTTCATTTCTGAATCAATCAGAGCAAAGAGATCAAGTAGACCAACAAAGAAAGCTTTGGCAATCTTGAAGTCTTTTTACCTTTCAATTTAAAAGCCGATCATCTCAAAGTTCCAATGTTCTCTTTTTGTATTTCACTTTGTTTGCAAAAAGAACAAATAGGTCAGAGATTCAAGATCACACTTGACTATGAACGAAAATAAAATTGGGTATGAACAGTCAATAGCTGTCATTAAGTATATGAGAGAACGAATGTTTTTGTTTGAAATTGAAAACAAATGCTTAACACACAATTTAAAGTATTCACTACGAAAATCACAGAGTTTACAGCTAGAAAATGCCAGATTGATACAACTAGTAGAGGATCTAGAAGAAAAACTAGAAGAGTACAGTAGAGAATCAGAAGAACTTGATTCAACTATCGATGCCTTGATTCATACCCGAGCGCTGATGATGACAGAATTAGAGATGTTAAGATCAGAGCTTCGTGCATACCAGGAAGATAATGGAGGGATACAAATTGTAAAATTGGACTGTGGAAGAGGCTTCGGGAAAATTTATGAAAGATTGAAGAATGCCTCCACAGATAAAAGTTCAAGCTTGAAACTGTTTAAAAGAAGATTATTTCCAAATCAAACAAATAGTAAACCTCAATAAAATGATTAATGAAACATCAATTATTATTTTAGCTTAACTTTTAATTTATATACAAAAGCGTTCATGTAAACTTCTCTGAGACAGAAACCACATATCATTGCAAATTATATGAAATCGGAGGTAAAAAAAAAATGCTTGTATAGATCTTGAAAAATTTCTTGATGGACTGATTGAAAAGATATGGCGTTGAAGAAGTTCACAAGTAGTTGATGAAGGTTAAAAAGGCGAAGGATTGTTATTCACAAACCTATTACTTGAGTCCTGGATCCTAAAAATGATTAGACATTAAAAATTTTCGTAACATTCTAAATTATGAACTGGTATTCCGAAAACAAAATCCAAAGGAGCCACAGTTAAGCATCATCATGTTGGACATGTTAAAGAAACGAACTTCAAAAGGGTTCTTAGATTAACAACCACAAATACTCCTACAAAAATGACCCAAACCAGGAACATCTTCAGATGCTACTGGAACCGCTGATACATAAATTCGTAGAAGATGCTTCCCGTCAATGGATCTCTTAACAGAAATTTGAACAATGGTGGTATTGAAAGAATTCTAACTGGCCGCATAAAGAGTCACATTAACCGATCACATTAAGGAGGTCCTTTTCGAAAACATAGTCAATAAATTTAAATGTGGACTTAATTTTCATCAATTAGTAGTCCAATTCGAATTAACGAAATAATCTGAGTGAACATCAGAAGATGTAACAAGAGAAGCTTTACAGTCCTGCGGATCCGATATCAGGAAAAACAAAACTAAGATAACATCTTAACTCATCTTCCTCTTTGGCACCTTCATATCAGAAGCAAACACATCACTTGTAACAACTTTCATACTCTCCTGACCAACCAATCCCCTGAGATAAGGATGTCCGGATTACTCTACACTACACTATAAGTTCCATGTAGATACTAAGCTTCAATTATCTCCTGAAGTTGAATTAGCAACTCAATGATAACCAATTCAAGATGTTTACTTCCTCAATTATACACTACAGTCTGAACCTCCCAGTGTATAGAAATCGGCGATGATAGAATTCTAATGGAACCAACATAGAATTATCGAGTCCCAAACGTATTCTTAAAATATGATCCAGTATTACGAAAAAGTTCAGACAGCAGATATTGATTGATTCTCTTATTAATAATGTTACAAGAGACACCTTACTACTAAGTGATTTCAAGTGTTATGACTCAAGTAACGTTCGTTCCAACAAATAAAAAACCTCTAACTATAGGAATACAGGTCAGATAATAGCTGCATTTCTGTATTTATCTGCACAGAATACGGCCAGATACGTGCCTAATTGCATATATTCATCATTTACTGAGATCACCTGAGCAATCAACTCTTGGGTAATCGATACTATTAGCCTCTCAGAATATAGAATTAGACTCTGAACGAATAACTGAATAAGTGATGATACCTTCTCCAAACAAAAAGATCCAACAAATATCAGTTGTTCGTATTATCTGTAGTATTATATAAGTATTGCACCATCATTAAACATGAAGAAAAGCATTCCATATGAGTGATTCTTTATACTACAGACTGTTTTACCTAAGAACAGAACCCAACAATGGTTTTGAATTCACTGGATCAATGATTTTGTTCAATTATTTTCTAGTGCCCTCGAAGGAATACTTAGCGACAAATTATGATATCTTTGCAAAAAAAGGGACAACATCGTTCTTAAGCATTACCTCGCTATTTATCTGTATTCTTCTACATATGAACAGAAGAGTGTTTAGTTTTGCAAGTCACGCAGTGATCCCTTTGAACATAGATCATAAGATGTAAATTACCACTTTGCATGATACATACAAAGATCAACAAAGATGAAAATAAATATAGTAATACCAAAATATGAATTCAATGGACTTACATCTCCTTATGTTTGTATATTTGGTTACTAGTGATACAATATATTAAGTGTGTAGCAGTTATTCTCTGTTAGATTCATTTGTAGCACAAGGGATAGTGGTCGTCTAATTTATCATTTGTTTACTTATGTTACATTTAAAGCTCCAAGCAGTGCAGAAAAGAATTGGTTAACTGCATGGAAGTCAGAGTTGCTTTGAAATTGAAGGAGCATGTTATTCAATTTTCATATAACCATTTGCTTATATGCTTAATGTGGAAGCTGATCGTAGGTTTCAAAATTATTCATGTTTATGGATATTTGAAGTTCCGGGGAATACAGGACGTCCATACATCTTATAGCTATTTTCCACAAATTTTGATTAAAATACATTACTATAAATTATATGACGTTCAAATTGTCTGCAAAATTCGTACTATTTTCATATTTTTGTCTATGCTCTACCCGTTTACTGTGCAATTCTTATCCGCATGACTGAGTAAGTAATTGCAGTATAATCTCTTTCATGTTGGTGACCGTCTTGTGGCTTTAGTTTTGTCTCTCCGCTATTAATAGATATTACGAAGAGCATTACAAGATTGCCAATGATTTTCATTGAAGTACAATAATATTCATTTGATTACGACAAGTCTAATACAAATTAAAAGTCATTTCGATTGGTTTATATCTAGTGACCGCTGATGTGTTCTGTACTGTAAATCCTATTCTTGTCTGGTTTGCTTATATACCTCCAAGCGTATTTGTGCCAAAGAATATGTGCTTGTATGTTGTTCTTCCATGATGCCTACGTTTCCACTTGCAGTTTTATACTGCATCTTTTTCGCTTGTGTTTCTCACTTTTATCTCTTTTACTTGTATCTAGATCAGATATAGCCCTCTCCACATTTTCCCTTTGAGGCAACCTGATCCAAAGAGTGACATTAATTGTGGCTGGATATTTTAGTGTAAGACGATTTGCATTTATCTGACAATTTTACATAGTTTTCAGAAATGTTGTTAAGACTATAGAATTCCAGCCGTTGCACTTTTGGGTCTGAGTGTTGCTTGAACTCAATCCCTAGTTATAGCATCAGCTTGTTGTAGTCTCTAGGTCTTATATACATTGAAACCTCATGACGGACATCAATCTTAATTGCACCACTCCAGCTTTCTATGGTATTCACTCGATAGTATGTGCTCTTTATTTTTTTTACAGTTGTAGATAATAGGATCTAGAATCTTAGGAAGATTGTTTTACAGATATCGCTTTCCCTTTCCATCTAATTGACCAAAATATTGATGCATTGTAGCTTTTTTAGGTAAGTGATGATGCTTAGGAGATTTGGGCTTTTGGTTGAATTTTTACGTTTCTTGCTTGTACATTGTAAACTCCATCTCGAAATGGCCTAGATATCAGGTAATGATAGACTAATTCAAATTTGTACATTAAATTATATTTAAAAAAGTCAGTAAAAACTTTCGTTGTTTTTTGAGAGGTGCTATCACAACCAGAGGGAATCCATTCTTCCATTAATCTACGTGATGATTGGCTTTCTTGAACCTAACAGCCTCATGGATGTGAGGTCGGTGACCCGTGTGGTCAGTGATAAGGGAATGCTCATTAAAATTCGTCTACAGTAAGAAGTATTATCCTGAAATAATCATTTACAAGGAGGTCGGTTACGAGACCAACACAACAATAACATTTTTGGATAGAACCATTGATACGACTCGCGAGCAATTCTTATCAGTTTATTTAGTAAAATCTCAGCACCAGTGTCAATTCGTCATTTGGGTGGTGCTCTCATTTTGCAACTGTGTTTCGTAAATTTCAATTCATCAATTTTTAGGACTCTTATGATCAACAAATTCCTTGTTCATTGAAGGTATTCTCAAATTGTATATAACTCATGCATGTACTGTTATTGTAACTATGAAGCAAGAATTTGTGAAATTTTAGAAAACACCCTATAGATTCTGTAGATTCTGCAAGTTTTGAAAATTTTAATCGAAGCTTCAAAAATAATATGATGAAAAACGAATACGCTATGACCAAACCAGTAATAAGATATGTAAGTAGCAAATTAATGAAGTAGATCTACGATATAGAGGATTGAGCTGCATTTAGAAATTTAAGAATTATGGCAATAGGCTCAGAGACAAAATGTTTCACCAACGGGTGTGAAATTCAGTGAAGAGGAGAAATATAGATACAGTCAAAAAGTACAAACTTGTTGTTAAGTACACCATATATACATTATGACTTTCTTCTGAAAGCAAACCTAGTAAGGCAATTGATAGGCAAAGTCAGGAGTGCAGGCTACACCACGATAAAGACTTTTTAGTTTGAAACGTACAAGGGAAAAAAATGATAAGCCCGAACACCTCATTCCCTCTGTAACATTCGATTCAATGTCCCAGACTCTCATATTATTACTCTCGTATTATTGTTGTTTACAACTCGATAATCTCAGTAGAATCAGATATGGACAAGTCGAGTATTATATTTATTCCAGCTATATAAAGAACTTATAATTTTGACATAGCAGCGATATCGGTAGATTGGACGTGATCTTCAAATTCTTCAATTTCTTGTTGTAATTCATCTAATGAAACTTTTTCATCTTCAACAACTAAGTTAATTTGTAATTTTTTGATACCGAAACCAACTGGGATCCATTGGTGAGCACCCCAAACTAAACCATCTTTTTCAATTGATTTGACGTTGGCTAATAATTCTTCTAAATCAGTTTCATCATCCCATGGTTTAACATCTAAAGTGACAAGAGATTTAGCAGCTGGTTTTGGACCTTTAGCAGCTTTTTTAGCAGCGTATTCAGCTAATCTTTCAGCTTTTAATTTTTCAGCAGCTTCATCAACTTCATCATCGTCTGAACCGAATAAATCAACATCATCATCATCTTCTTCTTCAACAGCGGCAGCGGCAGCTGGGGCTTTACCAGCTGGTAATTCTTCGAATTTACCAGTGAAAGAATAGATGTGGTTTAACCATTTGGTTAATTGAGGATATTCTTTTTGGAAAGCTTTGTAAGTGGTGACATCAGCTTGGGTAGCGTTGGTACTAAAAAGTTAGTATTTTGATATTCTGTAAAGAAACGATCAATTGAAGTCAGATATTTTATTTAAATCTTCTTTGTCACTCATTCGGTGGGTCTTAAGCACCTCATAAACACGGACCAAAGATCATGATCATCATTTTATTTTCGTCGATTGAATTGGTCATACCATCAAAATTTAGATTGATGGCATTGTCAAGAAATTTTCCGAAACTAAATCAATTGAAAACAATTCTTATGAAAAGTTTAATATGAAACATACCCATCAATGTAAGATTTATCAGCTAAAAATTCGTTTAAAGCTTTGATTGATTCGACTTTTGAAAAATCAGAAAATGACATTTTGTTAATATTTGATTTAATGAAAATTTTTTTTTCAACGTTTCAATGCGATTTTTTATTTCATAGGACTGAAAATTACGCGTGAGATCCAATAGTGAAAAAGTTTTGTTGTGTAATGCGCAGGGTAAAGTTTGGCATGGGCATTTTGCAGCCATAAGTTGTAAGAATAAACTAAACTTATATTAAGGAAGGAGAGTGAAATCCCTCACTCAAACTTCCAGTAGCTACATTCGAAAGATGCATAACACCTGAATTCGTTACTCAATCCATTTTTGTGCTCTGGGTAGAAGTTAGTAACCTTAGTTTCTGGATAATTTTTTTTGACGACTTCATTCATTCTTTCACCAGTGGAAGAGATTAATTTGAATTGTAAATCACCCTCTTTTGTTTTCAAATTTTTGTCTTTTACCAAGAGGTTTCTTGCAGCTTGAGCAGATTTATTTTGACACTCCTCTTCTAAAAATGGTGGATCGATCAATAATCTGTGACACTTGTTTCTCAACTCTTCAGGAATCTGATCTGGGAAATTATAATCATATTGGAAAAAGTGGTCTTTCCCTAAAACTTTGAATCTATTATCAAACTCGAGTAAATATATATGTTTAGTGGGGAGGTCTTCTTCAGGGAAGTTCAAGATAGCAGCATACACCGCAGGAGCACTAGCAATTACTATGACAGTATCACTATCTGCACCTTCCAATAAGGCTTTACCTAGAATATTGGAGGTCTCGTCGCTATACCAAAATTGGGATAATTGCCAGTCTTCTTGAAAGAGGTCAATAGTGAGTTTTCTTTCCTCGAACTTTTCTTCTGATTGTTTGTATAGTTTTTCGAAAGTTTCTAACCTGTCCTTTTCTTCCTTTTTGAATTCCTGTAAAGCTGCTAAAGCATGATTTGATAAAGTAATTTCGTCGTCTGAATCCATCTTGATCTTTCTTGAAATTGATATTTTAGCACCAAAAATCGATGAGAAACAACGACATCACTAGACGACAAATATCGCAATTCGAATCCCTAACACTTCAAATAAATAACGAGAATCGCTACAGAAGTAACACATAAAGATGGTGTTCTCATGTACACCAATTGAATTATTATCTTTCCTCTTGGAGAAACTAGCCTTTTCAGGTAATAATGGTATAACAATGAACGAATTGTGGGGCCTTTGTGATGAAAAGTTGAATAGCAAGATTGATAATTTTGAAAAACAGATTATTTGGAACTGGTTGTTTTTCGATAAATACTCTAATAGTTTATTTATTTGGAACAATAGTCAGAAGGTTTCTCCAACTGAGAATTATGAGGAATTCTTATTGAAACAGGTTAACGACGAGAACTTGATCAGAGTATTTGCTACTTCCGATACTCAATGGGATTATTTGGTTGGTAAGGACGTGACTGAGCAGATGAAGTCTCAACTAGGTAAACATCCTTACGAGTTGCTATGTGCTGTTGCACAAGCAGGACCATCGGGGGTCATTTCAGCGAATTTGCATAAATTAACTGGCCAAGATCCAAGATCCTTGACTCCAAGATTGAAAAAATTGGAGGAGTTCAATTTGATCATCAGAAAAGCGACTTACAGCAAATCATTGGGGAATACTTCCATATGTATTCACAAGAAGTTTGCCAACGAAAGTTCTGAAGTTTCGACCGTTGACTTCGAGGAATTCAAAATTACCAGGGATGCCAATAAATTGAGACCCTTAATATTGAAAAAAGTTAAAGAAGCACCCAATCAATTGAGGTCTTTGATGGATTTGAGATTAGAATTTGGTCTCGGAGAGAACAAATCGACCTCAAGATTTTTCAGGTCAATAGTAGGCATTCTTTGCTCCCAGGGGTACCTCAGGAAGGTGATGGCAAAGCAAGAAAGTGGTCAAAATGCTTACTGCGTACAATTCATCAAAGATGTTTCTGACGAAGAGAATTCCAAATCTGCCAATTTCTTGGATTTATTATTAGGTGACGACGTGGGTCAAGAAGAAGAGGAAGAATTCCTTCCTCTGTATTCCAATATTTTTCCTATCACCAACCAAATATATCAGTTGATAAATTCTCAACCTAAAGGATGTAGTTCGATGGACATAGCCAAAAAATTGACAGGATTATCTGAACACAGGTCATTTGTTCGACTTATGGATCCAATTACATCGATAGTGATTGAAAATAACAAGGAAAAAAAATTGAAAAAATCAGAGATCTATGATGGTGTGAGATTGAAAAGGAGTTTTGATTTCGAAGGTAAGTTTAAATTTTATAGGTATTTTGGACAAGGAGACCAAGATATCTCTGAGGTTTTCAAATTTGTCAAGCAAAATCTGGGTAAATTGTCGAAAGTGAATACTGAGAAACAAAGCTCAATCGGCAAATTGATGAACGGGTCCTTGATGAGCAAAAAGAGGAAGGTTGATGAACCAGATAAAACTACCAAGAAAGCCAAAGTCAGAAAAACCAGAGCCAAAGTACAGGTTAGTGAGGATGACAGTGCGATGATCCCAGTTGATGAGGAGACACCAGAAAGGGAGCCGACGAAGATTGAAATAAAAAGCGAGCCTGTTGGATTTCAACCACCACTTAACTTCAATGCAAATGAGAAAACAAAAGTGGTCAAGGACTCTTCCAAACCGGCTTCTTTGAAAGCAGTGAAAAGAAGAGAAGTACTATTAGAATTGATCAAGGAGAGTGGAGGTGTGGTATTCACATCCGCAACGTTGAGAAGGACGATAGATAGGAGGTTGAACAACGGATACGATATGGATAACAAGACTTTGAGTAGAGATATTGCTTCGATGGTCAATGACAAGATTCTCGAATGTGAGAATATTGACACAGTTAAGAGCGGCAAACCCATAACCAGGAAATTGCTTATCCTCACAAATCCTAGACCTTCAGAAGAGAAAATAGAACAAATAAGATTGGAAGGAGAAATTGATACTGGCTTGAACAGTAGAATTTTGGTTGATTACAATAAGGTTCCGCATACTGAAGACAACGTTACGATTTTCAATCCTAAACCAGAAAGGAAAAGATTGGACAACCTTTCCAAGCCTGCAAAATCCAACAGTAGAACCATTAAAGCCAAAATACGTATCAAATCTGAACCAGGTACAGAAGGTTTGGAGACCAGTGCCAAACCAAGGAGTCGAACGAAAGAGAAGGCCGATTTTGAAACTATTGTCAATTCTACTTTGATGGCAAAGCAAAAGAAAAGAACGAAGAAAACCGAGGCAAAGGGTCCAAAAACTAGAAAGTCTCGTACTTTGAAACTATCAGAGCATGACACATCCATGATGTACAACATTTTCATCATTTCTCGGACATTCAAGAGAAGCATTGACTATGAGCATCTCTCCACCTATTTTGAAGGCTTGAGTGCTAAGGACTTACAACAAAAATGGTCGTCTTTGAGGAAAAACCGTGGGGGTAGTGATGCTGTGATGAAAGGAGTTCGAAGATTCGAGAAAATAGTTTCGAAAGCTGTTGATCTTAATAAAATTAAAGCTGAACATTTGAATCCAATTGATTATAAGTATTTTCTTGAGTTATGGGATTCAATGGATTCAGCCACTTCAAAATCCCTGAAGAGACTTTATCTCAACGCGAAGGACAACTACGACGATTACTTAGTCACTGAATCTAATGAGGTTATGCCGCCTGTATCTGAACAGATCATGTTCACATCTATGATCCAAAAAGAAGAAGTTTTAGCAAATACGCCTTTCCTCATGAATAGAAAAGATGTCATATACGATGAAAAAGTTGACAAAATAAAGACAACCTTGAATTCCCTTCTACATGAAGGAAGTTTCTCGAAAGGGCTTCTCGAAAAGTTGTTCGGTGATGGCGAAGCTGAAATTATACGAGATATCGTTGAGATAATGGTGAAAGATAGGGATGCTGCTTTGATCGATCAAAACTTCAGACTTACGGAGAAGTTCAGTAGCTCATTGTGTCCTAGCAGATTAATAACTCAATTCCATCAAGGGAATAATTTTGTTGAGAGTATTGACACCTTATTCGAAAAGCCCATCGGTATAATTGTATCTCAAGGGATCAACGATAGTCACATGATGCCCTTGTTGAGCTTGATATCCAACAACGGAGTATCGCCAATCCACGTGGATAAGACATACAAGTTCTCCAGCTATGAATCGAGGTTGATTGATAAGTCAAATTTGGATTGTGACATAGTTATACATGGAAAACCTTCTCAAAAACAACCTAAACATGTGCCTGTGCCAACGGGAAAAATTGCCTCTCATGTGTGGTACAAATCTGACGCATCTGTTGACACCGATCTTTGGTCAACCATCATAGTTTCTGTTGTCTGGCATATTTTGTTCCGTCCAGGTGTTAGGAAGTTTGATTTGTATCATAAATTCAAGTCGGTTTTATCTCATTATGATCTTGATTCCGTACTTCAATGGCTAGTACAATCTGAGTTTTTGAGATCTGGCCGTCATGACGACTATTGGATTACGAACCAACCGTGGTATTCTATTGTTGGATGAATTTCTCTATTAGTCGTAGCTTTGTGTGTAATGTAATGTAAAATAGTGATCGCGAGACATCTCAGGCTTTGATTCGCATCGAAAAATAATTCATCTCATCTCATGGGTCTCGCAGGAACAAAGGTTAAACAAAGATTTGGATTAGATCCACGTAACACGAACTGGTCTAATGATACTTCAAGATTTGGACATCAGTATTTAGAAAAGCTTGGTTGGGAACCTGGTAAGGGTTTAGGATTGGTGCAACATGCAATCACATCTCACGTAAAAGTTTCCATTAAAGACGATAATGTTGGATTGGGAGCCAAATTAAAGAAGAAAAGCAAAGACTCTTTTGACGATGATGAGGCACATGGTCTTGATGCTTTCCAGAGAATTCTTGGAAGGTTGAACGGTAGGGAAACTGAAATCGATAAGGAATTAGAGAGGCAGAGAAAGGATAAAATCATAAATGGTAAGCTTGGTATACAATTTGTCAAAGGAGATGTTTTGAAAAGTACTTGGGATGCAGATGCGAAAAAACTCAAAGATAACAAAGATGAAAACGATAAAAAGTCCAAGAAGAGGAAGAGAACAGACGACGATTCCTTAGATGAATCTAAGAAACAGAAAAAAGATAAGAAAGAAAAGAAAGAAAAAAAGGAAAAGAAGGAAAAGAAGGAAAAGAAGCAAAAGAAAGAAAAGAAAGAAAAGAAGGAGAAGAAAGAAAAGAAAGAAAAGAAGGAGAAGAAAGAAAAGAAAGAAAAGAAGGAAAAGAAAGAAAAGAAAGAAAAGAAAGAAAAGAAGGAAAAGAAAGAAAAGAAGGAAAAGAAAGAAAAGAAGGAGAAGAAAGACAAAGCAGATAAAGAGGGTAAGGTTGATAAGAGATCTGTGGAAACAAGTACAAACGTGAAGCCCATAGCGACAAGATTGTCTGCCAGATCGAAATACATTAAGCAGAAAAGGGCATCAGTAATGGACCAAAAATTACTAAACGAAATATTTATGATTACGAAGTGAATAGATTTTAAAATAAAGGCATAAATTTCCTATATATAAGCTCTCCAAGGAACTCTTTTAGAAGAAAATGATGGAGATTCCACCAACAAAAGATGTTGTGATTGCTGTGAAACCAATTAATTGACCGACTGACCAAGAACCAATAGTAACGGCTGATGAGTCTTTGGATGAAGAAGAATCAGAACCTGAGGTTGATGAGGAACCTGAGCTTGAACCTGAGCCAGAACCGGAGGAACCACCTGAGCTTGAACCTGATGAAGCCTTGGCAGCACAAGTTGAAGCAGATTTGGCAGATTTGTTAATGGAAGCAGATCCACTGAAATTACAGGCCGAAGAATTTTCATCTTGATCCTTATAATATTCGTTCAAAACGTATGATAATTTATCTTTGTCAGAACAATAAGAATAATCTCCATAAGTTCCATTCTTTCCGTCAGCATCAATGTCCAGACAATCGATTTTGGAACAAATGTAGCCGTATAAATCACCATAGTCCTCTAAATCAACGTCATCAGCAACAACACAAGCTAAAGAGGAGGCCATACAGTCACAAACATCTTCATCTGGGGTTGGGGGTAAATCACTGGAAGCTTTCCAAGTGGCAGCAGCAGTAGGACAAGCTAAAGTTTCAGTGGATTGAGCAGAGGAAGCTTGAGCCAAAGATGGAGAAATGGCATTCATTTCAGAAGAATAGTATTTGAAATCATCTAAAGTTGAAACATCATCTCCATCGACGGAAACTAAACCATACTTATTTTCTTCTTCAAAATACATGTAAACGATACCACCAGACCAAACATCAGTCATGTCATCACCAAAGATTGTACCGATTTCGGTGAACTTCCTTGGTCTCTCGGCGTTACAACCATATTCTGAGAAAAAGATTGGAATTGTCAAGTTTTTGTATTCTTCAGTTCTGGCTTCATAACCTGAACTCTTGAAGGTAGAATCACCACACCATTCGTACATGTTGATACCGAAAAAGTCAGCTCTTTCATCTAAATCTCCACAAGCAAAATAATCAGCAATAGCAGTTCTGATATCTTCATCATCATTTGAAGAATATCCGACAGGAATGTTTCTATACTTCTTATCTGAAATGTACTTTTTAGTATCTCTAACAGCAGCTTTGACGAATGCAGAAGCGTCAGTATTTGATTTATTATTACTTACTTCATTACCAGCAAAGAAACCCAAGACATTAGAATAGTTGGCAAACATATCCACAACCTCGGTGTATCTTTGGTATAAATCAAGATTCCATTCAGGACTATTTCTGTTGATTGACAAGTTTGGTTCAGATAAATCAGCGATAATATAAATACCAGCGTCAGCAAAAGTTTTCATACAAGAGTCATGATCCAATGAAGTGTTGACGGCATATACCCTCAAAGCATTGGTATTGGATTCTTGAAAATATTTCACATCTCTTTTACATGCGTCACCATCAGCTAAAGGATCGTTGATTTCATCAGTATCAAGGGATCCATTAGCGGTATTTTGTTGATAGGCGATACCCCTGATTAAGAATTGAGTACCATTATCGGCGTAATAAAACTTGTTACCAATAACTTCAACTTCTGGCAAATCAGCAGAAAATGCTAATTTAAATAAATTCAAGAATAAAACAAAAGCGAATGAATAAGAAAATTTCATGGCGTTAAAAAGTCTTAAATTTGTTCCTTGGGTTATAAAGTTTACCAAGAATTTTTGACAGTCTTTTCTTTACTTGAAAATTGATGGGAATGAAAATTTATATAAAGATTTATTTTGATTAGTTCACGAAACACGAATATGAAATTGTAGGCTATAAAGCTAATCACCCATAACCATCAATACGTCCAAAAGTTTGTTTACTAGGTTGATTCTGACAGAGATCAAAATGTAATGAAAGGGCCATCAACTACAAATTGGGTATATGAAGAGATACCTACCCAATTGGGTTAATTTTTAACCCAAGATGCGTCAAGTTTGCTATTTTTAAATAAGGTACCTTTTCGTGTAAATCGGACACAAAAAAGGTGCCTTTTTCTTGAAATACGTCAAATTACAAAATGAGGTAAATAAACAGAAGTAACAATAAGTTAAATTGTTTGGTTTATCGAAGTTGGACAAATTTTGACGGTAACAAATTCTGACGGTAATAAATGAAGCCTTATTGAAGTCACCAATTAAAATGAGGCTTTCATCCAGAATCGCACCAAATGAAGTTGACCACAAAGAATGGGAATGTTGTGATATTAAAAGGTCTGATCGATGATGAGACTAGATGTAAACATTATCATAATGAAAATGATATAATTGCCATCAAGTTCAAGTGCTGTAATATATATTACCCTTGTTACCAATGTCACATTGAATTTAATGACGCAGGCGGGTCATTTGATGGCAGTGAAATTCCTACCAGTGATGGTGATAATTCTGTTACAACAGAGCCACATCCTATTGATAGATGGAATAAACATGATCTTATTGATGAACCAGTGATATTATGTGGCAAATGTAAGAAAGAAATGACATTCAATGAATATAGTTCGTTAGTATGTGAATGCGGAGGTCAATTCAATCCTGGGTGCAAATTACACTACGATCTTTATTTCGATATGAAATAAAGCCGTTTGGTAAACTGAGCCTGAAAGATGCTTAGCTTCTGCTATTACCTATTCAGTGATCATCAGCTAGCCACCGCCTAGCGTTACATTATGGTCATATCACCTGTTAATCCCGCGATGCAATGTTGTACTACACTGCCTACTTCCATTTTTTGGTGCGGCAGCTACAAAAGAAATTCACCTTGGCGGATCAGATATAATAACTCAATCCCTGAGTGTTTTTTTGTCAGCAGCCATGAAGAACTTAATTATCATTTCCAACATCCCAAGATCCGATTTCAATTCTAAAGTTCCAGCTTTAAAAGCTTTGGTAAATAATGATAACATTGTTAATTGGTCTAGCCTCCCTTTTCTTCAAAGGATCATAATCATTTGTAATAGTGAATTGAATAGTTTCAAATTACTTAATTTCCTTATAGATAACAAAAATCAATTGAATATTCAAAACTACGAATTAATAATCAAAGAAAATTTCACCAAGATTTCAAATAACTTGGAAGTTAATAATCCCATAGATTTGAATTATGAGAATAAACTTAAACCAAACTTGAAATTGGACACTAAGATAACCAATGTTTTCCAATTACCAAGTCCTGAAAGTCCAAGTATAACAATTCTGATGAGTCAATGAATATATATTTAATTTTGTTCCATATTCTGAAGAGCGAGAGGTTGGAGCTTTTCCATCATATACTTAACTACTCAATCATTTCTTATTTCTTTCACCATAAGCTTTGGTTGCATAATCACCATCAATAACAATTAAATCTTGTGGTCTGTAATCAAACTTTTTAGTGAAGTAACTTTCTAAGATACTTTTAGTTCCAAGAGAATATCTCAATTCAGAATCTAAAGAACATCCACTGATATGTTGAGTCATGGCATTACCTGAAAAACCATTTGGTCTTGTTAAGTCTAACCAAGGATGGTTTGGTCCTGGAGGTTGTGGATACCAAACATCACCACCATAACCCAATAATTTACCTGATTTTACAGCTTCATTTACATCTTCTGCATTACAGATAGCTCCTCTTGCAGTGTTGACTAACCATGCTCCATCTTTCATATGACTGATCAATTTCTTGTCGAATAACCCTTTAGTCTTTTCATGTAATGGACAATTAATAGTGACCACATCACACTTACTTACCATATCCTCTAAAGATTCGACTCTTTCCAATAAATTATCAACTCCATTGAATAATTTTGATGCTTGGTTGATCTTATCAACAGCACTTTGAGGTAATTCTTGATAATCAAAGTAGTATAACTTTTTAGGGTTGAAGGCTACTAATCTTTCCAAGATTCTATAACCAATTCTACCAGCTCCTACAGTACCAACTACTTTACCTTCAATATCATACTCATCTCTTGCGGCAGCAGCAATATCCCATTCTCCTTTCAAAGCTATTTCATGAGCTGAAGGATAGTTTCTAACCAAGTTCAAAATGGTCATGAGTGCATGTTCAGCAACAGATACAACATTGGAACCAGTAACTTCAGCAACAGTTAATTTCTTTTCATTAGCCGCATTCAAGTCAATATGATCTGAACCAACACCTGCAGTGATACATAACTTCAAATTCTTAGCCTTTTCAATTCTTTCTCTAGTGATATAAGCAGGGAAGAACGGGGTGGTAATAACAATCTCAGCTTCTTCGATTTCCTTTTCTACTAATGAATCAGGACCATCTTTATCGGTTGTAGTTACCAATTCGTAACCATTCTCTTCCACAAATTTCCTGATTCCTAATTCATTTTCAGCACAACCCAACAATTTTTTTTGTTCGATGGCATGTTGACCTCCTTTGAATAATACTAATAAAACTTTTCCTTTTGACATTTTGATACACACTGTTCATATTCAAGTAATTGTTGCTTTTATATTGACCCTATCACCCCACAAATCGCATCCCCCATGAATATCCGAGAGATTTTAATGTGGGTCTCATAGGGGCATACCCCGACTAAGGTAATGGAATAAACCTAATATTTGCATGTATTATGGGGTTATTCATTATTAAGTTTAGCAATCACTCAGCCAATGAAGTCATACAATGGATATGTGACAACTCGGAGTACAAAAATATCTCGCACCGGTTATTGAATTTTCTCCACATTTCGGTTTTCTTTCTTACATAATGTTCCAGATAGCCATTAGTGACCAATAACAGTGTAGGACGTAGTTTACGACTATTTGAATGATCTTCAGGAGTTTAGAGTTGAGAAAGGGGGATTTCTTTCAAAAAGAGTGCATCGGATTTAATAGTAACAATAATATTATGATATACAAATTGATGGGACTCCCTTACCAAACATAACGGAACCATTTTTTCTTTTCACCATCGGTTAAGTCAAGTTTATCTAACTCATCATCGATATTTTCATCGGCAGGACCAAACTCATTGTCCCTTTTCTTGTTAGTATAAACAGCTAAACCTCCATAAAGAGCCAAACAAACCGTGGCAGCAGAACTGAAACCTAAAATAGAATGATAACCTGTTAAATATGTAGGAGCCTCTTTTGTTAAGAATAATTGTGGAGCAACAATATTGGCAACACAATAAGAAGTGAAATTGATGGCATTGACGGTGGTCTTTTTGGTACTACCAGCAGTGTTTGCAATACTCAAACTGGTGAATGAAGTATAAACCCCCCAATAGAAGTAAAAGAATAAATAAGCAACGTATAATGACCATCTGCCTTCTAAGGTTAACATCAATGAACAGCAAATGATAGGTACTAATGAAACGACAACAGCGAAGTAAGTTCTGTATTTACCTGGGAAGAAAAATTGGGAGAAGGCAATAATCCATGAAGATAAAGTCATCATTAAACCAGTTGGAATACCTAAAGCAGTAGTGATGATTGGAGCAAACCCTAAACCACTAACAATTTGAGCAGCAAAAGTGACCAATGCACCATTACTAATATTAGCACAGAATACACCAACACACATGATCCAAGTTCTCAAGTCAGTGACAGCTTCGAGTGCTTGGTTTTTCTTGAATGAAGTGTTCTTGATACCAGTTCTGTTTTCAATTGTTCTGTGGATGGCAATATATTTTTCTCTTTCGTTCAACCACCAACAGGTCATTGGGGAATCAGGTAAGATGAAGAAGGCAATGGCAGTGAAGAACAAAGTGATGGAAGCAAATACAATGAATAATAATCTCCAGTTTTCTATCTTAACATCAGCATGACCAATGGCATAAGATAAAGTACCAGTAATAACTGATGAGAATCCACTGAACCAGATGGATGTTCTGATACCGATTTCAGTTGATTTTTTGTAGAACATGGCAGTGATAATAGAACAGAATGGGAATAGAGGAGTTTCAAAAATCCCTAACAAGAATCTTAAAGCTGCCATTTGTGGGAAGGTATTTGCAGCACCCATACACATCAAAACGATATTCCATAAAGTTGAAGCTGCTATCAAAACTTTTGCTACAGGGAGCTTTTGCAAAAGAAAATTAGCAGGAGTTTCAGCAACCAAATATCCAAAATAGAATATAGAACCTAACCACGAATATTGTGAACCATGTAATTTCAAAGCAGCTGTCATCCCATATGCAGCAGCATTGGAAATCAAAATTTTATCAGCCGCAGCCAAGGTAATAATAATAGTCATGATTGGCATCAACATCCAATCAATTTTTCTTAACACCTTTTTGGCTTCTTCTTCAGTATAATCAGCATGTTGTGGATGATCTAATAAGTATTTAGCTCCAGCATCCATGTCAGAGGATTTGGTACCACTATTGACAGCTTCTATGTCTTTATCAGCGGATGAAACTTCGACCAGGGTCAACTTCTTTTCATTTTCAGTATCACTCATAAGAACTAATGATTTTTTTCACACTTGAACAGTTTCCATATCTTTGGGGGAAAGTAACTTTATAACTTACCGTTTGGGAAGAAAAAACAAATGTCGCCGTGTCGTCACTGATAAGGAATTTGAGAAAACTGCAAAAAAGCACTACAGGATCGAGTTCTCCGATTGATAAACAATAAGGTTTCAATTCCGCAACGATCTCGCTATAAGTTATCGAGCCACTTTTAAGAAGGCATAAAAAGATATTGAAAGTATCCGATCGGAATTTCCAGTTTTCGTTGCAAAGATGTCATCGGTTTTGATAGTAGGTTGTGGTGTATTTGGATTATCCACAGCTTTAGAATTGTCAAGAAATGGCTATAAAGTTACTGCTATAGATAGATATCCCGTCCCATCTCCTTGGTCTGCCGCCTGTGATTATAATAAAATCATCAGAACGGAATATAATGAGATTTGCTACACCAAAATGTCAGTTGAGGCATTAGAGATGTGGAGAAATGATCCTCTCTATAAGGATGTTTATAACGAATGTGGTAGAGTTTTGATTACTCCACCATCCGCCGCTAAAAGAAATGAATTCGAATTGCAAAGTATTGAATGTTTGAAGTCAATTGGTCAAGGACAGAAGATAGAGTTGTTCAAAGGAAGCAAGGTGTTGGGAGAGAAATTCAAGGAATTAGAATTTAATTCCATTGAGGATGATATATTGATAAAGTTCAATCCTGAAGGTGGTTTAGGTCATGCAGCTAATTCCTTGAAAGCAGTATTTAATGAATGTTTAACAAACGGTGTAAATTTCAGATTTGGTTCAAGCGGCTCAGCAGTAGAAATCAAAGTCATTGATGGAGTTGAATATGTTATTACTGAAGATGGATCCAAATACACCGCTGATAAAATCATTATTAGTTCGGGTGCTTCCACAGGTAAGTTACTTGATTTAAAGACCCAGCAATCAGCTACAGGTCTCTTTGTTTCTCATATCAGATTGACCCAAGATGAATTCGAAAGATATAAGGATATGCCAATTGTGTTTGATTCTGTAAGAGGATATTTCTTCCCACCAGATCCGGAAACTAACATCATCAAGATTGCTTTACCAGGATCAGGAGCTTCCAATCTCAAGGATGGAGTTTCTTTGCCAAGATACAAGTTGCAAAACCCGGCAGATACTATGCCAAAAGACTGTGTTAAGACCGTCAAAACTTTATTATCGAAATATGTTCCAGATTTGGCTTACCATAAATTATTCAATCACAAAGCTTGTTGGGTAGCTGACACTGCTGATTCCCATTTTATAATTGACAAAGTTCCATATTATTCCAAGGTATACGTTGCATCTGGTGATAGTGGACACGGTTTCAAATTGTTGCCAAATATCGGGAAATACATTAGACAGAGATTAGAGGAAACCTTGTCGTCTGAACTTTCCACATACTGGAGGTGGAGAGATGACGCCAAAGCATTCGACGCTAGTGAGTGTGATTGGAGAGTTGTAACGGAAAACTTAGATTTCTCTCAAATCGATTGGTTGGTAGATGAGAACCCTAAATTGTAAGTAAGAATATATCCGCATACTTAAGAAAATCTCTAATTGACCTACCCCCACACATTTTCTATCGGAAAGGTTTACAAGTCGGGGTAAATGAAGTTGAGTCCTGTTGAGGGTAACCCATCACGATGATTGTGTCGGGTTTACTCTAGGTAGCTTCCGTTTCACTACTTTGAGAAAAAAAGGCTTCCGCATTAATCGTATCGACTTCCCCTTGTTACCTTATCATTTCCGCTCTTGATGCGACATTTCTGAGGAATTCTATTTCTTATGTAGTTATTATAAGACCGGGGGACAATCATTATAATCAAGTAATTGAGAATGACCTTTGAAAAAAAGATCAAAATCGCCATAGATAGAGGTGGAACTTTCACCGATGTCATTGCAATCATTCCAGGACAACCAGATTATATATTCAAATTGTTATCAGTTGATCCATCAAATTATAAAGATGCCAATATTGAAGGGATCAGAAGAGTCTTGGAATATGTCAATAATGTCAAAATACCAAGAGGTCAACCTTTAGATACTTCTAGTATAGAAAGTATCAGATTAGGAACCACAGTTGCTACCAATGCTCTTTTAGAAAGAAAAGGTGTAGACACTGCTTTGGTTACAACCCAAGGATTTAAAGATATTTTACATATCGGAAACCAAACCAGACCCGATTTGTTTGCTTTAGAAATTGTCAAGCCTTCCCCAATCTATAAGGAAGTTATTGAAGTTGAGGAAAGAGTTACTTTACCAGCTTATACTGAAGATGCTAGAGGTGCTGATTGTAAAGAATTGATTGATAACGAAACCTATGTTTTAGGATCAACTAATGAAGTTGTTAAGATTGAAACTCCATTGAATTTGACCAAAACTGAAGAACAATTGAAAGAATTGAAATCCAAAGGTATCAGATCAATTGCTGTTGTGTTGATTCACGGTTATAATTATCAAACTCATGAGAAAAAGATTGGTGAAATTGCCAGGGATATTGGGTTTGAAAATGTCACTTTATCCCATGAAGTTTTACCTATGATTAAAGCTGTTAATAGAGGACAATCTGCTTGTATTGATGCATATTTGACTCCAATTGTTCAAGAGTATATTAAAAGTTTGATCAGTGGATTCAAGGTTGGTTTCGAAAAGGATACTAAAATCGAATTCATGATGTCAGATGGTGGTTTATGTAGTTATAAGAAATTTACTGGTTTGAAATCATTATTGTCAGGACCAGCTGGTGGGGTTGTTGGACAAGCTATGACTTGTTATGACCCTAAAGAGGGTACTCATACAATTGGTTTTGATATGGGAGGTACTTCAACAGATGTTTCTAGATTTGCTGGTAAATACGAACATGTTTTCGAAACTACAACTGCTGGGATCAAATTAGCTGCTCCTCAATTAGATATCAACACTGTTGCTGCTGGAGGTGGATCTATTTTGAGTTATAAGAATGGTATCTATTATGTGGGACCTGAATCTTCATCATCTCACCCTGGGCCAATTTGTTATATGAAAGGAGGGAAGAATTTAACCATTACTGATGCTAACTTAATGTGTGGTAGAATTTTACCTGAATATTTCCCTAAGATTTTTGGTCCCAATGAAGATCAACCTTTAAATAAAGATTTGGTTATTGATAGTTTCACAGAATTGGCTAAAGTTATCAATAAAGATAACAAAGGAATGAAAGAAAAGACTCCTTATGAAGTAGCATTGGGTTTCTTAGAAGTTGCTAATGTCAGTATGTCTAAACCAATCAGACAATTAACTGAAAATAAAGGTTTTGATGTCACCAAACATAATTTGGCTTCATTCGGTGGAGCTGGTGGTCAACATGCTGTTTCCATTGCTAAAAACTTGAAAATGAAAAGAGTAATCATTCATAAATACTCTTCTATTTTATCAGCTTATGGTATTGCTTTAGCTGATATTGTAAATGAACAACAAGAACCAACATTGACCGTTTACAATGATGCTAATAAACAATCTTTGTTGGATAGATGTAATGTGTTGAAACAAAGAGCCTTCGAAGAGTTAAAAGAACAAGGTATTGAAGATGTTGACTACCAAATCTACTTCAATATGGGTTATAAAGGATCAGACTCCAAATTGATGATAAGTAGTGACGATGATTCATACTTGAAATTATTCTATGAAACTCATCAAAGAGAATTCAGTTTTAATGATTTCGAAAAAGACGTCATTGTCAGTGATATCAGAGTAAGGTGTTCTGGATCAATGAATAAAATCACTGAAAGATCACCATTTGAAGATCTTGCTAACATCGAGAAGAACCCAATTGCTTCAGGTTTGGAAATCAAGATCTCTCCAATCTACTTCAAGGATGGGTTCCATGAAAGCAAAATCTACTTACTTGAGAAAATACCCGTTGGATCTGTTATCCAGGGACCTGCTTTGATCCTTGATGCCACTCAAACTATTCTTGTTGAACCAAGTTCAGTATTAACAGTTTTACCCCGTCACGTCGTAATTGACTTGGAAGATGATGTCAAGACCGAAAAGTTAGATACTAAAGTTATTGATCCAGTCAAATTGTCTATCTTCTCCCATAGATTCATGTCCATAGCTGAATCTATGTGTACTACCTTACAAAAGATTTCCGTTTCTGCTAACATCAAGGAAAGAATGGATTTCAGTTGTGCATTATTCGATGAAGAAGGTAATTTAGTTGCAAACGCTCCAGCCGTGCCAGTACATTTAAGTTCTATGTCATTCGCTGTTAAATATCAAATCAATCATTGGGGTGACAATATCAAACCAGGTGATATTTTAGCTACTAATCATCCAGAAGCTATGGGAACTCATTTACCAGATATTACCATTATTTCTCCAGTATTTGTTGATGGTAAGATCAGATTCTTTGTTGGTTCAAGAGCTCATCATGCTGAAATCGGTGGTACCGTTGCAGGATCCATGGACTCTTCAGCAACCTCCTTGGATCAAGAAGGTGCTAAATTCAAAGCTTGGAAAGTCGTTTCTAATGGTAAATTCGATGATGAAGGTATCCAAAAATACTTCCATGACGAATTATTAAAATTACCTGGTGTTTCTCCAAGTAGAAAAATATCTGATAATGTCAATGATATCAAAGCTGCCATTGCTGGTAATCAAAAGGGTATCAACTTATTAGTGGATTTCTTCAAAGAATATGATACTGATACCATTTTATTCTACATGAAAGGTATCAAAGATACTTCAGAAGCTGCTGTTAGAGAATTCTTGAAGAAATTAGCTAAAGAGCATAAAGAAAGATTACCTTTGACTTCAGTTGATTATATGGATGATGGTGCCAGAATTCAATTGAAAATTGATATCAATGAAGAAGATGGTTCAGCTATTTTTGATTTCACTGGGACTTCATTTGAAACCTTTAATTGTTTCAATGCTCCAAAATCTATTACTTATGCTGTAATCACTTACTGTTTGAGATGTCATATCACTGATGGAGACTTGCCATTGAATGAAGGTGTTTTGGCTCCTATCGAGTTGATAATTCCTGAAGGAACTGTATTGAATCCAAGTATCACTGCTGCTGTTAGTGGAGGTAATGGTATTACATCACAAAAGATCTGTGATGTCATCATGAAAGCCTTTGGTACTGTTGCTGCCTCATATGGATGTATGAATTGTATCACCTTCGGCCAAGGTGGTATCAATGAAGAAGGTAAAATGGTCAATGGATTCGGGTTCTGTGAAACCATTGGTGGTGGTACCGGGGCTGGTAATGGATTCAATGGATTCTCTGGTGTTCAATGTAACATGACCAACACATTAATGACCGATCCTGAAGTATTGGAACAAAGATATCCAGTCTTATTGAAACAATTCAGTGTCAGAACAGATAGTGCAGGTAAAGGTAAATGGAATGGAGGTAATGGATTAATCAGAGAATTACAATTCAGTTCTCCTTGTCATGCTTCTATTTTAACCCAAAGAAGAGTTTTTGCTCCTTACGGTATGAATGGAGGTGGTGAAGGAGGTAAAGGTGTAAATATGTTGGGTAGAATTAGAAAAGATGGAACCATCGATTGGAAACATTTAGGTCCAACAGCTGAAATTGAATTGAATGTCGGTGACGTTGTTAAGATCAAAACCCCAGGTGGTGGTGGATATGGAGTTCCAGAAGAAACTCAAGTCAAAACCACTCCTTCTAAAACTTTCACTCCTTTAGCTGGTGGTTCATATGGTCAAATAGTTGAAGCATATTCAACTGCTCAGTAGATGTTAATAAACAATATTTATGTCATTCTCGATCCCTCTTCTACGTCATTGTTGCCTCTTATACATCACTCTCAATGCCTCTGGTACAATAATCCTCTGGGGAATGCCGGGTGTTCGTAGTGTACGGCCAACCCCTGTGTTTAAATGTCTACCAATCTCAGGCATTGGTGAGATACAAAATTGACAATCCGCACTCATTTTTTTATCAACGATGAAACTAATCCCAATCTTTACCTTCATTAATTTGGTCCTTTCCATTGAGTTTTATAATTTTGATAATTTTAACTTCGGTGAAGTCGAGAAGTTCAGTACATTGAAGGCAGTTAGTTTTTTCAAATTACTTTTCGGTGGTGATAATAATGATTTAGATAGTGAAGATATTAGATTTTTAAATAATCAATTTAAACCTTCCAATAAACCTACCTTAGTGGTTTCTGTTAACAAAGCATCAGATAAAATCCCTTTCAATGCCAATTTCAAAACTGGTTATAGTGATTTCTTCGAAAGAATTACCATCAAAAATAGAGATATCAACGAACTTCAATTTGGTGATGAAATAAGTTTGTTCAAATCATTAGGATTCTCCCAACCTTTGAATTCCAACGACGTTTTCTATTTCAACATCGATGATGAATCAATAATTGATGATTTAATGGATTTAAAAGATAAATTTTCCATCATTTTAATCAACTTAGATAATAAATTACTGAAAAGAGATAGTGCTAGTTGTTTTGAAACCGAAGAAGCTTGTCAAATTGGTACCCTGAATTGTAATTCCCATGGTATTTGCTCCAAAATGTCATCCAAATGCTGGTCATGTATTTGTAGCTCAAGTTTCAATAAGACTACTTCTAAAACTACCAATTGGTCCGGTTATGATTGTTCAAAGAAAGATGTTTCATCAGTTGCCAACTTGTTACTTTGGTCTTCAATCACTATATTCATCATGTTTGCTGGTGGGGTTAAATTTTTAATGTCCATTGGTGACGAACCATTACCTGGTATTTTAGACTTGAATTGATTTAATCTGTATTACTTCCTCTATTCTATGAATTTTCTGACGATTTACTGTATGAGAGATGGGAAGAGTGGTCATTAGATTGTGTTACCACCTACTTTGGGTCTTTTACCATCGGATTCTCTAGTTCTTATATATCTCAGTATATGGCCGATTGTATGGACCGAGAAATTGTTCTCTACCGCGAACTAGCACCAAACTCTCGGTAAATCCAGTAAATTCTGCGCGTCAGTAGGTTCTCCTCCCTCAACTCGCCTAAATCAACAATCGCACCATCAGTTGATAATGATTAAAACAAGAAGATCAGTTGTGGTAACAGTAGCTTTACTCGTTATCATCACCTTGATATACTCCATCTCAGGAACACAATCAAATGTCACCTTGAACGACTTCAAAGACGCCAAAGTCGAATTCATCAAACCAGTTGAGATAACTAAGGACTCAATCAATGTAGGTGAATCAATCATTGCAGATGATTCGAGTGAATCTGTTGAATTAGATGCTGCAAAAGATGATAAATCGATCAATTCAGATGAACAGGTTCCTTTACAAGTGGGTCAAGGAGCTCAAGTAGTGGAAGAAGCTTTCATGCCAAAGATGGCTAATGAAACCTTAAAAGCCCAATTGGGTAATTCATCATGGAGATTATTACATACCATATTAGCTAGATATCCTGAAACCCCTTCAAAAGAACAACAAATGGTCCTCAAGCAATTCATCACATTGTTTGCCCAAATTTATCCTTGTGGAGATTGTGCCCGTCATTTCCAAAAATTACTTGAAAAGTTCCCTCCTCAAATCAGTTCAAGGAAGACTGCTGCCTTATGGGGATGTCATATTCATAACAAAGTCAACGATAGATTGGGCAAAGAAATGTATGACTGTACAACTATCTTAACTGATTATGATTGTGGATGTGGTGATGATGAGAACGAACTTGATATCACCTTAGGAGGTAAGTCATTGAACAATTTGAATGGAATTGAAATTGATGAAGAGGTTCAACAGTTAGGTTAGTGGTTGAGATGATTTATGAAACGATAATTAGCAGTATATATTAATATAAACCATCATGAGTTTAGAAGTATTAAACAATTGTACAACAACCAGGATCTTTCATCTTTAATTTCCTAGTATTCTTATAGACCTGATACTTTTGGTAATTATTCATTTGTGGATTTTTCCACAAAACTGGAATTAAATAATCGATATTCTCTAAACAATAATTGATAATTGACAATGATGATTGACTGGTAGGAATTCGTTCTTTTAACAAACTCTTTTTGGCTTTGATATTCAATTCTTGAATTCTACGTAACTTGATTCTCAAGATTTCATACTTGATTTCTTCTTCCATGGATGATTTGGATGAATCGACAGGACTAGAAGGGGCTTTTAGGGTACTTTTGGGTGGTACTTTTTGGTGGTACTTTTTGGTGGTACTTTTTGGTGGTACTTTTTGGTGGTACTTTTCAAGGGTGAGATAAGTGAGTTCAGTACACCAGATTATATGAAGGTCTAATTTCGTTTGTGGATGATATGTTTGTGGATTGTTAGTGGATGGATGATAGGTGGATGATTAATTGGTGGATATTTCCTCATGAAGTCTCGAATTGTGAATGTCTGAGACGATCCATAGATATTTCAAAAAATAGTATGACTAAAAAAAGAACAAGAAAAGAATGCACACTGATATCACCGTAGCTAAAATTAATGTGTCTCTCTTTCTTCTGTTATCTATTCTATTGATCAAAACATTCAATCCTGGGATTTGTTGTATGGAGTTGGATATATTGAAATTAGAATTGAACAAGATATTTCTTTGATTGATCAATTCATCTCTAGTTGAATATGCTGACTGTAATAACCTCTCAGAAAAAGAATTAAGATCATTGGCTCTTTGACCTTCTTCTAAGATATAGTCATTAGCATTCAAATCAGGATTTTGACCTTGGCTTTGACTTCTATTATTCAAATCTGATCTGATAGAGAATAATAAATTATTCTTGTTCTTGATGTCTTGAATAGAATTGCACAATCTTACGAAATACTTATGGTGGTCGTAATAAATCTCTTTGTGTCTTGTCAATTGTTGGATCTTTGAAGTTGATAAGTTCTCGAATTCATTGATAGTTGATAATTTTTCAATCAACTTTTGAGTTTCATCGAGATTTGTTTGGATTTCTGACTTGATTCTATCTTCAAAAGCTTCATCTTCATTGAAAGACTTCTCATAATTGGATAATTGTGTTAATGACTTGTCGATATTGTTTTCCAATGATTTGATTTGATTTCTAATAGATGCAAAAGTTGACATGATGTAATTATGATTGTGATAATGATATATGTCTATGATTCAACTAACAATAGAATGTCAATGGATAAAAGTGTAGTTCACTATAATAAGGTTATCAGTTGATTAATGTTAGGTCAACAGTTCACAGTGCGAAAGCAACGCGATGGAGGAGTTGAAGAAAGTGATACCTGAACCCATCGAATTGGATGAGATAAAACCACCTAAGAAATCTTGGATAGTCAACATCTTAAAGAGAGTTCAGAAATATAGCTCATATACGTTTTTAGGGTTCTATTCCATTCATTCAATGTCTGTGGTAATATCACCAAGTTTCCTCCCCATGTCATTAAATGGAGAGATCTTTGAAATCTCCAGAGCGATTTATTCTTCCATAGAACCCATTATATTTGGATCAGTAGCTGCACATATCTTGAGTGGGATGGCGTTGAGGTTCTTAAAACCTAGAAAAAGAACAAAGAAGGTTTATGAGAATTCTGAGGAAACTGGTTTGGGTGGTATAACCAGCTTAGTAGGACTTGGAGTTAGAAAATCATGGATATCCAAAATCACAAACAATTATTTAACACCCCTCAGCTTTAGTGGGTACAGTTTGATCCCGTTACTTGCAATCCATTTCTTCAAATTCAAAGTTGCCCCCACAGAAATCGATGGTGATAGCACCCTTGTCAGTTTATCATACATTTCCACCGTACTTAACCATTCTTTGGTAAAGTTCGGTCCATATTTGAATTTTGTCTTGTTACTGGCCCTTGTGTATAATTCGTCGTACCATATAATGTCAGGAATGCTCAAATTCAATGGATACTATTCAAAGAAGTCTAAGAAAATAGGGTATGGGATAATATCAGGATTTACCTTAATGGGGATTATTAGTTTGATACGATTCAAGTACTGGAAATTTGATGATGCTTACTTATTAGGCAAGTATTTGAAATACATTGAATGGTCAAGATTATAGTGAATCTAGACCAATGTGCTTATGGGAGGTATCTTATCATTTATTACTCATCTATTTATTAATCAACGGTCCATGGGCCTTTACTGATCCATTGACCATTATTTATTACTAGCAGTGTATCGTTACTGCCGGTCCATGGACCTTTATTTATTACTACCAGTCCCTGAGATAGTCGGGGCTTATTTATTACAAATACAAATCATCCGAAAGAGCGGTCCGCATATCTCCCTATATTGAATAAACATTACATAACTGACTAAACATCATATATACACATACTAGTATACCCCATATACTTAGCTCTGATACCACAAGTCATACCAGATTAACTAGTAGCAACAGCTGCTTCAGATAAATTAGTCTTGTTAGATCTCTTGGATTTGTAATCCTTGATAGCAGATTTAACAGCATCTTCAGCTAACATTGAACAATGTAATTTAACAGGTGGTAAGTTCAATTCTTTGGCAATTTGAGTATTCTTTAATTTACCAGCTTCTTCCAATGATAACCCTTTAATTAAAGAAGTTAAATAAGATGATGAGGCAATAGCTGAACCACATCCAAAAGTTTTGAATTTAGCTTGTTTGATAATACCGGTTTCTTCATCAACTTCAATTTGTAATCTCATAACATCACCACATGCTGGAGCACCAACTAATCCGGTACCAACATCTAATGAATTCTTATTTAAAGTACCAACATTTTGAGGGTTGGAGTAATGTTTAAGAACGTTTTCATGATACGATCTGGTGAATCCAACCATACTGGTGGCCCCGTTTAAGTTGTTAACACCATTAATACCGGTTAATCTAGTAACTGGGGAATTGATTGGTCTTACTAATCTTAAGTTTCTTCCTAATCTAAACATCATTGATTCGTCATTTCTCAATTTTTTCATGCTTTTTGACATCGCTTCCGTGGGTCGTGTCCTGATCAAGTCCATTAGTTCTCCATGGCAAAGTTGGATTACGTAATGAAACGAACGTGATTAAAAAAAGATGGAGGTTAAGTACCGATTAGGTTTCATAATTAAAGCCACTAACTAGGAGGTTTATCCTATATTTCGGGGTTTAAATACCGGGATTTAACCTAAAGTTAAATTTTAACAATGAGTCGTCTATTAACTTAGGAAATAACTCATATTTATAGAATATCCAAATGATGTCAAATCAAAGGGACCAATTGAAATGAATTTTATCACTCATTCATTACCCGGAAGATTGTTTACCCATTGACCCCAAGATCACTCGATAAAATTCGCATTTTCAACGATATGGATGAATCTTTATATCAGAATGGAGTCAGTAATGGGGATGTTGACTGGCTTTTTAGAGGTAAGAGTAAGAAGCTTACTAAGAAAATGATTCAGAATAAAGAAGAAGATAAATCCAAAGAAGGAGAAAAGACTTCAATTGATAAGGATAGTATAGATACTGATAAGGTGAGGCAAGACACTCAAGAGGATAAGGTAGATAAAGTTCCTAGTGTAGATAAGGTAGAGAACACTGACAAAGCTCCAAAGGATGGAAGTAATTCAGAAAACGATAAGAAAGAAATAGAGAAAAAATCTTTACCCACGCCGACAGAATCTAAATTGTCCAGTAGTATTAAGAATGCTGAGGTTAAGAAACCAGAAAAGGAAACCGATAAATCCACTTTAGATAAACTTTTCCGTCCAAGGACATCATCAATTTCAAGTCAAGGAGGTTCAACAGGTTCCAAACCGAGTGCCAATTCCAAATCTAATGCTATTCCTATCAATAATCGGTCGAGATCCTCATCCACTGGTTCTCAGACTTCTAGTAGTTCATTACCTAAGAAATCATTATTCAGTTCAATTTCTTCCAAATTTAAATCAGAAAGTTCTTCACCAACCAATACCTTCTTAGGTAATACTAATTCGACTCCCTCTTTATTGACGGGATATTCCATTGATCATGGTGAGCTTGAGAGAAAACCCACCAATGAAGGGTCACCCATCCTCAATTCCTTCTTCAAAAGACGTTCATCTACATCTAGAAGATCATCTGTTCAAATGGATAGAGAATTATTACCTAAAGATTCCAGGGAGTCTAGAGAATCCAAAGATTCAGAAATTTCTGAAATTCAAGAATTCAAGGAAAAACAGAAAACTTCAGATATCGATGAATTGAAGAAAATCACCTTGAAAAGAGTGAATTTTTCCATAGACAAATTGAGTTATGATCCCCAACAACAAATTCCATCTCGTAGACCTAAGAAAGGGAATGTTTTAATACCTGAAGATTTAACAGCTCCACCACCACGATTATCCCAAGGGATTTCACTTAATGATGGAACTACTAAGAGTGAAACCACGCCGAAATATTCCGAAAAAGAGTTGAATCTTGCTATTGAAGCTCAAAAGAGGGCTTTAATTGAAGCTGATAAACATGCTCAAGAAGCTCATTTATCAGCTAAAAGATTGGCTGTTGAAGTGACTCAATTTAAGAGAAGAAGAAATACTTTGACCACCCCTGCTAAAGATGAAATTGAAGATGATGTTAATGTGAAAAAGATCGAAATCGATAAACCCTTACATATGCATGAAGAGAATTTCGGAGAAGAAACTGAAATTGATATCAAAAATTTGACTTTGGAACAAATTTATACCAGATGTTGTCATTTAAGAGAAATTCTTCCCATTCCAGCAACCCTTAAACAATTAAAGAATAAGACTAAACCTTTACAAGTGTTGAAATTATTAAATCCTAAACCAACATTGATCGATATCTTATCCTTCAGTGATTTCATAGCCATCATACCCATTTCAACCATCATTTTTGATAATGTTACTATGACCACAGAGATGCTAAAGAATATCTTAGGGTCGATTGTTAACAATAAGTTCTTGGAGAAATTGAGTTTAAGGAACGTTCCTATTGATAATGAAGGGTGGGGATATCTTTGTAAATTCTTATCCCAGAATAAGTCTATCAAGAAGTTAGATATCAGCCAACAAAGAATCAAACCTGATTTGAATAAGAGTTTCATTAGATCCTCATTGAATTGGAATCTTTTCATTGAAGCTCTTAGTATAAGAGGAGGTATTGAAGAATTGGTTATCAATGGTTGTAAGATTACTGATGAATGTTTCAAGGATTTGACCAATAAAGGTCTTACTAACACTATGAGATTGGGTATAGCTTCATGTGAATTGAATAATTATAAATCCAATGTGGTTTGTAATTGGTTGAAGAAAAGTGAAACCAAATGTATTGGTGTTGATATAGCATTTAATGATTTAAGTAAAGGTCAGTTGACATACTTTATCGATGCTTTCAATTCAGGTAATGTTGATTTGATCTTCTTTTCATTATACCAAACCAATTTGTCTAGTGTAGAAGAGTTCACGGAATTATTGAAATCTTTGATGCGAGTCAAAACCTTAAGATTCCTTGATCTTTCTTCATTACCAAGTTTATTCCCTGGAGTGATATCTAAGTTAAACACTTATTTACCTCATTTTGAAAATTTGAAGAGAATCCATTTCGACCTAAATGATTTATCCAGTCAATCAATTATTGCTATAACAGAAATCTTACCTAAGATCAATGGTCTTTTCCATGTTTCATTTTTGGGTAATAGAAATCTTAACAATTCCGTTGGAGCTTCTATTTATGCTGCCATCAAGAAATCCAGTTCCATTCATACGTTAGATCTCGATTATGATTTGATCAATGATCAATTGAATCAAAAGATAGCTTTCTATTTGATGAGAAATATGAATAACTTCATTGAAACACCTTCAAGTACTTCCAAACCTATGGAAAATGACGATGAACAAGAAGAATTGATGTTTGATGGATCTTTATTAATGGAAGCTGCAGAAAAATTATTGATTGAAAATGATACTAAACCCAATAAAGTTGAAGATATTAAACTTCAAAGAATTATATCTAATGCTTTGATTGAAAGAACAACTGAAATTAGATTAAGTATCCATAAAACCATTGATGTTTTATTCACCAAAAGAAATAATGGAACATTATCTTTAGAAGGTAAAGAAAGTTTGTTAAGGTTTTGTCTTTTAGATTCTTCTCTTGAGCAATTAGTTCATATGTTTGAAGAACAAAGTAAGAAATTATCTATGAGTCCATCGCCATCACTTGAATTGAATAATGATGATGTTAAACCTCATCCAAATATTCAAATTGATGATAAATTACTTCATCATAATTCAACAGAATTAATTACTTCCGGTCCAATTTTATCCCCTAGAAATACTGAAACTTTGAATAAACTTGGTTATTTCACCAATGACCAATCTAACTTTGAACCTCATCAAGTGGTTGTAGAATCATCTAAAGATGGTAAAAATATACCAATTGATTATCTTACAGGTAGACCAGTTTTGATGAGATCCATATCACAAACCTCAACTCATGCTAAAGAACAAGAATTAGAAGAAGGGGAATTCCATAGATGGGGGTTCTTCATTGAACAGAGAAATAATAGTTCTAATAATTTAGAAGAAGAAGCAAAGAAAATTCCAACTCTTAAGGTTTTACCTTCAGGTAATGAATTAAGAGATGCTATTATTAAAGCTAAAGGTATTGAATCCATTACAGAATTGATCAATAAAATCAATAATGACAGAGTTAGTCTTGATAAGATTTATGATATCTCTGATGATCAAAAAGAGCAAGTTCTTAAGACTTTAGAACAAATGAAATTAGAAGAGAAAACCGATGATGATGATACAGTATCAATAGATTCTAACGAAGATTCTAAAGTGGATGCTGTTGTTGATGAGGTTTATGATAAATTATTGAATGATGCCCAAAGAGTGAGATCTAATAAATAAATTCTAAATAGTCCCCCAATTAATGAATAACGATTACATTGAATCTCTTATGAAGATGAAATGGAATCTCTTAGAGTGAAGATGAAAATGGAGTATGTTAGAGTGAAGATGAAAATGAGTTCAGAGCTGTAAAGATAAAAGTGGAATCTCTTACTTAAAATAGAGTATTCTAGAGTCTTGAAGTTAAAAATGGAGTATATTAAGATATAACCTAGTTAGCAGCTTTGAAAGCAGCAATTTTTTCAGCAATTTTAGCATCTCTTTCAGCTTTAGTTAATTTAACTTGTCTGTATTTCTTAGATTCAGCAGCATATTGTTCTTTGGTGAATTTCTTTTCAGTTGGTTTGAAAGATGGGTCTTCTCTGATTTTTTCGTGAGCTTGTTCGTAGATTTCTTCGATATCATCAGCTTCTAAATCTTCATCTAAGTATGATTTGAATAAAGTTTTGTATTTTTCTTCATCATCATCTAATAATTCTTCCATGTATTCAGCAACGTGACCACCGAAGATGTATTTTCTTAATAATTCAGCATCTAATTCTTCACCTTCCATATCCCAACCTGGGAATCTGTTTGGTGAGTGAGGAACGTATAAACCACCATCAGAAGCACCTTTTAAGACACCGAAAACTCTAGCACCAGTAGTAGTTCTTTGTAAACCGATATCTAAGAAAACTTTGAATGGTCTTGGACCTTCTTCAACAGCTTCAGTTAATTGGAATTCACCTTCAACTTCTTCAACACCAGTGTAAGTTTCATCTAAACCTAATTTTTGTAAAGCTCTTCTGGCAACTAATAAACCGGTAGCGTAAGCAGCTGACCAGTTAGTTAAACCGTGGTTAATACCGTATTTTGGTAATTCATGAGCGTAAGCTGAGGTAAAGACAATATCACCGGTAATAGTTGATGAAACAATTTGGGCAATGATATCTTTGTTGGTGAATCTAACAACTAATCTATATTTTGGAGTGTTGTATTTAGCTTTGTGTTGAGTAACTAATCTCTTTCTTTGGTAGTAGTCGGTTTTACCTTCTTGTCTTCTACGGAAAGGAGTTTGGAATCTTGAGTGATAAGCTGAAGTTTTAGTGTCTCTTTGGAATGGCATCTTGGATATTAATAAAATTTTTTTTCAGTCTTCTCAACTAATATCAAATTTTCAGTTTGGTCTATGCACGCAAAATATTTTGAGTATTGATATTTGGGGCTTGAGCCCTATGTGATATGAATTTTGTAAGTGGGGTGATTTTTTGGAGAGTGGATGATCTGACGGAGGAAACAAGATGATTGACTGATGTCTCTTGTTTGGTTGAGAGATTTGGTGCTGGTTCCGAAAATTTAGGTTATAAATAACTAGAGTTACAATGAGGTTTTGCTTGATAGGTATGGCTGCAAAATCTCGAGTCCTCAGCCTGAACACTATCATGTAAATATTGCCAACATCGATCAGTCTAATGTATACAATATAGACCGTTCACCTCCATTGAATCAAAGTTCATTAATCTTTTTAAGATTTATTTCTCTGTATTTTTTGCAGCTTTCATAGATCTCAATCATACTACTTACATTTGGTTTCGTATAAGAATAATAAAATAATCAAATAAAAGAATGATGTGCAAATCTGACACTTAGACATGGACATTAACGGACAGGCATGGACACAAACATAAATGTAGACATAGACGTAGTTGTAGACATAAACTACTCAAACATACATACATATAGAAGGTGCTTGAAAACGTATTTAAAGAAGCCAAGAGCTCTCAAACTACATCAAAATAATCCAATTGATTCATTTCACCCTTTTACAGATTCTGAAATACCTCATCAGACTCTGGTAAAGATTTATGATAGATAACAAGGGCGTGTCTTAACCAAATGATACATCACATTTTCCTGGACCCAACAGTGTCGTATGTAGAAGGTCCCTTGGCCCAGTTGGTTAAGGCGCGGTGCTAATAACGCCGAGATCAGCAGTTCGATCCTGCTAGGGACCATTTACACAACACACAGGGCGTGTGGCGTAGTTGGTAGCGCGTTCCCTTAGCATGGGAAAGGTCTCCGGTTCGACTCCGGACTCGTCCATTTTTTTAGTTTTTTGAATATCTTCACACTGAAAGTGATGATTATGAAGTTAAAGAAAGTTCTAAAACCATTGTAGCTTCAAAATCGACTTCAAAAATAGCAAAATTTTTTTTGGGCGGGAGAAATTTGGCTGCGAAAAACTCTAATAGACCAAACCAGAGATAAGTTAAAAAAAAAAAAAATATATTAGAATACAGGAAGAATGGAACTAAAGGACAACTTTTTCAGCTAAGGTTTTCTTATAATCTAAGATTGAACCGTCCCATCTTGTAGCATTTTTATTTTCAATAACGAAAATATCTTTAGCAACTTTATCTAATAATCTGAAATCATGGGAGACAACAACAACACCCCCATTAAATGCATTAATAGCTTCAGCTAATGAATCAATAGTTGATAAATCTAAACCATTAGTAGGTTCATCTAATAAAATCAAATTTGGAGCTTCTAAAGCTAATAATGCAAAAACGACTCTTGATCTTTGACCTTCAGATAAAGTAGCCATTTGAGAAGTTTGACCTTCACCAGTTAAACCATATCTACCTAATTGTTGTCTCCAATATTGGAAATCTTGGGAAATATTTGAAAATTTATCACGAACGAATTCTAAAGGAGTTTTAGTTAAATCTAATTGATCAGCTGAATGTTGAGAATAAACTCCTAATTTAATATGAGTATGTTGAATAACTCTACCAGTTTGAGGTTGTAATTGACCTTGGAATAATTTTAATAAAGTAGATTTACCAACCCCATTTGGACCAACTAAAGCAACTCTTGAATCCATATCAATACCAATATCTAAATGTTCATATAAATTATCTTCTGGATTACCACTATAAGAGAAAGACATATCATCGAATGCTAAAACTGGAGGAGGTAATTTTTCAACATCAGGGAATCTAAAGGAGAAAACTTTATCAGGAACAACCGCTTCAATTAAACCATCAGCTTCCATTTTATCTAAAATTTTTTGTCTAGATTTAGCTTGTTTAACTAAATTTGCATAAGTACCAGCAGAAGCAATGAATTTCTTAATATGAGCAATTTCTTCTTGTTGTTTATTATATTGTTTCATTTGATTAACTTCTAATTCACCTCTAGTTTTAACATAAGAATCATAATTACCACCATAACCAGTTAATTTCTTTAATCTCATATCAATCATGTTAGTACAAACCCCATTTAAGAAATCTTGAGAATGGGAAACTAAGATTAAAGTTCTATCGAATCTCTTCAAATATTCTTCTAACCAAACACAAGCAGCTAAATCTAAATGAGCAGTTGGATCATCTAATAATAATAAGGTAGGTTTAACGAATAAAGCTTTGGCTAAAGCAACTCTCATTCTCCAACCCCCAGACATATCTTTAGTATGTTTTTTAATAGTAACAGAATTAAAACCTAAACCAGTTAAGATAACAGCAGCTCTTGATTCGAAAGTTGAAGGATCCATATCATCGATTTTTTCATATAATCCTTCTAAAGCTGGATTTTCTGGACCATCTTTAACAATAATATCTTCAACTAAATCTTCTAATCTCTTTAATTCATGTTCAGCTTCTCTAACAACATATTCTAAAGCACTAAATTCAGTTGGTTCAGCAGGTTCATTTAATAAATAAATATCAATATGTTCAGGGATTGGGAATTCTCTGGCAGCAATAGATTTTAATAAAGTTGATTTACCACAACCATTTTCACCTAATAAACCATATCTTCTACCAAAATTCAATTCTAAAATGGAATCTTGAATTAATACTTTACCATGGAATAATAAGGAAACTTGGGATACTTTGATATCTCTGGAAGTTCCTAAGGAATCTAAAACACCGGTGGTAACTCTATCAGAAATCCCATCATCATCAGTTTGCATTTTTAATTTGGCAATTTGAGTAGCTGCATCATCAACTTCTTTTTCTTCAGCATCTTTAGCAGCTTGTTTCTTGGTCTTCTTGGTAGATTTACCTTCAGCAGCTTTTTTAGCTTCTCTTTCTAAACGTTTTTGTTCTCTTTTAGCTTTTGAAGCAGATACAGCAGACATTTTTGAATACAATTGATTGAAAAATTAACTATACTATTTGATATAAAAAATTTTCGAATCGATGAGTGCGGTTTGGCATAACCCACGAAAAAGTCACGTGACGGTAGGTGTAGGAATGGGATGGTTTTTGAAGGGTATGAGTGGGGCGGAGAGTTGATTAGGGGATTTTGAGAGATGCATAGGGATAAAAGGAAGTTGTAGGAGGTATCTAGGGGTGATAGGAGGTATGGGGAGATAATATGACCAGGAATAATGATCTGTGGGGTGATTTGAAGTTAAAATTTGCACCCAACCAAATCTCATTCAATATCAATTCAAACACTCTCCTATTAACACCATATGATACCTTAGACTGTGAAAAATCTTCCTCTGACAGTCAAAACACAATTTGCCACCATGACATCCCCCTCTCGCCCCCCGTAAATCTACCGAGACAATCATCATCTATAGTTCGCAATTTAGTGGCGAGAAAATCACAAAACTTAAGTCTGTTCGTATAACAAAATCTTCAAACAATAGGTGAACGTCAGAGAGATAACAACAATTGGTTATCCCATAGAATTAAAACGCCATTGTATCTGTGAAAATGACAGATCCTAAATCTAATGAGAAACTACCAGCACCTATTCCTGTAAGACATGTCGATGGGTTGAAGAGAGGTCAATATAATGATTTCCGATCGCAAACTTCATTGGATGTTCACAACGATATCAATGGTAATGAAGGATTCAGATCATTAACTCCTAACACTTCCAAGAGAGTTCAAAATAGAAGACCTTCTTATAGTAGCATTGAGATATCAAGGGAATCTCATTATAATCTTGATTATCCTGAAGATGTAGAAGAGATTAAGAATTTACAATTGGATCCAAAGTCGAGATTTTATGCTAGAGATAGACCTAGAACGTTGGATTTACCTAAACTTCTACCATATGAAACAGAATTACCTAAAGATCAAGCCAAGTTTTTAAGTCATATAGTAAGTCATTTGTATATAGCTATAAAGACTTTAGACCTTCAAGGGGCATTATCAGTTAGTGCCAAAGATTTAGCAGCTTTGAAGAATACCAGTGGATTATCAGATTTGGACATTGCTTTAGAAACCAATTTATTTGAAATGGATAGTTCAACTAGTGAAAATGTGTTTCCTGATGATAATGAACCTGGAGAATTAGATTATGTTGATGATGCTATGGATGAAGATGAAGATGATGAAGAAGATGAAGAGGAAGAAGAAGATGAAGAAGATGATGAAGAAGGGAATTATTCTGAAGATGAAGAAAAGGATAGAAATGAATCAGCTCTGCAACATAAGAAATCACCTAAATCAGCTGCCGTTGTAGGAGTTAGAATTTGGACTTCGGAATTATTAGTATGGCTTAAAATGAAATACGATATGCCGGTGACTTTAAGAATAGCTTTAGCTAAAGTATATTATTCCATATGTTTGAGTAGAGGTCAATTCATCAATTTGAAAGGATATGTACGAGCATTTGATTATTTAACTAAAGATGTGAGTTTCCTTCGTAAGAATGGGTTAGTTTTGGGTTGGGAAAGTTTATATCATGAAATAACCAATCATTTCCTTACTCCAGATGCTACTATTGATCCATTTGAAAAGAAGGATTTCAAACAATTGAATAAATTGGCAGAAAAGGCCAGTCAATTCTTTGATGAAAAGGCATTACCTGAGATTTATAGCAAATTGGGACAAAATATTTCAATCTCCAATTCAGCTTTTGTTATAAATTCCATGGTAATGTTACCATTATCTTTCAATGACCCTAATGATATTTATGATATTCGTTATTACATTGCTTCATTCTTTTATATGTGGGAGAAATTCTATAAGAATAATGATTTAGATAGTCATTTAACCACCAGATTAGGAACCATTTCCAAAGCTTCATTATCGGTTTTAAACGACAAACCTCAATCCATTGAAATAGGGAAATTTGGAGTGTTCAAGGAAGATCAATTCGAAATCTTGATAAATAATCTTTTAAATAACCTTAGCATTTCACCTAGGAAATTCTCATCTAATTCATCCAATTATTTCCATGGTTATTCATCAGCTATAATTTATTCTATCAATGGAGACACAGCATTAGAAGAAAATGGGATTTTGAATTCCTTACAAACTCTTGTTAATGCTATTGAAAGTTATGTTCATCCTACAAATAGTGGTGAATGGACTAAACCTATTTCCAAATTAATCTATAGTTTGGTTTATCATATGCATAAAAGATACAATTCCGAAGTTGAAGAATTCGGAGATTTGAACAATATCCCCCAACATATCAAAATGACGAAGAATGTGGTGAATAAATTCGTGGAAATCTTCTTACCAGTAGTAAGAATAGGTTTACAATCGAAAAAGTCAAGTTCGGTTGATAGTTATTTGAATTCCTTACAAGCATTAGCCCATTTAAACCCTGAATATGTATTGGAACATGTATTATTAGATCTTTATGAATCTTTGGAAGGAGTTATATCAACTCATAGAGTAATAGTAGCTATTAGAGCATTTGAAGAATTAGCCAGATATTTCTCCCATACTAAGATATTCAGAGTTCACGTGACCAAACTTTTATCATTAGCTATTCCTGGGATTGATTCTAATGATTTAGAGAAATCAGCTCATGCTTTGAACTTATTTGAAACCATAGCTAACTTTACACCTATCTATGATTTGACCAATGGAGAAGGAGATGCCAATTTAGCCCTTCAATTCACAGAATCTCATGTTCAGCATTTACAAATGAAGATTTATCGTACCAATGAACTTGGTGATGATATTATGGGAGGAGGGAATTTTGAAATCGATGATGAAACAGAGATTGAAAGTCTTAAATCTTCTACCACTGCGTTCAAGCCTTTGATCAAGAGTTTGTTACAAAGAGTGTTCACATTATTAGAGAATTTACCTGATCCTAATAAGAGTGGGAAGATGGAACGAGGTATTTCTGATGCTATACCCAAATTCTTGTACATAATCTTTCAATCAGTATCGAAAGATATCTTCAAAATGGCTCGAGATTTAGTATTTGACTTTGCTTTTGATAACACCATTCATACCGTAGCTGATGTTATGGCAGAAATCTGTGGATCTTTGATTAAATGTGATCCTCAAGCATTCCCTCAATATTGTGATGTGTTAATAGAGAGAATCAAAGAAGCTATTGAAGAAAATGGTTCAGGGAAATCAAGAACTGGAGTTGATATTGTACCACGAGATCAACCATTATTCTGGAATTTGGTTATATTGAATGAATGTATTGGTAATGCTCAAACATATGTATTGAAAAGAGCCAAAGAATTGACTGAATTCATCAATTATTTGATGGATAATGTTAGAGGTCCTACAGTATTTGCTAGTGCTTATATCATCAATCAAACATTACAATCCATAACTAAGATCAAACTTTCCGAACTGAGATTGATCTCACCTCAATATGAAGCCAAATATGGTGTTGATTCTACTTGTTGGGGAGGTTTCCAATTCGATAAGAATAGATTTGATGATGAACATTTAGGATTCAGTTGGTTTTTACCTACAGATAAAGAAGTTGATTTTGCTGTTGATTTATTCACAGAATTATCATCTAAGATCTTGGGTAATATTCTGACACTTATGAAGGATTATAATAAAGATAAAAAGAAAGATGCTACATCGATATTATCATTAACTGATGAATTAAGGAACAATTTCTTATACTTAAGTTATGGATTAAGTGGGATTTCATTCTTATTAGATCCTTCATTTGAAGAAGATATCCCCAAATTGAATCAACATCAAAATGAAACCATTCATCAAAGATTATTATTATTGAAACAGATCCGATCAGTAAAGAATGAAAAGATTGGAGGTAAAGATGAACTTAGAATTGAAAACTTACAAGAGAATCTTCAAAAAATCATTGAAGATATGACTAATGATGATGAAATTGAAAGAATGAATATTCATGATATTGATGAAACTAAGACATCTCCTGAAGATGATGATAAAATGGAAGTAGATGATGATATCCCTGATAAGAAAGATATTAATAGTGATAAGAAAGATCTTGATACTATTGCCCATGAAAGTTTGGAATATTCTAAGAAACATTTATTTGATATGGAAAGATCAACATCTCCTGAAGCTAAAGAATTACCTTCTCGAGCATCTCCAGGTATTGAAGGGGTAGCATTATCACAAATGAATCCTGGGATAACCTTCAGAGAAAGGAAATTATACACTTCAAGATATTTCTTTGGTGATGATATGGATACCAGAAGATCAAATGATTCATATATTAAATTACATCGATATAGATATTTGATTGGTAGAAGTCTTCATATCATTTGTAAGTTCTTAATGGCTCATTTCCATGATAATACCAAATTATTCAAACATTTCCTTTTCACTGTCAATACTTGGTTCTCTGATGTTGGAAGAGAAAGACTTTTAGATACCAGTCATGCTAAAGTTGTTTATGATATGATAACTTTTGTTCAAGGTATCAACAAAGTAAGGAAACCATTCAGTAGAATTGCTATTGGATCAAGAATTGAAGCTTATCATCTGTTAAGAGTGGTATTACATTCAACTTCAAGAACTCAAACTGATTTAGATAAACTCTTATTGGAAGATTTAGTGAAATTATCATTATCCACATATTCAACCGTATCAAAACCAGCACAAACTTCATTAATTGATGCTATGAAGAGATTAAATGGGAGTTATAATGTCATTATTAAATCATCATTGAAATATTTATCTAAATCTATTGATGAAAATGATGCTAAGAAGATTGAAAGTGGTCTTAATCTCTTTAATTTGAAACGTATAAGGTATAAGGTTCAGAATGATTATTTCAATTTGAATAAATTCGTCACCTTATTACATCGATGTTTGGCGTTTGATATCAGAGAAGTTAATGTTTTAGCCCAAACGTTATTTAAGGGTATTGCTAAACATTTAACAGCTCCAAGTAGTATTTGTTTGATGGATATGAAAGCTATTGATGCTATAAGACCACCAGATGAATTCATTGATTTAGAAATCAAAGCTGTTAAACTTGCTAAAGAGAAGAAAAGGGAACTTTATCTTGAAAAACTTAAAAAACTTGAAGCTACTGTTATTGCTAGTGAAGCTGGAGTTAATCATTGGAAGACTTCACTATTGAATTTATCATTATTGGTAGAATTACAATTAGATCTTGAAATGCCCAATAATAATGAAGTTATGAAGATTTTAGCATCTCAAGCTAATTCTGACCTTCCGGTGATATCAAGGTTAGCTTCAAGAGGGATCTATAAGTTGATTAATGATATTTATTTACATCAATTGATTGATTATAAGTTGGAGAATGCGTTTGATTTCAATTACTTATTGAAAGATCATGAAATCATCTCCACTGTTGGATCTCCTTCGTTCTATAATGATTGGAAGAAAGAGATGGCCAATAATTCTCATTCTCAGTATTTTGTTGATAATAAATCCAACATTGGATGGTTATTCTGGGGAGAATCGATGAAGGTAGTTAAGAATCAACCGGATTATGACATCAATTTGAATGATTCTGATACTCAAGCAGTGAATATTCTTGGGAATTATATAACTAAGGATTGGCTTCATGAGATAGTCAAACTTTGGGTTACTGATAATGAAACTACATCAGTTTATCAAGCCACTGATGTTTATTTCATCCAAACCATTGTATTATTGATAGCTAATGGATATTGTCCAAACCTTTGTTTTGAAGATGTTTTCCAAGTGGTAGAAGATATCTATGAAACTGATGATAAGGCCAGTCATATAGTTACCTGTGAGATACTTGCTGGATTATTGATCAGTTCTAAGGTGTTGAATCAACAACTTCAAGCTAAAAGAGATGAATTTATTGTTAGATTCATCAACAATATCTTCAATAATGATTTATCTCCCGATACTTCAGGGATCTGGAATGTGTTTTCTTGGTGGATTCCAACTCATATTGATCATAGAAGATTCCCTGCTATCACTGATGTCATCACCAAATTCAGAATCGATAGATCTTCAGATTTTGCTTTCAGAGACGCTACAAGATTGAACTATGTCAAAGCTTTTGTAGCTTCAACTACCTGGAAGTTCGCTGAACCGGATGATATCATGCAAATGTGTCTTGATAATATAGACCATCATTATCAAGCAGTTAGAGATCAAGTTGGTCAATTATTAGGTATCTTAACATATGTTTATTATCCTGATTCATTCCAGAACTTTAAAACTTTCACCCAACAATGTAATGAAGGTGTTATACAAGCCAGGAAACCTACTTCTTTGGAGATTAGTCAGGTATTACCTAAGATTTTCCAACAAATCGAAGATTGGAGATTACAAACTATGGGTAAAACACCTCAAGAGATCTTAAAGACTTCTTACATTTATTCAGCTACCACAGTATTAACATGGTTGAAACAATCTTTGGTGTACAGTACCGCAATCTATTATGAAGATTTTGCTGTTGATGAAATCGTTCCTTTCTTATTGAAATTAATTAGTTTGAAAGAAGTTTGTCAATTAGGTAATATTGATCCTATAACTGTATTGAAGTTAACATCTCAAATCCCATTCAACTTCAAGAATATCAGTAAAGTCGTCGATATGTTGAATAATTACTCTAAGGAGAAATCATTGAATGTGGTCCAATCCATTGTTATTGGAGAATTCACTGAGACTTTCTATTTCAAGAATTTATTCAAGTTAACTCCTCAACAAAGAGATATCATCATTAACTTCACCAATGAGTTACTTTTCCATAAACAAGTATCAGTAAGGGAATCAGCATCTTCAACATTATCAGGATTAATCCATATCTCTCCACCAACTGAAGTTGAATCCATAGTTAAGAAATATTCTTTAACTTACAAACAAACTTTGGATAAAGTGAGAAGAAAGTATAGGAAAGCTGGTAATGGGTATAAGAACATGGCTCCTGAAGATCTTATCTCATTACATGGTTCAACTTTAGGTTTGGGGGCATTAATCCATGCGTTTTCATTCTTATCACCTCCACCTATTTGGGTTCCGGAATTGTTGGAGATTTTAGCGACTAAATCCAGTGGTATACCTGGATTAGTTGGGAAGACGGCCAAAGATTCATTGAGTAAGTTCAAAAAGACCAGACAAGATACTTGGCATATCGATAGAGAAGTATTCACTGAATCACAAATGCAAGATTTAGAGGGGGTTTTGATTAAAAGTTATTTCATTTAAATGAATATTATGAACTATACTCTGCTCTACTCTGCTCTGTAAAATATGGCCTCCATAGGCTCTAGACTTTATAAATATAAACAGTGAAAAGGGTAAAAAAAAAGTGCTCCGCGACGGGGAATTGAACCCCGGTCTACCATGCGACAAACGGTAATTCTAGCCACTAAACTATCACGGATATTTATAGTCTTCTATGGTGCGGAAAAATTCATATGGTGCACTGGTTAATAGGCTGGTGTACGGATGTGAAGATTTTTTCTTATGAAGAGAAAAGTCACATAAATAATACATTAATCACTAACTAGTTGTAAACAAGCATCTAAACTTGAATCCATATCCCCCTTGTTCATAGTGACGATATCCCTCATGATATTTTTATCTAAAGTGGGGATTATCTCTTGTAATTGGTCAAATGTTTGATTGATCAATTGTTCTTGTTTCTTTTGTTGTTCTACTTGAAGTTTCTGTTGTTGGATTTCTTTCCTTTGCTGTTGGATCAAATGTTCGTTATCAGGACCAGGAGATCCTTGAGGTGAAGGAGAAAGGAAGTTCGAGATGGATTTGGTAAACATCTCCGCTGAAGTGAAAAGAACTTGTGATGGTGATAAAGCTTGATTAGGTTGTTGATCTAAAGGTTGAGGTAAATCAATAGGTTGAGGTTTAATCATCTGTAATTGTTGTTGTTTAACCTTTTCATCAGCTTCCCAAGCTTCCATATGAGCATCAAATTCTTCTTGTGAAATGGATAAATCCCCAAACTCTATGTTTTCAATGAAATTGACCGCTCCTTGTAATGAAGATAAATAATAGCTGGTTTCTCCATGACTGAGCCATTCCTGACTTCGGAAATTCTCAATATAATGGATGTTACTGATCAAATGGTCAACTTTGGACTTGATTATGATGATTATAAGGATAGGCATGAAAGCATCAGCATTAGTTTCTTGATTATTGACTTTTAAAAAGCCAAATATTATCTTACAAGCATTAAGTATGCAAATAATTTTATCTCTAGGAGCTCTATAAGTGTTGATTTTCTGAAACTCTTTGATAGCATAATCCATGAAGTTGACATTATCATGATGAGCTTGAGATCCAAGTTTATCCAAATCCACATCCAAATGTTGACCATTTATCCAACTAAACTTATCGAGTTGCTTGGAAAAAAGTTTATCATCGTTTAAGTCACGTGACACCAATCCCAGATTTATGGGTAAACTGGTTTTAATGATCTCTGGAGGGAAACAATGAGTATAAATCCTATTCATAATCAATTTTTCCAACCCTTCTCTACTGTTTTCCAAGTCAGTATCATCCATGGACATGAACGGTTCGAACAGTTGGAATTTTTCATTCATAAAGATCTTGAAATCTTTGACGATTTTAACCTTTTGCTGTAAAGTCAAATTGAGTGATTGTTTGTTGAAAGCAAGAAGAAAGGATCTTATGTACCTAGCGACAGGGTCAGCTGACTTCTTTTTCAAGTGTTCAAGGAAATTATGGAAGTTGAAAGGTTTATGGGATTGTTGATATTGTTCTGAGGGATCTATGTTTACTTGACTTAAAGATCTTGATCGTATTTCTGGACGATAGGGATGAGATTTCATGTCTTCAGGGGTGAGTTGGTGTTGTTCTATTGCGGATTGTTCATCTTCTTCGATTTCATCTAAGCTTTGGTTGAATTCAGGGGATGGTTCAGATGACTGGACAGGTTGGGTTTGTGTTGGGGTTTGTGAAGGTTGTTCTGACTGTGGTTCTGACTGTTGTTCTGAGACAGGTTCTGGGACAGACGGTTCCTGGGACTCAATGGATTTAGGTTGTTCCATCTCTTGAGCTTCCGTCTCCCGAGTTTCAATCTCTTGAAGTTCAGATCCTATTTCTTGAGTCCCAGATCCTATTTCTTGTGCTTGGAGGTCAACCTGGAGGCCAGCATGGCGGCCAGCCTCATCTTCAAGACCCTTCTTCTCATCAAAAATATCATCCTCTTCAACATTAGCTTTAAACTGTTCAAACTTATCCTCCACTTCACCTATCTCATATTTATCAAACAATTCAATCAAATCCGTCTTACCTACACCTTTAGCTTGACTATCTTCGTTGACATCCACAGGATCAGCCACAGGTTGGGGTGGAGATTTTGCCAACATTCCATGAATGAAGTTGCCATTAGTCCCCGAAGAAACCTCACTAGCCCCCAGTTTACTACCATCATCGGTATTAGACCATGAACCTGTGGATGTGGATGTGGTGGCAGTCGACTTGGAGATATTGAAAGATAAGTTGTTAAAGGACATTGGACAAGTTCGCACTATTATGGATGGTACTGAATTTATCCTATCATTAGATCTTTGTGATTTGACTGATTTCACCGGGAAGTTGCTGACTTTAGGAGGGTTGGTGAGTCGTAGTGGTGAAAATGAAGAGGTCAGACGAAATTTGGTGACCGTAGTAGGGAAACTTGTGGATTTGATCCGTCCCAATTTACATCAATGCGATGATATAGAGTATCTCAGAATACTAAGAGGATGTATCATGTTACTTCGAAATGTTTGTATTGAACTGGTGGATGTGGATGGTAGGGATATTGTCAATGATATGGCGAAGTTTCAAACCACCAATGAGTTTGGTGAACGAGTTAGATGTAGTTACTATGAATTGTTAGCCAATTTATCTCATCATCAATATATCGATAATTTGGGGGATGTGGTTGATGATAGCTTGCCCTATGCTGTGGCAGTGAGCAATAATGTTGATAAGGATGTTGGAAGAATGTTTGAGGACGATTTGGTCGTACAATACCTCTTTGATTGTAAATTCGATGACATGAATGAGATAGAATCCAAGATATTCAATTGCTTAGAGAAGATAATAGTTCATGAAAGTTTTGGGAAATGGTTTGTTACACAAAAAGACCAATTGAAACTTTTGAAGGTTGTTCAGTTGATAGTACCGGAGAAATCCTGGGATAATTATGAATTAATTGGATTACTCAGTTGGCTTCATCCATTATTGGTAAAATTGTCTGAAGACACCATTGATTCATTCCATAAGAAAGATTACGTCACCCTTGAAACCATCCATCCAAAATTGGTGGTGGTAGTTGATTGTTTGAGTGAATTGGGGAAGTTCAATATCGCTAAAGATTTCATGATCAATTATAACTTCCTAGATACCCTTATACCACTCCTCGGCACCATCCATGTAGAGATCAAGCCTAAGAACATGATGAAGAAGATCTCGTCTGTTGTCAGTTTCCCCCATATCAAATCAATGATCATTGAAATCATCTCTTATTTGAGTTACGAGAACTTTGAAGTCCAAGAGAAGGTCAGACAGTTGGGAGGATTACAAGTGATCTTGTCTAATTGTGTTATAGATGATGATAATCCTTACATCAAGGAGAGGTCCATCATAGCGTTGAAATTTCTACTTGCTGGGAATAGTTCGAATCAGAAGATTGTGGGGGATTTGGAAGCTAAGAAGGCGGTGGATAATGATGTTTTGGAACAGGTTGGGTATGAGGTTGAGGTGGATAATGGGGAGATTAAGATGAAGAGGAGGTAGAAGAGATTGGTGGACGGGTAACAACGACGGGTGTACACCGGCGATATCCGGAGGAAGTAGGAGAAGACACCGGCCACAAAAGACAACGGCAAACAAAAGATTACAGAAGAACACAAAAAGAATATCAATTAATTATCCAATAAATCAATGATCTTAGCTTTAACTTTCACCAACGAAGCTTCATCAATTAAATTTATTCTCTTAGGCTTAGTAGCTAAAGCTTTCAACTCATCAGGCAATACCTTCCCTTCAAAAGAATAACCTTCAATACCATCTAAAGCCTTATTAACAACTTCAGCGAATTTAGCTGGATGAGCTGTTGATAATGAGATATATAAATCTTTTGGTGATGATGAAATGAATTTATAAGAAGTGAAGATACCAACAGCTGTATGAGGATCCAACACATAATGGTCAGGATGATTGGTATAAGTTTGTTTGATTTGTTGAGAAGTTTGTTCATCAGTAACTGAGAAGGAATCAAAATCAACTTTAGCAGCATCGATAACTTCTTGAGGTGCAACCACACAACCTGTTGATTTTAATTGAACCATCCAATCACCTAAAGTTTGACCGGCTTTATTATCATCATGAGTGACGTTATTTCTAACTAAATACCATAATAAACGTTCGAAATTTGAAGAAATCAAGATATCCATAGCTGGGGAATAAGTGGCTTTAACGTCAGCTGACTTTTCATAACGTCCAGTTCTCAAGAATCTATCTAAGATATCATTTTCATTAGTAGCAATGATTAATTTGTTGATAGGTAAACCCATTTCTTTAGCATAATAACCTGCTAAGATATCGCCGAAATTCCCCGAAGGAACGACAAAATTGATGTTTTCACCTTCAACTTGGAAGAAAGAATAGAAATAATAAGTCATTTGTGCTAAGATTCTGGCCCAATTGATAGAATTGACAGCACCAACATGATATTTCTCATTGAATTCTTTATCACCAAAAATCTCTTTAACTATATCTTGACAATCATCAAAGGTACCTTTAACTGATAAAGTGTGAACATTGGCATCTTCAACAGTTGTCATTTGTTCTTCTTGGATAGGTGAAATTCTACCTGTTGGATATAAAATGAACACATCAACATCTTTCTTACCTCTTAATCCATAAATAGCAGCTGAACCAGTATCACCACTGGTAGCTCCAACCACAGTAATGGTTCCTCTGTCGGTGGTTTTACCTTCATTACGTCTGGTAAGGAAATATTCGAATAAATTACCCACAAATTGTAAGGCTACATCTTTGAAAGCATAGGTAGGACCATGGAAAAGTTCCAATAAGTATAAGTTATTGTCCTTATCCAAGGATTTGACCGGGGTAACATCATCAGATCTGAAGGTGGAGTAAGATTTGGTGATCAAAGTAGTCAAATCATCATCATTGATTTCACTTTCGTTGATATATAATCTCATGATATTGAAAGCTAATTCTTGGAAAGATAAGTTCTTCCATGAGGTGAGGAAGTCTTTTGGTAACTTTGGAATTTGGGAAGGAATGAAAAGACCTCCATCCTTAGCTAACCCTGTCATTACGGCATCTTCAAAGGAGATATTTTGATCAGTAGATGATCTAGTTGATCTGTAGGACATGGTGATAGTTGAAATTTTTTTCGCGCACCTGACTCATAGCGGAAACGGAGCGATGATGAGTGTGAGAGTGAAGGGATTGAGGGTGAATGTAAGAGGGTTGGCATTTAAGCCGATGTTGTTTAAGCTGTTGGTTAATGAAGGAGTGGGAGGATTGAAGGGGATGGGTGACAGTGCTGACGTAGTCAGTACTGGCACAGATTTCAGTAGTTTAACCAGGAAGGGTACATCCAACAGCACCAGCACAACCAGTAGCACAAGCAGCATAGACAACAGCAATGGTACCAATGCCAGCACCAGGAGCACAAACAGCTTGGCCTCAATTGCCAGCCATTTCCCTCCTTGTATCAGCATAGGTTATGGTTCAGGAGTGTTCCAACAAAATGGATATGAAGGAGAAACCCCCCAAATTGATATTATCAACATCGTCAATAACACCAGGGACTTCCATAGAGCCAATCTCATCACCAATAATCATCATTATTCTGGGTTGAAGTGGTTAGGACTTGGAATCATTGAGAGATTTCAGAATTTCGGCCCAGTTAGCATGTATTTCAATCCATTTGTCAACATTAACCAATCAATGGTTAAGTATGGGGTCATACTGAAAGACAATTGTTTCAAAGATTTGGTAGAATGGGAGAATTTCTATGTTGCAGGAAGATTCCAGAAACCTATAAAGTTTATTAATGAAAAAGATCAAGCACGTGATCAAGCACATGACCAATCACATGATAACATTTTCGACAAAGAATTCGACAAAGAACTCGACAAAGATTTGAAATTACTCCAATTAGCTAACCAATATAATCTTTTCTCAGCATTAATCGTATCATTATTGATCAACCGGAGTCCCAACATCACCGAACATAAGATCTATGAGAATATCACGTCGTTATCGTATCTTGGAGATCCAAGGATGAAAGTTGGAGGTGAAAATCCCAACAAGGTGAAGAACATTGTATCGAAACAACTAGAGAATTTCAAGGTTTTATATTCACCTATGATGGAATATATGGTGGATAAGAAGTACTTGATAGCTAAATCTGATGGGTTTGTCATCAATATGTCCACTACTGATAAGATTGAATTGATAAGATACCTACCTAGGAACTTCCGAGACCTGATAAGTAAGAATTTGAATGAGATGACCGATAAGAAGTTGGCTAAAGTACTTAGAACGGCGTTGATTAATCTCGTGGCAAGACCATCATTGATACAGTCGATTAAGGGGTTCTTTACGGCGGGGGTAGTTAAGTCTTTGAAGTATATGATAGCCAAAAGGATGAAATATAGGCGTAGGTAGCCAAAAGGATGAAATATAGGCGTAGGTAGGGAGACAAGTCACTGAGGAGGTCAGAAGACTAGGATAGTAGACCGAGGATAGCATAAGACAGTTAATAGCTTTAGTCAGCGAATAGCTCTAGCATCAGTTGACATTGTACATAAGACAGTAAATAGCTTAACTAATAAACACTATGGCAATATAAGGCGATACTTATTAGCCAGTACATACAAAAGACGTATCAGACTTAGACGGTAGTAGACCACAGTAGACGTTACTAGACGGTCGTAGGCTACAAAACAAACTTCACTGCAGAAGACTGTAATAGACGGCAGACGACTGTAATAGACGGCACAAGACTGTTGTTGACCACATTAGACGGTAGTAGACCAAAGCAGACCATCTTAAACATGGACAATCTAGATCACAGGCCATCTATATCACAGGCCAAGTACAGAAGTAGACCATCTCCCAAAACCACGGCTTCCCATAAACGGCTACTAACATCGATGGCCGAGGAACCCTCACACCTCACAGAAACTTTTGACGAGTCTCCCTTTTACCCCCATCTACATACTTATTGTCCCCATATATCCAATCAACATCTACCAATCCTCCTTCCACCATCCACCCACCAATCATTTTTTCTCTCAAATCATCATCACTTCACCTACTGTTCTAATTTCCTCCTAAAACACCGCTATTGTTGATGAAACATCTATGCTTTTTCTATGACATCATTCAGTTTAGTCTTGACCTGAAGATCGTTATTGTTATCACCAACCACCTTCACTAATTAATTCCTTAACAATAATTCCTTAACAATAGAAATTTACCTTCTCTTTTGAAACATCCGTTTTAGGTAATTTATTAGCATTTGAGGTGATTCCCTTTTTAAACAATAGCCTAAACAATAGCCTAAAACAATAACGTAAACAATAAACGAACGATCACCTTTACATACAAGGATTTAGAACTCTGCATTGAACCACCCGGAATTATTCAATACGAGCAGAAATCTTAGAGGCTATGAAACAATAGGAGAGACAGACCTCATAGGGACATCATTTTACACGGAATGGGTGGTTGGGGGTATTTTAGTTGGAAGGAAATAAACCACATAGTTGGGCGACAGGAAAGATCTGGTGTACGTAATTACGCATAATGATCGCCCGGAGTTCTAATTAAATTGACCCGATTTAGCTTGCTGTAACCCAACAGAAAATAAGAAGTTTCACATTACATGAGGATTATTAGCGGAAGTGGGAAATGGGAAGGTATTAGGGCAATGTTATGACACCATAAATTGGGATATGGGGATATTAGAAATCGGGGAGGTGATAAGTTTTTAAGGTATAAAGGCGTACGGATGATAACAAAAGTCTTGGAGATAACTCCTTTGCGTAACCATTGCCCAATTGATCACCTTAAAGGGGGTGATTTTCCAAGATAGCTGGGTTGAACAAGTTGGGAACTATAGCCCATGTACAGGAAATACAACAATAGAGGATTTTAAAATTAGTACATAATGCATAAAAAATGTCTTGATTATTCCCAAAAGGGAAAAGGGTTGGACATAAGGTTTATCTAGGTGAGTCTAAAAGTAAAGGGTGTAACGCAAGTTCGGAATAGGTTGGGAAAGCCTTAATGGATTGTGACAATAAGGACGAGGTGTAAGTAAGGAGAAGAGTGGATGAAACACCGGTAAGGGAAGAAGGAGGGAGAAGTGAGAAAGGACAGAGGGAATGGATATACAGGACAAACAACAGGACAAACGACAGGACAAAGGACAAGGGATAAGGGGTAAGACATAGAGCAAGGGAGGACGTGGAGGTTAGGGGAGAAAGGAGGTTTAGGTGATAAGGGAGAAATGAGAGGAGAGAAGGGAGAAAAGGTGGTCACAAGTGGACATAACTGGAGATATCTGGACATAATAAGAGACAGAGAAAGATGCTGGTGTTCCAGAAACATCGAAACAGACACAACAACACGACAGGGACATAGAATTGGACAAATAAGCGACGAGCTACAGCACAAAAGACAGAGTATTAGACGAGAGGTAGTGAGGAGGAAGCAAGGCTACGGTAGAGTCAGGAGCTACGGTAGGGTCACAAGCTACGGTAGGGTCACAAGCTACGGTAGGGTCACAAGCTATGCTAGAACCACACTTTAGAGACCAAGTACAAAATTAATATACATTACTGTTACATCTATGCTCTAAGATTGATTAGAAAAACCCCTATCTAAGATCTTTAAGGTTTGGTGATCATCACGGTTCCCTGGTGAGATTGACATCGAACTACCATTATTCAAGGAGTAGATTTTGTTAGTGATTGGTTGAGGAGAAGTCGATTGATGGGAAGTGGAGTGATGGGAAGTTGGTGTTTGTGATTGTGATGTCTGTGGATTAGCCACAGAAACAGTGGGATGAACTGAAGATTGAAATTGACCCGAATATGAAGTAAGAACTGAATTAGGAATGGTTGGTGGTACAGTTGGTGGTACAGATTGTGCTACAGCTTGAGGATTAGGTTGATGGGTTTGTGTAGGACTAGTAGCTGAACTAGAATATGTGTAATATGGATAAGATTGAACATAATATCTATGATCTTGGGAAAGGTTAGCCAAGGTTGATAAGTTATCAGGATAGGAAGGATTCAGAACGGTTTGTGGAGGAGAATCTGGGTTCCTATAGATAGGATAATAACCTGTGGATGCAGAAGAAATGGAGGAATTGACGGAATTGGCATGAACAGCTGGTCCGGAGAACGATGACGATGATGAGAATGATGATTGATTGGAATATGTTGATGGGAGGGATTGGGTGGAAAGGGAAAGGTGTGATTGGTAGCCTGGGATGATATTTTGGACTTGGTTGATGGGCATATTCATGGGGAGTTGACCCATGGGGAGTTGGCCCATAGGCATGGTCATTGTTTGTAAGGGTACTTGGTTGATGGGTACTTGGTTCATAGGCACTTGACCCATGGCTTGTCCCATAGGTACTTGACCCATAGCTTGCCCCATAGGTTGTCCCATAGACATAGATACCGGAATTCCTTGTCCCACACCTTGCCCCATACCTTGTCCCTGGCCCTGAGGATCACTCAAATACTGATCGTAGTACAATAAATATTCCTGATAAACATTATCATTCAACTTCAAGCCCTTCAACATCCCATCATTGGAAGGTATCTTCCCTACCTCTTCATCTTCCTTAAAGTAACCTATCAAATGGAACTTCTCTCCTTGTTTTGTGGTCAAACTGAAACTCTGTTTAATCAACCCATTGGCCTTGATAGTCAACTTGTCACTATCTAACTCTTTATAGATCAAGAATGGACCATTAACTTTAGAAGCTGACCAATTCTTACCATCAGTCCATCTCTTCATCCCACATTCGGTCTCATTCCAAGCAAATATCTTCCCATTATCAATGAACTCTCTCTCTAATCCATTCAATCTTCTCTTAACCTTAGGTAAGATGCCTAACCTTGTACCTTCTAATATTAATAATGCATCTTTTAAACTTTTAATTCTACCATTATAACTTTCAATCTTAATGTTACCATTAGGTTGATTGTTAAACTCGGGAATTATATACATATAATCGATGTATATAAAATTTTTCTTTGTGGATTTAGGAATGATGCAAATAGGTTTTTGTGTTTTTTAATAAACCACAAATAGAGAAAATGTAAAACCCTGGATTTTATGACGATTTTATAATTTACAGGTTATGATTTAGTCTTTTTTAAAAAAGGAATCCGTAAAAACTTACCTGTATAATGCACATATTTAAAAACCTTGTTTGCACGGAAAACAGCAAGAAGTTTTTTTTTTTAAAAAAAAAAGGGTTAAAAGAAATATAACTCCGAATTAGGAAACGTTTTCAATATTTGCTTAATTAGGAAGATGACCCCCGAGTTATGAAAATCTTATGATTATCATGTATAATGTGCATATTTAATTAGAGTTGATAACTTTAAATTTCTATTCACCTTAATTACTGTTTGTTTGAAAGGGTGATTTTACGTGCTTTCAACATCATTCGATATATTCTGCTTACCCCTTTCAATAGCCCTCGCCCCAAATACCTTGCCACATCATTTAACAAATCAGCGTTCATTACATCAACAGGCACTGGATCGACAATTATTTTTCATCCTTTGGCAAAAAAAAAAAAAAAAAACATTATATGCCGGATGACACTCGAAAAAAAAAATGAGCATGAATTGCTTTTTGCAGGTTGAAGGGTAACTTATGATGGTTGCCTCTCTTCTACACCTTGAATCTAGAGGGATTTTAGAGAATGTAGGCAAATTAAAATTATTTGCCTATCTCAAGATACGTGGATAAGATCATCGATGGATCAGATATAGAGTTTAAGGGTGGATGGAGACTATTTTTTTACAGTTTTCAAATTATATCTTGCTGTGCATTATATCTGCATTTTACAGGTTAAATCTTACAGATTAAATGAACCAGCGAATTTTCAAATTATCTCTACAGTTTAAACCTGTTATCTACTAATTAACCAATATTTACAGGTTAATCAAATCCTTCGGATTAACTTGTAAGCCTTCTAAGGCAACAGTTTAACTGTCAAATTTCAAGTATGGAATCGTAAGCATAATTCTATTCTATTGTTGCACATTCTTTAGATTAATTCCATTTAGTCAATTATGCCTTTAACTATGGTGATTATTTTCTTAGATAATTTTTTAACGAGATTTAGTCGTTTAAGGGATTACCCACTAAGCCTGGGATGAAAAATTTAATCTGAGACTCACGTTGGCACCTTCATAGTTAGGTTAAAGTTACGTTAATATGTAAAGACCACGTCAATTCTTATCATAGAAGAAGGCTTGTTTATCATTCGAACAACCCTTATCTAACTTTAAAATGTCAAAATCCCATTATGTCTAAGATTTCTATTTTCAGTTGCAACCTCTTCCCCAAACTGTAAATTACCTAAAATGTAAATTACCTAATTCATCACCAGCAAAATAAAAAACCTGCAGTTTATTTTTTTACATATTTTAAGTGCCGTAGATATCTCGCCCCAAGGGTCCAAAATCCGTTGAGGAAGAATCTGTGCATATTGCATATTAATCAACACGCCTCAAACCATGATCATGTAGAGGTATTTTTTTCATGTTTGTGTAAAGGTATTCGTTTAATTGTTATTGTTGTGAATAAAAATCACGTTGATAATCCACAAATACAATTGTTTGTAACAATAACCACAAACGCATTGTTACTAAATTCTAAGGCGCACGTCTCAACTGAAAATTCTATTTGTGACATCAGATCTGTAACATAGTAAATTTAGTTATCATTATAAGTTAAAACAGGTCATTTACTATAGATGAAGTGAATTGTAATTACGAATTGTAAACATTTGCGGATTTCCACTAAAAGTTTTACGGAATATCTGTCAAAATATTTCTCCCTTTTGGTGGAATTTTTAATTTGCTGGGAAAAAAAAAAATTTTTTTGTGTTTGTGAATTTTGTGTTTGTGGATTTTAGTGGTTTTGTGGATTTTAGTTTTTTTCTGAACTATTTTTTTTTGTTTTTGTGGATTTTTGTGTTTGTAAACTTTTTTGTTTTTGTAAACTTTTTAGTTTTTGTAAACTTTGTATTTGTGGATTAAAGTTTTTTTTTTAGGTGTTTGTGGATTAAACTTTTAGATTCTTTTTTTTCTTATAACCTTATAGAGGAAACGTTGTTATCATAGATAGCTCAATATTAGTGGTTATTAAACATTAAACAAACACAGAAATCTCAATTAGTAGATTTTCAGTTTGAAAAATATTCATTAACAATTAGTGGTTTTGTGTCAATTGGATATTATTTTGAAGTTTATTTTTGAACGGCTGGGCAAATCTTTGATTGTGACGTAAGGATCTCCAACTCCCCTCACACTTGTCAGGTCATTTCCATCCCTTTACATGTGAGACTGGTGAAGCTAAGCCAATGCTGTCGATCATACATCATGATGAGAGCATGGATTCATCAGCGGAATATTCATCCGCCATGGAATGTTTGGTCATAGAAATTATATTCCGCAATTTGACCCTTCCGCGTCACGAAAATATTTTGGATGAAGTTTACTGGGCACGTTACCGTAGTAGATCTCTGTACCCCTCGCGGTAGTTGGGGCAGATTGTGGAAGTTGACTCGCGCCGATTTACACTTCCCCACGGTATTTCACTAGATTTTTCTCGCACCACTTGTCGCTAATTGATTATTTCTCGCACCATAACTCAGTAAATTCTCCTTTTCTCGCACCATTACCCCCTAATTCTCCCTTTCTCGCACCATTCCTCCCTAATTCTCCCTTCCCAAGATATCCGCACTCAATCAAACAATCCTCAAACTCGCACATCATCATGGCTAAAGCTAAAGATTCAAACAGTGAAAGTGAAACAAGAAACCCTCCTCGTGTCCACAAATCCAGGCACGCCGTAGCTGCCCAAATGCAAGCCCAACAAGAATACCTTTCCAAGCACATAAATTCCAATGGTCCTAAAGACAAGCCCAAAATAGATCCCTTGGATTTTGATACCTTACCCATCCAATCCCTCAATAATTACTCCCGATTCTACAATTTGAACCAGCACGCCGTACTGGTCCATGCTGATATTCTTTATAGCGAGATAGGGAAGAAGACTTCAAGTTACAAAAAGAATTTATCCAAAGTATCGAAAATCGACAAAGTAGAGTTATCATCCAACGTTAAGAAGCATTTCACCAACCTTCCGGTCAAAGAGAACGAAATCCTCACCAACTTCTTGTACAAGGTGAAGAACGACAACAAAGCATTCAAATTGAACTTCAAGTAAGAACCAAAAAAAAAAGGCCGACACCCGTACACCAGGCGTAATATCTCCGGTTTGAGTATGTTTGCGCTTCATTTCTAAATGAGGAAATGTAGTCACAGACGGAGCATATCGGTAATTCCATCACCATGGTAATGGGACCAGCACTTCCAATAACTTCATGACAACTTCCTAAGTAGCTTGGCAACACCCTGTCGCCCGAAGTATCCGGCTACTACCAAACTAAGGTCATCTGACCTCATGCCTATGCGTTTCACCTCGGATTTATTCCATCTGGAACCTAGGAATGATAGAAAATATCTCATTTCAGTTTCATCATAATACACGATTGTTCCCATCTGCACGCTCTAAACTGTAGAAAATATGATAGAAAATATGGATGAAAAATAACCAGGTTAGGAGAAAGGTTATGGAGAAGGTTACGAAGGTTACGAAGGTTGGGGAGAAAAGTTTAATGGAATGCATTAGTCAATCGAAGCAGGGGTGCTTAAACACGGTGAAATTTAGTGGTGATATCACCAGCTGATTTCCGTTGTCTCAGAATTTTACGTCTCCACAGTGACTCGGAAATGCATTGTCAGTGATTGAAGGGAGTCAACAATGGGCTGACGTATGTTTGATGTCACAGTAGGTTATGGACAGGGAAGATCAACGTCAAGCATGAGACAGAGCGTGTGGGGAGGGAATGGTAGGGGCTAATGATGGAAAAATGTCAGTTTGATGATGCCGAATTAGGGCAGCTCGCCTCGTATGCTTAAAGTGTAATAAATAGAGCAACGGGCCGAATTGGGAATTTAGCGTTAGGGAAATATTTTTCGGCCAGATTGCGAGAGATCTTAGGCGACGCTTAGGTGAGGCTAGTGCAATAGAGACGAGATAAGATGAAATAGTGATGGAATAGTGATGAAATAGTGAGATGGAATAATGAGATGAAATAGTGACGTAAATTTGCCATCCGCGGCCTAGACTCGCCGGCCATGATGGACCTAATTTCATCCAGCTCGCAGCCAAATTTCTTCGACCTAATTCCTACCACTCGCAGCCTAATTTCTTCGACATAATTCCTACCACTCGCTCCCTAAACATATCTCATACCACCCGCGACCACTCCAACGCCATCAAACTATCTCGCGATCTCATATTCAATGGAATCTTCAACCATCCTATTCATCATCACTTTGGTGACTTTATTCATCTTCCTCAGCTGGTTGATCACCCCCATCCCTCAAGAAGTCCCGTATGAAGTGGAACAAATCACCAGCCAGAATCAATCACGTCCTGTGCCCATCAACACAACCAGCAACTCCTCCAGTGGTAACTCCATAACCAGTGGCGTTAGACCCAGAAATACCTCCAGAGAGATCACCCCAGCAATGATAGAAATCGTCCAGTCCATTGGTCCACAATTAACTGAATCACAAATCCGTTTGGACCTTCAGAGATCGGGTTCGGTGGAAGCAACTGTAAATAATTATATGGAAAACGGTACTTTACCCTTCCCTGAAGGTGAAACCGCTCCCCAACAAACCGCCCCCACCCATAACATCCCTCCTTCCACAGTTTCACTTAACTTACTTGAAAAATACGGATTAACTGAAGATGAAGCCGTTGAAGGCACTCCTGAAGAACTCAAAGGTAAATGGGGAGCCTCTAAAGAAGAGAGGTCAACATTTTTGGAGAAGAAGAGAAAGGAAATGATTCTTAATGCTAGAAAAAGATTGGCTAGTCAATTGTCTAATGAAAAACCTAATGTTTTATAGTTACTATACATTTTTGCTTTTTTTCCTGATAAGATTATCAATGGAATTGATTTTCTCTTTTATTACACCAGGATTGGTGAGGTTTATATTGGTATTGTTTGTATTGACATTGTTAGTATTGGTATTGTTTGTATTGACATTGTTAGTATTGGAAATGTTTGTATTTGTGGTAATTGGATTTGTGGTAATTGGATTTGTGGTAATTGGATTTGTGGTAATTGGATTTGTGGTAATTCCATTTGTGGTATTTCCATTTGTGGTTATCATATCTAATTCTCCTAAATTATCAAATTTTATCATCGAACAAAACCCATCGGCTGCTGATACTATCACCTTATTACCATCCCAACTCATATCTGTAATTGTACTATAATGAAGATTATTCACCACCGCTAATGGTTCTAACTTCTCAGTATCGTAAATAATCACTGAATCTTGCGTAGCTACAGCAAAAATCATCTTATAAGGTAAATCGAACACTCCTAGTTCTGTGGATTGTCTTTTGTATAATGCTGGTGAGAACGATATACACACCGCAGGTTTGGACATACCTGGTAAATGGACTATTGGTTTATTCAAATTAGTACGTGTGAATACATATACCGTATTAGTTTCAGTTCCATCGGCGTATCTGAAGATTCCTGAAGGTGTCACTAAAAGGTTCCCATCAGGGGAGAACGTAAGTCTTCTAAAGAATGACTGAAGAGTCTCTGGATGGAAAAGTGACTTATTCTTAATCCCCCTCTCTTCCTTCTTATCATCATCATCAACAGATATAATCTCCACCCCATCTTTCTCCCCAATAACCACACCGTCATCCTCTTCACTGAGCTTATAATTAGGCACCTCCGACCTAATGTTCTTGTATATCAACCGGGTTCCTCCATTCTTGAACTTATAAACATTCATACACTTATCGGCCGATTGACTGACGATATATTCTCCCTTAGGATCCCAGGAAACTCCTTGAACGTAATGGGAATGGTTTGTCATGTGATCTATCATATTACCACTGTCAGCATCATAAACTCTTACTATATTATCCATGGATCCCGTGACAAGATATTTCCCACAAGGAGACCAATCTAGGTCCACTACCTCGGCATTACTACGGATCAACTTCACTACTGTCCAGCTCTCTACGTCATCAAACTCGTTGTCGATGTTCTTGATCAAAGTTGGGGATTTCTGCCATATAATCACCGATCCATCATCACTACAAGAAGCTAGTAATCCTTGGGGGGAGAATTTCACCGCATTGACCGCCTGGGTATGTTTGACCAACGTCGATAAGTAGGTTACACGAGGCCCGTAGTTGTCTTCTTCGTTGGAATCGGTATAATTGACTGTCCATTCATCATCAAGTCTCCATAGACGTATATGGTTATCACCACCTCCAGTGACAAGTCTCTTGATTTCGGGAGTTTTTGTGGGATTTTCTCCGTTTTTTTCGCCATTTATCGATTCTAACGGTCCAGTTACCTCATATCTTTGCCAGTCGACGGAATATACTGGCAGATTCTCGTCATGCCAGTTGATTTTCAAGATACAACAATTCATTACGCGTTGAAGTTTGCGATGTCTCGATGTCGATGTCTCACCGGTGCGAAATGTCGGAGGACTGGATAACTCTCACTGATAAGGCACCAAAAAGGTTTACAAAAAGGAAGTTCCACAAAACCAAAGGTTTACAAAAAAGAAGTTTACAAATAGAAATTTCCACAAACACAAAATCCACAAACTCCCCCTTTAGTTATCAAACTTCATACAGACCTCATGTTAATGGAAAAGTACGCATTGATAGATGAAGACGGAATCTTGTCGTGGGACGAAATGACCACTGATGATGATAGAGACCAATCTCCTCATAGACTTCCTCATACCATTTCACAAGCTTTACCACCAACTAAAGATGACTTTTATGCCAACCATTGCCAACAATATATCGACTTCACCAACGATAACCCCACTACCTTCCATGTGGCGGAATATTTCCATAATCTTCTTGTCTCAGAAGGATTTGAGTACATTTGTGAAACATCCCCTATCACTGAAGAATTGGCCAGGTCCATTGATCAGGGAGGGAAATTCTTCATCTCCAGAGGTGACTTGACTTTGATAGCATTTGTGATAGGTCCACAATGGAGTGAAAAGGAAGGGTTGTCGTTAGTAGGTGCTCATATCGATGTGTTAACAGCTAAATTGAAACCTTCATCTACCAGACCTATAATTGATGGTTATGAGACTTTAGGTGTAGCACCATATTCCGGTGCCATGAGTAAAGTCTGGCTCGATAGAGATTTGGGTATTGGTGGGTCTATTCTCGTGAAAGAAGGAGGTAGAGTAGTGAGAAAGACCTATAAATCTCCCGGTCCTATAGCTAAAGTCCCATCCCTCGCTGAACATTTCGGCTTAGGGGACATTGACTATAATCCCGAGACCCAAATGGTCCCCATTGTAGGATACGTCTCTGAAACAGATGAACCAATAGATGAAGCCATCTTGAAACATCCATTAAGTGATGACCATCTGCCCAAATTGCTCAATTATATAGTCAAAACTTCTGGAATTGATATCGACGATATTGTTGACATAGAACTAGAGCTTTATGATACTCAGCCAGCTACCGTAGGAGGATTGAACGATGAATTTCTCATGGCCCCTAGACTTGATGATAGATTATGTGGATTTCTGGCCATCTATGGATTGATAGAGTACAGTAAAAACCCTAAGGACGATGATTTGAGTATGGTTTTGTTAGCAGATAACGAAGAAATCGGTTCAGCTTCAAGATCAGGAGCTAAAGGACAGTTCTTGACTTCCACTGTTGAAAGAATCTTACATGTGAAGAAGGGTTTGAAATCCATAGTATTTGCTAATTCTATGCTTCTTTCTGTGGATGTTACGCACTGTTTGAACCCTAACTTTAAGAACGTTTACTTGGATAATCATTTCCCTGTTCCTAACACTGGGATCTCGTGTAAATTTGATCCTAATGCTCATACCATGACTGACAAGGTAGGGTTCAATATCATGAAGCAAATAGCGGAAAAGTATAATGGGAAAGTTCAGAGGTTCCAAATAAGAAATGATGGTAGATCAGGAGGAACTATAGGACCAATGTTAGCTACCGAGACTGGTAGTAGAGTTTTAGATTGTGGATTACCTATTTTATCAATGCATAGTATTCGAGCAATGTGTGGATCTAAAGAACCAGGAATTGGGATTGAATGTTTCCAGAATTTCTTTCAGTTCTGGAAAGAGATCCATGCTTCATACAAGGGACTTTAAGTTTCTTCTAGGATTTATAAATAGAATGCAAAAGAATATTTAAGTACACGAATAGAATCTCTTTGTACACAAATAGTAAAAAATAATCTTTAAGTACACAAAAAGGAAATTTTGACACAAATGGAAAAAAAATAAACTCTAAGTACACAAATAGAAAACAAGAATGTTTAAGTACACAAATAGAAAAATAGAATCATTAGGTACCACAAAAAGAATTTTTTAAAGTACACAAAAAGAATCTTCAAGTACACAAATAGAAAAACAAACTCTTTAAGTACACAAAAAGAATCTTTAAAGTACACAAATAGAAAAATAGATTCAAATAACCCGTAACATGCATTATAAACTACCAACAAATAAAGAAACCACTATAAACCCAGACATTAAGTAATATAATTTAACACTACAATTTGTACCTAAAGCCTCTAAAGAACCGGAATTCTCACTATCTGAGCTTGCACTTCCACTTATGGATATTATTGATTCACTTGCTGATTGTAAAGTTAAAGTTCTTGGTTCTGATGTATATGAACCAATTAAATCTGTTTGTGCTGTAGCAGTATCATCAATTAATAAACTATTGGAGTTACTGAGATCTTTAAGTATCGTCGATACTTGTAAATGATTTAATGACGATATGGAAGGTTGAACTAATGATGTGGTATCTACTAATAATGACATTTTTTTTCTAAATCTATGGATGTTTGTAAACGAAAAGTGAGAATTTGTCCCCTTAAATAAAAATTTTTTTTGGACAATTTTAAGGTACCGGAATTCTTCATGCAAGGGGATTGAAAAAATTTTACCCATTACGTCAAAAAACGACACAACCGTAGATCTTTTGTCCCAAATGAGAGGATTTCGTCAATTGAAAAGGATAATCGTGGCGAGATGCATTGAGACGATGTAATGGGTTAACAAAGAAGCTACCACAAACCTTAGTTGAAGTTGAATCAATGAGTATTAAAGAATCAATCAAATCAAGTCGTGAACATACCAGGAGACATTCTCCAAATGATCAGGGTACGTATCAATAATGTATATAAACCGGGTTCAATTGTTATGGTAAGAATAATCGGTTAAACTCTATTGTAAGAAATTATTTTGATGATTTGACGATATGACATAATGGTTTCTTGTTTAGTGGATTAACAAAACTTGGTCCCTGAGACATTGATCACCTAGAGTCACGAAAGTCACTTATTTACATTTTCTCCAGCTTTTGATCACAGTTTCAACACCAAATTTCAATATATCGAACATCTCTGTGTTTATGTTTCATAAGATCGTTGTTTCATAAGATCGTTTCACATTTGTTTCATATTAAAGTTTTAAGAATTATCAGTTAAAACCGTGTCGTGGAAATTTCGTCATGTCGGAAGTTTCGTGTACCTATTGTGGATGTCGCGATATCGTCATTGGTGGACCAACACTCCCCCTTGGTTGACGACATTTGGAGCCCGACCTCCACAACGAGACATTTTCACTATAGAGACATTTTTCTCAAAAGAGACAAGAGACATTTCTCTCAAAAGAGACAAGAGACATTTTCACAATAGAGATTACACGATTTATAATACAATACACACTATACTACTACACTAATCTTCTTCGTTAGCTTTCTTCATTCTAGCTATCTTAACCAAAGGACTCAACAGACTGACGTCATCACTCTCCAAAATGAATTTATCCTTCAATAATTGGTCAGCATCAAGACGTTTGTTACTGTCTACTTTCAAACACCAACTTAAGAATCTACGAATGTCGTGACTCAATGCTTCAGGTTCTTTCAACTTGGGTGTACCATTGGTGGCGATAAGATATAAAGCTCTTAACGGAGTTTCATTCAAATAAGGAGGTTCACCTTCAATCATTTCAATGATCATGATCCCTAACGACCAAATATCAACTTTAGGTCCATATTCTTTTCTACTGACAACTTCTGGTGCCATCCAATAAGGAGTTCCTACCATTGTGGTTCTTTTTAAGTTGATATCATTGATTTGTGCACAAAACCCAAAATCGGTCATTTTAATGTTCCCGTCAATATTCAACAAGATGTTGTCTGACTTAATGTCTCTATGAATAACCCCTTTAGAATGTAAGAACTTAAGACCTTTCAAAGTTTCTCTACAAACAGCACCAATTTGACCTTCGGTCATCACCGAATGAGTAACGATTTCCGTCAAACTACCACCTTCCATGTATTCCATCACCACCCATAAGTCACCTTTCAATAAGTAGGAATCAATGAAATTGACGATATTTGGATGTTTAGAACCTTTCATAACCAAGATTTCATTGATGATCAATTCTTTCTTTGGTTGTTGTTCCAAGTTCATCTGTTTGATAGCTACGGTATTGGCTTTATTATGGATCTCATGAGCTATATAAACTCCACCACTAGCCCCTTGACCGATTTTAACGAGATCGCGGTAATATTGATTAGGATCTCCTTCACTACAGATACTTTGAAGTTTGGTCATTACTTGAAGGTTCTTACGTTTTTTATCTTCACGTTTCTTTTGAGCTATTAAAGCTGCTTGTTTAGCATCTCTAACGGGTTTCTTCTTATCGTCTTTAGAAGGAGTTGGTGGGACGGCAGTAGGAGCTGGGGATTCAACTGGTGTAGAAGTTGAACCTTGATTGGTGGTAGCAGGATTTGAACTTGGAGCTGGTTCCTTTGGAGTCACAGGAACTTTTTGAGGTGGTGGTGGTGGAGCTCTAGGTTTCTGAATATGTTTAGGTGTCATATTTGGAGGTGGAGGTGGAGGTCTATGTTTGAATTCCCCTTCAAATTTGGCTGTTGGAGGGATGGGGGCAGTTGAAATCTTATTACCAGGAGGTGGTTGGACCTGAGAAGCTAAAGAATTATTATGAGATTTGGATTTAGGGATCCCTTGATATGATGGTGGAGATATCGGGCTACTGATGACAGGCTTCTCGTTAGTCATTCTTGATCTTAAAGATTTGATCGATTTGGAGGAGATGGATCTTTTACCCATAAAACTTTTCTTTGGAGATGTTTGACTTGGTGATGGTGGAACAATATGTTGTTCTGGTGATACCATAGTAGATGACCCTACCGAAGGAGGTCTTGGAGCTGGTCTACTAGGAATATATGAACTTTCATAAGGACTTCCCCCTGGAGATTGTTGAGGCATTGAAATCAGACTACCTTCAGGTAAAGTACTGGAAGAACCGAAATAACTTCCATTACCATTACTATGACCTCCAGGAGTTCCTGGACCGCCAGGAGTACCTGGTGGAGTCATAGAATTATTCAAAGATGTGCTGGAATTATTATACTGGAATTTCTTTAAAGCATAATCATCACCATGTTCATTAGTTTCTTGGTAGAACGCCAATACGTCCATCACTGCCTGAGGATTTTGGACTTGTTCACTCTTACTGATTCCACTTGAACTTAACATTCTTTCCCATTCGGTAGGGACCCCCACTAAGGATCCATCGTTATCAATACCGACATGGGTAGGATGTCTGAAACTGAAAGGAGTAGAAATCTTCATATTGACTGATTCTTGAGGTTTGGACTTATTCTTAGTACCAAACATATTGGTGAATACCCCTTTAACCTTCAGACTACTTGATTTTCTCATTTTAGACCCCAACAAGCTGTTTCTAGGGGATAAAGAATCATTGTTTAAGATCCCCATGCCCAAGTTATCTCTAGGACTTGAAGCTGGTGATTGGCCGGTACCATGGGAATTATTAAATCCATATTTGGCCCCCTGGTTCATTATAGGTGTCATAGCAGCAGTTTGGTTATAACTTCTATTAGGTGTGGTAGTAGATGAACTGAAAGCTTTAGGAGTATAAGGTTGAGGTGGTACAGGGAAACTGGAATGGTTTGGTGGTGGTGGTGGACTCCTTATGACTGTAGCACTGGATAAAAGTCTTTGACCATCGTTAGTACCGTTCTTTTCAATATGAAGGTCTTCTATATCGATGGTATTTTGACTGAGATCCAAAGTATCATCATTTTCTTTATCGTCATCTGATGCTACGGGTCCAGGAGTTGATGCTACAGGCACGGAAGTCTTTCCTGAGGTTTTCCTCGAACCGATGGAAGTCTCCGGTACAAAGTCCTTAGTATTTACCACGGGTTTATGGTCCAGACTCTGGTCCAGTGCTACAATATTCTGATCCAGCACTACCTTCATCTCTTCACCCTTCCCTTGAGCTCCTACGGGTTTATTATCATCATCAGAGATCTCTACCGACTCTGAAGTCATAAAACTATCATCAATATCATCCTCCGTAGTGGTAATCTTCCCTAATACATCTTTTTGTAAATCAGCTGATGGGGGTAAAGGGGCCAAATCTGGGGTTTGGTCCGTCAGTTCACCTCCAGACCCTTGAATCCCATTATCTAGTTGAAGTCCTGGGTCCAAGGTGGTCTTATAATCTTTCTCTTCCTTCAAATCATTAAAATCAAACGTAGCAGGGATTCTAGGTAAAGAACCAGGGGTTTCCTTACCTGGTTCATCTCCAGAACCTTCAATCCCCGACCCATTGATATCTTTATTTCCAGAATCTTCTACAATACCTTCAGACATAATAGGAACTTCTATATCTTCACCTTCCAGTCCCTCTAATGACTGTACATCTATATCATCTTTTAACGTCAGGGGGATATTACTCTTACTACTGTTCTCAAACTTCAGGATGGTGTCTTGTAAGGGAGACCCCAAGCCTGAACTATCATTCAATATCGACATTGTGGATCCAATTCACAGGTTTGACCTTTAAATATTACACGTCTAGATTATTTCCTAAACAGTTCAAAATAGTCTCTGGAAAGTTACACAAAAAAAAAACACTCAGCTACAACGAGGAGTTAATGATTGTAGTTGTAGTGGTATACAGTTGGATCTAGTGATACTTAAACAATTCAATCGATCACTTAAAGGTCTTTTGAATAGGTTCGATAGAATAGGTTTAATCCACAATTGAAAATCAACAAAAATTCTCACCGTTTTTGGAAATGTCGTGCGCGGGTCAAAATACCGGATTTTTGTGTAACAACCACCAAACAAAAAAAAAAGGAGGTCACCTGATTTGATGGTTTCCTATTGGCTAAGGTTTTTGAATAGGCTAATTAGGCTATAAAGTTACGGAAGCGAGAGAGTTTAAAGACATGGGATCGTAATGATTGATGGTAAAGATAAGAGATCGTACTGAATCCCATACCACACACACAACCGCAAGCCTCCTCGTAGTTATGTGCATACACGAATTGATCCGCCTCGTCTATTTCTTCCCTATAACTGTATAATTCCCCGGCTGTTCTTCATAGACGTATCCTTTGGCATTCAAATACCTTCCTACTTGTAGTTTGATCTTTGAATATCCTTCTTTAGAGTGGATTCCTCGACCGGTGATGATTTTTAGAGGTTCCATTATTTCGGCTTTCTTACCATATGTTCTCTTTCCTTCTTTTAAACGGCCATCTAATTCCTGATCCCACCATTCATTAGTCACTTGAGCTACTATCGATACTGCTGTGTCTGAAGTAAAACCATGAAGATCTAGTTTCCCTGTGGATTGTAAATTCCCTATGGATTGTAGATTCCCTAGCGAATCATGTGAGGAAACAGTTTTGATATTGGGTTCATTATAATTTCGTTTCACAGTGATCCATTCAGTTTTTGGCTCTTTCAAAACTTGTTTGGCAGCTCCTGTTAGCTTTATGGATGAAACCTGCGATGATCCAGTCATATGACGATCCTTTAATATTGGACCTTTGATTATTTGTTTGTGAAACGTTAGTTCTTGATACCCGAAATCACAAATCATCTCTACATAAACCAAAGCTTGTTCTAGATCTCCTAGCACTGTCATGAGTTTCTTACAAAATGTCAAATCTAATTGTCGTACTTGAGGGTCAGATTTGTGAATGGTTTCAATACTCTTAGTACTGACTTTGGCTTTTCTACCTCTTTGTATTCTTGACGTTTGTGTATCTTCCAACTTGACTTCATTACTCACCAATTGGATCAATGCCCTTATATAATCACCTTCATTATCTTCCAAATATCTTCTGGTTATTGAAGTATCTATACCTGTGACTTCCCCTAACTTCGTCCATAAATCTTTAATGTCATACTGATCTTTAATCTTCAACTTATCCACCCCTACAAGGTTATTCAAGGTCATATCGAAGTCATGATGACATTCTTCATACTTAACGTTGATATACTCAATGGATAAATCCGGCATGATTTCCAATAATTTGTACACATCCAAGGGATAATCCTGTGATGGGGCTTCTTCAAACATGAGATCTATCAATTTATCCACCGATGAATGGGGATGTTGGCTGATGAGACGTAATATATCTGTTTCAGATTTGGTGGGGAAGATATCTAGGATCTGATGTATAGTGGAATTTGTGCCACAATTTGAACCTTCCTCCCTATTAGACAGGTCAATGTCTCTGGTTTGTACAACAATGTCTGTTTGCTCCAAAACATCGTCGTTGAAGGGACCATTTCCTGGCATTCTATAGATTCTCTAACGGGTCTAAAGTGTGAGAGATCGCGATACATTGCGATGATCTATAAACTTTACACACTATGAACGGCAACTACAGTTTTAATGGCCGAAAGCCAATTTATTAACAAAGCTTCGTCTTTGGCAGCAAATTTAAAGTTACACAATTCAGTTATTACCACCAAACACCATTTTTTCCGGTCGAATTCTATCACATCCTTGATATCTTTGGTGCTGATGTTTCGATAGATCTTTTCTGATTTATGGTGGAACAAATAGAGGTTCCGATTAGTAAGCACTATGTCAAGTTTCTTCCAATTATTGGTTTTGTGGATTTTCTTATGAAGCAGACCTGTTTGAATGAGATATTCTCCTGAAAGGTTCAATGGCCTGCAAGTTCCTTTAGCCGGATCAGTTGCACATGTAATATGTTCGGTATTCAATTGTTCTACCTCTGTCTGTTGTTTGTAATTGAAAAACTTCTGCCAACTATCTATCCAGGTTTGATCCACATCCTTGAAATGCAACGTCTTCTTGGTGGTATACACATTCAACCTATCAGTGACATTGAATGTCTGAAGATCCATCTGATTTATCACCTTTAAAGGCTTAGCTTCCTTTTCATCTTTATAGTAACTCAACTGACAGTTCCTGAGAACCACCCATATCTTCTGCCATTTTAATCTGGTCTTCTTGTACAAGTAAGATGAATGTATTACCTGATAGTCTTCAGGAGTCATATCATTTATCTCCAGAGGTCAAAGCTTAAATAGGTTGCTGAGGTTACGAACCCCAATAATGACGTTAAGGCTCAACGCGATCAAATAACTGCCGTTTAGGAATAGCCTAGATGTAGCTAATGTACAGGGCTGATCAGGGGGGTGGTTGTTATGTATTATAATTATTTACTTTCAAAAGCATCTTTTATAACTCCAATAATAGCACTGGAGTTGATTTTATCATTACCTCCTTTGGAGATTCCATATTCAATATCACTTAATCCTTTTAAAATCATGATTTTTGTCTTTGGTGTTATTTCGTAGTTGTTTAAGATTTCAATGAATCCATGTAATAAATCAATTAATGCTAAACCTTTCAATTTCTTAAACTTATCTAAGGTCAAATAAGCTGTAGTCCAATCATCTTTTAAGATCGAATCCAATACAGTTTCAATATCTTTAGGTTGAGGAGCTCCAATACAATTAAAGATCATTTCTTCATCTATTTCATCAGTGTCATTATCTAAAGATGCTTTACAAGCTTGTAAGACATTTAAAGCTCTTCTCATATCACCTTGGGATAACTTTAACAACGCTTTTTCCGCTTGTTCATTGATATTAAGGTTTTCCTTGATAATAACGTTCTTAATTCTATCTCTGATGGCATCTTCTGAAATGGGCTGGAATCTGAATCTCGTACAACGAGATAATAATGCTGGATTCAATTTATGAGAATAATTAGCTAATATACAAAACCTCGTGTTCTTTGTGTACTTTTCAATGATTCTCCTCAAAGAGTTTTGTGCTACTGAAGTCATGGCATCAGCTTCATCTAAGATGATGAGTTTAAATCCTTTACTGAAAATTTGCATAGTACTGGCAAAATCTTTGATTTGATTCCTTACAACATCGATCCCTCTATCATCAGAAGCATTCAATTCTAATACCATATTCTTATATTTAGGTCCATAGATTTCTTTGGCTAATGCTATGATGGTAGAAGTTTTCCCAGTACCTGGAGGTCCATAGAAAAGTAAATGAGGTAATTTCCCTTCTTCTACAAACTTCCGTACTGTATCGACGATTTCTTGTTGTCCATAAACTTCATCCAAGGAATCAGGTCTGTATTTTTCCACCCTTGAACGTTAGTATTTATCCACAAACATAGAGATTGTTTTGACACAAAGTCCATTCCAACATACCAAGGTAAGTTTTCTTTACTCATATTTATTGAAAAATCAACGCGCTCCGCGCTCTATATAAGATGGACCAAAACCACCAATGCTAAAAGACTATTTACTACCAACTTTACTGCCGTAGAAGTGACATCGAACGAGTCTCCGACGAAGTTACATGTTGGGAATTCCCCATCAACGCCCCAATAGTACGAAAGTTTAATGGAATCGTTGTGTTTGGGACATACGAAATTAAAATCTGCCGGACAGTCTCTTACTATGGCTTCACATACATTGAAACAAGGCAACACTTCATAGTACTCTTGGTAAGGTTGAATATTATCATCAATCCATGAATTACGATTATTCCCCACGTCACGTGATACATATCCGGTTATATTTCTGGTTGAACAACGAGGAATAGTTACAGCACATAACCAATTTTTATATGATAAAGCACAATCGTCACATGTTCTAATAGGTGAAAACACAGAATCTTGGGAAGCATTACAAGGAATTTGTTGTAGGGCCTTCGAAAAGTTCTGGAATAATGCTTGAGCTCTATCATCATACATAGTCCTTAACTCTTCTTTAGTAAGCAGGGGATTGTTAGGGACAGCATAAGCTACTTTATTACAAAACTCTAGATCGTAGATCAAGTCACATGCATCTTTGTCCATGGTTTCGAATTCAAACGGTTGATAAACTGCTCCACCGAAATCTTTCCCAGCAAAATCTGAAACAAGGTATGCGATGTATCGTGTGGAGGAGTTTAACCCGGTTACATGGAATTGTTGTTGTAAACCTCCACTTCTGGTAGTAAAACTACTTTCTAGCTTGGAAGGATCAAGTAATACGGGCCCGTTTCTAATGGCACACCAACTACTGTTCAAACTATCGAAATAATGACGGTACTCATCACTATAGATATATAGGGAGAATCTGGAATTGGATACATTAACGTTCTCATAATCTCCATCACTGGTTAAGTTACCTGTAACTATCAAAGCAGAATCCTCATCAGTATCAACCAATGTGGCCCAACTCCTATCATCCCATTGGAAAACCAAATCATTTTGACTGACCCCGATCTCATACATCCAGGTACTGGTGATGTCGACATTTTGCGGGGCTCTAACGGCGATATATAAAACAGTGTTCTGGTTTTCTGTCAGGGTGATGGGAACATCTGCTAAAGCTTGGAAATATCCGTTATGAAACAATTCCATTTGAGCTAATTCAAAATTCTGAAACATTGATGAATTAAAGGAATAATAAACTGCTAAACTGGTATCATTAGCATCGACATTACTGGGTTGAGAACAAATATTCCCTGTTAAGAAGATCAAGAACTCATAGTATTCTCCTACCCCAGAAGATGTGTTAACATTGAAAGAAAAGAATTGAGTCTCTGATTGTCCAATGGTGGATTTAATAGGTGTGAATTCCTGTAACCCTTCAGATTTATCTCTTTGTTCAAGTGATGGTAAGGATATTCCTGACCCTAGGTTGATGGGTTCATCTATATCAATACATAAGATCGTATAAAATAGTATGAAAAAGAACCATCTCATTACTGGTTTTGTGGAGTGAGATAAATCGAGACACAAAAACTTTTTTTATTAGCCGCTGAGAGTTATAAAAATAGATTTTACCTTTATCAGTAGACAAACCCAAACCTTTGAAGGGAAGATCAGGGGGAAGTGACATATCATCAAGAGAAGGAACATCAAGAGAAAGAGAATCCAACAATTTTACAAAAATAACCCGTCTATTTAAATAATTTCCAAAATTTCAGCTTCTTCTTCTTATGTTCCCTCTCGTCACCTTTACTAGATCCACTAGCTATAGTAGTCAAATCGGGATGTGATTTCAATGGTTCTAACGCTGGACGTGTAAACATTTGACTATCGTCATTGGAAAGAGATTTTTGAATCTTCTTCATTGATCTGATATCTTTCTCCTTATTATTCTTATCAATACCTACAAACTTCAAAGTTTGTTTTGGAGGGAGTGAATCGTTAGAATTCCCTGGTGATATGATGTTGATACTTGGTGGAGCATTCGACACAACACTTTCATTTGATTTCAATTTCTCTACTTGTAATTGACGTTCCTTTTCTTTAAGATTCCTCTTCAAATCTTTCAAAGATATCTTAGGTGTCTTAACTACTGGAACATCAGTCTTTGCTTTCTCTACTGGTTCTAATAAAGATTTAGTCTTGTATCCGTGTTGTCCCCATTTATTGGATCCGGTGATAGCCCCGGCTAATTTAGCTCCTTTACCTTTAAAATTCGGATCGATGCTTCGAATTTCTTCACAGAATTCGATGGAATTCTGGGAAATCAACTTAAGAGCATCAACAAAATAATCCAATGTATAGTTATTCTTAGTTAAACTGTCATTAAGTTGATCGTGTAAGTCTCGTTTAGACTTCTCATAAATGTTAGTGATTTCTTCAAATGATGAATACGAATCGTCAGACGATATTGACGACATTGACTGAAGGTCACCGAAAGATTTCTTCCTTGTGAATTCATATGGACCATCTTCATCACTGAACTTGTACTTATTATTGATTTCTTTACGTAAGTCTCTTTCAAATCTCCCCATATTGACTGCGGGGGTAACTATAAGGGGTAAAGGAAAGTTCTTAACTAACCGGTCGGTAAGTTTTGAAGAAGTCCATGATCTCAAAGGAGCTGCGATATTAGTTCTGGGTTTAGAACCAGTAGCTACCACGCTTGGCTCATATAATTTATACATCTCTTTTAGAACTTGTTTTGTTTCACCCACGGCTAATTCAATTGATACTTTAGCAATGATATCGGGATTTATCACTTCCATGGAATAATTCATGATCTTCCTGGCTATTAATTTGATGATTTCAGGCTTCGCTTTACCTTTCCGAGATTTATAACGACTAAATTCTGGTGATGATGAACCATAACTCTTTCTACGATGATGGGGAGGTTCCTGGAGAAGACTTTCATGAACCGAAGATACTATAATAACTGAATCACCATTCTCTATGAATTTACTCAAAACCCAATCCAAACAAACCCACGTATGTCGTCTTCCGGAAATGTAAACCAAAATCACCCTTCGTGGCAATACGGGACGCAAATAATTGCCTTGTTTATCTGTAACCTTCCCAAGGTACAAGTCTTCGAACTTAGTGTGTTTCTTTGTGTAAGTACATCCTTTATGAGTGATGATTGGCTGTGTAGGATATTCGGGACGCTTTTGTAGTAATTTGGCCATGTTAACATCTATATTATTGGTAATTGAACTGATTGAATTCCTCATTGGTGATACTCCTGATCTTATAGGACTAGCACTAGGACTATGAAGTGGTGATGGAGTAGGAGATATCTTACTACGAGATCTTCCTCTTGATTCATCAAATAAGAAATCATATGATCCAACTTTAAGATCATCATAACGACTATTTCTTCTGCCCCAATCATCATCATCAGAATCATCTTCTTGATATTGAATGTTCACGGTATCAAAAGCTACTCTTTTGACGAAATTCTGGGTATTTTCACTCTTATGGTTAGTCTCGTTGGGGATTCTAAATTTAATCTCTCTATAAGAAAGATCAATTCTATTAAGATATTCCAATAAGTCCAATTCTGTGTCACTATCACTACTATCACTCGACATATCTTCATGATCTCTTCCATGAACATTAGTTAACATGGGAGAACTCTTTGCATGTTGAAACTTTGGTTTATCAGTCATGGATGAGTAGATTTTTCTTAGATAACGGTTTTTGCGAATGATAATTTTTTTTTTCTTGGGGTACAAAAAGCCCTTTTTGTACCTTATAACCACAAAGCCACTAAAACAAAAAAATCTTTTTAACTATCCAATCTTATTCCTAATAAGAGAACCTTTATACAGAAAGAAACTATCTATTGACTATTTAATTGAGCTTGTTTTCTTTGATTATATAAGCCGGCTTGAATTCTAACATAAGTGACAGTAATACCACCAATTAAGACAGTTAAGCATACTAAAATGATATTGATTGGAACTGGGTTCATGTTGAAACTGGTGTGAGTTAATTTATCCAAGATACTTTGACTGAAGTTGAAAATACCTGAAGTACAAATGATGGCACCATAAACAGTACCGAAAGTATCGAAACCAAATACTTTTGCACAGAAATCTGATACGGCAGTATAGAAGAAAGGTCTATAACCAACAAAAATACACACATTAATGATACCAGTATAATAATTACCAATACATCCCAATACACCTATAAGTAAAGATACGGCCAATAAAGCATTCAATACTAAAACGGTTGAACAGTAGTCTAAGAATAAACCAACGAAAGGAATGGAGATAACTCCACCTAAAGGTAAAGCTAAATCGAAAAATTTAGTTAAAGCTTCAGCCAGTGAGATTGAATGTAATAAATAGGTGTATTGGGTGTTGATGGTAGCGACGAAATAATTCAATCTTAACATTTGAATGGTTGCGAAAAGACACATAAGGTAAAACCAAGGAGTTTTCATTTGATATTTAGCGGAATATCCATGTAAAATACCAAAGATTCCACCGGAATATTTAACTAAGTTGGCTTCACCTTCTTCAGCATATGGTTGTTTCAAAGCATCACCAATTGAATCTCTTCTACGATGAGAAGGTTCTAATAATGGTTGTTCTTCAGTTGGTTGATGATCATCAACACATAATGTAGTATCAGGAGGAGTTTTATAAGAATCCCATTCCATAACGAATATTTGGGCTACAGTGATGAAAACTGGGACTAATAAGTATACTTTAAAGAAATCTTCAATGGAGAAAGAACCTTGGGTCTTATTATAAACGATTCTGAAGATTAAAAATAAAGCTGATGAGGAATCAAAAGCTCCTGTCAATAAAGCTAACACAGAACCAGATTTTTTAGGGAAAGAATTTGATAATTGGAATGATGAAATATAAGCAAATGGACCTCCCAAAGCCATTGAAGCATAACCAATCAAATAAGGATCGAAAAATGATGAAATGAAACTATCAGTGATATTATCAGCATAAATAAAGATGAAACAAGCAAAGTAAAGGAAGAAAGCACCAATTAATCCACATACTTTAGGTCCATAACGATCTAAAACACTACCAATAACTAATGCTGATACATTAGTAACTACAGCACCAACAGTGAACATCATATTCAACTTTAAATCTTGATTGGTACATTTAGCCACAGTATCATTTTCTAAAGCGAATACTTTCCCTAATAACATGTTGGTGAAAGTTGGTTGACTTTCCATTACTAAATCACTAACTTCAATACCAACATTACAAACTTCTTCATAAATACCTTGTTTGATTAAAATAGGTTTTAAAGCAGCAAAACCAAAAATTGGTCCTCCTGATAATAAACACCAAAAGATTGCACAGCAACATTGGATAAATCTCCTTTTACTAGAGACGTCAGTATAAATCATGAGTAAGGTTTTAAAGTTGGGGGATAGAAAATTTTCACCCTTTTCTTATCAGTTATCGCACAAATCTATTGGACTTAAAGGGATTTCACGGTAACCACCGAATTTTGGTCTAAGGAACGATTGAAATGGATTGACCAGGAACTAATTAAAACTATCAATGTAAAAATTCAGTGATAGTGATATTTTTTCCAACTTTAGCGATAATTTGTGGTATTTAAACTGTTTGGTCCTCGCAATTGACCGGCTTGCCTGAGATGAGATCTCGTATATCTCCTTGGACCAATTTTTCCGGTTTAAACAATGTGATAGGGGTTAACCCAGGGTTAGAGTTTAAGCTTTGGGGTTTGTTTATGTTCGTTGGGCTTAATTGTTAAGGAAGTTTTTTTTTATTTTGAATTGTTTTCTGTTATCTGATAATTTGTAAAATCCACACATTATGTGTGAAAATCACCAGATTCTCTAATGTTAAGAAAAAAACTGTAAATCCATAACCAAGGGGAGAAAAATCGCCAAAAAATCACAGTTCATTGATAGAGCTCATAGGTTCATTTGGGGCTCGCTGGATAGTGATTTTAGAGACTGGGGCCGGTTTGGTTGTGGTCTTCATAGTTCTCACTATATATCTCACTCTTATTGATTTCGCACGTGACGTCTTGAGCAAAAGTTGCAAAAGGGAGAAAGTTGATCAAAGGTTGGTGAAAACATGCCAAAAATACCAAAAAATAGATTTTCTTCATAATCTAGGAATAGAACGGTTGTTATATATGCGGCTACTGATGTGGGTTGTTCTTTCTTTATCGACCTTTCGAGATTAAATACATCTGGGGGGGATTCTCAAGCTAAATATCTCTTTCAGAATTGAATGATTTTTGCAGAAGCATCCTGTGATACATAGGATACTCCGGGGGCATTGTTTGAATATAATCAATGAAGTGGAAGCCAATAGACTCACCTCTCCTTAACTATGGGTTTCGAGAAGAATTGATACGCGCACGCAACACTTCGGTGACGGCTGCAAAAGGGAGAAAGTCGATGACGAGTTGGTGAAAAACATGTCGAAAACACCAAAAAATAAAAAGCCTTCATAATTGAGGAATAGAAAGTCTGTGATTTATATGGCTGGCGATGTGGGTTCTTTTCATTTTATCGACATTTTGAGGTAGAATATATGGGAGAGATTATAGTAGTGAAATAACTCTTTTAGAATAGAACAATTTGACGAGAAGCATACTGTGATATGGTTGAGTTGTCAAAGTGTGTGTTTTGTTCATTCCATCAACATTCAAGGGTGCAATATGTTCACCTCTCCTTAACTATGGGATTTGAGAAGAAAAGATACGCACAAGACCTTTTCTTAGACTGGGGGAGAACATAGTTGTTAAATAACTCTCTTAGAATAGAACAATTTGACAGGGATCGTCGTGTGATACATTCGATGCTGTAAGGGTATTCTTTGGACTTGATCAACTCGGTGCAGGGTAATTGATTCACCTCTCCTTAACTATGGGATTCGAGAAGAATTGATACGCGCACGCAACACTTCTATGACAGCTGCAAAAAAGAGAAAGTTGGTTAAAGTTGGTAGAAACATGTTAAAAGTACCGGAAATTGAAAAATCTTCATAATTTCGTAACAGTGGGGTTTTGATTTATATGGCTTTCGATGTGTGTGTATCTCTTTCTATCAGTATTTTGAGATTAAATATATTTTGCTCGTAAGAAATATCGAAGCTGAACATCTCTTTCAGAATAGAATGCTTTGGAGGGAGTGTTGTATAATTCATACAATGCCTTATTCACCTTGTTTGTGCTCCATTAACATCTTATAACTGAATATATTCTGTTCATATTTCGGCGAGGGACGGAGTGTAGCAATGGACCAAAGAAGCAAAACATCCCATACAAATGAACAAGAGAAACACATCTAGTAATGCAATACGAATGAATTCGACGGTGTATAACTTGCGTTTCATGACTACTTTGTGAGTTGTAATTTGGCAAAAGTTGTTGGAATGAATCCTGCGAATAAAGTCATTTTGAGAGAAGCTTTTCGAGATGACGAAACTTACCACTTTTCGACTCCTGGGATTGATGTTCTTCCTATATTGATACACTTTGGAAGTTGTTAGAAGAAGTGAAAGGCTAAAAAAAAAATGGCGTCACAGACAGGATTCGAACCTGCGCAGGAAATTCCCAATGCCTAACCGCAATATAGCAGGGCATCGCCTTAAAACCACTCGGCCACTGTGACCGCGTTAATCCAAATAGTGATTTTACTGGTCCATATATTGAGAATTAGATCACGTGGCATTTAATGTGCTTTATTCCTAACATTTAGTCACTCTAGAAGGTTATATGTCACGGTATATATTACATTCTATCTATATTACATCTAACCACACATTTACAAGATAATCAAATTGAGTTTGCCATTTCTTCCCATAGTCTAAGATTAAACCTCTGATGTTAGTTTTAGGACCTCCTATTATATCATAACCACACCAATATTGTGCACCTCTGAAGTTAGAGAAGTCATCTTTCAATGACCATCCTGATTTTGGTTCCTTATATTCTATCACATGGATCTTTTTTGTCATTTCAGGAGGTTTCAACACCGTTTCAACAGTCAAAGGATTTTCGGGGAATCGTTTAAGAAGGTTTTCTTTGAAAGTTGGTTCATTTAACCAATTTTCAAACTGATGGGTTGTAATATATATCAATGTATAATCATCAGCTTCATTTATTTGACACCAGGATGACGAACATAACTCATGAGAGGTGGTCATCTTATTGAAATCCTTTTCTTCTGCTGGCGTCAACTTTCCTGGAACCCCAGGATAGTGTCTATTGAAATAAACCCTATCATTTGTTCCTGCTATGGTTAAACCTAACCAAAAAATATCTTGGAACATAACATCTTTAACACTCTCGAATCTTCCTTCTATGATCTTATATAATTGGAAATTACAAGAGATCAATAACCCACTCATATGTTTAGGTTTATTAATAACTATCATTCCGTTATCCATCAAATCCTTGACGTTTTCTCTGAAAGTCAAATCGAAAATTTTATCATCTTTTACTTGATTGATACCAAAGAAGAAGTTATCGAATTTATTGGGCATGAAGTGAGTTCTGATAAGATCGTTAGTTTCTTGGAACCCTGGACGAGTGGTTTTTCGTTCATGATTGAAATGAGATGGATTCTTAAAGAATAATTGTCCATACTTTCTATAATTGTCATTGTCGTATAGGTCGTTTAAATTGGTTAAAGGAATGGTTTGTAAAGATAACAAGATGATGTCTTCAAATGAATTGAAGAGTAATGATAAACTTGTAAGGAATGTTGGGTTGTTGAATTTATAAGATTTGGCCACTAAAGGATGTTGTTGTTGATTCATAACGTCCGTCATATCGACGAACTCGATATTCTGTTTGGGGAAATCATCTTCGCCAAAACTATGAGATTTTAATGAAGTTGGTACCACCAACTCTGACCGAGAGTTCTTAATAATCCCCGCCATATCTTCCTTAGTCAATGAATTCCTCATAAATGTGATTTGTATGGGTAAATCATTTTTAAGAGCCCTTAACACATTAACAAGCTTGTTTAACTTCACCAACCTATCAGATTTGAAATCATCACCTATGAAAGGTATAACTATACCTCTACCTTTAGATTGTTCCGCTAACAGTCTAATGAAACAGCCATCGGATTTATCAAATAATTTCAGTTTGTCGGATCTCCAATTGATCGCTGTGGGGAACTCTGAAGATAACCAAGGATAGAGTTTCTTTTGGAATTTCCTACAATGGTCTTCACTTAAACTAGATAAACAGCTTCCGAACACTCTTTTATGATTGAATTCCTGTACTACTTGATTCTCATAATTTGAAAGGTACTTCAAATCGTCTCTATATCTTTGATGTAATTGTGCTATATCTTCACCAGTGACCGGTAAACCTTCCTGTCTCAACCTCATCCTCATTTCCCTTCTATATTTCCTTAACCAATACTTTTCCTTATAGATCAAAGGATCGAATTCATAACTTTGGATGTGTTCTAAATCGATGATTTCAAACCCCAGAGTATCGTCAAGTTCATTGAAGTACTTATCACATTGATCCTTCACATTGGATCGTGTGTCCGGATCCCAATTCCGATAAATAGGGTTGATGAATTGTTTACGTCTTTGCATCAAATCATCGATCTGTAAATTTTCCACATCTTCAACGTCTTGTAAAGGTTCCACATTCTTTAAATCTTTGATCTCTCCAATCTTTCGACGATTTGATAGTATCACCAGGGTATAAATGATCAAGATGATTACTGTTGATAATAGTAGTCTTCTTTTGAACATTGATTTTTTGAGAGTGAGGGAATTCACAGGCTTAGAGGTCAGATAAGTGGAGTTAGAAGGTGCGAAGAACAAGTCAGGGGATAGAGATGTGAGTATCTGGATAGGAGAGACGAGTACCTGAAAATCAATCAAGCCCCAATTGGGACGGTATAGGGGATGCGGAATCTGAAACATTTATTCAATTCTAGCCTTACCGAATATTTTATCCAAGTCATTAATGTCGTCTGTGTGTTGATGATCGTCCTTGAAGTGATCCTCTTTGTCATGATTATTGTTGTCTGTGTCTATCTTATTGTCTTTGTCGTGTCTTTCGTGAAGTTCCTTATGTTTGGGAGTCATTATAGAATCCAATCCCGGAGCTATGTGTAATTTCTGACTCTTCAACCATTGACTATACTTTTCATCATGCTGTTGATAATCTTTTTTCAATTTCTCTATTTCTCCTATCCAGTTTTCTAAATCTTTGGATGATAAGTTAATCTTTGGAGGTTTGGAATTGGCAAGATTAGGCAAAAGTTGATTATAGTTGGTATTTAAAGTGATTGATTTCGGGGTTTGAAATATGGGGTTTTTAATCAATGGAACTTGTTTAAGTATTTCATCAGCTAATTTGGTTAGTATAATCAGTCCTTGACACTGTCAATGGTGGTATTATACAACCATTAGACCATGTACAATGAATCACATACGTTTATCAGTTTCATCCATTGCGCGATTTCACCTCCAACCTTTCAGAGCTAACGTTTAAGAACAAAAAGTATTAGGAAATTTATACATTAATCATTAACTATCTTTATAATGACGAATAAGAATATAAGCATTTTCTTGTTTTAAATTTGATAAAGATCTATAACCACCTTCTAAACACATTAATAACCCACCAAATGAAATATAAACAGCCATTTTATCAGTTGAATTACTTTCTTCGAATTTATAAACAGTACCATACATGACATAATCATAATCATCAGCCAAGGATCTATCGCCTTGCTTTGGAGGTCTCCAAGAACCATTTGAAGTTAACATTGAAGATTCATTACCTAATGATGATGCTAATGAAATAGTTAAAGAATCATTATCTTTAACAGGGAATAATTCACTATTTATGTCTAAAGTGATTTTGATTTCTGACGACGTAGAACTTTGTCCTGTTATTCTGGAGACTTTGTTGTATCTACCTTTATCGATACTCTCGATACTGAACATATCTTCGAATAAGATATTGGAACTCATGATGAAAAGTTTGTCAAAAATTTTCGAGATGGTGCGAAACCTTTAAAATGCGGACCACCCTTAGAAAATGGACCTTTATTATAAGGATAACCCTTCTAAAAGTGAAAACCTTCTTTATCCCGATTAACATCAACACAAAATCCATTTTTAGAAATAATTAAAAGTTTTTTTTGTAATCATGAAGATTGTATTAGTGATACTATTATTTAATGCCATAGTGTATGGATTAAACCCCGAGAATGTTAATGATCTAGTTAAGAGGATAGAACAACTTAATGATGTTGAGTTGTATGATTTATCGATGAAATTGAAAAGATTTGAAGGCTTGGAGATCAGAGCCGACAAGGCTGAAGAGGATAAGGATGATAAAGACGATAGTAATGATAGTAATGATAGTAATGATAACAAGAAACACAAAAAGACCAAAGTATTGGATATGTTGGTGATTAGGATCATTATTGGAATAGGGGCTTTCTTCTTTATAAATGTGGTTGTTATTACCATTCATCATATTTATATGTTAGCCAGTAGTTCGGAGAAGAATTATAGATCCATAGAACGAACCTTATCACCATTCTAGGTCATCCCAGGCATTATATGGTTAAATATCATATGGTTAAAGGCATCAGATGACATTTCGGTACATTCCAGGTGAAAAATTTCATCAGGTTGCTTAGTCTGAAAAACTCATAGTCTATGGCCCGCCCCATATAGACACCATTTTCTCCCCATGAATCATCATTACCATCTGTACACACCCACCAGTACACCATCATCCATCAACCATTGCTATTCCATTTAGGAAACTGTACCGATTCATCGCACTTTGCATTTAAAAAAAACGGATATATCCGCAAAATATATAAACTCTCTCATCTCCCTTTTTCCCCTACTCCCACAGTATCAACAGACTGCCCCACCTTTTGAGTATCACCATAAGTGAAAAATTTCTCAATTGCTATGACAGAATTCCCATCACCTCAAAGAAGAGCTGCACAAATCTTATGTTCCATAGCTTGGTGTTTAGTAGCTGCTGGTCCAGTATTTGGGTTTGCTGCTTTAAAACCAATATTAATCGATCAAGGTGTTTATCATAAGAAATGTGAATATTCTATCAATGAAGGTAAACTTTGTGTTGAACAAGATTTATCATTGAACCTTCTTTTCACTGTTGCTTGTATGGTTACCAATATTTGTGCTTTACCTGTGGGATCAATTTTAGATAGTTATGGACCTAAAGTTACAGGAATTATTGGAAGTTTTGTAATTTTCATTGGATCCTTTTTCCTTAAGTTTGGTAATAAGATTTCTTTCATTGATTGTTATTTAACTGGTTATACATTACTTGCATTAGGTGGACCTTTTGTATTCATTTCTTGTTTCCAATTAGCTAATTCTTTCCCTAAGAATTCAGGTTTGATCTTAGCTTTATTGACTGGAGCTTTTGATTCTTCATCAGCTTTATTTTTAATTTACAGATTAATCTATTCTAATTGGAAGAAGATTGGGTTAGATGTTTTCTTTAGTTATTATTTGGTAGTTCCATTATTCATCTTTGTATGTCAAGTGTTTATAATGCCAGAAACTTCATATAAAACCATTGGAACTTTAGCTAAAATAGCTGAAACTGCCATTGATGAAACCGGTAAGCCTTTAAATACCGATCTTTTATACCCTGAAGATCGTAATAGTGTTGAAGAAGTTGTTGTAGCTCAACCAACAATCTCTGAAACCACCCAATTACTTATGAGAAGAGCTTCAACTGCTAGAAGAGAAAGTACTATTTCCAGATCAAGTTTTGCTTCTAGAACTTCAGTTAAATCCGTTTATGAACAAGAAGCCGAAGATAAATTAATCAATTCTACTGGTGGTGTGTTTGGTATAATGCATGGTTATACAATCACTGAACAATTGAAATCTTCATGGTTTATTTTAGTGGCACTTTTCACTACCATTCAAATGTTAAGAATCAACTATTTTGTTGCTACCGTCAAATCTCAAGAATTATATTTATACGGCAGTGAAGAAGTTGCTACTACCATTAATCATTTCTTCGATATAGCTTTACCAGTAGGTGGATTATTATCTATTCCATTTATTGGGATGATCTTAGATAATCTCACCACCTTGACGGTTTTGATAATCTTATGTTCAGTATCTTTGACTATTGGAGTCATGGGACTTTTATCATGGTTACCTGGAACTTATTTGGGTATTATGTTACTTGTGTTATACAGACCTTTCTATTATACGGCAGTTTCCGATTTCTGTGCCAAAGTGTTTGGGTTTGAAACTTTTGGAACTGTTTATGGGTCAATTATTTGTTTTTCTGGAATCTGTAATATTTTACAACAAGTTTTGGATAAATTAACTCATGAAATGTTCAATATGAACCCAACCCCAGTCAATGCTACATTGACGATTTTAACCGGGGTGTTTGGAGTGATTTTGATTGAATATGTGAGAAAACAAGAGCTTTCTTTAAAAAGAAAGAATTTAGAGATGGAAGCACAAGAAGCTTCTATGAGGAACATTCCTAATTAGGTGTATATCATTAACATTAAATAAAATTTCTTCTTTTCTTTACGGGTTTCTCTAGGGCCGATAAGGGGGGATTAGGGACGGGGGTTGAAGGAGTGGAAGGGATTCGGAGGAAGGGGATATGTTTTTGAGTCTGTTCTTTACCCTGCAGTCCTTGGCCCTGTACTTCTTGGCCCTGAGCTTGTTTTCCTTGAGCCTGACCCTGTAATCCTTGAGCCTGACCCTGTAGTCCTTGAGTCTGTGGTTCTTGAGCCTGTGGTTCTTGAGTGTGTGGTTCTTGAGCCTGACCCTGATCCTCAGTTTGACTCCCGAATCTAAGCATCTCTTCAATCTTCAAACTCATCACTTCTTTTGTTTCTCTAACTCTCTTCTAGTTCCCTTCAATAATTCTAAATGTCCAACTCTACTACTAACCAACTTTTCCGTTTGAGAAACTAACTTCGATGTATGAACCTTAGTTAATTTAGATGTAATACTTTGTTTCTTAGGCTTGATAATCCTCTTTGAAGCTTTCTTAGGATTAATTTGTTTCTTAGTAACTCTAGCAGGTGCTTTACTCTTTAACTTAAGATTCCCCTGAGCCATAGTTAAAAGATTCAAATCCTCAATCTCATCGCAAGAAAAAAGCTTCCTTAATGAAATGTCGCATGTCGCGGCTCTCGCATTGACTTCAGTTTTGACTGCACTAAATTACTTTAATTCTTACAATTACTATCACTACTAATGAGTGAATTCCTTGTATTACCAGGTCCTAAAGCTTTATCCAACTTTAGGATTAATAATTTAACTAAGGATTTGAGTAATGTTCAAGAAATTTCCTCAATTTATGTTCATTATGTCTCATTGAAGAAATCTATTAACCAACAACAATTAGGATTATTGAAAACTTTATTGACTTATGATTCTCCTATTGAAGTTAATGATTTTACTGGGAAATTATGTCAAACAGCCGTTGCTACTGAAAAATCCCAAATTTCATTAGAAAAATCCCAAACTTTAGTTAGAATCTTACCAAGATCAGGTACTATATCACCATGGTCATCTAAAGCTAGTGATATTTCAAGTATTTGTGGATTAGGTGAATATGTTGAAAGAATTGAAAGAGGTATGGCTTTATTAATCGAATCCCAAGATGGAAATGTCATTGATGGTGACCATTTATCTTCAGTATTTGATAGAATGACTCAGACTTTATATATCAATGATAATGTTCCACAATATGATGATTTATTTGCTCATCATTCTCCTAAACCTTTAGTTACAGTGGATTTGTTATCTAACACTGATAATTTGATCAATGCCAATAAAACTCTTGGTTTAGCTTTAGATCAAGGAGAAATCGATTATTTAATCAATGCTTTTACCAATATTATTGGTAGAAACCCTACTGATGTTGAATTATTTATGTTTGCTCAAGTTAATTCTGAACATTGTAGACATAAGATTTTCAATGCTGATTGGACCATTGATGATTTAAAGAAAGATATGTCATTATTTAAGATGATCAGAAATACTCACGCTAAGACTCCTCAATATACTATTAGTGCTTATTCTGATAATGCTGCTGTTTTAGAAGGTTATGATGGTTATGTTTTCACCCCAGATTTTGAAAGTAAGCAATGGAAATCTATCAAAGAAAAAGTTCATACTTTAGTTAAAGTTGAAACTCATAATCATCCAACAGCTGTTTCTCCATTCCCTGGTGCTTCAACAGGTTCAGGAGGAGAAATCAGAGATGAAGCTGCTGTTGGTAGAGGTTCTAAATCTAAGGCAGGATTAAGTGGATTTTCAGTATCAGATTTAAACATTCCTAACTTACCTCAACCATGGGAATTAAATGTCGGTAAACCTAATCATATTGCTTCTTCTTTGGATATTATGATTGAAGCTCCTTTAGGTTCTGCTGCTTTTAACAATGAATTCGGTAGACCTGCTATTAATGGATATTTCAGAACTTTAACTACCACAGTTAAGAATTCTAAAGGTGATGAAGAAATTAGAGGTTTCCATAAACCTATTATGTTGGCCGGAGGTTTAGGATCTATTCGTCCTGATTTGGCTTTAAAAGATACTAGAATCACTCCAGGAGCTAAATTAATCGTTTTAGGTGGTCAATCTATGTTAATCGGTTTAGGTGGAGGTGCTGCTTCATCAATTTCTTCTGGTGAAGGGTCAGCTGATTTGGATTTTGCTTCTGTTCAAAGAGGTAATCCAGAAATTCAAAGAAGAGCTCAAGAAGTCATTACCACTTGTGTTTCTTTAGGAAAAGTCGATAATCCAATTCAATCCATTCATGATGTTGGTGCTGGTGGTTTATCTAATGCTTTACCTGAATTAGTTCATGATAATGATTTAGGAGCTAAATTCGAATTAAGATCCATCTTATCATTAGAACCAGGAATGTCACCAATGGAAATTTGGTGTAATGAATCCCAAGAAAGATTCGTTTTAGGGGTTCATCCTGATAATGTTGATAAATTTAAAGCTATTTGTGAAAGGGAAAGATGTCCTTTCGCTATTGTAGGGGAAGCTACTGAAGAAAAAAGATTAATTTTAACTGATTCTTTATTAGGTTCAACTCCTATTGATTTAGAAATGTCAGTATTATTCGGTAAACCACCTAAAATGTCCCGTGTAGCTAAAACTGAAGACTTAAATCTCCCACCAATTGATTTATCTGATGTTAAATTGAATGAAGCTGTTGATAGGGTGTTACAATTACCGTCAGTTGGATCTAAGAGTTTCTTAATCACCATTGGTGATAGATTTATCACTGGTTTGGTCGATAGAGATCAAATGGTAGGTCCATGGCAAACTCCAGTGGCTGATGTTGCTGTTACCAATACTTCTTTAGGTGAAACCATCTTAAAAACTGGTGAAGCCATGTCCATGGGAGAAAAACCAACTTTAGCCTTAATTTCTGCCGCTGCTTCAGCTAAAATGTGTGTTGCTGAATCTTTACTCAATTTGTTTGCTGCTGATGTTCCATCTTTGGATAGAATCAAATTATCTGCCAATTGGATGAGTGCTGCTTCTCATCCAGGTGAAGGTGCTAAATTATACGAAGCTGTTCAAGCTATCGGTATGGATTTATGTCCAGATTTAGATATAAGTATTCCTGTTGGTAAAGATTCCATGTCTATGAAGATGAAATGGGATGACAAAGAAGTCACTGCTCCTTTAGCTTTGACCATCACTGCTTTTGCTCCTGTTGATAATACTTCAAATACTTGGACTCCTTTATTATCTTCAAAACCTGATACTGTTTTAGTATTAGTAGATTTAGCTGCTGGGGTCACTAAAGCTTTAGGTGGTTCCGCTTTAGCTCAAGTCTATAACCAAGTTGGTAATGTTGCTCCTACTGTTCATTCCAATAAGATTTTCAAATCTTTCTTACAATCTATGGTCGTATTACATAAGCAATTCGATGTTTTAGCTTACCATGATAGATCCGAAGGGGGTTTATTCACCACCATTGCTGAAATGTGTTTTACTTCTAGAAAAGGTGTTGAATTGAACTTATCTGGAGATGATAACGCTTTAACTGAATTATTTAATGAAGAATTAGGAGCAGTATTCCAAATTGAAGCTTCTAAATATGATGAATTCGTTCAAATCTTCGAAACTAACGGTATTGATGCCAGCTATATCACCATCATCGGTAAACCTACCACCACTCAAACTTTATCCATCACTTATAATAACGAAAAAGTGTTGGAAAGAAGTAGAAGTGAATTACAACAATTATGGTCAAACACTTCATACCATATCCAATCATTAAGAGACAATCCAGTAACTTCCAAACAAGAATATGATGCTATTGCTGATGATAAAGATCCAGGTATCTCTTACCAATTATCTTATAATGTTAATGATAAGTTAGATATTGATTTCAGTCAAAAACCTAAAGTTGCCATTTTGAGAGAACAAGGGGTTAACTCTCAACAAGAAATGTCTTGGTCTTTCCAACAAGCTGGTTTCGATACTTATGATGTTCATATGTCTGATATTTTAACTGGTAAAGTCACTTTAGATGATTTTGTTGGTTTAGCTGCTTGTGGAGGATTCTCTTATGGTGATGTTTTAGGTGCTGGTGCTGGATGGGCTAAATCCGTGTTGTTCAACGATAAAGCTAGAAATGAATTCAAAAAATTCTTTGAAAGAGATAATACCTTTGCTTTTGGTGCTTGTAATGGATGTCAATTCTTTAGTAGAATTCAAGAATTAATTCCTGGTACTGATAACTGGCCAACATTTGAAAGAAATGCCAGTGAACAATATGAAGCTAGATTTGTTATGGTTGAAGTTGTTGCTGAACAAACTAACAGTATCTTCTTAAAAGGTATGGAAACTTCCAAATTACCTATCGCTGTTGCACATGGTGAAGGTAGAGCTAGTTTTATTGATGGTAAACAAGCAAGATTTGAAGATGATAAACAAATGGTTATTAGATATGTTGATAACTATGGTAATGCCACCACCCAATATCCATTCAATCCTAATGGAAGTCCAAATGGTATTGCTGGTATTTCCTCAGCTAATGGTAGAGTATTAGCTATGATGCCTCACCCAGAAAGAGTTACTAGATTAGAATCCAATAGTTATTATCCAGAACAATCAGGTGATTGGGAAGGTTATGGTCCATGGATTAGATTATTTAGAAATGCTAGAAAATGGGTTGGTAGTAATTTTTAATAGATATTGATTTGTATCTTTGTTCTTACACTCTTACCTTACCTTAAGTCTGTACACCAATCATTCAGTATCATCTTCATATTCTGGTGTTTTTTCCTCGCTTACATAAGAAGTCTCGCATTCTTACCTAATCAGAAAAATCAAGCTCAAAAATCTTTTCGTCGTCCACGACTTTTGAAAAAAACTTTTTCATCGCATTTTTCAGAAGTGAAAAATTTTTATCTTATATTATCCTAAATAAAAATGGTTAACGCTATCTTATCAAAGAAAAGAAAATTAGTAGCTGACGGTGTCTTCTTCGCTGAAGTCAATGAATTCTTCTCAAGAGAATTAGCTGAACAAGGTTACGCTGGTGTTGAAGTTAGAAAAACTCCAACCAAATTAGAAATCATTGTTAAAGCTTCAAACACTCAAGGTGTTTTAGGTGAACAAGGTAGAAGAATCCACGAATTAACCGCTTTAATCTGTAAAAGATTCAAACTCGCCAAAGAAGGTGTTGTTATCTACGCTGAAAGAGTTGAAGAAAGAGGTTTATCAGCTGCTGTTCAAGCCGAAGCTTTAAAAGCCAAATTATTAAACGGTTTACCATTAAGAAGAGCTGCTTACGGTGTCTTAAGATTCGCTATGGGTGCTGGTGCTAAAGGTGTTGAAGTTGTTGTCTCAGGTAAATTAAGAGCTGCTAGAGCCAAATCACAAAAATATGCTGATGGTTTCATGATCCACTCTGGTCAACCAACCAAAGATTTCATTGATATTGCTATCAGACACGTTTTAATGAGACAAGGTGTTTTAGGTATCAAAGTTAAAATCATGAAAGATCCTGCCACCAACAAATTCGGTCCAAAAGCCTTACCAGATGCTGTTAAAGTTGCTGAAGCTAAAGATGACGAAGAACCAGTTTCTGCTCCAACCGTCAAATCATACAAAGCTGCTTCAACTGAAGAACCAGTTGCTGTTTAATTTAGTTAATAAAAATATCTATATTATCTATTCTCTTCTAACTGGAAAAAAAAATTATAAAGATTACATAAGGTATTACATAATCACAATAGTGTCGATACCAAGAAATATTTTTGTTTAGTTTTGTTGCACGTGACTAGGATGACGAAATCATTCGGTGATTAAACCACGATGACTAATAAACACCCCTATTTTCCCAGATACCAAGACCTTAAGCTATCTTAGATAACATGTCTTTGATTCTGATTGATATCTGTAGCCATCAGTATCCGGATCAATGACCCAACGATCATTCTTACGCCCAAGGGTAGAAGGGCCAAAACGTCATGACAGTATCCTCGGCAATGAGGAAGTGACTAACTTTCCTAATTTGAAAGTCCGTTTTTCCGCTTTTTTTCCCTTCATTTACCACCATTCTCGCACCATTGTCGTACCGTCACGGTAGGAAAAAGTCCCTCGCAATGGTGCTAAATATTCACAAGGCTATCATCGGCAAAATGGGATGATCATTTTTCGGAGTCCCCATATTTCAAATCAGGACTTTAATCTCCAGATGACTATTTAAGATGAGGTTCCCCTAAAAAAAATTATTCAGTTTATTTTTACAATGTCAGAATTCAAAAGAACTTTCCAAACTTTACCAACTCAATTCATTACTTTAAGTACTGAAATTAGTGAACCATTTGTTATTCCAAACGTTTCACCAGTATCACCAATTAATTCCCCAATATTACAATCTGAAGAAATCAAAGTGGACAAAGAAAGATCAATGTCATTGATTGAATTAAATTAGTATAGATTATGATTATGATGGGTTAGGAATATATGATAAAGGAGATATGTCTCTCATTCTCTGGTGGTTTCTCTTTGTGTTTCTCTGTATGTTTCTCTGGGTAAAAGGAAGAGAGGGAGTATGGAGGAGATGGCGTGAGGTTTGGTATAGTAAGTGAGAAGATCACAGATTTGGCACAATACTCATATGGAATAGATGATGAAATAAGGGTATTGTCCTGCGTTTTAACACCACTTTGGGAGTCGATAAATAGTAAATTAAAATTGAGTCACGTGTCACCTGATAAGAAACAACCACAAGGAACTTCAAGTTAAATATGTCATTTAGAATGTAGCAGTTACTTAGTTCTGGTGGTGTGGTAATTAAGATACACTTGAGGAGTTCTTTGCCTTTTAAAAATTTGATTGAATATATTCGGTTCATGATTAAGTTCACGAGACTGACAAAACATCAATATATTAAAGCAGAAAACCTCACTCAAAACAAGGTCTTTTGATGGGCCCACTCACGTGATATAATCGATACTCTACTGCTCTTTGTATTTTGTTAGCACTTTGTGATTCAATGGTTTCTATGAATGTTTCGGTTGAGGGTTCTCGTTCATATTCATCAAGACAAAGAATCAAAACGTGTCACATAAAATGAATTCTTCCGTCGGATTGACTTGAACTATACATACAATGCTCAAGGTATGTATTTAATGTATTTATTGACACTTTGGAAGTCTTTGAATTCTACCTCTTTTACCATGAGATTAGAGATGTCGCACGTGACTTTTTAGAGGTGGCTGCAAATTGGAGAAAGTTGATTAAAGGTAGGTGAAAACAAATTAAAAATAGCAAAAAGTATAAAGTCTCCATAATTTCGGAATAGTGAGGCTGTGGTGTCTACGGCTTTTGATATGAGTTGTTATCGCTTTATCGGTATTTTGAGGTATTTTTAGATCGAATCTATTCTGCCCATGATATGGAGAATTTCAAGCTCAACATCTCATTCAGAATACAGCGGTTTGGCAGATCCACTCGCAAGATACATATGATGCTCTAAGGATTTTCTTCGAATTTCATCAACACGGTGGGAGTGAACAGATTCACCCCTTTTAACTATGGTATTTAAGATTATGTCACGTGATGTTTGAGCAAAAGTTGCAAAAAGGAGAAAGTCGATTAAAGGTCGGTGGGAACATGCCAAAAATACCAAAAAACAAAAACCCTTCATGTTCTAGAAATAGTATGGTACTGTGGAAGCTCCAAGGAAGGTGTGATTTTTCGAAAACGTTCGAGTTTATTGGCGTTACTAATAAATTATCTATAATGGATTCACACAAATCATTAAAAATGAAGCAATCCAACGAGTTTCATCATGTAATCTGTATTATGGTCCAAGTGTTTTCTTTGAACCTCATGGTCATTTTTAGGTTGAATGTATTCGACTCATGAGACGAGATGAACGACCGAAATTGTCAAGCTAAACTTCTTCCTCAAAATAGATTATTTTGGTGGATTACTTGCGTGCTGTCTATGATTTTGTAAGTGTGTTGTTTGAAATCTACATATATTCTTTCAATTGAATCGATTGTCGCTTAGCATGGAGGGATTTTCCCATGAAAGTCTGTGAGACGAGAATATCTCCAAGCTATTAATCTCCTAATAAATAGAATAGGTCAGCCATTCAAACCATGCGATGTGAATGATACTTTACGCATGATGTTTGTAATTCACCAGGTATTCTGGAAGGCTTTAGATTGTCACATGGAAAATCGAACTGACATCACGTGATGCGTATGACACTAAGCAACAGACTCACTCTGCATCACTCTAAAACTGGCAAGTAGAACGTAAAACTAGAGTAGAATGGTAGGGCCTAGAAAGAGTCAATTGTTAAAACATCATATTTACAAGCTAACTATACAAACGTAGTCAGAAAACATTAAAAAAGTGGATAAAACTCATCATACTTCTTTAAATAGTAAGCAGTAGACAAAGTACCCAATCCCAACAAAACTAATGGGATAGGAGCTTTGAAATTGGTTTGGAAACTTCTAGTAGCTCCAGCTAACAATAAAACTGAACTTGAAGCCAAAGCAATTTCCAAACCCCAATCTTGATTATTCTTCAATAAATAACCTGAGTATCCATATAAACCAGCAAATGCGGTACCAGCAATCAATGAAGGTACAGAACCTTTTCTAAAGTAACCCATAAACCCGCCAACGGCGCATAATCCTGATAATGTAAAAGCTGGATGTTCCATGTTGAATGAATCAATTTGCGAGTGAGGGAAATTTAAAGAGTGGTTCGGAGATAACTCGGGTTTTACCTTTTTAGGATTTTTGTCTATAAATAATGTAAAAAAATGGTTACCGGGAATATTAACTAGAACAGTCACAGATAATGCTGAAGCTGTCATTAATATTGTTGAAGGAAATATTCAGGAGCATCATCTGGTCTAACGTATCTAAAGTCAGATTCATTGATGTTGAAATGACCAAGCTTTTCCTTAATACGGAATTGTAATACCTTCAATAAGTCATAAACCATTGATAAGTACGGAGTTTCGATTCCGTTCTTTTCAGCGATTCTTAATGGATTACCTACAATCACTTCTATTTCCATCAATTGATTTTTCTCCTTATCAATTTGCATTGAAGGATGGTAGAATAATCCATCACTTTTATGGAAGATATAATCAACTCTGTCCTTTTCTAATTTGTATCCTTCACTATCGGCGATTTTAACAATTTCGTTCAAAATCTTATTGAAGATCTTATTACCACGAGCAATATGAACTCTTGAAACATCAGAATCCAAGATAGCACAAGTAGTGTTAAAGACAGCATTATAACATAATTTGTACCATCTGTTTAACTCTACGTCTTCATCAATAACTACGACGTTATCATCTCTTTCATAAGCTTTGATATAAGTCATCAATTTGTCTTTAGCTATATCCATAGGGATATTGTTTTTCTTGAATATACCAAGATGAACTTCATCTACTGAGACTTGAGTAACAGTATTACCATATTTTGAAGATCCCACCAATTCAATACCACTGATGACCAAATTATTAGGGAATTTCTCGAGGATAGGTACTTCGATATCTAAACCATTTTGAGTCAAGATAATAGTTGATTGATCTGAAACTACAGGTTGGATCAATTTTACAACAGGATGGTTGGAATCAGGTAAGTTCTTGGTACAAACAACGATATAATCAAATAACTTACCTGAACTAGCAGCTTCTTCAATGGATTTAAAGATGCTTTGAGGTTTGTACTTGATATCACCAAAAACCACTGAATCAACAGTAAACCCTTCCTTCTGGAATTCTTCATCCTGATTTCTAATGATTACAGAAACTTCAACAGCGCCATTTTTCTCTAATGTTAAAGCAGCCACGGTACCTACACCGCCCATACCTATAACAAGAACATTTGGTTTAGACATAATGAAGTGTTGCAAAAATTCCGCGATTGCCTAGGACATATAAGAATGAGTCAAACAATAGAGAATTATTCAGTTGGAGTCAAAGGAGTTAGAAGCCGGAAGGTATGAGTTGTAATACCGGAGTTTGGCTATGATGAATGGACGACTTCATCCGTCACAGAAAGTAAAACCTAAAACTCATCACCTTGTGGTCGCAGGAAACTTAAAAGCTTGCGATAACACGACTTGTGATTCATCAACGATCTACCCACCCCCTATAATTAATGGTGGAAAATAATCTATCATGATCTTCTAACTTATAAATATAATCATCAACAATTCCGGAGATGAAACCCCGAAAAATGTCTCTCTTCCCTCTCATGTTAAAGAAAAGTGAAAAAAAGGTCTAATATTCCCACCATCACCAACGCGTTGAACCAATAGACTTGACTGAGCATAGATTTTCGTCAGCATTTCCATTAATCTGAACTTGTCAATCACTTGAAATCACCCCCGTGAAAAAGTTTAGTGGGAAATATATCAACATAACTAACGATGAATATATCTTCTATGTTAACAGATGATGGATTAGTTAACGATACTAATGGTCATGAATCCACAGATTCCAAGGATGCATTGAAATGGTTCAATATCGACGATGGCGATGTCACCCATGGATTAAACCCTCAATATATCAAGAACTATCAACATAAACTCAACCATATGAACCATATTGATAATTATCTTATCAAAATGAATAATTTATCACTGTTAGACACTGAAGTGAAATTTCAAACCACCGATGAATTTAGTGATTATAACATCCACAAGATGTTATTAGATAAGAAGACACAAATCTTAGGCCATTTCAAAGGAACCAATCATCAAGATTTCATCAGTAGTACAAGAAAGGGTAAGATAACCAAACCACCCAAAGATTTATTCCTTAAAAAAGATAAGAAAGTCCAACCAAGGAAGAGAAAGGTGGAAGAGAAAGAATTAACTCCTATAGATTTCGATATGTTTGATGGTAAGAAACGTAGTGATAAAGAAGAGAAACTTATACAGAAACAATATGATAACACGGTAATATCAATATGGAAAGATTTATCACGGAAGGATGGACCTAAAGCCAGTAGATTACTTCAACAATCTACTCAAGCCAAACTTATAAATCTTCGTAAAACCAGTATTTTGGCAGCAAGAGAAGCTAAAAGATGGCAACTTAGGAATAATAAGAACCAGAAAGATTTGAGTTCCAAATCCAGAAGAGCTATGAGAGAAATGTTCAATTTCTGGAAGAGAAATGAAAGAATTGAAAGAGAATTACGTAAGAAACACGAAAAGGAAATCCTTGATAAGGCAAAGAAGGAAGAAGAAGAAAGAGAAGCTAAGAGACAATCAAGGAAATTGAATTTCTTAATCACCCAAACTGAATTATATAGTCATTTCATTGGTAAGAAGATTAAGACTGAAGAAATTGAAGGTGAAGATAGTGATCCTAACTTGAAATTGAATAATAACCATAAAGGATATGATGAATTTAATGATATTAATACCGAAGGTACCACCGATTTCAAATCTATTGATTTTGATAATGAAGATGAAGAGACTTTGAAACGTCAAGCTGCCATGAATGCACAAAAGGCATTAGAAACTGCTCAATCTAAAGCTAAACAGTTCAATGAAAAGGAAGATGATTTCAAGAACCCTGATACTAACGGTGAAGAAATGAATTTTCAGAACCCTACATTATTGGGAGATATCAATATTACCCAACCAAAAATGCTTAAATGTACTTTGAAAGAATATCAAATCAAAGGTCTTAATTGGTTAGCCAATCTTTACGAACAAGGGATTAATGGGATCCTTGCTGATGAAATGGGGCTCGGAAAAACCGTTCAAAGTATTTCGGTATTATCATATTTAGCAGAAACTCATAATATTTGGGGTCCATTTTTAGTTGTCACTCCAGCATCAACTTTACATAATTGGCAACAAGAAATTACCAAATTCGTACCTAACTTTAAAGTATTACCTTATTGGGGGAATGCTAAAGATCGTAAAATCTTAAGAAAATTCTGGGATAGAAAGAATTATAGATATACCAAAGATGCTCCATTTCATGTTTTAGTTACAAGTTATCAATTGGTGGTAGCTGATGCTGCATATTTCCAGAAGATGAAATGGCAATATATGATTCTAGATGAAGCACAAGCCATTAAATCATCACAATCATCTCGTTGGAAGTCTTTACTTTCATTTAATTGTCGTAATAGACTTTTGTTAACCGGTACTCCGATCCAGAATTCCATGCAGGAATTATGGGCTTTATTACATTTCATTATGCCTTCATTATTTGATTCTCATGATGAATTTAGTGATTGGTTCTCAAAAGATATCGAAAGTCATGCTCAATCAAACACTCAATTGAATGAACAACAGTTGAAAAGATTACATGTTATATTGAAACCTTTCATGTTAAGAAGAATTAAAAAGAATGTTCAAAGTGAATTGGGTGATAAAGTTGAAATTGATTTATTCTGTGATTTAACTAATCGTCAAAAGAAATATTATAAAATGTTAAAATCCCAAATATCTTTATCGGATTTATTGGATACGGTGAATTCTAATTCCGGTGATGAATCAACTCAATCTTTGATTAATTTGGTTATGCAATTCCGTAAAGTTTGTAATCATCCGGATTTATTTGAAAGAGCCGATGTTAAATCATCTTTCAGTTTCTCTTCATTTGCTGATACTGTTAGTTTTATGAGAGAATCCAATGATTTGGAATTATATTATACTTCAAAGAATCATATTCATTATAATTTACCAAGGTTGATTTTTGATGAATTGTTAACCCCTCATTATAATAACGATAAGAATTCCAGCATTTATGAGATGTTCAATATTTATAATCAACCACAAGATGATTTCTCATGGTTGAGATTAGTTGATAGTACTAAGAATCAACTCAATGAACTTATGCATCAAGATGTTCTTACTAGAGCTATCAATAATCAACAATATACTGACATCAACTATTCCAAGTATAACAGACTTAATTATGTTTATGATGGAGAATATCAACCACCAAGTCTTTTGATAACGGAATTTAATAATAATTTCTGCACCGTTTCTAATTCCGCAGTGTTATCGGATATGTTTTCCGTAAAAGGAAATTTTTATGCCGATAATAATATCAATGTTTTACCTCCAGCAGCTGAACCAATTGCTTGTGCTCCACCAATCTTTGTTGATTGTAATCATCCAAGTCTTAATAATGATATGGAACAAACACTTTTCAATACAAAAATTCGTTCAAGTTTGATGCCATTATCATTGACTAATGAATGGGAATTAAGTAATAATCAAATTCCTTTGACTGATTATCCTAAATCAAATATGTTACCTTCAGAACTCAATAAATGGATAGATTATTCCAATATTAGAATGCCTTCGATGAATAGATTCATTACCGAATCAGGAAAATTAGCTAAACTTGATGAATTGTTAGTTGATTTGAAACAAAATGATCATAGAGTTTTGGTTTATTTCCAAATGACCAAAATGATGGATTTAATGGAAGAATATTTAACTTATAGACAATATAGTTATATTAGATTGGATGGATCATCAAAATTGGATGATAGAAGAGATTTGGTCCATGATTGGCAAAATAAACCCGAAATTTTCATCTTTTTATTAAGTACCAGAGCTGGTGGATTGGGTATTAATTTGACAGCTGCAGATACTGTGGTTTTCTATGATTCAGATTGGAATCCAACCATTGATTCTCAAGCTATGGATAGAGCTCATAGATTGGGTCAAACTAAACAAGTGACGGTTTATAGATTATTAACTAGAAACACCATTGAAGAAAGAATGAGAGATAGAGCCAAACAAAAGGAACAAGTTCAACAAGTGGTGATGGAAGGTAAAGCTAGTAAGAAAGAAGAAAGTCAAAATAAGAAGAAAGATGTAGCTTATTTATTATTGGGAGATGATGAAAAAGATATGAAATCGGAATCGGAATCAGTAACGGTATCGAGACCAGAGTCAAGACCAGAGTCGAGGGCAGAATCAGAGTCTAAATCAAATGGTTTAGAAGATATGTATCATGAAGGGGAAGGAGAGTTTTCTACTCCTTCAAATTAATGTATTAAAAATTTCACTTATCTTGACTATGAGGTTCTTGATTATCAGGTTCATCGGATTCAAGTCCATGAGTTAATCTACTTTCTAATTTACTCTCTAAATTATTCAAAAAATTATCAAAATCTTGTGAAATAGTTTCATTATCATTATCATCATCTTGTGGTTTGTGAAATTCAATTTCATCAAATGATGTCACTTTACTGGATATCATTTCACTTAATCCACTAAGATTTGAATTCATAGAATTCACAGAATATCTATTACTTCTCTTTCTTTGGGCATTATCCATTTCTTGTTGTAATACTGACAATTTCAAACTTCCCGATAATCTTTTATCATCAGAAACTCTTCGATGATCATCAGGAAATCTTTTAGTATGGAAAGATTTGAGATTGAAATTCTTTGGAGTTTCAAATTCATTTAAACTCAATTTATACAATTGATGGATATTATTGATGTCATTATTATATTGATTAAAAATAGCTCTTTTCTCATCATCTTCAATAGATTCATTATATTGTTTGAAATACTTTAAATTGGTAGCTAAAACATTGACTCTTTCGATCAATTTATCGATAGTTTTAGGTTCTTGAGGTTTGGTTTCAACAATTCCCTTCAAAATATCTTCATTATCAACATCATTAGATGTGAATCTTTCAAAGATTGTTAAGAAACTAGTTAAAAAGTTATTATGATGGTTCAATAATTCACTTAAAATGGTTAATTTTTCAATGATCATGATATGTGATTCTTGAGGCTTGACATTGAATCGATTAAACATCTTCAAAAGTAAATAATTGTTAGTACTTTTCTCATCAAGAGTAAGTAATTGACATATTAGAAGTTTCCTCAAAGTATTGAAATAATTGATGTTATTGAGAAGTTCTTGTTCTTCGTCTTTACTTTCTATGGTATCGAATTGATCAAGATTAAGGTGATTAAACTTATAATACTTCTCAAAGTTATCTCCATTGACTAAAGGTAATAACTGACCAATGGAGTTAGATAGACTTAATTTTAAGAAATGAATGGAATTGATAAGATTATTGAATTCTTGATAATTGATAGCTTTGAAAAGTTTCATCTGTTTAAGGTTAAGTAAGGATTTGATGAGCTTTAAGTTGATTTTGAAGTTATTGATAAGGAAATGTCGTTGGAGGTTAAGATTCTTATTCATTAGAATCATAACTTTTATACGTTTGAATTTAATGTATTTGGTGGATAAGATAAGTAAGATTTTGAACTTAGCCCAGTGATTGGTATTGATCCCATTACCTAAGGTCAGTTTCAATAACTCTATAATAAGACCAATAATGATGATGATGGAATTGGAAGAAATTATCGGGAGTTTCAACATATAATGTCTTTCAATGAATAATTGAGTTTGATGATGATTAAACCCTTTCAAAGGTCGTATTTGATGGTTTAAATCCTTAAGACTTTGTTCATTCTTGGATAATATCATCGAATCATCTAGAAGATTGGATATTATCAAGTTGTATTTAAATTTCTCCCAGAATTCAGGAGTTAGATTAAGTTTCAAGTAAGTTTTGATGAATATCTGAAAGTTTTCTGTGGTTGGAGGGATAGTTATATCAATTGGACCCAATTCCAGAAACTTTCGAGATGCTTGACTTAAAGTATCTTCAATTCCCCAATCACTGATATCTTTATCTACTTTGGACCAGTCAACTTCAGGGAAATTCTTGTGGTTTGCAACTGAATGATTTGAACCAGAATAGCCACTACTACTTGAAAACCCTCTTTTCGATAGGGGATTGAACTTATCGAAATTCATCCGCCACTATGTTCACTATGATGATGGTATGAAGTGGTTAAGGATAGTGGTAGATGGTTTTGTTAATGGTTATGATCAGATACCTGCTCTTGATCTTTGTTTATTTTCGCATTTAGCAGGTGAAAAGGTTTATAAGAAGGAGTTACACAAAAAGCGATGTCGCGGGTCGTAATGTCGTACAACTCTATTATACATTTTTCTTTTTCCATTTTCTGATTTGTTATCAGAGAGAATTAAAATCCTGGACCTGCTCCTAAACTACTGAACCAATCGGATTCTATGAACAAATTTGAATCATTGATGAAATTCTTATTCATATCATCACCTTGTAAATCATCCATCTTTCTACCTTGATTACTTTGAACAGAATTTGGAGTGGCTGGAGGGACATTTTGCATAGATTGAGGTTGCGGCTGAGGTGGTTGTTGACGCATGTTCATATTCATTTGCATCGGTTGTTGCATCATTTGTGGTACCATTCTCCCCGACATTTGTTGATTGACCATTTGTGGTCTTTGTCCGTTTTGTTGTTGTTGTTGCTGTTGTTGTTGTCTCATCATCATTTGTTGTCTCATTATATATTGTTGTTGTTGCTGAGCTTGTTGAGCTTGTTGAGCCTGTTGAGCTTGTTGGGCTTGTGGAGGTTGATTAGGAGGTTGTTGAGGAACATTCGAAGGTCTTCTTACTTGATTAGGTGGTGGTTGTTTCATCATGAATTGTTTCTTTGCCATATTTTGTGGATTGGCTGAATTGGCTAGTACGGGACTTTGTAAATACAATTGTGGATTAGCTTGATTTTGTAATTGTTGTTGTTGGTTTTGTAATTTCATCTGTTGAAGTCTTAATTGTTGTTGATAATGATACATATTAACATTAGATCCTGATCTTGGAGGTAACATCTGAACATTAGCATTAGGTCCATTTGTACCTCCTGGACCCCCACTGGGACCCCCACCAGGCATACCAGGACCGCCCGCATTACCACCTGATACGGAGCCTGATACTGGGAGTCCAGGTCCATTATGTAATTGGTTTAAATTTGGATTTAAATTGGATTGTAAGCTCCACAATAAGTTAAACCATTCCAATAAGAATTCGTTATTGTGGTTGTTATCTTGATTATTGAGTTTATCGAACTCTTGTTTGATGGAGTATAAACTATTGACGGAGATTTTAAGCTCTGACACCAAAGATTTGGCAGTGTCATGGTGTCCATTCTCTGTTAAATAGATATAAAGGTACGCTAACAATACTTGTTTTTGATCTAACTGAGGCGATGAAGGTGTCGATGGAAGTTTTGTCTTTTTCATATTGGTTGGCACTGAAGGATTAGGATTCATCGTAGGAATATTCTGTGGGATACCTTGAGGTGTTTGGAAGAAATCACTACCTAATGGAGTCTGTCCAGGATTCATACCACCATTAGGTCCATTAGAATTATGTCCATTTGTACCATTATTCGCCATATCATGAACCATGGAATTTGGACCCAAATCCCCTGAACCTTCTAGAAAATCATTCCCATCTTTATCAAATAAGAAGTTTTGATTCAACCCAAAGTCAAAATTGTCATTAGAATCGTTGAAATTCAACAGTAAAGGATTAAAATCCATTTTGTGTTGGGTGAGATTAGGGATTAAAAATTCCGCAACCCTCAAAAATTAACCGAGTGAGCGTTTGGACTAGTGAGGCTGAACATATATCACAGGGTTTATCGTCATAATTAGTCTTTTAGAGTGGAAATAGAGATCAGTCGGTGGTCAGGGGTGAATTTTAAAGAGATTTTGGTGGAGGATGAAAAATTTTTCATAGATTATGTCAATTGAGGAGGGTTCGCGGCCGGTCAAGGGGCCGGTTGATTTTGACAGATTTAAGTTAAATCCACAAAGACATTTTTTAAAATCCACGAATACAGGAAAACTAGCCGCCAAGATATGATATATTAAGTTTTACGGAATTGACCAAAAGGAACCTTAGGAATCAATCCCTCTTCAATTTCAATAGCTCGTTCCTCTAATAACTCTTCAGGATAATCTAAATTATCGAATATTGGTACCATGATTCCATCAACGTTCTGATAATAGATCCCATGGATCATCAAATTATCTAGCTTGTAGAAGATCATGGATAAGTAATCTTTTATAGGTGCCAATTGATGGATTATGTAAGTTGTCACCAAACTGTCGATATTCAAAGAACTTGTCCCTCTAGGATCTTCTTCAATACATCTACAGTCTTTAGTTTTGTGGAAATGGGAATGTAAAGTATGGGGTTGACCCTTGTAAATAGGGTAATTGTTGAAATTGAAGGTTTTCTGCTTTATGGGTACACAAACTTCTCTATCAGCTTGTAACTTCCCTAAAATAAATCCTATCAATATATAGTATGTGGATTGGAGATCCATTTCATCATCTTGTCTATCATCATCATCATCATTAATGGGGTAAAAGTCCTGCTTTAACCGTTCAAGTACCAATTGACACCCCCAACATTTACAGGTATGAAGTAACGATTCATAGAAATTGGGTTTATAGTAAATGAAAGACGTTAAAAAGTCGGGTAGCTGTAAGGTCTTAAGGTTCTTGATGGTTCCGTAGTTGTCTGATGATAAGAAACAAAGGAAAAAGGCTTCCATCAATCTTTCATTCAATCTATTCAAGATCGAAGATGTCATACCCATAGAATTATCAAACATCTTGAACCCAGGTGTTGAAAAGTCAATGGTTAATCGGGATAAGTTACTTAAACTCTTAATGAACGTTCCCAAAGGTGTAAGGATATTCTCCAAGAGTTGATGGGGTCTCAACCATTCAAGATTAGGGAAAACTTCCAATTCAAAACTTTCAAGATGTGGTAGACCTTCATTTTCCATTGTGAATTTCTTCATATCTCTGAAGAAATTGGGGAAACAATTACAATTATTGTTTCTGTGTTCGTTACAATCGATTTTAAGGTACAAATTCTTCAAATTCGGAAGGTTTATTGTGGATTCTATCACTTTGAAGTCAAGTTTCTTATCTAATTCACTAATAAACTCATTTAATAATAGATTACTTGATAAACTGGTAGGATGGTGATTGAAATTGAATTCTTCATCGATCAATAAATCTTCTTTGTGACAATGAAATATCGTCAAACCTTTTAAATTCAACTTCAAGTCATTATCCAATCTGAATTTCCTTAGTATTTCGAGTCCTAGCTGATTGTTAGTACTACAAGATAGCGTGAAAAGAGAGTTGAAACACTGATACTGCGGAGTACTCAAATCTATCACGTCGGTCTCCAATAATTCCATTTCATCCAACATGAGGAACAAGTTTGTAAGGCACTGAGGTATTAAAGGAGTATATAAGCTGGATAAGTCCAAGCAGAACAACTTGAAGATCCGATTTCGGATGTTTTCGTTGCTCAAGAATTTACTGTACTTCTCGATCCCCGAGATGAAATCAATGAAGGTGATATGAAGGAAACTCAATTGAGTGGCATGCGCCCCAAAGAATTCAATGATATCATTCTGAATGAAACTCAACTGTCCTTCGTTGAACGATTTCGAATCGGAGGGAACAGTACCACCAACCAAATTGGGGTGGCATTTATCGAAGATGAAATATTTGACTTTTTGGATAAGATGGGGGTTTTTGGTAAGAATGTCGAGAAACAGAAGGAGTTGATCGTTGGACATGATAAGTGACGTATCCATGAATTTTATACCGTTTTCTCGTATATAATGGCTGGAATTGTGATACATCACAGGGATGTCGGCGTTCAAAATGACGGTAACTCGACGATAAAGTCGTTCGATAGCTAGTGGGGAAATCTCCTTACATAGTATCAGGAGGTTGACTAGATCATATTGGTGAACATATTGAAAGATCTCTTGGATGACATTACTGGGGAGATATTTGAGGATGGAATTTGGCGGTTGATCTGGGGATAACTCCGTAGGACGAGGTGTTGTAGGCATGGCAATATATGGAGGGACGTCCTTGGAGTAACATACATTCAACGGAAGATCTGAACAAGATTTCCCGTGAAGTAGGGACATCATGGGTTTAGACTTGTTCATGATATATAGGGGTTGCTCTCGATGCGAACAAGTTCGCGGAGTTGTGGTGTGACAAATACGGATTTAGGGCCAACGTCAGGGCCGATAATAGCGAGAGAATGGTGAGAAAGTTGGCTGCAAAAAAAAAAAAGGTTACCTCAGTGATATTTATTCAATCTTATACAAGCTTCTTATAATCTGGTACCTAAGTTAACGTGAATGGCTTTGGCTTGAGTATAATGTTCTAAACCATATTGACCTAATTGTCTACCAACACCTGAACCTTTAACACCTCCGAAAGGAACATGTAAGTCAGAATCATTGGAAGAGTTGATCCAGATCATACCACTTTCAATGTTTCTAGCCATGTTATGAGCAACAGCAATATCTTTGGTGAAGATAGCTGCACCTAAACCATATTCAGTTTGGTTAGCAAATTTTAATACTTCTTCATCACTAGAGAATTTGGAACAAGCTAATACTGGACCGAAGATTTCTTCATTGATGATTCTCATTTCTGGTTTACAGTCAGCGAAAACAGTTGGTTTGATAAAGAAACCTTTAGCTAAATCAGCTTCAGTATTTCTTTCACCTCCCATGACAACTCTAGCACCTTCTTTTTTACCAATGTCAATATAACCTAAGATTTTATCAAATTGCATTTGTGACACTTGTGGACCAACAACTGATTTATCTTCATAAACTGGTCCTTGTGGATAAGCTTCGAGAACATGTTCTTTTAATTTTTGTAAGAAATCTTCATAAACATCAGCATGGATGTAACATCTGGAGTTTGAAGTACAAACTTGACCTTGATTGAAGAAGATACCCATAGCAGTCCATTTAACGGCTTGTTCAATATCGGCATCGGCTCTAATAATAATTGGAGATTTACCTCCGCATTCCAAGGTGACGGCTTTTAAATTAGCCGATGCGGCTTTTTGGATTAATCTACCAGTAGCTGTTGAACCAGTGAAAGAAATCTTTTGGACATCAACGTGAGAAGCTAAAGCATTACCACAAACTTTACCTTCACCTGATAAAATTTGGAAAGTACCAGGAGGAAATTTGGCTTTTTGCACTAAAAGACCAACATATAACATTGATAAAGGAGTGATTTCTGAAGTTTTCAAGATTGAAACGTTACCAGCGGCTAAAGCAGGAGCAATGGCCCAAATAGCCATTAATAATGGATAATTCCATGGAATGATGTGTCCACAAACTCCATATGGTTCATGAATGGTATAAGCTAATTTCTTTGGATCGTTTTGAATTACAGATCCATGAATTTTATCAGCCCAACCGGCATAATATCTTAATACGGAAACACATTCATCAACATCGTAAACGGCATTAGTGGCTTTAGTTTTACCACCATCCCAGGCTTCTAAAGAACCTAAGATTTCTCTATCTTCAGCCATCAAATCAGCCAATTTGTTTAAATATTCACCTCTTTCAACACCGGTAGTGTCTCTCCATGAAGTGGCTACTTTTTTAGCATAATCAACAGCTAAATCAACATCAGCTTCTTCAGCGCAATATACAGTGGCATTGACTTCACCAGTGGAAGGATTGATGGAGTCAATGGTTTTACCACTTTTAGATTCAATGAATTCATTATTGATGAATAATCCAGTAGGTAAGGAAATTTTCAATCCATCAGGTAATGTGATATCTTTAGTTAATGACATTTTTATTTTAATTGGTGAAAATTTAGGGGATCGTTGAAGTATTTAAATCAATATCGCTTGGCTTAAAACGGTAATTTAATGCGAACGAGGAATTATCCATTTTGAGAAATTAGATCCTTAAGGTTTTTTGGTTTGGTTTGAGGGTTTACAGTGATAAGACGAGAGCAATGAACTATGGAGAAATGTAATTGGTTGATTGACAGAGTTTCAATAATGTGAGAGGTTAAACAATAGAGGTTTTTGAGTTTAAACTTTGGGGGGTTAATCCTTAGCGGATATTTGATAAGATAAGATGGCGCACAGTTACCCGGATAAACGATTACCCGGACCTTTGCACCGTTGACCAGTGTGACTCCCCAGCATGACTCTGGTATGGTTGGCTGACAAATTCTTACATTTGGTGGCTTTAAATTCCCGTTTGTCATGGGTTAGGGGTCAAAAGTGAATCGGTTTTAAGAGGGATCAATGTGCGCAGATTTGAGAAATTCTTCCAATGGACTTGTCAGTGTATGAAGCTCAATCCCCAGCTCATGGGGAGTTTAGAAGTGATACTTTCACCACCCCAACTGCCTCAATGATTAAAGCTCTTGCTCAAGCTTCTTTGGGTGATGCTGTTTACAATGAAGATGATTTAACTATCAAATTAGAGAAGAAAGTGGCTCTGTTAGCTGGTAAAGAAAGTGGATTATATTGTGTTAGTGGTACTTTATCCAATCAATTGGCTGTTAGATGTAATCTTTTCCAACCTCCTTATAGTGTGTTATGTGATTATCGTGGTCATATCTTTGTTCATGAAGCTGGTGGTTTACCAACCTTAAGTCAAGTTTTACCAAATCCAATTAAACCTAAGAATGGGATCCATTTAACTTTGGAGGATGACATTTTACCTAATTTTGTACCTGATGATGGGGAAATTCATTCTACCCCAACAAAGTTGATTTCTTTGGAAAATACCTTACATGGAATGATCTTTCCTATCGAAGAGATCAAAAAGATTAGTAAATTCTGTAAGGAGAATGACGTTAGATTACATTTAGATGGAGCTAGATTATGGAATGCTTCAGTTGAAACTGGAATTTCAATTGCTGAATATTGTTCTTATTTCGACTCAGTTTCTTTATGCTTATCTAAGAGTTTGGGGGCTCCAATTGGATCTGTTTTAGTGGGAGATAAAAAACTTATTGCTAAAGCTAATCATTTCAAGAAGCAAAATGGTGGAGGTATCAGACAAAGTGGAATATTAGCAGCTATGGCTATTGTGGCTATTGATGAAAATTTACCTAAATTGAAGAAAACCCATGAAATGGCTAAAGAATTAGGAAAATTCTGTGAGGACAGAGGTATTATCTTAGAACATCCTGTGGATACTAACTTTGTCTTCATTGATTTACAAGCCAATGACATGGATATCAACTACTTGAATAAGTTGCTGGACAAACACGGTATCAATTTCAGAAGTGGTAGAGTAGCTTTACATTATCAAGTGTCTGATGAAAGTTTCATCAAGGTTAAGAAATGTATTGAAGAGTTGCATGAATATGCCAAAGCTAATCCATCAAAGGGTGCTTCTGCTAGATTTTATGATGTTAAGTAGATATAGATATGTTTTTGTAGGTCTTTCTTGAATATCTCTTCACTTTGTCCTCCCTGGTACCCCCAATTCTTCCCTGTCTTTAGACCCCCAACACTGACCCCCATTTTTTTTAATCCTCCTTGTTTCCCCCCCTCTTTTCTCCCACAAGTTTCTCAATCTGTAAAATTCGCAGCTTATGACTATTAATGATATAAACCTACAGAATATCGTAACTTTCAATTGCTTAGTAGATACTGCTGCTTACCTGTACTTCAATGATGACTATGAGTTTGAGACAGCCATAAGGCACCTTCTGTTAAAAGAGCAGAACAAAATACGGAACATTAAGGATACAAAAGTCCGGATAAAACTGTTGATGATAAAGCTATTTATGCGATGGGTACTCAATTTGGTGATATCAAGAGAGGAAGGTTTGGAATTTGATCCTTGGAAAGAGATACCTTTCACTTATAATGAGTATGGGAAACCTTTACTCCCGTATAAGTTCCAATTCAATCAGACTTCGTCTAATGATTTGATTTCTATAGCCATTGATTTCCACGGAGATCCAATTGGAATAGACCTATCACACTCCCAGCAGGCTGTATCGTCACAAGGGTTTATGGAGCAATTCCAAGGAATCTTTGGGGAATCAGAGATTTGTCAGTTGATGGAAATAGAGGACATTTCTCAGAGATACATAGTGTTCAACCAATTTTGGACCCTTAAGGAAGCTTTCACCAAACTCATAGGTACGGGGTTGAACGTTGACTTGAGCAAGTTTCAATTCGACTTGCACAAACAACACGTAGAGCCCGGAACAGAGGTGAACTTTCAAGAAATCGGGGAATTTACCAGGTTATGGAAACAAAGCGATGTTGATTACACCGATTTGAACCACCCAGCAGTTTCACAGATACTGAAAAAACCATATTGTTGGTCTAGCATAGTGATTAATGGGCAATTACCGGTAATTTTGTCTGTAATCTCTCTATCAGCAGACGTTCCGGTCAATTATACTGTAAATTTGTTGCCTTTTCTTGCAGAAAATGCCCCTTAAGTAACCTAATGACTTTTTTAACGTTTAAAAACACAAAAAAGACCCCACCAAATGGTGTAAGAAGCCATATGGTGCCAATAACCACAAAAATATATAAAAACACTTGGTGCGAAAAGTCCTTCGCCAGTACCAACGTCCCTCCCTAAAATACGCATCATCGAACAGTGCGAAAACCATGAAGAAAGTGTTCTCTTCCCTAGAGGGACCTTTACGACCTAGAAGAGTAGGACGGCCCCTGGGACAACGTCCTGTTAACAGTCTAGGAGACCTAACCATAATTTATGATAAACCCCGTCAATCGGTAGTGAGAGATATTTTTGGTAAGCATTTAGATATCTCAGGTAATGATCTAAACATTTGTGATAAGACCGTCTCCTTAGTAAGTTACAATAAGAACGGGAAGACAGTGATTTGTAGCGAATCAACAACACTTTGTATTTGTACCAATGATAAGTTTGTGGTATTAAAGCACAAAAATGAATTAATGGATAATTTCATCATTCACAAGCATCAGATTTCAGTAATAAAGTCCAATTTATTCTTTGATAAGTTCTTGATCGTACTAACTGACGGAAGATATATTAGCTTATCGCTACAGCAGACGGAGAGATCTTTCTACAAGTCGTTAGTACTTCGAAAATTCACCAAAGAAGATATAGTCAAGGATTTAGAAGAAGCTATCAAGGATATTGATGATAAAGGCATGGATAAGTATAGGACAAGAGCCATAGAGATAGAGGAGAAAAACAAGGAACTCCATGGGCTTTCTGAAGACATATCTATGTTGGGTATTAGACCTGGGGAACTTGCATCAGACACATTTGACCTAGAATCTTCACTGTCACTGCTGGACGGGTTTAAACCTCCCCCAGCATCGGCATCTAAAATGTATCGTCTGTCAACAAGGACGAGATCCAGTGAGATCCAAGACTTTGTGCAACTCAATAGACCCGTCAGGACGAGGTCTTCAGTGGAGAAGTCCCCTATAATATTAGAAAAACCAGCCAGTTTCGATCCTCCTTTGAACTACAGTTTCAATGGAAAGCCATTTACATTAGCATACAATGATTTCAAGACCTTGTATAACAACGATTGGGTCAATGACATCATTATAGATTTCTTCATCAATTATGAGATAGAGAAATCCATCGATAGGGGAAACATGAGACGAGACGAAGTCTATGCCTTTAACTCGTTCTTCTTCAATAAGTTGATGTCCAAGACCACGGAGGAGGTCAATTACTACGATAATGTCAAACGATGGTTAAGTAAAGTTGACTTGTTTAGCTACTCATCGGTGATTATCCCCATCAATGAGGCATCTCATTGGTATGGATGTATAATAGTAGGTTTACCGGAGTTTTTGAAAGCTCAGAAGGAAAGGAGCTCAAGGGTAGATGAGAATTTGGGTGGGGGATCGTCTAATATCCCCCAAAATATCCCCCATGAAATTCTCCACGATGAACACGAAACCTCCTATAGCGAAGAGCCTAATGCCGATACAGTTGATCTCTCAGTTGGTGGAGTGGAAGATTCAGATTCAGAAACCGATAATGAAAAGCTTCCAGATGAAGATGTTACTTTGAAGTATCCCACAAAGATCAATGTCTTTGTGTTTGATTCCTTGAATATCAAGCATCTTTCATTGAATAAACCCATCAAAAGTTTCTTGATTGAGTACTGTAAAGAGAAGCATGATCTAGATATTTTCAGTAAGGATATTGTGTTCAGGTCCACCAAAGTCCCCAAACAGAATAATTTCAATGATTGTGGAATTCACGTCATTTACAACATAAGGAAGTTTCTTAACGATCGGTCGACATGTTTAAGGATTTGGGATAGAAATAAGTCCAACTATAAACACTTCTTCTTGGCCACAGAACGAATCAAAGTGAGGAAGGAATTGATTGATATCTTATTGGATTTACATGCTAAACAACCCAAGATCCATGCCGAGAACGATTTGTCTGACGAAGAGATCGAATTGGTGGACTTTAAGAAGATAACTCCAGCCATAACCATAAGTAGAGATAATGGGCGTGGCAGGACACCTAAGAAGAAATTGGAAATCACCATCGATACTTCCAGACTTAGAAGTAGTGAATCTGTTGATACCAACAATAGTGATGTTTCAAAGACGCCAAGCTTACAAACCGCAAACCTCGAAAACCCAAGTCTTGAACACCCCAGTCTTGAACACCCAGGTCTAGAGCCACCACAAATACCTGGAGTTCAGAAATCTATCGTTAATGACCTTATTGACGGTATTGATACTGTTGATAATGATAAACGGATTCGACCCCACGGTGACACCACGGTGACAGAAGAAGACATAGAGTTCGAGGAAACCGAGAAGAAAATCAAACTTTTGAAAGGTCAAAGTTGGCCCGAGCTCAAAAACAAGAATCTTCAAGTACTTGAACTTCGTAGTAAGATGTCTAAAACTTCATGTGTGATTTTGAACGACCTTTTCGACTCAGACACCACCTTTACCGATCAAGAAATAGAAAAAATCATCAGTTTCAATAATAAGATCAAAGATTTATCCATATATAACGCTAGTCAACTTCCACAGGTAGCAAGGGCTGTTATGCAGTTCAAGAAAACTTACAAGACCGAAGTTAGACCCCGAGATATGGAGTTCAAAATCATTCACCCTCCACCAAATCACATCATTCACACCATAGATGATGAACCTAATGAGGTAACGCCTATTCTGTCTAATAGAGACTCCAAAAGGAGGAAACTTATATAATTTAATAGCATTTTGCATATCATTTCTATTTGTGGCATAAGTCTCTTGGTGAGATCGCTATTTTTTTTCCCTTTGTGGATCGCACAAACCGGAGTAATTGGAACTAAATAATGAAACCTGAATTGCCTCCAAGAACTACGGCTCCTGATCTAGAGCCGTTTAAACAATTACCAAAGGCTCCAATGTCACTTCTGGAAATATTGGTACAAAGACAATTGGAAGCCTATGCCCACAGTAACATGAATGAGATCAGTGATTTATTCGCTGTAAACATCAGTGACAGTGTCATCAAACAAAGGGTAGATAAGATCATTGATTCGATGGACCCCATGGATAATGACGCATATAAGGGGTACTGGAAGCGTTATATCACCGAGGAAGAACAGCCAGAGGATTTAGACAGCCAGTTAATTAAAGGGATCCCCAGTGATTTCCGTGGATTAGCCTATCTTAAAGGGTTACAAGTGCGGTATCAATTAAGTAAAGAGAAGTACATAAACTTGCTCCACAAAGCTGAAAAGACAGATTTGAAGGCTTTGGATGGCTTGAAAATAGAAGGAACGGCATTGAATGCTTTCAAAGTGTATAATTATTATCAAGAAGTGGTATTAGAGGGCCAGAACTCTTTAGATATCATCAATAGTGGTGAGGTATTGGATTTTTACCAATCTAATGAGTATAATATCGAATTTTTAAACCGTTTGACAGAGTTGTTTCCCGAAATCCCTCATTTGGCTGAAGAGGAATTTCTTTACCTTCTATTGAAATTCAATAAGATTTTAGTCAATTTGAACAAGGACCAATTGTATTATGAAATCATGAGATCCTTAGAGGATTTGGCAGGTCCCACCTTTATTCATGTGAGTAAGCTGGGAATCAATATCAAAGAATTTCTTCAGAAATCCATATTCAGACAATTCTTACAGGGGACCGACCACAGAACACTTTTGAAAATTCTTGATTTTGTGGTCTTTCATGGGTTTGTGGTTTTTGCCAGAATATTTGTTTACATTTTTAATGAGTCTAACATTTTACAATTTCAAGGAGAAGATTTGGCAAATTACTTGAATAGTCCCCAATTGGTTGAATGCTTGACTGAAGATATAATCCCAGATATCTTGGATATCGAACCTGAAATAATAAAGTACGAAAACGAGTATTATATTATTCATGTGAACTCGGTAAACTCCAACAATAATGAATTATTGAACGCCCAGGAGGTGAATAAAGATCTCAACAGAAAGATTCAACTTTTGAAAGTGGAGATTGAAAATATTAGAACCACTCATACCGATATACTATCGCAAAGTAAAGAATATGAAGATAAAGTTACCGAAGCACAAAAGGAAAATGATGAATTGACACAAACGCATAAGACTTTACAACAGAAATTCGATACATTGACCATGAAGCAGAATCTTGACAACACCATCAAGGCCAATAAAGAATTTTCCGAAAGAAATGAAGAATTGGTGAATCAAATAGAATCGATGAAGAAGACTATCCAAAGTAAAGCGGAGAAACTAGCTAAATATACATAAGGGGTTGGTTAATGTATTTGTGTAAAATTTTTTTTCTGTTTTTTCCTATTTGTAAACTTCCTCTATTTGTGGATATTGTGGATATTTCGTAGGAAAATAATCGTCCCACTAGCACCATGGAGTCGCACCACCACATCTCCGCACCATCGTATTAAACTGACAAACCTTCGCAAACTATCAATTTACTGTAATGGAATCTAAAGGAGTTATTGGGATCGTAGGTGCTGGAATTGTTGGTTGTGTAAGCGCCCTCGCCTTCCACGATCGTGGATACGATGTAGCGTTATTTGAAATGAGGTCAGACCCCAAATCCGCCAAGTTAAGCAACCTTAAGCTGATCAACTTGTCATTGAGTAATAGAGGTATCAGGACATTGAAGCTTGTTAATCCTGAATTATGTGACACCATTATGAAGGAAACCGTTCCATTATATGGTAGAATGATCCATGATTTGAAAGGAAATGAGATTTCCCAGAAATACGGTTTGTTCGGAGAATACAATAACTCCATTGATAGAGGATTGCTTAACCAACTTTTGATCGAAGAAGTCAAACAAAAAGGAATTAAGGTATTCTTCAACCATAAACTCGTTCATGGGGAAAATTTTGATAATCATCCAAAACTTGTGTTCTCCACAAATGGAGAAGAACAGTCTTACGACTTCGATTATGCAATTGGAGCTGATGGAGCTTTCTCCCAATTCCGTTACCAAATGCAAAAACAATTAAGAATGAACTTCAGTCAAAATTTTATCGACATGCAATACATGGAGTTATTCATACCTCCAAATAATGACGCCTCCGCTACCTCCAAGTACAGAATCGACCCAAATCATTTACATATTTGGCCCAGAGAGGATTTTATGTTAATCGCGTTAGCTAACGGTGATGGATCGTTTACTTCGACCTTTTTCAGTCCATGGTCAGTCATTGAGGGTATGAAGACCAGTGATGAGTTTGTGGACTTTTTCCAAAAGAATTTTCCTGACGGATATGAACTTTTAGGTAGGGAACATCTTGTAGATGCTTTTGACAACAAGCCTCGTGGAGCCTTGGTACAAATAAGTTCATATCCTTACCATTCACCAACAGGGAAAGCTCTCATTATTGGGGATGCAGCTCATCTGATGGTACCATTTTACGGTCAAGGGTTGAACTGTGGTTTAGAAGACGTGAGAATCTTATTGGAATTACTCGATGAGACTGGCGATTTGTCTGAGGCCTTCAAGACCTATAGTCCTAGTAGAAGAGATGATTTGACTACTATCTGTAAATTAGCCATGGACAATTATAATGAGATGGCTTCTAAAGTGACCAAAACATCATTTTTATTGAGAAAGAAGCTTGATTACTACTTTGGGAAATATGCTAACGGGGTTCTCTTTCCTTGGATTCCAATGTACTCCATGATTTCCTTTCGCGATGATATCAACTACTCTAAAGCAGTAGCCATTGAAAATAGACAGTCAAAGATACTCCATTACCTCCAGATAGGATTGATCGGAACAGTAGCGTTAGGGGTTTATCATGGAGTCAAATGGTATGAGAGATTAGCCAGACAATAGTAAAGTTTGTAAATAAATAGACATAGACAGTTCTCTGAGTCATGAATATGTGGTGGAGGCAAGTAGAAATCTCGCACCAGTAGGTAGCGAGGTTTTGAGATACTTTCTCGCACCCTGTCCCGCTAACATGCTCTCACTAAAATTTCGCAGTCGGTGAAAAATTTTATCATCAATATGTTAAGATCTAGAATAGGTATAACTAGACACTTCAGTAGAAGTATTCCAATCTACCAAGGTCAGCAGTCACCTATGAAGGTGTTCTTTGATACTTTTAAGAAAGAAGTACAAAAATCTTCGGAATTAAAAGAAAATATCAAAGCTCTTCAAGATGAAACTGGTAGATTAGGTGAAAGTGATGCTTTCAAGAAAGCCAAAGAAGCCTATGATAAAGCTCAAAAGGGAGGTAGTGCTGCTGGTAAGATAGCTTCTAAAGCTGCCGAACAAGTAGGAGATGTTGCATATAAAGCATGGGAAAGTGACGTTGGTAAAGGAGTCAGAAAGACCGTCAAAGTTGGGGCCGAAGTAGCTGATAAAGCCTTTGAACCTGTTAGAAAGACCACTGTATATAAAAACGTTAGTGAGGTCATTGATGATGGTTCCTCAACTGCTTATGGTGGGTTCTTGACCAAAGAACAAAGAGAAAGATTAAGACAAAAGGAATTACAAGAAAGAATTAAAAGTGGAAAAGTCTGGAGACCAGTCCAAGATGAAGAAAATCAAAGAACTGATTTAGTTGCCACCGAACACAAAGTCCAAGGACCTAAAATCAGTGAAAAATGGGAAAACTTCAAATTAACTTCGCCTGTTGGAAAAGGATTTGTATTACTTAAAGAAAAATGGGAAGATAGTGAAAATGGATTAATTTCATTAGTAAGAACTGTCATTGAAAAAGTTGTTGGATTCTTTGCTGAAACTGAACAAGCCAAAGTTATCAAACAATTCAGAGCTATGGATCCAAATTTCAGATTGACTGATTTCCAAAAGACTTTAACCAATTACATAGTTCCAGAATTATTGGATGCCTATGTCAAAAACGAAGAAGAAACTTTAAAGAATTGGTTAAGTGAAGCTCCTTTCAATGTTTGGAAAGCCACCAACAAACAATTTGTTCAACAAGGTGTTTTCTCTGATTCTAAAATCTTGGATATCAGAGGAGTTGAAATCGTTACTTGTAAATTATTACAACCAAGTAACGTTCCAGTTGTCGTTGTTAGTTGTAGAGCTCAAGAAATCCATTTATATAGAAACGTTAAAAGTGGTAAAGTAGCTGCAGGTACTGAAGATAACATTCAATTGAGTACTTATGCCATGGTTTTCACCAGAAACCCTGAAGAATTCGCTAATGAAGTTACTGATGGATGGAAGGTTCTTGAGTTTGCACGTGGAGGTTCAAGACCTTTCCATTAATGTAAATATGTAAATAGTAATGAAGCTGTACAAGTTATTGAAGGTTAGCGTGAAAAATATTTCTCTTCTATGAGGTGGCTATTTCATTCGGTACCCGCGCCCCCATCCATACTGCGCGGCCGTGGTAGTAAGATAGCGATATTGTTTGAGCCAACTTCGTGAATGTCCATTCGCGGTGAAAATATCAGATCAACAACATGAGTGATAACTTTGCAACCAAGGAGGAACAACTTGCAGTGTTTAATCGTCTTAAACAACACCCTGAGAACAACGTGTGTTTCGATTGTTCCAACCGTAATCCTACATGGACTTCTATTCCTTTCGGAATCATGTTATGTTTGGAATGTTCCGCAGTTCACAGAAACTTGGGTGTTCATATAACCTTTGTTAAATCATCAAATTTGGACTCATGGCAAAGAATCCAATTAAGAAACTTCAAGTTTGGAGGAAATCACGTCGCCAAAGAGTTTTTCAGGAAAAATGGTGGTAGTCAATTATTGACTGGTGATGCTCAAGCTAAGTACACTTCAAATATCGCCAAAAAGTATAAGGAAAAGTTGAAACAAAAGGCTGCTGATGATGCTGTTAAACATCCAGATGTAGTAGTGTTAGATGATGCTAGTGATGAGTTGGATGAATCAGCTTCAGGAGAATCAGATTTTTTCAGTAATTGGTCTAAACCTGTCACCAACACTCCATCACCTTTAGCATCTACCGATGATTTGAATGCAAAATCAACTGTGAAAAAACCTGTAGGTAGATCAAGAATAAGTAGATTGAATCAAACCACTCAAGGTAAGAAAACATCTATATTAAACAACAAAGCTCCAGCTGCTAGAATTAGAGCTAAAAAAGTTGAAAAGGAAGATATTGATTTTGATGAATTGGAAAAGAAAGCCAAAGCTGAAGAAGAAGAAGCTAAAAAATTAGGTTATAAACCTGAGCCTATTGAACAACCTAAAAAGATTGAGAAAGAATCGATATCCACAAATTCATCATCTTTAAGTTTAGGATCTTCCAATGGATTAGGTAAAGAAAAATTAGCTCCAGCACCTATCAAAGAAACCACTCAACAATTCCAAAGATTAGGTTTTGGAATGGTCGATGGTGGTAATAACATCACTAACAACAACGCCAAAAAATATAAGGAAGTCAAATATACTGGTGAAGTTAGTAATAAATTTGGTACTCAAAAAGGGATCTCATCGGATGAATTCTTCGGTAGAGGACCAAGATTCGATGAAAGTGCTAAAATGGAAGCTCAACAGAAGTTACAAGCTTTTGACGGAGCCCAATCTATTAGTTCGTCATCATATTTTGGTGAAGAAGATCAAAGACCAAGATCTAGTAGTGGTGGATTTAATAATTTGGAGGATAGTGCACGTGATTTTGCCTCAAAATTTTCAGGTAATGCTAATCAAGATTTGGAAGTATTGAAAGATGCTTTGGAAGATGGTGCTAATAAAGTAGGTAATTTCTTAAGAGATTTCTTAAGATGAATAAATAGATATTTTGCGTACCTCTCCAAGCATCTCTTCTTAAAATCTGTTCTGTTCTCGTCATAACTGTCGTGTGACCATCATTTTAGGAACACTGGAAAGAAGGTGGTTAACTGTCTCACACAACAATCGTACACGAGCCAACACATTGTGGAGAACTTAACCTGTAAACTATAGATAAGTCGTGTAATCAAGGGAGTGATAAAATAAATCAATATTTTGAGATATGATAAACTGTAGATTACAGCCATTTTCAAAGATGTTGTGGCAAGTTAGGCGTAGTAAATCCCTTTACACCGTCCCCATCCTTGTATATAATTATGTTCTTTACGTTGAATGTATTATCTTCTCCAATAAAATCTTCTTAAACTGATAATCTTTACCCCAAACTCTTTTATTTCACCCAAAAAAAAAGTCCTGGTTACGATCAAGATCTAACAGTTTAAAGCTGATTAACGTAAATCTTCTACGGTTCAAATAAAAGGTATAATTACGACCGATAATTCTTCTAGAAATAATTCTCCCGAAGAAATAAAATTCTTCCGAAAATCCTCAAATATTTCAAGCGGAGGGGTTAAAAATAAAGTAAGATGTATTAGATAACTTATCAGTAATGAGAGCGAACCATTAGCCGAACAAGAACAATCAGTTGTACAATGAACAGGTCCATAGTAGAATCGAAATAATTCCCAGCATTTATCCGCTTTATTACTAATATGACCCTCACAGGATTAAATGGAACAACTAATGGTAAATCTTACCCCAGAAAACTCTAACAGCAATTTTAACCTGAAAGGGAAATGCAGGTTTCACCCCCCACCAATGATCCCCCCACTATTTGCAAGTTTACCCTTTTGGCGGGCAATGACAATTTCTGCGTATCTGCAATATGCAGGTATGACATCATTTTTGTTTTGGATAAATTCATATCATTTATTTTAATTCAAAGTTGCTAACTTAACCTGCAAAAAAAAAAAGTAAAAATTTCCAGTTTGCACCGGGTATGCTGTCCGGATAAAAGAGGTTGGGTGATAGTTTTAAATCTTCCCTTCAACTGTTACTAATAATATTAACTACCTTAAGCATATGGTCGAAATCCCCAAAACTTTAACCATCTTTGCCTCAGGAACGCAATCCCTGTCACATAGACGTTATAAGTCTTGGCTGGTTAAAAATCTCCAAGTTGTGGTAACGACACACTTTGGGTGCAAATTCTTGGAACTATTATATGATTTCTTGTCGAAGTTTAAAATCTATAAAACCTGGAGAAATCTGGTTTTAATGGAATTATTACCTTTGAATTCCATCCTTTTTGATACCCTTTAATCAAGAAAATGGCGGAAAATAAAACTGAACCGGAATTATTTGATTCCTCTTCATCTGAGAAACATCAACCTCAAGATTTAGAAAGTATTCATTCCAAGTTAGCTCAACCAGGAAATGGTGAGAAAGGAAATATCTTATCCCAATATAGTGAAAAGCAAGTAATGCAAATGGGACGTAATTATGCTTCTAAACATGATTTAGACGTAGATTTGTTCGCTAGAGCAGCCGCATTAGCTAGAACTCCAGAAGATTTCAATGCTATGCCATTCTTAACTGAAGAAGAAAAGATCGGTTTAAATAAAGAAGCTACTAAGAAATGGCATGTCCCTTGGATGTTGTTCCAAGTCATTGCTTTAGGATCAATGGCGGCTGCTGTTCAAGGTATGGATCAATCTGTTATTAATGGTGCGACCTTATACTATACTGAAAGATTAGGAGTTACAGAAATGAAGAACCCAGATTTAATCGAAGGGTTAGTCAATGGAGCTCCATATTTAGCAGCTTCTTGTATTGCTTGTTGGACTTCAGATTTCTGGAATAGGAAATTAGGAAGAAAATGGGTGATTTTTTGGACTTGTTTGATTTCAGGTTTGACTTGTGTTTGGCAAGGGTTTGTTAATAATTGGTGGCATTTATTCATTGCTAGATTTGCTATGGGGTTCGGGGTTGGTATTAAATCCGCTACTGTCCCTCCTTATGCTGCTGAATGTACACCAAGACAAATTAGAGGTGCTTTAGTCATGTTATGGCAATTCTTTACTGCTGTAGGAATCATGTTTGGTTACGTTGCTTCCTTAGCCTTTTATACTGTTCCAGATAGAGGGATTTCTTATGGTTTGAATTGGAGATTAATGTTAGGTTCTGCTGGGATCCCAGCTTTCATCGTGTTGGTTCAAGTACCTTTCGTTCCAGAATCTCCAAGATGGTTAATGGGTAAAGGTAGACACGGTGATGCTTTCAATTCTTTGGTATTATTAAGAAATGACGAAATTGCTGCTGCTAGAGATTGTTTCTATCAATACGTTTTGTTACAAGAAGAAGGATCTTATGTTGGTGTACCTTACTATAAGAAGATTATTGAAATGTTCACAGTTAGAAGAAACAGAAATGGTGCTCTTGGTGCTTGGATCGTTATGTTCATGCAACAATTCTGTGGTATCAATGTTATCGCTTATTACTCATCATCTATCTTTGTGGAATCAGGTTTAGGTAATAGAGAAGCTTTGTTAGCATCCTGGGGATTCGGTATGATCAATTTCTTATTTGCTATCCCAGCTTTCTATACCATCGATACCTTTGGTAGAAGAAACTTGTTACTTACAACCTTCCCCTTGATGTCCATCTTCTTGTTGGTGACAATGTCGGGATTTTTCATCGACTTGGATACCAATCCTCAAGGTAGAACCGCCTTGGTCGCTACGGGAATCTTTATCTATGCAGCTATTTACTCCTCAGGTGAAGGGCCAGTTCCTTTCACTTATTCTGCTGAAGCCTTCCCATTATATATCAGAGATTTAGGTATGGGTTTCGCTACTGCCACCTGTTGGTTCTTCAATTTCATCTTAGCTTTCACCTGGCCAAGATTGAGAAATGCTTTCACCGTCCAGGGTGCTTTCGGGTTCTATGCGGCTTGGAACATCGTTGGGTTCTTCTTGGTATTACTTTTCTTACCTGAAACCAAAGGGTTGACTTTAGAAGAATTGGACGAAGTCTTTGGAGTCTCCTTAAGGAAACACGCCTCTTATAGAATAAGAGAGTTCAATAACAAGGTTATCCAAAGAGGAATCTTGAGAAGAAAGATTGGTGATATTGAGCCATTATATGAACATCAAAAGAGAATGGCTGTCACCAATCCAGAATGGAACGATAAGACTGAAGTGTCACATGTTGAATGATCTAGATATGGAATATATACTAATGGACTGAAAGTTTGAAATCGGACTACTCTATGGTTCCAATTGGCACTAGCTCTTATCAAAAACCTCATAAAAATGGTACCACATCTCGCCAAGTCCCAGTAAATCGTTCACTCTCTCGCGCGAGAACATTATGCATGCCAAGCCTTTTAAGACAGGTGTCAAAATACCTGTCAAAACAGATAGTTCCAGTTACCCAGCAACAATAGTAAAAAACTTAGCAATTTCGTCCAATTTTTTTGGTTTATTGTAGTTTCACGGGATAAGATTAAGATAATACGATCTATGGCTCAGATCTATAACCTGGGTGAGCCCTGATAAGGCGGTGAATCATAATAAGTCCAATTCCTCGATGAATATTCTTATAATTAACTAAATAAATCCTAAATGTAACCTGTAAATGGCTTTATTACGTAGTTAATTAAATAATGTCTGGTCATCCCCCTCGTTAATCCTTTAATATCCACCAGTTTTGCGGATCATATTTCACTAATCCAAACTTTTCCCAACATTCTTTGTATCCCAACACTTCTCAACCATCGATAGACCATCCTTACACTCACCTCACCGCCTGTCATCACCCCATAAATTCTAGTCCCGATAAAACTTAAAAAAACAAAAACAAAATTTACTATTTGAACCGTTGCGAGCCCCTGCATAAATGTACCACCGGTTATGAGACGTACCCCAACCTCCATTTTTATTCTGTTTTGCAGGTTAGGTTTGTGGGAACTTTATCGTATCCAACTATAAATACCCCAGAGTTTCCCCAAAGTTTAATATCGAAAATGTCTGATAACACTCCAGTAGTTGCAAATAAGGATACAGAATTGTTAGATTCTTCATCTTCAGATCATCACCATGACATGAAAGATAATGAAAGTATTCACTCCAAATTAGCTGAAGCTGGTAATGGAGAAAGAGGTAATATCTTATCACAATACAGTGAAAAGCAAGTAATGCAAATGGGACGTAACTATGCTTCTAAACATGGTTTAGATGTTGAATTGTTTGCCAAAGCTGCTGCTTTAGCTAGAACTCCTGCTGAGTTCAATTCCATGCCTTTTTTAACCGAAGAGGAAAAGATTGGCTTGAATTTGGAAGCCACTAAGAAATGGCATATCCCTGGTAAATTAGTCAAAGTCATTGCCTTAGGTGCCATGGCTGCTGCCGTTCAAGGTATGGATGAATCAGTTATTAATGGTGCTGTTTTGTATTATCCTCAAGTTCTTGGTGTTACAGATATGAAAAATGCCGATTTGGTCGAAGGGTTAATCAATGGTGCTCCTTATTTATGTGCTTCAGTCATTGCTTGTTGGTTAAGTGATGTGTTCAACAGAGCCGTTGGTAGAAAATGGGTCATTTTCTGGACTTGTTTGATCTCCGCCCTTACGTGTATTTGGCAAGGGTTTGTCAACACTTGGTGGCATTTATTCATTGCTAGATTCTTCTTGGGATTTGGTATCGGTATTAAATCAGCTACTGTTCCTGCCTATGCTGCTGAATGTACTCCTAGACATATCAGAGGGGCATTAGTTATGTTATGGCAATTTTTCACCGCTGTCGGTATTATGTTTGGTTATGTAGCTTCCTTAGCTTTCTATAAAGTTCCAGATAGAGGAGTTGGTGAAGGATTGAATTGGAGATTAATGTTGGGATCTGCTTGTATTCCAGCCATTATCGTTCTTTTACAAATTCCTTTCGTTCCTGAATCACCTAGATGGTTGATGGGTAAAGGAAGACATAGTGAAGCTTTTGAATCATTGGTTTTATTAAGAAATGAAAGAATTGCTGCTGCCAGAGATTGTTTCTACCAACATGTTTTACTTGCTGAAGAACATTCTTACGTTGGTATTTCTACTGTCAAGAGAATGATCGAAATGTTCACTATCAGAAGAAACAGAAACGGGGCTTTAGGTGCTTGGGTTGTTATGTTCATGCAACAATTCTGTGGTATTAACGTCATTGCTTACTATTCTTCATCTATTTTTGTGGAATCAGGTTTAGGTAACAGAGAAGCTTTATTAGCATCTTGGGGATTCGGTATGATCAATTTCTTGTTCGCCATCCCAGCCTTTTACACCATTGATACATTCGGAAGACGTAACTTATTATTAACCACTTTCCCTTTGATGGCTATCTTCTTGTTAGTCACTATGTGTGGGTTCTGGATCGATCTCGACACTAACTCCAATGGTAGAGTTGGATTAATCGCCTTTGGTATTTACATCTATGCTGCCATCTATTCATCTGGTGAAGGACCAGTTCCTTTCACCTATTCTGCCGAAGCTTTCCCATTATATATCAGAGATTTAGGTATGGGTTTTGCTACTGCCACCTGTTGGTTCTTTAACTTCATCTTAGCCTTTACTTGGCCAAGATTGAGAAATGCTTTTAAACCACAAGGGGCTTTTGGATTCTATGCTGCCTGGAACATCGTTGGTTTCTTCTTGGTATTACTCTTCTTACCTGAAACCAAGGGATTGACTTTGGAAGAATTGGATGAAGTTTTCGGAGTTTCCTTAAGAAAACATGCCTCTTATAGAATAAGAGAATTCAATAACAAAGTCATTCAAAGAGGAATCTTAAGAAGAAACGTAGCTCCATTACCTCCATTGTATGAACACGAAAAGAGAATGGCTGTTACTAATCCTGAATGGAATGAGAAGACAGAAGTCTCTCATATTGAATAGATACGATTTATGGAAGTTGAATATATTTAATGGTATGCACACACATCTGCCAATCTCTAAGCAAACTTACCGACAACTCCACCATAAGAGGAGAAAGGCGTCATCCCTAGATCATAAAACCGGAGATTTTCAATCGTTTGTACCTATCTGATCTGTGTGTCCGCATATTATGATTGCTCTTCGGTGTTAAACTGGTTTAAGATTTTTTAGCCATATTATGATCTTCATTAACGTCATCATTACCTATTCAACACCTTCAATGGTACTTCTAACATGTTGACCAAACTTCCACCAAAAACCCTCTGTGTCTTTTATCCCAATAAGGAAAAACTCCGCGGCATTCCATGGAAACTCACATCGCGATAAGACTTTTGATCCACGTACTTTTCCACCTTTTGGACAACTATCTTGCGATACATCTCATGGGTTTCAAGACATTAAATAAAACTTACTTGGAGAATCTCGCAAAGAATCCGTTAATTACTAAATCTGTAACTGCGGGAGTTGCAAATGGATTAAATGAAGTGTTAGCATCGATTATTTCTAAAGATTATTCGGGATTGAAAGGAACTGATAACAAGGTGATAAAAATGGTAATTTATGGTAGTTTGATATTAACTCCCCTTTCCCATAACATGTATGCAGCTTTGAACAAAGTGTTTGGCAACAAATTGTCATTCAAGATGAAGATGTTGCAAATCTTGGTTTCAGTAACTACCATTACTCCATTCATATCAGCTGTATTTACCTGTTGGTTGGCTTTGATCAACAATTATAACATTAAATCCTTGGTGGCTACCGAAGATTTGAAGATGGAGTTGAAAAAGATGTTGAAAGTGATGAAGGCTGGATTATTAGCTAATTACCCTAGAAATGTCAAATCTTCCGTTATTACCAATATAGGGTGTCTTTTAGTAGCCCAGAATTACATTCAACCTGAATTATGGGTGGTGTTCTTTACATTTGTATTCTTCCTTTTAGGAACTTATCAGAACACTAAACAAAAGATAGCTTCTCAGAAGAAAGCAAAAGATCAATAGAGACGCCAAATGAGGTTCCGGACTTCCAACAACGTGTCAGAAAATTCGTACAACAACTAAGAAACCAAAATCACAGCCCCAGTACCCAAATCTTACCTTACCCATCAAATAGATCACTTAAATGTGAAACATATGTGAGACATAAATCCTGGACTTAACGCGACATGGCGACATTTATAGATTCATAATAGAAAACGTTGACTTGAGCTTCTTATGGTGTTCCATAGAACTCTGTTGCTCTCTACCATTAGTAAGCTCTACCTCAACCACATCATAACTGGCCCGAAGATCCCATAGCAAAGGTGAAGAGGCTTCTTCTCATTCATACTCGCACTTTCGCAACCTATAAATCGGGCATGTTAAGACGTCAATTATTCAACAAAGTTTCTGCCAGAACTATGATTACCTCCCATTGTGTAATGATCAAGGAACACGGTCAACCTAAAGACGTGTTGTTCACCCATGAGTATGAAATTGACGACGATAATTTGAAAGAAGATTCAGTATTGGTTAAGACATTATCTTCACCCATCAACCCCAGTGATATCAATCAAATTGAAGGTGTTTATCCTTCACAACCTCCCAAAACTCAAGATTTAGGTACTTCATTCCCCACTTTTGTCTGTGGTAACGAAGGATTGTTCGAAGTGGTCAAAGTTGGTAGTGGTGTTAAAGACTTCCAAGCTGGTGATTGGGCAGTTCCATTGAGAGTTAATATGGGGACTTGGAGAACTTATGGAGAGTTTTCTAAAGAAAAATTATTCAAAATCCCTAACCCCCAACAATCCAAGGATCAAGGGAAACCCCCCTTGAATGTCGTCCAAGCTTCAACCTTATTGGTTAATCCATTGAGTGCATACTTGATGTTAAACAACTTCATGAAGTTAGAGAAAAATGATTGGTTCATTCAAAATGGTGGTAATTCAGCTGTAGGTAAATATGCCACCCAAATTGGGAAAATCATGGGAGTTAACTCCATTTCTGTCATTAGAGATAGACCCAATATTGATGAAGTTAAACAAGATTTAAAGGGTTTAGGTGCAACTCAAGTCATTACTGAAGAAGAAAACAACGATAGAGAGTACAGTAAACAAGTTAAAAACTGGATCAAAGAATCTGGTGGTAACTTGAAATTAGGATTAAATTGCGTAGGTGGGAAATCTTCTACTGGAGTCGCTAGAAAATTACAAAATGATGGTTTAATGTTAACTTACGGAGGTATGTCATTCCAACCAGTTATCTTACCAACATCTATCCATTTATTCAAGAACATCACTAGTGCAGGGTTCTGGAGTACCACCATTGTTGAGAAAGATCCTTCCATTAAGAAAAAAGTCTTGGATCAATTGGTCAATTGGTACCAATCTGGTGAATTGAAAGAAGCTCCCGCAAAAGAAAATTTATTTGAAGCAGGGGACTTGTGTGATATGTACAAACAGGGAATCATCGATGCCAAATCAGGTAAACAATTAGTTACCTTTAAATAGTCCGGAATCTCCGTTGGAACATAACATTTACTTCATATCTATGGCTCTATAATCTGCCGGTATCTTACGTGATAACCTTCCCAACTCTGAAGTTTTCTTGACGTGATAACCTTCCTAGGTCCGGTGCCCCTTTGTCCCCGTGCATTTAACCTTCCAGAAGTGCCGTTTTGCAAATCACCTCTCGCACCGGTGGGCCACCAAATGTTACTACCATTTCGCAGTAATCTATGGACCTAACTGTCGCGTTTCCACCCGTTCCTATAACGGCCAACAGCTTCGCAGATGTCCGATGCGAGAGTCAGAACTTAATTCCTCCCCCAATTCCGTAACCCGGATCCATCCTTCAAGCGTTCAATAATACTCTAAACACTCCTATTAATTCACCAGTACCGTCATCTTCATCATACATCCATCCCTTGAGAGTCCCGTTATCTACGGTTCTATCGATACCAATTTCTCCCCTCCTCATCTCACCAATCACTTGTCTCCGTCTTATCGCATCGATAACAAATTTTGACTCTCATAAATCCACTACCCCAGGATCACTTACCAACGGAAATTGGAGATTTTTCACGTTTGTGTTTCCATCTATAAGAACACAAAATTCATTTAAGTCCATTCAAAAGTTTCACAAAACCCTTTGTACTGATTTTTCGAATTAGTACTAATAATTTTTCACTTATCCACCAAATCAAAGTCAGATCATTCCACATAACTAACGTGTCATCATGTCCAGAGCTATTGCCTCGTCCCATGTATTACTTGATGACATAACTAATGCCACGATAATTTATTCCATAGAATCAGGGAAGATCTTACACATAGAACCTCGAGTTATTGACTTGAACGATGATTTACTTCAATTATATAACGTAGGTATCCATGATTACCGAGACGTGAGTCCCTTGGTGATTCTCCCAGGGTTGGTAGATGCCCATGTTCATTTGAATGAGCCTGGTCGAACTGAATGGGAAGGTTTCGAAACCGGGACCAAATCTGCTGCTTCAGGAGGTGTTACTACTGTGATTGATATGCCTCTTAATGCTATCCCTCCTACCACCACAGTAGAGAATTTCAATTTAAAGATCAATGCCGCAAGAGGTCAAACTTGGGTGGATGTTGGGTTCTGGGGTGGTTTAATCCCCGATAATGTCCACCATTTGAAACCTTTGATCAATATGGGAGTAAGAGGGTTCAAATCCTTCTTGATAGAGAGTGGTGTTGAAGAATTCCCTGCCATCACTCCCAAACATATCATCCGTGCCATGAAGGAAGTTAATGGGTTATCGACATTATTGATGTTCCATGCTGAAATGCAACCCAATAAAACCCATGGACCTATCTTGATGGTAGATGAATCCAAGACTCCAAGGTTGATTCCGAATGAGAACAGATCTCCTAGGTTCTTCTTTGATGATGAAGATGACGAGACAACCAATAATATCGATGGTCTCTTGAATAGTGACTCCAATACTCCCGAAGAAGGAGAACCAGAAACCGATGGATCATCATTGAGTGTTCTCGCCAAAGATATCGAAGATTTCGACTTGGGAATGTCAGCATCTTTCATCCATAGGGCCCCTAAACCGGTGGTGAAGTTATTAAAGAGTGATACTCATCGTCATGATGAACATGAAAATTGCAAATTACCCCATAATCATGCTGGGTCCATTGATCATTCCGTATTGACAGATGAACAAGCTAAGGCTTTAGCCAAGTCTCCTTACTTATCAGGTTCAGAACCGATTTATGGGAAATTCGCCAGAATGGCTCATCATCATCAAGACAAACCAGGAGATGTGGAGACTCCTTTGATTTTGGCTCAAAAGGAAGACCTTCTCTTGAAAGATGTTGATCCAACAAGTTATGCTACATTCTTAGCTTCCAGACCTGATAATTTCGAAACTACGGCTATAGCCGAAATCATCAATTGTTCTACCATGTTGCCTACCGTCAAATTACATATCGTTCATTTAGCTACCCATGAAGCTATTCCCTTGATCAGGGCCGCCAAAGCTCAAAGATTACCTATCACAGCCGAAACTTGTTTCCACTACTTATCGCTTTATGCCGAAAATATCCCTAACTGTTCAACCCATTTCAAATGTTGTCCTCCAATCAGAACTGATGATAACAGAAAATTGTTATGGAAGGCTTTAAGAAATGACATCATCACCACTGTAGTATCAGATCATTCTCCATGTACACCAGAATTGAAAGGTTTAGAAAGAGGTGATTTCTTCGAAGCATGGGGTGGAATCTCATCAGTGGGGTTCGGATTACCAATCTTGTTCACTGAAGGTAGTAAATTGACACCTCCAGTAACATTCAGAGAAATTTCCAAATGGTGTTCATGGAACACTGCCCAACAAGTTGGGTTATCTCACGTCAAAGGTAAAATTTCTCAAGGGTATGATGCTGATTTCGCCATTTTTGACCCTTCGGCCGTGTACAGCGTGGATAACGAAGCCACTCATTTCAAAAATAAATTAACAGCTTACCACGGTATGGAATTCAAGGGAAGGGTTATGGAAACTATCGTTAGAGGTCAAAGTGTATTTGTTTATAAGAACGGGCCATCCAAGACACCTTTAGGAAAATTGATCTTAGAACCAAGAAGTGATTAATGTATGAGTTAAGTGATGAATGATTCTCTGTAGCTCTCGATGTTTCAGGTAGGTCACAGATCTTTGTTTCACATCTGAAAGACATTTCTGAAACAAATATCTGAAACAAATCTCAAAGTGCTAGAGTGGGCATGATGAGACTTTTTTTTATTTCTGGTCACCGGAGGGAAGGGGATTAAAAAGAGGGGAAGCACAATCACAATTCATAACATTACTATTCTCTAACACGAACATAAAAGGTAGCTTGGCGGATTCGCTTAAGCTTTAGGTTCATCCTTGGATTCATCCTTTGATTCTCCCTCAGATTCATCCTTAGATTCTTCCTTAGATTCTTCCTTAGATTCTTCCTTAGATTCATCCTTAGATTCATCTTTGGATTGGTCTTTGGATTCTTCTTTGGATTCTTCTTTGGATTCGTCTTTAGGTTTTTCTTCTGGTTCTTCACCTGGTCTGAATTGGGAGGTGATTTCGTCCAAAGTTGGAATATGGATATTGGCCAAAGAGTCCAAGAATTCTTTGTTTAAACCAATTTCATTCATAATATTCTGTAAGATATCTTCTGAAGGTGGTGGAGGTGGTGGTGCGTGTTTTCCTGGTGGACCATGTGGACCTGGTGGAGGAGGTGGTGCATGTTTCCCTGGAGGTGGAGGTGGTGGACCATGAGGACCTGGAGGTGGAGGTGGAGGACCGTGAGGATCAAAAGGTGGTGGAGGGCCATATGGACCTGGTGGTGGAGGACCTGGTGGTCTATGGCCTTGTTTTCCATCCAAAGGTTTCTTCTTATCGCATGGTTTAGGGAAGTATTGGAACATAAAGTCGGCTTTTCCGTCACCATCGATATCAACAGCTTCGGTCTTGAGTCCGTGATGTTTTCTGTATCCATGTTTTCCATAGCCGTGTTTCTCATAATCATACTTTCCATACCCATGTCTATCATACCCATGTCTTCCATAATCATGTCTGTCATAACCGTGTCTATCATAAGCATGTTCCTTTCCTCTGTGGTCTTCGAATCTGTGGAATCTGACCCCATAATCGTGATCTTCCTTTCCATGATGTTCGAATCTATTGTGTCCCGGTTCGTGGTGTCTGTCCATCATCTCTCTTCTACCGGCAAGTTTCCCGTAGCTATAAGCAGCACTCATATTGGATATCATGATGATAACCAAAGCAACTTTGATGATTGCCAGTCTTTTACGTTTACACCCTGGAACAGGTTCAGCGTCTTGGACGGGTTCAGCATCTTGGCCCTTCTCCAAGTCTGAGTATTTCTCGTACTCTGGTAGTTTCATATCTGTTAAATATCGTGCAACTATTGCTCAGGGGGAACGCACCTCTTTTATAGGTTAAACTTCCCAGGGCTTAGGACAGGCTATGTGGACATCCGGAATTCGGGCTTGAGGGCGTGGGGTGGCGTTGGTAGAGTTAGGGTCAGGAGAAGTATAGATGCTGTAGGTATCGTTTTAGAGCATATGTTGTAGTAAGTAACCTATGTATGAAGGTAGTTAGATCAGATGGTTTAGATAACAATTATGTTATTTACACGACCTGAAACATTTGGTAAATGAACTACTTTGTTCACTTACCATATTTCTTGTTATATAGACCCAAGGCTTTGATGGTGAATAAGAACTTATAGGAAGGATACTCAATGGCACAACTATGATTGAACACACCTTCAACATCCTCAGCCTTCCATTCACCTGTAGGGAGTTGTCTATCCATGATCAATTTAATACCTTGTTCAATGGGCTCTTGATGTGGATATTCAGCCAATAACAATCCAATGACTGACCATGCGGTTTGAACAACCAATGATTTCTTTCCAGCAGGTACATAAGTATGAGTTTCACAGGATTTCATTGATTCTGACCAACCTCCATCAGCTTGTTGTTTGGAGATCAAAAAATCACATCCTTTCTTTACAGTCTCATCATTGGCATATGACTTACCCACAGAATTAAAGGCTTCTAATGCAAACATCGTGGCATATGTATAACAAACCCCCCAAGCACCGTACCATGAACCATCTGCAAGCTGAGACTTCCTTATATATTGGATAGCATCTTCGATAGCAAACTTGATGGGGATTTGCTTATACTCAGGGTGATATTTAGTGAAGTAAGTTAATCCTAGCACGGAAGAATCAGTACATTCCACATAAGGATACTCTACCATGATGTTATTGAAAACTTCTGCTGGATTTAATGCTTCAACCAATTGAGAACCTCTGATGTTCTCATAGGTCGCAAACGATCCGAACTCATAACTTCCTCTATTCTGGATCGATAACAATACGTCCACCGACTTATATAATCTTTCTTTAGAGATCAAGTCCTTAACATCAGCGTAATCTTTATGATTTTGCACCATCAATATTGCCTTAACAGATTCAGCGGTACAATCAGAAACAGTATAACCTTGATCCTTGGTACTGAAACCCCACGCACCATCTCTTTTATCACGATAACTTCCCTCAACACATTCGTCAGTGAATTGATTCTTCACCAAATATTTATAAGCTTTCTTTATTACCGGTTGATATTCAGGTAAATCAGCCAAACCTGCCATGAAGAGGTATTGAATCATAAACGCAGCATCCCATGTTTGTGTACCATTCGTTCCCATGACAGTCATTCCCTGAGCTCCATGGAAAAGCACTTCGTTTCTACGAGCACTAATTTTTTTGAAATTTTCAGAATCAGGTCCTTCATGGGCATAGACCACCACCATATCAAGAGCAAAACTCACTGGTGCTATAGATAAATACTTTGTGTTTTGAAGTTCCTTGATAATCAAATCGTAGACATTATTAGATACGATTTTCTTCACCCAATTAGGACGATATTTCTCGTAAACATTCAACACAGCATTGGCCATGTTAAGAATCTTCGAATGAGGATAATATAAATCCACACCACAAACGGTATTTCTATGACGAGAAAAGTCGATTTTGTCGTAAGGGGTTTTGTAGATCTCCGACCTAATGTCTCTCAATAAAGGATCTAACTCACATTTCAATTTATGCATGATTATATACCCAAATGGAGCATAAATAGCTCTTACATGAACCCACCACTTAGAAGGATGAATAGGCAAAGCTTCAGGTAACATCCATAATTCACCAGGAGCAGGATTCACCCCTTCATATTCATATAAGTTTAATATTGATAACCAAACTTTCCCCCAATGAGGATTACCAACAGCTCCACCTAATCTTAATAAAGTTCTACGAGCCTTCACCATCACTGGGTGATCAGCCAGTAATCCTAATAATCTCAATACGACATAATTTATAGTAGTACCAAAACAAGTAGATTTGTCCACAGAATGTAAACCCCAGCCCCCATCTACTGGATGCGAAGCATTGACAAGATAACGAATCATTTCTTGTTTGAAAGGGGTAGGAATCTCGGTTTTAGTGTAATAACACGATGCAACATATCCTATAGTCATGAACATAGGACCTTTATATTGACAAGGTAAGGAACCACAATCATCCATCAATAAACTTAAGAAGTCAGCTCCTTTCTTAGCAGCATCAAAAGGTGTTTTGATATCTTCAGCTGGAGGAGCAGGAAAATCTGGTTGATTCAAAAGATATTGAACAAAAGTACTTTGTTTGTCGGACTTTTTATCCAGTTCTTCGATATATTCCCACCATTCACTTCCAATGTCATCTGTTCTCAATCTCCAACGAGAATGGTCAGTTTTAGGTATACCTATCTGATCAGAATAATATTCCATAGTCAAATTGAAGACGGTCGTTTAGTTCGCACCCAAATCACCAAATCACCATATGTCGCGATGTCGCGATGTCGGGTATAGACTTATTTTTCTAATTCGAAGAAAGTCGTGTGGGACCCGTCAACCCTCAAATTTTAGACTCATCGAGAAAAACTCTTCAACCCTATTCCCTAAGTGTAGTATTTATTTACCAACATTATGGGGAAAAGAAAGCACCTGAAGGTGTCAGAAATTGAAAATGGAGACGTAGAAATGACACAGAGCGTGGAAGTGGAAGAACCGGTTGAAAATGGTGGTGAAATGAATGAATCTTTCGATGGCAATGATAATGCCAGTGAGTCAGAATCAGAAGATTTAGACCAACCACAAGATCAACAACCTCCTAAACCACAAGGACGTCCTACTAAGAAACAAAAGAAACAACTCTCGGCCCAAGAGATCCAAGTGGCTCGAGAAACAGCCGAATTATTTAAATCCAATATCTTCAAACTTCAAATAGACGAGTTAATCAAAGAAGTTAAACTCAAAGACACTCATGTTACAAAGATAGAAAAGGTGTTACACAAACTTCACGATCTCATCAAAGAAATCCCACCAATTGAAAATTTATCATTAGAAGAGATTGAATCTAGATTCACATCCAAAAAGGTAGTTATCCCATTCCCTGACCCTAAACCAACCAAACTTAACTATAAGTTCTCATATTATCCACCCGAAGATGTCAGTTTAGTAGGATCATTCGGATTGAAAACAGGGATTTTACAACAAAATGGAATGTCCATTGATATGGCTTTAACTATGCCTAAAGAATTATTTCAACCAAAAGATTACTTAAACTACAGAATTTTATACAAGAGAGCTTTCTATTTGGGATATTTGGCAGAAAATTTGATTTCCTTAACCAAAAAGAATAATTTACCTGTGAAAATCACTTACAAATACTTAAATGATGATGTTTTATGTCCAATATTAAGATTAGAAAGTATTAAAACTGATAATCCTCAAGATTTATGTTTCCACAAAACCAAATTTACCATAAATATCATCTTGGGATTCCCATACGGAATCTTTGATGTTAAGAAATTATTACCTAATAAGAATTGTATAAGAATCCAAAGTGATGAAGAAGAATTACCACCAACTCCACTTTATAATGCATCAATCTTATCATCCACATCATATGATTACTACTTGAAATACTTATATATATCGAAAAAGGCAGCTGAAAGCTTCAAAGATGCATGTATTTTAGGGAAAATCTGGCTTAACCAACGAGGTTTTAATTCTAATTTCAGTAAAGGAGGATTCGGACATTTCGAATTTGCTACTTTGATGAGTGCTTTATTACATGGTGGAGGTTTGAATGGTAATAAGATCCTTTTACATGGATTTTCTTCATATCAATTGTTTAAAGGTACCATCAAGTATCTTGCTACCATGGACTTATCATCAGGATATCTTTCATTTTCTTCACTTATTGGTGAAAGTGTCGCTTCAAAATATAACCAAGAAGGTTTTAATGTCCCAACTATCTTTGATAAGAACCTTAAACTCAACATTCTTTGGAAAATGACCAATTATTCCTATAGTTTATTAAAAAGGTTTGCCCTGGAAACTTTGGTGTTACTTAATGATGTGGTTAAAGATAGATTCGATCCTATCTTGTTACACAATGTCAACCAAGATTATCTTAAATATGATATGGTGTTAAATATCACAGTTCCTGATTTGGAAGAATTCGGACCTTCAGAAAAGATCACTTTCTTAACCTTGGAGAATTTCATCATGAACAAACTTTATGTGATTTTAAAACGAGCTCTTGGTGACAGAGTATTAGAAATATCCATCAAAGTTGACGATTTCATTAATTCTTTCAGTATCAACAAAAGAAAGATTACTTCCCAATCTAATAATTACACCATCGGACTTATATTTAATGCCGATGAGTGCGAAAAACTCGTTACTAAAGGTCCAAATAATGCCGATGAAGAAGGAGGTGCATTATTCCGTAATTTCTGGGGATCTAAAGCATCATTAAGAAGATTTAAAGATGGAACTATTCAAAATTGTGTGGTTTGGCAATATCAACAAGAACCTATTGTATTATCAATCATCAAATATAGTTTGGATAATCATTTCCATGAAGATATTTCATCACATATTTCCACTGAAATCAATACTTTCAACAAATTATTACCAATCCCATTATTACCATCAGGTTCCAATCAATCAGTTACTTCCACCACGGCATTTACCAACTTAAAAACATCATTTGATAGCTTATCTAAGGTTTTAAGTAATTTAACCTTACCTTTGAATATTAAAGCCATTACTCCTGCTTCTGCTAGTTTAAGGTATACTTCAGTATTACAACCTGTACCATTTGCAGTATCTAATCCTGATTTCTGGAACGAATGTGTTTTACAATTTGAATCATCATCAAGGTGGCCAGATGAGATTTCAGCTTTAGAGAAAACTAAAACTGCTCTTCTTTTAAAGATCCTTGATCTTTTGAACAAAGAATCTATTTACAAAGCTTTCATAACTCAAGATCATTCCATTTCCGGGAATAATTACATAACATTATTGAATATTTTAACCCCTGAAGGATTTGGATTCAAAATCAGAGTTTTAACTGAAAGAGATGAAGTGTTATACTTAAGAGCTATTGATAATGCTTCAGATAAACAAAAATCTCGTTTACAAGATATTTATCTTATGTTCAATAAGAAGTATATGGGAGTTGTTAAACATTCACGTACTATCACATCATTAACTCATCATTACCAGTTCTATTCACCTACCGTAAGATTATTCAAATATTGGTTAGATAGTCATCTTTTGTTGAATCAATTCAGTGAAGAATTGGTAGAATTAATAGCTTTGAAACCTTTTGTTGATCCAGCACCTTATTCTATTCCTCATTCAGTAGAGAATGGATTCTTAAAGATTCTCAACTTTTTGGCCAATTGGAATTGGAAAGATCAAAGTCTTATTCTTGATTTAGTCAAACTTAATGATACTTTAGATCTTAATGAAGGGAAATTACTTGAAGAATTCGATTCAAAGAACCTTTCTGATAAGTTAAGTATCCAATCATATCAATTGATTGAGAAGAATTTTGAAAAAATCAGAAAATTAGACCCTTCAGCTATTAAAACTCAACTTTTTATTGGTTCTAAAGATGATCCTTCAGGTATTTTATGGTCTAATGAACTTACTTTACCTATAGCTTCAAGATTAACATCATTAGCTAGAGCATCAATGGATTTGATTAACTCATCAGGAGTTACTTCTCAAACTATTGAACTATTATTTACTCCAGTTTTGAAAGATTATGATTTTACCATGGCTTTGAAAACCAATAAGTTGGCTGTTAGTGCTGGAGTATTACCTTCAACCAATAGTTTCAAGAACTTGGTCAACGGACCATCATCTTTCCCTTCAGATCTCATCAACTTATATGACTTAAGTATGGCATTTAGTGAAGATCTTAATAGAAAATTTGGTAGTGTTATCATATTTTCATCCCGAAAATTCGGGTTTTTACATAGTGATGGATCCAACATCATCACAGGTTTATTCATTCCTTCAAACTTATCTAAGAAGAAATTTAAAGTCAATTTTGGTATTCACATCAAACCAGTAGATAAAGATGAAGTGGTTATTAACAAGGATTCCATTATGAAGCAAATTGAACTTTTAGGTGGAGATTTAATTAAGGATTTAACACTTGTAAAAAGTCTGTAATATATAATAGAGAGAGTTTGCGACCTTTTCTGCCCCCAACCTTGGCCCTATATTTTACGTCCTCTGGCCCCTAAATTTCGCGTTCATAGTCATGGACTTCAGTCTGTTTGAAAACCAGTTATATCCCACACCAGAGGAAACTGCTGTCAATAATGTGTCTGTGCTATATAAGAGGAAGAAATTCTTCTTGACTAGTCTTAGGCACGATGTTAAAATCATTGGGTTTCTCCTTTTAACTATAGTATATCTACGAGATATTTCCATGCTCAGATTCATCATACGAGGTTTCCTCCAATATACCTTATCAAATCCTTTCCCTGCTACCCATTTATATACTGAAGAATCAAAGAAGTCACTAATAAAGATGTTGTTGTTGTCTGTATTCTTCATTAACGGATTTTGTGTTATAATACATCTAATATTTGGGAGTTTTTCATCGAATCCTATAGGAGGCCATTATCTTTACGGAGGAATGACGGTGGAGTTCATCGGTGAACGTACACCTATAAATCGATTAGAATTAGTCATCTATGACTTAGTGATAATGTTCTGTCAATTGGTTCTTCATACAATCCAGTGTTTTGTTGATGATTCGGAAATTTTACTGGTTAAAAGATCCGACACCGATTCCTTGACCGATCCCACAGACGATTCCAATGTCTTGATGAAGAAACTTTCTGACGATAATGATGGCTACAATGGCAAAGTGATGTTAATATCTATTCATTTACTTGATAGCATTAAAACTGTAATGAGTTATGAGACTTCCTTACAGTTTGATGCTTATAACCCCGATTTGACCACAGAATCCTTACCGGGAACTTTTAATGCATGATACATATGGTTGACTTCTCTTCCAACATTGGAATCTCTTGCTCTTAAAGACTTCAAGTGTTTCTACGATCTAAGTATGGGTGTACTGCACTGGACCTTTGATATTTGTGCGATGCAAAAAAATGAAAAATCTCATCTCACTAATGTCTAATATCGTGGATATTGAATATAACAGAGTTAACAACACCACTTCCACTGATTTCCCAGGACATCTGTCGGGAGAAGACTTTTCCTGGGATATTGAAAAGTTCAAAAATAATTTTGAAATCAAAATCAACTCATTCAATGAAAGAGAAGGAAATTTCGACTTGATCAATATTGATACATCTATTGCCAATGCTTTCAGAAGAATAATGATTGCTGAAGTTCCATCAGTAGCCGCTGAAACCATTTACATCTTCAACAATACTTCAGTCATCCAAGATGAAGTTTTATCCCATAGAATCGGTTTAATACCTTTAAAAGTAGATCCTGATGTTTTAACTTGGGTGGATCCTTCATTAGATGAGAAAGATAGACACACTGATGAAAACACCATTGTTTTAAGCTTGGATGTCACATGTACACACAACCCTAATGCACCAGAAGGATCAACTGATCCAAAAGAATTATATAGAAACGCCCATATTTATGCTAAAGATTTGAAATTTGAACCTCAAGGTCGTCAAATCGAGATTTTCAAAGGAAGACCAGTGGTGGCTGCCGACCCTGATATTTTATTGGCTAAATTAAGACCAGGTCAAGAAATCCATTTAAGAGCTCATTGTATTTTAGGTGTTGGTTCAGATCATGCTAAATTTTCACCTGTTTCAACTGCTTCTTATAGATTAATGCCAGTGATTGATATCAAAGAACCAATTACCGGTCAAGAAGCCAAAAAATTCCAAAAATGTTTCCCTTCAGGAGTTATAGGCATCAAAAATGATCAAGCAGTGGTTGAAAACCCAAGAAAAGATACTGTTTCAAGAGAAGTTTTGAGACATCCTGAATTCGAAGGTAAGGTTAAGTTGGGAAGAAAGAGAGATCATTTCATTTTCAATGTGGAATCTACTGGAGCTATGCCACCAGATGAAATCTTCATTAAATCCATTAGAGTATTAAAGAGTAAAGCTGATCAATTAAGGAATTCTCCAATTAGTCAATAGTAATGTAAAGTAGCATGTATGTGTATGTCTTTGATTCTGTCTCTGATTCTGTCCTTGGTTCTGCCTCTGTCTCTGATTGTGGCTTGTGGCTATCGGTCTTTTGTACCCAAGCACTGATTCTGGCTCTAAATACATAATAAAGAAATCTCAATAGTCTGTCCCAATGCGGTAATTATGTCCAATGCATTGTCTAATGACCCAAACCCATTGAACATCCACCAAACACCCTTCGAAACATACACTGGAAACATCTCTGCGGAACATTCCCATCCTCACATCCTCACATCTCCATCATCCTACTACCAACACTCGTCAACCACAAATTATGAGAGCAAATCTATAAATAGAGCATTTTTGCAAAATCTACAAAAAGTATATTAAACTAATTGCTTTCTTGAACCTTTGAAGAATAATTGTACTACAGTGATTTGTAAACCAGCCATTCCAACCATTAACAATACTTCAAAGATTGAAAAGTAATAAATTCTAGATTCAGTGGATTTAACGGTAGCTTGATTTCTGTTATTTCTTGTTTTATAATATTGAATAGTTCTTAATAAACCATCTAATTGTTGATCAATTCTATCGACAGTTTTACCCATACTTTCAACATGAGCCATAGGTTTGGCATTTGGTTGAGCTGGCATGTTAGCTCTGAATTCTTTGGTTTCATCTTCATTTTCAGCCTTGATTTCAAAATCAATTACTTTATCAGCATATGTTGACATTCCATTGTTGAAACATAACATGTATTCCCCTGGTAAGTCAGCATTGAAAACAAAATCTCCTTGTCTTTGTTTGGTATCCGAATCAACTATTTCACCTCTTGGATTCTTAATGGAGAAATCAATGTCGAATGATCCACCACTTTGAACGGCAAAATAATAACTAATTGCTGTACGAGGTTTTTCAGTAAACACTCCAAAACATGCAGTTTCGTGGGCCCCAAGAGTGAAGGTCATGGCAGCTGATGTAATGGTGATCAATGATACAAATATTAAGATAAGTTTCATGGTCGACAGACGTGTTTGAAAATTTTTGCGCGGAAATGTCTATTTACATATTTAAGAGGGTCTTGAACTTGAACTTCGTAGGTCGCTCAACAATAATGGGGGTTATAAAAGATTATATAATCTACCCGTCCTATCAAACCCAACGGCTTTATCTTTCTTCTTATCCCTTCTAGAAGCACCATATCTGAATCCAACTTCCCCAGCTTTAGCTTGAACGAATTTGAATAATCCCCTGTCACCTTCCTTTTCTTTACCAACAATTACTTGATGTTGGTGATTTTGAATTTCTTGTGCATCATCATTAATGTGAGTTAATTTAGCTAAAGTCTCACTAGCAGGTTCCAAACCAAATACTTTAGCAGCATCAACTGGTCCAAAAGGTTCACTTTCAGCAATCGATACGAATCTTTGATGTAAAGTCTTCTTTGGTACTGGAATTTCCGTCAAATTTTCTGATTCAACTGGAGGATTATATAATGGGAACATATTATACATAACTTTAGAGAACTTATCTAAATCACTAGTGATTTTTGACTAAAAAAATGTTAGTATATCTAAGATTCAGAAATTATAAATGTTAAACCATGTAGTTGTCTTAAAGACTAATCGATTTTATTTATCTCATCATAATAAAACATACCTTTTCTCTCCAATCTTTTTCAATATTATATAATCTTACGATAGCTTCTACTCTTGCTAACTTAAGACCGTATTTTTGTGCTACTTTTTCAACAGGTAAAGAAAGTGAATCATCAACAATTTTTTCTCTTAATTCATAACTTATATTTGAAGCAGTTTTACATTGAATATTATCAGGAAATGGATGTAATGAAGGATTTCTATTACTGTTTCCGAATCTACGGGATTCAGCTTCTTCTCCCTCTACAGATTTACCATCAGGTACAATATAACTAGGCTGATTGTTTTGTGGAGGATAATAATATTTATTCTTATAATATTCACCTTTGATGTTCTTTGGACCTAAGAATTGTTTAATGGCTCTTTGGAAATAGGATGAATGATCTTTTCTTCCATTAGGTTGAGGTACTCGAGGATTATAACGATCTGGATATGCTAACTTCCTTTTAAAACGAACTTGAACAAGGGTTTGTCCAAGTTTCCCAGCTTCCACTCGTTTGAAGTTCATGGTAAAAATTTTCAGTGTGAAAAAAATCCGCAAAATGTCTTGATGTCGCGAGGTGTCGCGTCTCTTGATGTTTCAAAACACTTTGTATGATTTTGCGGTTTATTTACACCTCATTTGATTTCATTATACCAGTTTAACTTTTTATTGAACCTAGCGGTTAAGTTAAAAGTTACATATTTGAATTCCTCATCATCGAAAGGTATTATGACGAATTTATTATCGACATTTGAGAAAATTAAATCTCAAATACCACCCCTTGAAATCACTGACACGAAAAGATCTAGTGAAGATAATCCTTTTAATGAAAAGATTTTGACTCCTAGTAACTTGAACAAACCCTTCTTGCGGAATGATAATCTTCTGAATTTGAAGGATATCACCTATACTGATAGTGATAATTCCACACTAAAGTTAAATGTGGAAGTAGAAAGTCAAAAGATCCCCGAATCAACTAAACCTAAAGATCAAAAACCCCCTGAAGAAGAAGAAGATGAAGTATCATTGAATGTTCTAGAAGAAATGAATAAACTTGTGGAATGTTTCCCCAAATTATCATCAAATTACAGGTTAATCGATAAAATAGGTGAAGGAACTTTCTCTACAGTATATAAGGCTGAAGCATTGAATGGTATTATCAAATTGGGTTCGGATATATGGAAATCTCCACCTTTAAAGAAACTTAAACTGAACAGATTACCCCACGAAACCAAAAAAAAGAAGCAAAAGAATCCAATTGTAGCATTAAAACAAATTTACGTAACGTCATCACCTAATAGAATTTATAATGAGTTGAATTTATTATATATATTAACAGGAAATAGTCATATAGCTCCATTACTAGATGTTTTGAGGTATCAAGATCAAGTAGTAGCCATTTTACCATATTACCCTCATGCTGATTTCAGAGATTTCTTTAGAGATTTACCTATTAAGGGGATCAAAACTTATTTATATGAATTATTCCAAGGTTTGGAATTTGTTCATGCTAAAGGAATCATTCATAGAGATTTGAAGCCAACTAATTTCTTATATGATCCATTTAAGGGGAAAGGAGTATTGGTAGATTTTGGATTAGCTGAAAAGATGTCAACATCAACTAAAAATTCGAACACTTGTCCTTGTAATAGTGAAAAAGATGCTAATAAAAGAAATAAGAGATTAAATATCAAGACTGCATACCCTAAATCCGATCAAAGACCTCCAAGACGAGCTAATAGAGCAGGAACTAGAGGTTTTAGAGCTCCTGAAGTTTTATTCAAATGTACAAATCAATCTACCAAATTAGATATTTGGTCTGCAGGTATCATTGGATTATCATTAATATCAAGGAAGTTCCCATTATTCAATTCCCCTGATGATACTGATGCCATAATTGAAATAGCTTTAATGTTTGGATTAGAAAAGTTAATTAAATGTGCGGACTTACATGGATGTGGGTTGGAAATTAATCTCGAAAACTTGAGTAATCAAAATCCTAATGATGGGAACTTATTAAAGTTGATTTATGTATTGTTAGATCACGAAATAGTCAATGATTCAGTACCAGAAGATTCTGTGATATATGAAACCATGAGATTATTCAACAGTGCTAAAGATGGATTTAAAGCCAGCGATGAAGTTGATGATATGGATAAAGATAATTATAATGATCATAAGAACTTATTCGATTTACTATATGGATGTTTCAGTATGGATCCAAGTAAAAGATTGAGTGCTAAAGAGATATTGAAGATGCCATTCTTCGATGAATTGAATCAAGATTTCGATGATGATGTTATTCTCTAGTTGTGAGATTTGTACCATAGATTTGGCTATTATTGAAATTAAGGAGTGAGAAGTTCTGAGATAGGAGGGGTGAGAAGTTCTGAGATAGGAAGAGTGAGAAGTACTGAGATAGGAAGAGTGAGAAGTTCTGAGATAGGAAGAGTGAGAAGTTCTGAGAGATAGGTACTCAGAAATAGAAATAATAAGAAATAGAAAGTAGCCAATAATATACATCATTAATCATTAAAAATCATCATCCGATGAACTGTACCTTCGTTTCAACTTGGGTTTTTCAAAGTCCACAAACTTAGTTTTACTCCATTTCCTATTCATTTGGTTGATCAAGTTCTGTTGTTGGAGTGTCGATAAGATAGGTCCTTTCTTTTCCTCTTTCTCATTATCTGTGTCCTTCTTCTCTTCTTTCTCTGAAGTGTCCGTCTTTATAGTCTTATCTCCACCGTTATCTCCAGAATCACCGTTATCTGAAGAGGAACTTGTCTTAGGTTCTTTAACAAACTTCAGCTTAAAGTCTTCTCCTGTTAACTCCATCCGTACTTCTTTTGAGAACAATAAATTCTTCTTCAATGAATAACCACCTTTAGTAGATTTCCGTTTGAAGTTCTCTCTATTCTGTTCGATGACTTTCTTAGGTAAATCTCCCAAGTTCAAAGACAACGGTGAAGGAGTTTCGAAATTGGTGGGACTAAATGTCGCCTGAGGACTGGGGATTGACTGATTGGGGCTTGTGGTGGATTCTGGGCTCAGATTTTGTACTTTGAACTCCAAACTTGGCAACGTGATAGGTGATAAGTTAGACTTCTTCAACTGTTCACTGAATTTGATTTTGAAATCTTTCTTCAAGAATGAATTGGATTTAGATCGTCTTCGAGCAGGTCTTTCAGTCTCAGAATCTTCATCACTGAATAGCACCGTGGTATTGATATTATTCTTCAACCGTGTATTTATAAGTCTGTCTTTATCTTTGGGCTTGATGTTGAGTTCACTTAAACTGGTGGTACTGTTATTTCTGGTGGGTAATCTGAACTCATCGATTGAAACTATGGAGTTTCGTGGACTCTCCATGGACGCTATACTAAGTGACCGATTATGGGAATTGTTGGAAGTTTGAGAATTTATCGAGGACGATCTTGGCTTGAAAGGTCTTAATATGCGAGGACTGGTACTACCTGAACTCAAGGGTTCAGGTAAGGGACTTTTCCTCTCATCGACTTTCATTGTAGATAAAAATGCGACTGATGGGATTTACTTGCTTTTAAAGGCATCACCAGTAGAGAGATTGTGGGATGTCATGGTGACGATGGTAGAGTCATCTCCACATTACTTCCCCATCATAAGAGATCGGTTTTGAGGTTAGGGAGGTTTGAAAAATCTCTTCAAGGGATATGAAGAACCCTGGATGGAATGTCGCGGCATCGCCCAAAATGTCGTATTTTTATCGCCAAACATTCTCATTAAACTTTACTGTGGTGGTTTTCAAAATTATGGTATTGCCACAACGACGGTGCTCATTGACTACTGTGGTGGTATTATTCCTCAACCTCTCAAAATCTCTCGCACGATCATCTCTTCCAAAAACCCACCTTATATTCTATGATAAGTGCGGTGAAACATTTTCGGCTCGCCTCGAAATTCATGCTCGATGAGTTTTAATCCTATGAATTCGTTCAATGATTCGAATGCTTCGTCATTCGATAAACGGAAACCTTCGACCAGTGGCAGCTTCAAACCCAATAATTTCGATTTTGGTGGTAGAAGTTATGTCATTGCCAGTACTTTAAAGGATAGACTGTCAGGGTCTCCCACAGTTCATTCCACTTACCAGATTGATGAACAAACAGTTAATCTGGCCAATATTGGGGTCACTGATTCCCCTGACGATATGACTGATCAATTCCCTTCTCAAGGTAGTCTTCCTATTGATGAAGACGATTTAGATATAGATAATGACTATCATGACTATGACTATAATAGCACATCCCCTGCAATTGAGATTCATAATCAATTCAATGATGATGTTTTGGTCCCTGCTGATGAAACCGACCCATTGTTGAACCCAGATCATAAATATCCTCCACAAAACCGTCAATTCCATGATTATGAAATAGGACAAACCAGTCCACAAAATCGATGGTATAGGTCGATTTCCTACGACATGTTGATGAAACCTATAAATTTCATACCGGCGGTGTTTTTAGGGACTTTGCTTAATATCTTGGACGGGTTGTCTTACGGAATGATCATGTTCCCCTTAAGTGAATCAGTATTTTCCAAATTAGGTCCTTCGGGATTATCCATGTTCTATATGTCATGTATTGTGTCACAACTAGTTTATTCCCTTGGTGGGTCAGCATTTAAGAGTGGGATTGGGTCAGAAATGATTGAAGTAACACCATTTTTCCATTCAATGGCTTTATCCATCTTAGCTGAAATGGGTGAGTCTAATAAAGATGCGGTTATTGCTACTACCATCGTCACTTATGCTGTCTCTGCCATCGTAACGGGTTCAATCTTTTATCTCTTAGGTAAGTTGAGACTTGGATCGTTGGTAGGATTCTTTCCAAGACACATTTTGGTGGGATGTATTGGTGGAGTTGGGTATTTCTTGGTCATCACCGGTATTGAAGTATCGTCACGTCTTGATGGTGGAGTTATGTATAATTTGGCCACATTCAAGTTCCTTTTTGGAGATTCCATAACGTTCTTCAAATGGTTTATGCCTTTGGTACTTACAGTGATCTTGATTTTGATTCAACATAGATTCCACAATTCCTTAATTGTGCCATTATTCTTCATCATGGTGTTCTTAGTGTTCCATTTGATCGTGGCTGTAGTGCCATCATTCAGTTTGGCCTCAGCTAGAGATCTTGGATTCATCTTCCCTATGGTTGAAGATAACGAGCCCTGGTACGGATTTTACGAACTCTATAAATTCGAATTGGTAGATTGGTGGTGTATTGCCCGTCAATTACCTACCATGTTGGCCCTTACGTTCTTTGGAATCTTACACGTACCAATTAACGTCCCGGCATTGGCTGTAACTGTGGGAATGGATCAATTCGACGTTGATAGAGAATTGGTAGCCCATGGATATTCTAACGCCTTAAGTGGTTTGGTAGGCTCAATCCAAAACTATTTGGTATATACTAACTCGGTGTTATTCATACGTGCTGGTGCTGATGATAGAATGGCCGGGGTGTTATTAGCTATTGCTACCGGAGTAGTGATGATCATCGGTCCGGTAGTCATTGGATTTATCCCTATCTGTGTGGTAGGATCATTGATTTATCTTTTAGGGTATGAATTATTAAAAGAAGCTCTTTATGATACTTACGGGAAGTTGACTAAGATCGAATATTCCACTATTATCATCATTGTGGTGATTATGGGAGCTTGGGATTTCGTTTATGGAGTGTTGGCTGGGATCTTATTGGCTTGTCTTTCCTTCGTCGTTGAAGCTGCCACCACTCCTGTGGTACAAGGAATCTATACCGGAGTAGTGGCCAGATCCACGGTGTTGAGACATCCTAAACAGCAGGAATTCTTAAAAGCTGTAGGAAATCAAATCTGTGTGGTTAAACTTCAAGGGACATTGTTCTTTGGATCAATTGGAGGCGTTGAATCATCCATTCGTTCTAGATTCGATGTGGACAACTTCAAACAAGATCCGGTGAAGTTCCTTATTTTGGATATGAAGGGGATCGTTTCCATTGACTTTTCTGCTGCTGAAGGGTTCAGAAGAATCCTTAATTTGTGTAACGAGTTTGATACTCAATTTATCATCTCTTCTGTTGAAGATAATGACGATACAGTGAAATCTTTAAAAGATGTGGGATTATGGGATATTGACAGTAAGCTTAACATTCAACTTTTCAATACTTTGAACTATGCATTGGAATGGTGTGAATCATCATTCTTATCGACCTACAAATCCGTAGTAAAACAACAAAAGTTACCTGGTAATGGATATGATTCGCTTGGTATGACACGGAATAAATCCATAGTCAAACCATCATTGAAACAATACGACGTTGGCTTTGGTACCACTCCTAGAACCAACCAAGTATTCCAAGCAGCCACAAAAACCGCCAAATCGGAATCGGAATCAACTTATCATTCCAATAATGATTTCCAATCCCGTAAACAACCTTTACCTTTAATAATGTTAACATTCCGTAGTTTAAGTTCCAAAGATGAAAGGTTTTGGAGTAATATCAGTAAATACTTCGTCAAGGAACAAATCCCCGAGAACTTCTCGTTCTACGATACTTCCATTAACCAACCAGCGTTCTTCATTGTTGAAACTGGATTGATAAAATCAGTCATTAGACTTGAAAGTGATCAAAGAGAATTGGTTTCAAGTATTTTACCAATGACAGCTTTTGGGGATTTATTTGAAGACAAGTATCGTCACATTAGCTATAGTACTGTTAGTGATACAGTGGTATGGAAATTGACCACTTCCAAGATTAAGGAATTGGTAGAAAAAGAAGGGTTTGAAACCTATAATGAGTTATTGGTCATTCATTCGAAGTTATTAAGAGAAAGATTTGATACAATGACGGCTAATTTAGTTCTTCTGTAGTAAAAGTTTAGCTTCCATTGGAAGATTGTGAAGGTTTATTTGAATTCTGATTGTCAGTTTAGAGTTTTTTCTTCTTGCTGTCAGCCTCTATCGCGACAACTCTGGCCCACTTTGGGGACCTACTCCACGAGGCTGCTGCCCAAATGTGCGAATGTTCTCCCTACTGCGAGACTTCTCCCTACAACCCTCACAGAAACCTTCACAATTCTGGCACTCACTACGGAATCTCCCGCACTCGCAATCAATTCTTATCAGTCATCCACCCCTTTCTTCGTTATGGTTTGGTTAAAGTTATCCCTTTTAAATCTTCTTGTCGTTATCAATGGTTTGTCAATTCCATTTGTTGAACATTCTGTAGTAGATGTGTTCAAATCTTTACCTTTACCTCCAGGTAAAGACGAAAGACCAGTCCCAGGTGATTCTCCTATCATTCAATGTGATGTATCAGAAGCACAAATTTTAAACTTACAAAGTGTTATCATTGAACCAAATCCTCCTGCCAGAGGTGAAAACTTGACTATCATCGCCAAAGGATTCTTAGCTCAAGATATTGAAGATGGTGCTTATGTAGATGTTGATGTTAAGTATGGTTTCATTAAGTTAATTCATCAAACCTTTGATTTATGTGAAGAAATCAAGAAAGTCGATATGGAATGTCCTTTGAAAGCTGGTCAACAAATCATCATCAAACAAGTCGAAGTTCCTGATGAAGTACCTCCAGGTAAATATTCTGTTAATGCTAGAGCATATACTGTTGAGGATGAATTCATCACCTGTTTATCAGCCACAGTCGAATTTCCAGCCGCTTTATGAGGTTGCTCATAATTTTAGGGCTGCCTATAGCTAGACCAACTGATTTCCAAACCGATTTCCCGGTCAACTGATCCACCAATTGATTAGAATTTGTTAAGTCTTGATTTTTAGCATAGATGTTTAATGTTTCAGATATTTTTAAGTGTCTCTAATTCTCGCTGTTTCCGTTACTCTATCTCTCCCTGTGTCACTCACCATGACGTTTCGGAGGTCTGTCATCTCCTTAAATATCCCCCCACCAACAATTACCTTTCACACTAAGCCTCCACTCGATGTCGTGATGTCGCGATCTTCTCACTGTTTTCCTCATCATGATCGAAGACTACTTTGCAATCCAAGTGTTCTTTATCATCCTTAGAGAGACTTTGGAGACGGCTATCATCGTCTCCGTACTTTTGTCATTCATAAATCAACAGTTTCCGTCGGAAAATCCTCATGAAACCGAAACCTACCTCAAAAACCAGCAAACCAAAAAGAAGCTTACTTTCCAAGTTTGGTTTGGGGCTATTGCTGGGTTAACTATTTGTCTTATCATTGGACTTATCTTTATCGTAGCATTCTATTATATCGGGAAAGATTACTGGTCATACACAGAAAGATTATGGGAGGGTCTTTTCTCCATATTATCATCATTAATCATCACCATTATGGGTTTAGGATTATTAAGAATCAACAAAGTCATGAAAGTTAAATGGTGGATCAAGCTTGGTGATGCTTATACTCAACAAGATTCCGCCAAATTACTTGAAGAAGAAGAAGAGACAGAAGACATGCAAGAAATGCATCGTTTAGCCCCTAAACCAAAACATAGTCACAAAGAAAAATACTTCTTAATGATCTTACCTTTAGTTACAACTTTAAGAGAAGGTTTAGAAGCTGTCGTGTTCATTGGTGGTAGTGCAGTCACTAACCCACCATCATCCATCCCATTATCCATCATTTTGGGTGTAGCCTTTGGTTCGGCTATTGGGTACGGTTTATACAAAGGAGGTAACAAATTATCATTACAATACTTCCTTACCCTTTCTACCTGTTTCTTGTACTTAGTGTCAGCCGGGTTAATGAGTCGTGGGGTATGGTTCTTAGAATTAGAACAGTTTGTTAGAAGATGTGATGGAATGGATGTCAGTGAAACTGGATCTGGACCTGGATCTTACGATATTGCCAAAAGTGTCTGGCACGTTAATTGCTGTAACGGATTAACTGACGGATGGTGGATGGTTTTGAATGCCATCGTAGGTTGGACTAATTCTGCAACCTATGGATCAGTACTCTCATACATTGGGTATTGGTTAGTAGTAATTGTATGGTTAAAGATTAAATTGTTAGACGAGAAACATGGCTACATCCCCTTCTTGCCAGTAAGATGGCAGTTGAAGAGAATCAAATGGAAGTTGAAGTTGTTGAACCATAAACCAAGAGAAAGCGATGCTTTATTAGAGGATTAATCAGGCCGATACCCAGTAACCTTTCACTGTATAAATGGATTTATCAGGGAATGGGTTTATAAGGAAATAGATCTCCAAGTTAGTGTCTTTAGATGCCAGATCCATGGACCATTCACTTGATATGTCTCTATTCAATGTGTTCCGGTATCTGACGGCGGAATCATATTGCCAAGTATCTGAAACATCATATACCAAATTGCACCAATTGCACACCATATTGCATATATAACGCGTACTATCCTTAACTCTCATACGATATCTCACTCCTCATCACCCTTAACTGTCGCTCCCTCGCTCCCTCAGCTCCCTCACTCGCTCTCAAGGTCTCCTTCCTGAACCCCGGTCCATCACCAATTCACATTCCCCTTTAAATCAAACGCGAATAAATTTCAACCGTGACAAAACACACTGAAATTACTTTTGTGTAACGTTGATCCCACCACTATCCCGTACCATCAGTTATTCTTATCAACCAACTACTACCACCTTTACCGTTGATATCATATACTTCAAAATACGTCAAGTGGTATAACAATGAAACATTTCAAACAACCCAATCGACAGTTCTCCAACACGTCATCTACCTATTCCAACCAAACTCAACAATCAAGTCAGTCAAACCAATCAGCCCAATCAGCCCAATCTTCATCTTCCGTTATAATCAATAAGTTGGCAGATGACGACACGAAACATTCTTTAAATAATGTTCTAGACTATATAAATAAGGTAGATGAGTTTAATCCTAATGATTTGTATCTGCAGAGACAACAGAGGAAGTTCGTGACAAAGTTTGGTACTTCCTATCATCAAAAATCCCAGTCTGCCGAAGATTTTACCAGTAATAGCTCAAATACAAAATCCCATAATCTGCAATTTGGCGATGGATTTGATGCCGATGGAGATGATGAAGATTATGAAGAATCATTGAATGGTGAAGACGATCTTGAAGATATACCTAATAGAGTGGCTATACTTGAAGACCATCCCCTTACTAGTCTTGAACCTAAAGATGATTATGATGATGATGATGACATGTTATTACCTCCATCACCCCCTCGTTCACCTCCTAAAGAATTAGATCCTGATAAATTATACGGACTTTACGACTTTTCCGGTCCAGATCCTTCTCATTGTTCCATCACACGAAATGAACCGGTTTTCCTTATAAATGATCAAGACAATTATTGGTGGTTAATCAAGAAACTTACTAAAGATCAGAGAAAGCAATTGTTACTCGAACGATCCAGAAACTTTGAAGATGATTACAGTGATGTTGAAACTGATGAAGAAGATGGTAAAGTAGGATTTGTTCCTGCTGAATGTCTTGAAACTCATGGTGAGAGATTGGCTCGATTAAATTGTTTTAAAAATGAAGAATTAGAACGTTCATCAAGAGATTTACTCATAAAACTGTCTAATCCAAGTTCCAGCCCTAGCGTTGATAACATCACGGAAAATAAATCCTTCTCTTCCATTGGTTTAGGATCTCCAGCGAATTTCCAAAAATCTCCAGACACGACCTTGTCCCGATCGGGAAGCATTTTACGAGATCCCAACACTACCAAACAATCCATTAACAAATCAGTGACTTTTGAAGATTTAAGTGTTATGGAGAATGAGGATGAAGAAGAGATGTCAGGTAATATCTTGAACAACTTATCAGATGATTCCATCAAGGAACAACAGTTCCCTGAACATTATTATGATAATTTATCAATCCCTAAGATCGAGGATGAAGAAAAGCGGTCAGAAGTCATGAGTGATATTTACCCTAGTGAAACTCCGTTATTGATAAGTAAGCGTAAAGATAGTCCTATGCCAGAGAAACATGAATTCAAACAGTCGACGATACCTGAAGTAACGACAATTCTGGCTCCAAGGGATAATGAGGATTCCGGTGTGGAAAGCGAAGTCTCTGACCATGATACATATGGACATGAAGGCCATGGTGATACCTATGGTGATGAGGGTTATGGTAACGATGCTTATGGCGACAATGCATACCAAGACAATGCTTACGACCAACACTCAATGGATAACATCTCCGTAAATACAAATAGTGACCACGAGAGAGTATCTGTGCAATCCCAATCATCTCCGCAAGAATCTCCAGAATCCCAACCATCACCTGTTGACGCTAGAAAGTCACCACAAACTCCACAGAGTAACTACCAAACTCCTAATCTTATACCGTCATCACAATTTCAAACCAATTCCCAATTCGATCAATTTAAAACCCCCAATGAAGACACTCCCGACAATTTCAAAACTCCTACCGGTAGATCGTCCGGACCTTCAACTCCTCATAGTGAAAGGATCCGAAGATCTCAATTATTGGATCGTTTGAACCAAGTAACAGCCGATATTCAAAATGAATTAAGTGATTATAGTCGAGAACTAGGTGAAGATTTGGAAACCAAAGATTTGAAAGATTATGATAATCCTTACTATAACCAAGGATTCTTGACAGTTTTCGAAAATGGTAGTTTTTCCAGTAGGTCAGCTCTCGAAGAATCACCTGAAAAGGAAGAAAAGAAAGAAGAAGATTATGATTCCGGTTATGATGAACTTGTCAACCAACTCGAAGAAAGTTATAAAGAAGAGGGTAATGTTACCCCTTTGACTTCGACTAATTCTCTTACTCATGATTTAGATAAGAGAAAATCCAAACCAGTTCATGACATGTTTAAACCAATCTTAGGAAAATTCGATGAGTTAGCTGAGAAGTTAGCTGAGATTGATGAGATGCTTTAGGGATAAGACAAGTCGGAATGGTAGTAGCTTATCCAAGAAGGATCCAAAACCACATCAGAAGTCTTCTGGCTCGTGCAAGAAATGTCCTGACTCCAAGGCTGGCTTGTGCTAAAGAATGGTTGCAAATATCTACCAATGTCATCTCGCACCATAAATGTTAGTTCCAACCTCGCCCTAATTTATCAACCCTTTTCGCACGCCTTCCCGCCCCACCACGCCAGTAAATAGTGTAATATATCGATGAGATGCGCAAAAATTTATCAACTATGTGGACTCCAGATATCAATGCTGTAGACCAATTAAAACACATTATCAAAGGTACCTTATCCAGAAATAATCAGGAAAGAAACCTTGCCAATGAAGCTTTAGTTCAGGCCAAGCAAAATCCAGAAATCGAAAACTATTTGTTCTATATCTTAATCAACGATGAATCCACAACTTCAGATGTTAGATCATCAGCAGGAATAATGTTGAAGAATTCCATTTTAAAACACAAGCATAACAACAACCGTCAGTATATCTTAGAAAACATTGTTAGTGGGTTAATTAGTAAAGAATCTTCGGTCAGAAACATCACTGGGAATGTTATCACATCATTATTCTTCATTTATGGGTTGGAAAAATGGCCCCAAGCATTGGCCAACTTAATGGAACTTATCAATAGTTCCAACGATTCCACATTTAAGACCCAAGAAGCTGCCATGAGTGCCATGACCAAGATCTGTGAGGATAGTTACTTCAAGTTGGATTGTGAATTTAATGGGGAAAGACCTTTGGAATTCTTATTGGATAACTTCATCAAACTTTTGAACCATTCTAGTGGTAAGATAAGAAGTTTGGCTATTGAATGTATCAATTATTTCATCCCAGCCAAATCCCAATCAATCATCGTTTGCTTAGATGTATTCTTATCCAAGATCTTCGAATTATCTGCTGATACCAATGATGATGTAAAGAAGAATATCTGTAAGTCCTTCCAGTACATTTTGGATGTCAGAGGTGATAAACTTTTACCTCATTTGGACGGAGTTATCAATTATTGTCTCCATTTGATGAATGACAATAATGAAGATGTGGCCCTTGAAGCTTGTGAATTTTTATTGGCTTTATCCACCTCCAATGAAGCTGAGACCAATTTGAATATATTTAAGAACAACTTATCCAATATCTTGCCAGTATTGTTAACCAAGATGGTTTACAGTGAAGAGGAGATGTTCTTTATGTCGTTGGTTGACGATAAAGACGACACTAATGTCGCAGATAATGAACAAGATATTAAACCATCCAATGCCAAATCCAAATCCGCCCATAAAGCTGCCAGTAAAGCAGAGAAAGCCCAAAGAGCAAGTGGTGATTCCGATGATGAGTCTGATTTCGATGAAGATGAAGAAGATTTGGAATTAGATCAATGGAGTATCAGAAAATGTAGTGCTGCAACTTTAGATATCTTATCTTTAGCCCTTCCTGAAGATGTTTTACATGTAGTGTTACCATTATTACAACAAAATATTGTATCCGATCAATGGTCAGTCAGAGAAGCTGCTATCTTAGCATTTGGTGCCATCAGTAAGAGTTGTATTGAATTGGCTAGAGATAAATTACCTACTTTAGTACCATTTTTGGTCGATAGACTTAAAGATGATGAACCTAGAGTCAGACAAATCACATGTTGGACCATTTCTAGATATTCCTCATGGGTTGCTGAAGAAGCTCATGAAGGAGGTCAATATGCCAATTATTTTGACCCAACTTTCCAAAGTATCTTAAAATGTGGTTTAGATCAAAAGAAAGTCGTCCAAGAAGCCGCATCTTCTGCGTTATCATCATTCATCGAACAATCGGATTCAGACTTGATAGCTTACTACTTACAACCATTATTAACTCATTTCCAAAAATGCTTTGAAATCTACCAAAGAAAGAATTTAATCATCTTATATGATTGTGTACAAACATTTGTAGAATCCATGGGATACGACAGATTACTGAAGAAGGAATACATTGATATCTTATTACCACCATTATTGAACAAATGGTCTATATTAGATGATAATGATAATGATTTATGGCCATTATTAGAATGTATGGCATCAATTGCTGCTACTTTATGTGAAAACTTCGGTCCTTATGCTATTCCTGTTTATGAGAGAGCTATTAAGATTTTAAGTAACAGTGTAGAATTGAACCTCCAAAGTCTTGTGGATCCTACAATTGAAGCTCCAGAGAAAGATTTCATAGTTACTTCTTTAGATCTTATTGATGGATTAATCCAAGGGTTTGGTCGTCATTCTATTGAATTGATCAATCAAAGTAATATTAACCTTTTGGCGTTACTTATCAAGTGCTTTGAAGACGAAAACGATGATGTCAGACAAAGTTCTTATGCATTATTGGGAGATTTAGCTATCTTTTTGATTGATTTGATCATCCCAGACTTACCTAACCTTTTCATTTACATTGGTAATGAAATCAACAATAAAAATTTCAATTCATATCCTGTGGTAAACAATGCTATCTGGTCATTAGGAGAAATCTTGATGAGATTACAATACCATCAATTCAAAGATTATTTAAGTAACCTCATTGACTTGTTGATACCTTTATTGAAAAGTATGGACACTCAACAAACAGTATTGGAAAATGTTGCCATTTGTATTGGAAGAAGTGGTATTAATGGTGGAGGAGAAATTGTTTCGGCGAAATTATCCGATTTCATTATTCAATGGTGTTCCCAAATGATGTATCTAGTTGATAATGAAGAGAAAGAAACTGCATTCCAAGGAATGTTAAACATCATATCAATGAATCCTGATCAAGGATTCGGGGGATTGGGTAATTCTCAAGGTAAGAAAGCATTATCTATATTCATCGCTACCATAGCTAACTATATGAGTCCTTCAGCTAGTTTGAAAGCTAGTTTCCAGGAATTATTGAATGGATATAAACAATTGTTGGGCCCTGAGTTCAGAAACGTCATTAATCAAGTGGATAGGGAATCAAGAGGTCAATTAATAGAGATGTATGAGGTGTAGTTGGAGAGTTTGAAAGGCTTTTACCCTTACCATCTCATAGTGTACAAGTCAGTCCCCCACACACAACCTCATACATACCACTCCGCATAGAATCATAAATATATCATTAATTTACATCTTCCTCACTCTCACTATCATTTTCCATCAACACCTCCTCGGTTTCTTCATTCTCGGTGTACAATACTTCATTCACCAACGATATGGGTAATTCCCATACTCCCGAAGGGGCATCATGAACATACTTGACCAACTCTTTCTCCCTTTCTTCGCCTTCTAATTTATCACCAGGATAAAATGAGTGCTCATCTATTATTGTTCTGACATCATGCAACTTGAATGTTTTAACTTCAGTATTATACAAAGCCAAAGCCACATAAATATAAACCATAAGCATCAAAGAATATGCTGGTACGGCAATTGACCAATATTTATCAGGAAAGTAGTCGAATTGAAGGAATTCGAAAACTTTTTCAGGTACTAAAGTCCATATTATGAAACCTATTAAAACCAAACTACTTATCACGTGAATAAAGAAACCTTTATATTCTCCATATAATGAAACGTTTGTCGTTACTTCGACATCACTTTGACGGGCTAGACTATCCTCCAGCAATGTGTTTTTTAGGCCAATGGTGTTCATTGACATCATCGCGACATGAAAAGTGACAAATCCACACAAAATCCAACTTCGAACCAGTCAACTATAAACAAGCTCCCTGTAAACAAACCAACTAACCAACTAACCTTACTATAATTCGTTACCTTCAAATCCTCCTAATGACTCATTAGCCCTAACCCTAAAAACCCATTCATAACCCCCCAAAAGCTTTGATAGTTTGCAAAAAACCCAATGGGTCGTGTCCCTCACAGATCTCTCAACGCGGTTAGTGAGTCATTTACCTGTTTTGGACATGCAAAAATTTTTCATAGACATTTTTCAAAAAGTATGTTTCAATCATTGAAGAACATAACTTCATTGAAGTCTTCCATTAAAGGATTCAATACCATCAAATCCAGATGGATATCATATCCTGGAGCTGAGTTACTCAAGAAATTTGATGGAGAAATTGGCCATAAATTAGTAGACGTTTCTAAAGTACTTGTTATTGGGTCAGGTGGTTTATCAATTGGTCAAGCAGGAGAATTCGATTATTCTGGATCCCAAGCCATTAAAGCTTTAAAAGAAGCTAACAAACAATCTATTTTAATTAATCCTAACATTGCTACTAATCAAACATCTCATGCTTTAGCTGATGAGATTTATTACTTACCAGTTACTGCTGAATATATCACTTATATTATTGAAAGAGAAAGACCTGATGGGATTCTCTTAACTTTCGGTGGTCAAACTGGGTTAAATGTTGGGGTTAAATTGGATAAAATGGGTGTTTTCGATAGATATAATGTTAAAGTCTTAGGTACACCTATTAAGACTTTAGAAACTAGTGAAGATAGAGATTTATTTGCTCAAGCTTTGAAAGAAATTGATATTCCAATTGCTGAATCCATTGCTGTTGAAACTGTTGATGATGCTTTAAAAGCTGCAGAAAACATTGGTTATCCAATCATTGTTAGATCAGCTTATGCTTTAGGAGGTCTTGGATCAGGTTTTGCTAATAATCCTCAAGAGTTAAGAGATTTGTCTTCTCAATCATTATCTTTAGCTCCACAAATCTTAGTTGAAAAATCTTTGAAAGGTTGGAAAGAAGTTGAATATGAAGTTGTTAGAGATAGAGTTGGTAATTGTATTACTGTTTGTAATATGGAAAATTTCGATCCTTTAGGTATTCATACTGGTGATTCTATCGTTGTTGCACCATCTCAAACATTAAGTGATGAAGAATATCATATGTTAAGATCAGCTGCTATTAAGATTATTAGACATTTAGGTGTTGTTGGGGAATGTAATGTTCAATATGCCTTACAACCAGATGGTTTAGATTATAGAGTTATTGAAGTTAATGCTAGATTATCAAGATCTTCCGCTTTAGCTTCTAAAGCTACTGGTTATCCTTTAGCTTATACTGCTGCTAAAATCGCTTTAGGTTATACTCTTCCTGAATTACCTAATCCGGTCACTAAAACTACCACTGCTAATTTCGAACCTTCTTTAGATTATATGGTCACTAAGATTCCAAGATGGGATTTAAGTAAATTCCAACATGTTAAAAGAGATATTGGTTCAGCTATGAAATCTGTTGGTGAAGTTATGGCTATTGGTAGAAACTTTGAAGAATCATTCCAAAAAGCTATTAGACAAGTTGATCCATCATTTGTTGGATTCCAAGGTGATAAATTTGATGATTTAGATGAAGCTTTAGCTAATCCTACTGATAGAAGATGGTTAGCTGTTGGTCAAGCTTTATTGCATGAAAATTATACTGTTGATCAAGTTCATGAATTGTCTAAGATCGATAAATGGTTCCTTCACAAGTTAATGAACATTGTTAACATGTACAGAGAATTAGAATCTGTTGGATCTTTAAGTGGAATTAACAGTGATTTGATGGAAAGAGCTAAGAAATTAGGTTTTTCTGATAAACAAATTGGTTTATGTGTTGGAGCTAAAGAATTAGAAGTCAGAAGTGTCAGAAAATCTTTTGGTATTGTACCATTTGTTAAGAAAATTGATACTTTAGCTGCTGAATTCCCTGCTAACACCAATTATTTATACACCACTTATAACGCTTCTTCATCAGATGTTGAATTTGATGAAAATGGAACTATGGTTTTAGGTTCTGGAGTTTACAGAATTGGTTCATCAGTCGAATTCGATTGGTGTGCTGTTTCTACTGCTAGAGCTTTAAGAGAATCTGGCCGTAAAACTATCATGATCAATTATAATCCAGAAACTGTTTCAACTGATTTCGATGAAGTCGATAGATTATATTTTGAAGAATTATCCTTAGAAAGAGTTTTAGATATTTATGAATTAGAAAACTCTGCAGGTGTTGTCGTTAGTGTTGGTGGTCAATTACCTCAAAACATCGCTTTAGGCTTACAAGATAATGGTTGTAATGTTTTAGGTACTAATCCTGAAGATATTGATAAAGCTGAAGATCGTCATAAATTCTCCCAAATCTTGGATTCTATTGGAGTTGATCAACCTCAATGGAAAGAATTAACTTCTATTGAAGATGCTGAAATTTTTGCTAATGAAGTTGGTTATCCAGTATTAGTTCGTCCTTCATATGTGTTATCAGGAGCTGCTATGTCAGTTATCAATAATGAAACTGAATTAGCTTCCAAATTATCTAATGCTTCTAAAGTTTCTCAAGATCATCCAGTTGTTATCTCCAAGTTCATTGAAGGTGCTCAAGAAATTGATATTGATGCTGTTGCCAGTAGTGGAGAAGTTTTGGTCCATGCCGTTTCAGAACATGTTGAAAATGCTGGTGTTCATTCTGGTGATGCTACTTTGGTTTTACCACCTCAAGATTTATCACCTGTTATCATGGGTAGATTAAAGGAAATCGCCGATAAAGTTGCTTATGCTTGGAAAATTACCGGTCCTTTCAATATGCAAATCATCAAGAATGATAATAATGGTACTTTAAGTGATGAAGAATGTGAATTGAAAGTTATTGAATGTAATATCAGAGCTTCCAGATCATTCCCATTCGTTTCCAAAGTCTTAGGTATTAATTTCATTGAAGTTGCCGTTAAAGCTTTAATTAAAGAAAACATCCCTGTTCCACAAGATTTAATGAACCAATCATTTGAAAGAGTTGCTACTAAAGTTCCTCAATTCTCATTCACTAGATTGGCAGGAGCTGATCCTTTCTTAGGAGTTGAAATGTCATCAACAGGAGAAATTGCTTGTTTCGGTAAAGATAAATTAGAAGCTTATTGGACTTCTATCCAATCAACTATGAACTTTAATTTACCAGTTGCTGAACAATCTATCTTATTCGGTGGAGATTTAACCAATGATAAATTAGGTAATGTTGCTAAAACCATCTCATCTTTAGGTTATAAATTCGTTACTGCTGATGAAGAAACCAAAGCTTATTTAAGTAAATATTCCCAACAACCAGTTGAAATCATTGAATTTCCTAAAACCGATAAGAGAGCTTTAAGAGAAATCTTCCAAAAACATGACATTGGAGCAGTGTTCAATTTAGCTAAAAAGAGAGCTGATAATTTATTAGACAAAGATTACATCATGAGAAGAAATGCCATTGATTTTGCCATTCCTTTATTCAATGAACCTAATACTGCATTACTTTTCGCTCAATGTTTGGAAAAATACATTGGTGATAAACCAAACTTTGATGCTATTCCTGAATCTTTCACTATTCCACAAGAAGTGAAAAGATGGAGTGAATTCATTGGAGGAAAGCCTGTCTAGATCTGACTATATATGGCTAAATCTGACACCTGTCAAAGACCTGTTCAAAATCCCGTCAAAGACCTGTCCAAAAGCCTTTTAAAGACTAATCAAAAGCCTTTTAAAGACCTGTCAAAAACCTTTCAAAGACCTGCCTAAAAGCTTGTCTAAAAAAATGTTCAAAATAGAATATATAAAGTTTCGTTAATCCATCTCTTGCGGTATTCTTGACACTTTACCGTATGCTTCTCGGTAAAACTGACTTTATGCTTCTCGGTAAACTTGATTTTTCGGGACAATTATTCGGGTTATGGTCCCTTTTTGGACTCATCTCAAATTTCCGTAAACGGGTTTTAAACAGGGAGAATTAAATTGCTCTTTTTATTTAATGTGTGGGAAGATTTCTGTAAGGAAGTTCAATTTAACCAGTCATATCGTTGTCACAGAACAGTTGTTCATCATCCCCAATGACCAAAACCCGTCAAATATTCCTAAAACTCAGTGTACCCTGAAAAATTGACATCTCACGATCGTCGATCTCCCACCTCATCTCTTCTCTTGAAAACTTTATCATTTTTATTTTTACAGATTGAATAGTCAAATCACCTCATGCTTCTATCAACCAATAACACATGCATTGACAAGGCTTATTGTTCGGTTTACGAGAGGAATTCGCCTTGGCTTCTGGTTATTGGCCCCCAATATAACCTGTTCTTTTAAAACAAAGGCGATCTTCACTAAAAATTTTCAGCCAATAACATAAGATCTTGCACATAACCGTTGGGACAAAACTTCTTGGCTCCTCACTATAAATTGAGTCAAGTGCATTATCTTTCGCATCTTATCTTTTTCATCAAAAATGAGTGAAAAAACTGAAAGTTTGAATGAAAAACCTATTGGTTCAGGTAATCCAGAACAAGCAAGTAATGCTTACTCATCTGAAAAAACTCATATTGATGACAATTTACCTGTTGATGGAGTTTTAGCTAAATCAACTGCTACTTCTTTAGGTATTCAAAAAATTGAAATTTTAAATGCTACTTACCAATCTTTCACTTTAAAAGCTATTCTTTTAGTGACTGTCTTGATTACTTCTTATGCTTATGCTGTTGAAAGTACTGTTAAAGGTAGATTAGAAGCTTATGCTACTTCATCTTTTGGTCAACATTCATTATTATCAACTGTAGGGGTTGTTCAAGCTGTTGCTGCTGCTGCTTCTCAACCAACTGCTGCTAGATTATCTGATAGATTCGGTAGATTCGAAATTTTCCTTTTCGCTATCGTTATGTATGTCGTTGGTACCATCGTTCAAGCATTCGCCAAAAATATCACCACTTTATCTGCTGGTACTGTCATTTATTCTATTGGTTTTCAATGTGTTATTGTTATCTTACAATTGATCTTAGCTGATTTATCCAATTTGAACTGGAGATTATTCTTCAGTTTCGTACCTGCATTACCTTTCATTATCAATACTTGGGTTGCTGGAGATATTGTTGCTTCATTATATCCAAAACATAGTTGGCAATATGGTTATGGGATTTGGGCTTTCATTTTCCCATTATGTTGTATTCCATTATTCGGTTGTTTCATTCATATGATCATCTTAGCTAGAAAGACTGAAGATTGGAGAATCTTAAGAGAAAAACAACGTCAAATCCGTAAATGGACTTCTTTGTCTGATAATATTGTTATTGATGTTTTCTGGGAAATTGATACTATCGGTATCTTATTGATCATTTGTGGATTTGGATTCTTCTTAACTCCTTTCACTCTTGCTGCTGGTGTTGAAGATAAGTGGAAGAAAGCTTCAACTATTGCTCCTTTAGTTATTGGATTTTGTTTCATGATTGGTTTAGCTGTTTGGGAAGCTAGATTTGCTAAGAATCCTTTATTACCTTTCCCATTAATGAAAGATAGAGGTGTTTGGGCTGCTATTATTGTAGCTATCTTTATCAATTTCTTATGGTATTTACCAAATGAATTCATTTATACTATTTTGGTTGTTGGTATGAACTCATCAATCAAAGCTGCTACTAGAATTACTTCCTTGTATTCTTTCGTATCAGTGATTGTTGGTCCATTATTAGGTTTACTTATCACCAGAGTTAGAAGATTAAAGGGTTTCATTATCTTTGGTGTTTTATGTTGGATTTCTTCCTTTGCTATTCTTTATAGATACAGAGGTTCCGGAGGATCAGAAAGTGAAAACATTATTAATGGGGTTATCGGAGGTTTATGTTTCCTTGGTTTCGGTGCTGGGTTCTTCACTTATTCAACTCAAGTTTCTATTGCTTCAGTTACCAATCATGAACATATGGCCATTGTTATTTCTATCTATTTAGCTTCTTATAATATTGGTTCAGCTATTGGTTCAGCTATTTCTGGTGCTGTTTGGACTAACACTTTATACAAGAACTTGATCAAACAATATACCAAAGCTGGATTATCCACAGATTTAGCTTATGATGCTTATACTGATCCTTTCACTTTTGCTGTCAATTATACTTGGGGAACTCCTGAAAGAATTCCTTTGGTTTTAGCTTATGGAGAAACTCAAAAGATTTTATGTGCTTGTGCCTTAGGGTTGTCATTCTTTTTGTTAATAGATGTTATGTTCTTAAGAGACCACAGATTAGATAGTGTTCAATCATTAGAATTTGAAGATGAGAGAGATATGGGAGTCAAGAAAGAAGTGGTCGTAAATGATTATGATGACGATGTCATTCTTAAGAGAATTAAAGGGATTTTTAAACGTAATTAGTAATGTATGGGTCGAACTTCAATTAACTCTTTGTTCGGTCAGTGGAGGGCTACCCTCCAGAGATCCTTCTTCTCTCTTTACACCTGAAAGACCTCAGAAGAGAACTACAGAGAGTCACCAGATATAACCTACGTAAAACCTTACATTCATAATAAATCATCATCTTCAGGCTCAACTACAGAATTCTTAATCTTCAATAATAATTGAGTCTTCAACTTATCTAACTTACTAAATTGATCATATTCGTATACCTTATCAGTGAACATATCGATATTCCCTTGTTGGATAGATTCCAACACATCATTGATTAATCTATATTCTCTGGTGGATTCGAATGATGGATCTTCTGATAAGAAGTAGTTCAATTTCTTTGAAGCTTCAATAGAATCCCCAAGACATAATATACATAAGATTGATTTCAAGAAATAATCCTTTAAATTCCATTTGGATAAAGAATTTCCAACAGATTTCTTGATGATGTTATCATATAATTCCACAGATTTGTTGTAATCTCCTGATAAAGCACTTAAATCAGCACATTTTAAGAAAGCTTTATTGGATAAGGCTTCAGCATTATCGGTGATAAAGTAATCACCAGCTTGTTCATAACTCTTAATAGCATTAGGTAAGTCATTAATACCTTCATATAATTCACCCAAATCCAAAGTGAAGTTAGCAGCTCTTCTAAATTGACCGTTTTGAGTTAAGAAGATATGAATAGCTTGACTCAAAGAATCGATAGCTTCATGAGGTGAAACATCTTTGAAACATTTATAGGCTTCAACTAAGTTATTAGCCACGTCATTATGATTCTTTAATGATTTTTGAATGTTAGCAGCCTTAACAAATTGTTTACCAGCATTATCAAAGTCTTTCATTAATCTATATTGATTGGCAGCCTGGATGTATAAATCCGTAGCTTCTTCTGATCTATAGCTTTGAGATCCTCCTGAGAAGAATGACATCAATCCCAGTTGAGGTTTCAATAACTTTTCTGCTTCGTTAATAATCTGTTTAGGGTCCATTATCCTTGAGAAATTGGTGGTTTGAGAAAAATGCGACATATTGAGGTATCACCAGAAATACTAACACCGTGTTGGGAAGGTTTTGCAGATATTATTGAGTCTTTGGCACCGTGTTTGAGTTTGTGGTAATTGAAATTGATGTTTATGATTTCTTGTAAGTTTTTCTGACAATTTGAACTTCGAACTGTCTTTAGGTTATCTCACAGATTCGTGAAATTTGCAACTTCAGGAAGAATCCTTTCAATTACTTAAATCTATTCAAAACTTCACCAAACTTCACCATCATCTTCATACCACATCGAACTTTAGTTGTTACTAACTAAATTCACCATTTTCCCTTCAAATACTCCTAAAAATCACCACCAACTACACCCTCAGTCTCATCAACAAATCGCGCTAACTTTTCCCACAACAATGGAAAGAATACGTTTTGAAAGACTAAAAGTGGTGTGTACAAAAGCCCTTCAGGAGTCTATAAAGAAATCCTTGGATATAGAGAAGATCAAAAAATGTTATCCCACCCTAGCATCCAATGAAGAAGGAGTCAAAGCATTAGAAATCGCTCGATCTCAAATCATCGAATTTTGGTTGAATAATTCCTTAAAAGAGTTCGAATTGATCTTTAAAGAAAGAGATATAGAAAATAAGTTAAACTCCTTGGATGATTTGATTCAATTGGCCAAAGAACGAAGTTTAAATGGAGCAAAACCCATACAAATCGATAAACTTACACCCAAAGAAATAATCGTAGCTAACATCAATTATAAGAAAAGACAAACAATTGAAAGCTTGAAGTTGATGTACGATCAATTGATCGTAGATAACAATGACTTGTTCGACGAACTCACATCCATTGGTAAACAATCAGAAACTATCAAGTCTGATATAGAGAAGAACTTCACATCCATAAATAAAGAGTTAGGTGTGATAAACGGAGGTGTTGACGACAACATCGATAAATTGTTGGATACAGTAGTGAATGAGTTGTGAGTTATTCACACAGTGAGTGTTAAGTTGCTAGAATAGTGAAAAATTGGTTGTTAACATAAGAAGTGTGTTATGAGTTACAGTGGTGAGAAAAAGAAGGTACAGTGGTGAGGTATGGTGAGCTATAATGGTTATGTAAATTATGTAATATATACAAGTGGAAGAACCCTTTCCAGAGTCTATTAACTTATGAACTTACTGTCTATGACAAAAGATCATATTTCTTTTTGGCTAATTCATTATATTCAGTGATCTTCTTTTCCAAAGCAGTATATTTCTCTTCTCTCTTCTTTTGTTTTTCACTCAATTTGATCAATTTCTTATCACCCCAGATCTTATAATCTTGGAAGTATTGTTTATCCATATTAAATTCTCTTATTATAACATCATCAGTTAAACCTAATTTTTCAATACAATAGAAATAATCTTCAGGTCTGGTCTTCTTCAAATATTTAAGGATTCTTTGTCTTTGTTGGACTAATTCTCTGACATGTTGAATATGAACTTTATCTTTGAACATTTGTTTAACATGTTGCATACCTAAATGGATCTTTACAGTTAAAACAGCTGCTTGAACTTCTGGTGAACCGGTGTCACCTTCATTTCTGGCAAATTCTTGTACTGCTCTTTCAACAGCAATTTTCTTTCTTTCCTTGTTGTTAGAATTCTTTAAATTAAGAATGGTCAACACAGACTTCCTTTTGTTTTCTTCTGCTTTGATTAAATTATCATAAACACTTCCGGAAGAGTTTAAATTCATGTTTAAATTGGATTTTTCTACTCCAAATAATAACTTTTCAACTTCATCTCTTTTGTAACCAAATGATAAATTAGATAAATCTTGGATTTCTTGATTCACACGTTTGATGAAACCGTTGTTGGCATCACCTAAAACTGGATCAACTTTAAATTGAATGTTCTTTAATTTGTGTTGTTTGAAATTATTGATATCTCTGATGATTTGTCTTTTCCATCTTTTTTCCTTTCTTTTCAAACTGGCTAATTTGGAACGTGATGCATTTTCAGGTACGATTTGTTTTGCTGCCCATTTTGGTGATAATCTCTCTGCCAATATGGTGGCAGAGACAGAAAATGATCTATAGAAACCAATGGAGTTCATTGAAAATTTTGCAAATGTTCGCGGATGAAAAATTGATAACTTTAGGGAGAGTGAGGGTGGTAAATAGTGAGAAATTGGGTCGAGGGTTTAGTGAGAATTATGGTACCATTTTGGTGAGGAATTTTATGGATGTCTATAAAACTATTCAATATCAGCCCAGCTGGAATGAGAATCATCCATTTCTTTCATTATCTTCTCTATTTCTGATTTGACTTTAAGCATTTCTGATTCTTCTTTATTCTGATTTCGTTTCTGTTTAGGAGTTAAGTATTTGGATTCTGAAACTTTAGGTTTTTGTGGTGAATTCTCTTTAGGTTTATGAGATGGGAAATCTCTTGCTTTCTTGGGTTTATGTGGGGGTTTATCCAGATTATCAACAATTCCTAATCTTGCAGCAAGAGATCTAGCACCTTCTGTCATTGGAGGTAATTCTTCATCCGAATCGGATTTAGGATGTTTGAAATCAGTGAATTTGTGATCTTTTTGTCTAGGTTTAGGTTTGAAGTCTTCTTTGGTGAAGTTATCTCTGAAATTATCTTTGGTGGAATGGTCTTTACTGAAACTGGACTTTCTGGTTCCTTTCTTGAACCCATCTTTTCTATCTCTTCTTTCTTTATCTTGATGTGAATCATCAGGTTTCTTACCAAAAGTACCAATTCTAGCAGCTAAGGCTTTAGCACCTTCAGTCATAGGAGGTAATTCCTCCTCATCACTTTCTTCCCCATGTTTCACTTGATGTGTTTGATGGTGAGTCTCTCGATGATCTTTCTTTTGTCTGCCATTACCTATTCTAGACCCAAGAGATTTGTCCGGATTCTCCTTATGATTCCGAGAATTGTGGTTTTTCACTGGACTTTTAGGTTTGGTTGCAATTGCAGGAGTATCTGCCCACATACTCTCTAAAGGTTTAGATTTAACATGAGAATCTTGAGTTTTAGCTTTAGTGATCAAATCATCATCATCTGCCCATTTTGATGCTAGCCCCGACATGAGATGAGATAATTTCACTTCTCACCATTCGGACTACATCGCACCAATAAGGGAAATTTAGCCCCCATATTTTGTAGATGTAAGGCTTTAGCATAAATATAGGTTAGGTAAAACCGGGTTTGAGAGGGATCAACTTAATCCTGTATGGGGCGAGAGAATACCGTTTGGTGACGTTTTGAGAAGTTTGTGAGTATCACGAGCTGGATTTTTCATCAGCCAGAATTGCATTCCATAAGCATTTAAACTTATTCTTTAAGAGAGAATTCTCTTAACCGGGCCAATATCTAAATGTCTTAAACACTCTCAACCCACCAATTGTCAAATACTATTAATTTCTCAACAGATCCAAACCCTTGTGAATCAGTTCCGAATCTCTTTTAAGCCTCAACGGCCAACAAACCTCCAATAAATTATTTTTACTAATTAACCTTTACTAATGAACCATAATATTAGCCATCTTCCCCCACCAAGTCGGAAAAAGTGGTAACACTATTTGATCACCACACACCTCGAGTGTCAGTTGGCCGATATAAAATCGCACCGAATATTTCTCATCCACCACCATGTCTGACTTTAAATTATCAACAGAATTACCATCTTGGAAGAAATTACAATCAATTTTTGAATCAATTGATCAATTCAATGTTTTAGAAGAATTCACCAAAGATCCTCAAAGATTCGAAAAGTATTCTAAAACCTTCAAAAATTTCGATGATTCTGAAATTTTATTCGATTTCTCCAAGAATTTAATCAATGATGAAATCAAACAATCTTTATTATCATTAGCTAAAGAAGCTAACATTGAAAAATTAAGAGATGAAATGTTCAATGGTGATAAAATCAATTCTACTGAAGGTAGAGCTGTTTATCATGTAGCTTTAAGAAACAGATCAATGAAACCAATGTTGGTTGATGGTAAAGATACTGCTAAAGAAGTTGATGATGTTTTACAACATATGAAAGAATTCTCTAATCAAGTTAGATCAGGTGAATGGAAAGGTTATACCGGTGAAAAAATTACTGATGTTGTTAATATTGGTATTGGAGGTTCAGATTTAGGTCCAGTTATGGTCACTGAAGCTTTAAAGAAATACAGTCAACCAGGTTTAAATGTCCACTTTGTTTCAAATATTGATGGTACTCATTTAGCTGAAATTTTAAAAGATTTAAATGTTGAATCCACTTTATTCTTAATTGCTTCAAAGACTTTCACTACTGCTGAAACCATCACCAATGCTAATTCTGCTAAAGATTGGTTCTTAACTAAAGCTAGTGAAAAAGATATTGCCAAACATTTTGCTGCTTTATCAACTAATGCTGAAGAAGTTTCTAAATTCGGTATCGACACTAAAAATATGTTTGGTTTCGAAAACTGGGTTGGTGGTAGATATAGTGTTTGGTCAGCTATTGGATTATCAGTTGCCATTTACATTGGTTTTGAAAATTTCGAAAACTTCTTAAAAGGTGCTGAAGCCGTTGATAAACATTTCACTGAAACCAAATTAGAAGATAACATTCCTGTTTTAGGTGGTTTATTATCCGTTTGGTACAATAATTTCTATAAAGCTCAAACTCATTTAGTTGCCCCATTTGATCAATATTTACATAGATTCCCAGCTTATTTACAACAATTATCAATGGAATCTAATGGTAAATCTGTTTCAAGAGCCAATGTTTTCACTAATTATGAAACTGGTACCATCTTATTTGGTGAACCAGCTACTAATGCTCAACATTCTTTCTTCCAATTAGTTCATCAAGGTACTAAATTAATTCCTGCTGATTTTATCTTAGCTGCTCAATCTCATAATCCAATTGCTAATAACTTACACCAAAAGATGTTGGCTTCAAATTTCTTTGCTCAATCTGAAGCTTTAATGGTTGGTAAGAATGAAGATAAAGTTAAAAGTGAAGGTGCTACTGGTGGTTTAGTTCCTCATAAGGTTTTCTCTGGTAACAGACCAACTACTTCAATTTTAGCTCAAAAGATTACTCCTGCTACTTTAGGTGCTTTAATTGCTTACTATGAACATGTTACTTTTGTTGAAGGTGCTGTTTGGAACATCAACTCATTCGATCAATGGGGGGTTGAATTAGGTAAAGTTTTAGCTAAAGTTATTGGTAAAGAATTGGACGATAAATCTTCAGTTGAAACTCACGATCCTTCTACTAATGGATTAATTAACCAATTCAAGAAATGGTCTTTATAGGTTAATGGATGATTGATTTCAGAATTTTCGAGTTTCTTTTACTCTTTCGGGTCTCTACTTGAGGTCCCTACTTGAGGTCCCTACTTGAGGTCCCTACTTGAGGTCTCTACTTTAGATCTCTGCTTTGTCCATCCTTGTCTGCTCTTCTCCAAACCATCATCTCACTCAATTGTTCTCACTTCTGTCTTCAATATACCTTCTCACTTCGCACAGAATCTCATCGCAATGAGTGATTTCGAACAAGAAGAGTTGGATAACCCTTTGAGGGTCATAATACTATTAAACCCTGAAGTAGTGAATGACGAAGGTTTAGAAAAAGAGTCGAAGGATTCTGGAAAAGAAGAATCAGAAGAATCAGAAATTGCTCCCAAAGAAATAGTTACCGATGATTTAACTGAAAGGTTAATGGATTATGTTCAAACTATGGAAGAAGTTGATGAATTTTTCAATGAATTCGATGATAAAATAGCTTACCCTAATGAAGGACATATCAAATATGAAGTGGGATCAGATGGGTTAGTGGTAATTTTGGTTGATACTGCTGATTTGAGAGATAAGGTAGTGAAATTTATTGATGAATTTAATGAAAAAGATGAACCAAAGAGAAAGAGGTAAGTAAATGTACGAAATATTCAATTGCTAGATCTTATGGATGTTGTTGAATGATTTTAGGAAGAGGAATGATGGAATACTGTGAAAAATGACGGAATTTCTGAAGAAATTTTCCACTTGCAAACCCAGTTTAACCATCAAACATCCAAAACAGTCATCAATGTCAATACCTTCATACTCTTAACACTCTTAACCCTCTTATCTACTCAAAACCATGCCTTGAACTTCATCCAGTTTCTCCGTCTCGCACGACTTCCCTCACAATTTCTCAATCATGATTTTATCGCATTCAACAACATGGAAGACTGGAGAAGAATCGACATTGATGCCTTAGAAGCAGATAACTTCTTGACTAAAGAAGAACTTGTGCCATCAATTGATAGCAATTTGTCCTTACAAGATATTTCAAACATAATAAATGAATGTAGAAACTACTTAACCAAAGGGAAATTCTTAGAGTCTTTACAATTAGGTTTAGATAATCCTCCATACCTTTTCGATCAATCAGTCAAAGATCAATACAATGAGTTGATGTTTGAAGTATTATGTTCAATCAAAAACAATAATAACGATGTTTCACCTATCATCAAGAATTTAAGTACTAAACAACAAGATGTATTGATCAAATATTTATATAAGATCATGAACACAAGCTATGGATCCAAACAAGGAGGATTGATGTTAGTTTGGTTTGAAAAAACCATTGAAATCACCGGTTTGGGACCAATTATAAGATTTATGAGTGATAGACGTACTGTTTAAAAGTATTGAATATATGAAAGATGGTAATCCTAGCCATTACCTTACACTCTCCAAATGTAAAGCCCTTCTCTGTCATACTGGATCTCTATCATACTATAGTGGACTTGCTACACTACCGTAGTGGATGTCGCCAAAATCACTGGAATTTCTCCTATTGATGAAAATTGAATATTAATCGGAAAATATCCCGACATATAACAGCGGCGCGACATTTATGGAATTTGATCAAAATCCCCCCACATTTTTTCCATTATAAATAGCACCCACTTCTCCCCCATTTTTCCCATCAAGAATTATATTTTAAATCACAAAGTTAAAAAAAATGTCTGTAAAATTAAATAGTGGAACTTCTATGCCTTTAACTGGTTTCGGTGTATGGAAAGTTGATAGAGCTACTGGTGCTGAAACTGTCTATAATGCTATTAAAACTGGTTATAGATTATTTGATGCTGCTCAAGATTACGGTAACTGTATTGAAATTGGTGAAGGTATCAACAAAGCCATTGCTGATGGTTTAGTTAAAAGAGAAGATTTATTCATCACTTCAAAATTATGGAACCATTACCATGATCCAGAAATTGTTGAAAAATCTTTAGATAGAATCTTATCTGATATGAACTTAGAATACTTAGATTTATTCTTAATGCATTTTCCACTTTCTTTCAAATTCATCCCATTTGAAAAGAAATACCCAGGTCAATTCGGTATTAATGGTATTGAATTAGATAACGTTCCATTAATTGATACTTGGAAAGCTATGGAAAGAATCTACAAAGAAGGTAAAAAAGTTAAAGCTATTGGTGTTTCTAACTTCAATGGTGGTTTATTAATGGATTTATTAAGACAAGCTGAAATTACCCCAGCTGTTTTACAAATTGAACACCACCCATACTTACAACAAAAAGCTTTAGTTAACTATGTTAAAGCTAAAGGTATTGCTATTACTGCTTATTCATCATTTGGTGGTCAAAGTTATGTGGAATTAGATAATCCAGCTGCTAAAAACTCTCCTTCATTATTAGAACATGAACTTATCACCAAAATTGCTAAAAAATACAATAAAACTACTGCTCAAGTATTATTAAGATGGGCTACTCAAAGAGAAATTGCTGTTATTCCAAAATCTAACAATGCTAACAGATTAAAAGAAAACTTAGAAGTTCTTGATTTCGATTTATCCGAAGAAGAATTCTCTGAAATTGCTGAATTAGAAAGAAACTTAAGATTCAATGATCCAAAAGATTGGGATGGTCACAATATCTGTATCTTCTAGATAAGCTAATGAACAGTTTAATTTATAATCTTAGTTAATATGTTGAAATATAAATCTAAACTTAAAGATCTCTGCTTCATCTTTTCAATGCAATTGAGTTGAAACTTCCAACCTTATGCAATAGCAATCGGACTTTGATCTGGAAAACTGGTTGATTACCCAATGTTTGCCCCGCGATTTTCTCCAATGTCGCGGTGATGTTACGTTGCAAATTCAAATTTTTCCGGTAATTTATCGGAAATCTTAGTGAGACATGGGGGCGAATCTTGGGGGAGCGGCTAGGAATTTTTTAAGAGCAAAAAAAATCGGTTAAGGTATCACCATTGATCTTAAGTCCATGACAGGTTTATATTAAAATTTTAAGGGGTGATATAGGCTAATGAGGGTTAGAGCAAGTTAATGGTCGACTAATGAAGTTCCCCAGAGCGGTTAATTACGGGCAACGAAGTACTTTTTGTATTTTTAAATGGAATCCAAAACGTATTGTCTTCCTACATTTAACAATTTCAAACGTGATACAAAATCATCACGATTGATATAGGCTCCACATAAACGTCTTTTACCAGTAAATTCGGTTCTGGAATGGAAACATCTCCAATTGTCAAAAATCAAACATTGACCTGGTTTCAATTGATAAAAGAATTCATTCTCTTTATCTGAAATGATACTGTACCAATGTTTGATAGCTTTATAAAACTTAGGAACATCTTGAGGATTGGACCAATTGTTCATAGTAGATCTGTCACTTTGATTCCATCTAACTTGAATCAATTGTCCTTCATTATCCAATTTGAATACAGGTTGAGGAATGTCGGGTTGAATGCAAACTTTCTCTTCCCCTGCAGAATGTGCAGGGATAGGGATTTTTGTTAATAAATCAAAACTTTCAGGATGAGTTTCTTTTAAAATTTGAGCACATCTAAAGGCATCGACTAACGAAGAAGTACCACCTTCTCCGTCGTGAAACAATAAATGGAATAATTGTAATCCTGGAGTATCTGACCAATAAGTTCCATCGGTATGAGATGAAATATCAAAGTTAGTATATGCAGTATCATTCTTTGATAAATCACTAGTAAAATCCCAAAATCCTCCATAATGGGTTGGTCTGATGAACATCAACTTTTCACATAATTTTTCAGTATCTTCTGGAGTAACAGGAACGTTATCGATAAGACAAAATCCATTCTGCCAGATCTTCAAGCACCAATCTTTGATAGCTTCTTCACCATCAGTCTCATCACTCGAGTTCATCACTTTATTGAAATCAACTGTAGGTAAATCATTGGCAATATCTTTTACTGCCCAATATTTCATCTTTAAAGTTTCCTTCTCTCCCTTAACTTTCTCGTCCATTGGAACTAAAACCGGATTGTATGAATGTAAGTACAACCAATCAAAGGCATATTCACTTTCATGGTCATCTTGGTCCCAAACAATTGAAATCTTACCATTTTCCACTTTGAGGTCTTTAGGTTTGATATCATCATTAATGGTGGCTGAATTCAATAATCTCTGTTTAGTGATGGAATAATAACATTTGTCACAATGACAATTATCTCTTAACCAGATATTATGATAAGTTGATTGGTTGCCATCTTCAAAAGTGACGTGGATTTCCAAATGATTTACGGTAGCTGACATGATTGAGTGTTGAATCAGTTGATGGAGATTACTGGGGAAAAGTGCGAAGGGATAAATATGTCTGACGTAGTTGGACTTGAAGAAATGCTAGAAGATTACATTCCAGGGATGGAAACAGAAATAGATGTTGGAGAATTAAACCATATAGAAGAGGAAATGGATGAGAGTATCGATGAAATAGGTGATTTGGCAGAAGATTCCGGGGAAACTGAGGTCATTGCACAACAAGGAGATATTTCACAATTGGAAGAAGTACCACTGAAAAGTGAAGATGATTTATCAGTACAGCCAGAATCAGATACTTTTGAAGAAGAAGAGTCTGTGATAGAAACTTTTATAGAATCCAAACCTACTATGAGCAAATCTTCCAGCCAACAAGATTGGGTATCTATGGACATATCCAAATTTGGAAAATCTTTCTATAATGGTGAAGAGAATCCACTCAATGAACAAATCAAACGTTTGAAGTTAAAGAGTCTTAATCAATTCCTCCATAACCATCAAACTGAAGAAATTATTGAATATTCTCGGTCAACTGATGGTCTTATCAATAATGATGTGAGAAGAAAGATATGGCCCATTTTACTTCGAATGGAACAAAACATCGACTTTGAAGCCACTTTCATTGATGATTTATCATTACATGATAAGGAATGCCACAAAGATGAAGATCAAATCAAATTGGATATAAAAAGATCTTTTACTCATTGGACTTTAGATTCTGACGACATTGAAATTCTCAAGAAACAACTTCATTTCTTAGTGACAAAGTTCTTCCGAAAATATCCTTCATTGAATTATTACCAAGGATTCCATGATATTGCTAGTATTGTGTTGTTGGTGTGTTATACAAAAGAACAGAAGACTGTAGATGAACTTTTAGCTTTCAAGATATTGGAATGTCTCACTTTGAATCATCTTCGAGACTTTCTTATCAGCGACATTCACTTATCATTGCAACACCTTAAATTAATACCAACATTATTGGAGATAATCGATCATAAATTCTTCAAGGTTCTTAAGAAAGTCAATAATTTCTATGTAACGTCAGACGGAGCTTATTATGACTACAGTTTCCATCAAGGATTATCATCAATTTTGACCATGTTCAGTCATGATATTGATGATTTGAATCAATTATTAATCATTTGGGATTTCATTCTCAGTTATAACACTTCCATCATCACCATCTATATCTATGTATCATTCCTTCAATTCAAACGAAACGACATTTTCGAAAAATTGGGCTTACACGAAGATGATAAATCCGATGCTATAGATGAAATAGATAAGGATTTATTACATAATCTTTTAAGTGCTAATAATCTTTTCAAAGATCTTACTGATAACGGATTAATAAAGATATTGAACAATGCTAAATATTATTATGAGAACTATCCTATTAACAATTTAAGTAACTCGACATTTACTTATGATTTATGGTTTAAAGAGTACAATTATCATTCAGTTTTACTTACAACATCAACCTCACCCTTTGAAGTACCACGGAATTTAGATCTTATCGATAACCCCGATAAAGTTGATGATGTGGTTAAATGTCAAGATGATGAAATGGGGAAATTACAATTATATAACTTGACTTTGGAGAATAAAGTATTTGAAATAGATTCAGATTATACCAACTCATTATCAGGATCATTATCTTCATCAGTATCATCATTACAAAGTTCGACTACCACGTTGAATTCCAAGATTCTTAAAACATCATCTATTTATTTCAAGAAACTTTTCAAATCCGATAACGATGAACCTCACCCTCATGTATTTAAATTGTCTATGATTTATAAAATTAGTTTGACTGTGGGATTTTTAAGTGTACTACTTCACCTTCTTTTATCCAAACATAATTCCTCCATTTTACAATATTCAAACAGGTTTTTGAATGAAGGAGTGAGTTATTTCAGGAATAATGGCTTTAATATCGGTCTAGGTAATATCAGAAGCTCTATCTACGGGTGGATGAGCAAATCTGTTATTGGAATTTAATGTACAAATCGAGATCTAACCCTCGAAATCTATCTCGTAAATCAATACTGTATCAGTATAAGTAGATTGACCCCAACCTCTATTACCACTAGCACTGACCATGAATCTACCAGTGTCATCAACATACAATGAAGATAAAACACCTCCTTGATGACCTGGAATGATTAAAAATGGAGTGGCAGGTTTACTCTTGGTAGCTTGATTGGAAACACTAGGTTTCTCTGGATTATAAAGACTTAAATTATAAAGCCTGATGTTATCACCAGAACCACATAAAAGGAAATTATCATTAGGCATGGTAGAAATGGCAGTGACAGCTCCGGAGATTTTGGGGAATTGTAAGGTTTTGGAAACATTAGGAATGTATGATTGTTTAACACCTCGTTTATGGGGCATCTTAAGAGAAAATTCTTCAATAGTACTGTTTCTTCTCCCCACATAAATAAAATCTCCATCATTTGACCATGCTGATGTAACACACCAAGGCGGCGTTCCATTAGGTAATCCATATTTTATCACTGGTTGATCACCTGCTCTTATATCCCAAATACTAACTAATCCATCAATACTTGAACTCATGAAAACATCATTATTGGTATATGTTTTGGTGGTTTTCTCTTTCTTTGCCAATTCTCTCTCCTTCCTTTGTTTCTCTTTGGCTTGTCTTTTTTCAGAATCATCATCTTCATCATCACTTCCGAAAAGAGATCCCATATCACTTTCTTCGTCTTCATCACCACCAACATCCAAAGATAAATCTGTCAATCCAAATGGTCTAAAAGCAACGTTGGAGATTTGTCCAGTACTCCCACTGAACACACTAATGTTGGCTCCAGTATTCAAATCCCATTGTCTAATACTTTTATCCCAGGATCCAGATAAGAACTTATCTTGTTCGAAATTTAATTTGATGGCAGAAATAGCATAATTATGACCTTTGTTGTTATTGGAATGTCTGAAATAATGTTGAAGTTGACCTTCATTGTATCTCATGCTATATAAAGACAATCCACCATTCAAAGTCCCCGACAAACACCAATATCCATTTCTTTCCACATCCAAAGCGTAAACAGGATTGACTTTAGGTTCGTAATTGACTGAACCATTGGTGAAATCACCAATTTTGATCTTGGGATTACTTTTCATCAATTCGTTCTTGGTTAATGGTTGTTCATTCTCCCAATATGAATTAATAACTCCGGAATTCTGTACAGAATCCACCAAATTATGTCTTTGTGCCATTGTTAAAGGAGATTTTCCTTGAATTGATGATATAAAGTCATATTTTCTGATGAAACCATCTTCTCCCCCAGTTAAAATCCATTTAGGTCCATCAGTAAATGCCATAGCATGACATTCTGACGCGTAAGGAATGGCACAGGTGGGTATGATATCGAATTGTTCGGCTATTTTCGCCTTCTGTATCATAGATTGTCTCAACAGTATATTACTAGGTTCATCAACCTCCATATCATCAGGCTTTCTACTTTCAGGTGATTTGGATTGTGATTCTTTGGCATCCATGAACTTTGAATCTTCATCTTTAGATCCATCCATATCATCATCGTCGTCATCATCATCTCCTTCGCCTTCTTCACCTTCGTCTTCACCTTCTTCACCTTCTTCACCATCGTCGTCGTCGTCTTCATTATCATCATCTCCATCTTCATCGTTGTCATCATTGTCATCGCCCATTTCTTCTCCTTCATCATTATCCATATTATTGCCATACCTGTTATCATCTAAGTCTTCATCTTCATCATTACCATCGATTTCTTCATCGTTTTCAGGGACATTAAATAAATCATCATCGATTGTCATTTTGTGCGATAAATAACATCCGCAGTTTGTGATAGATATCACCAAGAGATTGACCAAATCCTTAGACCAATGTCGTCAATGGCTAATAGACAGAGTGTTGATGATATTTGCAAGTGGAAAAATTTTGAGAGATCTACCATTTTTGTAGATAGTACATTAACTAAATACTGGAAATCTATTCATAGATCCATGAGAACATAGCAGCTTTGTAGTCAACTAATTCTTCTTTTTTGAACCATAAATCGATTTCTTTGTTGGCAGATTCAACAGAATCGGAACCGTGACAAACGTTTCTACCCATATCAATGGCGAAATCACCTCTGATGGTACCTGGAGCAGATTGTAATGGGTTGGTAGCACCTAAGATAGCTCTACCTTGTTTAACAACATCTTTACCTTCCCAGACAGTAGCTAAAACTGGTCCTGATAACATGTATGATAATAAGGATGGGAAAAATGGTTTAGATTGTAAATCATCATAATGGTTTCTTAATAATGATTCAGTTGGTTGAACTAATTTGATACCAACTAATTTGAAACCTCTGTTTTCAAATCTACCTAAGATTGAGGAGATTAATCCTCTTTGGACACCATCTGGTTTAATAGCAATAAAAGTTCTTTCGTCTGACATTTTGGGGTTGGAAACTTTGTCTGAAAAATTTTCAGAATTTATCAACGAGGAATGGTAGGGACGCGACCCGGCTGCAAAAATTCAATTGGCGAGGTTTTACCTGAGGTGGTTGATGGAAGGAGGAGGGTTCAACGACAGTGGTTGAGGGGCAATTGTGGGTGTTCTTGGGATGAATACTCTTATTCGGTTCGAATTGGTACTGTGAATGGGAACTGATGGAATTTGGGATGAATGGGGATTCGGAACCTGATTTAGGTACAGGTGGGTGGTAGTGAGGATTTGACACACTTTACGTGAACAGGATACTTCTGAAAAAAGCATTTCAGGGTTCAACAGTATTTCCGTAGGTGAACCGGAGAGGAAAATCTTGGAGAATGTGGGGATCTTGTCGTTCAGTCGGGAGCTAATAGTCTTCTGATGGGGTTCATTTTCTTTATTTTTGTCCCTTTCAAGTGTGCTGAAATGTGAATCCGAGTTATTGTTGAAACTTTGACGAAGAATGTTTGTATCAGTTGACCATGTGCTGGAATTATCGTCTTCTGGGTAATCTGAAGTTCCTGGAATAGATACCAGTCTGTCGTTATCCAATAAGGATTGCATTGATTTGGAGAAGGTACGCCAATCTTTATATACCAGGGTAATCATTGACAAATTCCTAGCAAATATGTCAACATACATTCTCCAGCATCTCATTCATATCTCACTTTCTACATACAATCCTAATCTCGCCGCCAATGCTCGCTAATTCGTTCCCTATTTCTACCGCGATCTCTGGCTGCCCTCTACCACCGTATTTTTTGCAGTCGCGAATGTTTACAAATTACTCAAAACGATCATTAGTACCAATGGATCCATTCGTTGAAAAAGAGAACCAAATCCCCCTTATCACCAAAAATGACAAGAAAAGAAAACAACACACACCTATAACTCCTTCATTAGCTAAGACTGTTATCAGAAGAAAGGTTGAAGCTCCAAAACTCACCTTTGCAAATGATGATATGAGAAAGTTATCATACAACAAATGGTTACTTGAACAAGAGATGAAAAAGAATGATGAACTCATGAAGTTTGCCGAATTGGAAGAGAAATTTAAGTCTTAGATAGGTCAAGCTTAATACCATGCCAGGAAACTCGGTCGAATACCCATGAATCCCACTCCCCACCAGTTATCCTATAAGTCTATACTCACATCCACAATCAAGACCAAACCTTAAAGTCCTCATCGGATCTAGATACGAAGCTACGAATATAGTCAATAAACGAACAGACGAACATGTTGAACGTATATTTAATATACCCGTTGAAGGTATAAGCAGTTGATGCTGTGTTGAATGCTATTTATCTATTTTTCTTTTTATATTTTTTTCTATGTTTTCCTTTTCTAACCCCTACTCCTTAACTCCTTGTACTCCTGAAGTAACTGGTGATCTTATCGTCACCTCCATCGAAATAACTACCATCACGGGCGTTCTTCCAGTCATTATGTTTTTCAAGCATTCTTTGTTGCTCATCTTGTCTTGAACCTCTTTCCTTTAAATCATCACCTAACCAATAGTGAGCTAATGGATGGAATGAGTTACTAACTGGAATCCTATACTGAGAATCGACTTCTTGGATTTTCTCAATGGCTTCAAACTTAACTTGAGTCATCTCGATATCATGTTTAATAGTACCATTATTCAAATGAACCAATCTGTCACACCATTGTTTGTTCAAACCATCATAGATATGGGTGGCATAGATTACACAACAGTTTCTGGTCTTACATTCATTCTTTAAAAAGTTCAATAAGTTATCTCTAGCAATGACGTCCAAGTCAACTGTAACTTCGTCCAACAATAATAACTTCCAAGGTTTCAATAATCCCATTACCAATTGGACCCTTCTTCTTTCTCCATCACTGATTTTAGACATCAACCAGTCAGGGTTAATATCTAAGATCCTTATCAACTCATCCCTTCTATCCAGGAAGCTATCACCTCCAATGGAAGAAATTAATAAGTTTACCGGGATCTCACGCTTAACTATAGGATTGGATGCCCATTCGATCCCCAAGTAAGTGATATAATTATTAATATCACTATTTCTTTGAGAATTACGATTAATGTTGAATTCAAAAGGATCAAAACCTCCCAACTTCAATTGACCTTGCTTGATCAATGTCTTTCCTGCTAAAATCCTTAATAATGTAGATTTCCCAGCTCCGTTGGGACCAATAATTAAATTAGTAGATCCCCAAGGTATAGCTAAAGAAATGTTTTCAATACCATAGGTAGTGGTGTTTGGGAACTTATAAGTTAAGTTGATGGTTTCAACAGCAAGTTGATCTGATGAGTCCATTTTTGAGATTATTCGCACTATCGGGTGGTATGAGTATCCTCACCACAGGAGTAGTTTCATAGGTCGGAGTAAACCTAATCGAGTGGATTATTGATGTTTCAGATGTTTGATAATGAAAAAATAAGACTGTTCGTAAACCGATAAATGCTTTGTTTCAGATTTGTTTCAAAATTTGTTTCAGGTTCCTAATTACCAAAAAGGGAAAGTTCCTTCCCCCAGATTTCTCAGCCTTTTGTAATCACAAACAATGCCACCTGTTTTGCCGTTGGAGATAGTGAGAGAAATATTCGATTACCTACCAATCCCAACTGAAGAATTGTTTGGGAAAGGTGATGGAGGAGCAGAAAAATGGGAGAACCTCAAAAAGACTGAACTTCAAGTAAATCATGGTGGTTCTTATAATGACCCTTTTGATCAATATGAGTATAATGAACATCATAAATTGATTCAGATCAGTCACATGTCTTTGGAATCCTTATTTGATTGTTATAATCGACCACCTTTCTTTCCTGATGGCTTAGAATTGAGAATTGATAAAGTGAACCTAGGGAGGCTTTTAGGACAAGGGTCCATAGTACAATCATTTCGAATCATTCTTGATGCTGTTAATGCGCTGTTAGGTCTTGAACTTCTACAAAAGATGGAAACCCCGATCAAGCTTGGATTTGTGAGTTCTGATTCATGTGATCTGTGGAACCTTTTGAAGACCACCAATTTTGACTCTTTAGAGCTTGGTCACTTGACAGACACTTCGGAATTGAACATGATGCCGTTAAAAAGATTGAAACTTTACCAGTACGACCCAAGTTGGTCAATTGATGGTGTTTTGAAAGCCAATGTTGAAAGCCTCGCTTGGAATATTTACTGTAAAGACGATTGGGAATATCCACTTCATTTAGATTTGAACTTCCCCAACCTCAAACATTTACAATTGTATTTGTTCTGTCCATATGCGGACTCCTCGGTGGTAATAAAGCTTCCTGAAGGGTTGAAAGAGTTCAAAATCTTAGGTCAAATGAATCATTGTTCTGTGAACTTACCTCGAAGCTTGAAGACTTTCCTGACGTTTGTGAAATTATCAGCAACTGTAGAAGATTCTGCAGGTGTTCAACAACCTTTAACGTCATATTCTCAATTACCATCGTTGAAATCACTTTCCTTCAATTCCGGAACAATTAGTAAATCAGATGGTTTTCCTACTTCTATCGAACAATTAGAGATAATATGGGAAATGGAACTTGATGTTGACTTCCAGAAACTTCCAAACTTGAAGAAAATCTCCATCCATGGTGTGGATCCTCAGAAGATGTTTTCCAGGTACGAAGTTGAAGAGTCTTCGTCCCCCAATTCTTTAACTTTCAAAGCCTTTGGCAAGTTATACTCCATTCCGTTCCACGAATCGTTAGAAACGATCCATATCATGGATACGAACGACATTGAAGTGATATCATACCCGAAATTGAAATGTTTAGAGTTATTAAACTGTGGGTCTGGACTCTTCAAGAATATCCCACCAGATTTAAAAGGTTTGATGGTTTATTCCAGTAAAACACTTGACCAAGAGAAAATTATGTTGCCTCCGAATCTAGAAGTGTTCCAACTTATGTTCGATGACATTAATAAGTATGTGTTTGGCAATGTCAAACATTTTTTCTTGAGTGATAGTCCGTTCGAAAATTTCGTGCCACCAAATGATCTTTGTACCTTTGAGTTCACTGGTAGTGAAGAACAGACCCCTGAATGTCTTGATTTATCTGAAACCAAGGTATCAAAGTTTTCTTTTGAAGTAAGAGAATTACAAGGCATGAAGAAAAAAGTGGTTCTTCCTTCTACACTTCGCTTACTTGAACTCAGCAGTGAAGTGGAAATGTCCTATGATATGGATTACACCCATGTTGATAAAGATATCTTACGTAGAGTATGATTCAGAAATTGCTGCCACAGAAATTTGCAGCCAAAAGTATCCACATTTTAATTTAAGTCTTGATAACATCTGCAACCACCCTCGCTTTCAACTCTCACTTAAGCACCTCTCACTAATTACCTCCCACCAAACAGCTTCCCACCTCCTCACATCCATTCCCACCTCCACCGTGTCGGCACAACCCCTTAACAACAACAAACACCCCTATTCCGTCCCTCCGAATTGCGCTTTCTTCCTACACACTTTTTACGCTTTAAGTTTCCTCATAGGTTCGGTCTAGATTCCCCAGCTTTTTCGCAGCCATTGGCAAAAACCTAAAAAGTCACACATTTGATGAACCACAATACTTTCCAATGGCATCGTCCTTACCTATAGAGCTTGTCAAGGAGGTTTTTGAGTATCTCCCAGTGCCAACTAATGAATTGTTCGGTGAAGGAGATGGAGGAGCTGGAAGCTGGAGAAATCTCAAACAAATGACCTTCTCCATTACTTTGCTTAGAGACAATGGTGATATTTATGATCAAATTGAATCCAAAGAGTATCATAAAACAATTCAAACTGTTCATTCATCACCAGAATCACTCATAGATTGTTACCATCGTCCACCATTCTTTCCCGATGGATGTGAACTAGTAACTCATCCTCATGAATTGAAAATGCTTGCAGACTTAGACAAGACAGTGGTAAACAATTTCCGTACACGTTTGGATCAGGATATTTTACACGGATTGAGTAGTTACCAGGAATTGAGCCAAGACGTTACATTCAGCGAAGTTCAAGTGAATGATTTGAATGAATTGGAGTATTTAGATATTGATTATGAGTCATTGGTTGTTCAAGGACCTTGTGATAGTAGATTTTATGATTTGCCTTTGAAGAAATTGAAATTGGATTCTACGGAATGGCGGGGCCCTTTGGTGGGAAGTTTAGCCAATACCTTAGAACATCTCATTATTCGAGTTGATGGTAATGACCAATATTTGGATTTGAGTCTACCTAAGGTTAAGATGTTAGAGGTTGTAACACACTCAGGTAACCCATCCTTGGAATTGATTCTTCCATCAAACTTAGAACTGTTGGTCATTGATGGAAATGCTCAAACTGTCAAAGCTGAGTTACCTCAAAGTCTTAAAACCTTACTGGCCGAAAGAGTAGAAAATTTCGAAAGCAGTTGGATGACACCTTCACTCCAATCATTAAGCTTCATCCCAAAAACCAACCACATAGATCAGTCCCAATTAAAACATTTAACTATTAAGAACATAGATCCTGAAAGATCTTGCGTACTCTCAAAGCTACCCCCATCATTGGAGTCTTTGGAAGTAATTCATCAGGTAGATTTGGCAGTAGACTTTACAAAATATCCTAACCTTAAGAATTTTTCAGTGTTGGGTCCAGATCCATTAAAAATGTTCAAAAATTACCAGGGTCATGGTATCAATACTTTTTCCTTCCAATATGCCCAGAATCATTACCTGGTTCCCTTCGGTGATAATCTTAGCGATTTCAGTCTTTCAGAGTGTTACCATGAAGTTAGCAATGTAAGTTACCCAAAATCATTGAAATATTTGAAAGTATCAAGATGCGTTTCGGAGTTCGTGAATGGGTTACCTGAATTAAGATCATTGAGCTTGAAGGATATTTCACCTACATCTATTGTAACTTTACCCAACCTCCAAATGCTTCAGATAGTTAATTGTAACTTGGATATGTTCATCTATCACCAGATTAAACATTTCTTCGTTACCAATGTCGAAATCAATCAGTTCAAAGTACCTGAAGATGTTCTCACATTGGAGATAATGCAAACCTCACTCCCTCCTGTTCTCGATTTTACCAACACAAAATTATCAAAAGTTTCATTGGGTGCAAAGTTCCCCGAGTTTTCAGAAGATGACGAATTTTTTGACGATCTTAAGAGTTTCCCTTATGAACCTAAAATCTTACTCCCTTCAACAATAAGAGTATTTGAAATCGATGCGGCTCATGGTATTGAGCCAAGAGTTGGTTATGATAATGTTAACAAAAGTATCCTTAGAAGTATTTAGTCTATTGAATTTAAGTGTTTTTTTAGTTTGAATTTCCATATATTATAATATAATTTTCTGACAATTTGTTTCTGGTTTGTTTCAAATTTGTTTCAGGTTTGTTTCAGGTTTGAGATCGACGGGTGGTACTTTTTGAGACTTTAAAATATTTTCATGAGTACCACCTAAATTATCTGCAGATTGTTCTGCATATTTGAAACATAGGAAAACTATTTAAAGTCCCTAATCCACCCCTAAAACTTGGCTTGGTCAATTATTCCTAACTTAGCTTGGTCAATTGCTTCTTTATAAAAATATCACCCCTATGAATCAATCATTACCCCTTGAGATCATTGAACAAATTTTTCAATACCTCCCCATTCCAACAGATGAACTTTTAGGAAAAGGGGATGGAGGCATGGCAAAATGGAAAGAACTTCAAGATAAAGAATTTGTTATATCTTCAATTCCTAATCATAGTGAGTATTTCGATCAACTTGAAAGTAAAGAGTTTTCAAAAATTATTCAATACAATCATACGTCGTTTGAATCTTTGGTGGACTGCTATCAACATCCACCCTACTTTCCTTCTGGAATGTTACTCACAGTCAGTGCAAGAGATTTAATACATGTTTTGAAGTACAAAGTGGTGAAAGATAATTTCCGTATAGCCATCCTCGAAACACTTCGTCCACAAGAAGCGGTCCTTTTCAAAGAGATCTTTGCCAGATTGGATATCTACTATTTGAAGGTAACTTACGCCGATTGTTTGTCTTATTTAGGAGTTTCAGGTCTAGAACAGTTTTCTTTCGAAGCATCAGACGATCCTTCAATACTCAACCGATTCCCTATAAAAAGATTAGGAGTTCCATACAATAACTGGGGATTTCCAATACGAGGTCCATTGCTCAGTAATCTTGAAGATTTGTTTGTTAATTTGGAAGGATACGAGCCTGGCCCTGTCAAATTGGATCTTCGTCATTTAAATCTTCAGGCATTTCAGATTTTTGCTTCCCGTGGAACAACCCCCCCTGAATCCATTGAATTACTACTTCCCGAATGTTTAGAAGAACTTTCCATCAATGCCAAAGTCGGCACTCTCGTCACCAACTTCCCCAAAGGTTTGAAAAGTTTCGTGACTCGTGATTACGATAAATTAGACATTTCCAAATTACCAGTTTCTTTGGAAAAATTAGATTTCACTCCCAACTCAGGTTCATTCTCTCGATTGAGTCATTTAAAGGAACTTCTCATCACTTCTGCTAAGAAAGTGATCATCACTGATCTTCCACCTTCTTTAGAGGTCCTTTCGATAACTCATCCAATTCAAATGAACGTAGACTTCACCAAACTTCCTAACCTTCGAAGTTTCCATATCAAAGGAGGAAATTTTCATCAGATTTTCCCGAATTTTGTTGCACCTCCTGGTTCTTATGATAACAGGCTTTGCTTCATCGAACAAAACGAGCTTTACAGTGTTCCCTTCCATGAGAATCTTTCATATATGTGTATCAAACAAATCACGGACCCACTTCTCACAGTTTGCTATCCTCAAAGCTTGAGACTTTTGCAGTTCAGAGGATGTGATGATGTCAAGTGTATTAGATTTTTACCACCAAACTTGAAAGGATTGAAAATATTTTATGCTGACACAACTGAAGGGGATTTTGAGTTACCACCAACGCTTGAATTTTTGGATTTAACAGACTCAGTTGTTGATGAGTTTTATTATGGTTCTTTGAAACATTTATTCTTACACTCGACAAGATTGTGCCAAGGTGATTTGACCAATGACTTGGTTACGTTGAGTTTTATAGAGGCTGGAGATGTAGAATTTCCTGCTAGACTCGATTTATCTAAAACTAGACTCTCCAAGTTCACATACAAACGTGGTGTTGATACGTCTAATCCATTAGTGCGCATGATGGTTCAATTTGGAATGGAAGTTGATGATCCTGACAACCCCAAATTTCGAGTAATTTTACCTTCTACCACAAGATTGTTGGATCTTGGTGAACAAGGACGTGACAGTTTTCGTTTTAACAAATCAAGAGTAAAGAAGAAGCTTTTAAGAGAAATTTAAATTTCTGGAAGGATCTTGATACTATTGGGAGAATTTCCAGGGTTTTCAAGTCAATATTTAGTAGTATTACCATCCAGTCTTCTCGGATCTGCCCTTTTTCTCTACCTTTTATGTGCTTTCCCTATTCTTGAACCTGCTTTTTCTGCTACTCTTAGTTTAACGTCAAGAACCATGAACTGAGTCATCATAGACTTTCAAGAAGTCTTCTCCTTGAGTTGCCAACCTCTTGGTTGTGATTCTTTCTGGTTTATTGACGTAGGTAATTGTGAGAAATAGTTGTTGTCATGAACAAACAATAAGTCTGACGAGTCTTGTAACTATAACAGCATATCCCATCTAATACATAAGTTCCTCATCTAAATCCTCAGGCCGATGAATCTCTAATTGTGTTGTCTCTTTTGAATATTCAGCCATGGCACTTTCAAACAGTGTAGATAACTCAACCCTCACTCTTTTCGCAGCCTTTATGTTCACAAATGTACAGTTTCTGTCTGTACAATTACCGATTGAGATCATAAAGGAGATCTTTGAGTATCTTCCGATTCCCAATGAAGAACTCTTTGGTAAAGGAGATGGTGGAGCTCAGAAATGGAAAAATCTAAAGAGTCTGACATTTGAAATCCTCAACACACCAAGAGAAGAAGGACTATTCCAACAATTCGAATATAATGAGTACCATAAATGCATTCAATTCCAACACTTATCTGTCAGGTCATTGATTGACTGTTACTTTCGTCCACCATTCTTTCCCGATGGGCTAGAGCTACGGGTGGGAGTTTCAGATTTTAAATCCCTTATGACGTATGACTTTATGTTGGAGAAATTCCGTATCCGGCCAGATAATGAAGGTACTGTGGATATTTTGGAACTATCGAGGAATCTGAAACGCCAATTCAGCTTGATTGAAACAGATGATCTAGATCTATTGTCAGACATACAGTTCAAATCGTTGAACATCAGACGTTCCATTGACTTGACTCAATTGTTCCAAATACCTCTCAAAGAGTTGATCATTGACGAAGATCAATGGGACTCGCTGTTGGAGGGGCCATTGAGTCGGTCATTAGAGAAACTCACCCTTCGTGTTAACAATGGCAGGGTGGCTAAGGAACATTTACTGTTGAGTTTGGACTTCCCCAAACTTAAACTGTTTAATTTATCTTGTCGTGCCCTATGTAAGACTGCTGAGGTGATTCTACCCTCAAATCTTGAAGAATTTGTGATTGAGGGTCAATTATTGGAATGTAAGATGAACTTCCCTCCAGGGATCCAAATTATCCATTTGGGCCATGGTGAAACAAATCTCATTGAAACTCATTCCCTTGAAACGTCGGATAAACTTTTCAAGTCCTTTGCTTGCAGCTTACATTTCCCTTCGTTGAGATCACTCTCCGTTGGTTCGTCCGTCAATATACTGGTTGAAGATTTACCACTTACTTTGGAATCTTTGACTATGAGGTCATTGGTTTTAGAAGGAAATTTGAACAAGCTTCCGAATTTGACTAAAGTTTCCATATTGTCCACGAAACTTGACGTTGTTTTCCAGAACTATAAGGTTAACCTGCCTTTACCCAATTCATTCTCCTTCAAAATTCATTCCCAAACATATTCTGTAAGATTCAGTGACCAGCTTAAGTCTTTATTTTTGTCTAACTCAAATGTAACTCTGGTTTTGAGCTATCCAGAGTCATTGAAAACCCTAGACATTCGAAATTGTGGACCTGAAATGGCAAAACGTTGGCCCCCAAACCTCAAAGGCTTAAGAATACTGTACAATCATCGACATACTGAGAAAGTGGTATTACCAGAGTCTCTAGAGGTCTTTCATTTATTATTTGATCTGATAGAGAATTATCAATTCAGAAGCATCAAGCATTTATATCAATCTAAGTTTCATTTTGAGACTTTCAATCCACCAGACAATCTTCGTAGTTGGGTCTTCGCGGGCAATATTTCTTCAAACGAAGGAATCTTTGATTTATCTCATACGAAAGTGTCAAGAATTCAATATGCCACTACGGGAAGAATCGATAATACTGAGATTATCCTCCCTCCCAGTCTCAGAAGGCTCGAAACAAATAAACGACATATCATGAATGATGTCAGGGTTAGTCAAAAATTATGCAGGGACGTGTCTATAGATTATTAATGTAGGATTACATACTTCAGGTTCAATTTCTGCGCGCTCGCAACCATAAGGTATATAGGGAAACTCTCCTTGAAACGCTCATTTCTAGGTGTATCTCTTACAGATATTGTTGGCAATGTTATTGAAAGGTGTGATCTTCTTTCTTAATGAATCATCTGTCGATGTTGGTTTCCGTGAATTTCACAGAATTTGCTGAATATCGACTTCTAACAGAACGATAAGAACACTTAACTTAAATAACCTATTGAACACCATTGGAACCTTTCTCACACGTGCCTGTTAACTCTTCAGTGCATTTATCAACAAACAAAGAGCTCCAAATTGACTTCTGAGCCGAACGCAAGACTTGGCCCACTTGGAGAGAGTTCACTTTTCGCACCCAAAGTTCGTAAATTATCGGTTACCACACATTTGAAGACTTTCCCAATCCACAAGTAACTTCTTGAAACCTCAGAACACCACTGCCGATACACAATGGTACTAGCTTCTCTACCAACAACAGAGAGTAATGCTATAAACGGTGCCATTGGAAGAAAACTACCCCTTGAAATCATTCGTGAGATTTTCCAATATCTACCTGTTCCCACAAATGAAATCTTCGGACACGGAGATGGTGGTACTAAACGATGGAAACAGACCAAAGAGCTACTGTTTACTATAGAGCCTAGAGCATTTGATCACACGTTTTTCGATCAGTTCGAATCGAATGAGTTTCATAAAATCATTCAAACGGCTCATCCAACTGCCGAATCATTTGTAGATTGTTACAATCGTCCTCCTTTCTTCCCCGACAACACAGAAGTCATCATCAGAAACGAAGATCTTTCCCATTTTTTGACTTTCGGTGTGGCTAAGAAGGTTCGTATACGGATAGGAACTCTAGCTTTAGGTTACGAACTGAAAATATGTAGAGAATTTCCCACTGGTTACAGGTTAAGTAAGATTTGTTTAAGCCTCGAGGGTTATTTCACAGGTGGAAGATTTCCTACTTTTGACTCAGTCAGTATTGAAGATGACTACAACGGTCTTGAGCTAACAGAAAATCATTCCTTACCGATTCTCCCATTTCATACCCAAATAAAGGAGCTAGAGGTGGAAACCCATAATTGGCCATGTATAAAGCATCGTCTTCCACCGGCACTTCAAAAGTTGAAACTTGTAGACAATGGTTATGGTGATGATCTCAGCGATATCGACTTAAAATCATCCTCCATCAAGCTGTTGACCATTGATTCTAAAAGACCAATTACGGTGATGAAAATAACACCCCCCGATTGTTTAGAAGAGCTTTTGATACTGGGGATGGTGGGGAAGTTGGAAATGGACTATCCAAGCACTTTGAAGTTACTTACGTTACCAGATATGGACCGTTTGACTCTACCTGATACTTTGGAAGAGTTAGATTTCATTCCAACAGTTGGGATAACTTTATCACATTTCCAAAACTTAAAAGTTCTTACTGTTGACGCTCAAATTCTTGATTCAGGATTTGTTCTTAAATCATTACCTCCATTCATTGAGGAGCTTCTAGTGATTCCTCCAATACAGATAGATGTGGATTTCACGAAGTTACCTAGACTTTGGAAACTCACCGTTGATGCCTGTGAATTGGATTCTGTGTTTCAGACTTACACAGTAGACGTTCCATCACTTGACAATTCCTTGACTTTTAAGTTCTTGGAACAGACTTACAGTATACCTTTCACCAGTGAATTGACTTCATTGTCCTTACTCGAAATTGTCGATGATGCCGAGATTATTTGCTACCCCCAATCGTTGAAATATTTATCCATTACAGGTTGTGGTAACTCATTATTACTGGCTTTCCCTTCTGGATTAAAAGGTTTGAAATTACATTCCAACTATGGAGCAAATGGCTTGGAATTACCACCAGATCTCGATGTATTGCAAACCTCTGATGATTACTTAAATAGCGTTAGATGTGGTACCATCAAACATTTGCTTGCTAACTACACTGACCTAAGTGAGCTCAAATGTCCTAAGGGTTTACAAACATTTGTTTATGTTGGTAACGACACTGGAGTTCCCATGCAAGAATTCTGGAATGACGCTCAGTTAACCCGATTATCATTAGGCATCGTTAGAGATCCTAACGGAGACTTATATGAGTCCCAAAACAGGAATTGTCTGATACGGTTAACCAAGAGGCTACGATTGTTTGAAGAACATTGTTCAGATGACGTACAATTGGACATAAAAGATGAATCTGATCGGTCAATTCTAAGAAAGGTGTAGAAAGAATTGGGGAGAGACGATGTTTCAGATTTGTTTCAGAGTTTCTCAACCGCACGACCAAAGATATTGTTACAATTGACTATACATTATTCCGACAAGGCATTATGCATTGACTTGATTTAACCATTCAGAGACTTCCTTGATAGGTTCAGGAATGTCGGAAATGAATTCGAATTCATAATTGGTGATAAAGTACTTGAATAAACTCAAATAATCAAATACCAACCATTTCTTATCTTTAATCTCTATCTCATCAGAGTCAGAAATTTGAGTTGTTTGAACATCAGCTAAAATGGCTGAAGCCTTTTCAATGATTTTCACCAATAATTCACTCACTATAGGTTTAGATGGGATGGAGTCTAAAACTCTTACCAAGGATTCGAAACATGTGCTGTTTGACACAAGTAAGTTTTTAGGGGATTCTAAACATTTAGTGAATAATAAACTTGCGTCCAAAATACTTGAATCAACCAAATGTTCAAGAATGACAAAGATGAATTGAGGTTGATGACTCCAGATTCTGAAAATCGCATCAATGATATCATTTTGAATGACGAGACGTTGTTCCGGAGATGCGGTATTAGGAGGGAAACGGAATTCTTCTGTTTTAGGATAATCACTATCTTGTAACTCCACACCACTACACCATTTCAATTTAGTCAAATCTCTATCTAAGATCCCATTGGTGGAGTAGATAGAACGGTTACCAATATTGCAGTAGGTTTGAATGAGGTAGGTGATCAAGAAACTTGGTTTGTTCAAAGATTCATCGGTGATTTCATCATTTAATTCCGTCCAATGTTGGAAGAACTGTTCATTGGTTCTATTATGGCCCATTAAGAACTTATAGAATTTCTGGAAGAATGGATAGAAAGGAATGTTAGAATCATTGAAGATGTATAACATTTCATTTTGAGGTGATGTTACTACGGTTGAAGTATCTTTCTTTTCTTGACAAAGTTTAGTGACCAAACTGTTTACTTCTTCATTACCAGCGAATAACTTAGTATCAAAATCAATGATGTAATCGGAATCTTCTAAATTTAAGGTTAAATATTGGTGGAACTCTTCAAAATGAACCAAACTATCGGTTTGTGGATCCAATGTAACAAAACTATCTTTGATTCTCTTCTTATTGGATAATTTGATTTCTTTGGAGATCAAGTTTTTGATGAAACTTTTAGTTGGATGGTAAGAATAGTCAGTTAAGGCTTTAGAATCTTCAACCCATTCATCCCATTTCCAACTGAACTCGAAATTAGATATTTGAACAGCCATCCAATCCATGAATCTTAAACGAGTCTCGTAGTTCAATACTTCTAAGTTCTTATAGAAGAATCTGAAAGCTCTACCAAAGACTGGTGCATACCAATCTGGATTGTTACGACAACACGTGATCAAAACAGTATAATAGTAAATAGGTAATCTCAAAGGTTTAGTGAACATCAATTGTAAGAAAGTCTCCACAATTAAATCTTCCATTTTCCAAGTGGATAACGGAGGGATGTTTTCACCATTGACATTATCCTTATGAATGTCAGCTAATCTATCAACAGGAGTTCCTGGAGGAGCGAAAAGATCGGAATTGAAATATAAATCGAAGATTGATAATTGCACCGCAGTTTCGTTCCTATTGAACTCTAAGTTGTGCACCAAGTCACAAATGACATCTTTGAAGAATAAGTGACTATAAGTTTTACCCTCAGGAACGGTAGGGAAATCTTGTTTGTAAATAGTGAGGAAAAATCTTGGTTGACTCCATAATTGATCAATTCCAATCAATTTATGCTCCTTCAAAACATCAGGATTTATGGCGAATTGTGGTAAGGCATGTTTGACCATAGTACTGGAGATTTTATTTCTCTGTAACGACTCATTTATGATAGGTTCCATGTGGCTTTTGAAATCAATGAACAATTTCTTACATTCTGGGAAGTCTATTGAAGGCAAAATGGTTTCAAGAAGGTTAACGTAGATATCTGGGACTTGGAAATTGTTTGATTTGGAGTCAAAATGAGTATAAACTGATTTTAACAGAATATTACTATCGAATTCCTTGGCCAAAGTCAACAAACCGTCATATTTATCAGTGATGTCATCATTGGCGAAAACATATGGTAAACATATCAAAGTATTGTAGTAAATTTCTTGAGCCAATGGAGGGTTAGAAGCTTGTAAGTCGATGGAAACTTTCAAGAATTGTTGTAACACATTATATAAAGCCCCATCTTCGATGATAGGAGATAAACAACATAAAAACTTCAAAATGTTCTTGACATCGTTGAAACAACCTTTAGGGGAACCTTGGTCGAGGGAATGGAAGAAATCTTGAACTTTAGAATGGAAATATTCAATGACGTATTTTGAAACAAGAAAATTCTTAGCGTTACAAATCATCACCAACACACTGACCACTTGAACTTTCATTGGTTGTTCTAATACCACAGCACCTAAAGTCTTTAAGACAGCTGATCTTAACTCATCAATCTTCTCAAACTCTACTACGATGGGATTGGAGATGTAGGAGATATCATCAACGGTGGTGTTGATTTGAGCACCTTCTCCGATACGTCTGATATCTTTCGTGACATTACCAACTAATTCCACCACAGGATCTTGATGTTGTCTCTTAGAATCATCGAATTCATCGTCTTCTCTTGGACGTTTATTCTCCATGTTGATGAAAAACTGCGAACTGAAAAGTTTCGAAACTTTGGTGCGACCGCGCTGGTGGGAAAAAAGCCCTTCCATCGCCAAATCATGGTGGAAATATTTGATGGGGGTTTAGGTACTGAATTGGCCAAAATAGTTACTTTGGATAGTAAATTATGGTCAGGGGGACTTCTTCTTACTAACCCACAACTTATACAAGACCTTCATGAGAAATACGTTAAAGCAGGAGCAAAATATATCACCACAGCTAGTTATCAGACATCGTATAGTAGCTTGCGAGATGAGGGATTGGGTGCAAAAAGTGAAGAGATTTGGGCAACGTCGTTGAAAGTAGCACAAGAGGCTGCTAAACTAGCTGAAGGTGTGAAAGTAATGGCAAGTATAGGACCTTATGGAAGTTATGTCAATGATGGATCTGAATATACTGGTCAGTATGACATAAGTCTTCCCCAGCTTATTGAATTCCATCGACCAATGGTTGATTTCTGGAACAAGAGCGAAGCTGATATAATCATTTTCGAGACTGTACCCAACCCAATTGAGCTTCAAGCCATCTTATCATTAGCCATCACTAAACCTTATATTATCAGTTTCAGGGTCAATGATCTCATGACAATCGAAGCCATCAACAAAACATCCTTCACTGATGCATTGGCTATCGGGATCAATTGTGTTGACTACAAAGATATCACAGAGTATTATGGCCAACTCACTTCCACGAAAAACGTTGTAGTATACCCTAACTATGGATACCAAATGATAAATAATCAATACCAATCAACTCCCGAACCTTCAAAATGGGAAGAATGTGTAAAGCAATGGATAAGTTTAGGAATTTGGGGCATAGGTGGATGTTGTTCCACCTCCCCTGAAGAAATTGCCATAATTAGCAAATTACTTACTTAGGAAATTACTTAGCAAATTACTACCAACCAATTACATAAGCAAGAATTGTCTCAGTTTTTTACCAACCAGCTCCCTTCCGCCGCTCCCGTAACCGTCTGACCAAAATGTCGTCTCATCGCATACCCGGAATATGGTCGTAAGTCCAACCCACCAATTAGTGGCTAGTGAAGGCACGGAAGTAAACGGTTTAGTGGATAGAAGTTCAATTACATAACTCAATTAGGACATTATATTAAATTAAGATTAAAAATATACACACTATTAAATTAATAATACTTATTCTTGATAAAATTTTTGAATTGGAAAACTACCATTATCCAAGCCATTAATAAACAGGTTACACCTAAAGCTATATTTAAGGTAAACATTGCATCATAACCTTTATACTCTAAAGCAAGAACTATTGGATCACAACTTTCCATAAAGATCATTCCACCGGAAATTAAACAGAAAGATACCAAAAGTTCAGTTATAGGTTGACTTGGCCTTATCATCATATCTAAAGATGGGGGTTTTGATAAGATTAAATTTAAAATGTAGGTTAAGAATCTGAAAGCTGTACCATAAACGAACATAGTACCCCATTGACTATGAATTTTAGTTGATAATTCTGATGCTTGTTGATGTTGAGACATTAAAATCCCTGTCCAAAAGATAGTCAAAATTGGGAAAGGGTTTGGTGAAAATCCTGGAGATGATTTGATGATTGATTTATCATCGATGTTCTTACTGTAATCAAATCTCCAGTCATTCAATTTATGTTCAACTAATAATCCACTGAATCCTGCTCCAATATAAATGAATGCAATTGATGCGTGTTCTAAATCTTTAGCAGACCATTTACCTCCTGGATTAGCTAAATGTTCCATGAAAACATTGGTTATACCATAAAAAAAGATTAAGAAACTTTCAATGAATTCCATGGTAATTAAACCTTTTGGTTGAATTTTACTCCACCAACCAAAACTTTCTGATGTTATAAATTTATAATTCCAAGCCCATCCTTTATTTTGGAAAGCTCCACAATATCTTGCTAATGAAATGACTCCAAGGAAGAAGAAAATCCCCCCTTTAATGAAATGTGCTAATAAATTAAATACAGTCTTACCTTGACCAAATAATCCAAATGTTGCAATACCTGTAGGGATATATACAAAAATAAATAAGAAATTAAACCAGTTTAAAATATTAAATACAATCACTGAAATCTTACCCACGGAATCAATAATTCTACTAATAAGAGAATTATCAAAGATTTTGTTAACGTTAAATTTCCCTTTAACGAAATTTAAATGATTTGATAAATCATTAGTAAATCTTTCATCATGATCATTATCAGAATTATCTATATGAGTTTCATCATCATTTAAATCAAAAGAATTTGGACTTTGATTACGTGATAAATCATATAAGGTTATAGCCGGACTATCAATTTGATCAATTGATTTATATTGAGATTGTCTCAAATAACCAATCTTCAATACGGTGAAAATCAATTGTCCTATGACAGTGACAGCATAGATCCAATTAAATTTATTGAAAACATTCCCTGGGTATAAATCAGGTATGGAATGTATAAAAATTGAATAATTGAATAATCCAAAGAGGGCAATCCCACTATTTATCACCAAACCAATAAGATAATTTATTGATTGGGGATTTAAATTGTTGATTACCATTAATATTGGGTTAATGAATATAAAACTGATTGTCATGAATACAAAATATAAACTCATGGCAGTTTTATTATTGTTAGGATAGTTTATATAGTTAGTAGCATTATAATTTTCCCAAAATAGTCTTTCCTGAGGTAATAATTCCGTTTGTAAGATGGGCATTCCATGCATATGTTTCATAACATGAGGTATTGGAACCATTGAGGCCATTGATTCCATATTACTGCTATCCACCAGGTTACCAGTTGTACTCATCTCATTACTGCCATCGGAAATATCATTATGTGAGTCATGGTTATCGCTATTGGCCATGGGCATATCTTCCATATCACCATGGGCAAAAGCTAAAGATAAAAATAACCAGTATACTAACTTCATTTGCAATTTGTGGATAATGGAAATTTCTGGGATTCACTTGTATTTATATAACGTAATCCTAGACTGTCCGACATGTCGCGAAGGAAAGAAAAAAAGATGTTTCAGATTTTCCCTAACTTCCGGCCAGTACCAGTTCCGTGTTCCGTGAGAGAGAATTGATTGAAGTTATGGGAAAGATGACGGAGATGATGGAAGTGATGACGGAAGAGGTTAACAATTGGATTGTAGGCTTTATATTAGATGTTTTTAACGTTAGACAGATGAGATTTTATAGCCGAAGGCCGATGAATTCACAGCTGCAGTGTGAATTAAACTTTACTAATTAACCTAATCGGGACACATACGGTAATATCGGTTTACCAGTCACAATTACTAATTTACCCTAGTTTTAGAATGACACCACTTACTATAACACCACTCCTTATGGAACCATTATTGCGGTCGGCTGTCGGAGTTATAGTTGAGCCATGAATTTAAGGTTTCAGTCTAAGTTTGCTAGTGTATGAGATTGCCTGTTGTTATAGAGATTAGTAAAAGTTATTAATAGGAAGTTATTTATACCTTATGAATTAATAACCCCTCAGATTTCATGCACATATGATTCTAGGTTCTTAAACAGTTAAGCAAATCTCCATGGGGTTACGGACTTTTGGGCTTTTTTTTTTGCAGCCTACTTCTCCCCCTCTGGCTTAGCCTCTAAGTTACGGCTAAGGTTTGTTGTACTATGACTAACCTAACCATCGTAGTATACTGACATGACCCCCATTGAGGTGTCGTGCTGCCTCGATCATCGCAATTGTTTCCACATTCATAAACTCCTTATCAATGCCGATCCCTTATCTCACACCACCAGAGTCCTATTTTTAGAGCAAAAAAATTTATAATGCATTCTTCCTAGTTAAATAATCAAACCTACTATAAGTGTATCCAATGAAAGGTAAATCCTCTTTAACATTTTTACCTCCTTCAATTTTTCCTGGAGCTGGAGCATCAGGAACATTCTCCAATTCATCTGTTGGGAAAAATCTCGTATCAGTGATAGATCTAAGTTTGGGTATAAATGGAGCATCGACTTTTCTGATAGTTTCCCAATCCACCCCTCGGAAAAATGGATGACGTTTCAAATCATCGGCTCCATTATATCTACCTAACCTATTCTCACTACTAGTTAATAATTTCTTGATTAAATCTTCGGCTTCCGGCGATAAATGGATATCTTCAGGGATTTGCAATGTTTCTTGCCAATTAAGGATCTTTCTGTAAGTCTCATGAGGAGTTTCTGAACAAAATGGGGGCCATCCAATCAAACACTCAAACATAATAGCACCTAAAGACCACCAATCACATTCTTGTCCATAACCTTCATGAATAAAGATTTCAGGCGCGATATAATCAGGAGTCCCCACAGTGGAATATGCCATTAATCTTCGACTTTTCCTCCATGTTTGCATTTGTTGACGATTAGACATAGTTAAATGAATCGCATCAACCATCATGGAATTCCTACTCTTAACTGTATCTTTTGGATTTAAATAATTGTTCTTAGCTGGTTCTTTATCTAATAATTTCTTATAATATTTAGAATCGTGAGTTTTATGGAAACCTGTACTCAAACCAAAATCAGATAATTTAATATGACCTCTGATATCTATCAAGATATTATCAGGTTTGATATCTCTATGAATAAAACCTAATTTATGAATAGCTTCAATAGCCAAAACACATTCAGCCATATAAAATCTAGTGATATCTTCAGTGAAAATTTGCCAACGAATCAACATTGTCATTAAATCACCTCCCGGTAAGAATTCCATAATTAAGTATAAATATTGAGAATCTTGAAATGAATAATATAATGAAACAACCCAAGGAGAATCACTTCCTGCTAAAACATCTCTTTCAGCTTTAACATGAGCCAATTGATCTTTCTTATACATTTCGGATTTTAGTAATGTTTTCATAGCATAAATTTTCCCTGTATCTTTTTTCTGAACCAATCTAACTTCACCAAAAGCCCCTTTACCAATGACTTTAACCGTAATGAAATCTTCCAAACTCAATTTGGTTCTACGTAATCTTAAAAATTGTGATTCTTTCTTACCCAAGTTCTGTAATTGTCTATTTTTACGTTCTTCTGATGATCCAGCCTCTTCAGTAGTTAATTTATGTTCTAAATCAAGTCTTCTTTGATTTCTTTCAATGGCATGACTAATGGACATTTGATAGTAATTTTCCAATTTTAATTTGATGGCTGATGATTTATCTTGAGTAAATTTTGAAAGGAGTTCAGGTTGACGATTGAAATATACATAAGAAGATGATTTATTATCAAGTTGAACTGATGGTGATGCAACCACTTGAACTTTTCTCTCTCTTTCTTCTTGAGCTTTCTCTTCATGTCTTCTTTCCATTTCTTGTTGTTGTAATTGTTCTTGTCTCAACTGTTCTTGTCTCAATTGTTCTTGTCTCAATTGCTCAGCTCTCATTTGTTCTTGTCTTAATTGTTCAGCTCTCATCTGTTCAGCTCGTAATTGTTCTTGTCTCATATGCTCTTGTCTTAATTGTTCCTGCCTGATCTGTTCTTGTCTCATTTGTTCAGCTTTTAACTGATCAGCTCTCATTTGTTCAGCTCTCATTTGTTCTTCTCTTACCTCATCATCAAATTCTTGTCCATAATATTGTTGTTGGGCAAATTGTTGATGTATGACTTCATCGTTATAATAACTATTGAAATTCTGACTAGGTGAATGTATGGATTGTAATGAACTATTATCAGATAAATTGCTGGTACTATGATTTGGTAATTGAAACACTGTAGGAGGTTTGAATGATGAATGAGAATCAACGCTGATATTACCAAAACGATGATTATTGAACGTTGGAGATGTGTTCAAATTCCCCATATGATGATTGTTATCGACGTCAACATTCATATAGTATTGACTTGAATCATAAGGAGGATCCTGATCCATTTTATCGTTGTTCATGTTTACGCGATTTTTTCGTCGATTGATCTGTTTAGAAAAAAAAATATAGGGCGGTGATGGTTGCGACCCAGGGGGTGTAGGCCACCAAGGGGGGACAGGCGGCCACGGCGTGAACCGTTGTAAGTGCGGCAGGAGAGGATGTTCTCAAAGATTAATTATACATATAACACATACCATTTTAACTAAGGTTTAGTAACAGGTTCAGTAGTTTCAACAGTTCCAGTAGCAGGATCTAAAGTAGGTTCAGTGGCAACTGGTCCACTAACAACTGGTTCATCAGTAATTGGTTCAGTTACAGTTGGTTCAGGTAAAACATCAGAACCATCTTCATGTTTTTCAATATCAACATCACTCTCTTTAGTTACAGTACCATCAATTTGATGATGGAAAATACCCCCTAAAACCATATCTCCTTTACTCATTGATGTTAATGTTGAACTCATTGGGATAATGGTATAAAGAATCATCAATACAAGAGATGCAGTAAATAAAAGCCAATTAATAACTCCCATAGCAATAAGGGCTTTACCAGTTCTACAGAAATTTTCATAACCATCACTAGTATAATAATAATAATAATGAACTGAACAACTGGCAGCTCCAAATACATCAGCATTACAAGCAAATAAAGCTAACCAGAAAACCCACATTATGGATTCACCAATTATCAACACAATGTGAGGAATAAAAGCTAAAGTCATTGGAACTGATACCAATACTAAGTAAATTAAGGATATCACAGTAACAGCAACACTGAAATTAGCTCTGTCATAAGCAACATATGAAACATTAGCTGCTGCTAACCCTAAAGTGATGATAGTTAATACCAATTGGGCACCTCTTAAACCTGCAGAAGTTAAGAATGTATTATATTTGAATAACATTAATTTTATAGATCAATTACCATCAAGGAGGGATTATTCATGGTATTTATAGTAAATTAAAGGCCCCTCCTTGGAAAAAGGATGATTAATTATATCTCTGCTGACATAATCATTATGTAATCAAAAAGGGCTGAAATAAACTAGGGGATGAATAATGATGGAAACAAGGGAGAAGTGAGGTTTGAGAATGATCAATAACCATCTCTTGATGATGATAAAGTTACTATTGACCTTCTATTTGCCATTGAAGTAGACAATTGTGGAAATAACTTTGTCCAAGTTATCCAATAAGATTCCACCAGGTGAATTCGTAAATCTTTTTGCCAGGTTATGAGCAAACAACGGACTTTTGGTTGTTTAGATTTTCTATTTTCGTCTCGTCAACTGGAATGTGCTGTTAATGTTCTGGTACTATGAACCTGGGCTCGGGTATGAACAATAGCACTACAGCTTAATTGAACCCATTATACTTATTAACAACCAATTTTGGGCCATTAAAAGACCCCAATCCGTTCCCTCACACTAATTCCCATATCATATGTCATTTCCAGAATTCTTAGAAATATAGTGTAAGCACAATCGATGACGGTACATTGAATCTGCCACTGTACCTTTGGACCGATTATCGTTTCACCCACTTGCATACGACAGTCAGTTAAAAACCCCTCCGCCTATTTTCGTAAATAGTCGTGGCTCACATATGAATTTTCGTACCTAAGAATTCGAGATAAGGTTTGAGGCTCCCAAGAGGGAGGTGAAACTTGGTCCCATTGAGGAGATAAGCTTATAGAACGTTGACCCCCCTCTCCAAGACAATATCTTGTTGAATGATATCTTGTTGAATGACAACAGGTCATTGACCTTGAATTTCCCTAATAGGAAAAAGGTCGTGGACTGTTCAATACCTGTGGGCTCAGATTGAACACCGAACAACATTGGCATGGAATTATGTGACATGGATAATTACGATGATCGAAATTCCGTATGGAACCGAACGGTTTTGGAAGGAATGAGATGACTTGATTCAAAGCCACTTACCCCTGTGCCGTGCATTAGATCTGACGATAATGATCATGGATGATCGTGGGGAGGATAAGAGAGTATGACCGTCGATGATCATGGAGAGGATAATCGTGTATGACCGCAGGTGTACCAATGGTATCAATAACCTGGAAACAACATGAACTCAGAGTAAATAAAGAGACAACTACCCTAATAAATATATTAGAATGATGAAAAATAAAATGAAGGTTTGATCCTCCCAAACAAAATCACCTCTATCATACAATCATAATAAGCAAACAAAAATCAAACTAAAACAAACTACGTCAACTATTGTGATGGTGGGTTTTGACTGGCTGGTTGACCAGGTTGACCAGGTTGGCCAGGTTGACCGGGTTGGCCAGGTTGACCGGGTTGACCATTTGGTTGAGGTGGGAATTGGTTATATGGGTAGCCATTAAATTGTGGGTATCCTTGAGGATATCCTTGGAATTGTGGGTACCCTTGGGGATAACCTGGGAATTGAGGCATGGCTGGATTAGCCATGTAAGGGTAATTTGCATTTGGAGTTGAAGGAGTAGCTGGAGAAGCGGTACTAGAAGCTTGACCGGCATTTGGAATTGGTGCTGATGGTACTGGTTGTTGGACTGCAACATTTTGAGGAACACCTTGAGGAACACCTTGAGGAACACCTTGAGGAACTGTACTTTCTCCTGGTTGTCCTGGTTGTCCCTTATACTCTCTACCATTCTTTTCGTTCCCTTTAGGTAATTCACCTGTGGAAAATGGTTTAGGCACAGCATCGCTATTCTCAGCCACATACAAAGATTTATCAATATTCGCAGGAATTGGCTTGATCTCAGTACCTAATTCTTGTTCAATCTTATACAAACTATATCTATCATCCCAAGATAATAAGTTAACAGCTAACCCTAAATGACCAAATCTACCTGATCTACCAATTCTATGTAAATAAGTTTCAGCAGTTTTTGGGAAATCAAAATTAATAACTACGTTAACTGCTTGTATATCAATACCTCTAGTTAATAAATCCGAACATACTAAATTTCTAACTTTACCCATTCTAAATTCATGGAATACTTTATTTCTTGCTTGTTGAGGCATTCTAGCATGAGAATAATAACATGAGTAACCTAATTCTGTAATTTTTTTAGCTAATAATTCAACTCTATTGGTAGAATTACAAAAGATAATCGATTGATTAATTTGTAACTTACTAAATAATGTATTAAGACAATGTAATTTTTGCTTTTCATCAACAAAAGCATAAAATTGAGAAATACCTTTCAAGGTTAATTCATCCATTAAATTGATTTCATAAGGTTTAGTTAAATGTTCATCCATAAAAGATTTAACTGATAATGGGAAAGTAGCTGAAAATAATAATGATTGCCTTTGTTTAGGGAAGAATTGTAAGATTTGTTCAATGATTCTTTTAAATTCTCTTGATAACATTTTATCAGCTTCATCCATAACAAATATTGGACATTCACTTAAATCAGCGATTTCTCTTGAACATAAATCTAACACTCTACCAGGAGTACCTACTAAAACATGAACCGGTTCATTTAATCTCATAATATCATCTTTTAAGGATGTACCACCTGTAGTGACCATACATTGAACTCCTACATGTTTACCTAAAGTTCTTACTACTTGAGATGTTTGTAAAGCTAATTCTCTGGTTGGTACTAATATTAAAGCTTGAATTTTATTTAATTTGGGTTTGATTCGGTTTAATGTTGGTATGATGAAGGAAGCGGTTTTACCTGTACCATTTTTGGCTCTGGCTAAAATATCTCTACCAGCTAAAGCCATTGGAATTGATTCTTCTTGAATAGGTGAAGGTTTCTCAAACCCTGCTTCAAAAATCCCCATTAATAATTCTCTTTTTAATCCTAATTCTTCAAAGGTTTTACCTTTGGTGTTTAATACATCATCGGTTTGAGGTCTTGTATCCTTTGTGGGGATATTCAACGACGATTTCCAATCTTCTGACATTGGGATTGAAGGTTTAACTATGAGAATCGACGCTGAAAATTTTTTTGAATGCGCACGAAATTACCCGGATGTGATAGGTAACTGGGCGTTCACCGTGCGAGATTGGGCCAGATGGTGCCAGCATGGGCCTGGCTCTGCGAAATTTAGCCCCGTCTTTAACTATACTATTCTTTAAGTATTGAGTTCTCCATTGACCTACTCACTATTTCATCCTGAGCTCTAACTACTTATCACCTTTTGATGTCTTTGCTACTCTGAGGAAGTGCCTTTTCCAATTACCTCTCTTTGACACCTCAGGAAAACTCCCTTCCTAAATACCTCTCCTAACACTCTACAATTAATCACTATTACTCATTCCTCACACCACAATCCCGCGCCAACTGTCCCAATAAATACCGCCCAAGTTATCACTCTTCGCACCTCGCTCTTCGCACCTCATCACTAATGAAACTACCACAAGAAACTATCAATAAACTACAAAAAGACCCCCAATCCATACGGAATATCTGTATCCTCGCCCATGTGGATCACGGGAAGACCTCATTGAGTGATTCGTTACTTGCAACCAATGGAATCATCTCCCAAAGAATGGCAGGTAAAGCCAGATTTCTCGATTCAAGAGAAGATGAACAATTAAGAGGTATCACCATGGAAAGTTCTGCTATCTCCCTTTACTTCAAAACCATGAAAAAGATCACAAATGAAGATGGGTCCGATGACAGTGTTATCCGTGAACATTTAATCAACTTGATTGACTCTCCAGGTCATATTGATTTCTCATCTGAAGTATCTACTGCTTCAAGATTATGTGATGGAGCTGTTGTTTTAGTGGATGTAGTGGAAGGTGTATGTTCACAAACAGTCAATGTGTTAAGACAATGTTGGGTGGACAAGTTAAAACCCATTTTGGTGTTAAATAAGATCGATAGATTGATCTTAGAATGGAAATTATCTCCGTTAGAGGCATACCATCATTTATCCCGTATCATTGAACAAGTCAATTCCGTCATTGGAACTTTCTTTTCTGGTGATAGAATGCAAGATGATTTAGACTGGAGAGAAGGTGGTCAGGTAGAAGAGTTCGTGGAAAGAGATGATAGTGATTTATATTTTTCACCTGAATTGAATAATGTCATTTTTGCTTCTGCTTATGATGGTTGGGCCTTCCTGATCAATACCATGTCTAGATTTGTATCTTCGAAGTTAGGGTTCAGTAATCAGGTGATTCAGAAGACTTTATGGGGGGATTTCTATCTTGATATGAAGAATAAGAAAATCATCCCTGGTAAGAAATTAAAGAACCAGAACTTGAAATTGATGTTTGTAAGTCTTGTATTGGAACAAATATGGGCTGTTTATGAGAATTGTATGGTTAACCGTGATGATGAGAAACTTTCCAAAATTACTGAAAGATTGAATATTCAACTATCAGCTCGTGATTTAAGACTGAAAGATCTCCGTGCTATTTTAACCATCATCATGTCTCAATGGTTACCATTATCCCATGCTTTGTTGGGGATGGTTATCGATTACTTACCATCACCAGTTAAATCACAAAATGAAAAAATGACCAAATTATTAAATGAATCTTTCTATAAACTTGTTCCTGAAGGTCAGTTATCATCAGATTTCGAACATTCAGTTAAAAACTGTGAATCTGACGAGTCAAATCTTTTGGCCTACGTTTCAAAAATGTTATCCATCCCAAATACAGAATTACCTAGAGATGCGGTGATTGAATTAACAGAGGAACAGAAGGAAGAGAAATCTAGATTAGCTAGAGAACAAGCACGTAAAGCATCAGAAGCTGCTGCCAAATTGAAAGAAGAACAAGCAGCTGAAGAATCAACAAACGATGAATTTGCTCTTCCTTTAGCTAAACTTGATCCATTTGAATGGGAATATGAAGAAGATTTCTTTGATGATGATGAAGAAACAAACGAAACTTTAGTGGCATTCACACGTATCTTCTCTGGTACCTTAACCCGTGGTCAAACCATAACTGTGGTGGGTCCTAAATATGATCCATCTTTACCTGAAGACAGTATCACCAATATTCCTCAAGTTTCCCAAATCATTGTTCAAGATTTATTCTTGATCATGGGAAGAGAATTAGTACGAATGGAAACTGTACCTGCTGGTAATATCGTTGGTGTAGTCGGTTTGGATGGTACGGTATTGAAAACTGCCACTTTATTATCTTCATCTATACCATCTCCCTTCATCAACTTATCTTCAACTTCCACTTTGATTCACAATAAACCCATCATGAAGATTGCTGTAGAACCAACCAATTTGTTATCTTTAGGTAAACTTGAAAGAGGTTTAGAGCTCTTATCTCATGCCGACCCTGTTTTTGAATGGTATATTGATGATGATACTGGGGAATTGATTATGAGAGTTGCTGGAGAACTTCATTTAGAAAGATGTATCAAGGATTTGAATGATAGATTTGCTAAGGATGTGGAAGTCACTATCAAAGAGCCAGTGATTCCTTTCAGAGAAACTTTAGATCCTTCAGGAACTTCAGCTTATAATGAAGAAGATGATGTCAGCAATGATGTTGAAGGATTACATTTAGAATTTGAAACTTTCCCATTAGATCCTTTCATCACCAAATTCTTGATCAACCACGAACAAGATATCTCCAAAGTAAGAGATTTGAAAGCTAGAGGTACTATTTATGAAGAATTCAAAAAGAAGTTGATCAACTTCTTAAGTCAAGAATCACAAACTGACAAAGATTCCTTTGATTTTGGTGTAGAAAAGTACGGGTTTACTGATGTGGAACTGTTTGTTGATAAGATAGTATCTTTTGGACCTAAAAGAATTGGTCCTAATATTCTTATTGAAGCACCTGAAGTCAGCAAATTTAAGCATATAATGTCTCAAGATTCTCCTGAATTGATCGAATATGAAGGTTATATCACCAACGGGTTCCAATTGGCTATGAATGAAGGTCCTTTAACTTCAGAACCTATCCAAGGAGTATTAGTAGTCATCAAGAAAGCCTATGAAATCGATAATTCCAACCAAGAATTCTTATTAGGACGTCAAGGAAGAGTTATCACCCAAACCAGAGATTTAATCCATCACAATTTCCTCCATAATGGGGCAAGAATTTGTCTCGCCATGTATACTTGTGAGATTCAAGCTACTACCGAAGCTTTAGGTAAAGTTTATGCTGTGGTACAAAAAAGAGGAGGTCATGTGGTTAGTGAGGAAATCAAAGAAGGTACACCATTTTTCACTATTGTTGCTAGAGTTCCAGTTATTGAAGCTTATGGATTCTCTGAAGAAATCAGAAAGAGGACCAGTGGAGCTGCTTCACCTCAATTAATCTTCGATGGATTCGATATCTTGGAAATAGATCCTTACTGGGTTCCTCATACTGAAGAAGAATTAGAAGAGTTCGGAGAATTCGCCGAACGTGAAAATGTAGCCAGAAGATATATGAACGATGTTAGACGTAGAAAGGGATTATTTGTAGATGAAAAAATCGTCAGTAATGCTGAAAAACAGCGTACCATGAAAAAAGATTAAACCAGCCACTTGATTGTACCACCCTAGACCAATGGCACAACGTCAGGTCAAATTCCCTCGTCCCAATGGGCTCATCTCATTCCAATGCATATTCCCCATATTTTCCTTTCAACTCTCACCCTGCGGTTATTTTCATCGCGATGAGTAACCTTGATAGTGAGTTGCTGGCAACGACAACTAAACTAACTATCTCACATGAGGAGTCAGCGTTACAGTCAGATGACGATAGCGACTCCAACACTATTGGTGAAAACTCCAACGCGTTGAATTCTCATGCTGAGGCCATAAAACGTCGAAGATCTTCAGCAGCTTCAGTCTCATCGAATCCGGTACCGAAGAAGATCCATAAGAAGAAGCTTGAAAAATCATTAGGAAAACCCAGAATCCAAGTCAATGAAGAAAACTACCATGTAAGTGATTATAGAGACCTTATATTATCGATATTTACCGGGGTGAAATCTGCTGGTAGGAAGATTGAGGTTCTTTATGGTGACAATATTTCCAAAATAGTTTACGTTTTGGCTGATAAAATTGTTCCTGAAGACTTCAAATCGTCTGTGACAGAGTCTAAGGATATTGTAATTGAATCACCGTTCGAGTTCATCAATGAAAACTTCGACAAAATCAGTTATATCACCAATCCTGGATCTAAATCAATGTTACATCCTGTTCTCGACACGTTAACTAACATCAGACTCAATAAGAAAGAAGTTCAGGTAGCCTTACAATCCCTGAAGACCAATAAAATCACCATCAATGATTTGTCTTTGACACCCAATGCCTTGAAATGGAATGGTTATCCTATACATTCATCCATAGAGGAATTGGTGACCGTTACCAGAGATTCCATGGATAGATTTGGAACCTCTAAGACTGTCAGTGAAGATGAATGGGTGGAGACGGTTGAAACTGACGATGATAAACATATTTATGCTATGGATTGTGAATTCTGTCTAGGGAATAATGGTCATGTTCTTACCAGAATTTCTATCGTAGATTTCAGTGGCTCCACACTTTATGATACCTACGTCAAACCTTCCACAGAAATCATTGATTATCTTACTAAATTCAGTGGTATAACCCAGGAAAAGCTAGAGAATGTCACTACCACTTTGGCCGACGTTCAACAAAAAGTTATAGAGATCATTCACAAACAAGACATCATCATTGGACATAGTCTTGAAAGTGATTTAAATGTTATAAAAATCCGTCATCCGAATATTGTTGATACTTCATTATGTTATCACTCAGTACGTGGACCTCCATATAAGCCAGGATTAAAATATTTAGCTAAACTTCATCTTGGGAAATCCATTCAAGAAGGTGAAACCAGCGGTGAAGGACATTCCTCAGTCGAGGATGCATTGACGTGTTTAGAATTAGTGAAAATGAAGATATTAAATGGTCAATTGTTCGGAGAACAAGTAAAGAATGATTCCATCTTCAAGAGAATCGATCATCATAGGCGTCTCAAGGGGAAACAACCCATTAAAAGTTTAATCATAGACAGAAGATATCAAAATTCTCAGAATGAAACGGTGCGAACCGTAGGTGTTTGTAGTGACGAAGAAGCCCTTGAGGCATTAGGTCTCGGTAAAGAAGATTACGACATTTCCATCGTATCGCTTTATGATAACGACAAACTCAGTACTAATCTAGATAAGATCTACCAATCATTACCATCCAATTCCCTTTTCATCATATCGAACTTACCTCCAACGGAGCAGGTGAATTTACTCCAGAGGCAAAAGAATGATTTTAAGAAATTCAAAGGGCAATTGGAAGAATGGGAAGGAGACGTCTGGGATTTTGATAAGGAAGTAATGTTGAAACAAGAAGTACAGTCCAGTAGAAGGGGTGTTTCATTCATCAAAATAAAAGATTAATCTCTGGTTTTCTCTGGTTTCTACCCGATTTCTTCATTGTGGTCAGGTTTCAGCCTTTTGGTACCCCGACAATCGTCTTTTAAGTACCACAAACATCGACCTCCAAATACCTTCCCCGTCGACCTAGAAGAACCACAAACACTTCGAATACTACAAACAAGAGGTGAATGTCGATAAACATCAATAAACATACATTATGCTATACCTAACATACATTATGCTATACCTGATAATGAACTGATCTGATCGTCTTCACTTTTTGTAGTTAACCCCTTATTTAATTCTTCCTTCTCTTCTTTATCTTCTGAATGGTTAACTATTGGAACTTCTTCATAATATTTCATTTTGGATAAGTCCAAAACATCCTTATCGTTTATAACAAACTGCTTCTTATTACCAAGATCAGATTTGAACCAACCTTTCAATTTGATAGTGTCAGGAATTGGGGAATCATCAAGACCCGGTTTAAAATAATCGTTGATCCAAGTGGATTTATCCCGTGGAGCTGGAGTTGCCGAAGGTGTTCTACCCATTGATAATTGAGTGATTTTAGGGATGATGAACGCAGCCTTTTTCGCAGTCAAATTGCGGTGATGTGAGGAGATGCCCAGCGTGGGTATTGTATTACTATTTACGGATATTTAATGTCTGAGTACAAAAATTACATTGTCTATTGACTTGATTCTTCAGTTTGTTCCTTTTGCTGGTTCCTCAAATCTTTCTGCTTTTTCAAAGCTTTCAGTTTAGCTTGTTGTAACTTCTTTTTGATTTCATTCCTCTTAAATTCTTCCTGTTCGATCTTTTTATTGTAGTAATTGATCAAATTGGTTGGTGGTGTACCAAATACCGCCTCATAGTCACAGAATAAACAATTATCGGTAGAATCAGGGTTGAAACTAGGAGCTTTATTCTTCTTTTTAGGTTTTTTCTTCTTCTTTAACTTATTCATCTTACTAAGATCTTCTATTTTATTGAAGTTATCGAAGTTATTCAAATTCTTGAACTTGGAGTTCTTAAGATATTCTTTCATACCATCGAAAGTAGGTACTAACTTTCCTTCTTCGTTATATTCAAAAGTGAAGTCATACTCTTCACCCATATCATCGAACTCACAATCACAGTTTTCATCATGAATATCACATTCTGGTTTTAATTCCACTTCTATATGATGTTCCGTACCATAATAGTCATCTTCAACTTCTTCAATATCATAGTCATCATCAGGTTCATAAGTATTGAGACCTGCTTCATCTTTAGTATCGTATAAATTGAATCCTTCTGTGGGTTCAGGTGGTGGTGATTTCATCATAGACGTTATCCTAGATCTTAAATATTCCATTTCATTCTTCTTTAGGAAAGATTTGGTAGGATACTTAATATTTCTTGTTTTCTTTTCCACGGCGGCTTCTGATGGTCTTTCGGCAACAACGTCACTTTTGGGGGTTGGAGGTTCATTTATTTGCTCTTGGTGTCCATTGATTTCACCGGAATCATCATTTTCTTCACTTTCATGGGTCCAATCAGGAAAAAAGTTGGGATGCCTGTTGACAGTTTCTTCGATTAAGTCCAATAAATTGTAATCATAGATGGAATTAACTTCTCCTTTTTCATTGCCATTGCCTTTTTTGTCGTCTTTTTCATGGATTACCTGACTCCAGGAGTCGTAGTTCTTTGATAGAAACTCAAATACCTTCTTAGGATCAACTCTTCTATCAAAGTTCATCTTACAAATTCGCACTTCCTCACTGGGGAAGAAACATAGAAATGGGAGTAATTAAAGAGGGGTGGAATGCAGATGTTTGGAAGTATAGGAGGTGTTTATGGTCTCTGAGGAGTTCAGGTGATGTTACAGTGGGTCATTAAAGTTCAAAGTATGGGCTCAACATCCATTATGATATGTGAGACATCTGATCCGATCAGACATAATTCAATATCTCATTATTAGAGCTACTGGTTGATGTTATCAGTGGGCAGACACATGAAAAATTACCAAGTCAATGTCCTTGTATCTTTCTCTGTTTCGCTCAGTGGTTTCAAAGTCGATTTAATGTCCCTGTCTAAATTTCAAAAGCCTGGGAAATGTGAATTTCACACTTCTTGGACATAATTACCCACACTTTCAAAATCACCTGAATCTTCCCGTAAAATCTCCCCAATATTCAAAGAGTCCACACCAACTCTATCACAACCTTTCCAGCGCCTCACAATCGGTCAATGAAGAGAAATCATAGATCGGATTCATTATACCGCATTTCTGATAACGACTCACGTTTCTGGTTTTGAAAACATTCGAAAACATCACAAACTCCCCTACCAGTCAATCTACTGAAATATCAGTGTCTGAATACCATGAAACCACTCTTGAATCACCAATTTGGCCATACAATCATGACCAACTCCTCAGAGATGAGATAATTTTTGCAACCTGACTCTGATCTAATTAGTGCGAGAAAAATTTTAATCAGATAAGACTATGTGTGGTATATTAGGTATCGTTTCATCCGACCCCCAAGCCAATGTGGCCCCAGAATTGTTTGAAGGAGCTATGTTTTTACAACATAGAGGTCAAGACGCAGCTGGGATAGTTACTTGTGGTTCAAAAGGTAGATTTTATCAATGTAAAGGTAATGGTATGGCTAGAGATGTGTTTACTCAAAGTAGAATGAATAACTTAGTTGGATCCATGGGAATCACTCATTTAAGATACCCAACTGCTGGTAGTAGTGCTGGATCTGAAGCCCAACCTTTTTACGTCAATTCACCTTATGGAATTTGTCTTAGTCATAATGGGAACTTGGTTAATTCCATTGAATTAAAGAAATATTTAGATGAAACTGTCCATCGTCATATTAATACTGATTCAGATTCAGAATTATTGATCAATATGTTTGCCTCCGAGTTAGATAAGTTTAATAAATTCAGAGTCAATAATCAAGATTTATTTAGTGCTTTAACAGGTACTATGAAAGCTATTAGAGGTGCTTATGCATGTGTAGCCATGTTAGCAGGGTATGGTATTATTGGATTCAGAGATCCTAATGGTATCAGACCATTATTATTTGGTGAAAGAGTCAATCCTACCACTGGATTAAAAGATTATATGTTAGCCTCAGAATCAGTTGTTTTAAAAGCTCATGGATTTGATGATTTCAGAGATATTAATCCCGGTGAAGCTGTTATCATTCCAAAAGATCCTCATCAAAAACCTGAATTCAGACAAGTGGTAGAACCTAAGATTTTTGCTCCTGATATTTTCGAATATGTTTATTTCGCTAGACCTGATTCTATCTTAGATGGTGTTTCAGTTTATAGATCTAGAATTGAAATGGGTAATAAATTAGCTGCTAAAATCCAATCTTTATTCTCCAAAGATATTTTAAATGAAATCGATGTGGTTATACCAGTTCCTGATACTTCCAGAACTTCAGCTTTACAATGTGCTGTATCCTTGGATTTACCATTCAGAGAAGGGTTCGTTAAGAATAGATATATTGGTAGAACTTTCATTATGCCAGATCAACAAGAAAGAAGATCTTCAGTTAGAAGAAAATTAAATGCTATGGAATCGGAATTCAAAGGTAGAAATGTGTTATTAGTTGATGATTCCATTGTTAGAGGTACTACATCTAAAGAAATTGTGCAAATGGCAAGAGATGCTGGTGCTAACAAAGTTTATTTCGCTTCTTGTGCTCCTCCTATAAGGTTCAATCATATTTATGGTATTGATTTAGCTGATACTAAAGCATTAGTTGGTTTCAATAGAGATGTTGAAGAAATTTCCAAGGTTATTGGAGCCGATTTTGTCATCTATCAAGAATTACAAGATTTATTAGATTGTTGTAAAACTGATAAAATCAAAGAATTCGAAGTTGGGGTTTTCACAGGTAATTATATCACTGGTGTGGAAGATAGTTACTTACAAGAATTAGAAAAGATTCGAGCCCAAAATCAAAGATTGAAAGATCAAAAGGGAATGAGTGTTGATGCTTGTATTGATGTTAGTGATATGGTTGATGTCAAAGCTGAACTGGATATAAGTATTTATAATAGAGGAGATTATAATCCATAGATCGTTTTTAGATAATGCATGAAAAATTTGAACTCTACGATTCCTTCTACGATTTCTTCTACGATTTCTTCTTCATTTTAAGGGGTTACCGTTTTCGCTATCGTTTTGGGTTAAGGGCAATGATAAGGCTATCCAAATAAGGCGATAGACGAAGATTGACATGTTTCAATCAATTGTCTGGCATATAATCCTCATGGATTATAGTGATTCCATGTTCCATTGTCAGGAACCGCAGCAAGATTGCTGTTGAAAAAGTTTTTTTTGAACCTTTGACGTGTAATGAGAGTGTAAAAATCACATCCCAATCATCTGCTGAATGTCATGACATTAATCACCTCCTCAACTTCCCAAAAAACCCTGTATCTTTAGATCTTTAATAATCGTTCTATCCCCTAAAAACGTCGCATGTCTCAGGAACACGACACCCGAGTCGCGTCTCGTCGTGGCCGTCGCCCAAAAACCGTGAACGCAGAAAAAATTGAAAACAACAAGGATTTTTCACCGTTTGATATCAACAGATTCTTCAAATTAATTTGATTTCATCTTAAAACTTTCCACCACCACTAGTTCTTTCATAAATCTAGTGATCCCATCTCAACTTAACGTTCGAGTACCTTTAATTTCGTGTTTTAAGAAAAAAAAACCTTGTTTCTTCCCCCCTAGTGTATGGGAATATTACTGTTCTATCTATTAAGTCAAGGAGTTTATTTAATTATCAAAAAGATCAAAATGGAAAAATCTTCATACGCCAATTTATCAGCATCATCAATTGCCAATAATGGTCCTATTTCAATTTTATCATATTGTGCTTCATCAATCTTGATGACTGTCACTAACAAATATGTTTTATCAGGATATTCATTCAATTTGAATTTCTTCCTTTTAGCTGTTCAATCTATTGTTTGTATTGCTTGTATTGGATCATTAAAAGCTTTTGGTGTTATTACTTACAGACAATTCAATAGTGATGAAGCTAAAAAATGGTCTCCAATTGCTTTCCTTTTAGCTGCTATGATCTATACTGGTTCAAAAGCTTTACAATTTTTAAGTATCCCTGTTTATACTATTTTCAAAAATTTAACCATTATCTTAATTGCTTATGGTGAAGTTATTTGGTTCGGTGGTAAAGTCACTTCAATGGCTTTAGGTTCATTTTTATTAATGGTTTTCTCATCATTAATTGCTTACTATGGTGATTCTCAAGATCCAAGTGCTGTTGATAATTATGAAGTTTATTTAGGTTACATTTGGATGTTAACTAATTGTTTTGCTTCTGCTTCTTTTGTCTTAATTATGAGAAAAAGAATAAAATTAACTAACTTCAAAGATTTCGATACTATGTATTACAATAACTTATTATCAATTCCAATTTTATTGATTTCTTCTTTCATTTTTGAAGATTGGTCTGCTATTAATGTTGAAAAGAACTTCCCAGCTGATAATAGAACTGCTACTGTTATGGCTATGATCTTCTCTGGTTTATCATCAGTTGGTATTTCTTATTGTTCTGCTTGGTGTGTTAGAGTTACTTCTTCAACCACTTATTCTATGGTTGGTGCTTTAAATAAATTACCAATTGCTTTATCAGGTTTAATATTCTTTGATGCTGCCATTAATTTCTGGTCAGTTTCTTCAATCTTTGTTGGTTTCATTGCTGGTTTAGTTTACACTGTTGCTAAACAAAGACAAGCTAAAGAAAATTCTCAACAATTACCAACTTCAAAGTAAACTATTTATAGATATTCATTAAACAATTGTTTCCTATTTACATTATCTACCTCTATATAATCTGTACATGTCTTGTTTTGAAGTTAAAACATTAGACCATTTAGATGATGGGTTAAGTTTTAATTCTTCGTTAAAATCCTTCTTAGGTGGTTCTGGGATTAAAGTCGTTGGTGTTACTCTTAATAATGATTGTTTGGTCATAATTTCACATACTCCAGGCAATTTGGCTATGGCTTTTCTTAAACTTTCTTTGGCGATTTTTTCATGGACATTTCCTTTGATTTCGAATAATACCTTACCAGTACGTACTCTTGTGGCCCAATGGGAGAATGCTCCTTTACCTTTACCCATTCTTGTTTGATTACCTTTAACACAAACGGCAATATTACATACAAATCTAGTAACTACACTAGCTCCAGTACCTCTGATACCTCTTTCAACAACTGCTTTAGCTTCTTTTAATTGTGTGGCAGTCATTCTGATCCCATTGGATTTCAATCTGATCCCGTAGTTTCCAAATTCTAATTTAGTTCCCTTCAATGATCCACCAGTTCTAACACTAACTCTACCTTTCATACCTTTCTTTATTCTTTTGAATCTTGGGGCAAACTCGTGCTTGAATCTTAATCCCATAATGGGCATGCTAGGTCTCATACCTGTGGTTATGCTACCTCCCATCATCATTTTCAGGACATTTATGCCCATATTCTTTATGGGACTTAACCCTATCCTGGCAAACATCGATGAAAACTTTTCTCGATTCGCACATTTTTCAAAATGTTTGGAAATGTCGCGTGTCGTATTTATTATATCTATTTACATGTTACGACATCATCTTCTTTCAACATTGAAGTATTTGATTAAGTCATTTTCAACTTTATCGTGGATTTCATTGATTTCAGTATTGGTGAGGTTTCTATCCATGGATTGGTAATTTACTCTGTAACATTGAGAAAATCTTCCAGTTTTTGGATGAGTGAATTCATCAATTAATTCCACATTTTCAACTAGATCGTTTCCATGAGTTCTGACGATCTCCATAACATCATTGATATGTAAGTTTGATTCCGATGGTAGCCAGAACGACACGTCTCTTTTGATGCCTGGGTATTTGGAGTATGGTACAAAAGTGGTGATTTTACCTTGTTGGAATTGATTAGAGAATCTTTCATCTAAAGTCCAGAAAAGACGAATATCAGGGATGCCGAAAAGTAACATGGCAATTCTATCCAACCCAATACCAAAAGCCCAACCCAATTTGTCTTCACCTAAACCTGAATTCAATAAAACAGGCTGACGCACCAACCCTGATCCACAACATTCTAACCATTCACCTTTCCACCACACTTCGATTTCATATGAAGGTGCTGTCCAAGGAAAGTATTCTTCATTCCATCTTATTTTCAATGGTTCATTCAAAAATTCATCTGTGGACCCTGCAAGTCTAGCTGACTCCTTAGCTGCCTCAAATACTGTTTGAACAACAAATTCAACGGTTCTTTTCAAATGGGCACTGACCAAAGCAACTTCTTCATCAGTAGTATAATCTTGCTTTGGGTTTTTTTCACTACTGGCGGCACAATCCTCCACGATTAAGTTACCTTTAGGGATATCATTGATTTCTTTAGTAATCTGATCAACAAATTCAGGTCCTTTGGACCATAATCTTGCTCCTTCAAGTTGATGGAATGCTGGGTAATGTGTCCTATCAACTTCATCTTTTCTATAAACATCGGCAATGATAAAATATCCCGGAGTTTTACATTCAGTGAAACATTCTACTTCATGAGCTGATGTATGAGTACGCAATAAGTTATCTTTATTCAAATAATAAGTATCAGACTTTGATCTACCAGGATGGTCTTTTGGGAAACCTAAGGCATCGAAGTTCTCATAAACACTCACGGCGGGTTTGAAATCATTATAGAAGGTGTATCCTAAGCCTTGGAAATTGGTTTCGATTAAATTTTTCAAGATTCCAATAGGATGGGTTGGATTTTGGTGTAATTGTCTTTTTGTCAATTCTAAAATGAAAGGAGGGATATTTGTCCAGTCATCAGTCTTATACTGTGCTCCATGGACATCTAAGAACTCAGGATACTTCCTCGAAGTGAACCTAACGAACTGTCTTAATGGTTTGATTCTGAACATGTCGCGAAGATTTTCAGTGGTTGCGAAAAGTCTATATATATTAAACGTTGGTCAACTCTTTACCAAGTCTCTTGGATATACCTTCCGGTATTTTCCATGGAGAGGAGATACTGAGCAGCTTCTTCTTCTGTCATTCCTGAAATCTTTAAAATTTCAAGGATGGTTTCTCTAACTTGTCTAGGCATTGGTCCATTAGACCCACAGAGATATATGACAGCTTCTTCTTCGAGTATGAGTTTTTGGATGAGTTCTTTCTGATCAAAGATTCCGTTCTGAACATATTGTTTCTTGAATTTGTCTGATCTAGATATGCATGGGAATAAAGTGAAGTTATCCTTCTTGGAAAATTCATCCCACTGGGATTTGAAGAAATAATCTTTGGTTTCATTTCTGAATCCAAAGAAGAAGTACATGTCTTGGGATCCTATCCTATGTTCAATCAATGATTTCATAGGGGCGATTCCGGTACCTGGACCTACTAAAATCAATGGTTTGTCACCGAATTTCAACTTTTGTTTGTGAAGGGTAAAGATTATATCATCACCGACATTCAAAGATTTCAACCATCTTGAACATAAACCCCTTCTGATTCTTTTGATAATAGTTTGATATTCTACCACTCCAATCACTAACTCAATAGTATTCTCACTAGGTTTAGAGGCAATAGAATATAATCTTGGTTTGATTTTAGGGAATAAATCAAATACATATTGCACAGGGATTTCTAAGTTGTTTTCAAATTCAACCAAAAATTCAGCTATTGATCTTCTAGGACGATTGGCATAATCATATAACTCTTCACTATTTTCAAAATCACAAAATTCTTTCAATTTTTCTACTTCTCTTTTCCCATCTTCGTTATCAGTATTAACAAATCTCCATATACTAAAGAAGAAAGATCTAGTAGGTATAGCCATGATATCGAGATGGTGGGTTAATAACCGTCTTAATGTCAATTTCTCTGGACTTATAAGTCCTCCTTCTATGTAAGGCACAACGCCATGGATTTTCAAAGGTTTATCAGCTACTGAAAGCCATTTCTTTTGCAGATCAAGTAATTTTTGTACTTCTTCAGCAGAATTTGTAGGAAACAATGCCATAGTATCACCTGGTTGATAATCAAGATCTGAAGCTTCCACAGTAAGGTGTCTAACATCTTGGAAATGATCTGAAGGTGTGATTCTTTCAAGACTCTTTATCTTTCCTACTTTCAAACGTCTTTCAGTATCAGCATATTCATTATCAATATCAGCTCTAGTCTTAGCCAAAACAGAATCTGATTCATTCTCTACATCCCCGGTCTCAATTGAAAGTCTATTGGATGGTGATAATATGGCTTCATCGTTTAATGGGGTTAATGTAGGGAAAAACTTCTTCAAAGAATCTATCAATGTTTGTTCCCATACAGTATAGTAACCATCGAGACCTTCAGAACTTTGTTCATCAGCCTCACAGCTGGAACATAATTCAGTACATCCTAACTGACCTAATCTGGTATGTATCTTCCGTATGGCATGATTATATTTAGGATATGATGAATCACCTAATCCAAATGTCGTAAGGGACACATGATTTAAAAGATCAGAGGGTAGTTTCTTCTTCAAAATGAATTTCATGAACTTTTTACCATTTCGAGGAACTTCTCCTTGGCCAACAGTAGCACAAATAACTATCAAAAAACTAGTATCAGTGACTAATTTTTTCAATGGATAATCATCTAATGCTGCGATAGTTGGGTTTAATGATAAATAACGTAATCTTTTCAGTAAGAAATATGCATAATCTTGGGCCGTACCCGTATCAGATCCATATAAAATGGTGATACTGGATTTTTTAAACCTCCCAGTTATTAAATCTCCTACTTCTAACATCACCAACTATAGATCTGACAAACTCGCGACCTTTTGGAAAGTCGCACTGTTTGGAAGACTTTGAATTTCAAAACAACTTTACAGAACTCATCATGGCACCAAAGAGAAAGGCTACTTCAGCCCTGAACACTCCAAAGAAAGCCAAGGCAGATCATTCTCCTGAACAATACAAAGCTTTCTATATATCAACCATCAAATTAGTAGGTGATTTACTCGATGATACAGGATCAGTTAAAATCGCCGATTCTTTTAGAAAACTCGTGTCAAAGAAGATGTATCCTGATTATTATGATATAATCGAAACCCCAATATCGTTGTCAGAAATTTCCAGGAACGTTACTCGTGGGAATTATGTTTCACCTGATTGTGAGGATTTCTTAGCAGATTTCAAATTAATGTTAGATAATGCTGCAACTTTCAATGATGTTAACTCTCCAATTGTTGATGATGCCACCAAGATTTATAATTTTGTCAAAGAACAATGTGGTCAATTTTTAGGCAGTCCTGTAGCTCAAGAACTTTCGTTGGCTGAACAATGTGAAAAATTGATTAATGATGTTATTGACCATGAATTTGAAGGAATTGGGGTTATTTCTGGTCCTTTTATTGAAGATGTTGATAAGAATTTATACCCAGATTATTTCAAAATTGTTAAAAAACCCACATCTTTCAATAAAATATTGAGAGATTTGGAAACTAAAATCGTTAAACCTGAAGATGATGATGAAACCAATTTGAATAGATTAAATGATTCCATCAATTTAATATTCACCAATGCTCAATTATATAATGATCCAGAATCAACTATTCACCAAGATTCCCTTATGTTGGCAGAATATTTCGAATCTAAATTTAACGAATTAAAAGCTTCAAGACCTAAAAAGAAACCTGTAGTTAAAAAGGAAAAGACCGCCACACCTGTTCCAAGACCTAGAAAGAAGAAAGTTGAAAGTGAAGAAGAAGCCGAACCTGAAGAAGAAGTAGAGGAAGAAATGGAAGTTGATGAAAGTGAATTGAAGAAAGAAGAAATAGCTTTAACACCAGCTCCACCCGTTTTAGAATCCAATGTTATGGGAAAGACCGAAACTTTAGGCCCATTGAATGAAGTTTTCATCAAAGATTGTTCAGTGTCTTCATCAGTTGCTTCTGTCAAACAAATGTTCAATAATTCTCAAGAATATAATCATTATAGATCTAATAATCCTCCTTCGAGATATCAATTGATGAGAGAATCATTATTCCCATCTCAACCAGTTGACAATTTATCAACTATCTTCAAATATCAATTCCCTGCTAATGGTTATTGTACTCAAGGTTATACTATAGTTTTACCAGCAGATGCTTCATCTACTGTAAACTTTGATTTCAACTTACATAAATATCTTCAATCTTTGGAAAGACATCAATTGTCCGTACCTTCAGGTGAAGATTTCCAATGCAACCTATCAGTAAATGAAACCGAAGTCGATAGTTTATTGGATATAGAAGATATTGATGATGGTTTAAAATTACATTATGAGATTAAATTAAGTTATGGTATGAATATTGTAACTTTTGAATGTAAAGTATCTCCTAATGTATCAAAAATCATCAAAAAATCTCAAACACCTAAAAATGAACCTGAAGAAATAGGTGGTAGACATACCAGACATCAATTACAACAGTATAAGAGATCATGGGATGTTGAAAAAATAACGTTTTATGTAATTTCCAATAATTAACCCTCTTTGTATATCTATTTACCAATACAGAAACTTGAAAACACCACTCCTAAAATTTCTTCAATTCCTATAGCTTCACCTGTGATTTTACCTATTCCTTCAACTGCTTGTCGCAAACTCTCAGTAGCTAGAACTATGTCATCATCGTCTTTGAATTGAGCGAACTGGTCTATTCCATAAACGACGTCGTTGATCAAAATATCCTTAGCTCTATCACTGATCAGAATAGGTGGTAGTTTTTCGGTGTTTGAAATCCGTTGGAAAATATGTGTGAGTTCATCAATGAGTTCATTAGTACCACTTCCTGTTTTACACGAAATAGTGAATACCGGGCAACCAAAAACATCTTGGAACTTGGAGATGACCTCATTCTTATGTTCTGACGTTACGAGATCCTCTTTGTTCAAAATCCCTACGATCTGAGGTCCTTCTAATGATTGTAAATGTTTTATATGTTGAATGAACTCATTATCATCGAACGAATAATCGGTTGGGAGTGTGACTAACACTAAGTCACTCTCCACAGACTTAGCTTTAGCTCTCTTTATGCCCTCAACTTCAATCTCGTCTGCTAAATTCACATCTCTCAACCCTGCTGTATCCCCTACAACAACTTTATAACCATTCACGTCCAAAGGAATATCAATGGCATCTCTGGTGGTTCCCGCTATACTACTTACAATGGCAGCATCCTTGTTTGCTATGGTATTCAATAACGACGACTTCCCAGCATTGGGTGGTCCAAGTAAGGTCACTTTGATCCCATTCAATAATATCTCCGCATTTTGCACTCTCTTCAAAAACCCATGAACTTCAGTATGCAACTTCTTAAGGTTATCATTGACTTGCTCGAATAACAGGGATATCTCCTCTATATCATGATCTTCACCGAAATCTATCACTGTAGTCAATAAGGCTATATTCTGCAATAACTCTTGTCTCCATTGATTAAAGATCTGTTTACTTTTCCCTGTCATTGAAGTCAACGAAGAGATTCTTTGTGTCTCTGTTTCAGCATCTATCATTTCTCTTATACCTTCCAACTCTGTCAAGTCGAATCTGCCATTCAAAAATGATCGATGAGAGAACTCTCCATTCTCAGCATACCGTATAAGTATGTCATCATCAGGATTATGTAACTGTTTGATCTCATTAAGAATGTTTTTGATGATGGCAACACCTCCATGTACATGCAATTCCAACAAATCTTCTCCAGTGTATGAATGAGGACCTTTAAAGAATATAGTTAATGCTTCATCCAATAATATACCTGATTTAGGTGATATTAACTTTCTAACACTAGTTATTCTATGTTTGGGGTGAGATTTCGTGAGCTGGTTGAATATGTATGACGATTGGGATCCAGATATCCTTATTACACCTATAGCTGACCGAGCTAAGGGTGTGGATAATGCATAAATGGTAGGACGATGGAATGATTTAAGTCCTAACATTTGCAGCTGCGATGCGAATTTTCAAGATGTTAACTATCACCAAAAGATGGTTTTCAAGTACCTTTATTCGATTCCATGAAAACCCATTGGGTTTACCAAAGAGAGGAGGTAATGATCTGTCGCCTAGAATGTCTAAAGGTTTACCTATTAAACAAAAAATACCCAATGTTAATCGAATCTTATTGGTTTCCTCAGGAAAAGGTGGAGTTGGTAAATCTACCGTATCGATTAATTTTGCTATGAGTTTGAAGAAACTTGGAAAGAAAGTGGGGATTTTAGATGCAGATTTATTTGGTCCTTCTATTCCCAAACTCTTAAATTTGAATGGAGAACCAAGAATATCAGATAATGGGAAATTAATACCATTGAGTAATTATGGCTTGGAATCCATGTCTATGGGATATTTGATAGCTCCAGAGAACCCTGTGGTTTGGAGAGGTCTTATGGTGATGAAGGCTTTACAACAATTACTTTATGAAGTAGAATGGTCTAAGCTTGATTACTTAATCATCGATATGCCTCCAGGAACTGGTGATACTCAATTGACCATTAGTCAACAATTGAAGGTGGATGGAGCTGTGATAGTCAGTACCCCTCAAGATATAGCCTTGATTGATGCTGTCAAAGGGATATCTATGTTCCAAAAAGTGAATATTCCTATCTTAGGGATGGTTCAAAATATGAGTTATTTCTTATGCCCCAATTGTAACCATGAATCACATATTTTTGGTAATGAGGGGGCCATAAAGAAAGCTAAAGAATTGAATTTAGATGTCTTAGCTTCCATACCTTTGAATGAACAGATATGTGAACTGGCTGATAATGGGAAACCCATCGTTCTCCAAGACACTCCTATATCCGATAATTACCTCCAGTTAGCTCAGGCTGTATTAAACAAGTTAGAGAAATAGGTTTCTGTTCAGTAAGTCATGGCTCGATCACATAAGCTGGAAAATTGGGTATACCTTAAAAATGTCTCAATTGGGAAATCTCCATTATTGTGTAAATGGGTGCAAAAACTAATTCGCAAATTAATGATATTGAACAGACTTTTGATAATGGCGATGATAGCCAAAACTTTGGCCTACGACGAGGGGACAGTGGGGACCTATGGTGTAAGAGATGGTTTAAAGTTGACAAATATCACCGGTTTGGAAAGATTACAAGTTGACACTAAATTAAACGTTGTTAACGCAGTTGACGGGATAAAGAAGATCTTGCGGAATGTTGTGAAAGCAGTTGATTTCAGATCTGATCAAGAGGTAGAAGGCACTTCGGCAGTTTTAAGTTCAGTTGAGTCGGGACTAGGTCTTTTATTTGGTGTAGATACTGCACAAGCTTCCGACGTAAGCGACGCCAGTGCAGCTAGTTTATCCAATGAAGTAGCTGTAGATTTTGTTACCATACTGACAACAGCCACACCTTTCCTTACAACAGATGCAGTTTCCTATTATCGAGAGATTCCTTCGCATATTGTAACTGTTCCTGTAGTCACCATTACAGCCAAACCTGATGTCCACACTATTCGATTGACTGAAACAGTCACACAAGTCGTCACACATGCCCCTTCAACTACTCCTGTGGCTGTTGAAATTCCCATGACGATAAATTCCGAGATCCAGAACGTGGATAATCTGAACCAGTTAAGGCACCAAAGTGAAATGAGACAAAGAATCGAGTATCTTGAATCCAAGATAAACAATATGATGAAGCATGACATGGACACAACCTCAACGAAAGTCGTTTATGTCACTGTAGACTTGAAAACATCCAATATTCCCCGTGATTCCACCAAAGTATTCCCCGAGGTATCCAAGCCATCAACAACACTGACTGACATTCCTACTATGACTACTGTGACTCCCACCTTAGAACCAATTGCCAAAATCCAAGAATTTTCACCAGAACCAGCTGGCACTGCTTCCCAATCTAAACTAGCACAGAAAAAAGAACATGGTGGACTGAAAGAAATATTAGATATGAAACTCCCATACAAACTATCAGTATCTCCACAATTCCAAAACCATCAACATTCAAATGCTGCTTCTTCTTTGCGGTACGGTAAACCTAAGATTCATTATCAAGACCAACCAAAACCTTCCCCGGTCGAAAGCTCCAACGACGATAACTTCACTCTTCAATTTCTTGATGGTTTCTTGAATAGAAAGCCAGAAGAAGGTACCGTGGAATATTTGAAGAGAATATCTCCCCAAGTTATGCAATGGAATGGAGACGACAAACTTGCAGGTAAAGGACAGAGCATTTCAAATGAACGTGGAATTTCTTCACTTGTATCTACAAATCCTACATTACCAACAACTATGAGCACCGCTACCCAGCAGAAAGTTGTTTACAAGTACGTCTATGACGATGGTGAACCTGCGGAGAAGACACCCCAGTCCCAACCATCAGAGACCTCAAAGGACCTAAATGAGATCACTGGTAGTCCCTTCAAGACATTCAAATCCAAGCTAGAAGTTGAGGAATCCTACCGAAAGCAGCAATTCAAAGATAAAGATCTGTCTAGAGGTAAAGAGCTATTGGATAAAGAACTAAATAAAGATAAAGAGAATATTCTTCAACCTTCCAACACTGTTTCCGCTTCAAGCATATCCGCCTCCCCCGCCATTCTCCCCAAACCGCCACTTAAACATCGAAGGAAACACAAAAAGCCCAGTTTCAATTTTGATTTCTTCGGCTTAACATCCTCCAGTTCCCACCTCCCTATTCCTAGGATTCAACCCTTAATATTACTCCTAATATAAAATTCGCATCCGGCACGAAGTTTACCACCCGTTCCGCCGTTCCGCTCACCATCTCTTCGCACCAGATCAAAACTCGTCAGTCGCATTGTTTTGATCAGGGATAAACAACCTTTACCATGTCAGATGAAATACCTTTAACCCCGGTAATCACCCGAACCAAGATGACCGCTAAAATGTCTACCCCCAAATCTGCTAAGAAAAGAACAATCTTAACCAAACATTTTGAAGAATCATACATAGAGGAAGATGATGAAACATACGTATATAATGAAACAATGGAAGTTGATATCGAAGAAGAAGACAATGAAGATTTCGAGTTGAATAGTGATGAAGATATCTCGGAAAATTCCACAGAAGTTGGAAGTGTCATTGAAGATAAAGTTGATGAACCTGTACCTCCACAACTGTCAGTCCGTGCTTTCTTGGTCAAACACGAAATCATCAGAAAAGTATTCCATTCTTCTATCGGATTAATAACCTTATGGCTTTATACCTTAGGGGTTAAAAAAGACCAATTAGTTGTACCGTTGGGTTTACTCTTCTTAGGAGTGTTCACCAATGATTATATCAGATTACATAATCCAAGTATCAACAAAATAGTGGTTGAAAAGATGTGGTTTATCATTAGGGAGAGTGAAATCAATCTGTATAATGGGATTTTATCATACTTAGCTGGATTATTCATCGTATTCAGTATCTTACCAAAAGATATGGCTGTTATGTCAGTATTGTTGTTAAGTTGGGCAGATACTGCAGCTTCAACTTTTGGTAGAAAGTTTGGTAAATATACTTTCCAAATTTCCCATGGAAAATCATTTGCTGGAGCTTTAGCTAGTTTCTTTACTGGAATCTTCAGTAGTTATTTACTTTATGGATATTTCATCCCTCAATTCAATCATGTTAATGGACCTCAAGATATCTTTTGGAAACCTGAAACTTCCAAATTAGACTTACATGTTTATTCAATATTATGTGGCTTAATAGCTTCAATTTCGGAATTCATCAACTTATTCAATCTCGATGATAACTTTACCATACCCGTATTAAGTGGGTTCTTCCTTTATGGATTAGTTTCTTACTTTCAAGTTTAATAGAGTATTTATTAATGTACTTAATTCGAAAACTCTGGCTCTTTGACTTTGGACTACAGTTTTTATGACTTCTATGAGCCATCTTTCCACGCTGCAAACTCTTCGTAGTCAATACTATATTTCAAACCCTCATAGGTCTCTAATTGAAGAGTCCCGTTAGCAAGTCCAGACTCATAAAATTGGACAGTTTGAGATTTAGAAACACTGTAGTCTGATTTTCGGATCAAATGCCATAAGGTCGTCAATTTATCCCATTGTTGTTCGGCTGCCACCACAGGTAAGAAGGTTCCTGAGTAATAACTTCCATTGATTTCGAAGTTTAACCTCAATCCATGCTTACCAATTTCCCAATCCATCGGATCAGTGATTGGTTGGAAATTGTCCAATAACGTGACATCACAAGATAAATTGGGTAATTCACTAGCTTTAATGGGCAGAAATCTATGATCTTGTAAGGCAGCAGTTAGGGCAAACCTTTTGACCCCCGATTCAATGGGTTGTTCTTGAAATGTTCCTATACAACCCCTTAAATCATGATCTTTGTCCCATGTAACGAATAACGGAGCTTTTTGTGGGAAATCTTCAATTGATTCTTTAACGGAAGATAAGATGTTTTTGAAACTGACAGGTTGACGATTGTTCAATTGTGAATATAACGTCTCAAAGGAGTACAAGCATAAACCTTTTGACATGATTGCGCGGAATTTGCAGCCACGACTGAGTGTTGAAGAGACCTATAATAGAGATTGGTGGCAGTTGGCGGGATGAAGAAACAATTTGGATGTAGGATTTTATAAAACCTATAAGAGTCACTAGCTCACTAGTAACTCGGGTTCTAAATCACTGATGGTGGTTAAATAACTTGGTAAGCAACGTATCACATTTCTGGATAATCCCAAGAATTCTAGGTGACCGAAATGGAAACAATTCAACATAGTGTCCACCAAAAGATTGCAGCACAAATTCAAGGTCTTGAGATTGGAACATTTGGAAAGGTTGACATTGAAATACGTGATATCATTATTACACAAATTGATGGATTGTAGATGACTCAAGTCCTTTACTTGCAACACAAGATCATTAATGATACAGAGCAAGTTATTTGACAAGTCAAGGGTTTTGAGGTGTTTTGGAAACACTATAGTGGATAATTTCAAATCAGTTAAAGCAGTGAACGATAAATCGAGATGTTGCAAATATCGAGGGAATCTAAGATTTAAGTTGGGTGTCAAGCATTTCAAATATCTTATATTCAAGGATGAAATATCTTCTTGACAACTCAAAAATACATCAATGACACGTTGATTATGTTGAAATATCTGAATTAATGGTATAAATGATGAGTCTTTGACCTCGAGTGATATTTTGCAGCCAGTAGATAAGATCTGTGGTAACATATTCTGTATTAAATTCTCATTCACATCATCAATCACCAACTCCAAAGGATGGATACAGATCCCACTATTCAGCAAATACTCTATATCTTCAGGTTTAAATTGTGATGTTGTTACTTTTGGCTGCGAATACGTGGCATATAAGATGAGTGGTTTCAATATTGGAACCTCTTGATAGACTAACGATAAGTCAGTACCTGAATACTTGAACACACTGATTAATACTTCTGGTGGTAAATCCAAAAATTGCATAATTTCAGTAACTACCGTGGGATTATTTAAGTAACCACTATACTTTAAAGGTTATGATGATCCCCCAACGGAAGTTCCTTGAGACTTCCCGATTTAGTTCAGTAAAGGTATATGTGTCAGTTTTTGTGTTACACCCTTCTTATCCTTAAGATGACACCTTGACCACTCTTTGACCTTCACACTTTGGTTCTACTGATTATGGAAATCTATCACATGAGTTGCGATAAGCATCGTATCTAAGGGAAAAAGCAACTCAACCATGTGACAAGGATTTTCCGATCACCTGACCTGGTGGTTTGTAATAGTACTCTCTCAATTCATTCCCTTCTCACTGTCCCCTTTCTCAACTTTGTTCTGGCCTCACCTTCATTGTACCTTTCTATAGTTATTCTCATCACCTTCCGTCTATTTACTCAATTTCCTATTTTGGCACCACTGCGAAAATTTCTGATAACCATGGGTGCCTGCTTATCATGTTTAAGACCTTCAGATGATGATGAAGAGTATAATGAAAGAACATCATTACTTCATAATGATTTTTATAATGACGAACACTTACAAGAGGAATTGTTAAAGAGACAACAAAGGCAACAAGAATTAAATAATTTGGTTTCTGAATTATCAGATAACTTGATAGATGTCAGTTCATTCTTACTGTCAGCTCCAAATATTACCAATTCTGCTCCTGGAACTCCAAACTTATCAATGGTAGAGAAACAATATCCTAACTATTTATCCAAAGTAGACAAAGAAAAGATTTTAGAAGATATGAAGTCGTTAGATAGTAGCATGAAAGATAAGTGTAAAGTTGAAAATAATGAAAGTTTGTATTTAAAGTTTTGATGGGTAATATATAATAAAAGAGTATGCGTTCAGTCGTATATGAGTTCTAAAACTTTGTGATATCTATAATTTTGTCATACCAGAAATTTAGTGATAAGCTCTAGAATTTTAGTGGTTTCTATGGGAGTGTTAAATATCTTGTGATTGTACCCAATTCATGAAATCATCCCAATAATCAACGGTAACCATATTATATAAATCCGTATCTCTATTATAAACTTTAGGGACTTCATCTAAGATGTTGAGCACCTTCTTTACCTCATGGAATTCCAAATTATAACTCTGATTATTCAATTTCTTGAGGATGATTTCAAAACACTCTTTGAAGATTGGTATGACATTGAATATAGGATTCTTAACATTTTTGAACACTAGTTGGATTTGTACTACCAACATTTCAATCTTCTTCAAATGGTGGAGATTAATATCCTCTTGGTTAAGAATCATATTTATCAATAGGAACATTGCTGCATTTACACAATGATTTCCTGTTATCCAATATTTCCGGAAAGAAGCAGGATACTTTGGATCGAACCAATCAATTAGTTCCAAACAAACCTCGGTACATCGTTTCCTCTCTTCTTCAATGGGTAAGTGGTTTTGGATCTTAAAACTGATCATTCGTTTGTATATCTCTAGCTTTTCATATAAGAACTTAAGATGCAAAAGAAAATAAGCATATTCGTTGTTTGAAGATTGTTTATGAATTTTTAAAGCTTGTTCTAGATTAAGTATTTTCAGAAATGCTAATTCCAATGCTTCCCATGGAACAACCTTTGATTGAAAGTAACTTCTCTTGATGTATGAGATTTCAAAAATGTATAAATTATAAGTAATTGGAAGGAAACTTTCACTTTCTTGTTCAATGGAATTCAAAAGATTGAAATCACTTATATTTCGAGGTCTTGGAGTGGTGAAACCATGAATACCTACAGGACTTTTACCTATAGCTGGACCATTAAACCAATAAATTACCACTAAAATCCACCAAATTCTACAATTCAATTCAAAATTAAGTAAACTGACACCTTCATTGGGTCTAGTTAACTTATCAAGGTTCAAAGTAGTAGCTATATAACTCATAACTCTCAAAAGAGCACTTTCAATGTGAACCCCCAGTGAGGCATTGAAATTAGTACACAAAATAGCATAACACTGTAAGCTTTTAATGTTTGGATATTTAAGATACTGACCTCTATGAAGACATTCTATAGCTGCGAAAGTACTGATACTCCCGAGTTTCTTACTCAATTCTTCATCAATCTTCAATTCCTCACACAATTCATCATCTAGAAGAAACAACACATTACTTATGGTAGCATAATATATGGATAACCATAAATACTCGTCACGAGTCTTCTCAATTTTATCACTCAAATGCTTACCATCTTTTCTAAAGAAATCTTCATGTTCTTCTTTGAATATTTCAGGTATCAAAACACAATGGAAAATGATAATCTTCTGGAAGTTGAATTCTATTAATCTCAACAGATTCTTGAACGTTAGGAAATCTTGTAACATCTTAAATTCTTCATAGGAATATTCTACATTACCTTCTTCAGCCATAGGTTTTTTAGAAAAGAAGTTAACTGTCATACCGTAAAGTCCAGATTGGTTTCCAATGGATTTCTCAGTCACTTCAGGTTCAATATCTTCAAATTGTTTCAACTTCTCCTTAAGGAATTGGTTTTCAAGCTCTAGCATTTCAATTTTGGACTTTGCCTGGGGTTCGTTATTAAATACTTGACCGTTAACAACTACTGTTTCTCGATGACATTCCAGAGCCTTACCTCTCCTGATACAAACATCACAAGGAATCTGTCGATTACACTTCACTCGACGCTTATAACAGTCATAGCACGACTGGGGAATTCGTTTAGTTACTCGAGGTGGCATGGACTCAACCTCTGTTATCTTCTGATCTCACGCTTACATAATAGAGAACATAATTTTTCCTTCTTTGAACATGAGATCGGTACACCAGATAAGATATACATTTTTCGAAAACTATACAAGCCTATTTGATGTATCATCGTAATTTACCTGATTTTATAGCTTCATTGGCCATTTTTCTTACTATTCTTTGACCTTTGGTGATACCCGGTTGATTTTCATCGAATTCCATGAACCCCATGGCTTTCAATCCATCATCAGTTAAGATATTCTCTTTCTTAGCACCATTATCTTCGAAATCTCCTTCACAGTGCTTACCCAAAGCTTTGTCTTTTATGAAATCACGAGGAGCTTTCCCATCTAGGAATGCTTGATGAGTAGCTAATAAGTTTTCAACATTGTAAGGTGATAACGGACAATAAGCATTGAAAAATACTGATGAATCTTCACTTCCGTTATGTTGTTTATCAACTTCATGAGCCACATCTGCATGCCAGAATACATAATCACCTACATTAGCATATGGAATGGATAAAACAGTTTCTGCTTGACGTAAATGGTGCATGTACTTATTGAGGAAAAATTGTCCAGTCCCAACAAAAGTAACTCCAGGGAACTTAGCTGAAGTCAAATCAATTTCTTCAGTATCAGCCCAAAAGAATGGTCTTAAGATTGAATAGGCATTTACTAGTTTAATGTTGGGTAAAACCCTGATGGTGCCTTCACCAGCTTTAACATCACTCAATGCTAACCATCCTTGTAACGCTCTGAAAGCTGAGGTAGCTGTGGGTCTGGTTGAAAGATGGGAATATAAATCAGTTTTAGCAAAAGCTCTTTCATCCAATCTCCATGGATCGAAATCTTCCCATCTGCCTTCTAAAATTGGCGCATAAACTTCTCTATATACTTCGTCTTCCCATCTTTCGATCGCTCCTGCATCCAAATGCAAATCTAAGGAAACTCCGAATCCTGGAGGTCTGATTCTGAAAGCATCAGGGTAAACTACATGACTTTCTTTGTCAATAGGCAAGCTATCATCATCAATGGTGAAAAATTGACCCATGGATTTCATTAATGCAACAACTTCGGGATGGGAACGGGCATTAACTTCACCTTCAGTCCAGAAAGCAAACCAATTAGTGATAGGAGTGGGATATCCTCCAATTTCAGGATGTTTCCCAACAAAATTAGCCATTGAGTCTTTCCATTTGAGACAAACGTCTCTGTCAACAACATTTCTGACAATTAAAATACCTCTTTCTTTGAAAACTTTTGCTATCTCTGGAGGATATTCTCCATTAGCTGCTTTAACAACCGACCAATCTACTGATGGAATGATTGAATCTCCCTGTCTTTTGATATCTTCAGCCATGTCATTCAAGGCTACAAGCAATCTTTTCCATGAAGCTTTGACTCTTTCGACATTTTCAGGTTTAATCAATTTACTCTTTAATTCAGCAAATCTTTCAGGTTCAGTCAAATCTGGAGGAATTTCTGAGTTTTGTGCTACGGGTGCCATTTCTTATGATATCAAACTATCGATTTTCGTCATGGAGTCCTCCCTTTATATGATAATGGTTTCTTCAACAATGCGATGTAGTTGTAAGTACATCTACGAAGAAGGGGCCGAATTACTCGGTCGATATATCTCGAGCGAATCCATATCAGGAAGTTGTGAGCCCCATGTTGCATGATTGGATCCCCAATGGAGTCCCAAAGAAGAATGTCACTCCGACGTGAGCCAGGATTTGATAAAGAAGAATTGGGCTATTTTGTGGTGCACCTAATAATATAATTGAACTGTTAAGGTGGGGATACAAGCCGTGGAAATATCAGTGTATGGATAACTTCAAGAGATATTTGCAAAACATGCTACACGTATTAGATGGAATCCATGTTACATGAATCAAATAGGAAACACATAGTATGTATCATTTGAGAAAATATTATTTGTATTGTTATGTGTATTAAATAGGAAGTAATTCACCTTCTGGGCCAATGAATTTACCATTGACGCTTTGATCACTCTTAGAAAAAGTACTAACAAGGAGAGCAGCAGATTCTTCTGGAGTAAGGGATGGAATACCTTGAAATTCTGGCATTCTAGTAACAGGACCACCCATATCAGTAGTGACCAAACCTGGATGAATAGCAGAAACTACAGAATTCTTGAAAAGTTCGTTAGTTGATTTACTACCAAATAAAGCGACACTGGAAACAAAATAGTTAATAGCGGCTTTGGAACCTCCATAACCAACAGGTCTAAGTGGTAAAGGATAAGTAATTGAACCGAAAATAGATGAAATAAAGAAAAATTTCTTTTGAACTCCATTATCTTTAGATAACCAATATGGTTCGAGAGCTTCATACACTTTAACTGAACCTAAGAAGTTAACGTGGAAGATCTTTTCAACATGTTTGGAAAAAACTTTAAGTTGTAAGTCTTCACCTTCAGCAATCCCGGCATTTTGTACCACAGTATCAACACCATTTGGAACAATTGAATCGAGAACTGAGAAACTGGCTTTGATTTCTTCTAAAGTTTGGGAAGTGTCTAATTCGATGATATGTAAGTTCTTATTGGAGATAGTGGACAATTCTGAGGTTTTTGATTTATCTCTAACAGTAGCGACAACGGTGTTGTTTGAGTCTTTTAAGGCTTCTTTGACAAGAGATAATCCAATACCTCTGTTAGCTCCAGTAATTAAGTAAGTAGTCATTTTTGTTTTGTGATGATAGTTAATGATTACATTCTAGAGATGGTACGACAGTTTTATAGTCAGATTGCTGGGGTTAGTGGCCATCAACGGGCATGACTATGGTGACACTTCAAACATTTGGTGAGATTTAAACGGGTCTTAATAATCGGCCACCCCGTTCTTTTTCCCAATTGGGAATAAAAGCGACAAAAGCGAAAAACTTACTTCACCAGATTACAAATGCAAAGGTTCAGAAGGTTCCATTATAATAAATCCTTCGGAATCGGACCATAATTTGGCTCTTAGATACTTCGGAATGGGAACAGTCATTATTTCCGGCAGTTATCTTACCTGGAATTCCCCGTACAAGATGAAAATATAAATGTTTGAGATATTCGTTTTTTATACTACAGTGTGGATATGGGTTTGGACTTAACATTGGGATTGAAAATTTTGAACAGGCCCATGTCAAAGGGATATCCCACGGAATGATATGTAAATCTTATCGGAGACCTCCATGTAGAAAGCTGGTGGTGTGTTATCTTCCTTAATTATCGGTGAAATTGTTGACCCTATTGTTATTTTTCTGATAAGGCTTCTTGTAACCTCAGGATACCTTCATATAAACTATTTAACCAATCATTATCCTTCATTTGATAAACATAATCTCCAATACGAATAAATCAATCTAAAACGATCTCGAGCGAAATATTCGGGCGATGATAAAGATGCGATAAGATTCTTCACTCACTAAGAAAAGTTATCTCATGGACAGGAACATTCATTCACTTGATCACATATAAATGGCCCTGATATACTGCTAATCTACTTGGAATTCATAAAATTATCCATCACAACACTAAGATGTTCACTTTGTTAACACCAAAGAATCATAACTTGTTTCTTGTAAGTTTAGTAGTATTAGCCTCAATACATCCCATTTGTATGGGATTAGATACCATGGTGGTGGGTTCTTTACTTAATTATGATTCATATTTATCTTATTTCAACTTGAATCCCGTGACCATCGGTTTAAATAACGCTGCTATTTGGATGGGACAAATTCTTTCGTTGTTGGGATTCACTCAATATATGGCAGATAATTGGGGTAGGAAGAACACGATCTTTATTGGATTATGTACATTGATAGTGGGGATAGTTTTACAAAGTGCTGCTCAGAATATTGCCATGTTTATTGTTGGTAGAATCATTATCGGTATGAGTATTGGATTTACTAATATTTCAAGTATAGTTTTGGTATCAGAAATATGTCCAGCCAAAATCAGAGGTTTCATCATGGGCCTAGCCTTTAGTTCTTTCTTAACTGGTGCTTTGATTACTAGTGGTATTACTTATGCTACTGAAAATATCCCAGGAAATTGGAATTGGAGAGTTCCTTCAATGATTCAAATTGCTCCTAATATTATTGGATTCATCAATTTAATTTTTGTCCCTGAATCTCCAAGATTTCTTCTTTCAAAAGATAGAGATCAAGAAGCTTCTGAAGTATTATTGATCTTAAATAAGCAAAATACTCGTGATGCTGAAGAGTCATTAATTCGTATCAAAACCGAAATTGCTAGTGAAAGTAAAGCTATACCATGGACTCGATTATTCAAGAGTAGTATAAATATTCATAGAATGGCTATTAATGCTTCTCAAGCTGTTATTACTGAATTAGGTGGATCTTCTATTGGTAGTACTTATCTTGCCATCTTATTAGAACAAGCAGGTATTGCATCACCAACTCAAAGATTACAAGTTAATATTGTTATGAGTGCCTGGTCATTGATTTGTGCAGTCACTGGAGCTTCATTGCTTGATGTGGTGGGACGTAAGAAACAATCATTATATGCATTGACTGCCATGGTGATTTGTTTCCTCATCTTGGGTCCTCTAATCAAAAACTTTGGCTCTGGAGCAAGTTCATCAGCCGTTTATGGAACCATTGCTGTTATGTTCATCTTCAGTGGGTGTTATTCATCAACATTTACTCCTTTGACAACTACTTATCCATCAGAATTGTATCCATACCATTTAAGAGCTACTGGAACTTCCGTGTTCAGTTTCATCAATTGTTCATGTGGATTAGTTGCCTCATTTATTCTACCTATCGGTATGAGTAACATTGGATGGAAATTTTATATTATTAATGCTTGTTATGACGCCATAATTATCCCAATAATTTACTTTGTTTGGGTAGAAACCAAAGGAGTGGATATTGATTTCATTGATGATTTATTCTGGAATCATAGATTCCATAAAGATAAAGCACCTTTACTTACCAGTGAATCAGTGGAAGAAAGTGTTGAAGTAGAAAGCGTTGAAATTCAAGCGAAAGTTTAAATTATTTATGTATATTGTGTAATATCTCTAATATCTGAAACGAAAGCTCTTTGGGGAAAGTAAGGGCGAGAGATTGTTACATTTGGTCCGGAAGGTAACGTTATTGAGGTGAAGTTAAAACTTAAAGGTAAAATTTGCAGATTTGCAGATTTCACAAAAAATCCATTTCAACTCATAAAGTTTACCAAAAGTGAAAGATTACTAATTGGATCTTATGAATTCAGCCAATCATCAACAGACCAAAGCTTAGTTAATCGAAGTTTAACTTATAATTTTACTTTTAAATCACCTAACCGATAACGATCCGATTACGGGTGATAAAAACTACATTGACCTCGAACTTGCGTAAAATTTATGGGTTCGAAACAATAAACTTCGTCCCTGCACGTTTCAAAAGTACAATAGATATGTTACAATGCTCAAAAGGTACGACTATACCTTAAAGTTGTTCTGGAATATTAGCAACGCTTGGCTACAGGTGAGAGTAAGTCATTCTCGTTTCAAGTCTCCAAAAATTTTTTTGATGTCATTTTAGCCTTGGTAAAAGATCATTAAAGCAAACTCTAAACCCCTAGATCCAAAATTTCTCCTATAATTCCCCCATATAATCAGAGATAGACAGGTGAAAAAAAAAAATTCCAAAGTTTAAAGTGTAATATAGACTCAAGCTCAAATAGACGATTGTTAATCAGATACAAAAGTAAAAAACCACAAAGGCTTATTTCCTAAGACCTTTAAAGTCTCCACTAATCAAACTTTAGTTTGCTTAAACTATCCTAAAGTGTGTTAGTGGGGGATATTTCCTAAAAATATTTCCCTGCAAATATTTTCCTACCCGTAAAAGAAAGAAAATAGAAACTCCGTTACCTACATTATTAATTACTCCTTTAGGTATGGCTAAATTCATTACTATACCCTTTTAAGAATTTCATGTACCCCATATTTTAAATTGTGAGGTAAAAAGCAAATTAGGGGATATTCCTGCTAGTGCGCATTTAAGTTGCTAAATCGATAAGTGGGGTTTAGTCCGAGCATCCTTAAACCATCGGTTATAGTAAATTGATCTAGATTAGGCATCGCTTATAAAAAAAGATAACCAACCGATGGGATGAGCAATGATTGAAATATTTTGAAGAGGAGAATTGAAACAATAAATAAATTATTGCGGTGAATAAAACATATTCTAATCAGTTGTTAAGTATCTAACTTCCCCAGATATATGATAGGTTAATTCCTAATAAGCTTTTGATCTTTATCCAGGTAACCGGAGTTCTAATGATTAGCTTTTCGAACTCCACATTTCTCACCGAGGTTTTGGTGCGGATATTAGGATAATCATTGAGGAGGGATCAAGAATGTCGTGAGAACAGGTAGTACCGACATTGACTCAGCGAGACATTTCTGCAGTAGTTGCTAATTATACACCTGGAACATATAGTGAAAAAACCCTTGAAATCATGGGAAAAGTCATTAAAAACTGCCAGGAAATTCTCTATAGCTCAAATTTATTATTCCAATAATCAAAATCTATTCAAATATCCTAATTTTAACCATTATCATCTATCTAATGACCTCACCTTTCTAAGTTTGAAGACCTGTTTTGAGTCCTCGCTGTGCATTAACTCCTACACCAGCGCGTCATAACCCTTTCAGAAAAAAGAAAAAGAAACGGGAAAATCCTGCCACGGACACACGACCGAGCACTATTTTCGAAAAAACCAATAATCAAAATTTAATTTAAATATCTTGAAAAACCCCGGATTATTTATAAAACTGTACCATTAGTTAAAGTTCTTTTAGGAATTATATTTATTTATTTATAAGGATTATTTTTTTATACATCCTAAGAATTATCAAAACCCTCAAACCCATCGAGATTTAAACCCATAATGAATGACGAAGACATTAATTTTTCTTTAGATATGGTATCTACTGATATGAATTTTGAACAAGCTTACAGCATGTATAATAATTTACAACAAGAAAATGCTATTCATCAAATAGAAAACTTACAAAAGATTCAAAATATGTCATTATTCAATCATCAAATAAATATGGAAGACATTATGAAACCAAATGTTGAAAATATGGATGAAGAGGATGATGAAGAGGAAGAAGAAGATAAAGAAGATTCAGACAATGAATTTGATAAATTCTTCAGTAATACTGAATCAAACGCTTTAGAGAAATTTTTGGATAATTTAGCTAATCCTACAAATTCTAATCCATTAGATTTGTATAACAATAACTACAGTTATGAATTTAACTTCAAACCCAAAAATGACTTTTCAGCTTTCAGTCATCCTCCACAATACCAATTTCAAGAAAAACCAGAAGATAAAGATGAATATTTCAAATCATCAAACATAATACCTCAACAATTACCAACTCCCGAATCAAGACAAAGTTCTATTGACGAAGAAGAACCATTATATAAAAAACGTAAGAGAAGCACATCCAAACCTTTATTAACTTTGGAACAAAAACGTCTTAATCATTCATATTCGGAACAAAAAAGAAGACAATTATGTAAGTTAGCTTATGAAAGATGTTTAAGATTGATAACGAATTTCGATAATTATTGTAAGAATCCACCAATGAACAAGAAACTGAAGAGAAAACAATTTAATAAAGATGGTTTACCAAACTTATCAAAATTTTGTGCTTTAAGTAAAGTTTCCAATGAAATCTTGAAAATAAGGCTGAAGAATGATGACTTGAAAAAATTATTAAATATTTAATGAATAATGAATTTATGGCTGGGATTACATTACTCTATTTCTAAGTCTTTCTTGACTATCTCTAAGTTTTTCTTAATTTTATCAACTTCGCCTTTGAAAATTTTGAACATTGACATTTTTGCGTAGTTACTGAGGCTGACGAACAAATGGGATTTGCTTTAATTTACGTACAGAAATCCATTTTTAGCTTTCTTCTAGGGCTCAATGTCAGTGCTACTGGCATGTTTCATGTAATTCGCGAACCGAACGCTTGACATCAAGTCTCAAATTATGCACAGCGAGATATCATGAGTCACCACATAAAGCAACCTTTGCCCACATTGTAATATTGTCCATATCAATAGTATAGATATTTTGATATGATATGTGAGTAGATGTACTCCGTACCTCCTTCAAAAATTTTGAAGTAATCGATACCCCATATTTTCTTGCTCCGATACTTGCAGATGTGGGGGGAAGTCATTTTTTAGCACGGATAAATGGGTGGTTTGAGATTGAGTATTTGACTTTATGGTAGAACGCATTAACAGAACAAGGATTGGGGAAGCAATTGAGTGAATAGGGGTGTGTTGGTTTTAGGGGGACGATGTTTCAGATCTAATCAGTGTTTCAGACATCACTATTTCACATATCAGTGTTTCAGATATTACTTTTTCAGATATCGCCGTTTCATAGCAGATCGTTAAATCGTCAAAACCGATGTTTCAGAACCGGCCTAGCATTCTGGGACGAGTCACCAGTAATTCAGCCATCAGAACCTACCTCTCGTGTGACTTACTGCTTACTATTTCCGTTCATCCATATCCCCACTTCTTATCTATATCCTGAAGAACCCGCAATTAAACTTCCTGAAAGCGCTTCGTCTTCATGATACCCGTTAAGCTATGGGAATCCCGTAGGATTATGGGATACCGTAAATTCATTAACAACGCAAAACCATCAGTACCGCAAAACCATGGAATTTCCGTAAATCTTTAAAGATCTTTGTTACACAAAAATTCAGTGTTGCAGTTCTTTGACTTCACACAATTTGAAACGCGAAAAATTATCAATGATAGGAACCGGTGACGATCAACTTTCAAAGTTCCCACCTTTGCCTTTATCGACATTATCATCTGACCACGAGATTCATGAAGTAAGGAAATCCTTCTTCTATATATATGTGGTCAACTGGTTATCTAACCACAAAGCGTATTTGAGGTTATCATCGGAATATTTTGATATTGATTTGTTTGAGATGGAACTATTAAACTTATTCAACCCTCCTCCTTTGGATGAATCAGTACTTTTCTTATCCAAATTGAAGGTCTCCATAGTTAATCAAATCTCCGGTAGTAGAGATATGGACTTTGATGATGTAATTAAGAAATCTTTCATTGGTACACCTTTAGAATCGAGCCATTTCGATAATTTATCATTGATTGATAAATTTGAAGTATTTTACGTGATTTTAGATCATTTTAGTGGATTGTCCACCTTCAGATCGTTCATAGAGAAGAATGATTTACCAACAAACTTTCAAATCTTAAATACCGAAGTTTCTGATAATGTTAAAACTGAATGGTTTTTGATTATTGATAAATTATACAAAAGAACCATTACCTATCCAAATATGAACGTTCCATTAAAGAGAAAAGATTCCCCTGAAGATCCAGAGACTTTTTTCGTCAATCAGTTTGATATCTCCTTACAACAAATGACATTTGATATAGAAGTATGGAGTCTTGATGATTATAATAAATTCATTCCCAGTTTAAAGAAATCCACACCATTTAAACATTTCAAAACCCTTGAATTCCAAGATTTCTTAGTAGGTTTAGAACTCAAGAGAAGAAAGAATATCACCAATAAGAAGAAAGAATATCAATTGATTAATTTAATGGCTACAAGAAAGAAATCATCTCGTTTACAAGCCAAAGAACTCGAGAGAGAAACAGCTGATATTCAGACTCGTTCAAGAAGAGAACAAGAATTTCGTAAAGCTTTAGATCTGGGGAAAGTTAATAAAAGATTGAATTATAATGGATCATTAAGTAGAGAAGATAGATTAAAAGCTAGAAATTTAAATACAGCATTTTTTAAAGGTGAAACTACACCTGAAGAATAATGAAGAAATGACGTAATTAAATATATATCAAAATTAATTAAAAAAAAATATTGCACAAATGGTATTTGTTTTAATGCATCCTCATGCATGGAAGATTCTCATGCATTTTTATAATTTTAATTCGTTTAAAATTTGGCTTGCCAAAGTTTTATAATTCCATGTGTTACCTAATAATTTCTTGAATTGAACCCCGTATAATCCTACTAATGGGAATTTCACTACATGAATTTCGAATTTCAATGGTGATTTCTTGATTCTAGTCTTTCTATTATGGTCAATTTTTGATGATAACATATCTGAACCACCACCAATCATTAAATTACCCATTGAATCAACTGAATCATCTTCATATAATTTTAATTCATCATAATAATCTTTTTCATCATCATCAAATTCTTCTCCATATAAGGATTTATTAATTCTTGCAGCTGCTGGAGTATTTGGTGGCATTAAAGCATGATTAGATCCTTCTTTACGTCTTAAAATTGAACCACCGATGGAAAATTTCCTACGATGACCAGAACTATTACTAGTGACTGAACTAATGGAATTTGATGGTCTATGACGATTAGGTAATTGAAGTGATGGTTGTCTACTTGGACCTCTACTAGTAACTACAGGTGATGTAGTAGCTGAAGGTGAAAGACTTCCATTATTACCAGTATTACCAAATGAATGAGAACTATTGGGTGGTGTACCGGAGTATCCTGAAATGATTTCGATTTCACTTTTATCATTTAATGCAAAAGCATCTCCATATAATTTCTCTTCTTCATCATCTTCATTTTGTAAAGATGGAGTATGAGCACATACGAAACCTCCTTTAACTTCTTGGAATTTAACCCCTAATCTGGTTAAAACGTTAATGATATTATAACGAATAACTGGTAAAGGTTTAGTTGAAGTAGTTTGAACACTGAAAAATCCTTTAAGGAATAAAGTCTTTGGATACTCAATTGAAGGCATTGAATTAGGTTTAGCATTATTAAATTGTTCAATGATTTGTTCTTCACTTAATGGAGGTAAGTTAGTGTATTCACCTTCTTCATCATCCAACATAATATCATCAAAGTAACCATCGTAAACTTGATCATTATCGATTTTTTCATCAGAATTTTGTTGTCCCATGGTTTGAGATAATGAAGGTTTCTTTTCTCTTTTAATACTATTACCTCCCAAAGATTTAGATCTAGCAGTTGGATGTAATTTCCTAGTAGGAACAGATTTATTAGGAATGACTTGATTAGTTTGAGTATCAATATTTGGTAATGGAGGTAAATATTCCACAGGAACGAATCCATGTTTGTTAGGAGTATTAATTGAAGATGATCTATTATGAGATCTTTTAATTGGAGCTTTAACTGGTTGAGCAGTAACATTAGTATTATTAACAGTTGCAGGGGCAATATTAGATCTATCAATTCTAGAATCGGATTTTTCTTTAGCAGTAACTTTCATTGAAACTCCACGACGAACCATTGGATCTTTCTTTGGAGATTCTTCCTTTTTAGATAATCTTCTAAATATTGAACCAACTTTATTAGGATCTAAAGTATCAGGAGATTCAGGTTGTTGTTGAGGAGGAACAGGTGAAGGGGATAATTCCATTGATTTAGGTGGAACATCGGATTGATGATAAGCTTGTTGAGGGAATTGAATAGTTGGAACTGGATCAACCATCATAGAATTTTCTTCTAATCTCTTTTCTTCCAATCTCTTTTCTTCTAATCTCTTTTCTTCTAATCTCTTTTCTTCTTGTTTCTTTTCAACTTGTTCAACTTGAGCTTTAACCAATTCTTCTTTAGCTTTCTTACGTTTCTTCATTTCATCAACTAAGTAATAAATTGATACTAATGGATGGAAACCACCGGTTGGATCAGGTAAAATATGAGCATTTGAAGCAGCTCCATAATCTCTACCACTATCAATAACTCTATACCAATTTTCACTACTCATTTGATATTCAACACTTCCTACGACATTATTTAACTCTTCAGTGATCGTGTTAATGTTACCCAAATCAAAAGTTGAAATGGTTTTCAAAATTTCTGGATCTAAAGGTAAAGTTAAAGGTACTCTTTTAGGTATATGAGTTGAAATAGCAAATTCAAACCCTTTATTTATCCAAGGGTGATTCATAACTTCAAATAATGTAGCTCTTTTGGTTGGATCAACATGTAACATTCTTGATAATAAAGAAACACATTCTTTTGATAAAAATGAAGGATATTCCACATTAGCTTTTTTGATTTTTTCATGTAACACTGATACTGATTGATCATCAAATGGAACTTTACCACATACCAATACATATAAAACCACCCCAAATGACCAAACATCAACTTCAGGTCCAACATATGGTTTAGCACTTAATAATTCGGGAGCAGCAAAATATAATGAACCACAATAAGTCTTCAATAATGATTTAGGGGAATATAAATTAGATAATCCAAAATCAATGATTTTAATATCACCCTTTTGATTAATCATAATGTTTTCAATCTTTAAATCTCTATGAACAACATTATTACGATGACAATAATCTAAAGCCGATGCAATACCACGAGCAAATTTCCTGGCATGTTTTTCTTTTAAAGATCCATGAGCAACAATATAATCCAACATTTGACCTCCTTCAACATATTCAAATAACATATAATAATGATTGGTCATGGGGACAATTTCATATAATCTACAAATATAAGGATGGAATAATAATCTACCTAAAGCTCCTTCTCTAACAGTTCTTTTATCTCTTGCCACTTCTTTTTCAAAATCTTTTACTCTTTGATGAGCTTCTTGATCATTTTGAGGTGGAGGATCATTAGCATGTTCTCTTTGATAAGATTTAGCAGCTCTTGGAACAATTTTAACCGCACAAATTTCTCCTGTTGAATTATGTTGAGCTAATTTAACTTTCCCCATTGATCCAGCACCAATTGTTTTAATAAAATCCCAATCACCAATGGATTTTCTATGGAAAGGTTGTTGAGATTGATTTGGTTTTAAATTTTTAGAAGGTTTCTTTGATATTTTGGAATCCAAAGTACTATTATTATCCATATTAGTTGATATAGCTACTGGAGGTAATAATTCATTATTTGGTTGACCTTGATTAACATTTGGAATTTGTACTGGTGGTACTTTTCCTAAATGATTTTGTGATGGGTGAGGACTTGGAACTCCATGCATACCAGATGCTCCCATATGCTGATTAATGACTTTAGGATTCATATTAGGGACATTAATTTGTCTTGGAGTATTAGTTGAAGGAACTCTTCTATGCATAGGAGTTTGAGGAGTTAAATTAGTATCAAAAGGTTGATGATGAGAAGAATTCCTTGAATGAGTAGGAGTTGGGGAAGACATTTCATTAACGTCATTTCTAGAACTTTTTAAACTTCCACTAATACTTCTTAACATTCTAGGTGTTGCTGGTTGACCTGGTTGACCTGGTTGACCTGGTTGACTCGATTGACTTTGATTTGATTGATTAAATTGCCCGGGTGCAAGATTTTGTCCTTGATTTGGCCCTTGATATTGTAAATTCCCTGAACCAAAGTTCGAAGATCCATGACCACTCGAACCCGGCTGATGATTCACCTCTAGCCTTCGTTGATCGTTATTCATTAAAAATTCAAATAGTTAGCAAGGATTACGAAAGGCAAGTTCTTGTTATAAATATTCAAAAATTCCTCCTATAAATTTGGAATTTTCACTATCAGATATCAATCTCTATAATCCAAAGATATCAAAGATCAAAATATTTGATATCAATTGATGAATCCAATCGAAGTAAGCGTTTTTATAAAAGGATTTAGAAGCCAATAATCCCTGGATTCGATAAAATTTTCACCACTGCGAAGTCGTGTAAGATTATCCCTTGAAAATCTAAGATTAGAAGGGGAAGGGTGATGGAGTTAGGGGCAATTTTGGGGGGGAGGAAATGCTTTCAGGGGTAAGTAGAGTTTGAATTTCGGAAGTAAGGGATGTTTGAAGTAGAGTAATGATGAGAAATGATTGAAAATTGTTTCAATATTACAGCAATCTCACTGCCTCCCTTGCTTCCCCAGAGTCAAGCAAGTGACGATTTACTCGTAACAGGGCGTAGAATTTATTAAACCATTGGATCAAATATTTGAAACAAACTGTAAGCCACTGGTAACGGATGAGCCTGAGAGGATTGATGATATTTATAGAATTCTCTAGATGTTCAATTATACGTAATATAATGCTATTTAATGGTGGTGTTTTAAATGAGTTTGGTATTCCCAAGTGTAACCTAAGATTAAAATGAAAGCAGCAAAGTGAACCAATGGTTTACCTGAAGCATTGTTACCATCGAAGTAAGCAGCTTTATATCTTAAGAATGGGTTGATTGGTTTTTTAGCAGCTGGAGCTGGACCAGTTGGTAATTTTTTGTAGAAAGAAACTAATTCTCCCATTCTTTTAGCATTTGGATTTTCTCCGATGTTCTAGAAGGTTAGTATTCGTAGAGGGTGGGGATTCATGGTGGTTTGGATGTGGTTTTATGGTGCATTGATTGGGGGTTTCATCGTGGTGTAGGAATTAATGGGATTCAAGGGTGTCAAGGATTCGTGGAATAGTTAACGTGGGAAAGTTCTGAAGTCCCACGGTTCGAAGTACACAAGTTTCTAGAACCTCTAAAGTCAATGTTCCAATATGTCTCTCATAAAATTCTGGTAGGGCTTCTGTAAAATCTGTTGACTGCTCATGATCAATTAACTGTATACCAAAATTCACAAACACATCTAAAAAAAACAATCTTCACTTCATATCGATCTTCCTTATCAATTGACTATTCAATTCCTACTTTACACGAACCTCATGACCTTAAACCCATATATTCAATTCATATTCTCATGATCGAATCATTCATATTCCTTTGTTATTGATTTAAACATTCTCTTCTACTGACTCGTTTTTTCCCAATCTTTCACTTCCCATGATAAAATTCACTTGTACATACTTTAACGGAGGCAATCTTTGGAGGAATTAAAGTTGATAATTGTCTTCTGGCGATAAATGACATTGATAATAATTATTCGTCTTTGAAAACTTTTTCCATTCGAAAAGCGAGCATTGTCAATATTTAATTGGTTGTTGAGATCGCGGATCACGTGAGAATGCTTACGTAACATGAAAGATAAATATCTTTAATTTTGGTAATAAGAGGTTTCAGAGCAAGATATTACAAATCATTATTCATATATTACACTTGACTTATATATAAAACATTATTACCTCTGATGAACACATCACCATAGGTTTTCACGAAATCTTCTCCGTTTACATGTTCAGATGTAGAATCCATTACAATATTCATATAACCATCAATAGAATTCAAATTACCTAAGTAGGTGACACCATTGTTCAATTTCACTTTGACTTGTTGACCCAAGATCTCTGAAAGGAAGACTGATGGGCCTGTTTTCACTTTATCTTCAGACATAATGTTGAAAACTTTCGGTGCGAATTTACAGTTGTATGGGAGATGTCCGGGTAAGTTGATGATGGGTGGTGATAATGATAGGATGTCATGCTGGTGGTGAACAGTGATATGTTGAGCAGGTGGAGATGAAGAAATGGTTGTTAATTCTGATTAGAAATGATTGTTGATGTTCAGAGAACCCCTACAAAATCAATTTTGCAACTGATTCTCAATTCTCACTATGAGATTCTTTTCACTGTCCTGTAGAACATTAATTCCCACATATAAAGTGGCAGTTGTAGGATCCGGACCGTCGGCTTTCTACACAGCTTATCATGTATTGTCTAAGAAACCCGAAACGTTCAATGTTACAGTGGATTTCTTCGAAAAACTACCCACTCCTTTTGGATTAAGTAGATATGGTGTAGCACCAGATCATCCCGAAGTTAAGAACTGTGAAGATTACCTAAGAACCATGATGAAAGATTCACCGGTAAGATTTTTTGGTAATGTAACTGTAGGTAAGGATATAACGTTGGGCGAATTGGAACAAAGTTATCATTCCATTTGTTTAGCATATGGTGTAGATAATGATAATTCCTTAGACATCCCAGGTTCGGATAGTCCACAGGTTATCCCTGCAAGGCAGTTTGTCAATTGGTATAACGGTTATCCTACAGACTTTAAGCCCCCCAATTTAGAGGGTATCGAAGACGTTACTATAATTGGGAACGGTAATGTAGCTTTAGATGTTGCTAGAGTTTTGTTGGCACCCATAGATCACTGGAAGCCCACTGATATAAGTGAAGATGCTTTGGAAGTTCTCAGAGGGTCCACAGTCAAAAATGTCAATATTGTAGCCAGAAGAGGATTATTAGAATCAGCATTCACCACCAAGGAAATCAGAGAATTACTTGATTTAAGTAAGAAAGGGATTAAGTTTATTCCTATTGAGGAGTCATTATGGGAAGATTTTGTTCCTTCTATCAATAAACTCGATAGACCGAATAAAAGAAAATTCACTACCATTCAGAAACATTTAAATCAACAAATCGAACATCCTCAAAAGACTTGGAGCTTACAATATATGAAATCTCCTAAAGAGTTCGTCACCGAGAACGGTAAACTTGCCAAAACCATCTTCACGAAAAATGAGTTGGTAGAAGGCAAAGTCGTGGCCCAAGATGAACAAATTGAGGTCAAGAATGAACTTGTGATTTTATCTATTGGTTACAGAGGATCTTCCATTGCTGGGATGGAGAGATATTTCTTGGATAGAGAAAGCAGACTTCAAAATAAAGGAGGAAGAGTCAAACCCGGTTATTACACCTCAGGATGGATTAAAAATGGACCTAAAGGGATCATTGCTAGTACAATGATGGATTCCTTCGACACTGGGTTCAATATGCTTGAGGATTTAAACAACGGGGAGTATCTTCAGGGTGAAAAAGCTGACATTACGGAAAAATTGCCCAATGCGGTAACTTGGGATCAATGGTTGAAACTTGATGATTTTGAACTCAAACAAGGGGAGGCCAAGGGTAAATCAAGAGATAAAGTCAATAATATAGAGAAGATGTTGGAAATTGTAAATAGTTAACGTGTATATATTCAGTCCTGGCAGCCAGTTATTTTGATAAAGTAATGAGAATGATCGTCTCTGTCTATACCGCTTTTGAGTAACTTGAGGAGTCCCAGAGTTGGAGATTCGTAAAGTTTGAGGTCTTGCGGTTCATGTGGGAACTGTTTCTTGGCTATGTGCATGTTAACACCACAATGAACAAAGAAATTCGTTGGTGGTAAACTTGGTACGATATCACCTTCATGAGTTATTCGAATATATCCTTTATCAGGACACTGTCCTAGTTTTAGGGACGCGAGTGTGGATGAAGGATCAAAAAGGGTCTCGATGAATTGACATAGATGGGAATTGCCTAATTTAGGACCAGCAAATGTAACTACCAATGGATCATATCCCATCAATTGTAGCTCGATCCCCGATAACAACGCCAAGGACGCTCCCAATGAGTGTCCTAATACAACAAGGTTATATTGGGGATATGTCGTTTTCAACTGTTTAACAGAGGATAAAATCCCCGATAAATTCTTTCTCAAGAATTTATAAAAACCCGTATGAACTTTACATTTGGAACATTCTACTTTCTCAAAGCCCTCTACGAGATTTTTCAACGGCGAGTACTTGGTGGGTATAGCGTCCATATTAGCGAACCAATCACGTCGAGAACTGGTGCCTCTGAAAGCAAGAATGATTCGTGAATTCCGATCATCAATAGCATAATAACCTCCACCGATATCACCCAAATCATTGAAATTGAAAGTTTCAAGAACTTCTACATGTCTCAACTGTTCTTCATTACATCGAGTTAAATTACAATGAGCTGTAGAATTCAAGAGTCCTGGAGTTAGTCCATGTTTTACACAATAACTCAAAGACACTAGTTTGGCGTAATTTACTAAATTATCATACACGATACCACCATTTACAGTCATTAGAAACCACCATATCCATAATATGAACATATTTAACGTGGTAAGTTTCTGTGATTCACCTATTTGTGGAACCTCAATTACATCTACTTTCTTGATGTACTCTATTACATCTGATGGAACAGAAGAACAAGCCACAGATATGACATCGGGCATAGTTGGACACATTGCTACATATACAACATAACTTTATCCTTGGTCTGAAGATCTTTTCCTTTTTATTCTTTTTAGATGATGACAAATAATCATATTGATCCAAGTATTGGTAATTGAGACTCAATATACTATTGATAGATACAAGATTTCTTTCTTCTTCGAAGTAGGAGTTCAAGTTACGTTTGGCCGATAAAATCTTCTTTGTACCAGGAGTATTCCCCTGCTTATTCTTCTTACTGTTGTTCTTGGATTCATAATTTTTAGGAAGTTCAAAATTCGTCACCGGTCCTTCTTTGGATAAATCCAATAATCTCTTGGATGTGAGTCTTTCCAAAGTTATCTGTTGGGAGGATTTTAAAGGTCCAGATGATTGTTGGGAGTCATTAGACTGAAGTTGAGCTGTCATTAAATCATTCAAATTATAATTGATTTTAGCCTTCTTCGCCACCGGTTGAACGTCTACATCATGATTAATCCGTGAAGGACGAGCTGTGAGGTTGATGGACGAGGTGAAGTAGATGGTGGAGCTATTGGCGTTACTTTTCTTAGGGACTTCTTCTACAAACATAAGTTCTCAATTTTTCATTCTCAAAATTTATTTCTATGTACAAGAGGGACCTATGAAATTGTGGGTTTGGTGGTGTGGTAGTACGTAGTGCGCACGTTATAGTTTGTTGGTGTTGGTGGTAAGGTAAATGGTCAGCCTTGGTTTGGTGTCGACCTTAGGTATTGGGATGATAAGACTGAACTCTAGGTATGGAAGATTGGTTCCTAGGTTCAGGATGATAAACCTAGTAGAATATCTCTGAATCCTTTGATTATCAAAATCCTCTATTTCTTATCACTGCCGGAAATCTCTTCGTGACTGAACGGTTGATCCTCCCTGGCTTTATCCAAACTAGGCTTGATTTGATGATTAGCCAAAGCAGCATTCACACATGTAATATAATCATCCCATAATTGCGTACATTCATTTTCCATGGAAGTACCCTTTAAAAACTTCTCAGTATACCATTTGTTGAAACAATCATCATACTTGGTTTTCTTTTCAGTGCATTCAGGGGCAAAACTCACTGACATTATATTTCCCATTTGAAAGATTTTGATGAGAAGTGAGAAAAAGTCTACGCGGTTATATAAACAATGAAGAGATATTCAATTGCACCACCATCTTCCAGAAGGAAATCCATGAACCCAGGATCTGTGGATGATTCCAATGAAAGATTATCACAAGCTATGGAATTGGAAAAGTTGGAACAACAAATCACGTTAGTTTTACAACAAATTGATACTAATTTATCTAAATCTAACTCATTCATAAATGATAAGATCTTCCCCATATTAAGGAGTTATTCCAATTCTTGTGATAATGTATGGAAGAATGTCAATTACTGGAAGTATTTCTTTGAACAATCGGCTAATATTGAGTTGGGAACTAATGAATCGGAAATTCCTGATATCAAATCTATCACAGAGAATAATATCCTTTTAGATACCGAGACAGATGATCTTGATAATAAGACCAAACAGGTAAAGAAACCTTTGTTCAAAGGAACACTCGATGAATCTACACCTACGTGGTCTACAGAACCTCAAGCTATACGGAAACTCGAAAGTGAGAATGCACAACCTAAAGTTGATAAATCTCCTCAAAAAGAAGAAGTGACGTTTAATAAACGAAAATCGTTAGACAAATATCAAAACTTTATTGTGAGTCCACGAAAGAAACATTCAAGTGATTTCGAAAGAAGAAGAAGATCATCCATCATCCAAGATTTACTTAATTCATCTCCCACATTACCTGAACCACCGTTCTTGGAATCAGAGGCATATATTCATTCTGATCATAGAAGTGACAAAGAAAGTAATTTACAAAGTGAAGATTTTGAGGAAAGACTTAGGCGATTGAACAGATCACCTGGTGGATTACCTTTAACACCTAAATTGAAAAGTACCAGAACTTCTCATATCAAAACACCAATAGAGATTAAAAATTATGATACAAAAGCTCCAGAAGTTGAAGTGGAAACAAAGTCAGATGATGAACCCGTTTTCCCCGATTTGGAAACCATAGATATTCAGAAAAAGACCGAAGAAATACTGAAGAAAAGGAAACTTGATGAAGATAATATCTTTCTTGATGATAACAGTAGGAATAATTCAGTTCAATCTACATTATACCATTCAATGTTAGAAAAAAGTGGAGAATTTAAACCAGATTTAGGTCCTAAACCCGATTTAGCACCTGAACCAGATTTGAGTAATCAAATTTTTGAAAATATTGATAAACAAAGTGAACAAGAAGTTATCAAAGAAGATACTCACTCGTCAGAATTAGGGGCGGAACTTCAAGAAAGACTTAATAGGATTATAGGTAAGTAGTGCGAATAAATGGATCGAATACGTAACATAACCGCATGTAAACGATGTAGGGAGAAACGAATCAAGTGTGACAAGAAGTTCCCTCAATGTTCCAATTGTGTTAAGAAAGGCTTTGACTGTGTTTCAATTGACGTTGGTACTGGGGAGATAGTAAGTAGGTCATATGTTCATGATCTCGAGACTAAAGTGAGGGAGTTAGAGAAACAGGTTGAACAGTTGAGGAAGAAAGGTGAGTCGAGAATAGACCCCCAGTCGCATATTGAGTCTCAGACAGAGTCCTGTAATGAATCAGCTGAATCCAAAACAAAGTCAATTGACTTGAAAACTACCGATAGTATCGATAATGGTAGTTCCAATGGTGATGTTAATTATAAGGTAATGCTCATGACAGATGATGATATTCGGACGGTTAAGAATTTACCTCATACGGAACTTCCCGAGAAAAAGATGGTAGAACAATGCATAGAGCAATATTTTCAAATCTCCAACCTTCAATTGCCTATCCTTAATTCCACTCATTACTTGCTTAACTACTTCAAACCTTTGTATGGGGAAAGCGAAAGATTATGGTCGAAATATGTGGGTGATGCCACACTCCACAGTGATGTAGATGTGGAGGATAAAAACCACAAGCAATGCTGTTTGTTTTTTCTTTATATAATCCTAGCTATTTCCACCTCGTTCCAACACAACCAGAGTTCATCTTCAGAAGCTTATCAACAAAAGAGCTTGAAATACGCTGACTATCTATGGAAAAATGATACTACTAGTGATATCAAGAAGATAGAACGAATGCAGAGTCTATTATTGTTATCGGCATATTCCTTGATGAGACCATCTAACCCTGGAAGCTGGTATTTGATCGGGAATGCTATCAGATTAATGTATGACTTAGGATTCAATGAAGACCCAGTATCAGAAGATGTGTATATTGTGGATATGAAACGAAGAATGTTCTGGTGTTGTTACTCATTGGATAGACAAGTTAGTTCATATTTCCGGAAACCCTTTGGAATTAGTGATATGAAAGTCAAAGAACCTAGTGTGTTCAGTGATGAGGAAATCTGTAACAGATTGCCAGGACTTGAGACTGGGCCAAATTCAGATAAGCTTGTAATGATCCATTACCTTAAGTTGAGAATGTTACAAAGTGATATCTTCCTCGTTCAAGATTTGTCCCAAAGAGATGAGATATTCCATAGATTGACCTCTTGGTGGTTGGAGATTGATCAACTAGAACCTAGCGAATTTGATAGACTGATTTTAAACGTTATCTATCATTATAGTGTGGTGAACTTATACAAATTCATATTATTCCAGCCTGAGCTCAATGATTACGCCAATAAGACCAAATTTCAACTTCTCATCCACCACTGTCAACAAGTAGTGGAAAACTATTACACCATACAAGAGAAGAACCTCCTCAACTATTCATGGGTTTCCATAAACAACATGTTTTCTCCTGGTATAACATATTTGTTCACTATTTACTACTGTGATTTCATCCGGACAGAAGTTGATTTGGTAGTTTTACAAGGACTATGTACCAAGGTGGAAGTATTCCTAGATAAGCTCAAACCTATTTGTTATCAACAATGTGTAAACTATATCAAGGATTTCACCGATTTAAAAGACAATGTAATTGATTTGATACGTAATGAAAGAAAGTTTGTTATTGATTTAGACATATTTGATGATTCAGAGTTTATAAATTTCATGGTGGGGAGTGTTAATAAAGAACTTGACCCCAAAAGATAACGTCCACGATAAGGTCCCAGCTAAGATAAGAAACCCCATGACTAAAAACAACTTAAAACTAAACATAGATGAAACACAAATATGGAAACCTTCACCTTACAATTTCCTAATTAGCCTATAACATTGCTACTATTTCAGCTTATTCAGCCCAAACACTTCAGCCGTTCTCCTAAAATGGCTGCAAAAAAAACACTGAGCATAGGTCAGCAGATGACAAATTGGTCGCATTTTATTGGTCCATCGCTTCTCAGGTGATTTCGGTGTGCCATTTCCAAATACTATATTAAGGCTGCAAAATCCTGTGGTAAAATTATAACTTCAATAATGGCTTGTTCATCATCAAATTGTGTTTGTGCTAAGAAATCCACTTGTTCATGTGGTAAACAACCTGCTTTACAATGTAACTGTTCAAAAGCTGCTAGTGAAAACGTAGTTAAAGGAGAATCATGTTCATGCGGTAAAAGATCTAAAGATGCATGTACTTGTGGTATGCATGGAGCCTGTGATGGTTCAAGAGAAGGTGAAATTGATTTCACTAACATGAAATAGAGTATTACATAATGAATATATTTATTGGGACTTGGTATTTTCCTGTTAGGCTCTCGTCGTTTTAGTTTTGGGCGTGACAATTTCTCTCAGAAGAGGCAATTGAGATAGTTAGGATCTAAGGTGTAAGTAGATTAGGATGTTTGGGCTATTGAAGGAATATTCAATCATTCTTACCACCCATCGTTCATGGTACTTTCATTTAAACTGTTTGTCATTGGTGCTCACCATTGGTACAAATTCGCTACCACTGGTTCCGCACCAATTACCACCAAAACCTCTGTTATCACCCCGGAGAAAATGCGCAGAGTTTGTCATGAAACTATCAGGTCTTCAGAAGCAAGTCATCCACCTATACAGATCATGTATGAGGCAAGTCAAGCATAAGCCTATAGATACTCAACATCATTGGAGGAAGTTCATACACGCGGAATTTGTCAAATATAAGGCCATACCCAAGAAACAGTTTAGTGCCATAGAACATCTACTTAGATCTGGAGATCGAAGATTAGAGATGTTTCTGAATCCCCAAATTAAGGACATCAGTTAAGAGTCATCAGAAATTAATAGCAAAAGAGTATTAGTTGAAGCTCTCAGAGGAAGCTCTCAGAGATAGATTTCCCGAATGAATGCCAGAAATACTCCCAGAAGAGCCAGAAATACTCCCAGAATACTGCCAGACTGCCAGAAACACTCACAAAGATATCATAAGAAGAGACTCACATTACGAAATTGTCATTCCTACATAAGAAGTTCTAAAAAACCATTGTCTTGTACATACTAATGAAATATTCTATCATAATTCACAAATAAGAATTCCGTCACATCATTTCTCGATCCCATATCCATCATCTCTCTTTGTCCTGACTCATCTCTTGCAATGGTAGGTGCAAAGACTACGGACAAATTCTTATAATTCATTCTGTTAACGTTAGAAAATGAGTTCACCAATTCTAAATGTCTACAAAGTTCTAACAATACCAGCTTATTGGAATTGGGCAATTTAGTAGTTAAAAGACTTTTGAAATCATTGACTTTCTTTGTTTCATCATTGATGGAGTTCAAGTTAATGAAATCTACGTATAAATCATAAGGAATCAAAGGATCGGGAATTTTCCTCAAATATCTCTTCAAAGCTGATGTTACTGCATTGATATCACAGTCTAAAGTATCATTGAGCTTATTGAAAGATTTTTCATCTTTAATTTTTGGATTGATATTGGAGAAAGCCAATTCAATCGATTGAATCGTCAGATTACCTCCACTGATCCTATAAATCCCTTCCATATCCAAACCTCTCTTCTCTACTTCTTGAAGACAACGAGATATTATTAAGGGGATCTCAGTATTCTCGAATTTACATCTTCTTTCAATACTAGATTGGAATAATGGTACATCATCATCACTAACAGTACCATTGGATCCTCCATTTAAGAAGGTATCTAATAAATTGGTTGATCTAGATTTGGTCATATTGGCTTTATGATTGGGTGATGTTTGTGATAATGATGACTGTGGGAGTGCTAAATGATTATTACTTACAGAACTACTCATTCCCGTACCATTAACACCATTAAATCCAATCTTAGCTCTTCGCCAGAATTTCAATTTAGTAGCTTTCTGCGTCTCTATCTCATCAGCTTCAGGAACTGCTACTAATGAAGATGAAGAATTCGATTGGTGATGGGTGATTTCTTCAACTTTTTCTTTAGTATCCAATTTTTCCTTTTGTTCATTTCTTTCGTTAACCCTTTGTAATTCCGTCACCTCTTTGGTGATTTTATTTAATTTACTTAATTCTTCTTGATATTTTTGTTTTAACCCATCGATTTCATTGTTTAATTTACCTCTATCTTCCTGTAATTTTCTAATATCAGCCATAAGAGTCTTTTTAGTGGAATCCAAATAATTGACTTCAAGTCTCATGGATTTCAAATCCATATGATCTGTCTGACTGCCAGTTCTACTATGATTAGGTAAATTGGGTATTACCGAAGTATCAGAACTGGACCTATTATGTTGAGTTTGGAATATTGGTGGAGTTATCAAAGATGTGAAATTATTGATAGATCCATCACTAACATGACGTGAATGGCCCTTATCATCCTTCTTGAAGAAATTCAACTTTATACCGTTATTACTACCACCACTGGTTGAACGTTTATGTCTTAAAGTCAATCTTGGGGTTTTAATAATACTTTGTTTTCTACCTATCAGATCAGGTGTAGCATGAACACTTGAATCATAATCTTCTTCAAGATTAGTAACTGAAGGAGTTGGTCTTTTGATTGAATGATTGGAATTTCTACGGATCTTGTTATCATTATCATTAAATTCAATACCTTCCAAACCTAAACCATTCAATAGATCTTCTTGTCCATTAACGGCATCAAGATAATATTGATCAGAAATGGATAATTTCTCTTCTTTAGGTGTGGATGAAGGTACTGAAGGTAAAGGAACTTTGGGTGGAGGTGATAAAATATGATTATTTGAAGTATTCTGTCTTTTAGGAGTAGCTAAACCAGGTTCAAGTAATTCTTCTTCTGATGAATATTTATCCACATCATCTTCAACTACTCTTGCGTGTCTATTAGCTTTAGCCATAGGACTTGGACAATTGGATTTAGGTCTTTCATCAATGAATAAAGAATTACGATTGATCTCATCAGAAGGACTTTTAGCCCCATCACGTTGGTTTGGACTTAAAATAAGGAGATTCTTACCTTGGAATTTAGTATGAGATATCGAAGTTGGAGAATTCGATTGATCTGGTTGTAAAGTAACTGCAGGTTGAAGGAAATCATCGAATAATTGTTGTTTTTTAGGAGTTAAAGGTAATTTTTGAGTCAATTCTTCATCAGAATCATTGATTTCTTCAATGGAAAGTTCTCTTTCCATTGGTTTACGAGGTTGAGGATGTATGACTTTCTGATGATTTGGATCTAAAGATTTTCTACCATCCTCAAAGTTACTACCTTCAAAGTTACCATCATAATTACCACCTTTTGCGCTTGACATCGCGCTGCCATTCAAATTACTACCGTTATTAGCACTGAAACTATTATTCAAAATAGGAGTATCTAAATTTTGATTATTCATGAGTGGTGTATTTAAAAGTGGTGTGGTTGGTAAATCTTTATCTTTGGATAAAACTGACGATGACCTACTTTCTTCTAAAGCTTTTGAGAATAATTTGGGGGTAGGACTTCTGGATCTTTCATATAAATCATATAAATCATTAGAACTGGATATATTTGAACTTTTGGATTTATTCACATTGACGTAATTATTCAAAGGTCTTTCATCATCATCCAAATTTGGTGTTGATACCGCAGAATTGGTAGCTGAACTTGGATTACTGTTAAATTTCCCTGGAAGATTCTCTTTATCTCGTTCATTTTTCAACATTTGAAGTTGTTTCTTCTTCATATCGTATTTTTTCTTCTTAGCCATTAATTTTTCGTGACAACTCATACAGAAAAGACCTTTAGAAGTTCTGGCATACCTTAAATCTTCAATTTTCTGTTTACAAGCTCTACATTTGAAACATGAAGAACAATAAGCTTGATCCCCAGTCAAAATGGCTAAATCATCGATTTTTTTCCCACATTGTTTACAATTATATGAACAATTGGAACATATTAAGTTCCCATTACCTAAAACCAAGAAATTGGAATTACATCCTAATGAAGAATTACATTTAGAACATTCAAAACAGTTTATATGCCAACGATCATCACCTAACTCATAAGCATGACCTTCATAAATGGGTAAATTACATTTCTTACAGTTCTGTATATGTTCTTCCACGTCATTTTCATGGATACTAATATCTTGTGACATGGTTACACGGTGTTTCCAAACTAATTAATTATGTACAGAAAAATCAATAAAAACTCGATAAATGAATGAACTATGACTTTGATCAATGAATTAACTTTTATGAATTATCTGATGATAATAACGATAGGTTTGTTATAATCGGTAAAGATTTTGTAATGTTGGTGATTAGTTATCCCTTTGAATTATTTGGTGAAACAAAAATCCGCACTTGGTGTTGATCCAGTTCACTACTGATGAGGGATTAAGGTTTATGTAAGATTAGATGTCTGAGTGAGACAATTGACATATTCAGAGGCATTGTTTATTTACAAGCTATGCACAAGGAATCTATAAATGGAAGGGTCATATGAGATTTTGGACATGTTTTTATGATGAAGGTCTAGATTTGGATATTTGACGATAAGTTACATAATTGACATAAGGTTACCCTTTTGGGGTTGGGAAGTTCTTTCCAAGCATAAAAGTTCTTAAAAGAAAAGTTTAATTATAATTCCTCCGCAGTTAAATCACGTTTAATTATAAATGGTTTACCTCTCCAATCTATAGTTTGACCCATCATAGCCATGATCCAAATAGGCAAAGCAAATACTTCTCGGAGTATCCAAACAAATAACCAAACTAATTTATCTGAAGTCTCATCATGGAAATGGAACCAAAAGGGTTTATCACCAGATTGGATGTTATTGATTAATATTATGTATTGGATGTAATCGGTAATACACCAAATGATCATATGAAAGATGAAAAACTTCATACTAAACCATTTATCCCATAAGAAGTAACTTAAAGATAATGATCCGAAAGTTCCACAGACAATTGATTCGGTGGTTGGTTCTATCAAGGTAGCCATGAAAACCATATATTTCCGGACTCTTAACCACCGTATACGTCTTTTAAAGTATTCCAGAACTCCATGACTTGATTTCTCTAATTTATTCAATGGTTGAATTACTAAATCCGTGGTTAACGTAGTTCTACAGAATAAAAATTCCCATAACGCAATAGCTATCATATTATCTTCACCGATATATTTGGCAAAGAATTTAAGGGAATTACCTGGCCCTTGTTGGGAGATCTCTCTAGCTGATTGTTTGATGACTAAATCTTTGAAAAATACATTATCAGCATAAGGAATCTTAGCAACGGCATTATCTAAATCTGACCGACGGAATATATTGGATTTCCCATTAACACATGGAGCAGGGTTTAACTTATTCAAACTCACGTAAAACTTTGAATGGGAGGAGAATAAGAACATCTCATCTAACTTTGATCCAAGTTTACTAAAAATCGATTTATCTTTATTTATAGCCATTGCCAAAGGAACTTGATGAACTAACTTGACTTTACGTAAGTTAGAATACTTACTGACGTTTTTGATTCCACCATTGACTAAATTTTCATTCAATGATTTGATGGAATTTTTCAATATATTGGAAGATGCCCAAACATTAGAATCCATAATCCACAAAATGTCATTTTTGGCGGCCAAAAATCCCTTGGATAAGTTGTTAACCTTAGGATTAGGACCATAATGATCTAAAACTCGGCCATTTTCATGTTTACTATAGTATATCTTTGCATCTATATTTGGATATTTGGCGATCAAAGCATTTATAATGGGAATGGAAGAATCGGACTTGTCGTCAATGCAGAATATGATTTCTAACTTATCATGGGGATAATCTTGAAGGAATGAACTCTCTAAACATGATTCTAATTCTGGATCAATACCTTTAATGGGTCTTAATATGGTGACAGGTTCAAACGTTTCTAAAGATAAATACTTCTTACTTCGATAATTACCTAAGATTTCAAAGAATCCTATATATGCTATGATGACGATGACTATGTACCATATGAGTAGTACTATACAAATGAAGGGCCACACCATATATGATGGAAGAATCTTTGTTACTAATGTTCCGCTCTCAGCCCCGACTGTATACAAATTCATCACAAACTTTTTCTCAGGGTGTACGGGTGTGAGTGGGGTTAAAGAATGATGTAAAACCGTTGGGTATATTTAGTTAAGGGGGAACTGAATCAGCGGAAAAAGTATTTGAAGTGATGATCATCCCGTGGTTTGTGGTGGTGTTTATTTTTTCTCTTTATCGATATCGGAGCAATGTGTTCAGAGTATGGATAATATGAATAATATGGACAATATGTCAATGGTAAGCTAACAGTAGACCTTTGTATATAGAGACCTAATATATCGCTACTGGTGTATTTTGATCTCACATACCAACCCTAACGGTCTCATGATTCCACCAATAACCTGTGTAGTTCCACGGCTGCACACAGTTAAATTTTCATATGAGATCCATGTAACTTTTACGAGTCGGATATCTTCCTAAGTATTTTGAAACACCCTCATTCAATGTTCTGACCCCTATTCACATCATCCTATCAACAAACTACCTCATGTTAAACAAATTACCTATCACCGATACCGAAGATACCACCCCAATTACTACCATCTCTCCCAACCCCATGGGCGCAAAAATAGCGACAAATGGTACTAAACATTGGGACCGCAAATCCTCGGTTCAAAGGCAATCGTCACCCCCACAACTTTCTCACTATATATTTCATCCAACCTCCCATATTTTCCACATTTTTAATTCATTGGTTTTTTAGGGGATTTTATTATGTTAAGGATTATGACTAGACAATTCAATAAAACTGCAGTCAAGGGAGATTTGTTCAAATTTCAAAAGGACTTACCTAAATTACCCGTTCCAACTTTAGAAGAAACTTCTGAAAAGTATTTAAGATCAATCAGACCATTTCTTAATGATCAACAATTCAATGAAAGTACTGCTAAAGTAAAGAAGTTTTTGAATGGGGAAGGTCCTCAATTACAAAGTAAATTGGTTGATTTTGCTAAAGGTAAAGATAACTGGTTATCTGAATTTTGGGATGATTATGCCTATATGAGTTATAGAGATCCTGTTGTTCCATATGTTTCATACTTTTTAAGTCATAAAGACTTACATAATGAAATTGGTAAGAGTCAATTGTTAAAAGCTACCTTAATTACTTATTATACTACCAAATTCATGGAATCAGTACAAAATGAAACTTTAGAACCAGAAATTATTAAAGGTAACCCTTATTGTATGAATGCTTTCCATTATATGTTCAACAATTCCAGAGTTCCAGCTGAAGGTAGTGATATCACTGTTAAATACGATGGTTTAGAACATCAATATTTCACTGTTATCATAAATAATCATTTCTACAAAGTTCCTCATCATATTAATGGTGAAGCTTTAACTAAAGAACAAATTTACAGTCAATTACAATACATTTTGAACGATAGTGGAAAATTTGGTGAAGGTGAACCAATTGGGGTTTTAACTTCTTTAAATAGAGATGAATGGTTAGATTCTTATAACAATTTAGTTGGTTCACCAATCAATAAAGCTTCATTAGATACTATTCATGCTTCTAGTTTTGTTATTTGTCTTGATTCCAATTCTCCAATCACTATTGAAGAAAAATCTAGAAACTGCTGGCACGGAAATGGTAAGAATAGATTCTTTGATAAACCAGTTGAATTTTTCATCTCAGCTAATGGTAATTCTGGTTTCTTAGGTGAACATTCAAAAATGGATGCCACTCCAACTGTTCAATTAAATAATTATCTTATGAGTGAAATCTCTAAAGAAGATGCTGGTGCCTTGGTTGAAAGTATCAAACAAATCGATTTAGTTGCTAAACCAGAAAAATTATTATGGGATATTAATGGCAAAGCTAGAAATGATATCTCATCCGCTTTAATTAAATTCAACCAAACCATCGAATCACATGATGAAGAAATCTTCCAATATTATGGATTCGGTAAGAATTTAATCAAACAATTCAAAGTTTCACCTGATGCTTTTGTTCAAATGGTTATCCAATTAGCTTATTTCAAATATACTGGAAAAATCAGACCAACTTATGAAAGTGCTGCTACCAGAAAATTCTTAAAGGGAAGAACTGAAACCGGTAGATCAGTATCTATTGAAAGTAAAAAATTCGTTGAAACTTGGGCCAATCCTCAATCATCAACTGAAGATAAAATCCTGAGTTTTAATGATGCTTGTAAACAACATGTTAAATATTTAACTGAAGCTGCTGATGGTAAAGGTGTTGATAGACATTTCTTAGGTTTAAAACAAATGATTGAACCAGGTAAACCAGTACCAGAAATTTTTACCGATCCAATCTTTGGTTACTCCCAAAGTTGGTATTTATCAACATCGCAAATTCCTTCAGAATATTTCCAAAGTTGGGGATTCTCTCAAGTTATTGATGATGGATTTGGTTGTGCTTACTTAATCAATAAAGATTGGGTTCATGTTCACATTTCATGTAAAAAAGGTAATGGGTTACATTCCAAATACTTGAAATGGTATTTATTAGAGAGTATTGAAGAGATGAAGAGTGTATTGAGTACTCAATTACAAAAGGCTAAGATGTGATAGAAATGTAGATGAAGTTTTGACTGTTTTCTCTGTCTTTTACTCTCTTTTTTTACCCGGGATTTTTGTAATTTGTGGCTTTCATACTCAGAGGTTTTTGGTATCCGTAGCCTTCTTACTCAGAATCTGTTCACTCTATCATTTAGTGACTGATTCCCCTGAGTCTGTCACTGATGCCTCTGTTTAATACCCCCAGCTTACTTCCTTACTCACCTCTATATATCTCACTCCCCACTGAAACTCTATTTACGAACTCTATTTCTTTATCGATGTCTTATCGCTAACTCCGACGAGGTGACATAACCGATTTTATCACTCAGCTCAATACGCCATTGTAAATCCTCATATCCCCAACGGTATTTAATTAACTCCATATCCCCTGTTGAGTCCGTGTCTTTGTTCTTGGTATTGCTATTGATTTTATACTAATTGGTACTTATCAAATTTTACCTCACACTACCTTCCTAAAAAAAATCCCCCGTCATCATTATCAATCGGTTTATCTTCACACCACATCTTTTCGTCTATGGTGAACAAACTTCTACACACTTCCACATCGTCATCACTCCCACACTTAATCCCTTACTTCGTCAAATGCCGTCCATGAAACCCTCGCGAAATCTTCCCTTAACAAGGAGACGCGAGAGTTACTCGCTTAAATACTATGAAACATTCTACCTTTATTAATACATTATCCCACCACTATTATCCATATCATCATCACCATAACACCACCAGTATCATCATCATCCATCCATCCTCTTAGTGATACTTGGTTCCCATTTTCAAATCTTTCTCACAATCCCTCGCTGCTCCCACATTCTCTTCACGACTTAATATTAGACGAGAGATACAAAAAATCAACATCTTATTTATTCTCCGATATCCCATCTAAATTTTTTTTCCTTTCATAACTTGTGGTTGTTAAAGTTTTATCATTCCTTTACATTCATTTTAACTACACTTATTTCCCCAGATTATTGTTAAAAAGTATTTTTAGATCGTTTGTTTACGTCAGATCAAAGTCACTTATCAACAGGGGTCCAGTTAGTTACCGACTTTTTATTATTGTCAGGACATTTTAGTCATCTTTTAGCACACTTAGATAACGGGTTTTTTTCTATCGGGCATCAACAAAAGTTTGTTTACGATTCTAATTGTAAAAAAGTTTTGTTTTTAATTCAACACTATTGCATTTTACACATCCAAGTCTCATGATATGGTTAATAAACATAAACGACAAAAATCATCAATCCTGAATATAGGGTATTATATACCAGAGAATCAAGAAGCTGAAGAGGTGGAACCTCAAGAAGAGTATCAGAATCCTCGTTTAACTCCGCCATTATTGGATTATGACAATGATCCATATTTAAGTTATAATTTTCCTAACCTGGCACCTATGCCACCTATGAATGTTAGGCAGAATATGGCTCCACCAATGGTTAACGATCGGTTTTATTATAATCAACCGATGTATTTAGATCAAGGATTTCTGTATTTACCTCCACCAGGAGGAATGCCTTCAGGAGGAATGTCTTCAGGAGGAATGCCTTCAGGATCTGTTGGTCTGTCAGGTACTGTAGGACTGTCAAATATCGAACTGACTCATTCACTGTCACTGTCTCATCCATCATCTCATCTTCCCCAGTCTACAGTTCCCAATATTAATTTATCACCCAAACCAGTATCTACTGCAAATACCCCTAGGAGATCCCCCAAGAGGAAATATAAACATCAAAAATCAAGTTCAATGTCATCAATACCTCAATTCATCCCCAATCCTCCTATAATACCTCAAGCAGTAGATAGAAGTGAAAGATCTCCAGAGAGAATCTTACCATCAATCAAGCATAAACAAAATTTATCCATATCATCACATTTTAATCTTTTTAATTTAAATGAACCCGAAATCAAACATGAACCTTTAAATCCAGTAGTGAATGATCTTTTAGGTGAAATCCCCCATATTGAACCGTCAACCATAAATAATTTCTTATTGAGAATTTTATCTAAAGCTAATGATATTCCTTTAGATGATTTTTATAACCTTCTTTATAATGATATTATTGAAACATCAAGTAATTATGGTGAAAAACTTGATAAATCCCAAATCTTACACCATTCAAATAATAATTTAACTATCATCAATGAAATTTTAGAAATTTTCAAAAAACCCGAATTAGTAAAAAATTTAAATCCTCCTGAATCAACTATTAATGAGAATAAACTTCATAATATCAATTATCATGAACTTTTAAGAACGTTTTTGGCCATTAAAATCTTACAAGATATGTTAATTCAATTACCAAGAGATGAACATAAAGAGATCACCAAATATAATATTCCTAGAATATCTTTATATAAAACATATTATATTATATGTCAGAAATTGTTATTACATTATCCATCATCATTTCAATCTACTAATGATCATCATAAGTTAATCTTAGGTCAAAGTAAATTAGGGAAATTGATCAAATTAGTTTATCCCGATTTGTTAATTAAGAGATTAGGTAGTAGAGGAGAATCCAAATATAATTATCTTGGAGTTATTTGGAATGAAAACATCATCAACGGAGAAATCAAGAATCTTTGTGATGATCATGAATTACCTCAATTGAATGAAATCTTCAATAAACAGTTCAAATCCAAAGTTTCGGAGAAATTGCCCGATTTAAGTCTTGATCATAGATCAAGTAATAGTAGTATTGAATATGATTTTGTCAAATCAGAGAATTCCTATATTAATATGACGTTGAAGTATCCTTCAAATTTCCAATTACTTAATTGGATAGGTCATCAACAAACAATATTCAATGATGAACAACTTTTATCATCAATAACTTCGATTTTCTTAAATTCCGAAAGAATAAGTATTTATCAAGATTTACATAATCTTATGAACTCAACTAATCATAACAAATTATTCATGATGATCTTATTACAATTAACACCTATTATGTTATTAATCAAACCAGTAAATGATTTGGTTATTATCAAACAAAACATCATAGAGTTTATAAATGAAGATAATGATGATGATTTGGTTAAGTTTAAGCTTATTTTGAAGAATCTTATCAATTTAAATGATTGTATCATCTCCATAATGAAGGTAATCTTTGACGATGAAATGATTATCAATGATTTCAAGAATTATTTCAATTCTTCCAATTATCTTAATAATTTTTTGAATTCTTTGATAAGTTATAATTTCGAATTGCCAGTAGACCTTCAATTTATAGATAAAGATCTTTCGTTGGTGAAAAAATTCTTTACTGACGATTTAATCAATTGGTTGAATGGTAATCATTTTCATGATAATAAAGATGAACTTTTGAATAATGAACAATTTAACAGTTTATTAAACTTTTTCTCCTTGTTGGATAATTTGATATTAATGTTTAAGAGTTATTCAGTTAATTCATCGGTGTATTTTATTCAGTTAGTGTCTAATGATTTATTGAAACTTGTTTATTTTAGAAATGAGAGGAACTTCCATCATTGGTGGTTGGTGAATAATTTCATTCAAGATTATATGACGTTGGTAGGGGATTTAGTGGGATTAAATAGCATTTTGTAATATATGTTGGCGAGAGTCTTGATACTGAAGGTATAACGGTTCGCAGAACAGGCTGAGCTGGGCTCCGTAGAACAGAACCCCAGAGCAGAGCTTCAGAGAGAGCTTCAGAGAGAGCTTCATGGAACAGAGTCGCAAAAAACAGAGCTTCAGACACAGCTTCATAGAGCAGAGTCCCAAAAAACAGAGCTCCATAGAACAGAATTCAGAGTAACTCTCAGTCATCACCTATATTTATACTTGACCTTTGGTGTGGAAGACATCTAAAGCTTCGGAAATTCTGCTTGACATAGTCTTTTCACCTTCTCTAACCCAAACTCTTGGATCAAAGAATTTCTTGTTTGGTTTATCTTCACCTTCTGGGTTACCAACCATGGACATTAAATAATCTTTTTTGTTTAAAACGTAATCTCTGATACCTCTTAAGTAAGCATATTGACAATCGGTATCTAAATTAACTTTAACAACCCCTGAAGTAATAGCGGTATCGAATTCTTTTTGACTTGAACCTGAACCACCGTGGAAAACTAAGAATAATGGTTTATCATTTTCACCACCAATTTGTTTTTTAGCATAAGCTTGATGATCAGCTAAGATTTCTGGTTTTAATTGAACATTACCTGGTTTATAAACACCGTGAACATTACCAAAAGCAGCAGCAATTGAGAAATTTGGTGAGATTGGTGATAATCCTTCGTAAACTTTGAAAACAGTTTCTGGTAAAGTATATAATGATTCTTTTTGAACATCTTCATTGTTAACACCATCTTCTTCACCACCGGTAATACCGATTTCCATTTCTAACCATTGGTTCATTTTGGCCATTTTAGTGAAATATTTAACACAAGTTTCAATATTTTCTTCATCTGATTCTTCTGATAAATCTAACATATGAGATGAGAATAATGGAACACCATTTTTAGCAAAGAATTCTTCGTCAGCTTTTAACATACCATCGAACCATGGTAATAATTTTTTAGCACAATGATCAGTGTGTAAAACAACTGGAATACCATAAGCTGGAGCAATAGCTCTAATATAATGAGCAGCAGCAATTGAACCTTGAATTGAAGCTGATTGATCTTTGTTATCAACACCTTTACCGGCAAAGTAAGCAGCACCACCTTGAGAAGTTTGTAAGATAATTGGTGATTTAGCATCTCTTGCAGCTTCTAAAGCAGCAACAACTGTTGATGATGAAGTAACATTGATGGCTGGAATAGCGAAACCTTTCTTTTGAGCATATAAGAATAATTGTCTAACATCATCCCCATAGATAACTCCACTTTTAACTGATAAAACGTCTAATACTGACATAATTTGAATTGAATTGATTTAAATTTGTTTTTTCAATTATTGAGAATTTCGTCTCCTTTTATACTTTGTCGACCATCACCTGAGCCAGTCATATGATACCGGATTAATTTTAATCGCATAATTTCAGCAATTTAATCCGGATGAGGTACCAACTGATGTGTTTGAAAGTTAGTTGATGGTGTTTTAATGAGGGATTTAATTGAAACATTAGTGGTGAGAGGGTTTATGCCCATGTAAGAGCATATCTATAGAACATGGGTGGTGATCTCGGGGATCAATGGATACCGTCGCGCACGAGATTTTCATTAATTTAGGGAGATTTTGGTAGTAAAAAATAGCAATTTTCTCCCTCAGTGGTACCACTCTCAAGGAATGAAAACTCCGATGAGCAAAGGACAACAAACATCCGTTTTTTAGTACATACACTCCAATGACATAATTTAACATAAGTTGTTATCACAAATCAATGATTGGAAGTTTTTTCTAAGAACATGGTGGAATTTGACTATTTTACTATTCATGGTTGGCCCACAGCAAATTGCGATTGAATTATGGGGAACCCCGGTGAATTAAGGAGGTGAAAGAGGGTTTTCCATTTAGCCGGATTTTTGGGCTTTAGAACCAAAGGCTTTAGGATGATTGGTAGGGTTCGGGCGTACATTGATCCTTTGTTGATTATTGAACGTGTCGTGTTTTCAAAAGAATGGTTTGACAATTTCTCATGGCTTTCCTCATGGCTTTCCTCATGACTTTCCTCATGACTTTTCTCATGACTGGCCCCATTCTCAATTCAACCTCTCAACTTCTCATTATCTTCTCACCCTCACATCAACACTTATGACAGATCATTTATTCACCTGTGATTCTCTAACATATCACCGATTCAACCTTAATGAAGAAGAGTTCAAAATCATCACCAATTTGGTTTCACAACATTTATCTGAACCTTATTCCATATACGTATATTGGTATTTCATAAATACTTGGCCTCAATATTGCTATACGGTGAAAGATGAAGGTAAAATCATTGGAGTCATCATCTCCAAAATCAATAATCATAAAGATGTTCGTATAAGGGGTTATATAGGGATGTTAGTAGTACAAGATGATTATCGAAAAAGAGGGATTGCCAAAAAACTTGTCAAACTAACGATTGAAAATATGATCAAAGATGATAAAGTAGATGAAATATCCTTGGAAACTGAAGTAATAAACAAAGGAGCTTTAAGATTATACGAAAGTTTAGGATTCATCAAAACCAAACGATTGTTCAAATACTATTTGAATACTCATGATGCTTTCAGATTAATCTTACCTATAAGTGAAAAGAGTTTCAAGAGAATAGCATTTTTAAAGCATTAGTCAATATATATATTTAATCTTCTTCATCGAATTTTGGAGCTAAATAGAATCTTAAGTAACCACCAGCATCTAATTTATATTCGAATAAAGCAGGAGTTTTATCAGCTAATTTGATGGTAATTGAAGAAGCTAAAGAAGTAGCTTTAATGATATCATTTAAGTATTTTAAACCAAAAGTTAAATCAACAGGATTTTCTAAGTTGATATTAATACTTTCTTCTGGACGATCCATATCACTATAAGATTTTAATATCACTGAACCTGAACCATTTTCACCTTCACTTGAGAATTTAACTGAATCTTTAGTAACAACAACATTTAATGATTCACTCAAATTCTTTAAATCTTTGACGATTTTAGCAAATTCTGGTGATGGCATAGTAATGACAGAGTCATATTCCATATCATCAATGTTTAAAAATTCACTATCAATATCCATTAATTTTAATGAATATTCACTTACTCTTTCTTTCTTTTTATCTTCAAAAATGGTCATAACATTGTCTGGTTTGTCTTCAGCTAATAAAGTTAAGAAATCTTCATTGTTACCACATCTTAAAATTTTACTGAAACTTTCTAAATCAATACCTAAAGTAATATCTCTGTCACATCTATATTCACTGAATGCTGATTGTCCAACTAATAAGGATACTAATAAAACTCTGGAATCATCAACAGCTTGAACAGTTAAACCGTGTTCAGTACAGTTAAAGTTACATAATTTGACACTATCTTTAATAGCATCAACAATCTTTTTTAATAATGAAGCTTCATCAAATTTACCTTCCAACATCTTATCTTTAAATTTAATTTTCACCAACGCGTCGCGATGTTTAACTGTTGAACTTTTTTATGCGTGGCTTATGTAAGCGGATTTCGCAGAGATGGTGTACCGATGTATCGAGTGTACATCTTTTTCAAGATACAATATAATAATCAAAGAGTTAGAGGATAGAGATTCGTTGTTGATTCCATACATTACTCTTTACCCTTTTCTGTCATTTCTTTTGCCCATTTATATAATTGGTTTTTCAATCTATCAGCTCTGACAATATTATTCCTCAAATTCGTCAAGTTCTTAATATATTCTTGTTGTCTTTGAATGGAGATTTGTAAGTAATTTATCAATTCATTTTGAACTTTCTTCAATTTACTTTCATCGTTGAAATCTGATTGCATCATCTCATATTTTCTTAAGGCTCCAGGTAATTTAAAGAATGAATCTTGTACTTCATCATCTTGAGTTCTTGTTATACGTTTATCATCTTCTTTGTCATCTTCTTTGATCATTTGAAGTTTTTCCACGTCTTTAATTTCTTCAGTTTTATCATCGTTGGTTAATCCATGGTCATATTCAGGTAATCCCATGTTCTCTTCCATAAGATAATACCAATCTTCACCATTCAACACTGATAATAAGTTAGTCAAGTTATTTAAGGTTGTTTGTTCAATTTCAATCAAATCAATCAACTCAGATGCTAATTTACTTAACACTTCCAGTTTATAAGTTCTCAGTATTTCGGGATGTACAACAAGGTCGGAAGGATGATTGATAGCTCCTAAGATTTCACCAATATTGAGATCTCCTAAAATATCTTCTTCATCTTCCTCCTCCTCGTCATCATCTTCTTCACTTTCTGATACCACTACATCGTTATCTACAATGGTTTCTCCATTGTAATCTTCATACTCTTTCCATTTTCTCTTATTTCTGTGAGTAGATTTTTCAGTCATAGTATTTGTACCTACGATGTATTCATTACCATTTATCTCAACTACTTTGGATTTAATCGCTTCAAAGTCCAATTTTTTACCCCTATTGGATTCTAAGACATTACTGTTAGTCACTTTGGGTAATCGTTGAGATATTATGGCATTTTTAAACTCTTGAATCACCTCAATGGATTTACTGTCTAACATGATGATGTTGAGATAAGGTGCGAAATTCTCACAGGATATAGAATTTGTGCCTTACATCACATTATTTGCCACAGATTTCTTTAGTTTATTGTTATAGAGAAGTTTGGGTGATAATTGATTGGAAGTGGTAGATAATTATTACATAAGAAGTGATGAATATCGAATCAATGTCATTTTTGATCATTTATAATGGTCATAATGGTGACATGACCAAAATCCCTAAACCCATACGATATCATTCCCTTCAAGATTTCAAAACTTACCTTCTAGAAACCTTTCCTATATTAGATGATAGAGAAAACATCTTCCTTCTAACCAGTTTTGGTATCAAGTTAAATTTCAACATTATCAATGAAATCAATGAAGTGTATGTATTCGATAAGAGATTATTCAATGGTAATGAATTGGTAGATGATTATATGAATATTAATAAGCTTAACTATGATAATTTGAATATTGAACTTTCACAGTTGAAAAATCAACCACTTCTAGGTCAAACTTCAGGTATAAAATCACTTACTACAGATTTAAAGCTATTCAAAGTATGGATCAAAGATATCAATAATAATATGATCAAGTTGAATGAGTTGGTTGGGAAATATCTTAAACACATCAACAATATCTTCCGAAGCTTAAATATCATTTTCCAGTTCATCAATAACTTCATTAATGACATTGAAAAGAGCTTCAATCATTATTTCAATTATATCAAATTACTTAACTTCAAGACCCTTGCTTCCAGTTGGAATAAATACTATAACACGTTGAAGAAGTTCCCAGTGATCAAAATAGAGGAGAAGTCCTTTAAACTTGTGGATTTGTTGAATTATCAAATGCTTCAAAGTCACAGCACCAATATTGATACCAAGTTACCCCTTATAATGAATAAATTCAATGATATGGATAATGAAATTAAGGATATCAATGACAGGAAGTTGCGTATTGACAAGCAGATAGAACAAAGTAGGAATGAATCCATCAGAATGTTCAAGAGTTCACCAGTTCAAACTAAAACCGATGAGATCAAACTGATCATTGATCATATTTCACGGCTTTTGGATTCGGACACATCTATTGAATCACTTCATCATCAATGTAAAAATCAATATCATGAGATATTGTCCCATTTATCGGAGTTACAAGCTCTTGTGGATACCACCATCAAGTTCAAGCTCAAATTGGGTAATGAATGTTCCACTGTATTCAACAGCATCTCCAAATTACAAATGCAAAGTGTTGAAATCAAAAATACCCTCAAACTTTTATCAGTAGATGGACAATCTGATGGACAAGTGAGTTATAAAACCATCAATGATATCAAGAAAAGTGAAGATTATCTATCTTTAACTGTTGATTTACCTCTTATTTTTGGGTTCCTTTTGATTGAACATCGAAGACAATTCGAATGGTATGATTTTTACGCAAAAGGGTTGGTTCATAATGTCACTGAACAACTTACTACCATTGCTAACCATGAGAAAAGTTATCAAAAACTTTGGATCAAGAAATTCGGTCAATTTGTCACTTTACTCTATGGTAATGAATATTTTAAACCCATAATACCCAATTTGGATATCACTTTATTGAACAACCAAACAAACAACATGTTCAAGCTTTTTTCGGGCTTAACTATTGAAAGATCAGATATTTTGGAGTTTATTAAGTGTGTGGAGAATTTTGAAAATGAAGAAAAGAAGATTTCCACTCTTTTAAATAACAATTTCAAAGATCTTGTCAAAAGTACCAATAACATGAAATCAGTCACCAAATTGATAACTTCAATTGGTGCTTATACGTCACCCAATCAAGATTTATCGACATCCAAGTTCAATAAATTGATTGAAAATAATGATAATAATGAATTTAATGAAAATCTCATCAAAGGGTTAAAGACCCGAATCAAGAAATTAGAAGATTTGTTACATCAACAACAATTCCGAAATTTAAATAATTGGCCAGTGAAGAATTTCACTCCTTCACCCGTTTCAACTCCCCCACCTCCTGCTAGAAGAGGAAGTTCTCCTACTAAAAAAGAAAGTGTTTCACCTCCTAAACATTCGGTGAATGGAGATGGGTCAGTTATAGTTTCACCCACATCCATCAACCCCACAACATTATTGAGGAAGAATTCTGGTCCTCCACTTGATGCTTCAGTAACTATAGACAAGCATCTCGATAATATTCGTTTACGTAAGGAAAACAAGGAATTATCCGATCAGATCATCTTGGCTAAGCAACAATGTGACAATAAGGATGAACAATTGAAGAGTAAGGATCAAGAGTTGAGAAGTAAAGACGATGAGATATCAAGACTCAAACAACAATTACAAGCTTTAGAACTTCAAAATGATAGGAAAGTTAAAGATCTCCATGATCAAGTTCTTTCTACTACTGAGATTTCTAGAGAGTATAAATTAATCAATGAGTCTAAAGATAAAAAAATCGTCGAACTTACAGAAGATTTAGCTAACAAGAAACATGAGATTTCTGACTTATTGGCCATAAAACAAGACCTCATTTCCAATATGACTTCAAAAGAAAGTGAATTCATCAATCAACACAAACAATTAGAAAATGAACTCAAATTGAAGGATATAAGGATCGAAGAGGTTATGGAAGATTATGAGAATTTGATTGAAATGACCACTAAAAACTCCAATACCAATCATGATCTCGTAGATGATCTTACCACTATAGTCATAGACTTATTCCGTGAAATCAAAAAGTCTGTTCGTTTGAATTACGATTTCTTCATAGAATTCTGTCTTATTCTTGAATCCATTGGATTGTTACTTGTTAAAGAGTTCAATAATGAACTCAATCAGTTCGAATATAAAGTCACCAGGGTTAAAGGATTGAGATCTAAGAAAGAGGATGAAAGTATCATAGTAGAAAAACCTCTGAGTAAAGTCATTGGAGACATTGATGATTTGATGACTTGGGTGAAAGATCTTGACATCAAAGGCTTAAATGCTGGAGATTTTCAAGGAGGTTTGGATGATAAATCCGAATACGCTGATCCTTTGGACGACATTAAATCCTTATCTACAAATCTTGACGACAATATCATCGACACTTACAATAAGATCTTCAAACTGAAAAAGTTCGATCATTGGTTGAAAGTCATTTCATTCAAAGATGATCTTATCACTGATAAGTTCTTTCTTACGGGTATAGCTAAAAGGTTCCGAGATGTTGAAGGGTTTGCTAAGAAATTAACTAAGGAAAACAAAGTAAAAATTCAAGAAGTTTCCAAGTTAACTAAAAGTGTTCACAATAAAATCTCCATGAATGATTTCCAAGTTGGTGATCTTGTGCTTTTCCTCCCTACTAGAATTGAAGATAATGAAAATGATGATTCGCAGCCATGGGCAGCTTTCAACATTGGTGCACCTCACTATTTCCTCAATTTAAAAGATATTGGAAAAGAATGGATAGTAGCGAGAATTTCCCATATTGAACAATTCAAGGTTACTGAAGAGAATTTCAAAGATAAATCATCAAATCCTTATCTGTTAAGTATAGGTATAACTTGGTATATGGTAGATGCGAAACCTGAATATTAAATTATCTATAAATCTAAGCAATAGCATTGTTGAATAAATATGAAACACTTTCACCATTGTGTAATCTTCTAATGGCTTCAGCTAAAGTTGCACTGATATCAAGAACTTCAATTTTTGAACACTTGGCCATCTTATCACCTAAAGGTAATGAATTAGTACATACGATTTTATCTAATTTAGAATTATTTAATTTATCTAAAGCTTCTCCACTAAAGATCCCATGGGTTACTAAAGCAACAACTTTTTGTGCTTTGTTATCCAATAAAATATCTCCAGCTTTACATAAAGTACCACAAGTATCGGCCATATCATCAATCAATAAACAAATTTTGTCAGAAACATCACCAACTAAAACCATTCTACTAACTTCATTAGCACGAGCTCTTTCTTTATGAATTAAAGCAAAGTTAACATCCAATTTATCAGCAATTGAAGCTACTCTTTTAGCTCCTCCAGCATCTGGTGATACAATTATGATATCTTTAGATGAATAGTTCTCTTTAATGTATCTTAAAACTATTGGTTCGGCGTATAAATTATCAACTGGAGTTCTGAAGAATCCTTGAATTTGGGATGCATGTAAATCCATGGTAATCACATGATTACATCCAGCAGTGGTCAATAAGTTGGCTACTAACTTGGCAGTTATTGGAGCTCTACTTTTATCCTTTTTATCTTGTCTAGCATAAGGAAAATTGGGTATCACAGCGGTAATTCTACGGGCACTGGCAATTCTACAAGCATTTATAATCATCAATAATTCCATTAAGAAGTTGTTTATGGAAGTATATCCACAACCTGTTTGAATAATATATACATCTTCATCCCTTACTGATTCTCCTACAGATACCGCAGTTTCATTATTTGTGTATTGGAAAGCTCCTATCTTAGCTAACTTTATACTGAGCTTAGAAGCTATCGATTCTGCTAATTCTAGATGAGAATTACCTGCAATAATCTTGATTTGGTTCTGATTCTGGTGCATGATGAGATTGAGATTTTTTGACTGCGAAGAGAAGGTTAATTTAGGAAGGATGGAGGTGCGATATGGACCTGGTGGACCTCGTGCTATTGACCTGGTACCAGAGATGGGGGTTTATGGTTTTATTCATTAAAATATTCAAATCATTAATGTTGTCTAATACTATCAAGATCCAATACTTGAGTAAGATCTTTGGTGGTATCGACCTTTTGGCCGAATTTTTCAGCTATTAATCCAGCGATTCCTCTCCATACACTATCAACAACATATTTCAAATCTCCACTCTGTTTGAAGTCTGGATAAGCATTGACTTCCACTAACCAGACAGATAATTTATCATCCACTAAGAAATCAATACCGTAAACTTCGGTAGCATTGGGTAACATTTGGAAATTGATTTTATCGGATTCTGCTGCCATGAACAATTCCCTAGTTATTTGACAAATTTGGTTGAAAATTATGGATTTTTCAAATTCTGTAAGCTTTATGGAATCAAAGGTTATAACTTCAGGTTTTTCTTGAAGACAGGAGTTGGTCAAATGGCCCTTCATGTCAATGTAGGTGTCATCGTCGTCTTCAGTCTCTTTCTCAACTACCCCATATGGCAGGTCAGCAAACAATACAAGGATTTCATTATTGACATACACTTTCAACACTCCAGATGCTACAACATAAACTCTGAGATGGAATTTCTTGTTGCCATAAGAAGATAAAACTAAGGGAGGAATATACTTTTGAATGATGAATTCACGTAACTGAGAGATAATGACACCATTATCGTCACCTTCTCCTTCTCCTTCATCATCCAGTTCTTCTTCAAAAGAATCAAAAATTGCTTGAAGTTGTTGTTGTGTACGGAAAACTCTAATACCTTGACCTTTATCACTCATTCCTGGTTTAACTATCCACAAAGATCCATCTTCTAACCATTCACATTCGTCTAACGCATCATCCAAGAATTCAGCATAGTCTAATTCTAATGGGAAACTCTCTGGCACCGCTCTGTTAAGAATAGATTGAGGGTTCTTGGCCACATAGTGACGTACGGTGTTGGCAAGATAATGTTTTCTGATTAACCCTTTACGGTAAACATAACTAGGGATCAAATAATCACTGTCACCAATTCTATCAAAATCTATGTCTTCATAATCGGTGTAATGGAAAACTGGACCTTTTATATCGGTCAAAGGTTTGGAAGTGATGGGGATATCATAATATTTCATTCCTTTTGCAATACAATCATAAAGATAATCATTTTCGTCAAGTTCAAGCTTACAGATTCCTTCACATAAGTCGTTGATAGCTTTAGGTGGTGGAACATCTCCATCCAAAGGTCCCACTTGCATGAATCTAGCCTTTAAAGGAGTAACACTGATATTACCTGCCAATAAAACCTGGTTATCACTATGTTCGGTACGTTTCAAACCATCTTTATGAACTTTGACGAAATCCGGGTTCCATTTGAATTTACCTTCAGATGGTTCATAAACTGATTTCCCCCATTTATTATCCAAAATAGGAGCATATACAGCTTTAGCATCTTTAACATTAGGACCTAAAGGAACGTTCATGGTATATAATTCCACATCTTTGTTCCAATTACTCCATATTTGATCAATCACCTCTACGGCTTGAACACTGGCATCTTTAAGTTGATATTCTGGATGAGGATGGTGATCATAAGAATAACTTATAGCGATAGCAGGTTTTTCGTGCAAAACAGCTTCCATAGCAGCACCAACTGTTCCACTAGCAAGAATGTATAAATTACTTGAATTCTTACCAAAGTTAGGTCCTGATACCACCAAATCTATATCTTTAATCAAATGGTTGATAGCTATATCAACACAAGCAGCAGGTGTAGAATCCACAAGAGTCCATTTTAAGTATTCCAGGGTTTCATATTTTGCTTGCTCTTTACCAAAGGGACCTTCGTAATCATATGTTGTATCATCACTAACCTTGGTATAGATATATTCCACATCTATGGTTTTACCGGCGAAATGAGCTTTACCGATCCATGATTTTTGAGTCGATGGAACGACAATTGACAATTTCCATCCTTTTTTCACTATCTCCTTCACCAAATATGGGATATATGGCGAGGCTTTCTCCGATAACGGGCCATCGTCGTTAGTCAATAAGATATGCATTTGGTTCCACCTGTGAGGTTGTAAAAATCTCATCGCGAACGAGGTCCAACACTTTAGAACACACCCATAAGAAATGAGTTTATTCATGGGAAATCTCGCCGGGGGAACGGTGGATCCCGAGAAAATCAAGGTAGCTACCGTACAGTTTGAAGCTCAATCCTTAATATTCAATAAAGTCTTATACAATTGTCAAAGTAAATGTATGGGAGATACTTATGCTGAAGGAGATTTAGGTACTGGAGAACAAAGTTGTGTTGACAGATGTGTGGCTAAGTTTTTCAAGGCCAATCAACTCATTGGTAAGGAGGTGCAATACAATAGGATGTTTAATGTGAATAAAATGCCGGAATACGAGAAAGTGAAACTGATGATGAAAGAGAATTAGATGGGGCCAAGGAACGTTCATGGTAGGTTGGTGGACTGCATGGCTAATTCATGTACTGGAAGGTATTTCGATGTACCTCTGTGTGTCATTAGTTTAATGTGGAATCATGATCTGATCCAATCTAAAGTCAAAAAGGAGATCGGGGGATTTCCAATTATTCGACGATTTAATGAAGTGGTGTGTAAATAGAAAATAGTACTATATCTTTGACTTCTCCATAGTCTCTCCTTGGTGTCTGACGGTTTCAAATGTCAGACTGATCGTTCTGTTATGGTCCAATTTCTGTTGACATATCTTTTAAATGTGGAGAATTGTGAATTTGACATATTTCACCTTGAAAATAATTTCATCTCCCAGCACTTCTCAAGAGCGTTCTTGTCACCTCCCACAACCTGACAATTCTGTCAAATCACGTAAATTCACAGTTTTAACCCCAATCGTTACCCCCATTAGTCGTATGACCTTAAGTGGGTGTACGGGTGTCGACTCCACAAAAAAATTTTATCATCAAAAGCAAACGAAAAATCTCTCATTTTAAAACTTTGAAAGTGAACAACTAACCATGAATACCTCATATCAATCTTCACATATACACTCAATTCCTCTCACCTCCTAAAACTCCCGTAACCCCCATGAAAATTACACAAAATCAAAAGGTCGTGCCCCCACTTCTCACTCATTCGTCGACATCGAACATGAAAAATTTCAGTCACTATAAACCACAATGTCAGGACGAAAGACTAAAAATCAACTGAAAAGGTTTAATAATTCAAACAATTCACAAAATGAAAGTAACACAGAATTAATAAATTTAATGGAAATGTTTCCTGATTGGACGGAAGATGATTTAAAACCTTTATTGAATGAAAATGATTTTGAAACAGTAATTGATTTAATAGTTAATGGTAAAGTAAGTAAATGGGAAAGTGCTAAAAAACCTGTAAATAAAGAAACCAAACCTAAAGAGTCACACCCTCATCCATATAAAGAAGTTTCACATAAAGAAGTTAAAGATACTCGAGATATAACCAAGAAAGATAAAAAGAAGAAACCTGTAAAGAAGGCTGTCAATGGCACTTCATCAGTTCCAGTAGCAAATGGATCATCCACATCAAATGGTACAACTGCTGCTCCAGTCAATGGAGGTTCTTCTTGGGCTGCTGCATTATCTGAAACCAAAAAGGAAGTTGCTGTGCAATCTGAAGAACCTGTAGAACAACCTGTAGAAGAAAAGAAAATAGCTGAAGAACCAAAGAAAGAAAAGAAGGAAAGAAAAGAAAAGAAGAAGGTAGAAAAGAAAGAAAAGGAAGAAAAAGTTGAAAAGAAAGAACCAAAAGTTGAACAAAAGAGTACTTGGGCATCAATGTTAACACCAAAACCAAAACCTGCTCCTGTTAAAAAGGAAAAGAAGATTGAAGACATACCAATTGCTGAAATTCAAGAAATGATTCCTAAAGTTCCACAACCTGAACCTGAAAAGGAAGTTGAACCAGTGGTTGAACCTGAACAACCAGTTGCTGAACCAGTTGCTGAACCAGAATCAGTTCCTGAACCAGCTCCAGTCAAAGAAGAAGTTGTTGAAAAGAATGAACCATCTGTTATCTTACCAAACAATAATATCAATGATATTGGTGTAAGTTTTGGATCATTGAATTTGGAAAAAGCTCAAGCTCCAGTTCAAACCCAAGCTTCAGCTCAAACTCAACCAGCTCCATCACAACAACAAGCTCCTCAACAACCTGCTCAACAACCTCAACAACCACAACAAGCTCCTCAACAATCTCAACAACAAGCTCCACAACAACCACCACAATCAGCTCCTGCTGCTGGTCAACCACCAGCTCCAGGTCAACCAGGTTATGAATACTATTATAATCAACAACCACAAAGTCAATATGGAGGTTTTGATTATTCTAACTACAATGCTCAATTATTAGCTGCCCAACAAGTTGCTTTACAACAAATGGCTGCTCAAAATCCAATGAGTACTCAATCAAATCCAATGATGCCAAATAATTCCGGTAATCAACCACAAAATCCAACTAGTTCTAATGGGGAATTTGAAAGTAGTCCAGTTAACTTAAATCAACAATATTTAAATCAACAAGTACCACCAGGTCAACCACCATTTGGTTATCCACCATATTATAATTATTATTATAATCAACAATTTTACAATCAATTCCCACAACCAGGACAACCAGGACAACCAGGACAACAAACTCCACAACAATCACAATCTCAACCAACTTCACAATCCAACCAAACTCCATCAATGGCTAATCAACAACCAACAGGTCAACCACCAATGCCACAACCTGGTCAACCTCAACAACCTCAACAACCTGGTCAACAACCATTTTATGGATTCCAACAATATCCACAATACGGATTTCAAGAATCTCAATATAGAGGTTGGTATTAGGAATACACTGTACTTTATTGAAAAACTTTTTTCTTTTGCTCTCTTTGTTTCTCTTACGCTGCTTACTGTTCTCTGTCGGCTGGGGATTGTAATAAGATCGGAGATAGGTCAATGAGGTCAAACAAGTCAATTAGTTCATTCAGGTCAAAACCGTCAAAGAGGTCAAACGGTCAAATAAATACGAGAGAGCCCTCAAAACTATACGGTCACATACTTACGCGCACATTCCCCCTATTTTCCATACACTCGCGGCACCACCGCGAAATCTCCCTAACACCTCGCAGTAATTTCCATCCCTAACAATTATCATTACTTTCTCACTACAACTTTTTCATAGCATTCACCATAGTTAATTTTGTATGGGAAATTTATCCATAGTTAAGCATAATGTGAGAATCAGCCATATTGAAAATTTCATCATTAATTTTAACAATTACTCTTCAAATACCAACAACTCTTAACCAACCTTCTTGATGTTCAATCCATCAACTTTCAACCTTTTTAATCCATGATTTATCATGACTTTATTCCCATAGTTTATCACCATAGTAAATGAATGAGAAATGGTTGCAAAAACGAGAAAAAACTCGATTTTCTTCCAATTTTACTTGACAACTAACGAATTCTTTCAATCTTATCATTTAAATCATCATCAATTATCCAATAATTACATAACCATTGAAGGATTTAATGGAAATATTTTGAAAAAAGTGGGAAACCTGAACATTTTGATGATTTTCGATTGTTGTTTTTCACTCACAAAAAATGCGTTGAATTATTTAATCTAGAAATGTCGCGAGGGTTAATGAATCTTTCTTTAAGTATGGGTGCACGGGTGTCCCTAACCCACAAACTATGGGCGACCAATGTCGTATGTTTACTTTAAGCTGGTAATGCCACTGGTAATAATTTCAACTATAAAAACCCCTTTATCCCACTTTTTCGTTAATAAATAAAGTTAAAATGGCTGCTGAAAGAAAGAAGGCTTCAAGAAAGAAGAAGGACCCAGATGCTCCAAAAAGATCATTAAGTGCCTATATGTTTTTCGCTAACGAAAATAGAGATATCGTTAGAGCTGAAAATCCTGGTATCGCTTTCGGTCAAGTTGGTAAAATGTTAGGTGAAAAATGGAAGGAATTAACTGCCGAAGAAAAAACTCCTTACGAAAAGAAAGCTGAAGAAGATAAGAAAAGATATGAAAAACAAAAGGCTGAATATGCTAAAAAGAATAGTTCATAAGTTTTATTTGAATTTTAGTGTATTATATTGTATTGTCTAAATGTATTTGTATCGGCTTGAACTTAAACTTCTCTTATCTCTGAATAACCCTTGAGGAAGTGCATTGAGGGAAACCCATTGAGTATGTTCAGCAAAAACCTATCGAGCTGATATGAGCTTAATCGTTGCTTTCTCAACTCCGAATTGAGATTTTATTCACTATGATTCCCTCACCTTATATGAATGACGATGTTCATTCATTTGCCTATGATACCGCTAGAGTTAGATGGCCAAAGATCTTAGTCCAATGTATTGATGATTTATCCCTTTTACCTCCAGGTTCTGATGTTCAATGGTTCACCGGTAAGTTCAAGGAATTATTGTCCGCCATTGATGAAGATAAAGAAGTACAACCATTTACTGATGACGAAATCAAATTGAATCCTTCTTTGAAAGCTTATAACGACCAATTGACTAAAGGGATGACTTGGAAAACTGGTCCTTGGTTATATTTGGAATGTTACTTATACCAACATATCAATAACTTCTTTATTTCCAAATCTATTGATATTGATATCTTTCAAAATTTGAAACAATCGACTTTAATCTCCAGTAAGTTGGGAATTATTGAACTTTGTAAGAAAATCAATGAATTTGACTTTGGTTCTATTAAAGATGAAGATAAATTGATCTTTTTCAAAGAGTTTATTGATATTTCATTATGGGGAAATTCCACTGATTTATCATTATTGGCAGGTAACGTAACTTTGGAAGATATTAAAAGTATTCAAGGAGCTGAGACCAGAAAGGCCAATGAAAAGAATATTTTGGTCAATGGAACTAATGATATTTTCGACCATTTAAGTAAAGCTGAATCACCTGTTGTTGATATTGTTTTAGATAATTCAGGTTTTGAAGTGTTTAGTGATATTGTATTGGCCATTTATCTCGTCGAGACAAAGTTGGCTGAAAAAGTTACTTTCCATTGTAAGAAAATTCCATGGTTTGTTAGTGATACTTTGGAAAAAGATTTTGATGAATTATTCAAAGAATTGATAGCTTTTGATAATCAAGATACTGCTAAATTCGTCGATACCGTCAAGAGTTATATCAAACAAAAGAAATTCATAGTCACTTCTGATGATTATTGGACCTCATGTTCTCCTTACTGGACATTACCTGAAAATTCCATCTATGATCAATTGAAAGATTCTACTTTAGTCATCTTCAAAGGAGATCTCAACTATAGAAAATTAACTGGAGATGTTCAATGGGATAAAACCACACCTTTCGAAACCGCATTACAACATTTAAAAGGGAAGATCAATGTCGTCAGTTTAAGAACTTGTAAAGCCGATGTCACTGTAGGATTACCTCAAGGAGTGGATGAAAAATTAAAGGCCGAACATGGAGAATTTTGGAGTAGTAGTGGGAAATATGCCGTTATATCTTTCACCGCTAAAGATTAGAGTTATATAGATTATCTTCATAGTTAAAATACATTAGTATACATTCTAAGGTTCACCAGCTTTCCTCAGATTACAAGCAACAATTTTTAATTTATCCACAACCACTTCATCACTTAAATCACTATTGGAAACATCATTCAATTTGACATTGACGTTTTTGATAATAAAAGTCCAAACATCATCACAGAATCTATAAGTACTTAAATCTCCTTTGAAAGTTAACTTACTTTTGACCAAGTTATTTTCAGGTTTCATCATATCGGAAATGATTCTATCAAAGTTGGATAAGATGGTAACGGCCAATTGAGGTTGAATTTTTTCGTCAGTGATGAGTTGATCTAATGATTCAAACAATGTTGTTCCCACAGTTGACCCTCTGTATAATTCATAATACCCTGGATTACTCATGATCACTGAGGAAAAATTTCGCGGTGGATCTAATGTCAGGTCAAACCATAAGAGAGAAATACCAATGGTTGGTTCTGGAAGTTACAAGACTTCAGGATGTTAGTCCTAAGAACACTATAGAGTTTCAGACTCAATTATTGCATACAATCAAACAATTTGATATAATACGGTCCATGATAGATTCTTTGGATGTATTCTCTGATAATGAATTTTTCGAAGAGATAAATCCTGTTTACTTGCCTTTCTTGAACATAGATTACTATTCAGGTGAACTTAAGTCAATGGTGATGAGTGATGGTCAACAAGTTGGTGTAGAATTCAAATTACCTAATTTGATCGAAGCAAAGGAGTTTTATAACCAATATCTTCAAAGATTGAAATCTATGGAAGTACTTAATGTCCAGCAAATCAAACAATTAGATGGTCACACGCTATCAAGAGAAGACAAAATAGAAGCTTATAAGTATGAAAAGCTGTTGAAAGCGAAGTTAGCCAGTCAGACTGTGAAAGAAGACGATGATGAAGATACTAAAAGAGATCTTTATACTGATGAGATCAAATTACTTGTGATGAAATGTTTAAACTCCCTTAATCTCCTTGACATGGAAATACAGGTACTAGGTAATAGGCCCGAACCTAAGATTCAGGAAATTCAATCAGACGACCGTGAAAGATCTAAAATTGATGACGACGGGTTTAGTACTAAACTTGATGTCATACCTCAAAATCTAGCTATAGGAGATTTGATCAAGAATGGGAAAGTGATGAGACCTTTCACCATCACCAGACAAAATTTGAAGGATAAGGTTTTCGGAACTGGGCAAGTATTACCTTCAATGACAGTTGAGGAGTATGTTGATTGGGAATTAGCTAATGGTAAAATGGCTAAACCTGAAGAACCCAAACCAGAAAAAGATTCTGATGCCGAAGATGAAGAAGAGGAATACAAAGCTAGGGAATGGGATGATTGGAAAGATGATAATCCTAAGGGAATGGGTAATACTATGAATTTAGGTTAATATATATACATTTAATGATTATAATTGATTCAATTTCTTAAGATAATTATTATATTCTCCATAAATATCGTTCAAAGTGACTATCTTACCACTCAATAACCATTTTTCGTCATCGTGTTGGAAAGATTTAAGACAATTCATAATGACAAGATAAAACTCTATCATCTTTAAATATACCAATTTCAAATCTTGAGGAGATAAATCATGTTTGAAATGACTAATGAAGTAATATAGTCCTTCTGCTGCACCTCTAAGATCTCCTTGATTGACTCTCCATGAATAAATAATCTCATGGAACTTTATTGATGTGATCGAATCTGATGATGATACTAATTCCCATAATATGGTATCAATGAGCTTATAATAATCCAAAAAGAATGGGTTGAAGATTTCATTCAATTTGTTCAATTCTATCAATTTCAAAATCGTCTTCTTTAAGAAGGTCTTGAATTGTGGAGATGTGGTTAAATTACTTAAAGCTTTGATTAAAGGATCTAAGTCCAATGATGATTCAATAGATAATTGAAACAATGATTCATAGTCTTCGTTACCGAACTCAATAGCCTTTAATTGGAATTCGATAGCTGATTGAGGAAATTTCTTACGAATGAATTGTGATAAGAAATGGTAATAACTTCCTTCATCAGTGAATCCGATGAATTCAGGTAATCCTAATTGTTCAAAGTCTATGTTATTATTCTTATAATTGTCGAAATCAAGATATTCCAATCCTTTGATTTCATCATTTAATAAGTAAATGACCCCTTCGAGGTATTTGTTATTGACTCTATCAAGAATCGAATATACCGATTTCCATTGACCAGTTCTTAAAAGTCCACCTATCATTTGAATCACATAGTTTTCGTCATTTATGACTTGACATACATAATAGTATTTTTCAATGACTGAGGTTTGAACAGGAAATGCTGAGTTCACCACTAAATTATCAACTGCTTCGACAATAGCAAAGTTACGGAAGAGATTATGAATCTTTTCTCCATAATTTATACTCAAATCTCCAGCATCCACATGGGAAAGAAGTATAAGGACCTTAGTTAAAACCAATTTCTGACGTTTTTGTAAGTCTTTTATAGTACGACCAACAATGGCTTTATCAAAAGAAGATAAAAACTCCTTAGTCTCACTAGTAATCACTTTACCTATGAGATTGTCCAAAGTTTCAACCACATGGGGATATTGATTTAAGGTATTAGTGATGTCGTCTATGGACATCTTTATGTTTGTCATTTCAGAAATTTGTGTTAAAAGTTGGTTGGTGACTCTTGGAGCTTTGGAGAAGGTGTCATAGACTTTGTTGGTGGTCTTAGTGGATAAATGGATATCTAATTTGGATAAGATCATAGATAACTTATCAGTTTCAGCAATATCAGATGTGACAAATTGTTCAAAGTAACTTAAAGGTCTAAGAACACCAAATCCATTGGTTTGTAAGATGATGATTTCGTCATTGGAGATTGTGACATCGATTCCTTCTTGACTTAACACATTATATTCTTCACAAATAGAACTGAGTAATCCTGGTTTACCCAATTTCTCGACCGTATCATTGATTATTCCTTCATTGATCTCAGTAATTAATGGTAAATCAAGCTTTTCTCTTACTGTATTGATAGCAGTTGAAATGATGAGCTCATCATAGTAATTCAAATTTTCACTTGAAGATTCGGTCAAATCTTGAGATTTAATGGAAATTGTTTGGAAATCTGATGATAAAGTATAATGAACCACCATGGTAGAAATGTTACACTTCCATAATACATACATTTCATAAGAATTTTCCGATTGGAAGATTTTGAAATTTTGAACGTACCATCTTTTCAATGGAGTTGTTATTTGAAATGTTGACAACTTCCCATCGTTCAATTTATAGAAAGTTACATTATGATCGGACTCAAATGAATTGGTGGCATGGAAAATGATATCATCGTTTAACTTGAGGAAGTAATTTCCGGGGTTCAAAAAGTTATTATTGATTAATGATAATGAAGATTTCAATTCGTGGGTAGTTAAATCCCAGAATTTTAAAACTTTGTTGATGGTTAAAGTAATTAATTGGTTATTATCTTGGATCATATCTACAACTCTCTCATTTTGACGAGCTTTAAACCATCCAAGTAATGAATACGTATCGAAATTATAAATGTCGAAATCTGATAATGTTGATGATCTTCTGAAATGTAACAATCCTCCATCATCTAAGGATATGATAAAATTATGAACATCTAAAGATTTGAATTTGAAAGGTTGAGATCTCAATTCGAATGAGTACGGTACTGAGATATGACCCCATTGGTTGAATTTCGATAAGTTGAAGGAATCTTCTTTCAAGAAATCTTTCAAATCTATGACTAAAGTAATGAAAAGGTATTTTTCATCGAGGAAATCAAAAATGATTTGAGGATCATCGGATGTGTGTACTAAGTTCACAGAATAACAACCGGGAATAATCTTATTAGGTAAATTCACCACTATTTTATGAGTTTTTACATCTAAAGATGTTCTTAATGGAGTTAAAGTGACGGTTTTCAAGTCATTTAAAATATCAATGGAGATGTTATTGATGAAACTTTCAGTAGTAAGAAACTGTCCATGATGAGATATTTTCGTATTGAAAACATCTGCAACAGTTCCTTTAATATCATTAGTTGAATATTTTAACGGAATTTTCACATCCAAACTAGGTAATTGTGGTTTCAAGGATACATTACTGCATCCATACTCAATCATCACTTGTTGTTGAATAATTTCGCGATAGTTTAAAAACCATAATGTCATCGACGATATTCTATAAGTTTATACATCAGAAATCTCAATCGACCATCCATTTCGATGGGACAGGGATCAATGTGTTCGATCTTAAACATGAAATTATCACTCAAAATCAATTGGGTGAAGGTATGGACTTCGATTTGAAGTTATATCATTCAGAACAACCAGATTTGGAATATGATCAAGATCAAGATGTTATACCCAGATCATCATTTGTATTGGCTAAGAGATTACCAGCAGCTTCTAAAACAGGGAAATTTGGTAATGCTTCAAGATATGTTAGTGGGAAACCTCGTATTAATAGAAAAGCCATTAATAATGCTAATTCAACTACCACCACTACTACCGTTACTAATCAAGTACCTATAGATGAAAACATGAGTGAAGAAGATAAGATCAAGATGATGTTTGAAAACCAATCTAATGCTTGGGCGCAAACTCAAGATGAATTATCTCATCATAAAGTGATTTATAGTAAACCCAACCAAACTAATCCTGAAGATGCTCCACCTCCAGGTTATATATGTTATAGATGTGGAGGTAAAGATCATTGGATCAAGAATTGTCCAGCAGCTGAAGGTGAAGGTAGAAAGTTACGTAAAACTACAGGTATTCCAAGATCTTACTTAAAGACCATTACTAAGGAAGCTGGAGATTTAGAAGGTTTTGAAACTAATGATGATGGGGAATTAATTGATAAACAAGGTAATAAATATATGATCACAGATACCGGAGAATATGTAATAGCCATGGCAGATTCCAAAACTTGGAAAACTTATCAAGAGAAACAACAAAATGCTGCTATGAAAGCCAAACAAGAATTTGAATCAAAAATTATAGAAGTGATAAATAAAGATGGAAAATCTGAATATTTGAATCCATTGTCATCTCATCCTGAACTTTTGAAATACGGTGATGATGATACCATAGTCAAATTGCCTTGTTGTGACGATAAATCCAAATTATCTAAATTGAAGAATTTCTATTATAATAAAGATGAAATAGAACAATTATTGATCGATAATGATTTCCATTGTCCTAATTGTAATACTGAAAACAATTTCATTGATAATTTGATAGAAGATAGTGAATTAAAGCAACAAATTAAAGAATATGTAGATACTAAATCTTCAGAGTTAGGATTAGAAGATCCTAATAAAAAACGACCTTTGGCTGAAGAAGAAAAAGAATCCGGTGATACAAAAAGACAAAATGTTGATCAAGTGCCGTTTATGATGCCATTTTTTATGCCAGGTATGCAAATGATGCCAAATATGATGATGCCCCCAAAGTAAGTAATTATTTAATAAATCGTTACCCGCAAGTAAAACTCTATATTTGAAAAGGTTACCCGGTCGATACAAAAAACTCTCACACTTACCCGGACACACCATCAAAACGAGATTGAAAAATTTTCTCAGAACTTATCCAAACTTGTATGTTTCTTTTATACAAAAGGAATAGGATGATCCAAAATAATCAATCAAACTAGAGTTTGTGACTACGGAATGATCTCAACATTATTATGCATGGCTTACTGATTTCCTTTTAATCTTAGCATTTATACTAACTTTTAAGATAAATTGTATGTTTACTTTTTTTTCGAGTGGAATTTTTATGATGATTTAAACAAACAAAAGCTGGAATTACTGGCTGAATCTCTGTGATTGATAAAGTTTGCACAACACTGATCCACACAATTAACTAATTGTATCTTTACTAACTATTTAGTGTATGTAAAAATCCATATAAACCAAGGAGGAATTATTGCACTGGGCACTGATATATATTATGAGTGACAACGCATTTATGGTAGGCCTCAGAAACCTACTGGAACTGAGTGTTTTTTATTGTTATCAATACTAACTTCGGTAGTTAATTCTCATTTTGGACCTTTGAGTTCATTTATTAGCCTTCTTCATATAAGTATGTACAAATTAAATTCTTGATGATGATTCCTTGATGACGAGTCAGATGGGTTATCCGCTGATGACAAACTTTATTTTTATACCATTCATGCTTTCCTGATTCAAGAAACTTTTTCAAATTCCAAGGAATTTACTAACTAAATTAGCTCTTTATATAAGACTTATAGAATTACTATGATGATTTTTAAATATTGACAAGCATATGTCTGAAATCTATTGAAGATTATATTTTGTCTGATATTTTATAATTTTAATATGGAGATTTGTGTGAAGATTTATATAGATTTCTGTTACATATGTTCATGATGACTTACCACATTTATCACGACGGTCTACTGCGTACTGGGACTTGTAATCCCTTTACTTTGATGATCAATATGGCCTTGACCGGCCGTGGCCCTGACGACGTATGCTAACAGATCTATTAAATTGGAACTTTGTATTATTCTCTATTTTTCCAGAGTTTTCACCAACTTTTGGTACATTGGCCTTTATGAGCCTTTTTAGGCTTTTAGCCTTTTAGCCTTTTACGAGCATTATATTGGCTGTATTTTTCTAGCTCTATTTTTAGCTTCTTAATAGGTTTATGGTAACTCATATGGTACATACGATACCGGGTTACCTCTCAGATCACCTGAAACCTCGTGACCCTACACAGTTTCCCTCTTGACATATTTCCCCTGATCTCAGAGCGTCGGCCGTTTACCGAACTGGTAGTTGACGCCTTGCTTCTTAACATCGCATCGCACAGTTTATACTTTGTCCAAAGATGCCTTTGTTCAAGAGTAAATCAAGCAAATCTCCAGCTTCCACACCTCAGACTCGAAGTACCAATAATTCCCAACCTTCATCCCCTGGTCTTTATCCTCAGTCGTCCCATCAATCGCCAGATCCCCCTTCATATGATAATTCTGAATCTGGACTTAATTCCATAAATTCATCCTTGAGTTCTTTAAGTATTAGACCTCCTCCAATACAAAGACAGAGTAGTTCAAGTCTTTTACGTTCAAGCAATCGTCCTGTGAAAGAAAAGACTAAGAATGTTCCATATAGACCAGCTCCAGAACAACAAGCATTTATAGATAATTTGGGGTCTGAGGGTGTTACTTCCCTTTCAGCTACAACTTCAGCTGCCCATACTGAATATTTTGATGTTCTTCCATCATTTCATATGTTTCAATCGATTTTGAAAAGAGATGATGAACAATTTGGTGAAAACTTAACTGTTTCTCCTCCAGAATATGGTGATACTGCCAATTCTTCTCCTACACCCCCAGATTTATCTCCAGTATCCAGTCGATTGGAATCCGCTACTACCATAGATGGAGTTTTAAGTGACGATAATCAAAATAATGAAGCCAACGAACCTAATGAATATAATGAAGACGAAGATTATGCTTTTGATGATGATGAAGAAAACGAAGGTTTACAACGACCACAACATCATCAAAGAGAAAATATTTCCAATGCTAGAGGAACTTATGGTCACACAGTGTTAGATAACATCGATAAGTTACCTAAACTTAACACCTCACCTATTGATATTCAAATCTTTGTCACCAAACAAGTCCCTGAACCTCATCAAGCTAATGATTTAGAAACAAGATTGAAAGAATATTCCAATGGTGATTTGGTTAATGGTTATATAATCATTACTAATAACTCATCCAAACCGGTGAATTTTGGGTTGTTTACTGTTAGTTTAGAAGGTACGGTTAAAGCCGTGGAGAGGAAAGTTGATTCTGTCAAATACAGTAAATTGTTGATGAAGAAGTTCCTTAAGATGTATGACTTGAATGCTTCTTATAACTATTCATATGTTCCTAATAGTGCTGGAATTGAATATAATGCATTTGATGTCGACCAATATGATGATTGTATTCTTGGATTACCTAACGAGAGAGTTCTTCAACCAAATACTAAGTATAAGAAGTTTTTCACTTTCAAGTTCCCTAATAAACTTCTTGATACTACTTGTACATCCAATGTCTTACCTCACATTCTCCCACCACCATCTATGGGAGTTGATAAACTTGCATTTGGAGGTAAAGCCAGTAATATTGAATTAAATAAGGCTTTGGGTTATGGATTTGTAAGTGCCAAAGGTACACCATTATTAGTTAGAGATCATAGTTTTGACGATATGGATATAAGTTATACCATTGAAGCCAAATTCATTGATAAGTTGAATAACAATGAAGCTGTTAGTCATAGTGAGATTAACTCTTCTACCAATGAAAAAGATTATGTGGTATCTCGTCATGCCCAGTATTTTTTAAGGTTTGTCCCTGACTTGAAAGACATGCTTGCTTTCTATAACGAAGAATTTTTGTATGGTAAAGAGACTTATGGTAGTATAGGTATCGATGGGAAGTTGTTCGCCAATCACTTATATTTGAATACCTGGAGAAACTATAACCGAATGAATTCCATCATTGAAGAAGAAATTGATGCCAGATTGGTTAGACAAGAGTTTGATGATGATGAAATCAAACAAAAGAATTTAATTGTCAATAACTATATAAATACCAATTTAGTTAATGAAAACTTGATGACTAAGGAACCTACACCTTTACAATCAACCATACAGATGATAGAGTATACCGATGAATACTTCAAACAGCAAAGAATGATTGGTAGTAGGTATGTGGAAATCTTTGGTAAAAAGAAGAAGAAACTTTTAACTACCTATCATAAGATTGGACAACTGAAAATATATGCCCAAGTCCCAAGTCAACCATTAACCTACAATTCTCCTAAATTGATAATGAAGTATAATAGAACTGAAGAAGAGCCGGAAACAAATGAATTAGTACCTGTGAATAGTATCTCAAGTGATCATATTAATCAATTGTATCATCGTTCCAATGATGATTTCTCCCATTCAGTCAAGGTGGATATAATATTTGAGTCACTAGAACAAGGAGTAGCTGCTCCTTCCATACAGTCAATCGATGTCAACGTAGTGGCATGGTCTTTTAGATCAGATTATCCCTTACCTTGCATATTCGAATATGATTTTTTCTATTCTTCGATCTACGGACAGGAAGCTGAGATTGGGAATAACTTACAACAGATCAAAGATCAAATTAATGGATATATACAATTTTTGAAATCAAATAAGACACACATTTCCAAGAACTCATACCTTTACTTGAAAGCCATGAAAACTTTAGGTATCAAACGTGACACTATCAAGGAATATTTGAAATCACATAACTCCGTCACCAGCCCAGACTTATTGAAAGATGATTGGAAGGGAACACAAACTAAAGAAAATACCATTAGATGGGTCAAACAAATCGATATACCTTTAGAAATCATCAACAAACATAATATCACCTTAACTCCGAGTTTCCAATCCTGCTTGATGGGAAGACTTTATTGTCTTCAAGTAGTTGTTAAACTCAAAGGAGGTTCTAAAGATGAAGACAATATCGTTAAAGTTGATGTCCCAGTTATTGTAGGTTAAAAATTCTTGCAAAAATAGTTTTTTCTTACATAAGCTTTTACGTAACCCATAAATAAACTTTTTCTTACATAAGATATTACGTAATTGAAATGATGTGATTGAATTCTTGCGGTTCACGTGACTGAAAAATTACTCACATTTATTTTTCCCATTGACTCTTTATATCTCATTAATTGATTCATAGTCATAGTCATAATCATGTCAACTCCTCAAGATATTGCCAATAGTTTCCAAAGAGCTATGAGTATCTCAGGATCTCCAAATGCCGTTTCAACCTCCCCAACCCAATCATATTTAAACAACTATATCCCAAAAAAGGCCACCAAAGCTTTAAAACCCTTCTCCACTGGTGATATTAAAATTTTATTATTAGAAAATGTTAATGTAACAGCTATTGAAATTTTCAAAGGTCAAGGATATCAAGTTGAATTCTACAAAACTTCATTACCAGAAGATGAATTAATCGAAAAAATTAAAGATGTTCATGCTATTGGTATTAGATCAAAAACCAAATTAACTGAAAACGTTTTAAAACATGCTAAAAATTTAGGTGTTATTGGATGTTTCTGTATTGGTACTAATCAAGTTGATTTAGAATTTGCTGCTAGATCAGGTATTGCTGTTTTTAACTCACCATTTTCAAATTCTAGATCAGTTGCTGAATTAGTTATTGGAGAAATTATTACATTAGCTAGACAATTAGGTGATAGATCAATTGAAATGCATACTGGTACTTGGAATAAAGTTTCAGCCAAATGTTGGGAAATCAGAGGTAAAACTTTAGGTATTATTGGTTATGGACATATTGGATCACAATTATCAGTATTAGCTGAAGCTATGGGTATGAATGTTATCTATTATGATGTTGTAATGATTATGTCATTAGGTAATTCTAAACAAGTTTCATCATTAGATGAATTATTATCAAAATCAGATTTCATTACTTGTCATGTACCTGCTACTGCTGAAACCAAAAATTTATTAAGTGCTCCACAATTTTCTTCAATGAAAGATGGTGCTTATGTTATTAATGCTTCAAGAGGTACTGTTGTTGATATTCCAGCATTAGTTCAAGCTATGAAAATTGGTAAAATTGCTGGTGCTGCTTTAGATGTTTATCCTCATGAACCAGCTAAAAATGGTGAAAACTTATTTAGTAATGAATTAAATGATTGGGCAAGTGAATTATGTTCATTAAGAAATGTTATCTTAACTCCTCATATTGGTGGATCAACTGAAGAAGCTCAATCAGCTATTGGTGTTGAAGTTGCTACTGCTTTAACTAAATATATCAATGAAGGTAATTCAACTGGTGCAGTTAATTTCCCAGAAGTTGCTTTAAGAGGATTAGATTTAGATCAACAAAATACCGTCAGAGTATTATATATCCATCAAAATGTTCCAGGGGTTTTAAAAACTGTTAATAACATTTTATCAATCTACAATATTGAAAAACAATTTTCTGATTCCAGAGGTGATGTTGCTTATTTAATGGCTGATATTTCTGATGTTGATGTCAGTGATATTAAATCTTTATATGAACAATTAGAACAAACTCCTTATAAAATTGCCACCCGTTTATTATATTAAATGGTTGTGGTTCAAACTTTGTTAATAGATGCCCTTCTTCAACAGTAACTAAAGGGGCCATAAATAAATATTATGAGATATTTCCGCGCACTCTCCAAAGAAAATCGCACTCAAAAATCGCACTCAAAAATCGCACTCGAGAGAAAATCGCCACCAGTGTTTAAACTATTATGGCTTTAGTATCAGCAGCTCCTTACTTGGCTTTATTAAATGAGCATGATACAAGCTTAAAGAAATATGCTTTGAATTCATTAAATGATATAGTGGATGAATTATGGTCAGAAATTGCCAATAATATCGATCAATTAGAAGAATTATATGAAGATGATTCATTTGAAAATAGGAAATTAGCTGCTTTAATTATTTCCAAAGTTTATTATAACTTAGGAGATTTTGAAGCTTCAGTTAAATATTCCTTATTATCGGGGGATGAATTCAATATTGAAGAACAATCTCAATATATTGAAACTATTGTTTCTAAATGTATTGATTTATATACTAACTTATCTCAACAGAAATTCCAAGATGATTCAATAGTAATTGATAAACAATTGAGTGAAATCTTTGAAAAAATGTTAAAGAAATGTTTTGATTTGAAAGATTATAAATTAGCTTTAGGGATTTCTTTAGAAAGTTTCAGATTAGATATTGTTGAAAAGATCTTAAATTTACAAATTGAAACTAACATTGATCAAGCTTTAAGTTTAATAAATTATGTTTTAGTTTGTACTAACACTGTTATTAGTAATTTCAACTTCAAAACCAAAGTATTGAATTCATTAATTGATATTTTATTAACTATTAAGACTAATCCTGATTTCTTTATCATTTTCAAAATTATTGTTCAATTGAATGAATCTCAATTAGCAGGAAAAATCTTTAAAGAATTAATCAAATCTGAACCATTAATTGCATACCAAGGAGCTTTTGATTTAGTTAATTCAGGATCTCAAGAATTATTGGAAAATATCATTAAATATTTAAAAGATGATAAAGAATTTGATGATGAATCATCAGAAGAATCAAAATTAATTAATATTTTAACTGGGGTTCCAACTTGTGATTTAAATATCACTTTCTTATATAAAAATAACCATACTGATATAACTATTCTTAATAAAACTAAGAACTTATTAGAAGGTAGATCATCAATATTCCATTCAGCTGTAACTTTTGCTAATGCTTTTATTCATGCTGGTACAACTGATGATTCATTTTTCCGGAAAAACTTAGAATGGTTAGGAAAAGCAACCAATTGGTCAAAATTTTCTGCCACTGCTGCTTTAGGAGTTATTCATAAAGGTAATTTATCTCAAGGTCGTAATATCTTAAAACCTTATTTACCAGGTTCTTCAGGTTCAGCTCATACTAAAGGGGGATCATTATTTGCTTTAGGGTTGATCTTTGCTGGTCATGGTAGAGAAACTATCGACTATTTAAAGAAATTCTTGGATGATAATGGTTCATCAGCTGGTTCTAATGATACTGACGTTATGTTACATGGTGCATGTCTTGGATGTGGGGTAGCTGGTATGGCTACCAATAATGAATCTTTATATGAAGCTTTGAAAGTAGTTTTATATTCTGATTCTGCCATTTCTGGTCAAGCTGCAGGTTTAGCTATGGGTTTAGTAATGTTAGGTTCTGGTAATGAACAAGCTATTGAAGATATGTTAACTTATGCCGAAGAAACTCAACATGAAAATATCATTAGAGGTTTAGCTATTGGTATTGCTTTATTAAATTTCGGTCAAGAATATAAAGCTGACAAATATATTGATGATTTATTAAAGAAAGAAAGTTCTATTTTAAGATATGGTGGGGTTTTCACCATTGCTTTAGCTTATGCTGGTACTGGTAATAATCAAGCCATTAAAAAATTATTACATTATGCAGTTTCTGATCCTTCTGATGATGTGAGAAGAGCTTCAGTTATGTGTTTGGGATTTGTTTTAATCAGAGATTATACTTCAACTCCAAAAATCGTCGAATTATTATCTCAATCTCATAATCCTCATGTAAGATATGGTTCAGCTATGGCTTTGGGGATTTCATGTGGTGGTAAAAATTTAGCTTCAGCTTTAGATGTTTTACAACCTTTAACTTCTGATCCTGTTGATTTCGTCAGACAAGGGGCTCTTATGGCTTCTTCGATGATTTTAATTCAACAAAATGAACATGTTAATCCTAAAGTTAAAGAATTCAATAAGAAATTATCCGATACCATTAAGAATAAACATGAAGATGCTTTGGCTAAATTTGGAGCCACATTATCTCAAGGAATAATTGATGCAGGTGGACGTAATGTTACCATAACTTTGGAAAATCCAAATACCAACACTTTAAATATGAAATCAATTGTTGGTTTAGCAGTATTTGTTCAATCTTGGTATTGGTTCCCATTATCACATTTCTTATCATTATCTTTCACCCCAACTGCTATCATTGGTATAACTAAAGATTTAAAAATCCCTAAATTTGAAATTAATTGTCATGCTAAAGAAAAATTCTTTGAATATCCAAAGAGTGAAGAAATCAAAGAAAATAAGAAAGAAGGTGTAACTGCTGTTTTATCAACTACTGTTAAGGCAAGAGCTAGAGCTAGAAAGAGAAAAGATGATATGGATATTGATGAAAAACCTGAAGTTAAAGAAGAAAAAGTTGATGACAAAGATTCAGACAAAGAACCTGAGAAAGAGGATGATAAGGAAGAAGAAAAAGAAAAAGAAGAGCCCCTTAAATATTGTAAAACTCCTTATAAAATCGAAAACTTATCTCGTGTTGTTCCTTGGCAAACTAATTACATATCGTTAACTAAAGAAAGATTCGTGCCCATTAATAAATCCAGAGGTAATAGTGGTATCATCATTTTAGAAGATACTAAACCTAAAGAAAAATTAGAAGTCATCAAAACTGTCAGACAATTAAATGTCACTGAAGCACCAATTCCTCAACCTTTCACATTATCAGGAGATGATTTGAAAGATGAATAGATAAAAATATAAATCTCATTGTGAAAAATCTCTATTGTTATACATATATAATATCCTACCCCCTAAACACTGACTACAGCTAACACTGGACGGTGATCGCTGAATAAACCTTGACCCACATCATGTGATAAAACCTCATGATACTTGAAGGATCTGTTGGTCCAGATGAAATCTATCAGGTTCTCTTCTCCCGGGGTAAACCCAGTATTGGTGGTTTCAAATCCTTGCTTTATAGGACTGTCGATGGATGAATCTTTAAGGAAACTTGAACTGAGAACATTATAACTCTCTCCCTCTCGATCGCTGTTCAAATCCCCACAAACAACCACATTCTCTTCAGGGTCTATCGACTTAAGTACCATCTTAGCACTGTTAAGTCTTGCTTTGGAAGATTTATGGTCAAAATGGGTATTTATGATTTTGACTAAATTCCCCAGTTTATGACGTAATTCCACTATGGTCAATATTCTAGCACAAGCACTATCCCAACTTTTTGAAGGTTTTTCAGGTGTTGTACTTAACCAAAGGGTTTCTCCTTTAACAAGCTGCCATTCGCTTGGTTTATATAATATGGGACAGAATTCCCCCTTAGTTTTACCATCATCTCTTCCCACACCAAAATATGTCCATTCTGAACCTAAGGAAAAGAGTATATCATGCAATTGATTGTGTTTAACTTCCTGAAGGCCTACAATGAAAGGCAATTGGGGATGTTTTTGGGAATTGTGAAATATCGATGCACTAACGCCTTGTCTACGTTTATGCCATGGTTGTTCATTAGGCTGCAAGTTTTGAGTATCTTGTCTAATGTTATGACAGTATATTCTGAATTCTAATGGAGGCGTTTGACGAGGTGGTGGTGGTGATGGTGATCTCTTCTTCTTCAATAATGTTAGAAGTCCCATAGTATGTTGAAATATGTCAATTGAAGTTTAATTTAAAATTTCACCTTCGTCAAAATCTTGCGATCGTGTGACGTGAAACTGATAACACGCAGTTCCCTTTTAGGTGAAATTTTTCAAGGGTCTATAATACGATAACTGACTGAGCATGAGACGTGATGATTGGTTGTCAAGTAAGTGCAAAATGGTAATCGTGAGCTCGTGAATTATAACTACAAAAGGATATTTTACTAAGGCAATTGTTAAGCCTTATGAGTGGTGGCTTGAGAAACTTTAAAACTTATGCTAATCAACTGTAGACGAGTTCCCCTGTCTTTTCCGACCCATTGGACTATTCCCATCCAATCTGGTCACACCTTGACCGATCACATCTTATCTGATAACACCTCCATACTGAATTTATTCCACCTGAACTTATCCCACCTCGACTACTGGAGTTTTCCCTTCATTATTCTTTCCACCAGGTTTAATAGCAAATGACTCATCTTCACTGGCTTGTCTCGTTCTTCGATTAGGTCTATTAACTCTTTCCTTCCTGTCTCCCATCTTTCGAATCACTCTTTTCAATACCATGTTCATGCTAAGTAATTCACTCCAATGCATTGCTAAAAAAGATGATGATGTTCCGTATTTTTATATTCATTGGTCGTCGTAAGTTAAAGTTTAAGTTCCTGAAAAGTCGTATACATTAAAACTTCGGACCTTCGCTTATGTAAAGCTTAGATAAGCGAAGATAAACCTATATAAGATATGTTAACCTTAAGGTCAAACACTGCAGGCCAATCTCTGCAAGTCAAACAATCACGCGAGTTGGCCGGATGATGCATAACTTGGCGGATCATATGTTGGGGGTGGGATGTAAGTCTCTTTCTCTACTCTTTCAATAGCATTTTTCTTTGCTTTCTTTTCATTCTTGATCTTCCTTTCCTTATGTTTCTCTTTCAATTTGACTAACCCTATGACTGCTAAAACTATAAGTACTTGAACTACCATATTACTTTGATTCTTGTGTGAACTACTGATGTTTTACTTATTTAATATCCTTTTATTTGAGGAAATCTTTGTTAAGGATTTGTGGAGATTTTGAACTATTTATATATCTGTGAATCTGACTATTTCAATTCCTGGTGATATGTTGATCGGTAATAAGTCGGTGGTATAATCACTCGTATTCAAAAAATGTATGGATTGTGTTTCTTAGATCCGTTATCTGGGGTTGATTTGAGGAGTGTAGATGGCTAAGTAGGTCAGTCGCAGGCTGAGAATAAGTTGACGTACAGGAATGTTTCCCTTTGGGGATTGAAGGTGATAAATCGATTACAAATGAAGGCTTGCCTCTACCGCATACCTATGCCTAGACTCTGAGGTTTGTCATGATGGAAGATTCAAGCATAACATGCGGGGAGGTTCTGGTAATGTTTGAAGAGAACTCGGAGTTGAAAGGACTTGAGAGGACTTGAGATTTGTAAATAACATATTTATTGACATCTGGCCAGATGAATCGTTACCGGCTTCCAGAATGGAAGGACATCTGATCAATGAACGATTAAAACTTGATCAGGGTTTGTAATTAAATCATAAACTATATAAATAGGTAAACTCTCATTTACCTTAGGGCATCACATCAAACATTAAACATAAAAGAAAACTATAAAATACTCATGGTCTTTTGAATAGTCGGCGTCAATCCTTTCTTTTCAAATGGCATGGGTGTTCTTCTAAATGGATCTTGAGTTTTGTTTGAGTCGATTTTAGGACTGGATTTAAAATAATTCTTTATCTTGTTAAATTTTTGTGACATTGTGAAATTGTTTGCACTGTTGTTCATAGAGTTTTAGAAGAGATTTGCTTGCTTATTTATAGGCAGATCCATCTTGCAATGATTCATAATCTATTAACTCCTCTACTCATCGTCGGTAATAAGAGGCCTGCGGAGGTAATCGCTCTTTCGGACATGAGTCAAAATGAGTAATTTCTTAATTCGGAGAGTGCACAAACGGCTAATAATTTTTCAAGTGGGCAATGCTTCGTAAATTTGACCAATCAACCAGTAACTCAGCCGGCTGAGTGTAGTCACCAAAAAGAGAAGATTCCGAACATATCTGTTCGATACTTAATAGTCATACAAATGTCGCGTACATGTCGTAAAACCGAGACGTTTTTGGATGCGAAAAATTTTTTGTATTTGCAGAGATGGTTTTTGACCTTAAACAAACCTCTAGTTGCCAGGATACTTTCAATATGAACAGGAAGCAAAAAATAATGAAGGAAGCGAGGTTCGAACTCGCGCGGAGAACCCTCCAACAGATCTTAAGTCTGCCGCCTTAGACCACTCGGCCATCCCTCCATTGGATGGGAAGAACTTGGTCTTATTACCTCTTGTAGGTCATAGGTTTCGAATTTTCGGGCTTTTATGTAAATTTTAGATGTTAATGGTGCTTTGTGATACCATCTCATCACACTGGTGGGTGTGTCTTTCTCAAAGATCTTGCGGTGGAGTGGAAAATTGAGTAATTGGAATTAGTAAAGTTGAGCTTTGTGGGTATACACCATCCTTTGTGAATAAATTGAGTACTATAGACTGTTAATTCGAGATCTTAAGTTTCTGAAGAACACCTTCAACGCCAGTTTACCCATCAGAACCAGGTTTTATTCTGCAATCGGAAAAAAAAAGTCTCGTGCGGCTCATAATTGACTCTTGATTTCTCCAAGTGCCTATATCTACCAACATTAAGTCCATTAAATATCCTCAATTCCTTCTTCACTCTTTCAAGTCCCGCTTCCCCAGAACCAAAGTTCTTACAATCTCACCCACTCTCCTCAGTTCTTCTTGACCTCATATTACATCCCCCCACTTCCCCCTGGTTGTTCTACCTTCTCATTTATACCATAGACACCACGCCGAATCCTTCCCTTTGAACAAAAAAATCTTTCATTTCTTCTTCCTTTTTCACCCTTTCACATTTTCTGCCATATTTTTGTCTTCTGGATTTTTTCATAAATTTTGCAAAAAACACTTACCTCTCTCAAAGTGCGATAAATAAACTAATGAAATATTTAAAGGTTGCAGTACAAGGTTGTGGTCATGGAGAGCTAGATAAGATATACCAATCGATTGTACCGAACGTCGACCTACTCATAATCACAGGAGATTTCCAAGCCATCAGAAGTGCTCATGATTTGAATAACATATCAGTTCCACAGAAATATCGTCAACTAGGTGACTTTCATCAATACTATAGTGGAAAGAAAAAAGCTCCTGTCCTAACAATTTTTATCGGTGGGAATCATGAATCATCGTCATATCTACAAGAATTGAGGTTCGGAGGTTGGGTAGCTCCAAATATTTATTATCTAGGGGAGTTTGGTGTTGTGTGGTACAAAGGATTGAGAATAGGAGGATTAAGTGGAATTTACAATGAAATTTCTTATAAAAATGATAATGAAGAGAGATTGCCATACAATCCAGGGGAGCTAAGATCAGTCTACCACGTTAGAGCACGAAGTATCGCTAAAATGTTGGCTATGAGTAGTGAAGATAAAATGGATATCTTCTTGACTCATGATTGGCCTCAGGGAATTGAACATTATGGAGATTTGAAGCTCTTGTTGAAGCTAAAGCCATTTTTTAAAACAGACATAGAGAAAAATCAATTGGGTAGTCCACCAGCTAAAGAAATAGTCAATAGTTTGAAGCCTAGATATTGTTTTGCAAGCCATTTACATGTTAAATTCGAAGCTGTCATACAAGAAACTTCAAGTGATGAAATAGATCTTGATATGGACCTGGAACCAACCAATGAACTGAAAGAATCAGGCGATGTTCAATTTCTTGCTCTTGATAAATGTGGGAGAAATAGGAAACATTTGAAAATCCTTGATATTTCCACCAACACTGACCACATATCATTCAAGAAACCCGGCCTTTATTATGATAATAGGGCCATTGCTGCAAATAAGGTAGTAGAAACTTATAGACTTGAACATAAAGTATTACCGCAAGATATCCATAAATTCAAAAAGCAAGTCGACGAAGAAGTCCTTAAACTAACCCAATTCCATCCAGTTCCTAACAATTTCGAGTTTCAACTCATCGATAGTCTAAATTATTTTTCCAACAATCAAACATTAAAATACACTGAAGATTTCGGGATTCCCTACAGTGCACCAGAAATATCGCGATAAAGTAATGTCCATCATCAACTTTGTGGGACAGTTTTTAAAGGATAAAGGCTATGAAAAGACTTTTGCTCAATTGGAATTGGAGTATGGTAAACCAATCAAAACTGATATTACATCATTACCAACGGAAGAAACTTTGGAAGAAATTCTACATGATCGTATAAACTTCAAATCAATGACAAATATCGAGCACGATTCATTCAATCATTGGAAAACACCATATCCCCATCACATTTCCAATGAGATCTTTGTGGGAGAAACCATTGTATCGATAGAATTATTGAAAGATATCTTGTTGATTTCCACTGCCAAACAAAAATTGATTCTCATGAAATTCAACGGCGATATCTTGAATGTGTATGAGAAATTGATAGGTGTGGTGATCAAGAAAATCATCACTGATGGCGAAAAGTTTGTGTTCGTAGGAGGTATGGATGGGAAGATCTATAAATTTGAATATAAAGATAATGAATTGGTAAAAGTGGATGAAGTAAAGGTTCATAGAAGACTCATTGTTGACATGAAATACATTGACGGATACGTTTTAACTTTGGGATTCGAAAAGTTGGTTAAATTGATAGACAGCAAAGATTTGAAAGAGGTCAGTTCATTGGAAACTATGAACTCGCCTGTTTCAATTGACGGAGTTTCTATCAATAATGAGATCATAGCTGCTGTAGGGTATACCGATAATACTTTGATTGATATCTTCAAACTCACCAATAACAGTGAGAGGTTATACAAGTTATCTATCAGTGATGCCGAGTTTTCCACAAGTAACTTCACTCCAAGATCAATTCACTTCAAGCAAGGTGACGATTTACAATTAGCTATAGGAACATCTCATGAACCTTATATGAGAGTTATCATTGTTTCTGTCGACATGGGTAACCCTGGAGCTGACCAACCCGATGAAGTGCAACCAGGAGCTGAACCTACCAAGATCATACGTAATAAAATCATCAAAAACATACTAACCATGTCCCCTCAAGATAAATACAGTGTACCATTTATAAAATGGCGTCAAGATAGTGACGGGATCTGGGTAGGTGGAGATGACGGTAAAATTAGGGGAATCAATTTATGTAATGACGAAATCATCGAGATCGTCGGCCACGATAGTAATATCAAATGGCTAACTAGTGTGAATAACGGCGATAATTTAGTGACCGTCGGCGATGATCGGTTGATAAAAATCTGGAAGTAAATTCCCTCGATTATCTCAACTCCATTCAGTTCACTATAAACTCTATCGTATCTTAAATAAACGAAGGACTTTTCCACCTCTTATCATCTCCTGTGTGTTAAATCCTATCATCAACTCCCAAAACCTTTTTTGCAGCCATGAGCCGATGTCGCGATGAGATTGTGGAGTAAAAATCCATGTCGCGATAGATGTCGGGTGCATATGTTAAACTGAGAAATGTAAGGCCCTCGGTAATTACTATAAATATAAAACATCACCAAATCCAATCAATTATCGTGAATTCACAGGATAGAAAAAGTTTCAAGGGATATTCGACCAATAAATAACCATTATAGAATTTCAAATCATTGCTCATTGATCTAGATCATCATCATTTTAATTATGTCCCTTTCACCTATTGAAAAAGCAGCTTCAGGAGCTTTAGCTTCGGCAATTGCTAATACCTTAGTTTATCCATTAGATTTATCCAAAACATTGATCCAAACTCAAGTCAAACCTAAATCTGAAGCAATGTCAAGATCAGGCTCTAAGTCAGTTTCAATGACTAGTGAAGACAGTGTTTTCCAACAAACTGAAGATCATGGAGAATTAAAGTATAAACATACAATTGATGTATTGAAGAAGATTTATGCTAAAAAAGGTGTTTTAGGATGGTACCACGGATTATTTTCATCTATCATTGGTACAGCAGCTCAAAACTTTTCTTACTTCTATTGGTATACCATAGTTAAAAGAGTTTATGCCAAAATCAATCGTCATATACCAAATCACAAACCTTCAACATTTATGGAATTATTCCTTGGAGCTTTAGCAGCTGCAATTTCACAAATGTTCACCATGCCAATTGGGGTTATAACTACACAACAACAAACTGATAAACATCACAAGAATTTGTATCAATTAGCTAAAGAAGTTTACGCCAAAGATGGTATTACCGGTTTTTGGAGAGGTTTAAGAGTTTCATTGGTATTATGTATTAATCCTTCAATCACTTATGGTTCTTATGAAAGATTAAAACAAATAATATATGCTAATAAGACCCATTTAGCTCCATTAGAAAGTTTCTCATTAGGAGTTATTGCTAAATCTTTAGCTACTGTCTCCACACAACCTTTAATTGTTTCAAAAGCTATGTTACAAAAGAAAGAACATGGTGATGAAGATGTTAAATTTGATGGTTTCACTCATGCATTAGAACATTTATGGGAAACTGAAAAATTCAGAGGTTTATATAAGGGAATTGCTCCTCAATTAGTTAAAGGAGTTTTCGTTCAAGGATTATTATTTATGTTTAAAGATCAATTAGATGTTCTTTTTGTATTCTTATTAAGCTTATTGAAAAAGAAGAAATTGTAAATTAATAAATATCGGAGTCGTTTTCTTATCTTATCTAAAACATTTCCTTTAATAGGAGAACATAACTAACATGAAAAAGGTCACGTGACATATAGGGCTATAACCCCATGACTGTCCAAAGATTAAGTTCGTGTCCTGCGCACATTTAAAATTTTTCAAACTTCTCATTTAAGATTGAGAAATTAATTTGAAAAAAACTTCAATCATATCAAGATGGGTAAAGGTAAACCAAGAGGTTTAAACGCTGCTAGAAAATTAAGAGTCCACAGAAGAGATAACAAATGGGCTGATAATCAATATAAAGCTAGATTATTAGGAACTGCTTTCAAATCTTCCCCATTCGGTGGTTCATCCCATGCTAAAGGTATCGTTTTAGAAAAAATTGGTATTGAATCTAAACAACCAAACTCAGCTATTAGAAAATGTGTCAGAGTTCAATTAATCAAAAACGGTAAAAGAGTTACTGCTTTCGTTCCAAATGATGGTTGTTTAAATTTTGTTGATGAAAATGATGAAGTTTTATTAGCTGGTTTTGGTAGAAGAGGTAAAGCTAAGGGTGATATTCCAGGGGTTAGATTCAAAGTTGTTAAAGTTTCTGGTGTTTCATTATTAGCTTTATGGAAAGAAAAGAAAGAAAAACCAAGATCATAGATATTTTCTATTGTATATTTGATAAATGCATAAAGATTAATTATGTTGGAGTGTAACTCTAGCCATCAATTCTCTAGATCGATTAAGAGGGGGGATTGAGGGATAAATGACTAGCATGATTGTGGTAAGACTGTAATACGATTGTGGCATGGAGTAGTATCAAGTAGCACAACTTAAGCTTAGTCAGTAAATCCGCTCAACTACAAAAGTCAGTCTTTATTATACATTAATTACATAGGTAAATTTCTACCTTCAATTGATGGCCCATTCTTCTTACCAGTAGCTTTCTTCTTGGAATTAATCTTTTGATTAATTCTTTTGAATCTTTCATCGTTACCTCCCATATTTCTTCTTCTGTTCAATAAATCAGTGTTAACTTTTGGAGCAATTTTATAAGCACTTGTTCTAGCACTTGGTATAGCAGCTCTATTTCTTCTTTCAGCACTTTCTTCATATAAAGTTTTAGGTTCGGCTTTGACTTTTGGTCTTGATGATGATAATTTATTTACAAATTTACCCTTATTATAATCTTGAAATTGAATTGTTCTATCTTTATAAGAATCAGATTTATTTAAAATTGGTCTTGTCCAGTCACCAATCAATTGATCAACAATTTTCTTTAAATTTAATTCAACTCTTTTACTACGTTGATAGAAAACCATTACTTTACCAATACCTGAAGCAACTAAATGATCAGTTTTAATAGGTAAATCAACTAATGATTGAATCAATTGTTTTTGGATTTGATAAGCTGGCATTGATGCATTTGGTAATGGTTCTAACCATAATCTTACAGCATCTAACAAATTATTATCTAAAATACTTATAGCTAAGTCTGCTTGAGACATGACACTAACAACTTCATCTAATAATTTTAATTTTTCTGTGGCTATTAATCCTTTTTCGGATTTTTCTTCATCAATAGAAGCTGCTTGAATCATTTTTTGTTTTAAATAATCAATTTTGTCATCTTGCATTCTTTCTAAATCATCTTCATCTGCCTTCTTACGTTTTAATCCTTTATTCTTAATGGCTAAATCCATTTTTTCTTCTAATAATCTTCTTTTACGACTTGCTGGATCTTCGTTTGAATAATCAATTCCGTTCTCTTCATCGATTTGTTGATTTTCGTTACCCATCATTGTGGTTAATGGTTCATCATCTCTATTACTTCTTCTCACATTCTTCTTTCTGGTAGCATTGGAATTTTTGGATTTATGGGCTTTTAACGAATAAACATTATCATCTTCTTCATCATAATCATTCCCATCATTCAAATCATTTAATTCATCTTCATCAATATCGTCGGATACATTATCATCATCTTCATCATCTCTTTTAGTTACTGGTTCTTCTGGTGGTACATCATCATTTTCTTGAGGTTCGTTGGTAATATCATTTTGTGTTCCTTGATCTTCTTGTTCTTCAACTTGTTGTTGGAACTCTTCCACCTCTTGTTCTTCCTTCATTTCACGTTGATTATCTGACATATCTCAACCTGGGAAAACTTCGACGATGCGAAAATATTCACACCATGTCTCAATATATTGGTAAGACCATTCTGTTAATTTCTAACAAACAATTGAGATATGTTGGTTTATTAGATAACATAAGTGCTGAAGATGCCACCATATCATTGAAAAGTGTGAGATCTTTTGGTACTGAAGGGAGATTATTAGCTATAGGTCAACCAACTGCTGAAGTTAGTCCAAGTAATGATGTTTATGATCATGTGGTATTCAGAGGTAGTGATGTTAAAGACTTGACAGTATTGGATATTCCTTTGGATCAAGTCAAACCGGAAGGTTATTATGCTCCACCTGCTCCTCAAGGCGCTCAACCAACTGCAACTAAACCTCCTGCTCCAACTACCACTTCTCAACCAGCTACCACTTCACAGCCTGCTCCAGCCTCAGAACCTGCTGCTGCTCCAGCCCCTGCCCCAGCACCTAAAGCTCCAGAACCAACTGCTGCTGCTCCTAAGTCACATCCTCAGCCTACAAAGACTGATTCCAAACCTACTAAAACTAGTCCTCCTCAACCTCAACCAAGATCTGCTCCTCAACCTAAAAAGTTGGAATTTGAAGATGATTTCGATTTTGAAAGTTCAAATGCTAAATTCCAAAGAGAATCTGAAGCTGAATCTTCCCAAACATATAATAAGTCATCTTTCTTCGATACTTTATCTTCATCAAATGAAGAAAGAAATTCTATGAGATGGAATGAAGAAAAACAATTAAATTTCGATACTTTCGGTGAATCTTCTGTTAATAGAGGAAGAGGTAGAGGAAGAGGCCGTGGACGTGGTGGACGTGGAGGACGTGGCGGACGTGGAGGTAGAGGGCGTGGAAGAGGAAGAGGTAAACCTGAAGAAAAACCTGAATGGGCATAATTTGTATATATATTATGTAGATTTATCATAAAAGAATAAGAATGACGTAAATAATGCACTTATAATCACCACAAACCACCCTCCTTTGTACAAAGTCTGATAATTCGCTATGACCATCACTATCTCAATAGGTATGAATACAAGTAATGTTAGACCCAATAGTCTTTTATACACCAACGTTAGTACCAAAAGGGTAAGAACTGAAGTTATTAAGAAGTCAAGCGATATCCCCAATCCATAAGCCATGGTGATATCCTGAGGATTTTGGAAAATTAACATTGTCACCAATAGACCAACCATTAAGAAAAAGTTCACAGCTGGGATAAACACCATTTGCTTGTGTTCGGAGCTAAGGTGGATAATGTCTAATCGGGGTAGAAATTCTAGTTCAACTAGTTGATGTATGACAGTGAACACTCCTAAAATAAGTGCTTGGGAAGCGATAATTGTGGATAAAGTAGCCAAAATGAAGACAATCCAATAGTAGCTACTATTGGCACCTCCTGGAATAGAACTGTAGAACACGCCAACAAAAGAGCTGTCTGTGTTGGGCGTAGATACGGGGTTCAATATGACATAGCTGCATTGACCGAAATAATTCATCATTAAACATGGGTATACCAAACCACATACCGTCAATTGCACAGGAAACATCTCAATATACCCCAAATCAAGGAATATCGCTTCAGTACCTGTAATAGCCAAAGTAAAGGCAGAAACTCCACCCAATCCGTGGTTTTTCAAATACAAGTACCCATACCATGGATTCACAGCTTTGAGAATGACAGGGCATTTAGCTATATTGATAGCACCAATAATTCCAAGATTAACCAACCAAAGAAGTATCACAGGAGCAAATAAAAACGATAATTTATCAGCACCGAATCTTTGGATGGAAAAAACACAGAAAAGTATGAAGACACTCAATGCCAATTGGTGATCGAAGGTAGGGAATGGTAAAGAGATTCCTGAAGTTGCATTCAAAATTGAAGTTGTAGGAGTTAACAAGCCATCAGATATGACAAGGGAACATCCTATGAAGCATACTGTCTTGGAAATGGTTCGTATCCACTCATCACTATCATTAACATCATAAACACTTTTATTTTCCAAATGATTTACTATTTTGGAATATATAGCTATTTGACCACCTCCATCTCTGTAACTACCATAGGAAATCACTACCAACACATACTTGACCATGACCATCAAGGTGAACAACCAAAAAAGAATAGACATAGCACCAATAACTTCTAATTGTGAAGGATTATCAAATAGGTTGTTAAATGTATATAATGGAGAAGTACTAATATCACCATAGATTGACCCCAAAGATGCAAAACATCCTAATAGAATCAGCCATTTAGAGTTTTTCGGCTTTTGTTCCTGGGATTCACATCCTTGATAAGAAAACAATAAACTATCGATTGAATCAGCTGACTCAATAGATCTTCTGTGAGCTTCATTCAATCTTGTCAATTCAGTAACAGTGATGTTCACTTTCTTCCCCTGGTACCTCATGTTAAAGTCCAAGGGTCCTCACAAGAGTTATTTATAGTTAAACCCCTGGGCTTTGGTTAAGAGTAAAGTGGGCTTTTAGTCCTCGTCACGTAGACCTAAATCCCTCATAGTTTAGCAAGTTTATAGTAAACAAGGAGATTGTGTAATTGAGGGATTTTACATTGTGAAATTATCTATAAAACTTTATTTCTACCACAGTTAATGAGACATCATGGATATGATGGTGAGATTAAGCCTCTCTTAAATAGGAATTTTTGGTTAACACTTTTAATTCTTTGGTCTTTAATTTCACCTGCTTTCATTTTTAACTCTAATCTCCTACCTTCATAAACAGGAGAATTCAAGCCATGCTGAGCCTGGTGTTGTATAATGACGTCTTGCCAATATTTGGTGTATTCTAAATCTTTAGGAGGTTTATAGTCATGAAATGATTTGCCCCTCCCACTTTGTTTTATATCTTCAAGATAACTGATTTCCATCTCTTCCATAGTGGGGAGAGGAATTCTTCGAGTGATTACCCTTGCAATAACACTTGCTTGTAATTCTATCATTGGAAATGGATTAACATTTCTCCCTAATCCCAAAAACATCAAGCTTGGATCTTTATACCAGAAGATTTGTTTGTATAGCTCATCAATATAATGCTTCTTACATATGGTCAGATATTTCAAAAAGGGTAAATCGTAAAAATATCCAGCACATACAATTATTGAATCTGTTTCAATAGTTTGACCATCATTGGTAGTGATGGTTTTAGATTCATAATCTAAAGACGAGATTTCAGGTATAATCTCGATGAAAGGATTGATCTTATCCAATTCACCCATTACTTTAGCGTCCGGTTTCAAGGAAACGTATATCTTCTTAGCATAACGAGATAAATGTAAAGCAATATCTGAACCACTTGAAAATCCTCCAATCAAAACAACAGTTTTATCTTTGAAATCCACACCATCGTTGAAGAATTTGGCATGAGTTAAACTATAGGGATCATTAACATGCCATTGTTCTAATCCAGGGATTTCAGGGTAGAATGGTTTATAAAAATGTCCATTAGCAGCTATAACATAATCATAAGATTTGGTGATAGAACCTTTTGATGATTGTGCCGTTACTTCCCATTGATTTCCAATTTTGATCACTTCCACAACTTTATGATTGAAATAAAGATTATCAATATCTCCTATGGTTTCACTGTAATCCAAAAGGTACTTCAACACTTCTTCATGAGTAGGAAACTCATTCTGACAAGTGAAAGGAAAATTGGAAAAGGCCATTAGTTCATGGATGACATTGGTTTCAAGGTGCTTATAAACCGGAGAATAGTCTTTGATTTCATTATCCTTGATTTCTTCATCAGTCCTTATCTTCAGTTTCTGGGGATAATAATTCCAAACCCCACCAAAACTTGATCTCAACTCATATAAATCGATGGCACTTTTCAGTGGTTCAAGATTTAATGCTTTCACAGATGCCAACCCTCCTGGACCTCCACCTATAATACAAACTCTTTGATTTGTCATAATTTACAAGTCATTTTCCACACAGTTTTATAGTTTAAACTGTGGATTGTGTGGTTGCAAATGAGGCCGCACATGATCTCAATAATGTCTATATTGTCTATAATCTCTAAATACTCTATTTACCAAGTCTCTTAGTAACGATACTTTTGTTGACTTCAAGGATTCTATTATTCTTCAAAGTACCTGAATTGATTTGAAAATCTAAATTTTCACCTTCAAAAAGGAGTGAGCTCATACCTTCTTCAAGTCCATGATCTTTGATATAGTTCTGCCAATACCAATAGTAATCCATTTGTTTCGTCTTGAAGTCATGAAATCCTTTTTCTCCAGTGGATTCAAGCTCGTTTCTATAAGCTTCATACATCTCTTCTTTGGATGGTAATTTCAATCTGCCACTATAAACTCTGGCAATTACACTACCTTGAAGTTCAGATAAGGGAAAAGGTTTTACGTTCTTGAGTAATCCAGTGAAACTAAGACTGGGGTCAGGAATGTAAAACATTTGTTGGTAGACATCACTAATATATGTATCATGACACAAATCCAACTTCATGAAAGGTAAATCATAGAAATAACCAGTAGCAGTAATAATTGCATCAACCAGAATCATCTGGCCTGATTTCAAAGTGATGGATTTTGTCTCATAATCAACAGAAGCAATTTCAGTGATTCTATCAACAAAAGGTGTTTCACTATCGAACTCTCCAAACAATTCTCCTTCTTTGATGGATACATAAATTTTTTTTGCAACTTTAGATAAGTGCAAAGCAATATCTGAACCACTTGATGAACCACCTACTACAACCACAGTCTTATCCTTATACAATTGAATATCATCGAAGAACTTAGCATGAATTGCACCAGCAGGGTCTTTCAGTGCCCAATCAGCTAAGCCTGGAATCCCGGGTGTAAAGGGTTTCTCGAAGTGTCCATTTGCAACTATAACAAAATCATAAGTACCAGATTTGAAGGTATTGGTTGCCAAATCTTGATATTCTACTTCCCAAACACTATCTTTCTTATCAACACTGGTAACCTTGGTTCTGGTGAACGCATTGTATGAACCAATGGTTTTGGCATATTTCCTTAAGTAGGCCAAAACTTCAAAATGTCTAGGAAATGAATTGGGAGATTCAAATTCTAAACCTGAATAACTCATCAATTGTCTGACGATATTAGTTTCTAAATCTCTATAGATGGGAGAGTAGTTATATTCCTTGCGTTGGTCTATATCTTTATCATTGAAGAAATTGGTCTTTTCACCGAAATAATTCCAAACACCTCCATAATTAGATCTAATATCAAACAAATCAATGGCAAACTTACAATTAGGTTCCATATTAAGAGACTTAACAGCAGCAAGTCCTGTTGGACCACCACCAATAACACAAACTCTTTTCATGATTGTTGAAACCTTAAGGAAGTTAGATAGCAGATTTCCGCTATCCAGTCCTAGCGGATCACAGTGTCGTATCGTACCGACATTAGTCCGACATTTTATCGTAAACATATTTTGAGATGTGAGAAAACGCGTCTTTTGAAACAAACTATGGAAGAGATTGGGGCATTTACTGAAGGTAATTCCTTCGTCCATACCACCGAAAACAAATTATTAGTAGGTAATTCCATTGGGATTTTGAAAGTTTTTCCTTTGGACCAAAACGAAGAGCCTAAATCCATTGACATTCAAGAAAATTTAACCTCTATCAGTCATTATGGTGATAAAGCCTTGATCACTAATACTGCTGGTTGTTTGGAATTAGTTGACTTGAAAGATGAAGAATCCAAGATCATTTACAGATGTGAATTACCCTTGAGAGATAGTGTGTTCATTAATGAAGGTAAGCGTATGGTAGTAGGAGGTGATGAAAGTTATTTCATGATTTTAAACCACGATAATGATGAAAAATTAAAGATTGATATTCCTGATCAGTTAGTTAATTTGAGTTATAACGCTACCAGTGAATTATTGAGTGTCACGTTATCAAGTGGAGATTTAAAGATTTATTCTGTTAGTAACGAACAACCTAATTTGATTGAAACCTTAGATAAAGTATTACAAAGAAAAGTACTTTCGTCTTTAGATGAAATCGATTTTGAAAATGATCATAAAAATGAATTATTATGTACTAGACCATCATGGAATTCCTTAGGTGATAATTTCTATTTACCTGCGTCACCAGGTGTTACCATCTTAAACCGAGAATACGAAGTAGTTGATAAGATTGAAATGGAGAAAGTTATAGATTTTCAAAGAGTTAATAATTTCTTGGTGATTTTAGTTCCTGAACAAGTTAATATTTGGGATTTAAAGACCAAAAAAATCGTCAAATCAATCAAATTGAAACAATTATCTATAAATTTACATTATAATAATCATTTATTCATTGGTACTAATCAAGGGTTTGTAGTTAAGGTACCTGATGTTATCAAAGAACTTCAGGAAGAATTGGGGGCTGACGATTTGGGTTTTAGTGATGATGAACCAGTTGAAGATGCTATGGATGAAGATGTTAGTAGAAATGGTATTGATGATTCTATCATAGATGATGACGAGGAATTTCCTTACTACAATAAAGACGTATCCAAAGTATTTGAAAATCAAGATCGTAAACGTCAAAGATTATCACCTCCAAGTAGTGTAAGCTCTTCAACTATGGGATATGTATCACATGACTTCATCAAGGAAATTACACCCCATTCCCCGGGCTCAACACCTTTTAAGAATAATGGAGGTATTGAGAGAAGATATTTGATGATGAGTTCAATTGGGTATGTATGGGCAGTTAAAAATGAAAGTCAACAATCAGTGACGGTTTCATTCTTCGATAGGTCAATCAATAAAGATTATCATTTCAATGATTATTCAAATTTCGATTTATGTGGTATAAATTCCAATGGTATAATACTTGGATACTCAAACGTACAAGGGAATGAAGATTGTGGGATTATTTACTATAGAACTCATCAAACTGAACAAGATAGTTGGGATAAGAAAATCCCTCTTCACAAAGGAGAGTTCATTACCTGTGTATCAATAACTGAATCCGACGATGCTACAATCGTTGTAGGAACCAATTTCGGTAACTTGAGAGTATTCAATCAACATGGGTTATGTATCAAGATCATGAAAGTCAATCCCATCATCAGTATTATTTCTAATAACACTTCAATTTTCATCATTACTCAATTAACCATTAACTTGTATGCATTTTCAATTTTCAATTTATCTGAAGATAAGTTCATTCAACAAGATTGTATATTACCATTGAAACAACTCACCACCAAACCATTGATCAAAGGAATATTCTTCAATGAATTTAATGACCCTTGTTTGGTACCTGGAAGTGATGATACGTTAATGATTTTAAGTGGATGGAGAGAACCTATGAATTGTAAATGGATTCCTATCTTGAATTGTAAGACCAAATGGAAATGTTGGCCTTTAGGATTATTCAACGATAAGTTGAATTGCTTATTATTGAAAAATAACGACGAATATCCCGGATTCCCATTATCTTTACCAATAGAGTTGGATTTGAAATTACCTATTAACCATCAAGATAAGAAACAAAAAGAAGAAGAGGAAGATTTTGAAGAAATATTCGTCCAGGCTTCCACTATGGGTAAAATTGCCAACGATTCTTTGGTAGACACCGATTTCCAACAATTTAATGATGAAATATCGGAAAAATTATCTTTCTATACCAATCAATTCGATAAATCTTTATTACAATTATTTGTTAAAACCTGTCAACAATCAAATTTAAACAAAGCATTTTCGATTGCCAAATTGATGAATAATGATAAAGCATTAATTGCTGCGACAAAGATTTGTCAAAGGTTTGAATTCAATTCGTTGGCCACTAAAATCGGGAAATTAAGAGATCAATTGGTTGATGTTGATGATATTTAAGTATGGTAATATATATATTATATGTACAGTTATAATTGTTTCTTGACGAAATTATAGATAACCGGAGTTAACCATAAAGCACCAGCAATGATACCAGCCAACTTTAAGTTGTCATAAGCCATTTGTTCTTGGATTTTTCTATCTTCTTCACTTGGTTCACCTCCAAACATTATGTGATCTTTTGAAAAATTTTCAGTGCGAATTTAATTCTTCATGACATCATATCAACCTTTTCAATTAGAAGATTTGTATAATATCAATTCTATTAATTTAGATCCATTGACGGAGAATTATACCTTGGAATTCTATTTTGATTATCTCATTAGATGGCCATCATTGTTTTTTAAATCGGTTTCTCACGATACTATAACAGGTTATATGATCGCAAAGAATGAAGGGAAATTATCCAAATTAGAATGGCATACACATATTTCAGCTGTAACTATAGATTATCGATATAGAAGGTTGGGATTGGCTTCGGACATTTGTCTTTTCTTGGAGAATATTGTTAATAAAGATCCTGATAATACATTATTCATAGATTTGTTTGTTAGAGTGCAGAATCTTTTGGCTATACAATTGTATGAAAAATTGGGATATTCTGTATATAGACGTGTTGTGGGTTATTATGGTAAGACGTTACCTGAGGATAGAAATCAAATCGATGATGAAATTGATGGGTTTGATATGAGGAAGAAATTACCTGCTGATAAAGAGGGAAAGACAGTTAGAGAGAATGGTCATAAGGTTTATGCATTACCACAAGAGATAGTTTTTTAATGGAATTTTGTGTGTTTTACTCTGTTTTTCTGATCTCTTGCTTTGTTTTTCTGATCTCTTACCTGATTTCTTGCTTTGTGTTTCTTGTGTCTGTTGACTCTCTAGATGTCTCGGTGTCTCTTGTGTCCCTTGTGACTCCATCTCAAATTATCTCCGAACATTCGGTCGTAGTGGGGCAACCACTTCGCAGTCATATTCTTTTTTTAGTATAAAAGTCTGTAACTATTCTTCAAACATTATGGCTCTTGGAAGATTTAAACACTTAGATGATTCGGCTTCATCTTCAAGATCAGTAAGTAGGTCCAGAACACCTTTACCTGAATCAGAAGAAAATGGTCAATTGGATTATAATTTTGCTAACTTAGAAGAGCTTTTAGCAACCAGGCTTGAAGCCTATGAAAACATGATTGATAATCAAGATAAAAAACAAACTGTTGTCAATGAATTGAACAAACAGAGAATTACCAGTACTTCAACCATTTCAGAAATAATCAAATCTTTAGGATTGAGTAGAAGTGAAGTCAGTTCTAATAGTAGAGAATTATTACTTGCTCAATTATATAAATTGATAATAACTAAACCTTTAGTGGTATATAACGAAGAATCAGGAGATTACATCGATGAAGGACATGTTTCAGATTTGATATTCATTTTAATGAAGAACGAATCTGCTTCAGCCTATGAGTTCTCGTTATTATTCAGATGTGTGGTAAGTTTAATAGTCAGTGATATAGAAGAATTTGGTTCTTTGATAGATGGTGAATTCTTAAGTTTCTTAAAAGATCTTTTGATCAAACCATCCAATAATATCGTCACCAATGAAAACAAATCTTATGTTATCACCGGATATGTGTCGATGTTATTAATCTTACATAATGGGAATGGAGGATTTGGAATAGATGACATTGTTAATTGGTTATTTGAATTATCTGAAGGATTCTGTCTTTCTTCATTGTCCAGTATTAAAGGATTTAAAGCTGGTGATAGAGAATATTCAACTTTCTTTGATGATTTAAGTGAACAAAGAATTGTCAATGATATTACCCTGAAACAAAATACCGATACTTTAGTAGGAGTTAGTGGATTGCATGGTGTAGGATGTTTATTAACATTGTTACCCAGAAATGATTATTTGAATGACCTTATTCAAGATTTAATGCCTAAATTGATTGAATTGTTAGATGAAGATAATGTTGAAATAAGTAAAGCTTGTGGTAGATTAATAGGGATCTGTTATGAAAGTTATACTTACAATAATGACGAAGATGAAGATGAAGATGAAGAATTCAATTATAATGCTCCATATTATGAACAAGAACAATTAATCAATACTTTAAATACCTTAGCAAATTTGAGTTCTAAGAAATTGAAAAAGAATGAGAAGAAAGACACCCATTCGATTTTCCGTGATGTTTTGAATACCGTTAAGAACTTCTCCAAGTTGGAAACCAGATTAGAAATCTACAAGAAATCTCCTAGAGGTATGGAATTATTAAATACTATGTTGGATTCCAATTATTTGAAATTGAGTAGAACTCGATCCATTCAAATCAATTCATGGTTCTTATACTTAAGATTAATCCATTTGAAATGGTGTTTTGGGTTTGGTGTTCATAATCAATTGGTTGCTAATGAAAGTATAAGAGAAATCTTAAAAGAACCACCTACTGATTATCAAGTTAAGTATGGTGATGAAGATGAAGTTATAATCGATAAGGAATATTCAACTGAAAAACATGAATTTGATGATAAAAAGAGAACCACGATGGTAAGAAAGGCTAGAGTTGAGAAATTAACCAATAATATGGAAGAATTAGACTTATAGAGAGGTTTTATGGTTTTATTTGGTATGGACACGTCACGTGATACATGCTTCACAAAATGGACTATATTATAAGCACTTTAAAAAATCTCCAACTATCTTAATCTAATATATATTTATCTATCTATTGAATCACAAAATCTTTAACGTCAAATTTTTCATTAATACCGAAAGTACCAATGAATTCAACAGCTTCGTTTCTCATTCTTTCGGTGGTTTTAGAATCCCAACTTAATTCATTCTTCATGATTTCAACAACTCCATCAATAGCTCCCATAGCTTGTCTAGCATTCAAGAAAGCTAATCTGGTTCTTCTAGCTAAGAAATCTACTGGAGTTCTAATATATTCATGTTTCAAAGAATATTTCAATTCAGCAATAGTGAAAGGTTCATCGAAATTTTGGAAACTTAATTCATTACCTTGAGTTGAAGAATCAGTTGAAACAGTAAATGATTTATTTGAAGCCAAAGTGATTGGTAATTTATTGTAATCATTTTCTTTATATAATTCCAAAATTAAAGGAGCTCTGGAACCATAATTATGAGATAAATGTTTAGCTAATTTCAAAGGAATTCTGTATTCGTGAATTAATCTGGCAGAATAATTCTTAGAATAATCTTCCCCTCCAACTAATAAAATTTCATTGGTTTGACATTTTTTCAAAGGTTGAGTAAAATTTGAACCGAAATGTTTAATGACAGTATCAACAGTTTCTTCAGCCATTTCTCTATAAGTTGTCCATTTACCACCAGAAATAGTCACTAAACCAGAATCGGAAACTTTAATTAAATGAGATCTAACTAAACCTTGAGTTGACCCACCATTTGAACCTTTAACTAAATCAGGATCTCTTGCTAAAGGTCTAATACCTGACCAAGCACTTAAAACATCATCTCTATTAACAGGGAAAACAATATATTTTTGTAATTCTTTTAAAATATCTTGAATTTCTTCTTCAGTTGGAACAGGATTATCAACAGCTTTCTTTAATGGAGTATCAGTAGTACCACATAAAACTTTTCCTTGCCATGGTAAAAAGAACATAACACGACCATCAGAAGTTGAAGGATCTAATAATCCCATATCTCTTGGACCATAATATTCAGGTAAAACAATATGAACTCCTGATGAAGGAACAATCATTTTTGGTGGATTTTCAACAACTGGTGGTTTACCTTCAGCATCACTATCCATATCTAAAATTCTATCAGCTAAAGGACCAGTGGCATTAACAACTGATGTAGCTTTAATATTATATTGTTTACCAGTTTCTAAGTCAGTAGCTAAAACTCCAGTGATTTTACCATCTGTTTTAAGTAATTGATCAACATTCATATAATTTAATACCGTAGCTCCATGTTTAATAGCAGTAATAGCTAAAGTGGAGTTCATTCTAGAATCATTAAAAGAACCATCATGATAAACACAACTCATCTTCAAATTTGAATCATCCATCATTGGAGCTAAAGCCATGGTAGTTTCTTTGGAAAAAATCGTAGAAGATCTTAAACTTTGATATCCTGCAAACCAATCATACATTTTACAACCAGCAAAGAAATAAGGAGCTTGCCACCATTTATAAACAGGAATCATGATAGGTAAAACTGAACATAAATGAGGAGCTGTTCTTAACATATTACCTCTTTCATTTAAAGCTTCAATAACTAAATCTAATTGAGCTTTAGATAATTGGAAAACAGCTTTCTCTAAATATCTAACACCTCCATGAGCCATCTTGGTAGATTTTGATGAAGTTCCTGAAGCAAAATCATTCTTTTCTAATAAACATACATTTAAACCTCTTGTAACAGCATCTACTGCAGTACCAGTACCAGTAGCACCTCCACCAATAATCAATACATCAAATTTAGGATCTTGATCTAAATTTGATAATAAATCTTTTCTAGTAGGTGGAGCATCTAAAGTTTTCACTAAAGGATTATAAGAATTTGTTAATTTTGAAGTATTTGGAGGTTTGATAAAATCTAAATAAATTATAGTCGAACCAACTAACCCCCCAGTAACTCCTAAAGCTTTAGTTATCTTGGAAGATAACACTCTTTGAAAAAGGGACATATTAAATCGTTTCTGTTGAAATTTGAGAATTGCGATTGTTTAAATATGAGCCGAGATTCTTATTTGGATATTTTTACTTTTGTGTAATCCGTAGGTGAAAAGTCAAAAGCAAGTGAAGACAAAAGAAAATGCTTAAGGGGCACATAGTTTTTCCATTTTAAGATGAGAGAGGGGGGCATGTTTCTCAAAACCTCACTATTTACTCATAGCAATAGTGGGAAAAAAATTTTCAATACCATAGGATATGGTATTGGTGGGGGTTTTGACATGTAAAGCGATGATAAGTGATAATAATATGCCAATAAAATCGTGTTGTTAAATTTAAATTTGTCACCGAGGATTTGATATTACGGATGGGACTTCATTTCCCCGTGATTTTTGCAGCCTTCCTTTTCTCCAGAGTGAGACATTTTTCGAGATGAGGACGTGGTTTAAAGGCTAGAGTTTTCGGATTTGATTATATGGGTTATATAGGATGTTTATGGTGATGGTAGTTGGTTTTTGTTTATGGATAAATTAGATGAATCATTGCCCCACCGCCTGTATTATCCCGGAACTGATATAAATCGAGGGTTTCTGTGTCCCTTGCTAAATAAATTATACCGAGAATATAGCAGGCCCGACATTAACCATCTCACGTTGGAAGTCCATAAACTGGGTGTACGGTCATGTGATTGACGCGTGAAAATAACTTTAAAGTCTCATGATCCGGTCACGTGATCGGCTTATCCATTAAATCGCAGAATGCGAAAGAAGCCGATAAAGATGGATAATGAACAATTGATTCAGGAATTTAAAACCATCACCAATAGTGAAGATGATGAGAACATTAAGAATCTTTTGACAATTCATGATTGGAATTTGAATAATGCCATCATGACGTTTTTTGATACGGGGTTTGAATCGGTAAATCAACCACAATCGATCATTAATCACCGTCATGATACTAATGACCATGATACTGGTTTTGGTGATAATCCTTTGGAAGATATTGAGTCAACTGCTAGATCTTCAGGGTCGGATCCTTTTACTTATTCTACCGCACAATCTTTTGAAATGCAAGATTTAATTCCTAGATTACCTTTTGCTCCACGTATTTCAAATAATTGGCAATATCAAATTGGTATATACAATTCATTGAAACCTGTAGAAACAAAAGTTAACACCATTTGGTTTCTCCTTCTTTTTGTACCGAAAAATCTTTTGAATTTGATATATTCAATTTTAAGATATTTCTTCAAACCAAAACCAAATTCTTTCCCCAAGGCCATTAACTATGAATTGATGGATTTGAATCATGAAATCAATTTTGACAACTATAACGTGTATCATAAGAACTACAATGATGTTTATCAGAAAACAAAAGACAACAATGAATGGCTTTTAGTTGTGTTGGTAAATAATGACACTTCGAGGTTTGTAGAGAGTTTATTGGAAAATAATCATTTTGTCAACCATTTTGGTGAAAAGGGAGTTGTAAAATTGAATATTTATGTTGGAAATGTTGATAAATCACCAGAAAGTTGGGAAATCGGATCGAAATATCAATGTAAGAGATTACCATCAGTTTATCTTATAGGTAACGTCACCAATAATCCAAGTATAATGCCATCGATGTCTATTATTTATCGATCAAATATTTCCATTGGGTTTATTTCCAATGACGTTATCAATCAAACTACCAATAAAATAACGAAGAATTTGAAAAAATTGACCGATCATTATGAACCTCAATTAATCACTGCAAGATTAGAAAAAAGAGAAATTGAATTGAGTAGAAAGATCAAACAGAATCAAGACGAAGCTTATATAAGATCTTTGGAAGCAGATAAAGTGAAAAAACTCGAAAAACAAAAACAATTAGATTTGGAAAATTATCAGAAAGATAAGATTAAGTATTTACAATATTTAAAGAATAGTAATTGGTGGGAAGATTTGAATACTAACGGTACAATAAGAATTCAAATAAAATTACCTGAGGAAAAAATAGTGGTGAAATTGGATCCTTCTATCTGTTTAAAAGATCTTTACCTTTTTATAGAAACCAAATTATCTGACGATATAGATATTGACGAAGATTGCTCCGGGTTCAAACACAATAATGATTTCAAATTCGAATTGATTCAACCATACCCCAAGAAAGTATTTGATGAGTTACACTCCCCTATCGAAGAGGTATTGAAATCAGGGATGTCATTATTAGTTGAGTTAGATGAAGATGAAGATTGAAAAAAACAAAAAAAAAATCTGCTTATGTCAAAGTTACGTAATCAGGCATTTCCATGTTAAACCTTTCAAACCACCCCCAAAACAATGCATTTTATGACTGATTGTTCTCTAAACGAACTGCCACTATTACAAAGACTCTACAAACCACCAAGAACTCGTGTAAGACTATCGTCACGAGATGGACTCGTTTACACCATCAGCCTCCCCTAAAAGCTTAATCCTCAACAGTGGGCCAAGAAACCCCATTTTCGCAGTCAGGGATTTTATCTCAATTTATCACTGTCTATTCAATCAAATAGGGATCATGGCCAGTCGTCATTCAAGATTAGAAGCCGAAAGATTGGCTATCATACAAAAGTCCATGAGTAGAGGAAGATCCAAATCTCCAAATAGAAGTAGATCGAGTTCAGTTGACGAAGAATTGAAATGGTCAATTATCAATCACGATCCATCTGAAAGATTAGATAATGGTAATAATGAACAAATTGATTATGAAGGAAGTGAAGAGGAAAATATTAGTGATGATGCCGATAATGAAAAATTCCAATATGATGATACGGGGAATATTTTACCCAATTATGCCTGTCATGATGAAAAGATTAATGAAATTCTGGAGATATTAGAAAATTCCAATTTAAACGATAGTTCTACCATTAAAAAATTAGAAGAATTGACAGCTAGTGAAAGGGCATTGGCTAATGCGAAAAAAGCTGGTAAACCTATTGATGAATCATTATTACAGAAATTACAGGATGAAAAATCATCATTCTTCGCCAATGAAAAACTTGATTTATCAAAATCTGATCAAGATTTCCAAAGTAGAAAGCAAAAATTAGAAGATTATGCAACTTATAGGAAAAAAATCATCGATCAAGAGAATGAAAAGTTCAAAGAAAGGTCAGATAATGATCATGATCATGATTTTATGATTCCTTATACGAGTGCAGTTGAAGATAAATTAGATAGTGAATTTGCTTTCCATTTGAATGAAACAATTGTTGAAGGAGAAATCGATTCCAATAAAACACAATCCAGAGTGATTCAAACCATCACCAGAGGGAACTTTTTCCAATTAATTGACCCCAAAGTTAAACCTAAAATGTTTTTACTTTGTATGGATTTCTCTCCTGAATCAATTTTTGCCTTAGAATGGGGTTTAGGTACTGTTTTGGTTGATGGGGCAGTGTTATTTATTATTTATGTTATTGAAGAAAATGATACGAACCATAATATCAAGGCTAATACTATGAATGAGTCCGCTAGAGAACAACATAGATTGAACATGTTAAATAAAGCCAAACAACAGGTTTTAAATTTGATCAAATTGACCAAATTACAAATTCATGTAGTGATTGAAATAATCCATCATCCAATCCCTAGACATTTGATATTAGAAATTATCGATAATCTACAACCAACATTGGTAATTGTTGGATCTAAAGGTCAAAGTGCCATTAAAGGTGTTTTGTTAGGTTCATTATCTAATTATTTAGTTACAAAACTGTCAGTACCGGTAATGGTAGTAAGAGAGAAATTAAAGAAGATTAATCGTTTCAAAAATGGTTCTTCGGTGTTTTCTAATAATATTAAACCTTTGACTTTATCTGAAGCCAGAGTTGATTAGTCATGAATGTATGTATTTGCTCCTATCCCTATAGAAACCCTTTCCCTAAAAATACAATTCTGTGAATACGTTTTTACCTCGAAATCTAGTATTACATTCTGTAGCAATACAATGATTTGGTGCATAAACATTAGGATTATCGATATCAAGAGGTTGACCTCTTTTAATCCTTGGTCGATTACCAATATTCTTGATACATCGTCCACAATATAAATGTCCACATTTAGCTATGAATACTCTTTTACTTAAATCTTTGTCAGTATCAGTTAATTGTTTGAAACAAAACCATGGAGCCAAACAATTATTTTCAGCACTATGAATCAGTAATTTTTTACCATACTTTATGTCAGGTTTGAAATCTTCAGGGATTCCTTCACCTAATGTTATTCCACATAGTTCACATCCAATATTATCATCATGACTTATAGCTGATTTATACCCTTGAACTTCTCGTTTGATACCTTCCCTTTTTTCTTTCACTATAGATCGATTATATTGATTCTCGTCTCGCAACTTTCTATCGATTATTTGTTCATTATCACGATCTATCCTTTCCATAATACGTTCCGTAGTGAAATCTTCTTGATTAGTGAATTCAAAAGGATTGTTAAATCCGAAAACTTCAAATATTGATCCTTCTGATGGTGGGAAATATCCTGTAGCTTCATCATAATCGGGGTCATCAGACGACGTCCCTATATCTTCATTGGAGAATATTCGATTCAAATCTATTATGGTGTGACCTCTTCTTTCACGGGCTGCTTGTCCTTGACGGAACAAACTAAGCATTCTACTAATGGGATTTAAATTACGATTTTCAAATTGTGCCATAACATGTTGTCTAGTTCTACGATTTGGTTGGGGAATTTGATGTCTTCGCCCTGTTCTGGGGTTAGGATTTGATCTATTGACTGATCTATTGATTGATCCCACGATTCGTAATCCATCATCTTCATTACCAGTTTCATTTACAGGTCCATGATCCTCCACTATCAAGGGACTAGAGGTGGTGCCAACATTTCTTTCTTCCAATATCTGGAGATCGTCGTCTTCTTCAACCTCATTTGGTCGATATCGTACTCTTCTTTCATCTCCTTCACTATCTCTTCGCCTTCTGTTGTTCGAGTTTATCTGTCTCAAGTTATCATTATCATTATCGTGGGTAGTGTTGGTGGGGTTTGAATGCTGGGTGTTTGTATTGGATCCTGGTGGTATCCCTGAACTATCATCATCTGAATCTATTAGTATAACTTCGTTATCCATCTTCTCCCTAACGTGGTGGTTGCCTTCAGTTATCGCACAAACTCAAACAGGATCATCAAGATGAGAGTGCGAGGGGTCTACCCGAGGAATGGTGGTAATGAAGCCGGACGTACCACAGATTTTTTGCTGGAAATGAACTGAGAGCTTTAGTATTCAGCTACTTGTGGATCCCTTACATCCTGATTTAAGGGATTCGATTCATGAACACTCGAGCTAGGGAATACTTTGAGAAACCTTCATATCTCCCTATACAATAAGAACATTCCGTTGTTCACCTAACGACCGACAACGTTCGACGACAGGAGATCAACTACAGGAGATCAACGACAGGAGATCAACCAAGGGGGTCAACTCTAAACTGTCATCCGATGAAAATACAGGGTCTTGAAGGTTCAAGGTTCTGAGAATTTGAATTTTCAAAGTGATACTCAAACCTTATCACTTGACTGCAAAATGTTGCCCCACCAGTCCGCTGGTAATGTTCCCAATGTAATCTGTGTTACCAATAGGTCAACTTTCTTGGCAAAACTTAACGAAGAGAGAAAAACTGAACGGTTCCTCTAGACCAAGGGCTGCTTTTCATGCAAGCGTATGCACATCTTCGACATTAGGGTTCCAATACTGGCTCTTGAAACTCAACTACCATTTGGATGTAAGTCCTAATACCTTTCAAATAAACACTTCCATGATGGGTATGTGTATATATGTTTCATGCATATTTCGGCACGTGATCAAAGTTCTAGACAGTTGGTGAGAATTGGCTGCAAAAATTATCCACAAAGAAAAGTTCACAGATTTAATCATGCAACGAAATGTCGAACAAGTAACCAATCGAAGAGCATCTTCATTTGGAGGCGCTTTTTTGTCCATAATTAGGGATCAAATTCAAATTATGCTTGCTGAAGATCCATTAATTTCAGAAGAAAAACAGAGATTTTTAGAAGAAACGGAAAGAATGATTAGGGAAGTCCTCAACAACAATCAGCCATACACGGCTGTAATTGAGAGATTACAAAGATTGGAAGATGAATTCCCTAGAATCAGAAGTGCTATGGATGGATTCAGAAGATCACAAGATGAACTCAGAAGTACTGTGGAAGAATTCAGAACAAGTATTGTGGAAGAATTCAGAAGGTCACAAAACGAAATTCGTGCTAGTTTGGGTGCTCTTGAAGATAAAGTATCTGGTCAAGTAACTGAATTAAAAGCAGATTTCACTGAATTAAAAGCAGATTTCACTGAATTAAAAGCAGATAACACTGAATTGAAAGCCGAAGTTTACAAAATCACAAATTTCATCGAAGACTCTGGAAATTCGTGGAGAAGAAGATCAACTCTTATCATCTGGAACGCAAATGGATTCGAATCCAACTACCCAAGAACTTTAATTGCCCTCCAAAATCTGAGTTTAGATGACATTAATGTCATCTTGCGTCAGTATGGAGTTCCAACTGGAGAAACTCGTAGAAGGACCAAGCGGGTAAAATTAAGAATCCTTGAAAGATTCTATCGTGAGGCATGAGGATACATTGTACTTCATCTGTTGATGTGGGCTGTTTATGCAGGCTTTCTATACACGTCCTTCTAACTCTAAAATCTCTGATATGGAAGCTCTAACATACACTGTAAATCATTTGTGGATCTCCCACATCAGTGGTGATGGCTGATGTAAACAGATATTAAGAAACTTGTCGAACGATTAGCTTCTCGATCCAGAGTTCAAATCAGAGTTCAAATCAGAGTTCAAATCAGATTTCAAATCAGGGTTTAGTATCCATCGCTCTATCCATTAATTTACAACTATTTTTTTAAACCACTTCTCATGTAACGACCAACGACAACACAATGGTCTCTTTCATAAGGTTCTAAAGTTAATTGTTCTAAAGGTTTGATTCTTTCTTCTCTTAATTTTTGAACTTCTCTAGCGAAAACAGTTTCAGCATCAACAGTTGAATCAATACAATTAGCTTTAATAGAAATAACAACTAAACCTTGATCTTTTAAGAATAAATGGGAGTTTAATGCAATAATTCTGGCTTGATCAGGTTGAGCTACATCAGCGAAAACACAATCAACCATAGAAACTAACATTCTGTATTTTTGAGGATGACGAGCATCATCAATGATTGGAATAACATTAGGTCTCTTTTTAGCCATACCGATTAATTCTCTACCTGGTCTGTGAGAAAATTCAACAGCATAAACAATACCTTCTGGTCCAACAACATCAGCAACATGAGAAACTGAAGTACCGGAAGCGGCACCCAAATATAAAACTTTTTTACCTGGAGCAATACCTAATTCATCAATACCACCCATAATACCAGCAGCCAATTTAGATCTGAAAGGATTCCAAACACGGTATTCAATCTTAGTTGGTAATTCACCTTCAGCTTTAGCTGGTTCTTCAACACTGATTCTCTTTTCACCATAAACTGATTCACCTGGAGCGATATTTTTGGTAACTAATAAATCTTCTTTACCTCTGGCAATGAAGACACCAGCATGTCTATGAGGTTCAATAACAACTTTAGCACCTCCTCTGGCACCTCCTCTAGCTCCACCTCTACCACCTCTGGCTCCACCTCTTGGACCTCCTCTACCACCTCCTCTAGCTCCACCGAATCCACCTCTGGATCCTCCTCTACCACCACCGAAGCCTCCTCTGGCTCCTCCACGGCCTCCACCGAATCCTCCTCTTGAACCACCTCTTCCACCTCTGGATGGTCCTCCTCTACCTCTTGGTGCACCAAATGCCATTATTAATATATATTTTTTGTTTTGGTTATATAAATTGACTAGTTAAGTCTTGAAAACTTTTCTCGATGGGATAAAATTTTTTTTTAATGAGCTCGTCCGGGTAATGCGAATTTTGGGGTTTGCTTACGTAAAGGTGCGTTTGAGCTTTTATATAGTATGAGAGATATTTAGCTGATAATAAAGTGAGTTTCAAGAAGAACATCAGGACATAAATGGGTTTATATTAACGCTTGTAATTAGAAGTTTATATGGTGTGATTGATACTCTTGAAGAATGGGTGAAAAGAAAGTTATAGACAAAATACTCTTGAAAATATGTAAAATTGATCTATTTTCACTTATTGTGGACCACCCAAAGGGTAAAACCTCTACTTAGTTCTACAGTATCCTCTTTAAATTGGTATATTCCATCTAGTACAACTTTCATGTCCATTGACTAATAAATTGTTGGTAAAATGGGGATTATCTGAAAAACCAGTGATGAGCTGTGTGCGGCTCATTAAAATACAGGAACAGTATTCTTATCAGTTAACGATAAGAATGGTCTTGTTTGAGCGCATATTTGAGGTGTATTGTGATGGTGGATGGTATTAAAGATCTTCGGGAACTGAAAGGAGGTGAAAACCCAACACGATTTTTTTTCGTTATTTAATTGTGAATTTTACAGATTTAACGAAGAAATTGAACTCTGTGAATCAAAAAAAAAATGATAAATATAATAGACAAGTGGTGGAAGAGGTCTGTTATTGAGTTTTACAGGAGGAAGCAATTGTAGAAATGCAGAAAATATATGGGCCATCATTCATGGCAAATACCAAATAGATCCCACAATCCCAAACCACCAACGACGTCTTCCCCTAAATCTCTTGATGTACTCTAAACACACACCAAAAGACCCCGAAACACCCATAATACACGAAATCATCCACCACATCTCATGTCTGCATTTTGTTCAATTTCTCTTCCCAGAACCTCTTATCCCCTTCTTTATCAATGCGGAGATCTTATCTTGCATAACTACACGACTCTTCCATACCCATAAACTCAAGCCCAACCCACTGGAATGTACCCGTCATCTCTTTGTCCCACAAATTGGTCCCTGAATCTCATATTGTGACGTTTTTCGTTCCAATAGGCGGGAAAAACTTTATTCACTCCGTTTAAAGCCAGTCCACCAGTTGGTCTCGCAAAACCCACAAAAAAGTACCACATTATTTCCCTTTCAATTTTTACCTTCATTTCACTTCAATAAACAATTGCATGTCATGGCGGTACAATCAAACGTCTACCTTTTAATCCTTGTTGCTGGTACTGTGTTCACTGGATGTCTTAATTCCCTTTTTACTAAATATCAAGACAATCAATGTGTTAAAAATTGTGATAACCCAGATTTATCTACTCATAAACTATTTGAACAACCTGCTTTACAAACCTTACAAATGTTCATTGGTGAGATGGGTTGTTTCATTGTATATTATTTGATTTTCAGAACCAAGTTGTTCCAAAAAGAACAAGAATATACTGCTATTGGAGGAACACCTAAAATCACCTTCAAAGAGAGTTTCAAATTAGCTGTTCCTGCTATCTGTGACTTATTGGGAACCACTTTGTTGAACATCGGTTTAATGTATACTCCGGTATCGGTGTATCAAATGATGAGAGGTTCTATTGTGTTGTTTGTTGCCTTTTTATCAGTTATATTCTTAAAACGTAAAATCACTAAATTGGAATGGATTGAATTGATCATAATTTCCTTAGGTATTGCAATCGTTGGATTAGCTGGATCAAAAGGTCAAAGTGGTCCTATTGAAAAGGAAAGTTTGGTTGTACTTGGAATTGTGTTAATCGTTATTGCTGAATTCTCTCAAGCTTTTCAATTTGTGGTTGAAGAACATATTTTCTCCAAACAGCCCATCATTCCATTACAATTGGTCTACTACGAAGGTTTCTATGGTAGTGTCATCTTGATGGTAGCTTTAGTTATTTTGAATTTCGTCATTGGATCAACATCTTCACCAGAGGAGTTCTATAATTCACCTTTCAACTTGTCAGAATCCTTTAAAGAGATGTTCTCATCACAAGCAGTGTTACTCTCTTCTGTGGCCATCATGGTATCAATTGCTTCGTTCAATTACTTTGGTATTTCCTTGACTTTCCACTTATCAGCCACTGCCAGATCAACTATAGATTCTTGTAGAACCTTATTGGTATGGCTTTTTGCTTTGTTATTAGGATGGGAATCTTTTAGTTTCTTACAATTATCAGGATTCATATTGTTAGTGTTTGGAACTTTATGTTTCAATCAAGCTTTGAAACCTGAAGAATGGAGCTGGATTCCTGCATCCTTGAAATCTCCCCCTCATCCTGCTTTAATTGACGAACTAGATGAACCATTAGAGAGATCTTAGTAAATATACGTCTTCATCAATGATTCTGAACATAGCAAATACCCAGGTATAAACAGGTCTTTAAACCTACATCACGTGATATAAATCACGTGAACTCCTCGCACATAAAAATCTCAACCTCAATCTCAAATCGCCACTAAACATAATGGTATGTCAGAACAAATCACACTCTACATCAAAACAATTACTAACTTTTAAAGTCATTAAGATTAGTTCCAGATAGTAATTTTAGTGCCACCATCAACCCAACTGAGTTTGGAGAAAAAGCTGCCCATGCTCCAGGATTACAAGATGTGTTAAGAAATCAAGAAGGACCAGCCAATTTAGCATCTAAAATTAACAATCGTCATCCATTAGAAGGAAGAGTACAAAATTGGGATGCCAATGAACAAAATACCAGAATGGAAAGTTACAGAAGAATCTTTGGTGCTGGGGAACCAATTAAAAGAACCATGGAATTAAAAATCATTGATGATTTAGAATTCAGACCAAGTATTATGGGAGCCTCAAGTGATTTACATAAAGATATCTTGTTAAATAAAGATGCTTCAGTTGACTGGGAAGATGTTTACAAACATGATATTAATGATGGATATAATGCTAAAGATTTCCATAGTGAGATGGAAAAGAAAATGGGTATATAGAATAATGTAGATGTACTGTTGTGTCAAGAGCCCTCTTATCAATCTCTTACTCCCCAAAGTTCCCCCAGGTCCCTAGGAGTGTGATTTTTTTTTACAACCGATCGGCATCAATATGGCTTACTCCACATTCTCATTTTTATCCGATCGTCAAAATTTATCAATGTCCTTACCAAAGACTCAAGTAGGTTATGGCTACGTTGATGGAGCCACAGAAATCGTTAAGTTCAATGACTTGCCAGTACCAATTCCTCAAGGAAAACAAGTATTACTAAAAATTGAAGCAGCCGGTTTATGTCATAGTGATATAAACATTTTAGGATTACCAAATGCCTTTAGTGATAAGTTTGTAATGGGCCATGAAATTGCTGGACAAATTGCTATGGTTGGAGATGATTTGAAAGATTCAGAGGTTTTTCAAGAAGGTAAACGTTTTTGTGTTACGATTGTTAAACCTTGTGAAATCTGTAAACCATGTCGTCAAGGGATTGAAAATGGGTGTGTTACTAGAATGGGATATGGTATTAATTCCGATGGTGGATTCCAAGAATATCTATTGATTGATAATATCAAAACATTGATACCTATTCCTGATAATGTTAGTTATGCTGAAGCAGCTGTTGCCACCGATTCAGTGTTAACTCCATATCATGCGATTTCCAAGGTCCAAAGTGATATGAAACCCACATCTAAAGTATTGATAATCGGTGCGGGAGGTTTAGGATTGAATGCTCTTCAAATCGTTAAAAACTACGGATGTCATGTTGTAGTTACCGATAAAAAGGCTGAACTTGGTGAGAAAGCTTTGAAATTAGGTGCTGATGAATTCATTCATGATTTGAATACTACCTTTGACCATGAACCTGAATCATTTGATGTCATTTTTGATTTCTGTGGTTATAGAACTACTTTTGAGCTAGCACAAAAGTTTGTTGCCACTGGAGGTAAAATTGTTATGATTGGTTTAGGTAATTATAAGCTTCAATTAAGAAATTTCGATATGGCAACAAGAAGTGTTACATTGTTCTTCAATTTTGGTGGAGTTGGACGTGAACAAGAAGAATGTTTAAGGTGGATTGAGAAAGGAATTGTTAAACCTGCAATTAAAATGGCTCCATTACATGAATTACCTCTCTATATGAAACGTATAAATGAAGGTAAGGTTGAAGGTAGAATAGTTTTCAAGCCTAAATTATAATGTTTTTGCACCCAATGTCGCGATCTCTAACTTTCCTCTCTCCGTGAATCGCTTTTTTCCAATACTCAACTACAAAGTGAAAAATGGCAAAGAAAGGAGGTGAAAACCTGAAGAAAGCTGCTGGTAATGCCAGAAAAGCAGATCAAGCTAATAAGAAGAAACAAGAAGCTTTTGCTGCTGCCGAGGCTGAAGAAGCTTCCAAATGGGATCAAGGTTCAAAGAAAGGTAATAAGAAGAAAGAAGATGAACAATTCAAGAAGGAAGAAGCTGCTAGAAAGAAAGCTGAAAGAGAAGCTTTATTAAAAGCCGAAGAAGAATCCATGCCATCAAAACCTGCTAATAACAAGAAGAGAGGTGCTGAAAAGATAGCAGCTAAAAGAACAGGTAAAATTGATGATTTCCTCGATTTTAATAGTGAAAAACCTGAATTGAAAGCTTCTGGTATTGACAATGCTTTGGAAGCTTTAACTTTAGCTACTCAACAAGATGGTGGTATTCAACATAAAGATTTCGATAAACATCCTGAAAGAAGAGTTAAAGCAGCTTATTTGGAATTTGAAAACAGAAGATTACCTGAAGTTAGAAAAGAAAATCCTGGTTTAAGATTACAACAAATCAAGAATTTATTACACAAAGAATTCACCAAATCACCAGAAAATCCAATGAATCAAGATACTAATGTTTCTTACAATACAAGTGCTAAAGAAATAGCTGAAAAGAAGAAGGAAGTTAAAGAACAAAGAGAGAAGAAGTTTACATAAATATACGATGACCTCCCTAGACTCTCCATTCGTTTAAGAATCTCTAATTCTTCTAGATTATCTACTTTTACAATTCCTATCGTCATAAACTCTATAAATCTACAATTCCTGGCGTCATGAACTCTTTTACAAAAAACTTCCTTTTATGGATAGCCATTTTTGTAGCAGGCTAGTGAAATCTGAGGGAATCTCATTTTATATATATGAAAAATCGGTCGTGCACATGCCCAAAAACCGACATCTTCAAAACACTTAAATAGTCTCAGGAATTCCCTTGGATAGATTTCGTGACAAGATCATCACACCCGTACACCCGATTGGAAAGAAAAGTTTTTCCATTCAAACTAGAGATTGTGGCTAATAAAAGCCAATAAAAGAATAACAAATGTCGAGGTTGGATAGATTGGTGGTGTTGTTGGAAACAGGATCCACTCCTTTTATACGAAATACAGCAGCTGACCAATTATCAGATTTGGCTAAAGGACACCCAGAAGATACTTTAAACTTATTAGGAAGAGTTTATCCTTTCTTAAAGAGTCCTAAATGGGAAACCAGAGTTGCAGCAGCTCGTGCTTTTGGGAATATTGTCAATCATTCCCCTATTTGGGAACCCAATGGAGATAATGAGAATGATGATACTCCTATTAAAGACGAAGATATCCCCATGAAAGATGAAAATGGTGAAGAAATTAAGGTAAAGACTGAAGATTTTGATGAGTTCAAACTCGAACAAGATAAAGAATTAGCTAAAATTAATGAAAATTTAGTTAATTTAGTAAATTTCAATAATTGGGATTTGATTGAGATCTTAAAGAGCAACAAAAAACTTCTTGCTTCTAATATTAATGATATTAATGACTCATTTATCAATCATGACGACTCAATTGATGATGAAATAAATCCTGGAGGTTTATCGTTATTGAGTAAATTCAAACGTCATAAGACCAATAATTCCATCAAAAGTGAGGTTGATGAAATCAAGCAAGAAATTAAAAGAGAAGCTAAATCCGAGATCAAAGAAGAAGTCAAGGTGGAGGAAAAACCTATTAAGGAAGTCTCGGCTGCTAGTAATGCTAGATTGAAAGCTATGCAAAAAAGAAGAGCCAAAGCTAATGCTAAAGCAGGATTTAAGAATAAACAACCAATAGATTTAAGTCAAAGTTCCATATCTACTAAAATGATGCAAGACCCCAATAACTTGACAGAAGTCAAGGAAGAAGTCAGTTTCGATATAACGTCACAACAAGGAGGTGAAAAATTGGTATTAGAGACCAAAGTAGCTGAATTATCTCCTATTTTGAATCAACATTCCAAAGTTGCTGGATTAGTATGGCAATTTCAAGGAGTTTTCGAATTGTTAGTTGATGATTTATTCGATGATAAATGGGAAATAAGACATGGTGCTTGTCTTGGGATAAGAGAATTAATCAAAAAACATGGGAAATCTGCTGGGAAAATTAAGACCAACACCAAAGCAGAAAATACCAAAAACAATAGTGCCATTTTAGAAGATTTGGCTGTAAGATTATGTACATTATTTGCATTGGATAGATTTGGTGATTATGTTTCCGATACTGTGGTTGCACCAGTTAGAGAAAGTGGTGCTCAAGCATTAGCTGCATTATTGATTCATTTAGATGAAGATGTTCTTTTAAAGACTTTCAGAGCTTTGAATAAGTTAGTATTACAAGAAGGTTATTTCCCCAAATGTTGGGAAGCTAAACATGGGGGAATGTTGGGAGTCAGATATTTCGTTAGTGTAAGGACTGAGATATTAACATCCAAACCAGAATTGATCAATGATGTTGTTTCAATGGTTTTGAATGGTTTGGAAGAAAGTGATGACGATGATGTTCAGCTGGTATCGGCGTTGACATTAACTCCTTTGGTCAATGAGTTCATTACTTATAAAAGAGAATTAATCCAAGTTCTTTTAAAAACCATCTGGGATTGTTTAGTTAACTTGAGAGACGATTTATCTGCATCTATAGGATCAGTGATGGATTTGTTATCTAAATTATCCACCCATCAAGAAGTTATTGATATCATGGAGAAACAAGCGGTGAGTGATTCAAATTCAAGTTTCGAAAACTTAGTTCCTAGATTATACCCATTTTTAAGACATTCCATCGCCAACGTTAGGAAATCCGTATTGAAGACCATCTTGGAATTCTTATCCATAAATAACCCTAACACCAAAACTTGGATCAATGACAAAACCTTGAGGTTAATATTTCAAAATATGTTGGTGGAACAAAATGAGGAAGTATTGAGATTATCATCAACAGTGTACAGTAAGATCGTAGAAGAGATCAATAGCAATGAGTTGCTTAATATCGATGAAATATTCACTCCAAACTTCGCTCCATTATTGACTTTAGTCATGACTCCTATTGGTATTGCTAGACATAATTATAGGATGAAAACCAATTTAATCATGAGACCTTCAGGTAAAATGGTTACCAACGGCTATGATAGTAATGGTAATTCACGTAGAAATTCAATTTCTGACTATGAAGAAGAGCCAGTTAATGGAAGGAAAAAGCGGAAAAATTCCACAGAAAAACCAGAAATTCCACTTCTTGATCTCAAGGTTAATATTGATACTCCTATATTCAATGGGGACGTGTTATTGGTGGGTTATGATGTGTTCATAAGAACAAGAACAGCTTCAGCTAAAGCTTTTGGTGAGACTTTGTCCATAATAGGAAATCATTCTCTTCTCACAGGGTTCTTAACCAACATCCATAACTATTTCAAATCCAACCATTCGGCCCCTCGATTATATTCTGCTATCATCATTCAAGAATATTGTCACCATGTGAACACCAAGAAGATGGAAATACCATCAATGATCAAAGAATTATATATGAACGATGTGATGAAAATTTTAACCGAACCTGAAACCTTACCTCATTATAGGGAATTAGTACCGACTTTGAAAGTATTAAGAAGTAATTGTGTACAATTATTTGATGTTTTCATCAACCAAGCTAAAGTTTCTCCCAACAAGATTCCTCAATTACCTATTATCGTTCAAGGAGAAGCTGAAGCTGGACCTAATGCTTTCGGAGTTGAAAATGCCGAAAAACTTGTTAACGAAACTTACAATAAATTGTTGAAGAACTTATCACCTACCTACAAGATGACATCAATTAAGGCTTTAGAAGATGCTAAGACCAATATTCTTTCATCTATTGAAGATTGTAAGAATACTAAAAATTCCCGTACTTTTGGAATTTTATCAACCTATGCTTCTATTGTATTAGAAGTTGATGGTATACCGAAGAAATTGAATCCTATAATCCGTTCATTCATGGACAGTATCAAGAATGAGGAATCAAGGTTATTACAATTAAGATCAGCTTCATCGATTTCTCAATTAGTAGAGAAATTATATGAATTACAAAAGAATAATGTTGGTGATAAGATCATTAAGAACTTGTGTGGATTTTTATGTGTTGACACTTCTGAAGTTCCTGAGTTCCATCATAATGTTCAATTCACCACTAACGTTTTGAGTTTAAGAAAAGAAGAAGCCAAAACCGATCCAGTAGATATCGCTACTCATGAAAAGGCTGTTCATGAAGCTAAGATCAAAAGACAAGGTGCTTTATTATCATTTGAATGTTTGTTGAAGACTTATCAAGAGAATTTATTCAAAGATATTCCAAAGTTGAAAGAATTGATCTTTGAACCTTTGAAATCCCTTACTAAACCAGTGGAAGAATTAACAAACGATGAATCCATAGGTCAAAGTATTGTTGATGCTTTAGGTATATTACGTGCTTTATTACCTCGTATGAATGAAAGTCTTTATAATGAAGTTACTGATAATTTAAGTTTATTATTACCAGGATTCACCTCGGAGTTATCAGTGTTCCGTTATTCTACTGCCAAATGTTTTGCTACTATTGCATCTATTTGTCCAATTGAAGGTTTCACTTTCTTGATAAAATCAATCTTGCCTATGTTAAGTAATGCTGGAGATTTGAAGGAAAGACAAGGTGCTATTGAAACCATCTATCATTTATCAAGTACCATGGGGTCAGATATTTTACCTTATGTGGTATTCTTGATTGTTCCAGTATTAGGTAGAATGAGTGATTCTGATGGTGATGTTAGAATCTTAGCTACTACTACATTTGCTTCAATCATTAAATTAGTACCTTTAGAAGCTGGTATACCTGATCCTCCAAATATGCCACAAGAATTATTAGAAGGAAGAGATCGTGAAAGAGATTTCATTCAACAAATGATGGATCCTACTAAAATCCAACCTTTTGATTTACCTGTTTCCATTAAAGCTACTTTAAGAAAGTATCAACAAGATGGAGTTAATTGGTTACATTTCTTAAATAAATATCATCTTCATGGTATTTTATGTGATGATATGGGATTAGGTAAGACCTTACAAACCATCTGTATAGTATCATCAGATCATTATTTGAGAGATAAGAAATTCACCGAAACTCAACTGGTTGAATTCAGAAAATTACCTTCATTAGTGGTTTGTCCTCCATCAGTTACTGGTCATTGGGAACAAGAAATCAATCAATATTCTCCTTTCTTGAAAGTCTTGGTGTACGTTGGAGGTCCAAGTATAAGATCAACTTTAAGAGAACAATTAGATAAAGTCGATATTGTGGTGACATCTTATGATGTTTGTAGAAACGATGTGGAGATCTTGGGTAATCAGAACTTCAATTATTGTGTTTTAGATGAAGGTCATATTATCAAGAATTCTAATTCCAAACTTACTAAATCAGTCAAGAAGATCAAAGCCGAACATAGATTGATTTTGTCCGGTACACCAATTCAAAACAATGTGTTAGAATTATGGTCATTATTTGATTTCTTAATGCCAGGATTTTTAGGTACTGAGAAAGTATTCAATGATAAGTTTGCTAAACCAATTGCTGCCAGTAGGAATAGTAAAACCTCATCACGTGAACAAGAATTAGGAGCTTTAGCTTTGGAATCTTTACATAAACAAGTTTTACCTTTCATGTTGAGAAGATTGAAAGAAGATGTGTTATCAGACTTACCACCTAAAATCATTCAAGATTACTATTGTGATTTATCCCCATTACAAAAACAACTTTATAAAGATTTTGCCAACAAACAAAAATCTACAATTGAAAAAGGGATCAGTGAAGGGATCAGTGATGAAAGTCAAGAGAACAAAACTCATGTTTTCCAAGCTTTACAATATATGAGGAAATTATGTAATCATCCATCATTAGTATTAACAGCCAAACATCCTAAATATAATGAAGTAGTGACAGATTTGAAAGCTAAAAATTCATCCATCACTAATATTGAACATTCACCAAAGTTAGTTTCATTGAAGAACTTGTTATTGGAATGTGGTATTGGTGTTAATGATTCAGAATTAGCTACCAAGAAGAAAAAAGATCAACTCATCACCAGTGAAGGGGTGATTTCTGAACACAGAGCTTTAATCTTTTGCCAGTTAAAAGATATGTTGGATATTGTTGAAAATGATTTATTAAAGAAATATCTTCCTTCAGTAACATATATGAGATTAGACGGATCCACTGATCCAAGAGACCGTCAAAAAATTGTAAGGAAATTCAATGAAGATCCATCAATTGATCTTCTTTTGTTAACCACCAAAGTAGGTGGTTTAGGTTTAAATTTAACTGGGGCTGATACAGTTATCTTTGTGGAACATGATTGGAATCCAATGAATGATCTTCAAGCCATGGATCGTGCCCATAGATTGGGACAGAAGAAAGTCGTCAATGTCTATAGATTGATTACATCCAATACTTTGGAGGAAAAAATCATGGGATTGCAGAAATTCAAGATGAATATCGCATCAACGATTGTTAATCAACAAAATGTCGGGTTGACATCAATGGATACTAATCAATTATTAGATTTATTTGATGTTGATGAGAATAGTAATAAGTTAGTTGAAGAACCTGAAGAAGATAAAAAAGATGATGATGTTTCTAAAGATGTGGGATTAACAGGTAAAGCTGCTGAAGCTGTAGGAGAATTAGGTGATTTATGGGATGAAAATCAATATGAAGAAGAATTCAATTTGGATAACTTCATCAAAACCCTTAAATAGACATGTACATATAATTTTCGCGAAGACCTATAAAAAAAATCTCTAGAGATACATCACCAAACGATCTATCAAAGAAAGACGGAGAGACTCAAAAGATTTCTTGGAAATGGATAAGAGATTGGAAGTGTTGGAGGAAGATGCCGAGGAAAGTTATAGATACTTGGTATCGGACGAAAAATCTTCAACTTTAAGAGGACCTGAGAAATTAACTGACAGGAAAGAAGTGAATGATAAGCAACCAGCTAAATGGGTTCATTTCATTGCTGGAGGGATTGGTGGTATGACAGGAGCCATATTAACAAGTCCTTTGGATGTGGTGAAAACAAGATTACAATCAGATGTTTACAATAAGATGTATAATCAAACACCTAAATCATCTAACCCTATAATTAAGTCATTACAACATTTTAAAGAAACTGGAAGTGTTTTAAGAGGTTTGTACACCAACGAAGGATTCAGAGCATTATTTAAAGGGTTAGGTCCAAATTTAGTAGGGGTAATACCAGCTAGGTCGATTAATTTCTTTACTTATAGTTCAACTAAAGAAATCATCTCATCGAATTTTAATAATAACCAAGAAGCAACTTGGATTCATTTATTATCAGGTATAAGTGCTGGATTCGTAACATCTACTGCCACCAATCCTATTTGGTTGATCAAAACAAGATTACAATTAGATAAATCAAAAGGAAAGAATTATAAAAGTTCTTGGGATTGTCTCAAATATGTAGTTAAAACCGAAGGAGTTGGAAGTTTATATAAAGGGTTAACTGCATCATATTTAGGAGGTGTAGAATCAACCTTACAATGGGTACTTTACGAACAAATGAAAACATTCATAAATAATAGAGCTATAAGCAAAGAAAATAAAACCACTAAAGATCATATTTTAGAATGGTCAGCAAGATCTGGAGCTGCAGGAGCTGCCAAATTCATAGCTTCTTTGATAACATATCCTCATGAAGTGGTGAGAACCAGATTGAGACAAGCTCCTTTAGAATCTACTGGAAAGCCAAAATACACTGGGTTAATTCAAACTTTTAGATTGGTGTTCAAGGAAGAGGGTATGGCAAGTATGTATGGAGGTTTAACTCCTCATTTATTGAGAACAGTACCAAATTCCATCATAATGTTCGGTACTTGGGAGATAGTAGTTAGATTGTTGTCTTAGGGGTAGAGATAGATCTTGTAAATATTCTTGTATATAATGTACACTTAGTTGTTCTGGGTCTCCTTATCTCTCATTGGAAGTTGACGTAAACTTCGAGATGCAAGACTTCACATATAGCAGACCTCACATATAGTAGACCTCACATATAGCAGACCTCTCAGGTCTTTGGTCTCTTGGTCAGATCAGAACTTACAGAGATCTCAGTATTGAAATTCACTCTTTTATAGAATCTAGGTGGTTCCAGTGATGGAGGTCGTATTTTCAATTTCTCCATTAATGGGTCGGCTTCATAAGTCGTCCTATGTTTCAAAGGCTTCACAACATTATCCAATGAAGTTACCAATTGATACGACAAGTTCTTAGCATCAGGAACAAGACCTAAAGGATTAAGTTCAGGATTATAGTACACAGATTTAGGTCCATGATTTTGAGTTCTAAAAGCTTCTTCCTCCTCATGTTTCCTCTTGACTCCTTCAAGGTACCTCTCAACCTTCTCCTTATGTAACCCATGTTTCAAAATAAAGTCCCATTCACTTTGAAGGGCCACGATCTTATCTTTCTTATTGTCCCTTTTAGCAGCCATTAACCTTTCATAAATACCAATAGGATTGGCATCCTTCAATTTTTTCATCATAAATTCATGTTTCTGACGATGTTGAATTCTCTGTTGTTTCTTCTGATCAGCTTTCTTAAGCTCTGCTGACAAGCTGAAGTTCTTCCTGATCATCAACCTTACCCCCCGCGAAAGAAGATGAAAAAAACCTCATCGATTTCTTTATGAAAATAGTGCCAAAACTAAGTTTCATAGCGATAATAGTTAGTGGGATATATATTTTCAAGTTGTTCACTATCAAATCCTTTCCTTTAAAAGTTACCTCCACAGTTTCATTAATTTTTTTAGCGGCTTTCTTGTATTATAAACCTTCATTATCATTAATTGAAAAGTTAAACACTTTATTACCCATGAATAGTTTTTTAAATAAACGAAGATTTGGGAGAAGAAAACAAAGTAAAGAGGCCAAGTTTGCTTTAAAAAATGGTGGTGAACTTGGAGGTATCAGTAATGATGGAAATACATGTTTTATGAATTCTGTCATTCAATCTTTAGCATCATCCACAGAATTGATGAAATTTATTGATAGTTATTTATATGAAGAAATAGATTCTATGGTTGACCAGAGATCAGTGAAACGTGTAAATCCTAATCTTGTGTTTACAAATAGTTTAAAAACTTTATTGAATAATGTTAATGGTCAATATGGTACTAAAGGGAAAGAATTTTCCACTAGACCTTTATTGAATAAAATGCCTAATGGTCCTAAACAAAACTTCTTCTCGGGATATAATCAAGAAGATGCTCAAGAGTTCTATCAGTTGGTGATGAATATTGTAGAACGAGAATATAAAAATATATCTCATGGTGAAAAGAGTGAAAAGAGTGAAAAAAGTGGTGATGAAGATTCTGAGAAGGAAGAATTTGTTGATAGTGCATTAATAGGAAAATTCATCAGTGGATGTGAAGAGCTCGGAAAATTGGGCGACATTTACGTGCCCGCATCACAAATCAATCCTAATTTAATTGGATCGGATCATAAAGTCAAACCTTTACAATTGATAACTCCAGTTGATGGGATATCTGTTGAAAGAATTGGTTGTTTGACTTGTGGAGAAGTTGGAGGTATGAGATATTCTGTAGTTAGTGGTTTAAGTCTTAATCTTCCAAATGAGATCAGTCATTACAATACTTATGAATTATCTCAATTGTTAAAAGATTGGATATCTCCAGAGATAATTGAAGATGTCAATTGTAATAGATGTGGTTTACAACAAACCAAAAGTTTCCTAAAGGAAAAAATTGATTCCAGTAATAATGAAAAGATCATCGAACAATTCAATTCCAGATTGGAAGAGATTGAAAATGAATTATCTAAACCTTGTGTTACTGATGAAGCTTTTGAAAAACTTACCATCAAACAAATGATTAAAAAACTGAAGAAACTGAAACAAATCTTGTTGAGTAGACCTCCTCCTTTGTTAGCCATACATATAAATAGATCTGTATTTGATCCAAGAACTTATATGGTAGTTAAGAATTCAAGTAAAGTATCATTCCCATTGAAATTAGATTTATCTCCCTATGTAGGTGAACCTAAAGATATCAATATGGATGCAAGATTACCTTTCAGGAAACAAGATGAAACTTTAGATTTCCATTTGAAATTGGATGATGAAGTTGAAGATGAAGAGAAACATGAAGAATCAATGGAAATTGTTGATGAAAAAGATGATAGTTCATCAGATGAGATTAATAGTAATAAATCAGCGTCTTCTGCTTCATCATATACCAACACCAATCCCCAACTTTTGTATAATTTGAAGGCAGTGATATCTCATTATGGAACTCATAATTATGGTCATTACATTTGTTATAGAAAGTTAAGAGGTAGTTGGTGGAGAATCAGTGATGAATCTGTATATATTATCACCGAAGAAGAAGTTTTAAGTTGTCCTGGTACTTTTATGATGTTTTATGAATTTGATGATGGATCCAAAGAGGAATTAATTCCTTTAGATGACGGAGATAACAGTTCAGAAGAAGTTGAAGCTGAAGCAGAAGAAGAAGAAGAGGAAGAAGAGGAAGAAGCAGAAGAAGAATCAGGTCCAAAGTTGAATCCTGCTTTGAGAGTTCAAGACGTAGATGATCTTTATGATAGTAGTGGATTAGAAAGCGACGAAAATGAAAACACCACAAAGGATGATAATTTCAATGTAGGTGAAGAAAGAGCATTTATGTAGTTAATAGACAGATTATGTCTCTCATTATATCTCCATACTGAAACTTCCTATCGCATCGCATTTTCCTATCTCATCGCATCTTCATATCTCATCTTCACCCATCGCATTCATGAGAAAGGTAGGTAAGAGAGGTTTGGCAGGGGCTTTGGCTCGTCATAATCAAGCTGAACAAACCAAATCCAAGAAGATCAAATCCTTAGAAGCATCAATTGCAAATCAGAAGTTAAAAGATCGTTCAAAATCTAATGGTAACACCAAGACCAAGAAAGGTAAGCAAGTACATCACCAAAAAGGGTTGATCCCTTTTGATAAGGAAAGTCGACTAATGTTGATTGGAGAAGGTGATTTTTCTTTTGCTGTAAGTATAGTGAAACAAGATTATGTCAACCCGGAGTTTTTGGTGGCTACAAGTTATGATACTTTAGATCAGTTGAAAGCCAAGTACCCAAATGTTGAAGAACATCTTAAGTATCTCGAAGAAATGAAAGTCAAGGTTTTCTTTGAAATCGATGCTAATGATCTTACTGGAAGTTTCAAACTCGATAGTAAGAAGGGTAAAGCCAAAATCAAAGACGTCTTACCATCCATTGATTACATTATGTTCAACTTTCCCCATACCGGGAGAGGGATGAAGGATGTAGACAGAAACATCAGAGATCACCAGAAACTTATGGTTAATTACTTCAAGAGCTGTAGTAAGATCTTTGATCTCGTTAATGATTCTTCTAATGACGTTTTTGGAGGATATAAAGATGAGATTAATAGTAAGATCTTAATAACGTTATTTGAAGGGGAGCCTTACAATTCCTGGCAAATCAAGATGTTGGGGAGAAGTGAAAACTGGAAAGTTGACAAATCAGGGAAATTCGAATGGAGTTTGTTCCCTGAATATCATCACCGAAGAACCAATTCTGTCAAGGACACCACCAAACCAGCAAGTGAAAGAGATGCCAGGATCTATGTGTTTGAGAAGTTTAAGAAGGTTACTAAAGAGGAAAGCGATAGTGAGTAGTCGTTCTTTCCTTAGAGAAGAAAGTGGCCAGTAGTAATAAGAGTTCAAGAAGATAAAAGGAAAGTAGCGAGTCGTAAGTCGTATATGCATAAAGAAGGGTCGAAGTTAGGCCGGATAAACTCTGATACAATCTTCCATGGAAAAGATTTCTCTCGTTAAAGGATCTCTGATCTTCACGTCTCTCAATAAACTATCTTTATCGGAAAGGTATTTATCTGTAGGATTAGTCAACTTATCAAATGGATAAATATTCCCATTGGGTAACTTATAAGGATTGTTGAAGATGTTAGTGATCAATTGAGCATAAGGAAGGTTTCTACTTAATTTGAACATTTCTGGTGAACAAACAGGACAATGGTTGATTTTATTGAGTAACTTATAATAATGGTTAGGACCTCTTAACTTCTTATCGAGTAAAGTATTGGTAATGCCCAAGTTTTCTTGATTCTCATTGAAGAAGATGGTGTTCTCATAATTACAGTAACAGGATTTGGTCTTTAATGATGACAATCCTGCTGACAAGTAAATGAACAAAGGATAATTCTTCGAGATCCCGTACAATTTAGTGAAATTTTCAATGAAAACTTCAGACAAATTTGTCCACCTATCATCACTAAGAAGGTTTTCATAACTATGGAACCTTGAGGAGTTTTTGACCAAAGATGATGAAAATAACAAATCATTATCAGTTTCGTTAAGAGCTAGGAATACCAATAAACCTCCTATACTCTTCAACTTCTCAAGATTCTTGTAATAGTTGTTGATCTCATTATTGGAATAATTGGAGATATTCCCGTTCTTACTCAAATGGTTTTGTGAAAACTTTATAGCTTCATCGGTCTTACCATCTTGGATGAATGAAAGAAACTTACAATAATTGATTTCGAATTCTAGATTCAGGTTAATCTTCTTAAGGGAGTTTCTATTATCTTCAAACCACCATATCACCAATGAAAGGTCATGGTTCTCTATTATAGACACATATATCTTGTTGAAGTTCTCGAATAAGTCATAATCAATGAGTTTCATGAATTTAGGGTTGACAGCTGATAAGTTATGAAGAAGTTTCATCCCTATACTTTGTTCAGTCTTGACATTGGACTTGATAAGGTAATCTATGATGAGGATGTTGGCTTGGTCACGGTACCAATTTATGAGATTTGAGTTATGATGGTCTAAGATCTTATCGTCATGATCGGTATCGTGTGAGTGATCATCATTTTCTATGGTGAACTGACTTAATTGATTGAGATTATCAAATCTGGCAGTTAAACGGTCTCTATACTCTTTGTCTTTATCGACCACTTGCTGAAGTTTCTTCTGGAAGGTTTCAAAAGATTTGATCAATTTCCTGATCATTTCAAGTTTCATGGAGTTAGGGAGGGAAGGGTTCTTTTGAATCTTTGAAACATCGCTAGCCAATTGTTTCTTTTGTTTTTCAATGAGTTTCTGAGCTGTTTTGAAATTCTTCTTGATAAGTTCCGTAGGAACTTTGAATTGGGTGGAATTACTTTGGATATAGAAATTAACACTGGGTTCCATGGTAAATGCGAAATAAAGATTTGATTCTTATCAAGAGGGAGCAAAGTCACATGACTAGACACGTGATCAATCATGAAAAATCAGTCATGATGAATTAATGTTCAAAGTTTTATAAAATAAAAGGTAAATTGAATATGCCATAATGGCATGGGTACCTAGGGATTGGAATGGTCTAATAGGATGACCCAAACTTATCCAACTGAAACCATTCCCTCCCACTATTAGACGCATCCATACGCGTGAATTTATCCCATCGCAGATTATGCCAAATTGGTTTCAAGACAATAAATCCAAGTTAATGACACTTGAAAGTCCTAAACAAAGTGAAATACAGGTGCCAGGATCTTCGCCTATCTATTCTAAGTCGCCCACCAAGAAGTTTGAAGAAATGCCCAGTATCATGGATGAAAAAGAAAGATTACTTGAGATCAAGAGACAAGCTATCAGAAACCATAAGAACTTCCCATTAATCAGAGAAAAGTTTTATTATGTCAGTGAAAGTGATATCTTCAAAGGTTTTGTTAAAGGTAAAGGGGATTTACGTGAAGTTACAAATTGGTTAAATACAAATGTAGGTGATTTAAGTAGCCATAAGATGAAACAGCAACAGCAACTTCAGGATAAGTTGAAACAGCAGAAAGAAGATGAAATGAAAAGGAAGAGAGAGAATTTCTTGAAAGAACTTGAAGTAGATTCTGACTCTGAAGAAGATGGATCACCGGTGAAAATCAGAAATAAGGTCAAAACGATTGAAGAATCTCCTATAAAGCCATCAAATTTCTATAACAAAGAATCTATTAGTACTAAAGTTGAAGTCACTAAACCAAAGATTTCTATTCTTGATAAGTATGGGTACAAAAAGGAAACTGTCAAACCAAAGAAGAAATTAGTAAGATTATCAAGTCTTTCATCTCCTATGACAACCACTCCTGAACCTGAAGCACCTGAAGCTGATTTGGAGATTTTGGAATCAAAGATAAATTCAAAGAAATCTGTGGTTTTAGATTCCGACGATGAGTTCAGTGATATTGACGAATATGAAGAAATCAATGGATTGACTTCTATGGATGCTCAGATTTTGACGTTTTTAAATACTGCCAGTTTACAAGAAATTGTAGAAATCAGTAATTTTAAGCCAGAAACCATTGAAAAATTGATTGAAATGAGACCTTTTGATTCTATTGATGCTATCAGTGAAGAACATTTCGAAAATTACACCAAAAGACCACGAAAAATGAATGGGTTGAAGATAATTGAAAACTCAGAATCAAGTTTGAAAGGTTATAGAGCTGTAGACTCGTTGGTGAAGAAATGTAGTGAAATAGGATTGGTTATTTCCAAACAAATGGAAAAATGGGGAGTTCATGTGAATGGACATGAATTAGAAATGGTGGAGATCGAAAATCCCCAAGATATTGAAATCGATGAAGAAGATATCACTACAAAGAAGAAGTCAAACATTCATTATCTCACATCAGCCCCAGTGAATTTCTCGGAAAACTTTGAATTGAAAAATTATCAAGTTGTGGGACTTAACTGGCTTAACTTACTTTATTCTAATAACTTATCATGTATCTTAGCTGATGAAATGGGTCTTGGTAAAACTTGTCAAGTTATTGCATTTATGGCATATTTGAAATCTGTAGGTAAATCCAAAGGTCCTCATTTAGTTATTGTTCCATCATCAACTTTGGAAAATTGGTTAAGAGAATTTTCTAAATTTTGTCCCGATTTGGTAGTTCAAGCCTATTATGGAAGTCAAAGCGAAAGAGAAGAATTAAGGTATGAATTAAGATCAGTCAAATATGATGTCATGGTCACAACCTACAACTTAGCTTCTGGGTCCAGTCAAGATTTCAAATTCTTAGTTAAGAATAATTTCGATATGATAATTTACGATGAAGGTCATATGTTGAAGAATTCCAACAGTGATAGATACAATAAATTAATGAGGTTAGACGGTAAATTCAGGTTACTTTTGACAGGTACTCCATTACAAAATAACTTGAAAGAATTAATCTCATTACTTGCTTTCATGTTACCTAAATATTTCGTCAATAAGAAAGAAGACTTACAAGTAATTTTCAACCAAAAAGTTAAGACCACTGACGTCGATTCTAATTACAATCCTTTATTACAACAACAAGCTATATCCAAAGCTAAAACCATGATGTCGCCGTTCATTTTAAGAAGGAAGAAAGATCAAGTTTTGAAACATTTACCTCCTAAAATCCATAAAATCGAATATTTGCATCTTTTACCTGCACAAGAGAAAATCTATGATCACTATTTAAATCAAGGGAAGCAAAGTAAACAAACAGGTAAGAAAATGCAAGCATCTAACATCATTATGTATTTAAGAAAAGCTGCTATTCATCCATTATTATTCCGCGACATTTTCCACGATGATAAGTTGAAAGAAATGTCGCATAAGATTGTTAATGAACCAGAATATGTTGAAGCTAACAAGCAATACATTTTCGAAGACATGCAAGTGATGTCGGATTATGAATTGAACAATTTATGTATTAAATTCCCCAAAACATTATCATCATATATTTTCGACGATGAAAAATATCTTGATAGTAGTAAAGTTACCAAATTGGTAGAAATCATTAACGACATTATTGCCAAAAAGGAAAAGATTCTAGTGTTTTCATTATTCACTCAAGTTTTAGATATCTTGGAGAAGGTTATGAGTATAAAAGGATTCAAATTTGTTAGACTTGATGGTCAAACAACTGTTGAGAACCGTCAAGATATTATTGATACATTTTATGAAGATAATACTATCCCGGTATTCTTATTAAGTACTAAAGCAGGAGGGTTTGGAATTAATTTGATTGCTGCCAACAATGTTGTTATATTTGATCAATCATTCAATCCTCATGATGATAAACAAGCGGAAGATAGAGCTCATAGAGTTGGTCAAGAAAAGGATGTTAATGTCATAAAGTTAATTGTTAAAGGTACAATAGAAGAAACTATGTTGATGGTAGCTCAAAACAAATTGGCTTTGGATCAATCCATTAGTGAAAGTGATCTTGAAGCCAAAGCTGGTGATTTAGTACAGAAACTTCTCTTTGAAGACCAATCATAGAAAGATAGAAAGAAAATATATATTACGTAATATCTTACATAATCGGGCCTTATAGGATGAAAATGGTTTTAAAAAAAATAGTGCGAAAACCTCTATTAATAATGTTTAGTACTTTAAGAAGAGTTCAACCATTAAGATTGGTAAGGAGTTTATTCATTCAAACGTTGGAGACTCCCAATGAACAAGCACTTAAATTTTTACCTTCGATGAAAATTTTACCTGAAGGGACCACCAAAGAATTTTTAAGTGGAAGAGAAGCTTCAGTTTCACCATTAGCTTTAAAATTATTCACTATTGATGGTATAAGGTCAGTTATGTTTGGATCTGATTTCATAACTATTGAGAAGACAGGAGATTTACATTGGTCATTAATCAAACCGGAGATATTTTCCATTTTAACTGAATATTTAACTAATGGAACTCCAATCATCTCAGAATCTTTGCTTACTAAAGATATGGAAATCAATGATGAAGATGATGAAGTTGTTTCCATGATCAAAGAATTGATTTTCACAAGAATCAGACCTGCCATTCAAGATGATGGTGGAGATATCGAGTTTGTGAAGTTTATCGAAGATGAAGGAAAAGTTATTTTGAGATTAATGGGTGCTTGTAGAAGTTGTGATTCAAGTAGTATTACTTTAAAGAATGGAATTGAAAGTATGTTACAATATTATATCGAAGAAGTTAAGAGTGTAGAACAGTTCGAAGAAGAAGAAGGAGAAGAAGAAATAGAGATCAAATCAAAACCAATGGAGACTAACCCTCCAATTTTGTAAATATGTACATAGAATAGACATTTAACTAGGATGGAAATACGGAGGATAATATCCATACGATTGAGGGAACGGATAAAACAGATTCATGAACATAGGTTCCATTGGCATGGTCATAGATTCCATGGGGACAGGTATAAATGGCATATCCATAGGTACTGGAGGAATTTCTATGGGTTCATTATGTCTGTTTAACTTCTGTATGGCGAAACTTGTTTTAATAATTACATTGGCCCCTCCCAAGTTTATAACCTTATTGTTGGTCATCAATATGGCTTTAATACACATCTTGAACGTCTTAAAGAATACAAATCCAATTTTACCTACAGTATGATTATTTTGGGAATAATAATGAGGTTTAATGATTTTAGCAGAATTTATATCTCCGAACTTTGACCAGAATTTTGACCATATTTCATCATCATTATTGAAAATCAAAGGGAAATTGGTTACATAAATGTTCGTCTCTTGATAGTTCGTTGAAGTAAGGAACGGATTGATGATGAATTGATGAGAATTTAAGTTATTCATATTTATGGAATTGCCTGAAAGGTATTGAGGATAAAACTGATATAATAGATGATTATGTTTATGTTGAGCTATAGTTATATGGATAGTATCCTCATCCAAGGTATCAGTATCATCAATATCATCATCATCGTTAATATTTGGAACCTCACTGAAATCCATAAATTCTTGATAATTTAAATTGTTCAAGTAATATAAGATCCTGAGGTCTGAAGAATGTAGCTTTATGAACCCGAATTCCAAATCGTTATTTATAATGGGGAAATACATCGATTCTAAATGACAGAAAAGTCTAAATTTATCTAAAATTGTATTAAATGTCTTGGAAAAATCTTTATTGAATCGTTTCAAATCTCCAGGTAAGAATTTTGATAAATTGTCTATGTAAAGAATGGAATAATCATGGTCTGTGTCGTCGGCACGTTTGATTTTAGTGAATCTATTGATATTCAAAATCTCATTATTCGTAGGATGTTTGATAGTTGAGTCAAGGAAATATTCACAATCAAGGAAGTTATCAAACTTAAGAATTAAGTTGTTATGACTGTAATCTATATCCGATAAACTCTTATAAAGGGATAAATCATTGAAATATTTGATGATTTTGGATGAATCTTTCTTCTTCTCTTTACGGAAATTCTTCACAAAAAGGTAATTGGGATGGTTCAGGAAGTTGGAATAATCAAATTTGATGGGATGATGTTTCTTAGACTCCAGAGTCTTGTAGGCATCAAGAAGTTTGGGGATAATATCTGATGCAAGTTGTTTATCAAATAATTTGAGTTTTTTGGTGATGGGTAGATTATACAGTTTAAGGATGGACTTGAAAGGTTGGGTTGAAGGTAAGTTGACTACCAAAGGGAAATTGTTGAATACAAGTTCATTTATTCTCTGTAAATCAGAGGAATCTGATTGTTGGTTGATCAAGTCATTAGACTTTGGCAGTAAGTCTAAAGAATCTTCTAAATCTACACTAGTGCCTTCGGTAATTGTAGGAGAAGCCTGACGAACTCTAGGAGGTGATGGGGCCATATCAATGTCGTTGAAATCACTGTTGTTGTTGACTCCCATCAGTTTCATGGTTGATTATAAATTCTCATTTTTAGCAGCCAATTTAAAGGGGACGGAACTTTAGGGAAGCCAAAACCCGCCATTACTGTTTTTGGTAAACTCCGCCTCCTGAAGTTATGGAAGTTTTGTCACCGGATAAAATAGAGGAGTAACGGATGGAGAAGAGGGTTCGAGGCATATAGGTACCGTTTGAGGTTTTATAAGAAAGGAATGTGTGAGTTGGAGGTTTAATTTAAACGGAAGAGATAAAGGTTCCGAACAAAATGCGATCGTATTCGTAAATGGAGTGGCAAAGGCCCAGTCGACAGTGAAGCCGTTGGAGGGGAGAGTCATGTTCCAGGCGGAGCTATTAACTGTTTAGGTGTTTTTACGGAATCTTTATAGAAAGGAGGTTTTGAATTGGCAATTATTTAGGGGGTTTTAAAGTGATGTAAAATATGGACCCAGATACCGCGATGGATGGAGGTGGAAGTTATCGCTAATTTACTACCATCGCAGAACGATATCATCACCCCAAAATTTCGCATAAAAAAACCTCATCTCATCGCCATGGCTAAATCATCAAGAAAGACCAAGAGAACATGGGTTAAAAACATCGATTTAAAAGATTTGGAAGATAATTTGGAATCTCAAAGAGATAAGCAAAGATTAATTGGTGATGAATCTGAATTTTTCATCGATGAGTCCAATGAATCTATCAAAAATTTGAAGAAATTAAAATCATCAGAGATTTTGACTAACAAATCCAAAGTTCCTGCTTTATCCATTGAAAGAAATAAGAAGCCTAAGGGGAAGGTTGTTAAGAGGTTAATGGATATTGCTGGAAGAACTTCTAATACTTTAAGATTAACTGAAGAGAAATTGAATAATAAGATCGATAGTGATATTTGGGAAAGTAGTGAAGGTACTTCAGTCAAAAAACCTAAAACTATGGATGTCAAACCTTTAGCATTAGATGGACAAACTGATGATTTACATGCCGGTAAATCATACAATCCATCATTATCATCATGGAAAGATTTAATCAATTTAGAATTCGATACTGAAAAGATCAAAGAATTAAATAGACAACAATTAATTGAAAGACAAGAGATGTTAGCTCAGATGTTAGCTGAAGAAGTTGAAAGTGAAGATGAAGATGAAGAAGAAGAGGAAGAAGAACAACAACCAGAAGAAGATAAGTTCAAATTATCTCTTAATCAACCAACTAAATGGAAGAAAAAGACTAAAACTCAAAGAAATAAACAAGCCAGACATGAAAATAGAATGAAATTAGAGAATCAATTGAAAGAATTAAAACAACAAATCCACCAATTAAATCAATTAGATGAAATTAATGAAACTAATGAAAAGAAACAACCAGTTAAAGCTAAAATACAGAAGAAACCTAAGAAACTTTTTAAGTATAATACCATGGAAAAGCCTTTGGAAGTTAAGTTATCCAGTGAATTATCATCAAACTTGAAAAATTTGAAATCAGAAGGGAATTTGTTCTATTCAAGTATGGTTAATTTACAAAGTAAAGGGTTGATTGAATCCAGAATAGCTGTGGCTAAGAAGAGGAAGTATAAACCAAAGATTACTGAGAAATGGTCATATAAGGATTTTAAGTAGGTTAATAGACATTGGCAATTGGCTGAAGATACTCTGATTAGGGAGGTGATTAGCTGTGGGAAGGCGATTTGTAAGGAGGTAGAAAGGACTGAGGATATCTCTTACAAGAAGTCTTGTGAGAGAGTTTTGTGAGAACTTTCACTAAGAGACAAAGTACATAGAGGCATAAAGCGACGTAAGAGACGTACAAAGAGAGCATTACCCACAGAAATCCGAACCAGAGTCACATCCCAGTGGTAAGAAAGGACGTAATAAGAGACCTAAAGGGCGTAGTAAGAAACCTAAAGAGTCTAGTAAGAGATCCACAAGTCAGTTTTCAAAATATGCATTTATTGGAATTCCCAATTACCTGTAACATAACCTTTGTACATCCTTTCTCTCAACATAAAGAATTGATCTCTATATGGAGTGTAATATCTTTGAGTCTTTTCATCAATAGTCTTGAAATGTTCTGGAGCTACTGATTCTGATGTTTGTCCTCTAACAGTTCCTGTAAGGTTGAAATCTCTTTTCATCATCTTTTGATCAAAAGCATCTAAGTCATATCTATCGTTTTTCCATCCATTATCCCAATAACGTATGAATCCTACCCCATGTCCGGCAAGAGCAAAGAATGCTCCCATAATAGTATAAGGAATTAATCCTTCGAATGGTACTGGCATCGTTGATTACTTTTGAGAAATTCTCGCATTTTCATTTGGTGAGAAATCTACGACACATTACGACATTATGTGACATTTATCAATTTTCCTTCCCAACTGGTGTGTTTTCAAGTGAGAAAAAGTCGCGACACAGAGCGACATTAAGTGACATTTACCATGAAGAGTTACGATATTATACGACATTAAGTGACATTATTTATAAATTCCATAATTGTTTTACAAACTTATCCATCCTGACATTAATCTTTTCCAGATTTAAAATCCATGGATGTTGTAGCATTTGTCTAGGACTTGGTCTATCTTCAATCTTTTTGATCAAACAATAATAAATGAAGTTTTTGAATGATTCAGACCAAAATATGTTATCTTCAGGTAAATCGATCAATTTAGGTTCATAGTCAAGGATGAGTTGAAGTAACTCAATAGGACCAATGTTATTATTATTCGTACCATCTATATCGAAGAATGGGAACTTTCCTAATGAGACTTCGAGTAAAGTTAATCCCAACGACCAAACATCACAATTTACCGTATAAGGTTTACCCATAATTCTTTCTGGTGCCATATAATATTGTGTCCCCACGAAAGTAGTTGCTAAGGAGTTAACCACTTCACCACTAACACCAAAATCACACAACTTTACTTGTCCATCATAATTCAAAAGAATATTACTGGGTTTGATATCTCTATGAATGATCTTTTGTTGATGTAAATAATTCAACCCTTTCAAAATGCTGGTGGCTATCTTCCCCAACACCTTTTCATTAATACGATTGGATGCATCGATCTCTATAACTTTCTTATAAACCGCGTCCAATGACTTTCCACCCATATATTCCATAGTTATACCAATTAAACTCTGGTCAATGGAAAATGTCCCGTAATATTTAACGATATTGTCACTATTAATCTTCCTATTATATTGTAACTCTCTTAAAATCTGTTTTTGCACGTCGGGATTGACGTCGGTGGTGATGAGCTTAAGGGCAAATACCTTATTACCTTTATCTAATTTACATTTGGATACTGCACCTCCGTTTCCTTCACCTAATTTACTTAGTTCGATGATTCTCTTGTCACTAGCTAGCCTCTGCCATTGTTCACTGGAAATATCTTCCAAAGGTTTGTCATAAATATCATTATCATTATCATTAATTTGGTCTTGAGGACCTTCAAAGGTCGGTGGGAGGTTGTTGGTGGTGGTAGCATTATGGACGAAAGATGAATTCACGCTAAGATTATCACTACTTTTGGATTCACTGGAAAATGATCCATTTATTTGGGAAAAATCAATAGGAGGAGGTTTCCGTTTTAACTTTTTCCCGGGACTTATTCCTGGACTTCGGTTGGATATTCCCGATATTATATCACTACCACTGTTACTGCTGTCATCATTAACTTCAGTATTGATGGTTAAGGTGGGGATGTTCCTCTTTGTTTTGGGGATATTGAACATCGGTCCACTCATTTTTGAGATTTTTCAGTTCCTGCGTGAGAATTTCAGGGACTTGGTCTATTTATCGCGTAAGTGTGGGCAAAGCGGTGCCATTTAGTTGCGCGAGAGTTTTTTGTCAGGGTATTCAAGATTTTTATCACCGTGTCTAAGGGTATTTGTCACGGTGTCTAAGGGTATCTGCCATTATACATAAGAGGATATCTACTATTCTACTTAGAGTGTGTAACACGCTAATTATGGTATTTATCACGCTACTTATGGTATTTATCACGCACTTATCATCACCCACTCACGCTCAGTACTCAAGCTCCACAACACTCTCAACACCTCAAGTCTTCTTTCTCTTCACCGGTTTCTTCTTCGGTTTAACCTCCTTGATCAACTTATCGTTCTTATCAATCTTCCCGTTATCCTCTTCCTTTTCTTCCTTCTCATCCCTGGTATCGTCTTCAATGACATCTTCATAATCAACTTTGACTGAGTTACCTCGTCCCGCAACAGAGTTCCCTGTCTTATATATAGCGATAGGATGGGTCATGGAATTATATTTCCTTGTGAACGCGGACTTGACTTTAGTAGGAATCTTCTTGACGATGTTTTCTCCCTTGGAATCTCCAACTCCAAAATCAAGGATATTATCCCAATCTTCTTTGGTTAAGTAGTATTCATCCATGATATCTATAACTGGAGCTATACCAAGGTCATCATTAGCGAGGAATGGTTGTGATAATCTTTTCAGGAGCGTAGGAATGTATTCTAATCTCAATTCCTTCTTATCAGTAGATGTCTTCAATCTGGTATGATATTGAAGTTCTTGTAAGATTCTTTGATATTTCAACTGTTTAGAGTTCTGTCCTAACCAACCCGCGAAGTTAATTCTTTGAGTGATTTGTCCCCCTACGGTGAAACCTGGTTTAACTGATGACATAACTGCATGGAAAGGTAATAAACTCCATTGTTGCTCACTGGATCTGATGAGTGAGTTGACATGATCACTCAAACTGATATCATCAGCAGCTTGAGCAACAGCTTCTAAATGACTACGAGACTTATCACGAGGAACAGTAGCGAGATAGTTCTCTTGTACCATTAATGGTGTAAAGTCTATATCATTGAAATACAAGTCGATTTTATCATTAAGACTATGACTTGGGTTGACGTAGATTCCCCCAGATAAAAGCTTACCGGTGATATCAAAAGGTTTCAAAACCACTTGTTTAGCCCAAGCTTTGGAGAAGTCTTTACTTTGTTCGTATCCCAAAGTTTTTTGGGTTTTAGAAACCGTGGACAATAAATTGATCATTTGTCTAATATCATTGTTGGTGGTACTGACCAATTGACCGATGATGGAAGGATCAATTTTGATCTTCTCACGATGACAAATGGTCATAATACGAGCCTTAACTTCATTTTCACTAGGTCTTCTGAAGGGAAGATCATAAGTGACTCTATCGAAAGTTCTCATTTTTGGTAACGATTTATCGTTACAGATAAGAATCATAGGCATGGAAGTGATCTTACAGAACTGTGATAATGCTCCAGCACCTCCATGATCTCCACTGGACATCCCATCAACTTCATCCATGATTAACACGAACTTTTTCTCATTCCCTTCTTTATACATATCTCCTTCATTATTTGTATGGGATCTTTTTTGGAAGAATCCTACCACGGAAGTATTGTTTAAAACACTCTTCATGGTGGTATTCAAAAGAGTCTTGGATCTGACATCACTGGCATTCTTCTCCAAAATGTCATATCCACATTCTTTAGCTATCAAATGAGCTGCACTGGTTTTACCAATACCTGGAGGTCCACTGATTAAAGCAGCTCTGAACATTGATCCTTCACCACCATTACCTTTGAATCCGGATTTGGAATTTTCAAACCAATTATCAAGCCAGTTTCTTAATCGTGTCACCTGGGTTTTATTCCCACATAATTGAGATGCCTGATTAGGGGCATATTTGACTGTCCATAATTTCTCATCGTTGGTGATTTCCCTGGGGACTTCTCGGGGAAGTCTTTCACCAGAGGATTGTGATTGCGATGCTTGAGATGATTCAGCTTGGAGTTGAGCCTCTCTTTCAGCTTTCTTCTTAGCAGCTCGTTGACGTTCTAAACGTTCTTCTTCTTCAGCTTCTTCAATGATCTTTCTTTCTTCAAGTTCTCTTTTCTGAGCTGCTTGTTTGGCAGTAGCACCATCACCACCATCGGCTGGCATGGATGCTAATAACTGTAAGAACCCCTCTTCAGTAATGGCTTTAATCTTAAGTTTTTTGATCTTTTCAACCTTCGATGGACCAGCTTCTTCTCCTATAACTACCACAGAAGTTTTACCACTGATGGATTTGGTGACTTTGGCACCATACCTTTTGGCGATGCTTTCAGCCTGATCTCTTTCCAAACTAGGCAATTGACCTGTAAACACCATAGTAAGTCCCGATAAGCAATGAGGTTGAGCTTCAGGGATTTCAGCTGAACCTGAAGGACCAGCAGCTGCTTGTTTTCTTTGTTGAAGTTGAAAGAAGTTCAATTTCTCCGTTTGATCGGGAAGTTCAGCATCAGGAATCGACTTAAGGATAGTTTCTGAGTCTACAGAACCTCCAGTGGATGTGGAAGTACTGGGTGGAGATTTTTCCTTAGGTTTTTTCACAGGTGATTTCTTGGGTGATTTCTTTGCCTTGGTTTCAACGACCTTTACCGGTTCAGAAATCTCCGATTTTGGTGCATCTAGCATCTCCACGTCAGTCTCCACCTTTCTGGCCTTCTTAGGAGGTGAGATCTCTTGTAAACTATCATCAGACTCGTCATCTATATTAATTACTGCCTCAACCTTAGGCTGTTGGATCTTACGTTTCTTTACTGTTAGTAACTCTTTTTCGATCCCCAAAAGACACTGTCTCATCAATTGAGGAGCCCAGCTTTCGTACCATCACCTGAAAACCGGTATTAAATACCTAACATACCTTATCATTAGACTTCTTAAAGAAATCCGTCACCAGTACCATGACGCGAAGCTGAAAAAAAAAAAAGTGCGGCAAAGCAGGAACCTATTAATGAATTATTGGGTGTACTTGTTATTAGGGCTATTGTCATTAGCTTACGTGGGAACAGTAGTGTTGTTGAACAAGTCTCCCCATGTAAAAGTTAAGGGCATTGGTTTCTTCTGCATTTTAGGTATCACTTTCAATGATGGGAACAAAGTCATTAGAATTAAGAAACTTAGATTGAAAATTAACCTCTTTAGAGGTAAAGACAGTCCTTTGAAGTTATTGAACTTGGAAATCCATGATTGTCAGATTAAAAATTTGACTGGAAGTAAGGAGAAGTCAGTTAAAGGACCAGAAGGACCCATTGACTTGGACCATATTCTCAAGTTCATCATCCCCAAAAGGGTCTATGACTTAATATTCTATTATCAGATCCTTAATCAATTCCATATCATGATGTTCCGTTGTTCGATCCATGATGAAGCCATTCCTGATACTATCCTTTACTTTGACTATGCAAAATTGGAGAATTCTTTGAGATACGATGGTCATAATGTTTTGACGTTATTGTTGTTCAATGGGTTCTTACATGGATTTGATGATGCTGAAAGAATTCAAATCTTTAGAAATGTTGAAATCATTCTTTCCTGTGACGCTATTTTCGACTGTAGGATCGATGGAACTATGGATGTTGGCATTATCAATTTCTCACTAGGACTTTCTTTGGGGAGAGTTCATATACCCTTAGACCATTTGCCCTTAGCTGGGAAGAAACCTAAGGATACTCAGACAGTTCATCATCCTATAAGTAAAGGAAAACTCGAGTTAATTCGTCAAATATGGGGAATTATTGATAGTGCTAAATTAACCCTTGAAGATTTCAAAATCACCTCCGGTCCTTATAGGCTTTCGTTGGCTACGTTTCAAACATCATTAACTCACAGTAAGGATAGTTCCCTGAAGTCACTAAGTGATTGGAGTCTTCATATTGCTTCATTAAAGATCTTTGAAGCCGAGACCAAATGTTTTGAATTACCTTCAGCTACCATAAACTTCCAATGTAATCCATTTGGAATCATTCAAGGTCTTGAAAACACTCATTCAGCTGAACAGATCTCCGATGCTGCAGAAAAGTCCGATGTTTCTCTTAGTATCATTCTTACTAATCCTACGATTGATATTTATCATGATCAACTAATGAGACTTAAGATTAGGAAGTTCAGGAACACTTTCAATAAGAAAGACACTAACACCACCATCAATTATATGAATTTCTTACTTGCGTTGAATTATGTCACCACTAAGATCGTTATAGTTGATACTAAAGTCACTGAACATTTACCGGGATTCACATCCAACAATTATCGTCGTGATGATGCCAATAACTTGACTATTAAATGTACAGTTGATTCAATTATCCAACGGTTTGCTACACAAGACTTACTGAAGATGTTGTTGAAGAAGATCACTAAGAATCAGAACTTGTATGGATTGTTCAAAATCAAAAATTTCAAAGCTGAGCTTAATGATAACATTTTTTACATCTCCAAATCGAATTTCTTAACTACTTACAATGTTCAGAACAATAAAGTATCATTGAAGTTGAATATTAAGAAATTTAAGTTGAAATCTGTGAATGATGCCATTTTCCTTGCTTTTAGGAACGTCAAAACCAGAAAGATTTTACTTGAAAACAAACTCTATAGTGAACTTATCGAACAAGGTATAGCCACCGTTTGTCCTACCACTCCGACGGTTGATACCAGTGAATATGTGGAATTGTTCAATATTTTACCTGAAATAGTCAATTATGTTAAGGTTGACATTTTCGAAGTTCAAGCTGATATTATCTGTAAAGAGGGTTTACCACTGCAGAAATTCTATGACGAAAACTCCGGTAAAACCATCGATTTGAAGGATTATGGACGTGGGGTATCGATCAAGTTGGGGCACATAACCTTGAATTATAAGAAAGATAAAGAAGAAGTATCGTCACATGTTTATAACTTCCAATGTTTCACATTGAGTGAATTGAACTTGGATTATATGGATGACTTTGATGTTGTGGCCATGTATAATAACACCCAATCAGATTTCAGCGATGTTTCAAGTTTAGAATCCATAGCTCTAGCTGAGAGGGATGAAGAGGATTTGAAACAAGTCAAGAAAGTGTTTGATCTTGATGAAATGGAAATCAATAACTTCACCAATAAGCAAAGAGATAAGAATAGATTGAGTGTGAAAGTATCGGAGATTAACGGTAGAGTGGATATTTTCCTTGTTTGGTGTGTGGTTTATGCTATGACATTATTAAAGAATTTCTCTCCTGATGTAGAAAGATTATGCTCTAAGCAACAAATGAACTCCATGTTAGGTAAGAATGAGAAGAAATTGAAACTCGACGTGAACATTAATGTCATAGCTATAGTCACGAGACTTCCTCGTAAAATCGACGTGTTATGTGAATTTGATACTTTCAACTTTAGGGACGTATTTGAAACCAGTACAATTGAATTTAAGTATTTCCGTAGTTATGTGGTTCATCCAAAAACCAAACTTTGGTCAAGATTCCTTACTATGAAAGAATCATTTGTCACTGTGAATGCTCTAGTGGAAGATAACAATTTGTTAGACATTGTTTGTTCGGGAATGAGACTTAATATTCCCCATGGGTTCTTATTTTATACGGTGTTTGATAATATCGTCACTTTTGGTAAGGCCATCAAACAGATCTTTCATAATTTCGAAAATATCCGTAATAAAATTTATGACTTCGAAAGTATCAAGCCTGAAGCCAAAGGTCCTTTCCATATGCCCCCTATCAACTTAAAGAGTAAGATTTTGGGGATAACGTTGGAAAATGATCCGTTCGAAAACGAAATCAGTTATATCTTGGAGCTTGGGAAATATGAACAGAAGATTAGGTTACAGAAATGGAAAGCTTTTGAGAAGAAATCCGAAGAGATTATGAATAACACCATTGATAGTAAGATCAAACTTCAGGAAAATGGATCCAGAAGTCCTAATAACACCGCTTTCAAATTCGATAAGTCAAAGAGAAGTGAACCGTTATTATCGGACCAAGAAGCTCACGACAAGATAGCCGAAGCCAGGGAGTTATTGGAAGCAGAGATGTCATGTTCTTGGATTCATAAGTTTCAGAAATTTAGAACCACCAAGCTTAAGAATTGGAAACACAGAGCTGATAGAGCTTGGGGTGAGGAAATCATTAATGATAGAATTACTGAGAAGTTCGATATCTTGAACTATCTTCCAGGACCTTTGTTATTGGGTGCTTTCTTCAGGAATTTGGACTTATCGGTGAAAACGTCCCCCATTGATGATCTCGATAAGTTCCTCCACGATTTCGGTAAAGGTCAACCTAAGTTGGATTATTCCATTTTAGTACCTTTATACTTATCGATCAAAAGTTCAGGGTTCTTTGTGTTCTTAAGAGATTATGCTTTACCATTAATATCATTCCCTGATAATGATAATGCCAATAAACCGTCATTTCAATTGGATGGGAATATCGTAATTAATGAGAAGATGATTACTCGTAAGGAAGAAATGAGACTTATTTGGGTCCCCTTCTCACCACCCATGGCACCAGATTTGACCGAAGATAGTTTCTATTCTGTGCTCGTACCTAGAACCTTAACCCCTGTCAAGTTTATGACGGATATTAATTGTAAGATCGATTCCGATCGGGCGGCGATGATTAGTTATTGTAAATCGTACCAGGCAGTTTTACTGGCAGCTACATCGGCTTTAGACAATTTCACCAAACCTCCGATTGATGATAGTCCTTTGGGATGGTGGGATAAAGTGGCGTTATTGGCCCATGGTCGTATAACATTTGAAATAGCCAATGAGCTATGTTTCCATATGAAATCTTCAACTGATCCTTATGATTTAACCGGAAGAGCTTCAGGGTTTGTGTTCTGTTGGAAGAACAATGTGGTGTTGGCTATCGATGGGAATAAAAAACCTAGTGAAATCGTCACCTTAAACAGTGATGATTTCCTTTTGGCTATTCCTAATTATTCTTTGGCAGAAAGAAAGTCTTGGAGTCTCTTTTATGATGAAATGGCCGACGAATCAAGCTACGATGATGATGCTGAGTCTAAGAAGTATCAGAAAAGAGTGATGGAATTATCATCTGATGAAAAAGTCCAATGGACGTTGGGATTCTCTTTTGAACGGAATAAAAATGATTCGGTATCGTTGTCCGATAAAGAAGAACGTACAACTTTATTCCGTCCTCATTATGACGTGTTTGTCACCAGTCCTTATTACGATTATCATCCTGATTCCTATGAAGGGTATAGATCAGATTATCTTCATATGGCGATTTCGGTGAAATCCACTTCCAAAAAGGGTAACTCCTCCAATACCGTACACCTTACACCATTAACATTTGAATATTTCTTCTATTGGTGGCATACTATCACTGAAGAAACTTCCCTCCCGGTACGTCAAGGTCCGTTATTCAATTCGGCTAATTCTATCGATAAGTCCCATGTTAAAATGTCGTCCCATCTTTTCACCGTGAAATATCAATTGATCTTTGATAGGCTCACGATCTCTCATTTGTACTTACACTCGTCAGGGGAAGGTAACAAGAGAATCACATTCACGGGTTTGAAAGCTAGGTCATCTAAAGTAATCATCGACTTACATCAAAGGAAGGAATTGTTAACGTATGTGAATAAGAAACTTAATATTGAGAATCAAATCATGCATTTGAAGATGAACCAGGCAGAGATATCGTTCGAGGATACTGACATTCGTCTTGTTAATGCTATCTTTGCTGACCATTCGGTCCAAGCCAATTTGGCTAAATATCTACAAGGAAACAGTCTTACTGATTCTTCTTCCAATGATACTGAGCCTAGTGGCAATAGGTACCTTGGATGGGTCAATGGACTCGATATTCATGGAGATGATTTCTCATGGATAGATCAAAGTGATTTCATCGAACTAGAACAAAGAGAGGTGTTATCTCCATATCCTAAGATCACCGTAGCTCCCTTCTGTTATAGTCCGAAGTTTACTTATGTTAGGGAATTCTCTCTTCAAGAAGATGGACCTTATCCTTTCGGACGAGAAGATGTTCATGATTGTCAAATAGGTTTAGAGAAACCCGAAGATACTCAAGGATCTTTATTATCTGATAGGTTAAAGATCATTCAACAGGAATTATTGGCCAATGAAGAACTTTTGAAGAGCTTAAAAACAGCTCCTCAAGATCCTTCGATTAAACAAGAAATCATCAGAGTTAAAAAGGAGATTGAAATCACTAAAGATAAGCAAGATTTGATTCAAGGAGTTTATGAGGAAATTACTGGTAAAATAGCACCTGGTGATGATGTTAGTGGTACAGATGACCTCGCAGCCAATACTATTTCTAGGTTGAATTCCAGACTGTTATCGGTATATTCTGGTCATAGATCAGTGGATGAAGCCAATCAAGTGAGATTATTGAACAAAGAAGCTAGTGAGTTCCATAATCGATTCATTGTTCATAATCTTCAGTTCAAATGGAATGATAAACTCCGTGATTTGTTCATGATTTATATGAGATTGGTAGGAGATAGGAAATCTCAGACTTATTATATGAGTCGTAAGGCAGTAGATTTAGTGGAAACGGTATTAAATTGCGTTCCTGATGAATTTGAGGTACCTAAGCTCGAAGAATCTTTTTGTACGGAATGTAAAGCTGGAGAAGATGTTCTTAATGGGTTTGATGATTATCTTGATGATGTTAATAAGGAGATGGAGGAAGCCGAACATAAATTCTTGATTAAATTGATTCACCCTCAAATTCAATTAGTTAGTGAGAAAGACCCTGAGTCGGCTGCTTTGGTTGTATCGAAAGATTTAGAGATGAGAGTTATCTCCGTCAATGTTAAGGATTTCAGTAAACTTGTGAGTGCTGATAATGAAGTTTCTGGTCTTATAGAGACTCGTTATGGAGGTATATTCAACTCATCCTCAATGTTAGTGTTTAGGAAAAGTGACTCAGTGATTTCTCATCCAAACACCCCGTATGGTTATGTTGATGGACAATTAGCAGTTGACTGGCCACCTTGGATTGAATGTGAAAACATCTATGATGGTTCATATATGAAAGATAATGTCGTTACGGAAAGAAATAGTATGGCATTGACTGTTAGGAAACCCAATTATCTTTACGTTGATAGTGGAACTTCCAGTCAAAAGGATGAAATTAAAGTCCATATTGCCAAATTCGTCATTAATGCCGATTCCAGGCAGTACACGACCTTATTCCATGTTATTACCGATTTATTACTTCATAGTAAAGCCGAGAAGAATTCTTTGATGAATAAACTTGATAAGATCATGTCATTGGCTGATAATGATGATTTCTATGGTCTTGATGTTAGGGTGAAAGAGTTACAAGAATCTATCAGAGAGTTCCAACACTTACTTTTGAGACTTGATATAAAGAGTATCAAATTGGATGCTAGAGAGCAAAGAATGGCTAATCAGTTGGAGTTGGAGATTGCTAAACGAAGATTGGAACTTTCAACTATCATGAGTGGATTAGGTTTAAGGAATATGAAGCTTAGTACTAACAAAAGAGCTTCTAAGTCATGGCTTATTTCCGTTGATCAAATTATTTGGCATTTATTGGATAATAGTAGAGCTCCGTTTATTGATTTTGCTCTTGCAGATGCTAAATTCAAAAGAGTTGATGCTATGGATGGATCTAATCGGAACAGGGTGGAAGTCAATATGATCCAAGGGTTTAACTTACAAGAGAAAGCGGTTTATCCTGAACTTCTTTCACCCATTGATGAAGAGTCACGGGATAAGAATACACCGATAGTGTTAATGACATGGAGAATGTTGAATAGTGTGGGAGGTATTCCAATAATGCAAAGTGCTAAGTTATCTATTCAACCATTGAAACTTCAACTTGATTATGAAACTTCGAAGAAACTTTTTGAGTATATGTTCCCCAAGGAAAAGAAACAGAAGTCTAAGAAGACTAGAGTCACCAGCTTTGATGTTAGTAGAAGTCCAGACATGAGAAGTTCTGATATTAGTAGAAGTCCAGATATGAGAAGTTCTGACGTTAAAAGTTCCGATCGAAGCGACATTAGAGAAGATTCGCGACATTCAAGACAGTCACGTGATATGAGTGATATTAGTTCAAATGATTTTATGCCTATTGAAAGACCTAAGAATGTATTTAAAAACTTCATTAATGGTAGTAGTAAGTCTTCACAATCTACACCGACCGATGATGAATTTGATCTCAGCTCCAGCCATTCTTTAAAGAAGATAACTTCTACTTCCACGAGATTTTCATCCAGTGAAGATGTTTCCCTCCCACCAATGGATAAGATCGATTCCAAGGCCAAGGAGAGTAAAGATTGTAAATTACCCAGACGTAGACCTAAGAAGAAGACAGAAGAAGATGAAGACGACATTGCGTTGATTCTTTCTCGTTCATCTAAATTCTTCTCTATTGTTGATATAGAAGTGGAAAAAGTTAAGTTAATCATTAGTTTCAAAGCTCCAGGACATCTTAACATCATAGATGTACATAATTTATCATTGAATATCCCCACTTTAAGGTATCAGAACAAAACCTGGTCAGGAGAAGACTTTATCCTCAGACTCAGGAAAGATATCATTAAAGTGATCTTACAACATACGGGACAAATCTTGGGTAATAAATTCAAGATAAGGAGAAGAAGATTACTCAAGCAACCTTTGAAACAAATAGCTAATTATGCGTCATTTGTCTCGGTGCAAGACTTACAAGGGGAGAATAATGTGACAGAAGAAGCTAGAAGACCTAATCATCATCATCACCATCATCACCATCGTAGGGTGGAGGATACAAGAAGAAGTAGTAATCATCTTCAATCTTTTGAAAATATGTTACAGGAGATAGTTGATGAAGAGGAGGAGGAGGAAGATGAGCCGGAATCATCGACTTCCACTAATTAGTTTGTAGTAATGTATTTATTAGTACCAGAAAACCTGAGCGATAACCATTGAGCACTCAATTCATCTTCTATGATACTCTTAATCATTCAGTTCGTCTCCTATGGTGTTTCTTTGGTACCCAGGATCATTGTTATCGCCCTTAATCAGTTCACCTTCTTACTGCCAGCGATCTCATTTTCTTGTGCCAGGGTCCATTTTCTGTTTCTAGCTTTCAATTAGTACCATTAGCGTTTCGCACCATTTCGCACTGCGTCGTACCGTTTCGTACCTTCGCATTTGGGATATCTTCGCACACAGCGGAACTACTCCCTACATTCGCGATTCTATTAATACTACTAACTGGCCAACTCAATGTCATTCTTCAATGCCTTACGAGAAAGAGCTGTTAGTACCATCAACCAAGTTCTCGACAAAAACAAGGGCGAAAAATTGACCAAGGATGAGTTATTTTGTCGGTCCCACAACTTACCAGACAATGAAGCCATTTTAGGAGAATCGGCTGTAGAATTATCAATTAAATCAGATAACAGCTTAAATGAATACAGTCAATCACCTCAGGGTAGAATTTTCCTCACTAATCACTTCCTAGTGTTCTGGGATGCTTTCGATCGAAGAAATTGTTCTTTTGTGTTGCATTTATCTACAGTCAAGAAAGTCGAAAGGTTACCTTCAAGTTCCTATGGGTTTGCCTTGAGCATAGCTACCCATTCCAAGTTGAACGTGGTGTTCTACCTCATTGGATTGAGGTCAGAGAGTGAAAAGTTCGCCCATGCCCTTAAGATAGCATTGAAAGAGAATCTCCCCAATATCGCTAAACTCCAGCCTTTCATCCAATCTTGTTACTCGGAGTATATCTTGGCTAAGAATAAGATCTCCCATGAGAACATTGAAGCAGTGCCACCGGGAGGTTTAGGGAATAAGTTCAAATTCCCTGGAAATGTGGTAGAATTGCGGGACAAATCGAAAATGAAGTTATGGTTTGATCTTTTCAGGGCTGATGGAAGGAATTTATCATTAATTAAGACCCCCATGTTCCATAAGCTTGTCAGAGTAGGTCTTCCTAATCGTTTAAGAGGTGAAATTTGGGAATTATCTTGTGGTTCGATGTATTTGAGATTAGATAATCCTCATGAGTATCAACAGTTATTGAAAGATAATAAGGATAAGACGTCAGTAGCCATTGAGGAAATAGAGAAAGATTTGAACCGGTCATTACCGGAGTATGCGGCATATCAGAGTCCTGAAGGGATAGAACGACTTCGTAATGTATTGACAGCTTATTCTTGGAAGAATCCAGGGGTAGGATATTGTCAAGCCATGAACATAGTGGTGGCAGCATTGTTAATTTTCATGAGTGAAGAACAAGCTTTCTGGTGTTTGAATGTTATCTGTGATCGTATTGTCCCAGGATATTACTCCAAGACGATGTATGGAACATTATTGGATCAGAAAGTTTTTGAATCCTTGGTTCAGGAGACAATGCCGATGTTATGGGATCATATTAACAAACACGACATTCAGTTATCAGTAGTATCATTACCTTGGTTCTTGTCGCTATACCTCAATTCCTTGCCATTGGTGTACGCGTTCAGAATTTTGGATGTTTTCTTCCAGAATGGATCTAAAACCTTGTTCCAAGTAGCTTTAGCTATTCTTAAGATCAATGGGGAAGAGTTATTGAAGTTAGAAGATGATGGGATGTTTATTCAATTAATCAAAGATTATTTCGCTACGTTGGATCATTCAGCTCATCCTGATTCCAATAATAATCGGTATAAATCCATCACTAAGTTCCAAGAATTACTTGTAACAGCATTTAAAGAGTTCTCTGTTATTGAAGATTCAACTATTGAGAAGCACCGAGCCAAACATCGTGATTCCATCTACCTGAATATTTCAACTTTTGTTAAAAGAACAGAATTAAGGAACTTACCTAAAACCCCTAACTTATCGGCTGATGATTTAAGTGTTATTTACGATAGGTTCTATTCCATAGTGGAAACATATAATGTGACCATGGCCAGTGGGAAGAATTCTATGGATTTTGAAGCATTTTATAAATTCATGACCGATATTTGTGATTTTATCAACATTAACACTGCTGAAGACCAACGGAAAATCATCAGGGACTTCATTTATCGATTATTCACTCATTGGTCTTCATCAGAGGATCATCAGATTACTTTGGCTGACCTAATCATCGGACTTAATAAATTGGTTGAACCCGACTTGATGTCGTCAATGTCGGAATTCTATCAATTATACAATAACCCTGCTACTGATAGAATTGATAGGGAAGGGATCTTAAAGATTTCAGAAGATTTGTTGGCCATAACATCACCTTGGAAAGATGGATTGTTGTTGGATAACATTACAGAAAAGGAGATTGAAAATGCTGTAGCTGATGAAGTTTATCGTCAACAACAATTGGAGAAAGAAGATGGTGAAGGAGAACAAAAAGTTGTATTACCTAGTGAAGTTAATATTGATAAGAAGGAGATAGAGGGCCGTCAAGCTGAAAGATACTTATCAGCAGCCAGTACATTTATTCAAAGAGCTTTTGAATATGCTCAACCTGAAGAACAAGAATTACTTATTAAAGATCTTGCTATAGATAATACCATTAGTCATAACGCTGCTTTAAACCCCAACACTCCAGTTTATATCAATCTTCCTACCTTTAGAATGGTGATTTTAGCTGATGAAACCTATGAATTATTCTTCAGTAAGACTTTCAGACACTCTATCCATGTAGCAAAACCTCCTGATGCCAAATTTGATACTATGAGGAATTTAAGGGATATGTTTGATGGGATTTTGGCTGATGGACGTGCTGTGGCTACTAAAGTTCGTCGTCGTATGGATTCTGCTGCTTCTAATGCGGTGGATAATGGTTCTATGAAATCAGGGAAATCAAAAGTTGAACCTGTTGAAGAAGAAGAGGCTGATGATGATCTTAATAATATGGATATCCAAGATCAAGATGTTTTATTAGGGGCTGAAGCAGAAATGAACACCAAAAAACCTGATAATCAAAGACCGGGCTCCAACAGACCTTCGGTGGTGGAGATGAGTGGTGATGATAATCTCATTGAGTTTGAGACATGATCTATAGGAATATACATTTTAGTACTTACACAAGTGAAGGGATCTGCGGTCTTGTCTATGGCATGATCGTGTCTATGGTCTTGTCTAGTCTTGTCTATGGCCTTGTCTATGGCCCTGACTTTATCTAGCCCTTGTCTATGACCTTCCAAATAACTTCTTCAATCTTCCACCAATCTTTTTCTTCTCCTTCTCTTTTGGTGCTGGCTTGCCTTGCTTCTTGTTAGGATGAGAACGCAAGGTAAGTATTGGGTCTTGATACTTGTTTACCGAAGGTGGAGGAGCAGTGGAATTGTTATCATCAGAATCAGCAATTCTTGAAGAGAAAGCACTATCAGGGGAGAAGATAGGTCCTTCATCGTCGGAATCAGCAAACCTTGACTTTGTTGGAGTGGTGACTTTTGGCTGGGGTTGAGTATGAGGATCAAGGGATGAATATTGGGCTTGAGTTGGGTGATTTGGATGGCTCGTGTGGTGGCCCGGATGGCTTGCATGACTTGGATGGTGGCCTGAAGGGTGACCTGACGGTTGAGGGTCTCTCAAAGTTGTCCTTTGCATAACTTTCCCATCAGATGGAGTAGAATGTTCGTTAGAGAATGATGATTTCCTCTGTAAGTTAAACGTCGATACTGGTCTTTTCTTTGCCTTTGCATACAACTCAGCTGCCTTCAATTTTGAAGGAGATTGATAGTTTGGATCCAAAGCTGGGTGAGCACTCATTGGTTGAACATACACTGAGGATCTGTCACGTAAGGATCTGTTACTCATACGAGGTTTAACTTCGGGTTCCATTTGTGACATAGGACGAGAGAAACCGTTTTGATTTCTACCATTATCCATTCTTGGTTGGTCTCTTTGGTGGTCTCTTTGGTGGTCCATTCTTGGTTGGTCTCTTGGCTGGTCTCTTGGTGGTTCAGCATAAGATTGAGGTCTTAAGGTTTTAGCCATACCATTAGTTGGTGGTGGGGCTTTCCTTAAGGTAGTAGACATTCTCTTGGTGGAAGGAGCTGTAGGATAACGACTTTGACCATAAGCAGATTGATCTATCAATTGACTTGATGATAATTTGGAGTTCAATCTTGTGTTTTCAGCGGTGGTCAAGGAGATGTAGACATCTCTTGCAGCATTACTGGACAGGTTGGAGACATTGTTGTTGTTGTAGAAGGAAGTGGAATTCTTCATGGCTGACTTCATTGGTTTCTTAGCTGTTCTACTAGGAGAAGCGTCAGAACTAATGGATGATGTAGAGGATCCCTCGTTAAGCATGGTAGGAGCCTTTAACTCGTTATTTGCTTCATCTTCCATCACCAACACATCATCAGCTGCTTCAGGAACAGGATGGTCTACTTGATCAGTGATAATACTTGGAATGTCGTCGAAAGTAGGATGTGGTTCTTTGTCCTTAGGAGTGTTCTCAGCACTAACAGCAACTTCTTCAATACCGAAATCATTAGCTGCGTCGTTGAAGTTGGCACCGTTGGTTACACTGACTTCATCAACGGAAGTATCGTACTGATAACCTCCATGATTATCATGAGTTAAAGTGTTCTCAATAGCAGTGTTATCGATCTGAGAATCATTGATTAAAGTATCATCGTACGACTGTTTGATGTCAACCTCATCAACTTTGAGCTTAGAAGTGTCGAAGGTTGGTTCTGGCTCTATGTCGCTTTCAAGTTCGTCGACCAAAACGTTCTTAGGGTTAACAACAGGAACTTCGACATCCAGGCCGAGTTCCAGGGTAAAGTCATCATCGAGATTCTTCTCGATATTGGAAGATTGGTCGATGGAAGGATAGTCTGAGGTTTGGGATTCGTTATCCTTGGTGTTGGAAGCTACTGGGGAGATGAACTGGTCACCTTCAGTTTCAAGTGTGCTGACATCATTAAGAATGGGAGCATCGATGTTCTTGTGGTCGACAGCTTCATTGATAGTTGGTGAAGAAGTTTCGTAGTGAATTGTGGGTACGGAGACATCAGGGGCATCGCCTTCAGTAGCAGTGGTAGGATCACTGCCACCCCCATTCATCATCTGGGCCAATTTATTCTCTTCAGCTAATCTCTTCTCCCTCAATTGTTCATATTCCAATCTCTTCAATTCCAACTGTTCACTCATCTCCTTCTCTTCCTTTATCTTGTTCTGTAAAGCATTCAATTCCATTTGTTCGGGTGAGGTTGCTTTGCTTTTACGAGCAGCGGATTCGAACTCGGGAACTTCAGTCAAAGGTGGGGATTTGATTATACTGGATAATCTCAGTGAAGGTTTCCGTTTGGCGGTCTTAGATAACGAATTGATGGAGCTAGAACGAGGAATATTTAACCCTGAACGGATAGAATTGTTCCTAGATATCTCCTTTTGCACGTTGGATTCGGGAACTTCGATAATTTTGATCCCATTAGGCGTAGGAATGTATTTTTTCACCATTTTCACCTCCTTATGAGACAATTTCAAGTCCCTGACGGTGTCATGGTTATCATAATCTTCAGAAATGTCGCCCAAACTATCATCAAAGCTATGGAAATTGGAATTGTTGGATTTGGCAGGTGATGAAGGATAATGTGCTGAATTAGGACGGACATTTTGTACCGAAGGTGACCTTTTCAAAAGGGAATTGGACTTAATGGGTGGACCAAGATGTTGGATGGACCCAGAATGTTGGATAGGACGTTGAATAGAACTTGACCTTTGAATGGAACTATTTCTTTGTACGGGAGTGATACTTGGACTCCTTGAAATAGTACCATTCCCACCATTTTTAATATTTTGCCCGATAGTCAATGCAGCAGCCAAAGCTCCAGAATTGGGTTGACTAGATGGCGGGGCTTGATGATTTACTCCCGTATAGGCGGTACCGTGAACACTACGACGATTACGTCTGGAAAACATTTGAAATCAACGTTGTTTAAAGAAATCTATGGGATCTAAAGGTAGAAAAATATAATAAACTTGATAATCGGGATTTTTAAGCTATGGGATTAGTCAGGTGACTCTCTATGGACGTAGACTTTGGTGTTGGAAAGATTCAATGATGAAGAAATCAATTGAATGTGATGAAATATCGTCTATTTATTGACAGGAATTATACCAGCAATTGAAATTTTTGTGATTCGCATCATGTCGCGCTCTACGCCTCGTTACCGTGGAGGTAGGTCGGGGAGACTAGGGAGAGTTTAGACGGGAATTGGCAGTAGAGATGGGTGAGAGAAATGTCGCGTGTCTCATAACTGTCGTATATTATTCTGGCCCTAGTTTTGGTACCGTTAACTGGCCATGGATTTGGTACTGTTAACTGGCCATGGATTTGGCACTGTTAGCTGGCCATGGATTTGGCAATATTAGATGGTATCGCAATGGCAATATTAGGTGGTCCCGCAATGGCACTATTAGGTGGTCCCGCAATGGCACTATTAGGTGGAACCGCAATAGGTTTGGGGGTCCTTAACGTCTTAAAATTTGATTTATCCCTATAAAACTGGCTAAACTGTGGCCAAAATTCTGGCCGTTAAGCACTATCATTCGAAGAATTGGTCTTACTAATATAAGGGCTCCAGTATATAAGAAGCCCTGGATTAAAGGCATAAGTATTTGATCTTTGATCACGGCATATGTGACTATACTGGGGGTTATGGGTAAAGGATTGATCAATTCTTCTTGTTCTCGACGGTCCAACTCCACATTAAGTTGATCCAATTGCTCTACCGACATCTGGTCCAACTTAGGTTGAGTATCGGCGTATTTATGAAGGGAGGCCACGAAGGATTGTTCGAACCTCAAGTCAGGTAAGGGTAAGTCTTTAAATGAGTTTAACTTAGACATTGATGTGATTTTGTGTTATATTATTGAGCGTAGAACTATTTGACGGTAATATATTGGACTTCCTGGAACTATCGGCCACTATTTGGTGGTATTATATGGTACTAACTGGTTACTCTCTGGTGGTACGACCTGGTAGATATCTCCTTTTGTCATCCGCGAAAAAATTTGTCAACGATGGAAATAGACAGTGATAATGGTGCCGCCATCACCATCAGAGATGCCGACAAGGATCATGTCGATTTGGTGTTGAAGAATGTCGATTTATCAGTAGCTAATTCTATAAGGAGAACCATGTTAGCTGAGGTACCAACTTTAGCTATAGATTTAGTGGAAATCGATGTCAACACCTCAGTATTGGCCGACGAGTTCATTTCTCATAGATTAGGTCTTATTCCTTTGGATAGTACCGATATTGACGAGTTATCGTACAGTAGGGATTGTACTTGTGACCAGTACTGTGACAAATGTTCGGTTAAGTATGAATTAATGGTCAAATGTAATAGTGACTCCACGTCCAATGTTTACGCCCGAGACTTATCGAAATTTAACAACAATAAGATCTTAGGAGATCCTATAATCAAGGACAAGGATGGCCATGGACCTTTAATTTGTAAGTTGAGAAAACATCAAGAATTAAGAATCACTTGTATTGCCAAAAAGGGTATTGCCAAAGAACATGCTAAATGGTCCCCATGTGCAGCTATTGGCTTTGAATATGATCCATGGAATAAGTTGAAACATACTGATTACTGGTACGAAGTAGATGCCGACAAAGAATGGCCAAAATCGGCCAATTGTGACTGGGAAGAACCTCCTGATCCAGAATTACCCTTTGATTATGAACTGAAACCAAATAATTTCTACTTTGACATTGAAACTTCAGGTTCTTTGACTCCTGACAATGTGTTCATGAAAGCTATTGAGGCATTACAGTTGAAGGTGGCAGGAATTGCCGTAGAATTGAATAAAGAGGGTGTTGAAGGTAATGATGCGTCTAATGGAGGATTTACTACATATGGGAAGACCCCTGGGAACCAAAGTCCTGTGGGCGATAGTTATGGTTCTGGATCCTTTGGTGCCTCTAGTTGGTCTTAAGTCCAAGTTTGTTTGGCTTCAGCCACGGTCTTGTTGTACTTGCTAAGGTCCGCCACTCTCACATCCATGTATTTATAGTTAATGATTGTTCCAATATATAAGATCCTGGAATCTCACTTTATCTCCGCCGAAGATATCTAAGGCACTGCCGTAGGTTAAGTCGACTTTCCCTTTACTTAATCTCTGCACTTCATCGAGATCTTCGAGTGATTTGGCTCCACCAGCGTAGACGATTTTCCCTTCGAAGCCCGGAGGACACCATTGGCCTAACTTCTCCACGAGCTTAGCATCGATACCATTACATAATCCTTCGACGTCGGCGGCGTGAATTAAGAACTCATCACAGTACTGAGAGATCTCTTGTAAGAATTTACCACTGAGTTGATTTTTAGTTAAAGTTTGCCACTTGTTCATGGCTACTACCCACCCGTCGCCTACTACACGACAGCTTAAGTCGACAATCAATCTTTCTTTGCCGACCAAGGCGGAGATTTTGTGTAAACGGTCCCAATTAAACTCCATACCATCGTTGTCAGTGAAGAGCCAGCTGGTAACGATAACATGCGAAGCATGGTGTTGATCGAGCCATTCTAACGCATTGGTGTCATTTATACCGCCCCCAACTTGTAATCCGTGGGGCCAAGTGGTACAAGCAAGTTTAGCAGCTTCATCATTAGCCTGATTGGATCCTAATTTGATAACATGACATCCTGTGAGATTATTGTCGTGGTATAATTGGGCGTAGAACGACGATGGTTTGGTAGAAACAAAGTTTTCTGTGACGTCTTTGGTAGTGGTGGTGTCGTCTTGGGTTAAAGTTCCACCAACGATTTGTTTGACCTGACCAGAATGGATATCTATACAACCTCTGAATTTAGTCATAGTGAAGATCTAGTGAGTGCGAGTCACTTGGGAGGAGTGGGGTGTGAGCCTCCGGTGCGAGCTAGCGAGAAAAAGACTGTGAGTTAGGGAGAGACAAATCGTCACACAACCGCGATGAGGTTTCCTATCGTAGACCCATCGCACAACCTTTCCCAAACATAAAATCAATGGATCTGGACTATTTAAAAGCATTAGAAATCCAAAGAAAGAACTTCGAGGCCCAGTTCGGGACATTAGATGACATGGGTTTTGAAGATAAGACCAAAGTCGAAGAAGAAGAGGAGGAATTTGGTGGATTTAGTGATGACAGTGATAGCGATGAGATGAGTGATGAGGAAGATCACAGTAATGACACCAATAGTGATAATGACAGTCTCAATGACAGTGATAGTGAAAGTGACAACGACAATACCGACACTGTTGCCGCCCCTAAAGTCATACGACTCAACGATACCTTCTCCCAACCCATACTATCCAAAAAGGAACAGAAACAAATCCGTTCAGGTAGAATTCTTTCCCTAGAAGAACAGGCCAAGAAGGAGAGATCTCAGACCAAACTCACAGCCAAGCAACAAGCTGCCAATAAGAAAGAAGATGACGAAAACCTCGAGAACGACGTCAAACTTCAAAGATTACTCCAAGAATCCCACATTCTTTCCCATGATTTGAAGTATAGTGGAGCCGACGTAACATTACAGACGTTGGACTATGAGGAACCTACTGGTAAAGCTCGTAAGAAGGCATTGACGTCGAGAATTAGAAACTTATCGGACACAAAACCTTTAAAGTTAGAGAGTATGCCGATGTCCATGAGGAAAGGTATGATCAAAAGTAGAGAGAAGAAGATAGCTAAGTATGAGGAAGAAGCGAAGAATGCTGGGATCATTTTGTCCAAGGTGAAGAAAGGTGAACTTCGAGACTTGAATATGGGTAAGGGTTCCACATTCCAGAGTGACAGATTAGGTAACGGAGTGAAGAAGGTGAATAGGGTGAGAGATAGAGGATTAAAGATTCATAGTATTGGGAAGAGTACCAAGAATGGGTTGATTATCTCGAAGAAAGAGATTGAGAGAATTAATAAGAAGAGGTCTTAATTCCTCTGAAGAAGTTTTCCCCCGAGAGTCTCCACCAACAGTAAACGTCATTAGAAGATCCTCGGAAGGGCCCTAGAGTGGTACCACGTAGTAATACACGTAATTTCTAACCATGCCAGTTCATGCTAGTTCATGCTAGTTGACGTGGTATACACACGCCCGTGGTATAGACACGGTGAGAGATCTCGCTAACTCTACCGCCATAATCGCTAAAATCTCTGCCCCCAACCCCACCATTTCGCATTCTGCGAATTTAAACACAAACATAAACAATGCCTGAAGTGTTACCTAAGAGATCTAATGGTACCAGGATCCCTTCCAGATTACTGGAACTCCCCAGAAGATCAATTTCAGGCAAGAAAAGGATCATGTCCAACCAACTTGACACTTCTTTTGGTGAAGACGCCATTAACTTCGATCTCAATAAAAACACCATCTTAAGTAACTTTGAAGAATGGATCAAGTTATCTACTGATAACAAAATCACCAGTAAGAACTCATGGCAGTTTGCCTTGATTGATTACTTCCATGATTTGAACGTTATTAAGGATGGTGACGATATAAATTTCCAAAGAGCTAGTGCCACATTAGATGGATGTGTTAAGATCTATCTGAGTCGTGTGGAGAGTGTGGCAACAGAGACAGGGAAGTTATTGAGTGGATTGGCCAATAAGAAACAAGAAGATGGTGAAGATATTGAGTTGGAAGATGAAGAAGAAGTTGATCCTGGGAAGAAAGCCAGGAAGATCAATCGTGTGATGGAGAGTACTTTAGTGAAATTTAATACCATTAAGATCAAGAAACTCGACCAAGAGTTGGCCATTGACCCGTTGTTCAAGAAAGCTTTGGCAGAGTTCGATGAAGGTGGTGCTAAATCCCTTTTACTTAATACTTTGAATATTGATAAAACCGGGAGAGTGGTTTTCGATGCCACCACCACGGGGAAACAAGTAGATGAAAAGGATTATACCCCAGAATCTAGTCAAATGTCCCAAACACCTATAAATTTGGGTAAAGTTCAGAACTTATTGTTTAAAGATAATGACACCTTGGACGATTTGACTATTTGTCCATCCATAGAACAGTTGAAGGTGGTGTTGAATGATATCAATGCCGCCAAAACTATCTTAGGGGATGTTAACAATAAGTACATGAACCAGCCAGAGATTGAAGTGGATAAGAATTTTGATTTTGGCCATTATGAGAATGGTGAGGAAGATTTTGGTGGTGATGATTTTGGTGATGATTTTGGTGGTGATGGTGAAGGTGATGGTGAGGTTGGTGAGTTTAATGATTTTGGTGGTGATTTTGAGAATAATGATTTTGGTGAGGATGGTGAGGAGAGAGATGTTCTTACTCACGAAGATGGTTATGAATTGAGACCAAGTACTCAAATTCTTGACCAGGATTTGATGGCTTACTTTGATGAGACTATGAAAAGTAATTGGAGAGGTCCTGAACATTGGAAGGTTTCGATGTATAAGAAGTTTAAGAATCTCAAGGATAATGGTGCTGATGCTGGTGCGAGTGCTGCTACAACTACTAGTGCTGGGGTCAAGGAAAAGAAAAAGAAAGATACCCTTATAATCGATTTTAGTGAAGAATTGGATGAAGACTATGAACAAGATTTATTTGAAAACCAAAAAGCTGCTCTCTTAAGGAAGAAAGATAACGAGGAACCTACTAAATTACCAGTAGATATTCAATATTCTTCCAATAAGTTGATCACATTATTCCTCAAACCTTCTACCATAATGCATTATACTAAAGTACCAAAAAGTTATACTGATGAAACTTTCTTTGCTGACCAGTATAATACTCAAGATCGTATGACATCTTTCCATCAAGCACAAATGGATGAAATTAATGAATTTGACGGGGGTGAAGATGATGTCTTCGGAGGTATCGATTTTAATGATGCTCTTGAAGATAATGCTACTCCTGGTGATAACTTATTGATAGGTGGAAGAAAAGTTAGACCTGAATATGTGAACTTCTCCAGGATAGCTAAGAGAGTGGATATCAAACTCTTGAAAGATAATTTATGGCAAGGTATTCAAAATATAACTCCTCCTTCATCACCAAAAGATTCCCAACCTGAGAAGAAAGAAACCAAATCTTTTGGTAAAGTGGTGGAATCAATTGGTAAAATGTATAATCCTGAAGAAAGGAAAGATTTATCCACAAGTTTCTGTTTTATTTGTTTATTACATTTAGCTAATGAGCATAGTTTAGATATAGAGAGTACAGAGGCACATGATGATTTGAAGATTACTGGGTTTTAGGTTAATATAAGGTTTATTTTACTCTAATGTATTTGTATACATAAAGTTTACAAACGCAACATTTACAAATATAATCTATTAAACCACTATGTACACAAACACAAGGTTCACAAACACAAGGTTCACAAAAACCCATTTAGTTCGGATTTATGGAGTATTTTCTCATTACCACTGGCCCCCGAAGTTAGCGACACCCATCCCGCCAATCTCCCACCACTCCCGCCAAACCTCTAAAATGCGAAATCGCCACAAAGAAAAATTCGTCATGATTTCAATGTTTAAGCCATTAAGATCCATATCAAGGACTCCTTATCGTCCTTTAATATCACGATCGATCATAAGATCAGTGCTTGCCACTCGATCTGTGTCCAACTCCACCATCAACCTTTTACAATCCCAGGAACAAATCGCCAATACAGATCTCAATAATACCACTGCTCAAGCAGAATTTTACAAACTGTTGTTAGCCAATAACTACCCCCACATCGTTGTACAAAGATATGAGACTCCAGGAATTGCCAATTCTCCTGAGTGTACTCAATTATACGCTGAAGCGTTGAATAAGGTGGGTAAGAAAGGTAAGGCCGAACAAGTCACTAAAGCTTTAACTGCTGGTGGTAATCTTGGATTTCCTCAAGGCTTTGGGTCAAAGTATGAACCGGTTCACGTCATTGTCAGTGAAAGTATCTTCACCATCATCTCCAAATGGTTGAAATGGTTAATCCCTGTGGCTTTGATCACTTATGGTGCCACAAATGGATTTAACTATTTGGTTGAGAATGGAACTATCTTCAAGAATACCGAAGTAGTGGATAAGTCTGTGGATGTCAGTCAAAGTACCGTCAAGTTCAGTGACGTGCAAGGATGTGATGAAGCTAGGGCTGAGTTGGAAGAAATTGTTGAATTCTTGAAGGACCCTTCTAAATTCACTGGTTTAGGGGGTAAATTACCTAAAGGGGTACTTTTAACCGGTCCCCCAGGTACCGGGAAGACTTTATTAGCTAGAGCCACTGCTGGTGAAGCTGGGGTACCATTTTTCTTTATGTCGGGGTCTGAATTTGATGAATTATATGTTGGTGTTGGTGCTAAAAGAATCAGAGAATTATTTAACCAGGCTAGAAGTAAGAGTCCAGCTATCATCTTCATTGATGAGTTGGATGCTATTGGAGGTAAGAGAAACCCTAAGGACCAAGCTTATGCTAAACAAACTTTGAATCAATTGTTAGTGGAGTTAGATGGGTTTTCACAAACCTCAGGAATCATTATTATTGGTGCTACTAACTTCCCTGAAAGTTTAGATAAAGCCTTGACCCGTCCTGGTAGATTTGATAAGGAAGTCAATGTAGAATTACCTGATGTTAGAGGTAGAGTTGATATCTTGAAACATCATATGAAGAACGTTGAGACTTCAGGTGATGTAGATGCTTCCATTATTGCTAGAGGTACTCCAGGGTTAAGTGGAGCTGAATTGATGAACTTGGTAAACCAAGCAGCTGTTCATGCATCACAATTGTCAGCTCCTTCTGTAGATATGAGTCATTTTGAATGGGCTAAAGATAAGATTTTAATGGGAGCTGCTAAGAAGAAGATGGTGATAACTGAAGAAAGTAGAAGAAACACCGCTTATCATGAAGCAGGTCATGCCATCATGGCCATGTTCTCTAAGGGAGCCACTCCATTGTACAAAGCCACTATTTTACCTAGAGGTAGAGCTTTAGGTATCACTTTCCAATTACCTGAAATGGATAAGGTAGATATGACCAAGACTGAATGTTTTGCTAGATTAGATGTTTGTATGGGAGGTAAGATAGCCGAAGAAATCTTCAACGGACCTGAAAATGTTACTAGTGGATGCTCATCAGATTTAAGTAATGCTACTAATGTTGCTAGAGCTATGGTATTGTCTTATGGTATGAGTGACGAAATTGGACCTATCAAATTAAGTGATGATTGGGAAAGTTGGTCAATCAAATTAAGAGATTCTGCTGATAAAGAAATAAGGAAATTCCTTGTTGATAGTGAAGCTCGTACCAGGACATTATTGAATGATAAGAAGACAGAGTTGAAAAGATTGGCTGAAGGATTATTAGAGTATGAAACTTTAACTAAAGACGAAATGGAGAAGATTATTCGAGGTGAAACTATCAATAAGAATAAAATGATCAGTAATACGGTCATAAATAAGAATTACGATAGTATTATTGAGCCCAAGCTTCCTAATTAGCATGTAAATATAGATGTTTAATGTGTAGTCTCTTTTTTGTGTTAATTCCTTTTTGTGTTAATCACTTTTTGTGGTTTCTCTTCTTGTATGTTATTGTCTTTCTAATTCAAACTTTTCGGAAAAATTATGAATGATGCCCTGAAAATCGTCTGTATTATGCACACCATGTGATATGCACGTGAAAGTACTCCCTGGCGCGGACACGACCCGAGACGCACAAATTTAACAAAGATCAACTATAACCCACGTGGACCCTTGGATGGGAAAGTAAGTTTTTTTTAGGCAAGTCGGCTAGACACAAATGTTACCGCTAATTGTCATGAGACTCTAACGGATCCACCGTTATTACAATAGATCCACCAACTATAACTCTCTAACTTAACTGAAACCTCCCCCAGCCGCGTATAGATGTGTCAATAATTTGACATGTTTCCGCCTGTCTTTTCCCAAAATCTAGCTTAATTACACGGCTTTCCGACCTAATTCCTCCATCTTTCCTCCCAAACCAGTAACTGACTCCTCCATTCCGTAAGATTTTTTTTTCCATTAAACTATAATTCAACTGCGAAACTTTCCACTCAATCACTCATAGTTAACTAACGTTACATCCCCCATTGCTTTAGTTTAGACCCCATCATTGACGGTGTTGATAGTAAGTTTAGTTCCGAGTAAGTCCATTGACACGTAGATTCATCGTTAAATACCTCGGGTGTTAATAAGTTCACATAATATCCTTAACTGCTAGTAGCATAAGTTTAAACCATGGATCAAAGTACTGATTGGTATAGTAACAAATCAGATACGCCCTATTATGAAATCAACGACATCAACGATGAAAAGTACAATGATAATGACATCATCAACCATATAACGTCCAACATTTATGATCAGAACTCCAATTATCCCTATGAGTTTGATTTGAATGAGTTAGACACTAATTATATTAATGGACAAGGAGAAGGTAACGGCGAAGGACATCAGAATCACCAGAACCATCAAAATCATCACCAGAACCATGAACCTCTTCATAATGGTGAAAATGGCGGTAGTTCGATAATGCAACAGATCGCTAATGCTAACCATAATAATTCTTCAGCTTTCCCTCCTTCGGCCACCATTGAAAATACTCCAATGATGATGGCTAAAGGACATTTGAAACAATTGGAAGACCAAATCATCAATTCTCCCATTTTACCTAGTCAGAACGATAAGTCTTTCAATAATCAGCATTATTATCATAAATTACAAAGAAATGAATCGAAAGAATCGTTTGAAATTCAACAAAATCATATCAGACCGGATGCTGTGTTCACACCATTGGTCTCACCATCTCAAACTCCTTTGGATAGGAAATATTCTAATCCTATTAATACTACGTTTGAACCATTAACATCGCCAGCATTGAACGCTCAGAATCAGAAAGCTTTAAATAAGAGAAGATCTTCACTGTCAGCGTTCCCCACAGTTGACGATAAATTGGTCAATAAGAGAAGAACTCCTCATGGTACTCCAATATTGGCTTCAAATAAGAAATCTCCCTCATCACATTCCAACTCAATATCTATCACTGGGTTTGAAAAATTACCTGAAAGTTCAGTCAATTATTCCAATTCCAATTCCAATTCGAACTCAAATTCTAATACTCCAATGTTACCTCCACAAAAGAAAATCGATAATACATCTCCACAATTAATGAGTTTTACTATGGGTAAGTTGGCCAAACAACAATCTCAATCATCATTTGAAAACTTACCTTCAACAAGTCCTACCCTTAAGTCTCGTAATTCGTCAATATCCCAATCAGCTGAAAATTCACCTAATTTAATGGCTAGGAAGGAAAAACCTGCTATGAAAAAGGCGTCTCACAAGTTAGCTGAACAAGGTAGAAGAAATAGAATGAATTTAGCTGTTCATACTTTAGGAGGGTTGATTCCTCAAAATTATCATGATCAGGTGACCATCCCATCCAAAGCTACAACAGTAGAATTGGCAGCAAAGTATATAAAAGATTTATTGGCAGAGATTGATGATTTAAAAAATCATGTTTAATGTATTATGTGTGAAATTCGCAGGTTCTGATGTATGTATAAATATAAATAATTTAGGATTGATAGCAGTTAGAACAAACAGGGGGTTATAGTTGTATATACTTCTTTATTCCAGTTCTTTCGTTCACTTTTTAAGTTCATGGTTTCAATATTTCTTTTTGTACCCTTTGTGTTTGTACCTTTTTGTTTTTGTACACGGACGCACAAATGAATAAATGGACAGATTCTGAATTTTTCATGGTAGACGATCCTTTTTACGACTTTCAAAACGGATTTGACTCAAAATCTTTTGTGATCGGTCTATAATTAGTTTAAAACATTAAAAGCTACTGTCAAAGATATTTGAACCACTCCATAGTCTCTCCTGTATTGTCCGCGTCACTCCGTTCACTTTCGCAAGAAATCCGTTCTTTCGCAGCCATCTCCGTGTTTGCGTGTTTTATTCCGTATCCCGTCTCTCAACACAAAACTAACTATCAACGGAATAGCTGAATACACCACTAAATGATGCTTTCCTCAACCATCCTACTTGTTCCCATTGTAGGACCATGATCCGTCAGGTTTGGTATCTGAAAATCAAAAATTGTAAGACTTTGAAACTCATCACAAATATGCCAAAATAACTAGCCGTGCGTCACTAATCCCACTCCAAAAACTATAAAATGTATCAATTTCCCTATTTTCTCTACAGTAATGACACAAAAAGATAGTATGGACTCAGTTAGAGTCAGTAAAGACCAACCACAAAAATATATGGAAGCAGATGCCGGTGATGGTACCAAAAGGGAAGACCATTACCTTCATGGTGTGAAATTAATCATCTGTATCGCTTCTTTGGTATTGAATATGTTCTTATGTGGATTAGATCAAACCATTGTGGCTACAATTCTTACAGATGTCACCAATCAATTCGAATCTTTCGATAAAGTTGGTTGGTTAACTTCTGGATACCTTTTACCCATGACAGTTTTGTCCGCCAATTGGGGACAATTATCGATTTTATTTGGTAGGAAATGGGTTATGATTATTTCCATTATCATCTTCGAATCAGGTTCTTTGATGTGTGCCTTATCCCCCAATATGAACACTTTGATTGGTGGTAGAGTTTTAGGAGGTATTGGAGCTTCAGGTATTCAGTCAAACATTTTCATTATTATAAGTGAAGTTGTAGATATGAACCACAGACCTGTTGCATTCACAGCCCTTGTAGCTATCATGGGTATTGCATCAATCGTTGGTCCATTAATTGGTGGTGCTTTCACGACAAATGTCTCATGGAGATGGTGTTTCTACATCAACTTGCCTATCGGTGGAGTTGCCGCCATTTTGTTCTTCATCGTTTTCAACCCTCCAAAACCATCCAGAAACTTCAAAGAAGCTTTAAAAAAAATCGATTACGTTGGCACTTTCCTCCTCGCTGGAGGTTTGGTGGTATTCTTCCTTGGTTTAACCTTTGGTTCCAATGGCCAATATCATTGGGGTTCAGCCGCCGTTATCCTTTGTTTGGTCTTGGGCGTGTTAGCCATTATGGGGTTCATCTTATGGAATTGGAAATTCAGCCCTAACCCTTTAATTCCTTTGGAAGTGGCTAAAGTCCCCCAAATCAATGCTTCAGCCGCCGCTATGTTCGGTATGTTCGGTTCTATGATGGTGATGGTATTGTACTTATCTATTTACTTCCAAAACATTTGTCAAAGAGATCCTCTTCATTCAGGGTTGAGTTTATTATCCTTAGTCATCCCCATGATTATTTGTTCTATCTTCATGGGGTTCCTCATGAAGAAAACCATGTTGGTTAAACCCTATGGACTTGTTGGAGGTGCCTTGATATTGGTCGGGGGAGGTATTGTATCTTTATTGGAAGTTGATTCTTCCGACACCAAAAAAATCGGACTTCCTATAATTTCCGGTCTTGCTAACGGGATTATCATGCAAGCAGCAATATCATCATCCCAATTATCTGCTCCAAAAACCCCAGGAGCTATGATCATGACAACTTCTTATACCATTTTCTGGAGAAACTTAGGTGGTACTTTAGGAGGTATTGTTTCCGGAGTTGTCTATAACACTTCCTTCCACGATAAATTATCTTCAGGATTGAAAGACTTAGCTACTAGTGATCCTAGTTTGTATGACCAATTCCACAAATACACCGTCGACCAGTTGATGAGTTCCACTGATTATCTTAATGAAATGTCCTCAGCTGGTGTTGCTTTCCTCAAACATTGCATGATGAAGGGTATAACCAGTGTATTTTATCTCAATTTGGGTTTTGCAGCCATTTGTTTCTTGGGGTCAGTATTTTTCACTAACAAAATGATCCCCAGTAAAGATCAAATCAAGACCAAACAAGATAGAGATGTGGAGGACGCAGAGAAAGCCAGTAAGGACGTAGACAATGCTGATTCTGACAAAGACGCAGAGAAAGTAACTTCAGATAAGGACGAGTCGGGAAAGATTTCATCGGAAAACCCAAGTGATAGAGTTTAATTTTAATGTATATATTTGATTTTGACAGGCTTTCGTACATATTTCGCGGCAAAACGCACATATGCCGCCTCTAATTCCGCACTCTTTATTGAGCCTCTGCAGTGAGCCTCTCCAGTAAATGGTCAGGCCCAAAAAGTCCTGAGCTGTTCTTCTATTGTATGTTTATTTTCCTAAGTCTTGTGGTAGCTGTGCTATCTATACAACAAAATGCCTTCCAAATTGATAGTGACTTGTACGAGAAACTGGCAGTGGAAAAATTGGGTGTAGATGAAGTCAAACAGTATGCGGAGTATATAGACTTTGAGGATAAACACTTATTTTATTGGTTTTTTGAGAGTAGAAACAATCCTTCAACTGATCCTTTGATTCTTTGGTTGAACGGAGGTCCTGGGTGTTCTTCATTAAGTGGACTATTCTTCGAACTAGGTCCTTCTTCCATTAACTCCGAATTGAAACCCGTTCGAAATGATTACAGTTGGAATAATAACGCTTCCATAATATTCTTGGACTCCCCCGTCAACACCGGTTACTCTTTTGGGTCGACTTACGTCAATAGTACACAACAAGCATCTCGAGACATAGTGATGTTTCTCGAACTATTCTTTGCCAAGTACCCTTCATATGGTCAATTACCATTCCATATTGCTGGAGAATCCTATAGTGGCCATTACATCCCCCAGGTTGCCAAAGATATCCTCAGTTCAAGCCATATCCGTCTCAAGTCCATAATGATAGGTAATGGACTCATTGACACTTTAACTCAGTACGAGTTCCTCCATCCCTTTTCCTGTGAAGAGTACCATCTTTTGGATGATATTGAGTGTCGGAAAGTTAGACAAGCCACCAAACCGTGTCTTCTAATGACCCATCACTGTTACAATACCAATGACGAGGATATTTGTAGAAGAGCCAATGACTTCTGTGCTGATCAAATATTTGGCCCTTTCTTCGAAGCTAACGTGGATGTGAACGACGTAACATCAGATGGGCGTCCTTATCAAGGCAAATTGAATGCTGAAGCCTATTTGGGGTCTGAAAACGTCCAGCAAGCTCTAGGGGTGGAGATCAATGATTACCAACTCTGTAATCCAGAAGTCAATTACCCCTTCGCCACCTCAGGTGACTTTCTGAGAGGTACTTACAAACAAGCTCTAGAAGAAGTTCTCACCAAAGGTCTACCCGTTCTTATCTATGCTGGAGACCTTGATTTAAGTTGCAATTGGCGAGGTCTTCTTGAAGTTACTACCAAATTAACCTGGCCGGGCCAACGTCAGTACACCAACACCAATTTCCAAGACTGGTTTAATGGAGATAAACATGCAGGAGAGTCTAAACTGTACGAAAACCTCACTTTCTTGAAAGTATTTAAAGCAGGTCATTTCGTACCATTTTTCCAACCAGAGAACGCTCTAGATATGGTAAATAAATGGATTCATATATACAATGCATAGTTTAAAACCTATCGTCTTCTGGCCACCAATTAGGTCTCATTATCTTAATACCAATGTATTTCGTATTGAGACACGGCACTTCCACTTTGAAGTAGGTTTCTTTAACAGACTCCAATCTCAAGAGAATGAAACCCAAGTTATCTTGAACGGAGAGAATCTTCCCGATATTCAGTTTCCGTTTCTTCATTTTCCCAAACGGAGATGCCACGGCTTCTTCTGAAACCTCTTTTTCAATCAATGGTGTGACCTCAAGATTCTCCAAACCAGTACTACTCAAATCTTCTGTAGCACAATCATTGATTTCGAGTTTCAAATGATCTAATTCGTCAACTTGAGCCAACTTTTCATCAGTCAATTCAAAAAATTGGAAAGGAAAGATTCGTTTTCTCAAAACTCCCCCATTGTATGTTCTACTAGTCAATTCTTGACCAACATAACACCCTTTATCGGCAGACATTCCATTTATATAATCGATATTCATATCAAAAGGTAACAATTGGAAATTCTTAGGAGCATCACTCGCTTCAAATAACCCATTTAAGAACCTCCGTTGTCTATATTCCGTCTCCTCTACCATTTTAATAGGAAATTGAGCTTTGAACGAATCACTCAAGAAACTCTCATCTATTTCCCCATCAGTTACCAACTTTATCCCAAAGTTGGGGATCCTATTATCTATTGCCAACCCTACCAACTTACCAGCTTCCTTTTTATTTACAAGCACTTCATCTTCAATCATCTGGGCCGATTGTTTGTTGGCATCTTTGGGGTTAAATGTGAAACAGTATTTGGCCTGTAAGTCCTCCAAATATTCATCGAATTCCACACTATCATGGTACAAGTAATACAGTTTGAGTGAAGTTTCCTCAAAACTCACCTTGGCGCCCAACTTGTACATGTTAAGCATGAACATTAACTTACTGGTGATGGAGTTCTCTACCTCAATCATAAACTGAGGATCTTGTTTGGGCGTTACATATGGATATATGAAACAGTCAGTCAAAACCCTACCTTTAGCATTCAAGAACATTGAGCTCACACCATCACGACGGATCATTATATGATTTTCAGGGTCGTATAAGTCTTCATGCATTATTCCCCAGTCTTTTTTCAAGTCTAAAATCTCGTTCAAATGGGCATGACGAATGTCGACATCGGAGATTGTGTGTTGGTTTTTCTTAATGATATTGGGTAGAAATCTCGTGGTGACTAACCCATTAAGGAAGGACGTGGTATCCTGACCAGAGAGCTTGATTATGGATTTCGATAGCTTAGTCAAACTCATGATAATTTCTGGGTGCGAAGTGAGGGAGAATTATCTCCCTAGCGCAAAGACATGTAGCACCAATGTCTCAGTCGAGGCATCGGTATTTGGTATGAGAAAATCTTAACATTAAACTACATATTTAAAGGTCTACCAATTTCATGTTTTGGTCTGTCTTCCTTTTCTACTTTCAAATCATCAACACTTTTGTTCAATTTCTCTCTGATTCTTTCATTCAAGTCGAACTTGTTCTTCAAATCTGCCCTCAAATTGACCTGGGATTGATGGCTAGATAATGCTGGGGAATGTAAATAACTGTTGGAGTTATTCAATTCTGAATTACGCAAGTCCAACTCTCCGAAATCAAAGTATCCATAACCTCCCAAATAATCAAACTCTGAGGATGAGTTGGTCATAGGTGAAGAGCCAAATGATTCGGGGTCTTCAAAGTTGGAAGTGGAGATCGGGTTACCACTCAATTGGCTACTTTGGTAAGGAAGTTGATGAGTAGAAGGTGCTTGAGGTCTCTCTCCGGGTGTGGCAAGAGGAGTGTTGACCGAAGATTCAGATATCTCGAATCTAGGAGATTTGTTATCATAAGAAATGGTGGCTTGTCCAACAGATAATTCAATAGGATGTTTTGTAGCAGCGGAATCGATATTTAAGTTCTTCAATTCATTCTCAAATCTTAATCTTTGTACTTCATAAGATCTATAGCTATTATCCCTATTGATGTTATCTAACAAATCACTCTTGGACATCAAGATAATTTTAACTTCATTGACAATTTTGTGTAATGTGTGTAGGAATCTGTCATTCTGACGGAACTTGGAACTCAAGGTAAGTAACACTTTATCGGTATGAACGATATATCCGATTCCAAAACCTTGGTCCACAGCAGGAGGAATCCCAAATAGGTATAACGCGGGGTTACCACAATTCGAGATAAGTAACTCCGGAGTTAAGATTCTACTTAATACATTATTTGACAAAATAGGTAAGTAATCTGTAGATAACGCTTCGAAATCTAATGGTGGTAATTCTTTATTGATGGAGTTTAAGAATTTAGATGCCTTTGGGTGATTGGTTATATGTAAAAGACTAGTCAAATGTCTTTCGAATCCTTTACCCTTCATAGCATTCAAATATTGAGCCGTATGGATCTTACAACACTTATTGAACAATTCCCATTTCTTGGATTTTGAAGATGTGGTGATGAATAATTTAACAAGATTGGTGATATCATCATTTTGTACAGCTATTAATTCCGTTCTAGCATCACGGAATTTTCTGGTGGTGATAGGTTCCAAAGTGTTGGAGATTTTTCCATACAATGAGTAATTAGTGATTTGGAGACAAATCTGGATCACCGAGTCAATGGATATCTCAAGCTTGGACAATAAGGCAACATCGAATTTCAACTTAATGGTGGTGTACAAATGTTGATTAATCAAATCAGCTAATCTGGTTTCACTCAAATGGATCAAGTTCAATAATTCTGGAGTTTTATTGATAACCAACCTTTCATAATTAGGCTTATCAGAACTGAGTTTATTGGAAACGAATTTGATTTCTCCAAATAAACTATACTCGATAGCATTGATGTTTTTAGCCAACTTCAAGATCAGGTCAGTATAAATGTCACTGATGAATCTAAGAATGGCAGTGGAGTCCATTGAAGTACTCTCCCAAACTATTCCTGCTACACTATTAGCAGTGACAATGATTTGTAACTTATCGTACCATCTAGAAGTACAACTTCCAACTTGAACATTATGGTCTAATTTTGAAGATCCATGAGAAATGCACTGAGTCTTCTCCTGGTCAGTAGTAGGAGTGTTATCATCAAGTACTACCACGAACAACGCATCATCAATGGCTTGTAAGTTCTCCAGATTAGATTTAGAGAGTTCAACTCTACTCAATCTCCAATAGTTATAATTTTGTGTGGTCAATGAACCAATAGCATTATTGATTCTATCGATAGCATCAAATTTCTCCGAGTCAATGATGATGTCCTGCAAGATCAATGACATGTCATAATCATTGAAATAGATTTCGTTATCTCCATTCAATACTTCGATCTTATAGAACTGATTATGGGATATTACCACGATATGTTGGGAATCTGGACATTTCTGGATCTGGATATGGTGGTAATTATCGATAGAATCAACTTTAGGAACTCTGGTGGTTCCGAAAAGATTCTTATAACAATTCATAGTCAAAGGGTTACCATTTTTCGGAGTTACGTCCGGTTTCAAAGTTTCATGTCTTAAACTTATGATGAACTTCAAACTGGAATTTATCAAACTAGCAGCACGTTGTTGTTGATTAGGAGGATTCATAAACTTAGAATAAGGGTCTTCCTGTAATACCAAGTAAGGATTTCTAGGTAAGATATCACCTCTCAAATCACCATATATTCCTGGATTAGTTTCATCATTGATACTATTGAGGTAGCAATGGTGACCTTCTTTTTTGGAAACCGAAGTTAAATGTTGTTGAATCTGTGAAATCAAAGGATGGTTCAAGAACTCACTGGATTCGTTCAATAATTCATTGTACTCATCCACAGAAACTAAAGGTTTTATTGCCACCAACAATTGATTGATGGTGGAACTTAACGGAGGCACAGGCAATTCAGGTAATGAATCTTCGTATTGGTAAGTAGCCATCACGGTGTTTAGGAATTGGGAATTTGATGATCGTTTTCTTGAGTTTTGGGTATTTTGTGGGGATGATGGGTGCGAGTATCACGCGATAGTGAGCGTGATGAGTCATGTGACCACACAAATCATTTTTATGTTAAATAGGGGTTTTGTCAGTCAAAGGAAAGGGATACTGGAAAGTACCTGCTAAAAACCCCTAACAAAAAGCCTCTCATAACGTCATTATCAATAAAATACACATATCCATAATTAACTCCCTGAGACCTAAGGCTGAGTCCTCAGCCCTTTCAGCCTCTGCCTCCATTCCCCATTTTTCATCCTATAGAACCGTTAGTAAAGACTCAAACTATGCACAAGAGGAATTTTTGGGGCGTTGATGAAAGTTCAAGTACAGGATCTTACAAAAGAGGAAGTTCCCGTGAGCACTATCTTAATTCGGCGAATTTCCATAAATTCAATTATAACGGCTGTGTATCGGATAACATTGATTCCGTAGTAAAGGAATTATCCAAACAAAGCCAATACCTCAAAATTCAGTATAAGCCCAGTTAAACCGGCCAGTAACTATTCCCCTCGAAATATCGGTTGATTAACCGTCAACCACTATAATTAAGCACGGTCCAAGGGCTTTAAATCGGAAACGTTGCCGAATCGATTTGAGTGTGCCGTAAAAAAAATAATTAATTTAGAGATGCTTTCGGAAAGAGAGGATGTCAGTCATTAGCCCAGGTTAGGATTATCCAACCAATCACATAGTTTCTTCACGAATCCTCTATCAGTTTCTCTGTAGCAGGTGGTTTCTCTAACGGTTGCTCATTTCCATTTTCCTGATAAGGCTGATAAGGTTGTTGTGTCAAAATTGGGGCTCATTGAGGTATTTTCCATACCCAAAGTAGCCAAAAACCTCTCTCAAAATGATGTTAAGATGTCAAGAATTGTCACAAGATCGAAGAGCTATCCCTTACCATATATTCATAAAATCGTACTAAGAATGAGTATAATTATTAATTAAATCATTGGATTCCAAAGCTTTAGCTTCATCCATCAAAGGTTTTATACAAAGCCAACCAGTTTCAGTTCTGAAATGTCTTGATAATGCATCACTTCTAGCAAATTTCTTTCCACAGCCCCATTTGGTTTTACCATCTTTTAAAAACCCTTCACATTTAAAATTCTTCTCTCCATTGTGTAAAAGTTCATGCCTCTTTTTATCATGACTTCTGGCAAATGTCTTTGGACAATAAGAACATTTGAAAGGTTTCTCCTTTGAATGTGATTTCATATGTGATTTTAAATTGTATGGTTTAGCAAATATCTTCCCACATACTTGACATGGTAATTTGGTTTGATCTTCACTAACATTAGTGGCTGATTTGGATCTTCTCTTTCTTTTCAAACTTGGAGAATTGGTATAATTTATGATAGAACTATAATCAATGGAATATTTATCATCTTCTTTATCCATATAAGCATATTGCATATCGTAGTTTTGATTCATAAGAACAGTTTGATTGTCATGTATGTTGTGACCTGGAATATTTAATCCTTGTGATGGCATTGGTACCATATTCATTTGCATTTGATTCATTTGCATCTGATTCATCTGCATTTGGTTCATCTGCATTTGAGCAACAGACATTTGATTTGGGATCTGTGGACCTTGTTCATCCCATGCATCCTTTGATGAGTAAAATTGCAAAGGTGGTAAGTTATTCAGAAGTCCAGTTGATTGTAATACCTGTTGAGGTTGAGTCTTTACTGGTAATATAGACTTCTGGTAAGGGTATGATAAGGATGGTAATAATGGTTTAATATCTTGATTATACATATTGGAAATCATTCCTCAACCATAAAAAAATTTACTTTTACGGTATCGACTAAAGGGATTTGCATTACTTAAATAGTTTTTGACAATTTTTTTGACCAAAATTCTGACAGGTCGCGGGTTCCTAACTCAAAGGATAAAATAGTCGTGTCCATGGCATGAAACCTGTCAAAAACATTTTAAGCCATTGAGAGATTTTAATTGGGTGATTCCATTTGATTGGGATTTTAGCAATTGAAGACTAAAATAGATTAAGGTTGTAAACAGTGTAATTATAAGACGAGAGCAAATTTTATCAACGGAATAAGTTATTAGGGAGGGAGCCGATATCACTCCGAAAAGTCTAAGCCATTTTTTTGAGAGTTAATGAAATTTTCAAATTCTCCTTTTTTTACGATACTGCCAACTGGTTAGGATAAATATGCGAGTGGGTCTATTATAGGGCTATAGCTAACTTTGCATTAATAGCCCTAAAATATCAGCCTTGGAGTTATTAACAATAGCCCCATATGAAGCTTGGTTACAAGCCACCATTTTTAAATACCTCAACCGTTCTAGATAACGATTATCATGACCCAACTTAAGGTTTTGGGGTTCGTAAACATCGGTGCATCAGGTTATATTCCGAATTATTTTTCACAAGCCTTCGCTATGAAATTATTGTCGATCTAAAGAGGGATTTGAGGGATATTTTATAGCATAGCCATTCATTGAACGCGTTAAAACATATATTCCTAAGCCCTTACCTGCTCCATCAAAAGTATTGTTGTGTTTATAACTCAAAAACTTTATGTCAAAAAAAACTTTAAACTGAGCCCCGGGTTTGGGTTTGAGAATTCCTTTAATTCCGTGCTAATATTCTTGGATGTTATCATTAATATCAGTGATTTTACAATTGGAAATAGTAATAAGTACCAATGCTGATTCATCGTTAGCATAGTTATCCAATTGTTTATTATCGATGTTGGAATTGTTCAAATGTAAATTTTTAAAGAACTGAAATTTCTCATCAGTGGGTTGTAACACCTTACATTCACCATTTAACATCACTGACACTGAATTCAATTCATTCTTGTTGAGATTGGTGATTAACTCGAATAAAGAGTTTCTTCTACCATTTTCTTCTTTCTTGTCACTGATCCAATCATGAATCAACATGGATACTTTGTTGTTCTTAGTAATGTTCTCATACTTCGTAGTATCCTTGGGTGTGGAAATAACGATGAATTGATTATCCCCATCTTCATAGTATGTGTAATTCATCAATGAAACATGAGGAAAGTCATTGTGGCTGGTAGCTAAATGGAGGAATCGAGTGGACTTGATTAGTTTCTTTCCTGATTCTGGTATCATGATGCGAATTGTGAGATTGCTGAGTGAGGATGTGTGAGATAGTGGGGTGGTGTGGGCTGGTAGAGATGAATATGTGCGGTTGGATTGTGTTACGTATTTCAGGGATTTGTTGAACAGAGGTCGGGATATCTGGGTGAGTAATTCAATCGGGGGCTTGATCTATCGGACCATTATATGAATGTAACATACCCACGGAATACCATCTGCTCTTCAAGTGATTCAAGAGGGGGGTTCACAGGGGTCTGTCTTCACTCATATGCTGAGGTTTACAACTCTGATCGATCGTCACAAGGTGTCTAACTTCAATAATCGGGTTATCACAATGCGATACATCCCATTGATATCATCGAACGATATTGATATGCCACGAAAACCGTAATGTTTTCCATGGGAATAATCTCGGTTGTGCCTTCTATTTCCATATACAACGACATTTCATGTTCAAAGGGTTTGGAGTCACGTTTCTCTCAACAAAACTTTGTCTTCTGATAGAAGTTGTTGATAGTTTTGAGATATTTTGCGAGCGGGCTACGGACTTGTTTAAGGTCCGTATATGTGAAATTTTCTTTGCTCAATAATCTACTGGGTATAAAAGGCAACAAACTGAACATCCTCATCTCTTAACTTCTTTTTACTCGTCCGACCTTCAACCAATGAGTGTGAAAGCATGCAGCAAGTACTGGTAACGGCTATAAATTGAGTGTCTTCCTTTCACTCTTGAATATAGATCACGAGCTAATCCCCATTGATCTTCGAAAAGGTGAAACAAAACAACCCTGGTTTCTTGAACTCAAACCGAATGGTACGATTCCTACTATTAAAGACGAATCATTCGATATCTCTCTTGGAGAGAGTGCCTCATTGATGATTTACTTCTGATACTTACGATAAAGAGAGGAAATTCAGTTATGCCCCCGGGACCAAAGAATATTATGAAATGTTAGAGCTTTGTTTTTTCCAGATGTCTTCGGTGGGACCTTCGCAAGATAGAGCCCTCATTATAGCTTTGTTCGAGAAAGGTCAACATGTTGAAGAATTCGAGAGGTTATCTAAAGAAATCAGACGGTTATACTCAGTCTTTGAAGAATTCTTGAAGAGAAATCAAAGTCAGTACGGATCCAAATTTCTCGTGGGGGACCATATTTCTGTGGCTGATATTTTGTTCCTTAGTGTAGCGGTGTTTTTACCTATCATTGATATACCAATCACTGACTTTCCCTTGATGAAGGAATGGGCTACTGATTTGTTGGAGATTCCTGAGATCATCGAAGGTTTCACTTCCCCTACTTTGCCTTACATTTGGGATGACTGCTTGCCTCCTATTGTTAAAGGGGATATCTAGTTCCAATACATATCTGGGTCTTGTTCGAACCCAATACATATCTGGGACCAATACAAAGTCACTCTATCTCTAAGAATGTGCGCTGGAAACTAACAAGTAGAGGGCTCCCATCCTTTGTTAACAACACCACACCACGACCATCTTCCCTCATTAAATAGATCGTTGACCTGCTGGCGTCTTCAACTTAAACACTCTGCTCCAAATATTATACATCGCGAATTAACGATGGAGTTTGGTGATGAGTTTACTCCTGTCAGTAAACTATCCAAGGAGGAATTGAATGAAGACGTCTTGTTGAAACAACTCAAACAAAAGCAGAATGTAAGGAAAGAAGAAACAGCGAAGAAGAGAACCGCCACATTGAACTTTTTCCAATCCTTCAAATTATCAAACACAGAATCGAAAAAGAGGAAATTGGACGAATCTGAAGATCAAATGGACCAGGAAGACGTGTCCACTCACCAGGATACATCGATAGACAATAAGAGCCACAGCTCGGCCGATGTGGAGTTCATTAAAAAAACCATCAAAAGACAACTTTTGAATCCCATTTTGGACACGCCCCAAGTCAAGGAACTCTTCAATATCATGCAGAACACCGTCAGAGATAACGAAGGAACATCCACGGTATTGATAGGTCCCAAGTCGTGTGGAAAGACCACTTTGATCAATCAATGTATAGCAAAATTAAACGATCTTTATCCAGATCAGTTCTTTGTCATAAGGCTCAACTCCTTTATCCACAACGATGATATTAGTGCCATCAGAGAGATAGCCACACAATTGAATGTATTTCTTAAGAGTCATGGCCATCCTTTGAACATAGAGTCACGTCAAATCAATAATGCCTTCAAACAAGTGTTGAGTATATTAGAGTCTGATGTAGGAGTTTCGTTCATTTTCATCATCGATAATCTTGAAGATTTTACCACAGGTAATAAGCAGGTATTGCTTTATAATCTCCTTGATATTACTACCAATTCCAAACTGGTTTGTGTGATTGGTACCAGTACCAAATTCACCACCAGAGAATTATTGGAGAAAAGAGTCCGTTCTCGTTTCAGTCAACGTTTGATTATCATGAATAAGATCAGTAACATTGATCTGTTCACCAGGGAGTGTTTGAAAGGTTTCAAATTATCGGAAGAAGATCAAGCATTGTTGGATAATATGGATTATGGGATTGAATGGAATCGACAGTTTGATGAAATCGGTTCTAATTTGAAGAAATTGATAATCATGAACTTCAACACTGTAAGAAGTATCAAAGTGTTCAATAATTCGATGTTTCTCCCATTATCAATGATTTCCACCAATTCACCTTTATTGGATGATGAGAGAATCACGTTGAAACCTCCGCAAAATTATATCGAATCATTAATCAAGAGCTTATCGACCACGGAAATCCTTCTAGCTATTGCTTGTGCTAGAGTAATAGAAAAGTCCAATTTAAGTGCTTTAAATTTTAACCTCTCTTATCAAGAGTACACAGCTATGATGAAAGAGTTTAATGAATCTAGAACTATCCTCAAAACCTCATCCATAGCCAACCACGCTATTTTAAACAGTGTGAAGGTGACAACAAAGATCTGGAACGCTGATATCATGAAAAATTGTTGGATGGCTTTATACAGATTAGGTTTGTTAATTGAGTATGTACCCAATACTGTTGAAAGAGGTATTGCTACGGGAAATTCCAATAAGTACTTTATGTTGGATGATAATAAAATGTGTCAATTAGACATCTCATTGATGGAGTTAAATACTTTGGTGGCTGATAAATTCAAGACCTTAACCAAATTGTAGTATAGAATAAAAGAAAGGCTTCTATTTCCATAAGGAAATCTCATCGGGAACCTCTACTTCATCTGGTCATGGCATGATCTACTACTCCTCTATGACGTCGTTATCAAATCTCGCTCTCATTTCCAAATTGAGAAACCTGCATATTTCTAGACACCACAAGTTTGATTAACTACGAGTGATTCTTTTGGTGAGCATTATTTACGACAATTATGAAACATGGATTTGTTTCAGATTATCGTATCCCTACATATTTAAACATGACAATCCCTGGATAAATGAACAATTGATTTACAATTCTTTTCTGGATTTTCTTTCACGGTTTTCTTTTTCTTTACCCCCCATGACTGACATTGATAGTCCGTTGTCGTTTTCCAACTTGAATAAAGTTCTACAAACAATTTCTAACGATATAGATATCAAAGGAACTATGATTGAAAATACGAGTGTATTATCTGATGAATGTTCTCAAAGCTCAGGTAAAACTTTGTGTCAAACTATCAATAAAACCTTTGATAAGACGCCCAGTGGTAGGATTATGGAAGAAAATATCAAAGATATATATTCTTTGTTGATACTTAATGTTACTTCTAACTCACAGGAGAAATGGTTTTTCATAGCAAAACAACCACCGTATTCGTTCATTTACGATGACGGCTTGAAGATTTTAAAGAACATAAATTATGATATTGAAACTTCTTTATCGACCGTTTCCTTGTCATACCAGTTCAGTCAAAAAACCGCTGAAGGATTACTCCAAAAATTCTATGAATCGAAATTGTTGCACAGTCCCCTTGATCGGACTCGAGATAAAATCAAACAAGGAATTTTTTTGCAGCCAACCCCAAAAGGTGTAGCGATTTTGTGTAATTTTATCAACAAGAATGGCATAAAGTTCAAGGTGGTACCTCCTATTATTACTTCTAATTTGAACTCAATGGAATTGTTCTGCTTCGAAAGAAATTTCTTAAACGACAAAATAGTGTATTCTGATTACCTCATCAAAATCTTATTCATAAAGATGTTTGGTCGGAAACCGAATGTTTGGTCTCCCAACAACAAGCAGGAGACATTCAAGGTTAATGTAGCCAATTTACATAATTTGACGAGTGAAAATGTTAGTAGCGTTAATAATATCAAAGACACCGTTCAGACCAGTCCTTTGTACCATAGATATTTCACCAATCCAGGGTCTGATGCTCATGTACAATATTATTTATCCAGTGGAGTCAGGTTATTCGAAGACAAGACAATTGGAACTCAATCCAAGTACGTTGTTAGTGGTAAAGCGATTGGACAATGGTTGATGGACTGTACTGATATTTTGACTGCAAAGACTGCGGTAGAAATAGGAAACCTTTTCATTGAGTCGGGGCTCTTACTATCAGCAGATCAACAACCATTTTCAATGAACTACAACCACTTTTTCCATCTTAGTGAAAGAGCCAAAACCTTAGTGTTCTGGTATAGAAATAAACTGAAGAAAATAAGGGTCAATGACCCTAAGCAGAGCAAGTCACCAGAATTGAAGAGCTTTTTGACCGATCCGGGACTTCGGTATCTTTTCAAAGTTCATTCCAATAACGAATTTTGTTGTGAAAACATAGATGCCTATAATCAATTAAAGCTCCACACCAAAAAAGTCAAGTTTCTTAATAAACTCATCGATTATGTGGAAAAACACCATTTGAACAAATCTCCAGATTATCATAAGAAGTTCAAAACCCAGATTATCAAACTTTCCAACGATTGCTTATCTCTCGCTTATCACATTTATTTCACTTACTTGTCTTTAGATGCATCTTTTGTGTTGAACATCGACTACAGCTTGAGGAAGAAAGTTTCCACATTGTTAATAGACAACAAAACTTTTTGCAGCCAAAGTGATGTTTTCGAACAAAAATATTTCACTAAGGAATGTAATGAACTCAACGGTTCGATGTTAGATGCAACCGATGAAGGCTTTTATATTCCTTTGCAAGACGATGATTGTTCCATTTTCAGTGGTAATAATACAAACACTGTAGTAGTTGAAGATATACCTACAAATCCTTCAAGTCCTAGAGACGAACAATTCAACGGAGTTTATCAAACTATCGTTGATTTTGCTCCTTTGGTCAATGAACTTATGATGTTTATCTATAGGATGATGGAAGTTGATTCATTCAGTAAGTTCCTTGAATCCCAAATATATCGAGACTTTCAAATAATCTTAGAGTCGAACTCAGAGAACTAGCGTACTTGAAATACATTATATGTAGTACTATAATACATGAGATGAAGATTAAGCCATTGGTTCTAAAGCAGTACCTTTTTTGATGGTAGCCCAACCAATCAAACGCCAATGTTTTTCGATACGTCTTGATAATGCAATTTTTTCGTTAACTTCAGTACAAGCAGGAGAAGTTAATTGTAATCTTGCCATATCAGCTTTAACAGCAAGAACTCTTGCACCAGTAGCAGTTGAACCAATATTAACCATTAAAACTTCACCAGTTTCTAATTTACGAACTTTAGCACCTTTTTGACCATCAGTTTTAACCCCTAATAATCTTCTTAAAAGGAAATAATTAATTTCTATATCAGTATAAATAGATGGTAAATCACCTTTGGCTCCAACAACTTGACCAACTAATCTATCAGCTCTACATAAAGTTGGATCAACTTTAGTACCAACCCCGATTAATCCACCAGGAACAGCAAATTTCAAATCATTATTCTCAGCAAATAATGAAACAATCTTTGAAAAGATTGGTTTACATTGAATTTTACTATTTTCGTCAGTAGTAACAATACCTGGTCTAATTTCAATTTCATCACCGATTTTGAAAACCCCATTTAAGATAGAACCACCAGCAACACCACCTTTTAAGTCATCAATTTCAGCACCTGGTTTATTAACATCGAAAGATCTAATAACAATTAATCTTGGTGATACCATAAAATCTCTAACAGGAACAGGAATATAATTTACTATAAATTGATTAACAGCATCAATATTATATTTTAATTGAGCAGAAATTGGAACAATTGGAGCACCATCAGCAATAGTACCTTTAATGAATTTTAAAATAGATTTTTCATGTTCTAATGCACTTTCTTCTCTCATTAAATCAACTTTGTTTTGTAAGATAATTACATGTTGTAATTTCATAATTTCAATAGCTGCTAAATGTTCTGAAGTTTGAGGTTGAGGACAACTTTCATTACCAGCAATTAATAATAATGCAGCATCCATAACAGCTGCTCCTGACAACATAGTACTCATTAAAATATCATGCCCTGGACAATCAACGAATGATACGTGTCTTACTAATTTATATCTACCATTACATCCTGGTTGCATACATTTTGGTCTTATTTCTTTATCACTCTTAAATGATCTATAACATCCTGGAGCTTCACAACTTTCATTATCACATTTATAAATCTTAGCATTGGCATAACCTAATTTAATAGTAATATTTCTTTCTAATTCATCCTTGAAACGAACAGTTTGAACTCCTGAAATAGCTCTAACAACGGTTGATTTACCATGGGCAACATGTCCAATAGTACCAATATTGATAGTAGCTTGTCTGTTGATGATTTCAGCTGATAATGGAGTTAATTCACTGAAATCTGGGTTTTCTGGTTGTTCAGGTAATCCTCCACCTTCTTCAAATTCTCTTTTAGCTTGTTCTTCATCAAATTCTTCATCTAATCCAGCAAAAGCTACGGATTTTTTGGGTTTAGTTTCTTCCATTTCTTCTTCCATTTCTTCAGTTTCACTGATATCGTGTTCATATTGTACGTCATATTCTTCTTCATTCATATCACCCCCAATAACAATGTCAGGGGTGGCGTTATCTATATCATCATAAGACATCTTTAAGACTCCTTCAATTTTTCAGTGAGAAAATTTTTTTTGATTCATAGTCGTGCCCACCCGCTCAATGTCGTGCGACGTTTTTGCAACCCTGGTTTTATCTATTTCACATATATATTACATATAAACTTTATTGGGCATGGAATCCGAAATCATTCATAACGCTATCAACATCTTTCCAGAGTAAATCACTATTTATGTCAATGTTATCGAATTCTAAGTTTTCTAAACCTCCTTGAAGAGGTGATTCATGGAGTACCATTTGATTTAATGATAATTCCTTCTTATCGAAATTCTTTGCATTTGAAACGTTGGTGAATTGATTTAAGATATCTGACTGACCCTTTGTTGAATGAGATCTATTAATAGTGTTCCCAGTAATAGCCATCCTACTACCACCAAATGCTGGTGGCGAGTGCGACATTATTGGGGTATTGACTTTAAATGTTTGTTTGAATTGTTTTTCAGCTACTGGCATTTGAACGTGTGACGAGCTACTTGAATCACTTTTAACTCTAGGAGAAGATTCATTGGAATTCTCAACTAATTTGAATATGGTACTTCTTTTGTTGGCCGAAATAGGTTGAGGATCTAAAGGTGTGGTTCTTATGATCTTTCTCGCCTTGGATTCAGCATTGACGGTATTACTCAAAGATCTAGTTTTCTTCTTACTTGAAGTGTTAGAACCTGAATTAGATTTCGGACTTCCTGCTACTTTTTCATCTTCAGATTCAATGGCAGTTTCTTGATATCCATATTCTTCCTCTTCTTCTTCCTCTTCATCATCTTCGTTCTTTTCTTCTCCAGAAACTTCTTGATTGCCTCTATTGTTCTTCAACATTCCCACTTGATGTCTCAAAAGGAATAAACAATCAAAAAACACCGATGCTGACATTCTACTTCTAATGTCTATGGTCAAATTACTTTGATTATTCTCATCCAACGTTCTCATCACCTGCCACATATTCCTCATGATCCCACTTGATCTGTGAGCCATATCATGTTTTAAAATCGATGCTTTAGCTGCTAAAGTGATGGCTGCCTGATAACTTTGTTTCCCACTACCAATATCAATGACCTTCTTCAAAGGAGAATGGATTAACTTCGATACAATACATGAAGTTTGCCAAAGACTCAATACATAAACTGATGGTAAGTATTTGACAAAATTCTTATCCTTGGCCTGACACATATGAGCGAAATTGATCAAGGCTATAGCTGAATTATATAACCTAACTAACCCTTTTTGTAATTCAAAAAATGCAATTCTAGAAGAGTCCATGAAGTAATAAGTCAATAAATGAACTCTGGCAACTAATAATTGGAACTTACGGAAACTCTCATTGTTAGGTAACTCATCGATTAATTTCAATTCCAATTCATCCAATTGTCTTAACAAAACCTTCAATAAAGGTAACCTTTCCGTGGGATCTATCAATCCATAAGGATCTAAAGGATTTGAATTCAAAGTTTTTGATGCCTGGTCTTCAAAAGATGCTATTTCCAACATGAATCGGATAGATTTAGGGATTTTTGTACTTTGTCGTATCGATGACCAAATTGATGAATCAAATTGTACAAAAGCAGGGAACCCGAAGGCTGTCGCTATAGTCTGTGATACTATATTACATAATATCCAAGTTCTGAGATGTTCTTCTGTCAATGATGGAGATAATGAAGGATTCTTGACATTGATACCAATTCTAATGGCATGAAATAATGCTAAACCTATAGTGTTCCACGAACTATCAGCACTCAAAGATGAGGTGATCGGTGGCCAATACGTATAAATCAAGAATGCTTGCACGGAGTATACTGAACAAGCATTCAAAATGGGTTCATCTTCTTCTGTTGGTGTATACCTGATGATAGGAGAAATAGTAATTTCAGCTAAAATGTCCTTGATTATAGGTGATAATCCTAATAAAAGACCATGGCTTTGATGCTCTGCCATTCTTCTTAATGATACCACCATTATAACCCAAAACAAGGCAGGACACAATCTATAGATCTTTTCTGGACCCTTTAAAACGTCCACCACGGGTAAAATCGGATGATAATGGTTAACATATTCAAGATACAACGTCCGGATGGTCTCTGGTTGTAAAGTTATTGAGTCAAGGGTCTTAGCTTCACAGTAAAGTAAATGGTCAGCAATGATTATATTCTGAGGGACGTCATTGACGACATTTTCAAGGCCTATTCTGTTTATTGAAGGAGTGTCTGGGATAGATGATGGATTGGTCTCACCAGACTTATGATCGGGAACAATATGATTGGGCGTTTGAAGCTGATGTGAATGATCTATCTGATTATGGTCTATAGATGGATGTAATGGAGGATTGTAAGTTTCTTGGATTCTCATTGGATATGATAACTCTGGTTGAGGAGTGTTATCTTCCAGGAAGTTTGCCAATGAAGGAATCTTATTTATCAATTCATGAGCTTGGTTGGCGGTCAATGTCTTCTTCAATTCACTAAACTCTCTCTCAATTTGAGCAATTCTAGCCCTTTTATAAGTTCTCTTATAGTCTGATCGAAGGTCACACTTCAAACCTTTCTTTTCACATCTACTACATGGATTAGGATGTTTTTCATGAGCATCACATTTGGATTTTTGTTGTCTACATTCAACACAGGCTATCTTCTTAGGTTTCCCTGATTTTGTTGCCGTCACAGGACCTTCATAACCTGATCTAGAATTATGATCTTCTTGTTTGATCTGTTCTGACAATGTGTTGAATTCTTGAGTTATGTTGGCTATATGAGCCAAGTTATGTAGTGAGTTTTGTCTTAGTTCATTATTCATGATGCGATGAGAATTTCGCACCTGTCAGAACTTCCCTTTAAAGTCTCACGACATCACCAAGTAACCAGCAGTACCCATTGACCCTAGGTACAACAAAAGTTTTGTGATGATTAAGATAGTTTCAACTTTAAGACTGGCAAGTCTAGATGTTTGGCTTTTGTGGTTTTCAATTTCCCTTAGAATGTTTGGTTTTGGCTTAACTAACCAAGTGTTAGTACTTTTCCTTCAATCGATTGAAATATCTGAACTGAAAATTGGTTGGTTTATGACATTGACCTTGGTGGGAGATGTTCTAATTTCCTACTTTTTATCGTGGAATGCTGATTTAATAGGAAGAAGAAGAGTTTTGATAGCCGGAACTTTAATGATGATTGCTTCAGGTGGTATCTTTGCCTATCTGTCTAATTATCTACTTTTATTGGTTTCAGCAATTGTAGGTGTTATTTCACCCAGTGGTGATGAAACAGGTCCTTTCAAAACCATTGAAGAAGCTTCAATTGCTCATCTCACTCCTCATGAACATAGACCTGAAGTATTTGCATTCCATGGATTATATGGAACTTTCGGTAATGCCTTGGGTTCGTTGTTTTGTGGTATTATCATTGATTATTTGAATTTGACCTTACAATGGGACTTATTGAGCTGTTACAGAGTTATTTTCATCATGTACACATTTATCGGTATAATCAAGTTCTTCATTATGATCTCACTTAGTAAGAACTGTGAAGTAGATGATTTGGATTTAAGTGATGATGATGATTTCGTTGAAGATAATGATGAAACCACTCCTTTGACAGGAAACCAACGTAATGTGGAAGCTATTGATGCTGGTTCCACATGGAATGTGGCCTCAAGATTATTGGTGGTATTTTTCCTTGATTCCTTGGGTTATGGATTCATGCCGGCTTCTTGGGTAGTTTACTATTTCAAAGTTGTGTTCGAGATTTCTGCTAGTTTATTAGGAACTTTGTTCTTCATCACCAGTATTGTCAATGTTGGAACCACCCTTCCGTCAGCTGTGTTGGCTAAATTATTGGGTCCTGTTAAAGCTATCATTGCAGTTCAAGCTCCTTCGGTGATATTTTTCATGTTGATTCCTTTTATGAAGAGGTTCTTCCCAAGTGCTGTATTATTGGTTCTTTATTATGCTACTACCACCATGGATGTTGTCCCTAGACAAATCTTATTGACCTCGGTTGTTAAAAAGGAAGATTTGACAAAAGTTATGGGAACCGTCAATACTGTTAAAACCTTTGCTCGATGTGTAGGACCAGTGTTTGTTGGTAAATTGGCAGAGATTGACAAATTATCCTTTGGTTTCTTTATTAGTGGTATTTTCACATTGTTGGCCGATGTAGTTTTGGGTATAAGTTTTGTTAACTTAGACAGCAAGATCTTACAGAAGCAGAGACTGTCCACATGAGCACTCATTGACCCTTGACAGACTCATCGACCAGAGAAAATAGAAAGGACTCATTTATGAATCATGATTAAAATAATATACGGTATAATTTCTTATGGAAAGGCAAGTGATTGTACTCTTCTTTCTCTAATGCAATAGTTTGTCTCAACAAATCCAAATCTGTCTCTCTTCTACCACTATCCAAATCCATTTCCTTGAGTGGTACCAATTGATTGAACTTTCTAGTATAAAGCTTGTGACCCACGAAGAATACCAACACCACAACAGCACCAAGATAATTTTTGAAGAACACTTCAGCATTGGGTTTACCTCCCACAGGGAACAAAGCAGTCCAGAATTGTAAACAGATAAGGACAATCAGAGTAACAAACCCAACGATACCACCGAAAAATCCCGTGTTAGAAAGGTATGGCAATTCATCTAACGATCTTCCTTGGGCTTTCATACCCATTCTGAAACGTATGTGAACTAAGGAGATACTTCCCCAGGTGAAGATACATGACATCCCCAGAAGGGCCATCAACCAGGCAAAAACTTCATCTACTTTTGATGATGCAGACACAAATGATAATAATGCTACTATAGCAGCAGTAAGGATTCCCACTAAAGGTCTTCCTGCTCTATCCACGTAAGTGAAGATCTTAGGAGCCAAACCTTGTTCTGCCAATGAAAGAATTGTTCTTGAAAACCCGAAAACAGCAGAATTTCCAATTGCCAATAAAGCTATCAAAACCACTACATTGAAGATGGAAGGTAATACTTTGATACCAGCAGAATTGATGGCAATGACAAAAGGTGAAGCTGATGAATCAGAGGAACTTGCACCTACTAATTTGGGAGAATCATAAGGTACTAAGAAACCTACTAAAGTGATGGTCAACATATAGAACACCATAACTCTGTAGAACACTAATTTGATTGATCTGGGTAATTCGATTCTAGGATTACCTTTAGATTCACTGGCTGCTAAACCCACTAACTCTGTACCAGCTAATGAATATACAGCGGTGATTAATACTGAAATAGTACCTTTTGCACCATTAGTGAAAGCATGTTTGAAATGTTTAGCACCAACAAATCCAGCATCTGTACCACCACAGATGATAATTATGGCTAAGATATTGAATCCTAAAATGGCTATCAACTTAATTATGGCTGATACAAATTCAGCTTCACCAAAACCTCTATTCCCACACAAATTCAATCCAATGATCAACACATAGAACACAGCTACCCAAGCAACAGGATTGATGTCAGACGGCCAGAATTTGATGGTCATGGCTGAAGCTACAAGCTCTAAGGGTAAAACGGCCACCCAAAATAATGCATAATTCCATCCAACAGCAAACCCCCATGATGGATCAACAAATCTCTTCGAATAAGCTGCAAAAGAACCTTGAATGGGTAACACAGCAACCAACTCTGCTAAACTTTGCATCACACAATATAAATAGGTCGAAACAATAGCGAACCCTATCAATAGACCACCAGCACCTGAAGTTGACAAAGCTGATCCAACACCAATAAATAACCCTGATCCAATACATGAAGCTAAACTGATCATTTTCAATTGAGATGGTCTTAAAGTTTGTTCTATAACGGTATTATCTTCTTTTCTTCTGAAGGAATCTTTGACTCTAGTCCATCGGGTTGGTGGACTGCCAGTATCTATAGTAAATTCATTGTCATACCATTTATCATCTCCACCCAGAGATTTAGTTACGGTAGTAGAGAAATTCATGATTTAAGAAAACCATAAATGAAGGCATTTGTTCCTTTATATTCGTTATGAGTCAACCCGAAACAGGAGGTTAGAAGCATAAAAAGCATAAAAAATCTTGAGATGACTTGGCCTGGTTCGGATTTTGCAGCAAAATCTCAAAATGTCAGGTTATGGCGATATTCGCTACCAAGGGAAATTTTTCATAAGGCTTTAGTTATATTTGCGCTTTAAGTGTGTAATTAGTAGAATAAGGTGAGAAGACGTTGGAAGGGTTATTAGGCAGGTTCTAACCGCATAATAGATTCACGTGATGAGGGAAATGGAATTTGAAAGGAAATGGGCAAAGGAATTGGGTAAGCTGATGGGTGAATTTGTGGGTGAGGTAATAGGAAAGGTAATGGGTAAAGTTATGGGTAAGCTGACGGGTCAGCTGACAGGTAAGCTGGTGCTCTCAGTTGGCTCTCAGTTGGCTCTCAGTTGGTGCTGTATGAACTACCATAGCTTTCTGAAAAACAGTGCCATCTAAACATCAGTAAACCATACCTATATATCCAGAACTTAATCAACCACACCTCCTTCTAACCACTTCAAGTCACTTAACTCTTCTTACCCATTTCATAGCCTCTATTTCCTCTATTCTTTCCCTAAAGTTCACTCATCCCACTCACACAATTTCCCCCCACCTTTTCGCAACCTTACCCCCACCGACCCCCAGATTTACCGGTCATAGAGTTAGCAAAAAAAATCAAAATGAGTGAACAATTCAAATTCAACAGAGCTGAAAGTGACAGTAAGATCATCGAAGTCTTAGGGATCGCCAATGACCATCCTCAATTGAACTCCCAACAATTCGGAGAATCCTTATTGAAGACTATCAAAAAGGATACTAACAAACATGAGATTTACTATTTAGAACACAAATCTACCAAGGAAATTGTTTGTTGTGTTGAACTTATTTACAACAAAGGGTTCTATAAAGATGTGGATAAAGGAGCTATTACTTCTACTCCCGACCCGGACTTGTTTGGGGTTAAACATGTAACTGTTTTACAAATTGCTAGGTTATTAACAGCCCCCAAATTTGATTCATTAGGTATGTCCAATAAATTGATCACTCAAGTTGTTGAATATGTTGAGGGACAACTTATCAAGGACACCATCGCTTCATCCAAAGATAAGAAAGGAGGGTTTGCTGAAATGGTGGTAAATGATCAAGGGAATATCGATACCAAATTGGCTCATTATTACCTTTCCAAACAATATTTCTGGATCATTTATTCGGCCAAAGGTAATTATTATGAAAGATTTGGTTTCAAGGCTTTCCCTGTAGAGATGTTTAAGATCCCAACCTCAATTGCTAACCATCAAAAAGATCTCATTGAAACCTTGATGACTAAAGGATCTCACACAGATCCTAATGCTGTGGGTAAAAAGTTAAGATTATTGGATTTTACCAAACTTCAAGACAGAGACTTGATCTCTTTTATGTTACAAGGGAAAGAATTGGAAATTTTAACCGAATTGAACAAACTGATCTTCCACTCAGAATTATCTAATGGTAGAAAATCTAGTTCTTCTTTAACAAATGTATCAACCTTATTGAGTATGGCCAAACTTAATTCCAATACCGAATTATCAGGACTTAAGAATTCAACAAGCGGTGCTTCAGGCAGAAGAGCTTCCTCCATTTCCCAGACCTCAGTGCCTAAATTTGCTGTCAAGCCTGATATCAACTACTTAACTGTTCATAAACATTTACAACAAGAATTCAATCAAGAATTGAAATTAGATGAAGAAACTGTTAAATATAACAACATCGAAGGAGCTATCTTCACTAATGATATGCAACAAAAATCATACTACATTTTGTGGACAATCATCAAAACCAATTTGGTAGTTATTGGAGTAGGAGAAATGCAATTCGATTTATTTGGTGCCGTAGGTAACCCTGGTGGACTTATGGGTGGTGTTAGACGTAGAGGTTCTTCATTTACTGGTATTAATGAATTAGGAGGTTTCAACTTCCAAGATTTGGATATCTTATTCTCCATTGCTTGTGATATCGGAACAAAGACTTCAGTGAAAGACAAGTCTTCTATTTATGTAACTGTCAATGACTTGCCAAATGCCATTCCTTTACCTATGTTGAATGATTACTTTTTGCATTACTTACCTAAAACCTTCAACTCTGGTGGTGAATCAGCAGACAAGGTTGAAGTTTTAGCCCATGGAACAGAAAAATTAGGTATCCTTCCAATGGTTAAAATGTTTGGTTCAGAGTCTAGTGATTTTGAATTGGATTGGGTTGGAAATGGTATGTGGTCTTGGTTATAAGTGAACATCATAACGACCCTCAGATTGTTTTAGTTATAGATCAAAAATATATGCAGAGTCAATGTTCTCTTTACTGAAGATGCAAAAAAAATGAAAAATAAAAGAACCCATGCCGGGACTCGAACCCGGAATCTTTTGATTAGAAGTCAAATGCGCTAACCATTACGCCACACAGGCCAATTATGTGAGTAGTTTTTGGGGGTAATTTATGTCGACTTACACAAACTCCAAAGACGGCCTCTTCTTCAATTTAGTCTATGCTGTGGATACCTATCGATTCCCTGAGTATAGTTCATTCCTAAAATCACCTTTCTCACTCAGAAAATTTTATTCAATCATCATTTCTGCACTTCCCCCTAACTCACATATACATTAACGATCACAAAGAGTATAAAAGAGTCAATCAAAGAAACAATTAAACGTACATTCTAGAATAAAGCATCTAAAGTACAACAGATACAACATGCAGCACATAAACCAGCAAGACACCCTTCAGTTGTACCACCGGAAGTTCTTTGTTGTTGAACATAATAGGGTTGTTGCTGTTGTTGATAATATCCACCTTGTGGAGGGTATCCTTGTTGTTGGTATTGTGGTTGATATCCTTGTTGAGGATAACCACCATATCCTTGTTGTTGTTGATGGCTGAACATTCCTCTATCTTGGTTACCTTGATTATAATTAGCTGAAGGTGGTGGCCCACTTGGAGCTGAATATCCACTATTATTGTTATTGTTAGACCATTCTGGTGGAGCACCAGTTGGAGCACTATATTGATCTTTTGACATGTTATTCGAAGTTAATCAAGCTCGGGAATATAGAACAAAGAAATAATTTATGGCTCACTTCGCGAAGTAAATATAAATGACAGTTGAGGGCTGTACTCGGATTTATCTTTATTGGGGATAAAAAGGCTCGGTTCTATAAGTGACTGGGATATTTTTGGATTTCATGACTAACAAGAGTAGTTGGAGGAGAGTTGAGATGAAAATAGGGTTAAATCGACCCACATGGAGGTTAACGGAAATGACAAGAAAATGGTTGATAACTGAGTCTGAGTGACATCCCCCTATTGGATGATTAAGTTTCAGTTTTTTTTGGTTGAAACAAAAGATCATCGGCTCGTGATCCTCGAAGTGTTGCCCCTGGTGATGATTCTTGCATGATCAGTTGTCTTCGCAGTATTCAAACCGGCTCGTATATAAATAGGCTTAGGTACGTTTCTAGCCATGATAGATTCAGGGGTCAAAATTGGTGTTTTTTTTGGAGTTCAAGTACTTTGAAGTGTCTCTTAATTAAGCTTGTGATCTCTTCACGGTGATGTTCACCCTGTGTAATCGAATTCTCTGTTCAAGTTAGTGGTATTTCTCTTATTTTTCAAAAGAATTTGTGAAATTCACCAAAATGACTAAAATATTAAATAAGATGAAAACTTGAGCTTGATTGTGAAACATCAAACAACACATGATGAAACATCGAAGAGATGGAAGCTCATGGAAGTGTGGTACTAGAATTAAGAATTACATAAATGTGTTAGAGAAGAAATTACCTAATTGGGGTGTTAAAGGGGATTCTGAAACAAATCTCGAATGTCTAGAAAACTATAAGTAGTAAAGGACTTCCTTGACCACTTGACTTTACTATAACTTCCCCATGAGATTGTCCTCGATTACATTATTGGCCTTTACTTCTACCACATTGGCGGATTCAGATTATTTACCTGCAAATGCAGTATTAGCTCAGTACCCATTAGGTGCTGATACTCAACCGGCAATTGGCCAAAAAGATGGTGTTGAGTATATGATTATCTTCAATACTACAGTGTTGAATCTCGCTTATACTTAGTAATTTAAGTTTACTTAATTGTTGAATCTTACTCATACTTAGCCGATCTAATGTATTTGAATATATGTTTCCGTTACTCATCTCAGATAGACACTTAGAGGTCTGGATATTGAAAGTAAAATGACGGGGAATTGGATTTGAGAAAATTCAGTAACTTCCTACCCATTAAACCTCCTGGCCAAACTTACTTCCCGTACTTAGACCTAAGTGATCTAACCTTACTTCTCTACCTTTATCTCGCACAAAATAAACGTCACGAAAACAGTGCGAAGATCTAGGGCTTTGCCCTAATGGATGGGCACGACTCAAGAAAAAATTTTGAGACTTTCTATAAGCGTGAAAAATTAAAAATTTTCAATCAAGAATCAATCATGTCAGAAGTTGAAGTTGAAACTCCAGTTGTTCAAGAAGAATTCAAAGTTATTGAATTAGCTACCAAATTACCAGTTGAAATTCAAAAAGCTCAAGCTGAAATTAAATTATTCAACAAATGGAGTTACGAAGATGTTGAAGTTAAAGATGTTTCATTAGTTGATTACGTTCAATTAAAACCAGTCTTTTTACCAGCTTCAAACGGTAGATACGCCAACAAAAGATTTAAAAAAGCTCAAATGCCAATTGTTGAAAGATTAACCGATTCATTAATGATGAACGGTAGAAACAACGGTAAAAAATTAAAAGCTGTCAGAATTGTTCAACACGCTTTAGAAATTATCTACGTTTTAACTGAACAAAATCCTTTACAAGTCTTAGTTGACGCTATTGTTAACTCCGGTCCAAGAGAAGATTCCACCAGAATTGGTTCATCCGGTACCGTTAGAAGACAAGCTGTTGATGTTTCTCCATTAAGAAGAGTCAACCAAGCTATTGCTTTATTAACCATCGGTTCAAGAGAAGCTGCTTTCAGAAACATCAAAACTATTGCTGAATGTTTAGCTGAAGAATTAATTAACGCTGCTAAAGGTTCTTCAACTTCTTATGCTATCAAAAAGAAAGATGAATTAGAAAGAGTTGCTAAATCTAACCGTTAAAAGTGTATCATTTCTATAAATATTAATAAATGTCATAGTGAAATAGCTATTTACGTTAAATTCAGAGATTCTCTATTTCTTTGTGAAATTTTGGGGTTGGTGAACAATTTGGTTAGGGTGAAAAGTTTTGATTTAGGAGATGAAGATGGTTCAAATCTTATGTAAATCATCCTTAAAAACCTCACTAAAACCTCACTAAATATCTCCCTAATTCCCGCACCATTTTCTCACTAAATTTACTACCCTGAATCCCTCAACTCCTTTCTCACTATCTTATCGAGAATTTAGGTCACCCATGTCAGGTTCAGATTTTTTAACCAAAGGAATTGATTTGGTTCAAAAAGCTATCGATGCTGACACTGCCACCAGATATGAAGAAGCCTACAAATTATACTATAATGGGTTAGATTATCTCATGTTGGCCATTAAATATGAAAAAAATCAGAAATCAAAGGAATTGATCAAATCAAAGTTCACAGAATATTTGACTAGAGCTGAACAATTGAAAGATCATTTAGAGAAGCAAACTCAAAAATCAGAACAGGATTCTGCTAGTGGATCCACTAAATCGAAGAAACCAGGTGAAGCTGGGGGTGATGATGATGATGCCGATACAAAGAAATTACGGGGGGCTTTAGCAGGGGCGATTTTATCAGAAAAACCCAATGTTTCTTGGAGTGATATAGCAGGTTTAGAGAGTGCTAAGGAAGCTTTGAAAGAAGCTGTTATATTACCTGTAAAGTTCCCTCAATTGTTCAAAGGAAACCGTAAACCTACTTCAGGTATTCTATTATATGGACCTCCAGGTACAGGTAAATCCTATTTAGCCAAAGCAGTGGCCACCGAAGCCAATTCTACATTCTTCTCAGTGTCATCATCAGATTTAGTCAGTAAATGGATGGGTGAATCTGAAAGATTAGTTAAGCAATTATTTACTATGGCTAGAGAATCCAAACCTTCAATTATTTTCATTGATGAAGTTGATGCATTATGTGGACCAAGAGGTGAAGGAGAAAGTGAAGCATCCAGAAGAATCAAAACAGAATTATTGGTTCAAATGAATGGTGTGGGTAATGATTCAAGTGGAGTTTTGGTTTTAGGAGCGACTAATATTCCATGGCAATTAGATGCAGCCATTAGAAGAAGATTTGAAAGAAGAATCTATATTCCATTACCTGATGAAGATGCTAGAACTAGAATGTTTGAAATCAATATTGGTGAAGTACCTTGTGAATGTACACCCCAAGATTATAGAACTTTAGCTTCCATGACTGATGGTTATTCTGGTCATGATATAGCTGTGGTGGTAAGAGATGCTTTAATGCAACCAATAAGAAAAATTCAACAAGCTACTCATTTCAAACCTGTTTTGGAAGATGGAATGGAAAAATTAACTCCTTGTTCACCAGGAGATCAAGGTGCTAAAGAAATGGGATGGCAAGATATTGAAACTGATGAATTAAAAGAACCAGATTTAACCATTAAAGATTTTATAAAGTCCATTAAGAGTAATAGACCAACTGTTAATGATTCTGATATCGAAAATCATGTCAAATTTACTGAAGATTTCGGTCAAGAAGGTAATTAACATAAAGTAGCTAACTCATAAAAGAATAAGTCATAGACAATAGAAATAATGTACATTTAATATTTTTAATCTCTCATTGGTGATCTATCTCTATCAGGAGATCTATCTCTATTTCTCAACTTTTCAGCAAATAAATCTTCAGGTTCTTCACCTCTAAGTTTATCAGCGAATAAATCGTAATCACGTTCATTTCTTCTACCACCTCTTCCACCTCTACCACCTCTACCACGACCACGGCCACGTCCATTATACCTTGGTCTTCTTTCAGGTTCTCCATGAATTAAATAGTATCTTGAATAGGCAGAAGCATTCTTAATCTTTCTATCCGATTGTAATGACAATCTGGTAACTATATGTAAAGAAGTTTCGTCTTCTTCCATACCTTCATCTTTCTTCTCCTCCAAACCCAATCTGTTGGCTAAAGATGATTTCTTTTGGAATTCAATCGTTGGATTGTAAGGTTTAGTTTCTCTTTCTTGAACTAATTCATTCAATTCTTCTTCTTGGTTGTTGTTGGGGTTTCCTGATATCGATAAGCTTTTTAAAGCTTGAATGGCAGCTTCGTGTGTTTCAAAAACAACGTTAACTGAAGTATCATTGATCCATTGGACTCTGAACTTCAACACTTCATCGAATGGTTTTTCTTGAAGTTTTTCAACGTATTCGATATCATCAACACTCATTTCTGTATCTTGAGCTTCACCTTCAGCAGTTTCACCTTCTTTGGTTTCTGCTTCAGCTGGTTTAGTGTCTTTTGGAACTTTGACATATTCGTAGTTCACATAGTAATCAACAAAACCTTTGATATTATCAGTAGATAAAGAATCAACTCCTTTCAAAAAGATCAGTTCTGGTCTTAAAGTCTCGACTTGTCCATTGATGTTGACTTCAACTGCTTGGTCTATTAATTTTTGTTCTCGTTCTTTCTCTTCAACGATGCTTTGCACTAAAACACCTCCATAAGGTGTTGGTTCTTCCATATTTTGGGTCGCATTTTTCACTTGAATTTGGTGATATGTGGGTTGAAAGAGTGGGAGGTATGTCATGGGGATTACGAGGGTATTGGGGGTTGGAAGAGAGACAAATAAGATGTTTGATATGTCTATTCTAATATTATACATGTGAGCGAACTCACCAACGGGATTTATCTCATCTTTACACATTTTACAGAGAACCCACTACTGAACTGCTAGCCACCACATTCAACAAAACTTGTTTCTGGATTCAGGATGACTCTTTAACTATTCAAAACCTCACCTTCAAAACCTCTTACTTTCAAACCACACAATAGCCTCCTTCAAACTCCACTGGCATCTCTGATGAACAACACATTATTACATCTTATGAAAATATCTCCTATGGTTTCTTCTACTCTTCCATCTTTACCATTGGTACTCTCCACAGCATCAGTTAACTGTATGTTCATATATTTATCTGTTGAAACCAAAGTTCCTTTATATTCGGTCTTGTTCCATTTTAAACGTACTATAATAGTTTTGTTATATAAATCATTCAAAAATGTTGCTGGTCCTAAAATAGTAATCTATCAGTTAGTATAAAAATTCTACAGTGCAAGTTAAGATTCTGGTACTGTTAACTTCCATTGAAGGTACCCAAATAGTTGTCTCATGGGCCTAAACCCTTCCATCATCTTCCCTCTTCCATCTCACTTACATACCTCAGACATGTTTGTTTCGCATTTTACCAATGAACAAACTATTAGTATTTGGGGTCATCTTGAGATTCATCATCCCAACGATATTCCCAGACATCCCTGATCTGTTGGATAGTCTTGTGGAGCTATCAACACCCATTAATTCCTTTGGATCTTTGAAAGAATCATTTTTCTACTTATCCAATGGTATCAATCCATATAATGGTGGTATAAATCACCATTCTCCATTATTAGTATCATTTTTCTACAATTTCCAACAATTATTGGGTAATAATATGTTCACCATCTTCACCAACTTCCTTTATGCGTTGGTGGACGCGTTGATCAGTTTAAGATTGGTTAAAATCAATAATTGGTATCATAAGTATAATAGTGAGAGACGTGGTGAAAAGTTGTATAAGATATCTGACGATTTGATTGTATCATTTTACTTATTCAATCCTTTGATGATTTTAAGTACCTTATCACATTCAACATTAATCTTCTCGTTATTTTTCACCATCGAAAGTGTTTATCAGATCATTAATGGGAACTTACCTCGTTCAATGATTAGTTTATCAATATCATCATATTTATCATTAACACCCATCTACCTTATATTCCCCATTCTTGCATTTGCCCATAGATTGATTAAAGTCGACCAATTATCACAAATTTACTTCCATGGACTGGCAGTTTTCATTACATCCATTGGACTTTTATTATTCTTTTCATTGATTTTAACATCATCAGCTGAATTCATCGATCAATGCTATGGTACAGTAATAAGGTTTGATAAATTGCAACCAAATATCGGATTGTGGTGGTATTTCTTCACTGAAATGTTTGATTTCTTCACACCTTTCTATTTAGGAGTTTTCAACTTATTTCATTTCATCTTCATTCTTCCAATAACCATCAGGTTATTTGAATACAAAAGTCATAAAACTGTTGGTGATGGGTTTTTAGCTATTTTCCTTTGTTATGTATGGTTATCATTTACCAAACCATATCCTACAATCGGAGATTTAGGATTCTCAATATCATTAATGCCCATATTTAGTGGCACCATTATTCCTTACTGTAAACTCATTCATATCACCGGTATAGTATGGTTGATAGGTCTTTTATTATCACCTATCTTATACTATTGTTGGATTGTTTTAGGTAATGGGAATGCTAATTTCTTCTATAGTATGAACTTACTCTTTGGAGCTGTTCATATCCTTATACTAATCGACTTTTTATGGGGGAAATTAGTTTCAGATTATTGTGATATTCATAAAGTACCTGCCAAAGACCGTCATACCATAAGATTAACCCAATACTAACTAAAAATTAAAATATATATACCTTAACTATGAGATCGCACCCGTGCACCCATACAAACGACTTCTGCCAATCATTTCAATTGGAATAAATATTTTCTCATTCTCAACAAACTGAAAATTATTAACAATGTTAAGTCGTTCAGCTATTCGTTCTTATAGTGTCACTGTTAGAGATGCTCCTGGTAATTTATCATCCGTATCAGTAGTTATCAATGGTGGATCCAAAGCTGGTAAATCCGGTCAAGCACATTTATTATCAAAATTTAATTTCTTAAATAATGAATTAAAATCAGGTTTAAGATTTACTAGAGAAAGTGAATTATTAGGAGGTATTGTTTCTTCTAAACTTACTAGAGATTCTATTATCTTAAACACTCAATTCTTAAGAGAAGATTTACCTTACTTTGTTGAAAGTTTAAATAATGTTTTAACTAAAACTTCATTTAGACCTCATGAATTATCAGAAATTGTTTTACCATCAGCTTTAAATGATTTCACTCAAGCTTCTAAATCAAATGCTTTCAAAGGTGAAGAAGCTTTACACAAAATTTCCTTTAAAAAAGGTTATGGTAATAGTTTATATTATGATGGATCAAAATCATTTTCATCAGAAGATATTAAAGAATTTTCTAAAACTGTATATACTTCAAATAATGTTGAATTCTTCGCTTCTGGAGTTATTGAAGAAGATTTTAAATCATTTTTAAGTGATTTATCATTACCAACAACTTCAGTTGAATCAGTTCCTGTTAAATCTTATATTGGTAAAGAATCAAGAATTCAATCAAGTGGTCCATCATATGCTGCTATTGGTTTACCAATTAAACCAGCTGATTTTGCTAAATTTGATATTTTATCAGCTACTATTGGTTCATCTTTATTACCATCATCATCTCCATTATCTAAAATTGGAGCCATTTCAAGAGTTTTAAAATATAAAGATGCTGGTTTATTCATTGTTGAATCATCAGGTGATGCTGCTCAAGTAAGTGAATCCATTAAAAAGGCCAAATCTTTGATTTCATCTGTTTCTTCAAGTGATTTGAAATCTTCAGTTAAATCTGCTAACTTATTACAAGCTTTACAATCATCATTTGAATCTCCTTTATCTTATTCAATTGATGAATCTTCTGCTAATGTTAAAGTTACTGATTTTAACTATGTCGCTGTTGGTGATATTGATGTTTTACCATTTGCTGATGATTTATAATTGCATATAGACAGTGTTTAATAAAAAGAATTAACCCGAATTATGTTAACGCTCACTCTTCTCTCCTACTTCCCTGTGTTATTCTTTTGATTTCTCGATGAGTGCGAAAATTTTCAACAAGATGTCAGATAACGAAGCATTCAACGAAGGAGCTGAAAACTATGAAGACTTTGATCAACCTGATCACTTCTCCGAAACTGAATTCGATGAACCTGTTGAAGAAGAACCAAAAACTGAAGATGGTAAAACCATCATAAATGGTGGAATGGGACCTGATGATAAACCAAGACAAAAAACTACTGCTGAATTAGCTATACCAAAAGATAAAAGAACCACCACCCCTTATATGACAAAGTATGAAAGAGCCAGAGTTTTGGGTACCAGAGCTTTACAAATCTCTTTGAATGCTCCAGTTTTAGTTGATATTGAAGGTGAAACCGATCCTTTACAAATTGCCATGAAAGAATTATCTCAAAGAAAGATTCCTTTAGTTATCAGAAGATATTTACCTGATGGATCTTTTGAAGATTGGGGATGTGATGAATTGATCATCGATGCTTAAGAATAGCTCATCCACCATAAAAATGCATCTTAAAGAAAAAAAAACCCGTTAAATTAGAAATGTATATTAGTCTACATAAGCATCTAACCAGTTAGATGCCATGAACAACTTTCTTCCGTCACTGGTTTCTTTAATAAACCCTTTAACTAAACCATCGAATGTTGATCTTGATAATCTATGATCTCCTGATCCAATATCTCCTAATTGAGTAGAACAAACCGATTCTTTTAATTGTTCCACATCAATAATTAAATCTTTAACATCAGATCCTTCACTAAATACTTTCAATGCATTGAAAATGGTTTCTCTATCATCTAAAACTGATAATTGTTCGGCCATAATGTTGGAAAATTGGGCAAAATTTATACTATCACCGTCTAACATTTTATCTGCTTCTTTACTGGTAATTTTCATCCCCAAAGTTTGATGGATATTGATTAAATCATCTTTTGTGATCTTACTGTCCTTAGAATCCCCATCAATCAACGTAAAAGCATTACGAAGTTGAGCTTTCTGATTGTTACTTAAACTATTCAATAACATAAACAAATCGCGATCTGATCTCTCATGGCAGAATCACTATATAACCAGCCAGTGGTCATTGATAATGGGTCAGGTAATTTGAAAGCTGGATTTGCTGGGGAAGATAGACCTAAGATCTATAGTTCTAGTATAATAGGTAGACCAAAGTATCAAAAAATAATGACTGGTTCATTAAATGATATAAGAGATGATACATTCATTGGTAATAAAGCTCAAGAATATCGGGGATTATTGAAACTTCTGTACCCAATTGAACATGGGGTAGTGAAGAATTGGTCAGAAATGGAGATATTGTGGAATCATTTATATACCCATGATCTTAAAGCCACTCCTGAAGACCATCCTTTGTTAATAACTGAAGCTCCATTGAATCCTCGTTCCAATAGAGATGAAATGTGTAAGATATTGTTTGAAAGTTTCAATATTCCTTGTATGTATATATCGATTCAAGCAATATTATCATTATATGCCTCGGGTAGAACCACAGGAGTAGTGGTAGATAGTGGAGATGGTGTTACTCATATTGTACCTGCGTTTGAGGGGTTTTCCTTACCTACGTCTATCAAACGTATGGATATTGCAGGAAGAGACATAACTGAACAGTTGGTTTATAATATCAGGAAAATGTCGGGACTTTCATTTCTGAGTTCTTCTGAGTTCGAATTAGTTCGTGATATCAAAGAGAAATGTTGTTTCATATCTAAAGATCCTATTAAAGATGAAAAATTATATAGTAACGTTCATTATCTTACTAGTGGGACGAACTTTTCAACAGATTTGATTTCGAATTATAAATTACCTGATGGTCACAATTTACAATTGAGTTCAGAAAGATTCAGATCAACTGAAATACTATTCAATCCTCAATTGATAGGTGATGAATCACCAGGGATATCTCAATTAACAAATTTATCTATCACAAAAACCGACATTGATCTCAGACCGACATTATACAGTAATATCATCTTGTCTGGAGGTAATACCTTATTGAGGAATTTCGGTGATAGACTTTTATCTGACTTGAAAGAATCTCAATCCATGACAAGTTATGACACTAAGATGAAAATTAAGATAACGGCACCTCCAGAAAGAAAACATTCGACATGGATCGGAGGATCCATTTTAGCAGGGTTATCGACATTCAAGAAAATGTGGGTAACAAGTCAAGAATATCAAGAAGATCCTGAAATTATTCATAGAAAGTGTATTTAAGTCATTCGATGTATTATAGAACTATATACCATAATATCTGTCACCAAAGTCCCCTAACCCTGGAACAATGTACTTGTCTTCATCCAATTTCTCATCAATACCTCCAGTAATAATATTAACATCAGGGTATTTTTCTTGGAAAGCTTTGATCCCTTCTGGGGCAGCTAATAAGTTCAAGAAGAAGATTCTATTGGATTTAACTCCACGTTTCAATAAAACTTCAACAGCCATCATAGCACTACCACCAGTAGCTAACATTGGGTCTAATAAAAAGACATATCTTTCAGAAATATCTTCAGGTAATTTCTCGTAAAATAATTTTGGTAAAGCAGTTTCTTCATCTCTTTGAATTAAGATTTTACCAATTCTAACGGATCTACAACAATCTCTTAAACCCATTTCCATTGATTCTCCAGCTCTGACAATGGAAACCCCACAAATTTTACCTAAAAATTTGGCTCCAACATATTCATGTCCTCCATGACATGAGATGACAGATTTTTCTACTGGTAATTGATTAAGACCTTCTTCAACTAATAAACGGATAATTCTGTCAGAGTAGAAGACAAAATCACCTCTTTTGGTGTTTTGATCTCTAATAATTGAATATAAACCGATTAATTGGTTGGTTTGTGGTAAGACAGTAACGTTAGGCATTAAGGAAATTTCTCGCATCAGATCTGAGATGAGGCTGTCGTGTGATGAGTTGATTGTGAAGGAGAATTCCGAGATCGTGGGGATGTGGAGACGATAAATGTTGTTGGTGATATCACCATTGAGCCTAAAGAGGATACGAGAGGTTTTACAGAGGGAAAAGGTAAGGATTTAATTGATTCTTGGCTGATTTGACTCTCAAATTTCACTTTTTCAACGGTATTTAATGACAAGTTTCCCACCAACTATTGGTTCCGCGCTACCTCCAATTTAGCCATATCCTAGGTCCATTATGGCCCTAAATTCGAATCATCTAAACCTCACTCTTTGAAGAGTCAAGTTTCATATTTTAATGTACATTTATTGTTGGAAAGGATTGTCAATGATTTCACTTCCATCTAATGGAGAAATAGTCAATAATGAAGGTCCTCTTACAACAACTTTACTTAATTTTCTGATATTACCAGTTAAAACTGAATCATCATCAGGATCTCTTAAATTTTCTTCAACATCTTCTAATACTAAGTTCATCAATTGATCAAACCCTTTCAATATTCCAACTATTTGTCTTCCCCCAATAAATTTCACTCTTATTTTTTGGTTATAATATTTATTGAGATCTAAGATAGCTTCTCTTTTAGGTCCTTCGGGTTTATTTTGTCTTTTCTTATCTTTGTCCCCCTTTTGGTCTCTGTTATTGTCCCTGGTATGTTCTTTTCCCTGTTATTGTTAGTATTTATAGTTGGGTGTGGTGATTCTTTATGATACATACTTCCATTTTGTTGAACTTTTTCTCTCAGAAAAAAGTGAGAAACCCTAAGAAGGTGTTGATGGCGGGCACTGGGCTAGTAACTCTCTTTATATTCTTGAATATCATATCAATGCTTTTCGTACCAACTACCTCGATCCCACGTACTCATACTTCCATCCCAGCTTCAATTATCTCTGTGGCCACCCTCTAAATCTTGAGATGAGAAACTAAGCGCGTAATGAGTGATATCAGTATTTATGTAACCTCCGACTTAACGTCATCTGAAAGGAAGGTTTCACCTCAATGGAGCTTGAAATACTTTCAAGAGCGTTTGGAATTGATCACTGGGATCCCTGTGAAGTTTCAAACCATCCAATTATACGCTATTTCCAATTCTGACAAATTCGATGTATTGATAGATTCCCTGACTCCTGAAGCCTATAAAGCCAATACAGACGTCAGCAGTTTGGGATTGAAACCATTTTGTAGAATCAACGTAGAAGATTCGAATCCTGATTCTGATCTCAAGGATTTAATTGATTCAGAAGTTAAAGGATTTGAAATGACAGAAGAAGAATATCAGAAACGTAATAATACAGTTTTAAAATGGAAGCAAGACAATAAGCTCGGAAGATTCAATCCAGACGCTGTACAAGAAAAGCAACAAAGGTCCCAAGAAGATGCTCAAGCAGTTGAAACAATGAAAGTAGGTGATAGATGTAGAGTCATGCGTATCCAAGGGGAAAGAAGAGGAACCATCAGATTCATCGGAGAAATTTCCCAATTAGACGATGGTTATTGGGTTGGTATAGAGTTTGATGAACCTGCAGGTAAGAACAACGGTCTGATTGGAGATCAATCATTCTTTCAATGTAAACCCAAACATGGTAGTTTCGTTAGACCTGCTAAAGTCGAAGTAGGTGATTATCCCGAATTAGATCTCTTCAGTGATGATGAAGAACTTTGATCCAATTCATTTACATATTTTTAATACAATTTTTCATCCAAGGGTGACCTCTTATCACTTAATTGCCGACTCTTCGTCCTTACATAATCTATGTTGATCTCACACCCGTACACCCATATAATTGAGATTAATAATAAACAGTGCTCGCTTTGATCGGTATTATTGAAAAATGGAAGAAGAAGACTTGAAAGACTTTTTAGGAGGTATTATCTTCCAATATGTTGAAAGGGACTCATTTTACAAGTACTTAAGGTTAACTATCATTGTTTGTTCATACATCTTTTTCAGAGCCCTTTATCAAAACTATTTAAAGACTCGTCAAATCAAACATCAATTGAAATTAGATGAACAAGAAAAGTTGGAAAAGCCAGAAAAGGAAGCCAGAGCCAAACAAGAAGAAATTGAAAAGTTAGAAAGTGAAGCCAATTCCTTCGGATGGGGTAAAAAGACCAGAAGAAATGTTAAATTACAACAAGCTGTATTGGAAGAACAAATGAATGAATTAAGAACCAGACACCAAAGTGCTTATGATGCTGCTGAAGATAACGATATTGAAGATCTTTTAGAAGATTAGGTCAAGAAGAAATCCAACTTACAGGGTCAAGTCCAAGCTAATAAATTGATGAATTTGCTAATACCAAGACATTCCACCATTGAAAGTGACGAACATCAAAACATATGGATGTTTCCGTCATCTAAGGTCGATAGTTTGTCTACAGCAACACTTTGGAAACCCGTACCTCAATATTTATAGACTCTTATCATTATACAAAATATCTCATCACCATCTCATCTTCTCTTCGCACTGAAAAATTTTAAAATACTATGGCAGGAGATCCATTTCTTTCAGATCCTTCCAAGAAGAGGAAGAGAAGACAGGATAACAGGTCCAGTACTACTAAGAATATACCCAATAGAAGTAATAGGGATCAAAGAAAACCCCGAGAATCTCGAGACGAAGAAATAGAAGATGAAGAAATATCAAGTGAGACAGAAGATGAAAATATAATGAGTGATGATAATAATGAAATGGAATCTGATGAAGAATTTGAAGGTGAAAACGCTGCTGACAAAAGAAGAAGGTTAGCTAAGCAATATCTTGAAAATTTAAGAACAGAAGAATTGGATGAATTTGATGCCAAAGATTTGGATAATGATAATATTGGTAGAAGATTACAAAAAGATGTTGCTGAATCCAAAGGTCATATTTATAAATTATATGGCGATAAATTATCAGCTCAAATCGAAGAACTCAAAACGAAAGTCACCAGAATTGGATGTAAAAATTTAACTTGTTTATCAATCAAATATCCTTATTTATATACGGTATCGAAAGATATGGAATTGATTAAATGGGATATACTGGATAAGATACAAAGAGTTAAACACACTAAAGGAGGAGCCAAATACTTCAACTTGAATAATAATCCTCAAAAGAATCATCATTATGATACTATTTTATGTGTAGCAGCTTCAGGTGATGGGAAATATGTCGTTACTGGAGGTAAAGATGGAAGATTAATAATATGGTCCAGTGAAAGTTTAACTTGTTTGAAAGTATTAGAAGCAAGATCCCCCATCAATTCCATTACTTTCCGTAGAAATACTGATCAATTATACGCTGCTTGTGAAGATTTGAAAGTGAGAACATATTCCATCAATCAATTCAGTCAATTAGAAATCTTGTATGGACATCAAGACAATATTGTAGATATATCAGCATTAAGTAGAGAAACTTGTGTTAGTGTTGGTTCAAGAGATAAGACAGCATTATTTTGGAAAATAGCTGATGAATCAAGATTAACTTTTAGAGGTGGTGATAAAAAAGATACTAAATATGGTGAAGGATCATTAGATTGTGTTTCAATGGTTGATGAATCTCATTTTGTGACCGGTTCAGATAACGGGAATGTCAGTTTATGGTCATTAGCTAAGAAGAAACCTTTATACATTGATAGATTAGCTCATGGTTTAGAACCTACTTTAACTGTTACTGAAGCTTCAGGAGATTTAAAATCAGGAGAAATTGAAATCCCTGAACCTCAACCATTCTGGGTTACTTCGATTTATGCTATCCCATTCACCGACATTTTCGTGTCCGGTTCATATAATGGAGAATTGAATTTTTATAAAATAGATAATGAAGGATTCAGAAGTTTCAAGAAAATCGGTTCTTTACCAGTAAATGGAGTAATTGTATCAATAGAATGTGTTGAAGTAGATAAAACCATCAAAGGGTTTGCTTTAGTAAGTAAAGAACATAAATTAGGTAGATGGTTGAAAGTTGGTGGTAGAAATTCATTAATTTCCTTTGCATTTGATATATAAATATATATTAATTAGAACTCTATTAAATCATTAAATGTGTTGAAGGATCAAAATTCCGCTTCTTCATTATCGTCATTATCCCCATAATCATCATTACCATCATCGAAATATTTTTCTGCATTATAATCATCATCTTCATCATCATCAAATTCATCTTCAACTTCTTCTTCTTCCTCTTCTTCATGTTCTCTATGTTCTTCATTGGTATCTAGAGATTCTGCCATATGATTCAATTTTTCAACAGTATCGGTGATTTCGAATTGATTTATACCTCCATTGGTCTTATAGCTTGATAATCCCAATTTTTTACTCTTTGAAACTCCCATTACTGAATGCAATTCTTGGGGAAAGAAACTTAAATTATATGGATGTTCATCTATTGTAGTCCCTATTTTCTTTACTTTCTTATATTTATCACTATGTCTTTCAATCCCATCAGTAGTGATTTTATTTTCTCCTGATCCAATATAGAATGGACCATCATAGATCAATTTAGACATGTTGATAGATTGTTTGGCTTGAATGGATTCTTGATCATTTAATGGGGCGTTAATCGGTAGTATTATTTTTGGTTTTTCAACATCATAGTCTGTTGATAAAACATCACTATAATCTAATCCAAAGGGTAATAATGTTCTATTTTGACCTTTACCTCTAAATGACATAGTTGAAAACTTTTCTCATCTCTGAGACATCGCGACAATCTGTTACAACACAATGTCGTGGCCATTCTCATGTCGTAAACGATTCTCATCCAGTGAAATGTCGTGTGGGTATTAATTACTTTCCCTAAAAAGGCTTAAATGTAAATAAAGGCTCATTACCATTTAAAATGAATGAAACCCTTTTACTCATTTTATTTATAGGAAATTAAAGATTTTGTACAAGGTTTGAGATACTATGGACTTTTCAGCAAGTAGGTCATCTCAATCAGGTCCCCAAACGGCCGAAGGTACTTTGGTAATAATGGTTTGTCGAGCTAAACATTTACCTAACAGAAGAAAATTAGATAAACAATCACCATACGTTACATTAAGATTAGGAACTGTTGCCAAAAAAACACCATCACATTTCAGAGCTGGTCAAACTCCTGATTGGACACATGAAGTTAGATTCCAATTATCAAGAGATAGGAAACCTATTATTCGTTTAGATGTATTAGATGAGACTAAGAATGATCCTACACCCATCGGAACCTGTGAGATTGATTGTAGTGTTATCTTGGGTAGTGAGAATGAGAGAGATGGAAAATTCATTCATGATAAATGGTATGAATTGAGTTTGAATGGTAGAAGGGCTGGAATGATTTATTTGGAAATGACTTTCTATCCTTCAGCACCTGTTTTACCACCAAAATTATATGAAAACATTGAATATGAACAAACTTCAGAGAATTTCCGTTCAAGTACTAATAGTCATGGAAGTTTCAAAAACTTGCCTTCACCACCTCCACAACATCCATCGAAGTCAAGAAAACCAAGTGTAGTGGATGACATTTTCGTTAATGAAGATGATTTGAAGAAACGTAATAAATTCTTCCAGAGTGTTGAAGATGCTTTAGGATCATCATCATCTAGTGTTGAACCAGACGATGAAGAACCTGCCACTTTGAAGAATAAATACTTAGGTAAGTTCAATAGATTCACCAAGAAATTCCAAGCCAAAGAACCTATAACGACATTTTGGGGTGATAAACAAGAAAATAAGAGAGTACAGAATATAACACCTTTTGATACAGAAGAATTCGATAATTTGGATGACTTACAACGAGATATTCAACAAAATCGAAGTTTCCAAATGGATGATTCACCTCCAAGTCCTCCAGCTCATTCAGTACATTCTTTCCAACCAAACTTTGACCATACTCCTCATCAAAGTCCTCAGAGAAGAAATCAATATCAATCGTCACCACCAAAAACTCCCGCAAAAGATAGAACCCCAGGACGAAAACCACCTCCAGGAAAGGTTAACCATTCAACCACAGCCATACCATTTTCTGCTGATACTATAGGTATCACTGATGAAGACGAATTACCCACCAAAGTTTATTTCATGGATGAACAAGTGAAATCATTATCGTATTCATGTAATCCATTCCCTACTGAACCTATTGACAAGAACGAAATCGACCCTAAATACTATGCCCCCACACCTAATGAACATTTTGGTAGTCAAAAACCTCGATTCCGTGATGTTCAAGATAACTCAGGGTATATAGGAAATGGGAAATGGAAAAACTTCAGTCCTTCGATATTTGATAGAATTCCTAACGATAAAAATTTAGGCTTTGAAAATAAGCCTAATGTTCCACCTAAGATTCCCCAAGGTCTTAGTGAAAGAGAGTATTTTGTGTTAGAGAAGGAGAAGTATTTGAAAGATATAAATGGTAGAAGAAGTTAACATGATTTATGACGTTTGCTATTTCTCAGGCTCTTTTAAGGCTCTTTTAAGGCTCTTTTCATGGCTATTATGGCTTTATTCATGGCTCTTGTGGCGGGTTTTGTTGCTCTTTCTATCGTGCTATTCCTCTCTTTACAGTTCCAGCCTAACACTAGCACTATACCCCTTTCAAGATCGACATCCTCTTTCTACATTCTGTTACCCCTATTTTCTCATGGCAGATCTCTCATGATCGACAATCAGGGCTCATCATAGTTGCGTCTAAAAGTATTTATCTTTTTTCTTATTACTACTACACATAAATTATACAAGACCAAAGGTATCAAATAACAAAAATAACTTAATCATATACCAGTTACAATCGAAAACTGGAATAAATAACAAAAAGAAACGATAATAAATCATTAAAAAAAATACAAACAACTAAAACAAACAGTAAAGGTATAAAATTGATTTTTAATTAATGATAGCTCAGGGAGGTATTAAAATTTTGAAATTATGGTAAATCGTGATATCGTTAAATTTATAATAAAGCAATAGCAGCTAAACCAAGTACACCATAAGCAACGTTATTAATATTACCTGAATTACCTGAAGAATGGTCTTCATCTTCATCTTCATCACCTTCAGCAGTTGAAACAGCATCAACTGAAGAAGAAGTAAGATGGTGGCTGGTCATCAAACTGGTGGAGTTGTGAGCAGTGTGGGTTGAATTGTGATGAGTGGTGGTGTTAGCAATTGATGAAGAATTGAAATCTGAAGCAACAGCAACAACTCCTTTGAAGCCATCTAATGATGGAATAGCTGAAGTGATAGCAGCTGAGGAAGCTGATAAAGCTGAAGCTACTGAAGCAGCTGAAACAGAAGAAATTGAGGCAGCATAAGCAGCAGATTCTGAAGCGGCGGCTGCGGCTGAAGCTGAAGCAGCAGCAGCTTCACTGATTGAAGCTTCGTAAGCAGCATAAGCAACAGCTGAAGCTGAAGCAGCTGAGGAACTGGAAACAGAAGCAGCTGAAGCACTTGAGACTGAGGCAACAGAAGCAGCTGAAGCAGCTGAAACACTTGAAACTGAAGCTACTGAAGCTTCACTTAATGAAGTACTTTGTTCAGGTGTTAATAAAGTCTTGGTGATGGTGATAGTTGAAAGGATAGTGGTATCCTCATCAGCTTTGGCTAAAGCTAATAAAACTAAAGGACTTAAAGATTTAAATAACATTGTTGTTGTTTGTTTTTTTTTTGGAATTTCTTGAATATAGTATAATATCAGTTAACGAAGGTAAATGTTATACTATAGTATCAGTGGGTAACTTCTAAAAAAGAATGACTGGAGTTAAAGGAAAGACTGAAGTTAGGTAACTGATTTAAAAAAAAGTAAATTATTTCGTTGAAGGATTTGTTGATGGTTTTATTCAGACGAATAAGAAAAATAAAATAAAAAAATAAATGCCCAAAACGGTCGAATAACGAGAAAATAATTCTTGAAAAGGAAAAGGTATTGTGCGGGAGCGAAACGATTGGCTGACTGGGCATTATATGCAGAGCGGAATGGAATTATACAGTTATAGTAAATCCACGACTGGCCATTTGGAGTGTATCGGTTACCCGATACGGCGCAATTGAAAATATTTAGTTTAGACGAATTTCCCGATGTGGGTGTAATTTGCCTATTTGCGGAAGTCACACGATTTAACGACAATAGTTAATAGGTTTTAGAGTTTAACGTAACTACGTGGGTTATGAATTTTCTTTAAAGATCTTATAGGAAAAGGCTCAAGTAGTCATAACGGTCAAGCTTATGATTATACTTGCTATAATTTGATGTTAATGAGCTGGTCAGTTACAATATCTATCAAAGAAAAAATATTTCCACTTTAATTCTGTAAGAGGAAATGGTGAAAAATCTTCACGGAATTTGTGTAGGACATTGCAACATTGGAAGATGAATGATATTTCTCGTAGACACTACAACTAATGTAAGGCTAGATGATCTGTTTCTGCCGAAAGAGCAAATGATATGGGGTGTTATCATTAATTTCCCGTAGAGGATAAATTGAAATCGTGAATCTCTGTTACAATTGGTAACGTAGAATGTTATCGAGCTTCTGTTATCAACGTATTATTCTACTTTAGTATAAGACTCTATTACAAACTCGTTTGGTGTTCTAACCCCCTTAAAAATTAACCCTAAAGGAGATATATTGTACCTCACAGTAGCTGACGAAGGTGTTAGGAGTTGGAGGGACCAACTTTTAAGGAGAATTAATCCAAAAATGGATTTAACGAAGAAAGAATGATTTAACCTATGTTAATCGAAAAATTGATGGAATGTTACCAAAGGGGATAAATTAGTTATCGACAAGTGGAAATGTGGACAGTGGTGTAATGCCACATTGATCTGTAGTCGGTTATTATTGACGATATAGAGGTCTGATAAGAATTGAGTCAGAATGAAATTGCCTGAATAGATGAATTCATGTAGACTGTTTAAAGTCGCCTAAGTGTAAAGATTATGATCTTTATTCCATTTTTGATTGACCTCTTGACGGTGCTGATGGTGGTGTGTGGCTTATTACTTTCTTCCACTAAAATTCAAAGTTTTGTGGATAAATGGTTCTTGAATAATGAGTCGTCTTGCTCTTATACTATCCCATCACTTGATCAGTCATACTAAACATCAAAACCGGTATATCATAATCTAGATCAAAGATCCAAGCTGAAGAGTCCAGCTCAAAGAAATCTAGTCTAAAGAGTCCAGTTCAAAGAAACCTGGTTCAACGATTCAAGCTCAAAGAAATGCAATAAGAAGAGTCCCCCGTTTGAATAAGAATATATTCAAACTGGTGTATGTACACAGTATAAATGCCAATGATCCATAAAATTCATATTGACCCATGAAATTCATATTTGAGTCCATTAACTTCACCACCAGTCCAATATTCTCCCTCCAGTAGCACTATTTCGCACCATCAATTCTCCCTAACACCTCTCCACAGTTCTAACCCTCACTCCCATTCTGGTGATAATTCTCGTTGATCCAAATGCGAAAACTTTTCAATGATGAGATTCGTAAGAAGTTTATCAAAGGTGGCATATGAATCCAAACCAAAGTCAAGATTCAATAATGTTACTTCAGCCTTCAACTTCAGACCAAAACCAACCCAAGGAATAATATATCAACCACCTTCAACTTTACCATCAGTTTATCAAACGCCCAAAAGTTTTTTACCTCCAAATGATCCTCGTAGAGAATTACCTTACCACAAAGAATATACTGCTGAAGAATTAGAAGATATGCCAATAATTCATCAAACCACCAAGAATTATAACGTTGACGACAAAACCGCCATGGAAATCATCAAATTAAGAAGTGAAGACCCTAAAGAATGGACTGTTAATAAGTTAGTAAAGAAGTTTGACGTTGATGCTAACTTCATCATCGCTATCAACAAAGCTTTTAAAGACAAACCACAATTGAAAAAGTACAACAAACGTCAACTGGAACAATTAAAGAGAGTACAAATGTGGTTAAGAAATGAATTTTAGACATGTAAATAGAATAGACATATTGTCGTGCTCTGTATATTTATAGTACAATTCTAGTTTTACAGGTTCAGTCTGTTTAAAGACTGTTACAGCTTTAGTGATACACAGCTTAAGATTACAATTCCTCTACTTCTTTTGCTATAAAAGATTCTAAATCTTTTAAAGTACTATTGACATCATGCTCATACTGTTGAATGAAGGCAGATATTTCACTGGTGGTTACCATTAAGATTTTCCTCTTCTTATCAATCTCATCCAAAGTCTTTTCAAACTCTTCACTAATGGTGGTTAAGTTGTTTTGATCTTGAAGGAATTCTTCTTCTTTCTTGACTTTCATTTCAGTTATCTCATATTCGGCTCTTTCAACATATTTATTATATTCATTCAATTTGAATTCATTTTCTATTTCTTTATCATTGATTTCTGATATTTTGGAACTATTGATCATTTCAATGTTTCTTAATTTCCTATCCTTTTCATCATTTATTTGAGTTACCTTAGAGATTTCAATAGAATTCTTTTGGATCAAATCTTTCAAATCTCTAATGGAATCCTTAGAAATATTTTTGACTTTAATAAATTCGATTTTATCAGTTTTAAGATCTTTATTTAAGATTTCGTTCAAATCATTTCTATTGAAATTCAAATAATTAAACTTCAAATTGATCTGGTACTTCTCTCGTGGTAAATAGTCATTTAATTCCATTTTGTATATGGACCCATTATATTCTTGAATCTTTTGTTGAAGCTCAGTGATGATTTTATTCATGTCTTTGGTCTTTTCATTGATCATTATATCGATATCTCGGATTTTATCATTGAAAATATCAATATTTCGGATTATAGTGAGTTTTTCATTAGTCAATTTTTCTATCATGAGAACATTTATACCCTTTTGACTTAATTTTGTATTCAATTGTTGTTTTTCTTGTCTTGCTTTATTGATCTTATCTTCATATTTAGTGATTTCGGTATTAAGTATATCCATTTGATTAGCCCATTGGAATTTCATATCTGCAGTCAGTTCTAAATATGCTTGAATCTTCACTATATCATTTTCTAAAGCTTCAGTGGTTTTTTGTCCATATTTTAGTTGTTCATAATATTCATTGATCTCATCTAGCTGTTGATTCAATTGTTTTTTCTTTTCGGTTCTTATGACTATTTCCTTATCGATTTTATCGTTGAACTTCTGGAGTTCATCATTCAATTCTTTGGTATGCTTTTCATTATCATCTTCATTATTCAAGAAATTCTCATAACATTTGGTTGTATAATTAACAAATAATCCATCTAATTCATCTTCTAAAGTTATCCTTTGAGGATCTCCAAATTCCATAATCTGAAGATTCAATTTCACCAACCAATACAATATCCCCAAGAAGTTGGGCCAATTGTTACCTCCTACAGCTGATATTTGAGATCTAGTTATACTTTCGATATAAGGATATCTTAACATCTTCAATATAGTTATAACTTCATTATCGATACTTTTAGTGAACTTATAGAATGGGTCGATTTTATTGTATAAGAATTGAAATATCACCATGAAATCCTTCTGAGTGGGTATTTTCAAGGTCTTAGAAGTTAAAGGATGATTCATTTCTAATTCGAATTTATTCATACTCAAAAATTCATAGATTTCATTGGTGATAAGATTTTGATAATTCTTATTTCTGATTGGTCTTTCGTCGGGTGTTTGAGTAACAGTGTATGTGGATGTGGAAGGAGTACGACGAGTAAGTGGTGTTGACAATAAAGATCTTCTATCGGATCTATCAATGGATCTGGCTAACATTGACAGTCTGGTAGATCCTGTAACACTCACTCTATTACCCACTAAAGTGTTATTCCGCCTTAAAATCGATGGCGGATTATTCATGGTATTGACTTGATATTCAATAAGGCTTCTGTATGATGTTGAAAGTTTTAATGGGTTCTATTGATTGTTATTGAATATATTTTGATCAATACTTTAAGGTTTATGTGATGGTTTGTTTACAAATAATTTTCGCGAACATTGAACGGTCAACCTCCAAAAACGTTACTTATACCATCAGCAAGAAATCATAATAAAATCATCCACTTAGTCACTTGGAAATCATTTCAATAGAATATTAATCGTTAGAATATCATAGTCATTAATTTATTTGGTGTTGAAATCTTGAAAAATGAGTAAAACTCCAATATCATCACCAAAAATTCCTCCTCAGGAGATGTTACCTTCAACACCTCCATCAAATAAGAAGGGTAGATTGAGTTCGATGGCAACTCCCGAAAAGGATACTTCAATGCCATTTACTCCATCTTTGAAAAGGAACAGTAGGAATTTAGGTACTATTGAACAATCGCCATATGGACTTTTAAAAACTCCTAAATTAGATAGTGATGATGAAGATATAGGAGCCAGTGGAGGTTCTAAGCGTAGTAGTCGATATAAATTTCCCAGAACTCCTAATTATTTCCTGCCAGGGAAGAAATTATTCGATGATGAAAAGGAGAAAGAAAAAGATAAAGAACGGGAAGATATAAATAACATAACATTACAATTAAAAGGGAAATTAACCAATGCATTAGAGAAATTGAATCAGAAAGACATTAAGAAATCGAAATTTGAATTCACAGAATTAACATTTAACATATCGCCGACTAGAAAGAAAGACCATGACAATCCCCAATTTAATGATTATTTGAAGAAAGCTAACTTGAATTTACAAAATATGACAAATTTCGATAATCAATCGTCAATACTTAATAAATCCGTTGAATTACAAAGTTCTCCAGTGATTAAAGAGGAAAGAGATATCGAAATACCCCTTGAAAATAGTGCTCATAATGCATTGAAAGCAACAATCAATCGTAAATCTCAACATGAAGATCAAATTAAACATCAGGTACAGCAAATGTCTAACAAACCTCCATCAACACCCAAGAAGATTAATCTACCCCCAATAAATCCCAAGAAAAATAATGAACAAGATGCTGCTTATTCTTTAATGTCATTATCATCACCCCAACAAATCAAATTTTCTCATAGTAGAAATCAAAGTTTATCCAGTCCACAATCAAATAACGGTTTAGTCAATGACTCCGTAACTTTACCTCCTTTATCACCTACAAAACAATTGGTTAGTTTACCACCCATATCAGGATTAATAAAGAACGATGATGAAACCGATATCGAAGAAGATAGTGATTAATGATAATGTAATATAGAAGTTCAGAGTAACAATTCTCTGTTTGTAATATACAATTGGCATTCTTTGAAACTCTCAACAATTCTTCCAATCATACCAATTTGTTAATTATTACTAAAAACCCTTGGAAACCTTTACTAATTAGGGAAAAGGTAACCAATAACTTGGCTGGGAAATAAGATTTTTTCTACCTTCTCCGATAATTGAGTCTCGCACGACTGCGAATGATGCGATAAAATGCGATGATGACAAATTTCTGGAAAACTATATAAACCTAGCAAGACATTAGTATTAGACAAAGCTATTATGGTAGTACAAGAGGTCAAGGTATTGTACTTGTTACATCCTACAGTCGTTACGGACGAAAAATTAGTGGTCGAGACCAAAGCTAAATTATTGGGAGATGTCACTCAAATGTTGATTTCACAAATTGTTTCTAAACCACCTTCGGATAAGTTTGATAAGATCTTTTATGTTAATCCTAATGAAGGTGAAGGAAGATACATACCTAATGAAGTTTTGGAAATTTTCTTCAATTGTTTGAATGAAGGAGGTGAAGTTGAAGGGGATTTACCAACTGATCAAGATATTGATGTCTTAATGAATGGATTTGTCGTTGAAAATAATAAATGGTTGAAACCTAAAAAGTTCAATGTTATCAGTTTAAAGAAGTCCAATAAGGAAACCGTTTCAAAATTGGGAGGTTTCAAGAGATTAAATGATGAAAAGACTGTTAAAAGTCCAGGATTAACTGACTCCTCAATTGCCAGTGAATCAGAAGATGAAAATAATAAAAGAAAATTAGATAAAATGAAATTGACATACTTCTCCGATTCCGACGGGGAATCTGATTCAGAAATTGATGAAAATGAATTATTAGAAAGTAATTATACTTTAATTAAACCAAAGAAATGTGATACTACAGGCAAGAAGAGAAGAAAGGCTTGTAAAGATTGTACTTGTGGATTAAAAGAATTAGAAGAACAAGAATTGAACAATCAACAAACATTGCAATCAAAATTATTGTCAAGTTTATCTCAACAAGCCACCAGTGCTAATAGAGAAGCTATTGCTATTGAAGAAAGATTAGCTAATAAAGTAAAATTAGACTTTAAAGATATGTCAGAAATAGATTTCACTATCAAAGGAAAAACGGGTGGGTGTAATTCATGTTCATTGGGTGATGCATTCAGATGTGATGGATGCCCATACTTGGGTTTACCAGCTTTCAAACCTGGTGAAGTTATCAGTTTAGATAACTTTGGCGAAGACATTTAACAGCACAATCTTCGAAAGAAGATCATATATGATATTTATTAGGGAATAAAAGGGATAGATTTTTAAACACCTCTAAACAATTCTCTAATGCCGAGTATTCCACCCTGTCAAATACCGTAACTATGGGGACGGACCAGGTCCAATTCAAAGGTGAACGGCTGGTATCGGATAAATTGCCGATGTAGAACATTCACTAATACTCATGTGGCTCTTCAACTTGCCTTTGGAATAGTTTGCTTGCTTCCCGACCTCTTATGTCTAGCAGATGAGATAATACTAATAATATTCGGACCACGTATGTGCCATTCGATCATATCTGTTGTGATGTCATTAAAATATTAATCTCCGTTTGCATGAAAATTCTTGATTGCGGATATATGATACACTCCCTACAAACGATTGATTTCTCATGCTTTGACTCAAGATATGTCACATTATACCAAACTTAGCCCCGGATTATAAAACTTCCTTCGAACCTTGATGCACGGACTAAATCCCTTAACTCCAAAGTCCCAGGGTGATAAATCAATCAAACTCAAAAGCTTATCATCTTCCTAACTACGAAAAAATAAAGTTAACGCAAATAACACCTTTCTTAAGGTAATTTTATAATTAAGTTTAAATTTAAAAGAAACTAATGGATAATCCATTGGGAAATAACCTTTGACCTATGGCTTAGTTACACTATTATGATAGATAGAAGGATTGACAATATCGGATTTATCCTGCTAAACTCCATTCCAATTTTAACCCCAGGTAATAAAATGTTTGATGGCTTTCATCAGTAGATGTATCAACAGTCATCATAGATCACTCTAAGGGATATCATAATTAGGATGACCATTTTTATGTAAGATGTAAATCGTTATTGTTTTCTACACATTGTTGTAACATTCATCGCATCGTATTTTGATTTGGGACACAAAAACATTTAACCTCCATCGCCAAAGTCCTAAAACTTAGATAACGTAAAGGTTGATAGCTTAAGTCCATTACGGAAGTCCATGATTTAGGATTTTAGTGATGTGTCTCATAACAAAGCATCTTATGATACGTCAAAGATACAAGGGAAATGTAAATCCCCTCAAGGTTTATAAATGGAAAACCATTTCAACCGTCCGGGGATTGACCGATCAAAAGAAATGAAAGTTTGTAAAGTATCAAAAGATGAAACTTATGAAATAAAACGCATTATCTTAAAAACCTAAAGTTTGTCAAGATCGGTGTGGTTTCAAATTTAATTAATGTAACCACAAAGCAAAAATTGAAAAGAGGCGTATTTTTTGATGAAGTGTTAAAATGCCTAATAATGAGAAATAATTTCTTTAAATAGTTACGATAAGATCAGTATATGTACCTTAACTAATAGCGTTACCACGGCATGAAACTATACCGTGGTTCAAAATTTTTCTATTTTAGTAAATTAGCATTAGTGGAAAAATTTCCCGCAAATAGAGGTTATCACCATAAGGTTGATTAAATTGAAACGAAATTGATTATGATAATAAATTAGGTTATAATTTATAAACGGGTTGGAATAACTTCTGAAATTAACCGGTTAAACCAAGAATTAAATGCCCCTATCAAATATTCAGCCGGCTATAAATCCCCTTAGTTCCTGAGTTTCTTGGAATTTGACTGCCGGACATTACTTTCCCAATTGAAAATTCTCAAGAATTTTCCTCTATTCAGGAATGTTAATTCCCAATTGGGAATAAGCAAAAATAAAAAAAAAGTATTTTTTTAATTACCCCTTAAGGAATGGAGTTAACTTATGTAACAGGGTTGAGTAACCTTGCGAAATTTCAAGGAATGTATAAGCGACATATTCATCGTAATTAATACCTACCCTTTGTTTCAAGTTGGAAATCGATAAGATCCGAATTTCATGAGCCAATTATATTCCACCAAGGTTGCCATCACTCATTGGTTTGTTATTTTTGTCAGATATCTTGCGCTTCGTTAACTTGAGTGATACTATTAATTAAAGTTTAGACCCGCTGAACAAAATAATTATTAATGCAGTATGCGGATGAAGATTAAGTTTGCTAATTGATTATAAGTAACTAGTTTATTTATTGATGAAGACTTAAGTAATAATTTAATTGAAGTTGAAGCAATTGATGATAATTTCGATTTCATGATTTATGTCCCTGACTCTCATAATTTCAAACCTTGCGTCACTCTAAATATCTATTGAGTAATTTGAATTCATGTGATTAAGAGTGATTGAGATATGAGAGTGGGAGTGAGAGTGGATAATATGAACCCGACCTTTATATATTTTTATGACCTATAATACACTAATTACTGTAATTGTTTTCAAAACCATAAGGATTTGGTAAGTTATATCTTTCATAACCAATTGCAAATTGTGGATTATTGAATTGTCCATTATTTGGTTGATTAGGAAGTTGTTGTTCAAATGGTTGTGAAAGAGGACTTAATTTATCATCCTGGTTATAAACAAAATTAGTTTGTATAGGATTTAAGTTTGAAGGTATGAAGAATTGCATGTTGTTAATTGGTAATTGATTATTGAATGGATAATTGTACATGGAGTTATTTTGTTGATTGAATTGTTGTGGTGGTGGAGGATGTTGGAATGATTGAGGACCTAATTGATTTTGTCCTTGTTGTGGTGGTGGTGGTTGTTGATGATTCATATAATATTGATCTTGTAATTGTAATAATTGTTGATTATGTAATTGAATTTGCTGTTGTCTTAAATTCTTTTGCTTACAGAATTCACAGTTTTTATTCTTACCATTTCTTCTAGGTGTGTATCTATAACCAGGATACTTCTTAGCATGATTAGTCTTTTCTTCTTCAGCTAATTGATTCCAATGTTCTCTATCTTCATTTGATAATGCTCTCCATCTTCTACCTAATTCTCTACTAACTTCAGGATTAGTTCTAATTACTGAACCTTCTTCTAAGACACTTTGATGATACTTTTGTCTAAATAATATAAAAGCATTTCTCGGTCTTGGAATTCTATTAGCATTACTTTTACAAGTACATTTACCAATATTTAAATTATTTAAACCGTTCATATTAACTTGATTAACTTGATTTAATCCCATTAAATGACTATCAGGTACTCCACTTTTACCACTAAAACTTGAAGCTGGTGTTGTGTTAGCAGTGGATGGCTGCGAAGCATTGGAAAATAATTCATCATTAGTTTGATTATTCATAATTGATGATAATGAAGGTAAACTGTGTTTTTCTTCTGGATAATATACTGCTGTTGACATTCAACTAAAATTTATTAAAAAACTATCTTCAAAATCAGTTACAATTAACAAAATTGATTTGATAAGGGTTTGATAAGGGATTTAATCCACTATTTATAAAAATTAATTCCTCAATTTTAACACTTACTTTTAGTTTGTTCCCCTGTCCTGTTTTTTCCCTAAACAGAATAGGTGAAAAAAGACGAATATAAAATCGAAATTAAAAAAAAAAAATTACAGCAAAAAAAAGAAAAAACTGAATGGAATTTTGAAAGGTTTTCCGCATTGGGGTGGACCTGTATATTGCCCGCGCAACCAAAATGAACCTCCTTTTATCAGGATGAGCGGGCATAACTTTTGTCTGGACGGAAAGTTAGTTGTTTATTGGTCACAACTAATTGTTGGTATAATAGTGAATTATAATTGTAATGATTGAATTAGTTTGTTAGAGAATTAATAGTTTGGTTAGGGACCTTAAATATAAATCACTGCCCCTTCTCAAATTTTTGCAATAAATTTCAAGAAAAAAAAAATAAGATCCCCGAGAATTTTTTTCAAAAGTTAGGTACAATCCCATCGTTTCCCAATACGTAACATCGGATTAAGCGACACGTGAATATTTTTCTCTTGCGCTCTCTGCCTCTATGATTTAATTGTAACATACCAAAACATTTTTGTTAATGTTTATACTGGAATGTAGTAAAACTATAAACAAGAAATAGTAGGGAAATTTTAGTCTATCTAAACGATCTATCTTTACATACAAACTATTAAATTATTTGTCTCCCTGTCATGATATCAATATTTTCGCATAATGTGATAATCGGCTTAATTTATTGTTACTCCATCAATGATTTATTATTCATTGGACAATAAATTACATTGATTTTATTACATTATAGATATGGTAGATTTCAACGGTTGACCTTTAATGGTGATATAGTAATAGTTAATAGATTAAATAGTGGAATTTATTTGTCTTCACCATGGGTGACAGTTGATTAATACTTGCTAGGAGTTAGTGGAATTAATGCAATGTGCGGAAGTAGTGCAACGGGTTAAAACTGCCTAAATAATAATTGGTTTCCAAAAACAGATTAAATATAGATGGTTCCTTAACCTAAAACTGGTTAAACTTACCAAACGGAGGTTCAAAATTGAATCAATAAAGTATCAATTAAAGGGGTTTACAATAAGTCAATAATAAGAGATCCACAGCTTTCATTCAACAATAACCTCTCGCCCTTTTGAATCCCTCACGGGAATGTTTTTACTGGTTTGGATTTTATTTTCCAATTGCAATTCCCCTACTAGCTCTATTCAGATCTTGAACTAATCCCGTCTTGTATATAATGTTGTTACATCACCAATTATAATTGTCTAGTCCAAGTTAGAATTATAGGATCTAAAAATTGATATATTGTTAATTTTTCACAATTATTCGTTTAGACCCTTGCTTATATTATTAACATTATGATTATGGGGTTTTTTAACTTTCTAATCCTTACTTTCTATTTTTTAACATTAGAAGGCTTTCTGAGTGTCACTGTGACTATCAAAAATTTTCCCATTTACAGTTAATTCTTATTTTCCAGATCTCACGTTAAATCCTCTGGTACCTTTATTTTTTATTTTTTCCTATTTGGTAATTAGACGAATCGATGTAGGGTTTACAGTTGATTGTTACAAATTCCTGAACGCTATTGTCTTAAGGTTGTAATTGATTGTTCACATTTATTTTCAGATATTATCCAATTGTTCACATAGTTACTAACCGATTGTTTAATATTTTTTAATTTTTTTTGATATACTAAAAACATTATGAAATTTTATTTTACAGGTATTTTGACCTTGCGTTTTATTTTTTTCACTATTGTCACATTGACCTGAATTTAAGATTTTAGTCTTATTGTTAGTTTAAAAAGGGTGTTATTGTTGATGATGAGCTAATTCTTTATGAGTTTATTTGCTGTAGTCCCTTCAATTTATTGTTTCCATCTATTGTTCAATAAGATTATCGTCAAATGTTTATAACTATTATCTGTTCATTCTGGACTCTTAGTTTGATGGAATGCAAACATTTTCGTCACCATTCCGTTAAGTTGTTTACATTCTTTCCCCATTTCTATTCGATGAATTCGCTTTGTAACCGATTTTTTATGTTTTAGGAAATTCTTTTGGCGAATCGTGTAAAACCCTTGGGTTGCATTTTTTCAATGTTTTATTCCTTAATAAGAAATATTCATTATTCACCTCATTGATGGTTCTTCACCTTTTGTTTATGTGATGACAGGTGTTTTCTTCGTAGTTCGTACTTTCTTATGTTTTGAAAATCCGCCCTGTTGTTCATTTTTTTAGTTAGTTATTTTTCTATTGTAAATCTGGCTTTTGGTACATCTTTAATTTCATCAAATCTTTATTTCGTACCTAACTTATTATTCGCTTAGTATGTACCCCCAAAAAATTTAGTTTGGTTCACTTGGTTCGCAAGACCAGTTGTATTAGGTTGTCGGAGTTGGACCGAGAGAATGAGACTGGTTTGTGAACGAAGCATTGTAGGTTTGAAATGTGGTGATTGAGTTGGAACCTTCGACTGGAAGTGTACCTTAAAGTGCTTGCATGGTACCTGATTGGCAAAATAATGTTGGTGGGTGGTTTGACTTGTGTCATTGAATCGAAAGGGGGTATTCATTATATGCCATAGGTGTTTTAGGTTCGAATTGGTATTGATAGTATGTATGAAACTTCACTAACTGTCAATAGCCATACGTAAGAGATTTTGAAGAGTATTTTGACATTAAATTTTGGCCCCCAAAGAGTTCAGACCGAGAATTGACTATACGTCGTAGACCACTTGTTGATTAGGTGGATAGATAATCAGAGCAATCGTTGAAGTGTATCCAACCTCTGTTTTTTAGTCATAAAACTACCAGATCTTTATCAAATTGACCCCGATCTCTTTCTAACTGCAGAATTACCTCTCATTAGCCTGAAAACGATCATTCATATACTCGAATGTTGTCGTATCTATCCCCCAAGTCTCACAAATATCAAAATCATGGTTATGTGGTAGATCCATTTTTGGTGATGTGGAAATCGCGATATGGAAGACTTAATCAATACAGAATCTATCAGATCACAAATAAATAAACCTAATTATAAACTAGATGAGTTCTTAATAGCCAACAGATTTGAATCGCTAGACTCGTCCATCAAGGAACTAAGTGAAGTTGAGAAAACTTTGAATGATGAGTTGATTAAATTGATCAATGATAATTTCGATAAGTTCATTGAATTGGGGAATTTAAATGGTTCACAAGAATTGATCGATTCCGTCAATGATCAACTATCCAAATTCAATAGACTCCTTAACTCCACAATTGATGAATTCGACGATATTAAAAGTAAAATAGCCAATTTCGAAAATTTCTTAAAGTCCTTAAATGAACTCAAATATAAAATCAAAGTTGTGAAATTAGCCAATTCCTTGATAGAGAATTTACTGAAAATGTTAGATGTATTGGAAAATCAACTTTACATCAACTCAAATAAGAAAAAAGAGTTAAACAAGAATGATGAAGTGTTAGTAACAGAGATCGGAAATATGATTATGTTGATCAACAAACTAATAATAAACCATGATTCCATAAATTATAAGAAATTCAACTCCTCAATATTCAAATTCAATGAAATCCTTCATGACGTAAAGAACTTTGAAGTGTTTAAAGTTAAGAAATTGTTGAAAGAGATGAATCAGTAAAGTTAAGTGAACAACCCCCTCCATTTGCATGAAATTATCAGGTTCCTTGATAAAATATAATACAAGACTGTATTTAAACGATGAACATTACCTCTCTCTTCCTTCCCTTGTTTGGTACCTCCATGACCACTATTCTAATTCTTTCACCTTGGTCGTCTCAAAGTATAAGTGATATGTGAGGAAGAAATGCGCGACCAATAAAATCCCATCAATATGTTAGGTCAATATTTTTCAAGTAGACATGAATGGGAAAACCAAGACAACAATCCCCTCCCTAAAGAGTTTGAAGTAGATGAAGTTGGTGCCACCTCTGCCCCATTATTATCAGCATCATATTTTATTGGCGCTAGATGTAGACCTTATAATGATGATTTCCTCAAATGTAAAGATGAAAATAATGGTGGTACGATAGAATGTTTAAAAGAAGGAAGAAGAGTTACTAGATGTGCTGTTTCCGTTTTAACTGATTTAAACAAGCATTGTTTTGATTCCTTCAAGTTGCATTATGAATGTTTAGAACAAAATAATCATCATTTAGGTCATTGTAGATCATCAGAAAAAATTTTCAATGCCTGTGTTTTCCAAAACTTAAAGTTATCTAAGGAAATCCCAGGTGTTGCCAAAGATAAACAAATTCATCTTAATGAAAATCCAATCTATCAAGGTACTTCAAACGATAAAAAATTGTCAAGTGATTTTTTAAAGGTTCATGAAAAGAATTAGTGCATGAATACATATTTATTAAGTCAACTCTTTCTCTTATTGTAAAAATGAAGGTTGTAAAGGTCAATGAAAGGATCAGAATCGACGTTGATTTAAGAAAGCTGTTGGGAGAGTAGGTGAAATGTTTACGCTCGCTCGCTCATCGAAATCAACGATGTTTGCATCTTCTAATTCTGGTGGATTGTTTGGAAATACCAACTCCAATGCCAACACTGGGGCTAACAGTGGTACCAGTGGTGGATTATTTGGAAGCAACAATAATACCAACAACAATTCTGGTGGAGGATTTGGATCAACTTTAGGTCTGAATACATCTGGTGGATTGTTTGGAGGTAATAATAATAATACTGCAAGTAATACTGGAACATCAGGTGGATTATTTGGAAGTAATAATAATAACACTGGTGCCAACACTGGTACAGGTTCTACATTCGGGGCCTCCAACACCAATACTGGTGGTTTATTTGGGGGTAATACCAATAATACTAATAACACAAATACATCAGGTGGTTTATTTGGTGGTAATACTAACACTAATACCAATAACTCTGGTGGTTTATTTGGTGGTAATAATAATACAAACTCCAATACATCAGGTGGATTGTTTGGATCCAACACCAATACTTCAGGTAATAATACCAACAATACTTCAGGAGGTTTATTTGGAGGTAATACATCCAACACTAACACTTCAGGAGGTTTATTTGGATCAAACTCCAACACCTCCAACACAAATACAGGAGGTTTGTTTGGATCAACTAATAATACCAACACTAACACCAATGCTGGGGGTTTATTTGGTGGTAATAACACCAATACTTCTACTAATACTTCAGGAGGATTATTTGGATCAACCAATAACACCAACACTAACACCAATGCTGGAGGTTTATTTGGTGGTAATAACACCAATGCTTCTACTAATACTTCAGGAGGCTTATTTGGTGGCAATAACACCAATACTTCTACTAATACTTCAGGAGGTTTATTTGGTGGTAATAACACCAATACTTCTACAAACACTTCAGGAGGCTTATTTGGTGGTAATAACACCAATACTTCAGGAGGTTTATTCAACAACAATAATAATACCAACACTAATACTGGAGGTTTATTCTCAGGCAATACAAATAATTTAAGTAATACAAATAATACCAACAACAATGGATTATTCAACAATAACTTAAACCAACTCGATAAATCTTATACACCATCAATCAATGATCAATTAATAAAAATTAAAGACCAATGGGATCCAAATTCCAACAATTGTAAATTAAAAACCCATTTCTATAACAAATTACCGGAACAAGAATTATCAATATTATTACAACAACAAAGACCACAGAATGAAAGTCCTGATGATTGGAATAAAGCTATGTTAGAAAGACCTTCAAATCAATATTATCCTGTTAAAATCACAAGTTTTACTGACGTTCAATCAAGAATAGAGTTGGAATTAGAACAAGTGAAAAAATCAAGATATTTATTGAATATAATCAATGATAACCAATCAAAATTATCATCTGATCATGATTTAAAGAATATTTCAAGAATCAAACAAGCCAAACAAAAACATTTGAAATTATCACGAAGATTGTTAAGATTATCAACTATTTTGGCTATCTTGAAATTAAAAGGTTATCCATTATTACCTGAAGAAGAAGAAATATCCAAACAATTTGAAATCTTAAATAACAAATTAAATGATCCTAATAATTCATTGAGTAAATTGAATGATTTATTTGCTAGATTGACTATCTTAAAAGAGAAATCCAATGGATTAAATAATGAAATCAACCAATCAATTAATTTAATGAATGAAAATATCGATGATGAAAAAGATACCATTGATGATGATTACTTAATCAAGGTAATGAAATTATTAATGAATCAACAAAAAGGTTTGAACTATGTTAATGATGTTTTACAAAAAGATTTAGAGACTGTTGATAGTTTATAAGCTTTAAATAGGGTTAAACTGTAATTCCACATCTTAATTTACGATTTATATTTACAGGTTATTCATTAATCTCATACTTACTATATCTATCAAGGTGAACTTCTCGAAGTTGAACCTTAAACAATGTTTTAATCTTCTAAAATCGAGTTCTTGTTCGGATTTTATTAAACAGAATGGTTGGTTGATTCTGCTATCACTTATAGTGAACTTATTCTCAAACATCTTACCTCTATTATTTAGACTGTGATTGAATTGTACATATTTCAGTCCATTGAAGAAACTCTCGTCATTTTCAATATATTGAAATCGTGGTAATGCTACCATTCTTGCGAAGAAATCTCTTAGTATTATGGCCTTATCTTTTGCTTCAGGACCGGGTTTTTCAGTTTCAAATGGATTTAATACTGATTTATCACTACTTATGATCATCTCTACATTTTGGGAATAATTTACACTGGGTGGTGGAGTTTTGAACATTTCAATTGACCCCAACCTGTTGAAACTCTCAAATATGAAGTCTAACTCTCTAGCATTGGTGGGGGCGGGATTCAACCTCAAGTTCAAAAGGATATGATTACTCCAGTATTTGGTATGGGACATAATTTCGCGATGCTGATACATACAAAGATATCCAAGGCCCTTAATCGGCTGGTAGATCGTGTGATGTATGACAATTTGAAGCAGTATTCAAGTAACCATGATAAGGGAGAATTTGTAGCATACTGCCATCTTTTGGGGATGGAAGAAAACATAGCTGGGGAGATATATCGAGATTTCACTGAAGAACCAGCATCAGATCAATCAGTCCCTACGCCTAAACCTGCCAAAGTTCCTCAAACTACCACAGTTGCTCAACCACCCAAACCCAAGAAGAAAATATCTATCACTTACGATGATTTAGACGTGGAGGTGGCGCCTAAGAAACCCAAAACCACCAAATTCAAAAAGATCAATAAAGAAGATGCATTGAAGTTTAAAGAAAAACCTACCATACAACCCATTGCTGTTGATCCCGAACCTGAGCTCGACCTTGGCACTGATACTGATGCTACAGAGCCGGCTGAAGAAGAAACCGATTATAACGAACAATGGTATGTAGATGATTATGAACCCGTTATCGAAGAACCTACCAAACCTAAACCCAGATTTTCACGTCAAGATAAAGGTGGCTTCTATAGGAATGGAGAGTATGTGGATTTTGATCATGAGAGTAATCCTACGATCCCTGTCACCAGTCATTTCTTTGTTCCTCCATTCTTGAAAGACGAACAACATCATTTGAAGCTTCAAATAGGTGGTAAAATTATGTTTGATCCCATAAAGAATCACGACACTCATCTAAGTATCATCAGTAAGAAAGGTAGTGATGTTGTTAATGAAAGGAGGTCTAAGAAAGAGAGAATCAAACAGGCAAAGGAAAGAGCTGATGTCTCAGGTACCCGATTAGGAAATGTGTTGGGAATCGAAGAACAAGCTGAAAAGGAAGATAAAACTTCACAACAGTCAGGACCCTCTGAGAACCAAATGAGTATAGAAGAACAGAGGAAAAGACTACCTGTATTTACGGTTAAACATGACCTCATCAAACTTATAGGTGAAAATCAGGTATCTATCATTATAGGGGAGACTGGTTCAGGTAAGACCACTCAATTGACACAATATTTACATGAAGCTGGATACAAGAATGTTGTTTGTACTCAACCAAGAAGAGTTGCTGCTATGTCTGTTGCTCAAAGAGTCAGTGTTGAAATGGGATGTAAGGTAGGTCAAGAAGTAGGATACTCTATCAGATTTGAAGATGTCACCAGTGACAAGACTCGAATTAAGTATATGACTGAAGGTATTCTCTTGAGGGAATTGCTTGGAGATTCTAATCTTGACGGGTATGATGTGGTTATCATGGATGAAGCACATGAAAGATCTTTGAATACCGACGTTTTGTTGGGATTATTGAGAATGTTAGTAAGAAGACGTAGAGACTTGAAAGTCATTATCACCAGTGCTACGATCAATGCTGATTTTTTTAGTGAATTCTTTGGAGGTGCACCTCAATTCACCATTCCTGGGAGAACATTTCCTGTAGAAGTGTTCTATAATCGTTCGGTTGAAGATTATGTTGAAGAAACCGTCAAAACTGTGGTCAAACTCCATTTAGAGAACCTCAATTATGATCGGGAAAGTGATGGTGATATTCTTGTTTTCATGACAGGTCAAGAAGACATAGAAGTTACATGTGAATTGGTTGCAGAGAAACTCTCACAACTTAATGATATCCCTCCCTTGGATATCCTTCCCATCTACTCCAGTTTACCTTCAGAACTACAATCTAAGATCTTCACTGCCCCCAATAAGCATCGAAGAAAATGTGTCGTTGCTACCAATATAGCGGAAACCTCGTTAACTGTGGATGGTGTGAAGTATGTGGTTGATTGTGGATTAATCAAGTTGAAAATCTATAATGCCAAATTAGGAATGGATAATTTAACTGTCATACCCATTTCAATAGCCAATGGTAACCAACGGAGTGGTAGAGCAGGGAGAACGGGACCGGGGAAATGTTATCGATTATATTCCGAACAAGAATTCAATGAAGATAATTTGAATTTGATGCCTATTCCAGAAATCAAAAGAACCAACCTTAGTAACGTGATGTTACTTCTCAAATCATTAAAAATCAATAATATCCATGATTTCCCCTTCATTGATGCTCCACCAAAGGAACTTATTTCTTGCTCCATGTATGAACTTTGGACTTTGGGAGCTATCGACAACTTTGGAAATTTGACTGCTTTGGGTAAGAAGATGATCAGTTTCCCAATGGAACCATCATTGGCAAAGTTAATCATTGTCTCCACATATCCACAATTCCAGTGCCTGAATGAGATAATCATCATTGTTTCAATGTTATCGGTGCCTCCAGTTTACTATAGACCAAAGGAGAGATTGGAAGAAGCTGATATGATGAGAGAAAAGTTCACTATCAAGGACTCTGATCATCTTACATTGCTCAACATCTACCAACAATGGGAGAGTCAAATGAAAACCAATCCTCGTAAAGTTCGTCAATGGTGTATTAAGAATTTCTTAATCGGGAAATCATTACAGAAAGCTAGAGACATAAAGAACCAATTACTTTCCATTATGAAGTCCCAGAAGCTTCCTATAACTTCTTCAAATAATGATGAAGTCATAAAACAATGTTTATGTATGACATTCTTCCCCCAAAGTTCAAGATTATCCAAGATCAATTTGAAAGATAGTCTGATCGAATATTTCAATCTTCGTCATAGTTTCATGAAGTTGTACTTACATCCCACATCAGTTTTGAACAATTCCCGTGATTTCCCACCCGACTATGTAATCTATCATCAATTGATCTTGACCAAGAAAGAATATATGAATGTTGTCACTGCAGTTGACCCATTATGGTTAGTTCAATATGGTTATATGTTTTATGATGTTCCCAAGAAAACAAAAGAATTGTTAGGAATAACCTCGATGGTAGAAAAATTCCAAAATACTATAGAAGAGGATACAAAGTCGTATAACACCAAACCAGAAGAGACCGAAAAAGAAGCTCCTAAAATCAAAAAATTCAAACCTAGAGGAATTTAGGGTAATGTGCATATATTTTAATGAAGTACGATATTATCTATCAATCTAGTTTTTTCAGTGGAATTCTCTCTTGGAACTCTGACAGCAGTTGAGATGATGGCCCCTACACCAGGTTCAACAGCTTCTAAATCTTCTAAGGTATCAGGATGACTTATGGATAAATATTCCACTTCAAAGTCCTCATGCTGTAAAGTTTCATTCATAACGTCTATTATATCTTTCAGTGGTACGGTACCTTTTGCTTTCAGGTAATAATCTTCACCTCTTTTCAAGGATTTATATATTATGGAAGATCTATCTTTAGTTTCTTGGGAAAGATAAGCATTTCTGGAAGACATGGCTAATCCATTTTCTTCTCTCATTGTAGGTAACACCACAACATTGGTATCAATCAATAAATCTTTGACTAAGTTCTTTATCACCACACATTGTTGAGCATCTTTTTGACCAAAGTACACATTAGTTGGTTGAACTACATTTAATAATTTTGTCACCACTGTAGCAACACCACGGAAGAACTGAGGACGTATACTGCCTTCTAATTGTTCAGAACATCCTTTAACTGAAACGAAAGCACCTCTTTGTTGAGATACCTCGGTTGTGATACCATTAGGATACATTTCTGATATTTTGGGTAAAAATAAAGCATCAATCTTCTTACCATCAGCATTTAAGGAATCTAAGATCCTCAAATCATCATCTACTGTTCTAGGATATGCGTCAAGATCTTCATGAGGAGCAAATTGTGAAGGATTAACAAATATAGAAACTATTGATTTATCATTATCTTTCAAACTTTGAGTAGCTAAAGAACAATGACCTTTATGTAAAGCTCCCATAGTTGGTACAAAACCTACTTTTTGTTGTTTAAGTAAGCATTCTAATCTCCATTGCCTTACCTGACTAACAGTTCTTAAGATCTTAATTTGTGGAGTCATTGAGTGAGATTTTTCATCGCATCTCATCCCACCTTATACGGCACAATATATCAGAGATTTTAAACGAGCTAAGTCCAAGAAATGAGTTATGGGAAGTATCAATAAATCCGAGTTTTGAAATTCTGGCAAAATATTAATGTCAGAGCCGAAAAATGCAAAGATCATCTCAACAATACATAATCTCGTATTTAAGCATTTATGTCTCAATCTCCATCATTTTGACCTTTGATTCAATCATCTACTATAAATAAGTGATATGATCATTCTAATTCCATATTGATCATACATGTCATACGTAGAAACCCTAATCATTATCGACTTCTTCCCGTAACCAAAAATAGCCACTGAGTGGACAGGCCATTTTTGTCGTGTAAAAGGTTTATCAACTTTCTCAAATTCCCATCCGTAAATCTCAGCTCCCTAAAGCTTTAACTGGAACCAAAAATAACACCTTCCCTCCCCTTGGTTATTGACATCAACAGTTAAATAACAAAGATTTTGGATACAAAAATGAATTCCAATCCCCAGGGAAATTCTGAAATGCTTTCATTTAATCAAACTAACGAAAGTGTAACTCCTCATAGTGATAATCCTCCACCAAATGGAATCAATGGAAGTGTTAATGATACCACCCAACGTAATGATGGTAATAATTCCAATGCTACGGAGTTTGATGGCCAGTATCTTAATTCCAATTGGCCCGAGACTTTATTATTGGATTCTCATCTTTATGATGTTGATTTTCCATCCCATATTGAAGGTGTAGGACCTACCAATAATATCATTCAAAGCATTCAATATCAAAATAATGTGTCCCCTGACAAGAAAGATGATTTGGATTTTTCAGAATTTGATAATAACTCCATAACAGCTGGCGGCATTACAGGACCAGGTAAAAAGATTACTAAGAAGACCAAAGAAGCTGATAAACCAAAGAATAAGACTAGACCTTGTGATCATTGTAGGAAACGTAAAACCAAATGTGTATTGATTCCAGGGACCAACAATTGCGTTCAATGTGAAACAAAATCTATTGAATGTACTTATGTTGGACAAGCCATCAAAAGAAAACCTCCAGCAGGAAGTGATGAACCTTTACTCAAAAAATCCAGCCAGTTCAATAGTTATGACAATAATCGAATTGTAGCACCAAACGTTCCTATAAGAGATGTCCAACCCGTTCAAGATTATTCGGTAATGAATAATTCCCTTCTAAAGAAAACCTTATCATTACAATTTCCTCGCTCAAGTTTTTATGTGGGTCCAACTTCATATATTTATGATTTAAATCTTTTGAATACCATCATAGATTCTCAGAACAAGCATAATCCTCAATCTCCAGGTAATGGAAAAGTTGAACAAATCAATTTGAGTGATTCCATATCTCTTCGGAAAGTTAGCGAAGATGCTCAATTCATACTCAAAGATGATCAGAGTCAACAATCTTATCAAGTAATGTCAAATGATGTCGATGCTATTGAAAAATTCGTAGCTCCTCATGGTCAAATCTTGATAGATTTGTATTTCCGAATTATTCATCCTTCATATCCTATATTACATAAGAAAGTATTTTTGGAGAAATATTCTCGTACTCATCGAGAATTCAGTGCTCCATTACTTGCAGCTGTTTATGTTTTAGCCATTCAATGGTGGGATTATGATCCTTCATTGAATCGATTTCCAAAACCTAATATTGGTAATATCTTAAAGATAGGTCTTAATAACTATCTTTTAGAAATTTTAAAACGTCCAAAATTAAGTGCTGTACAGGCTGGTCTCTTATTATTACAGTGCAAGCATATTGTTAGAGTTAGTAAAGATAATTCTGATGAGTCCAGTGAACTCAATCAAGCTTCTATAATCAATGAATTGGGTTATAGTGATTGGGTTTTATGCTCACAAGTCATTGCTTTAGCTGAAGAACTAGGTTTAGGTTTGGATTGTACTGATTGGAAATTACCTAAATGGGAACGAGGTCTTAGGAAACGTTTAGCTTGGGCTGTTTATATTGAAGATAAATGGTTATCATTGAAAAATTCCCGACCTTCTCATATCAATGAAATCAATTGGATAGTTAATCCTTTGATTGAGGAAGATTTCCCAGAAAAGCATGGAGACGGAGATTTAAAAGAAGGATCTTCTGATATTGATAATGGGAAGAAAATATTCACCAAATTGATTGAATTATCCAAAATATTGGGTGAAATTTTAGACAGTTTTTATTCAATGAAAGCTATAGCTATTCTAAAAGATGATGTAACAGAGATCTTGAAATTAGCTAAACCAATTCAATTAAACTTAAGAAATTGGTATCATCAATTACCTGTTGAATTACAAATGACTACAGTTCAACAGAGGAAATTGTGTTCCAATGGTTATTTACAATTAGCATATTTTGCTACTGAATTAACTTTACATCGTAAAATTATAACTGCCATTTATAATCAAACTTTACAGAATAAGAATTTACCCAAAGAATTGATCTCAGTATGTAGATCAGCTGCTAGAACCAGATTATTAGCAGCTATTGATTTTGTTCGAGATTTAAAACCTGAACATATTCACTCATTCTGGCATTCATCATCAGCTTCTAATTTTACTTTAATAGGAACTTTTGCCAGTATTTTATTCATATCTTCAAGAACAAAAGAAGAATCGGTGTTTTTCAGAGACCAGATATTTAATTATAGATGGATTTTGAAAATCTCTTCAAAAGGTTTTGATCAAGTTGGTGATGCTTTAACTCAATTGGATTTGGTACTTAATCATATTCCAGGTTTATTAAATGATAATTCTGAATTACCTATGTTAGTTCCAACTGTTTCTGATATTCCAATTGCTAGACCTGATCTGGCTCAATCTCAATATCAATCAGTAAGAAATTTATCAACAGCTTCCAATGGATCATTCATATCAAGTCCCCAATCCATTCAAACTTCACAACAACCAAGATCTCAACCACAACCAGTTAAAAGAGGTAGACCTCCTCATGTAAGAATGAATAGTGCTATTTCACCCATGGATTCATCAGTTTCAACACCCCAATTCAAATCCCTTAATTCTCCCCAATCATCCCAAGGATTCTCCCCAAGAGATTTATCTGCTAGAAGAGTTGATAATTCTCCAAACAAATCAAAACCCAACAGTCCTATTATAACCAAATCTCCTTTAAGTAATAGAACGGATACTGATGAATAATCACAGGACATTGTGTAATATATTGTACCATAGAGATTACATACCTATTATATATAAACATATATACATTATTTCGTTTCTTTTTCCCAGTAGTCTTTTTATTTTAGTCTAATTTGGCTGGCTGCTCCCATTAAATCAAATGGTTATCTAATCAGAAGGGTATTTGGTCAAATGGTAATTTAATCAAATGGTGTTAAATAAGCTTCAGCAATAACTCTAGCTCTTGCATTAAGGAACAATTTCATTTCACTTATTTCCTTATCAACTTCTTCCATGAATTCAATGATAAAATCTACTAATTTATCCTTCAACATTTGTTCAGTATGGAAATTTGTTACTAAAAATGAAATATCGTACCCTTTAATTGGTACCCTCCTCAAGATGAAGAAATTTTCAGCTCTGGATGTTAAAAATCTTGTGAATTGATGAACTAAGATTTGTTCAATTTCATCAGCTTGTTTAATCTTAATGGAAACTCTTACGGAATTGATTGATGGTTCAATTAACACTTTTTCGTTCTCATTTCTGGCTATAGCCATTGGATTCAATATTAACTCTGGAGTATGTGTATTGTCTACTTCAATTTCAGGCCTATTGTGTCTTTCAACTAATTGTGAAGAAAAATCTTCTAAACAAATAGCGGCTGTTAATGACGATCTAACTGCTGTTAAATATGGCTTTAAAGATTGTGACTTGAACTGTTAGTATAACTATTTCATTTACTTATCATTGGATCATTCATTGATCCTTTATCGATGATTTTGATGTTGATTCACATACCATTGTTAAAGAAGTTAGTGAGCTTTTCCCCTAACAAGTTTCGATCACTCTCACTTTTTTGGCCATTATCGATTGGTGAGTGCGCGACTGAGAGTTTCGTGGTGTACCGGTGTTTGTATATTACATTAATAATTAATTATCATTTTCTTTGGTTTGACGGTATCGTCGGTGTGAAGCCTTTTGGTGGTGGACTCATCAAAATTTGCTGTTCTCTTAGTGTTGTTGTTCAATCTATTGATGAACTCGTTAAGGATATCTATTAAAATCTCATTAATATCGATTTCTTGAAACATTTTGATCTCTTGTATTGTGTGGTGGATGTTTTTGAATTCTGGGATGTTTTCCAATGATTTTTGAAGTCTATCCAAAACTTCTGGGTCATATTTCATGGAATAATTTCCATTGGAAGATGTTATAACAATCGAATCTTTCGTAACTTCTGTTTCGTCTGAGTTCTCAAACACATCTAATGTTTGATAGTTCCTCACGAGCCATGATGATAAGTCTTTTTTCAAAACATTTAACTTGACTTTCAACTGTTCTACTTGCTTCTCTTTTCTAGACACTTCATTCTTTACCAAACTCTCAAACACGGCAGTAACATCATTTTCTGGGAGTTCAGGGTCAAGATTGACTCCTTTCAATCGATCATCTTCAACTCCTTTCATAGATTCAACAAATGCAAGTTCACTGCTCAAAACTTTCTCTCTGTCAATATTCTTATCGTCTACAATACTTTCTATCAAGTCAACTTTGATCTTCAACACTTGAACTTTGGCCATTTTCACATCATGGAACAAATCTAACGGAGTAGATCCATTCCTTCCACATAAATCTATGTATGCATCTTCGTCTTCAATCAAAGGGAGAATTTCTTCGAATTCCATATCTGCTTCAATAGGCAATTCACTCAAAAGTTTCTTGAAATTATCCCTGGCTCTTCTATCTGAGGTGTAATTTTCATCTTCTAAAGATTTTAATTCACTTTCTAGATTGCTCAACTCTTTGGGATATATTTTGTCATAGTATAATTGAAGAATATCATGTTTTCCCAAAATGTTGAAATGTTTATTGGCTTTGAAACGATTATCATTGATCAATTTGGTATATAATGATTCCCAGTCATCAGTACCACTTATGATTCCGGGATTTATGTCAACTAAATAAGATTCCAATTCTTTTAAAGCTTGGTTCTTACTTTCCCTTGTGTCCTTTTCATAATTGGCTCTTATTTCGTCTTGATACTCTTTAAATATGCCATAAATCTCATCATCTGATAAGATAGTGTGAGTGAAGATGGGGTTTTCCTCTTTCAACAATTTATTTTTTATAGTAAACCATTTGGTTAAATGATCGAATTCTTTCTTCTCCTTCAAAGATTGTAGAATATTGATAAAGTTGACCTTAAACTTTTCAAATGACTCAGTTTTGTTCTCCAATTGTTTGTTCATCTCATTGTTAAGATACTCATCATAAATTTGTTTTCTTTCCAAAGGATCTTTTACCTGCCAATATATTGGATTGTTGATGAATTTAGCAATAACTTGAGGGAAACTCCATGTAGAATCGACACCGTTTTCTGATAAAAGACCTCTGAAATTTTTAGTAGCTTCTTCTGACAGTATTTCTTCAACTTTAATTTCACTCTCCACTGAATCTTCTATAGGTACACTATCTTCTTTATCACTAGGCAATTTCTCTACAGCTTTGGTCTCTTTGCTCATTTCACCCTCTTCAGTGGTGGTAGATGATTCAAATCCTTCTGGTTTATCCCATGTTGTTTCTTGAGTTTTAGTGTTATAGTAATATTTTTGGCCATCATCAGTGGTAAATTCTTGCCATTCTCCTACTGAGCTTTCATCAGGATTAGTCCAGCTCGTTTCCTGAGTCTCAGGGTTGTAATAGTAGACATTCCCTTCATCATCATTAACTTTCTGCCATGCCATAGTTAAGAGATTTTCAGTGCGAAGATCAAATGTTTGAGATTTTTTTGCAACCTTTACCACAAATATGAAACAAACTTATTCCATTGAAAGATTACTAGCTTTGAAGGAACCACATCCGCCCCTTGACAATGATAAGGTTGAATTGTTGAAGGTATTTGCAGAAGAAGTTTCACGAGCTAAGGAGCGGATTGAATTACCACAAAGATTTAAATCGGGTGCAAATTATGAGACTAGTTTCAATAAACCACAGAGTTATACAGATTATTGGAACTTAAAGGGCTCACCTGGTTATAGTGATAGTGTTCCAATGTTGTTTTCATCTCCTTCTTATCATCCACAGCCATATATGTTTCAACAAACTGGAGGTAATTTGCCAATGATAAGTTTTGATGATTATACTGGGCCCTTTAAATCGAGATTCCGTAGAAATCAGTTGAATTTCAAGGAAAGACCAAGATTATATCAAGGAATGGAAGTATTTGGGAAGGAAAATCATGAGTTGGTCAACCATTTACCTCCTGGTTCAACTATCATCAAATTAGAACCTGGCATGCCTGTTCCACCGGGTGCCATAAGAATTTCTCCTTATCAATTCCAAAATTTGAAGCATGATACTTATCACCCAGTCAATGTACCTGAATCCCTTCCCATTCAATATCCCCTCAATCCAAACTTCAAAGAATATGGTACTTTATCAACTAAAGATGGTACGGTTAATTCTAACTTGTCGAATTATTCCTATACCTCTGAAGATCATAACCAGGCTCCTGCTACGGTTGATCAAGAAAGTCAAGCTTCTACCTTTTCATCATGCGATAGTTATAATATTCAAATTCAACTACCAAAAATGTAAAGAGAGATTGAAATTTCTGTGCGACACATCTCATGGGATTCGAATATGAAGAACCAACTTGGTTAAATTTCGAAATCGAAGTGTATGTATGATGTTAAGGTCTTTAGAAGGTCATATACTAACTGTAATAGAGTCTTTGATCCAAATTTCATAGAGAAAAATCAACAGTTGGAAGAATATAAATCATTAGAACTTGATAAGTTAACATGGATAACCTTGATAACCAACGCTGTAGGTAAATTATATGGATTAGTTGGAGAATCACTATTCTATGAAATCATACAGTTATCGGATAATGGTAAAAAATGTAATGTTAAGATCATGAAGGAAGATGAAAAAGTGTTTAAAAATAGCTTTTTCACCTATAAATTCAAATTTAATGCCATTTATGGAGGTAATCTTGATTGTGAATGTTACCTCAATGTTATAAAAGTCCATAAAATTCAAGATCAATCATGATATCACCTTTTGAAGTGTCATTTACTACCTGTTCTCTATCACATAGCATAAATATATAGGAGTTCTCACGTCAGTGCGCTTCCAGCAAAAATCTCCAGATTCACAATTAAAGTCCATTGAAGTTATACCTTACAATTCAACCATAAAGATACAATGAAGGTGAATTGTCATATCTTCATACTTTTTATAAGTGTGCTTTCATTGGTCAGGGGTGATTTTGAACCAAAGATAACCCTTACTCAAGAGAAAGAAGTTTCTAAAGAGTTATTCTACTTTGATGATTCCCACACTATCATTGCCTTAAGATCAGGAGATTTATATATTTCGAATGATGATGGTGTTAAATGGCAAAAAGCCCAAGGAATTGATAAAACAGTCATGACTTTGAAGATGGATCCCGTTTTTCCATACAGAGCGTTTGCTTTAACCGTCGAATCGAAACAGTTTATCACCAACGATAAAGGGAAGACCTGGCAAAGTTTCGAAGTTGAACCTAAAGGCAAGGAGGAGATTTCTATTGATTCAATTCCCAGAGTGATTTTCAATCGTTTGGAATCCAGAAATGTTATATTTGATTTCTATAATTGTCCTAATCAAATCTTTTCCAGTTCATGTAAGCACCATTTTTACTACACTAATGATGGATTCAAGACTAATCCCAGCAAGTTGGAAATAGATGCCTCAATTTGTCAATTTGGGACCAATGATTTGGATATTTTTTGTGTTGAAAATGAAATGAATTCGTTTGGGCATGTCAAATCATCAAATTTGGTGAAATCACGAGACTCCTTTCGGACAAAGAAAGTGGTAAACCATCATTTGGCTAAATCGGGTAAATTGATTGATGTCAGAACTGTAGAAAACTTCATTATAGCAATCGTTCAGAATGATAAGTTCAATACCAAATCCAAAATAACGTTATTGGTTTCCACTGATGGAACACATTTCCAACCTGCTGATTTACAAGTGGATGTTTCCTATGGTATTTTGACCTTTTTGGATTCGTCTCCTCTGTCAATGTTCATATCAGTGGCATCGTTCAATAGTATGGCACAACAATTCTCTGTGGGGACGGTTTATGCTTCTGATTCCACCGGTACTAGATTTCATAAAGTATTGGAAAAAGTGGAAGGTAATTCATTCCAAAAAGTCCAAACTATTGATGGTGTTTGGTTGGCCTCTGTTCTTGATGATACTGCTACTGATGGCTCCGATGATGGTAAATCTTTGATAGATATTCTCCTTGGGGAAAATGCTGGTGGTAATTTCAAATCATTGATCTCTTTCAATAATGGAAGAGATTTCAATCCTATAAGAATTGAAGATGAAAGTTGTAAAGAATCCGATGGTTGTTCCTTGCATATAATGACCCCTTCTGAAAGGGATGGTGAAGGAAAGTTTGTTACTGGTCCAACCCCTGGAATTTTAATGGCTGTGGGTAACACAGGTAAATTTTTGACCAAAGAGTTCAGTGACATGAAAACCTATATCTCACATGATGGGGGTTCTCATTGGAAGCAAGCTATAGATGAACCATGTTTGTTTTCTTTCGGTGATTTGGGTAATATAATCATTGCTATGCCTTATTATGGTAAAGAAGACATGAGCACCAAAACCTTATATTATTCTCTTGATCAAGGTTTAACTTGGACTAAAAAAGATTTAGAGAAAGGCATTTTCCCCTTAACTGTTACCACCACTATTGATGGTACCTCGTCTAAATTCATTATTAGTGGTTTGATTGACGAAACTCCTGATAAATCTTCAGATTTCGAATTTGCTGAGGTCATTTATGCCCTTGATTTCTCCAAAGCCTATGATCATAAATGTAAGGATAAGGATTTCGAGGAAGTGTATGCTAGAGTAGATGATAACAACAAACCTACTTGTATTTATGGACACCGTGAGAAATTCAGAAGAAGAAAAGCTTCATCCAAATGTTTTGCAGCCACTCTTTTCAAGGATATAACTGTTTACGATGAATCTTGTCCTTGTACAGATGACGATTATGAATGTAATATAGGTTTCAAACCAGGTAAAGACAATACTTGTGAACCTGACAAAAGAGTCATTGCACATCTTTGTAGAACCAAGAAATCTAAAACTTTGAAATTATTCAGCAAGATCCGATTAACAGGAACAGAGTGTTCAGATGGTAAAACTCTGATGAAAGTTGACGTTTTAGATGTGAAATGTTCAGATTACATTGATAATGATCCACATCATGAATCTAATCACAAGATTCATCATAAACAATATGTCTTGGAAGGTAAAATGAAAGAATACACATACTTTGAACAAGGAGAAGACTACAATGGAGAGAATCTTCTCATACGTACAGAAGAAAATAGACTTTATGCTTCAAGAGATGGAGGTGTTGAATTCGTCAAAGTCCCTATATATGAAGAGATTTTAGCTTACTTTATGGGTTATATTCCAGGACAAATGATTTTAATTACTGAATCCGAAAAATTTTTGTATTCAATCGATGCTGGTAATACTTATAATAAATTACTTGCTCCTTCAGCTGCTAGTCCCGTTGCATCTACAGTGGTTGCTTACCATAAGACTGATTCTCAACAATTTATTTGGTTTGGATCAGAATTATCTTCTTCTTGTAGTTATGGTGGTGATAAGTTCAATTCTGATTGTAAAGTCACTGGTTATATTACCAAAGACGGTGGTTCATCCTTTAACAAATTAAGAGATGATGTAATAAAATGTGATTTCGTATCATCTCATCTTCAAAATGGTAACGTTTCTAATCCTAACAACTTGATTTATTGTTCGGTTCTTGACAAGGAAAAGAAAACTGTAAATTTAATTTCATCTTCTAATAACTTTAAGGATGAGAAAGTCATTGCTGAGAATATTGTTGGTTATGCTATCTCAGGAAATTTCGTAGTTGTAGGTAAAATTGATCAGAAAAAACAAACTTTACATGCCATGGTTACTGTTGATGGTGAAACATTTGCTGACGCATCAATGCCTCGAGATTTGAATATTGATATAAGACAAGCGTTCACAGTTTTAGATTCCGAAAAAGGTGCTATTTTCATGCATGTAACCACCAATTCCGATGATAAACACGAATATGGAGCTATTTTGAAATCTAATTCCAATGGCACTTCCTATGCTTTATCCTTAGATTATGTTAATAGAGATAAATTAGGATTTGTTGATTATGATAGAATTGAAGGTATTGAAGGAATCTTGATTTCCAATGTTGTACAAAATCATGCAGGAGGAGATCATAAGAAATTAAAATCAATGATAACTCATAATGATGGAGGTGAATGGAATTATATCAAACCACCTTCCAAAGATTCCAAAGGGAAGAAATATAAATGTACTGGTAAGTCATTACAAGAATGTTCCTTGAATTTACATGGATTTACAGAAAGAGCTGATTATAGAGATACTTATTCTTCAGCTTCTGCTATAGGAATAATGATGGGACTCGGAAATGTAGGGAAATCCTTACATAAAAAAGAAGAAAGTTCATTATATTTGACCAGAGATGGAGGTAATAATTGGCATGAAATAAGAAAGGGTGAGTTTATGTGGGAATATGGTGATAGAGGATCAATTCTTGTCATTGTTAAAGAAGGTGAAACCAATCATATTTCATATTCCTTAGACGAAGGTAGAAAATGGATGAATTATAAATTCTCCAAAGAAAATATGAAAATCACTGATTTGGCTACTGTTCCAAGTGATAACTCCCGGAAATTCTTGGTGTTTGGTGAAAAAGATGGTTCAACAGTGGTGGTATCTATTGACTTTACTGATGTCTTCGATAGACAATGTCAATTGGATTTGGATCATCCTGATCAAGATGATTTCGAATACTGGTCACCTAAACATCCATTGTTGAAAGGTAATTGTTTGTTTGGGCATGAAGCTAAATATTTAAGAAGAGCTCATGGACATTATGATTGTTTTGTCGGTAGTGCTCCATTAACAGATGGATTCAAAATTTCCAAAAATTGTTCTTGTACTAGAAAAGATTTCGAATGTGACTACAATTACTATAGAGATCCTAGTGATGATACCTGTAAGCTTGTTAAAGGTTTATCACCAGCTGATCACAAGAATGAAATGTGTAAAAATAATGTATTTGAATATGTTGAACCCACTGGTTATAGAAAAATACCATTATCTACATGTTCCGGAGGTAAGAACTTTGATTCTTTATTCAAGAAACCTTGTCCTGGTAAAGAATCCGAATTCAATAAGTATTACGGAAAGGATATTGGTTTTGGTAAATTATTGATTATTATTATAATTCCTTTAGCTGTATTCTTATTTGCAACTTGGTTTGTTTATGATCGGGGTATTCGTCGTAATGGAGGATTTAAACAATTTGGTCAAATCAGATTAGATGGTGATGAAAATGATTTCGATTTTGACCCTATCGAAAATAATCAAGTTGATAAGGTCGTTAACAATATAGTTAAGGGAGGTATATTTACTGTAGCTGCAGTAATTGCTACAGTCAAAACCTTACGGAAATTCGATAAAATGGTTTTCGAAAGATTAACTGCACAAATATTCAGGGGATCCGGTAGAAGAAATTATGTTAGAGTTCCTGATATAAATGATGAAGAAGATGAATTATTTGGTAACTTCCAAGATAACTATGAGGAAGAGTTGGAACAGGGAAACAACAATGATTTATATAGAGACTTTGGAGACGATGTAGATGATGACAATAACGAACTTGATGTTAGTGAAGATACGGAGGTTAGAGCTGATTCCAGATTGTTTGACGTTGATGATCAATCAGATGAAGAACCTTCAAAACAATAGAATTCCTATATAAGCCTTTTTAGGATTATTCAAAAAATGTAGACATTTTGAGATGCTCCTCTTTCTTTGCTCTAATCATGGATTTCTACTGTCAGCTTTCACTGTCATCCAACTATGGTTTGAATAATCTAAAAAAGAAAAAAAAAATGACACGGACAGGAATCGAACCTGCAACCGTTTGATTTGGAATCAAAAGCGCTACCATTGCGCCACCGCATCTAATCACATGAGTCAAACTGCACCTTGAAATCCATGTATTAATAATGTCAACTTTTTGGCGCCATATCTTTCTTACCAGAGGTTCTATTCGTGTATGGAATATATTATTTAGTATTTGGAAATCTAAGCTTCGATTTGAGTGTTCATGGTGATGGGTGGTAGCTCGTTTAAAAGTATAACGATAACATGCACCTCATTCCTACCTCTTCTCATACCTTTTCTCCTAACAGTGATCTATAATTGACGTCTTATGAACCCGGAAGAGTTTAAACAACATTCCAAACGATTCTTATTTTTTTTTATTTTACAACTATTTGTTTGAAATATTTTTCACTTAATACAACTCATAATTATCATGATATTTTGTAAAAATTGCAAAATCAAAAAATTGCAACATTCACATTTCGAATCAAATTAGACAACATTCATCGCCAAAAGACGAACCCGTCGTGATTTGGCCGGAACCTTTTTCTATTTCAATTTGTGGTAGTGATTTGGACACCCAAGTTTATTGAGAAGGAATAACACGAGAGTTAAAGGTCTAGGCAAGAAGTTTGACTTACCTTGGTTGAGGAACCATCCGAATGATATACATTACATTACTTATAAATGGATTAATCGATAGTGGGGTCTACGAGGTGAACATACCTCTCAAGCCTTTGGTCTTGGTTGATTCTGTGTATGCAGGTGGTGGGGCTGAAAAATCTGTAGGTTCACTTGACCCAGCAATAGGTTCATCAAATCTACCATCACCATCGCCATCGATATTATTATTGTTATGAGTATTGTTGTGAAAACTCTGTCTCGTTTCGAAGGTGTTTGACGTATAATTTGTGGGGTTGACATTTCCGGTATAATAGTTTGCACTTTCAGTAAAATTTCCAGTTTGACCATTGTGTGAGTACTGATGATCGGAAGTATATATACCTTGACCATTTTGAGAATATGTATATCGACTGTTTTCATAATATTGCTGATTTACTTGAGCAGGTCGTTGATTTTTGAGTTTCCAACTCCGTCTTTTCTTCACTGCGATAAGACCCAAAATAATCAATATGATACCAACCCCTAGAAGGATAAATAACAAGTTTTTGTTAGGGTGGGAGTATTCGTAGTAAATGTATCGTTTATCAATGTACATTGGTGACTTAAAGAGAGAAAGAAAAATGCATCATATTAAATACATCAAATATACGAGTTTCGTTTCGTGGTTGCACCACTGTGTCACCAAGTTCCTGGAATATGGGCGACATTTAGCATGATACGCAGAGAAAGTACGAAATAAGTGACTGAATGAGGATGAGCATCCTTCTTGCTGATGACTTCATCGGCAGATAAACCTAAACAGGAATTAAATTCATAGTAGATCATCAACTACGCCGCCAATTTATGGCCGATGATCGTAAAGTGATATTCATGTGGTAACGGCTGAACATCCCTCATACATTGTATTCCGACATAAGTCCGACATTTGATGATGTGGATCATTATTTAAGTCACTGAAAGTAAACTGAGCCTTATTTACAGATGTATGTAAGGTGGGAATCGAGTTTATGAGGTTCTCGTAATATTATAGTAAAGTAGTTTGGTAGCTGAGCAAAAAAAAATAACGACAACTGCAGGACTCGAACCTGCGCGGGCAAAGCCCAAAAGATTTCAAGTCTTTCTCCTTAACCACTCGGACAAGTTGCCATCTTTCCTTCGATCTGGGCCCCTTTTGGATATAAAGTCGAAATTTCAAAAAAAAAAAATTTGTTGGTCCTGGAGCTTGATCCGTCAATTGTAGATCAATGTAAGGGATCATATGGAAACAGGAGGTTAAAAATAAGGGGAAGAGAGCAAAAAGTTTATAAATACACCAGAGTTGAATGATTTAACCTATCAATGTGGAAAGCTACACCGGTCAACGGTGAAGTATCGAATAGACCTGAAGGGCCCGACAATTTGAAACATCAACAAGCCCACATCTAACACGAAGATTCAAAAGCCAAGATTCAAGAGCCATTCTCCTCTTATGTTTCGGTAATTATTGGTAAAGGTTGGACATTTTTGTCATCCGAACTCCACTAACTCAACTTAAATCGACTTAAATCAAGAGTCATACCGAAAGGAACTGTTCTATGGATACTGAACTGAACTAGAGTCACATATAATGATTATGTTTATTTCTTTAAATTATACATGATATATAATAGATATAAAACCTAAAATTGTAAAGCAGCACCTTTTTGTTTTTTGTTACCACCTAATTCGAAATGTTTACATCTTTTTAATGATAATTGTAATTTGGTTTTACAGTTAACACATTCTAATCTTAAAACAACTTTTTTGGTAGTTTTAGCTTTCTTCTTGAAAACTGGTTTAGTTTGACCACCGTAACCACTTTGTTTTCTGTCATATCTTCTTTTACCTTGAGCGAATAAGGAAGCTTTACCGGCTTTGTATTGGGTAACTTTGTGTTGGGTGTGTTTACGACATTCCTTACCTTTACAGTAGGTTTTTCTAGTTTTTGGAATATTAACTAAAATTGTTAGTATAAAATTCAGTACAATTCTGGAGTTACTGATCGATGATTTATTGATTGCAAGTGATAATTGTTTACCAATATAATGATTCGGTGATGATTGCTTTATTTCCCATATCAAATTCGATGGTTCATCAATACTTTTCAACATGTTCATATTGCTACTATTCATTCGTAATACTACTGAAACTTGGTGTAATTTATCTGTTACGTATATAATAAGTGTTTTATGTTCATCTCTTCCACATCATTTACATCATCTATCTATAATTTCGTTTGATTCTAACATACCCATTATGAATTATTCGTTAACTAATAAAAAGAATAAAATTTTCAAGGTTAAGTTAATGAGTGAGAAAATTTTGAAAATTTGGGAAAAAACCTATTATGTAAGCAGAAATCGCATATCGCAGTCACAATAGGGCAGAAGCCCTATATGAATTACAATTTCGAAAGTTAACCACCAATGTAAAGAGTTGAAACACATGTTATTTGACAAGATTATATGATAAACGTAGACATAGCGGATCAGACTTACTCATGGCTCTCATTGGTATGATTCATGTCAATGGAAAGTATGTATCAAATAGTCACCTTTAACTAGTGTGCAAAGTTGCTTACATAATCCAGTAATAAAAGTTAATGGCTGCAAATTCTAAGAGCTGGATATTCTGTCCTTCAAAATAAGATTAATAGGCTAATAACATGATCTTGAGCAAGGGAAGCGAATAACCCGCAACTCGAGGCTAAGAAATAAATCGAACTAAGAAAAAGTGGTAGTCTTGTGACTCGAAGATAGATGTGATTACTTATAATACATATATTTAAACATAAAATAGAGAGATCCCTAGTGATTAAGATCTAGTGACAGTGTGATAGATAGTAGAAGTTGAAGTAACAGTTTCTTGTTCTCCAGTAGCATAGTAATCATAATCTACCACACATACGCCATCAGATTTTGAAGTAGTAATATTTTCAATTATCCATGAACCAGTTGAAGCAGGAATATTTGCAATATCAGTGATTGAAGGACCATTATCAGTAGAATCAGTGACAGTGGTGACTGAAGTAGTAGCAACCGGAGTAGTAGTTGGTGCAGTAGTTGGGGTTGATGTAGTTTTTGGAGCTGTTGAGGTGGTTTCTATGGTAGTTGGTTGTTGAGTTTTTTGTGGAGATGATGAAGATGATGAAGATGAAGATGATGAAGTAGTAACAGTTTCAGTTGGAATTTTGATGTTTGAAGTATCAATTGGAGTTGGTGCTACAGTAGTATAAGTAATTGGAGTTCCAAATACAGTTGATGTGACGGTTGCAGTATATCTAGTAGTGGTAGTAGTATCAGTATTTATGATAGTATTAGTTCTAGTAGAAACTGAACCTTGAATAATCTTAGTATTAGTAGCAACATTATGAACTGTAGTAGTTAATTTAACAATAACTGGACCTTCATCATCATCTCTTCTAACATTTTCAGTTGGAGCACCCAAAGTTGATGAAACTAATGATAATGAGACAATTGAGTATAAAATATTTGATAATTGCATTTTTTCTAACTAACTTGTAAATTTAAATGTAAAGAATGACTAAAGTTTGTTAAGTAAAGAAAGACAGTAGTTGGAATAAAAGTTTTTAAAAGAATGGATAATTCACTAGGGAATTTAAAATAACTTGACTTGGTGTTGTAAAAAAAAATTTATATAGCCTTTTTTAATGGCGATGTTGGTCATTTATAAGAAAGGCTGATGAAAAAGCTGGCCATCGATTTATAATTCTAAGCAAAGGTTAGCTCATCATTTAGCCAATTATAGTGCAAAGTTAACTTAATTACTGGTAGTAATTTCCTAATTGATAAATTGCAAAGAATATTTTTTTTGCGTTTCTCAGTAAACCCTCTAGTGTCAGTGAAACTCATCGGCGATAATCCATCACGAGAACTATCTCGAAGGTTAAAACTTGCTTCAGTAAGTCCATTCTACAGTGAAATTTCCTTTTCAAGATGTACAAGCCAGATCCATGGCAATTATTCCGCGCGGTTGCAAACGATAAGAAATGGCTGGCTGCAAAAAAAAAACCACGCGACACCTCGACATTACGGAAGTAGCTGGGATTTATTACTGTTTGAGGGGTTAAGGATGGTAAATTCTTAGTCGACCTACTATTGCTGTAGTACAATTGAAATTTATTGAAAATTTTTCCAACCGACATTATGTGGAAAGCGGAATCGAGGGATGATTATTTTTTAACTGTAAAGACGAATCTGCAAGATCCAGCACCTACAGGGGCTTGCTTGACGAAATGTTTAAATACATTAGAGGAAGGCATCTTGATTTCGACCAGATCCTTCTATTATTGAAAATTCTCGACCCTGCAAAGAGCCAGTCAAACGAAATTCCTCAGAAATTTCTTTATTACACATTTGATAACTAATTCCCTTCGGTAATGATGTCTCATTACTAAAGGAATAGCCATTTTACCTTGCTGACTAGCTCTTAAGTTCAATCGGCCTATAGAACATTTGTAATCGAGCTAAATATTTGACCAAGTTTGTGAGCCGTTGATTCCTTCTCCCGCGAACCTGACACTCTATATAGAATACTTAATAGCCATTTTATTCAACAAATCTTTCTCCCAAAACCCATAAATTGATTCGGATCGTGTTTAAAGAAGGTTTGATATATAGTTATTTAACAGTTTTCCGTATCATCCATCAGAGTATAAAAAAAGCTCGATATTACCGATATTCAAAAGTTTATCTCGGACGAGAAATTCCATCAACATCGGAACTAACATTTTTAACTTGAGTGCAAACAATTGAAAGTTTTGATCAAACAGTTAAACCGTCATAATAACTGGCATTTCACTTCAAGTGGAAAGTTATTGCAAAGTTACACAAAAACAATTTTCATAAAAAAAGGGGTAGTGGATTAATCGAGAACCCGGTTACACCGACTTCATCCTCGAAACAGATTAAAAGGAGATTGAAAAGGTTAGAAGATCTGATGAATAATTATTTCACCAACACTCATGGAGGACCTCCACCACAGTCCAATCCTCTAAGTTTTCCATCATATAATTCAAGTCAAATAACACCCCGAATCCATGAAAAACCAACCAATCCCACACCATTATCAAATTTGAAACATAGACTTCCATTACCTCAAGAGAGTCAGCATCATCAACATGGATCCCTACAACATCCAAACCATCATAAGGCTCTACCTACACAATTACACACATCATCAGCAAATAATTCCGGTAATGGATCAGTCATGTCATCACTCCCACCTCCATCAACATCAGAAACAACCACTAAACCGGATTCTGATGGTATAGATACCGATAAGCCTAAAAGAGAACGTAAGAATAGACCAGGACAAAGATTTGGAGCCAAAAAGAAAAGTTGGGTATGGTCTTGGTTCATACAAGATACCACTAATCCAAATATAGCGGCTTGTGATTATTGTGGAAAAGTCATCACTAGGTTACCTAGTGATAAAGGGTCACCAAAGAAATTGAGTGAACATTTGAAAACACATAAGTTAGATAAAGAATCTATCAATCATACCCGTCAAATACCTATCGATGGTAACGGAGTCACTTATCATGGAAATGGCAACGGGACATCTATAAATTTCGATAATTATCAAAATAAACCACAACCCCAATCACCTCCTTTGGGACCAATGACCATCGCTGGAGTATCGATGGGAAATACAGGGATTGCATTAGATAGGCCAGAATTAAGAACAAGTATCAGTTCTATAGATTCCATCAATACCAAATCTAAACCTGAAATCAATTATGTGAATCAGCGAAGATATTTATCAGCTGACTTCGATAATTCTCCATATACGCCGATGAAGTTTCAGAAACATTTACTTGAATTCTTAAGTGAAAACAAATTAAGCATCAATGCTATAAAATCTCATTCATTCCAACAATTAGTCTATGATTTAAGATCTGATTCAATGGTTGATTTGCTGGAAATAACGGGATTATTTTCTACCTTATTAGAGGCATCCCGATCTGAAAACCAAAATAATTCTTTGCCTATTGAAGAAGTTAATTTGGCTCAAAACTTAGCTCAGACTGTCGAACGTAAAGAAACCACGAGCTAAACAAAAAGTGTATAAAGAAACTACGAGCTAAGTAAAAAGTGTATATTTAAATGAAATCATAATTTCGATGGTAATTTCAATTGTATTATATCTTTATGCTTGGGTAAAAGTTGCCATAAATCTTCAAAATCTTTTGTCATCTCTAATTCTTTATGAAATATCTTCAATATTACATCTATGGGTAGAATGAACGACAATTTGGTAAGTTTCTCCAGTTGTTCGATATTGGTGGTCAAATCAAGATACTTGACTTGAGCATTGGAGCATATTATACCTATGAGTTGTTCATTCTTGAACAATCCACCTCCAGAAGATCCGTTCCAACATGATGAGGATGTATTTATCAATGCATTTGTGGGCTCAGGAAGCTTCAATTGTTTTATGTTAGTTATTTGACCGAAACTCTTTATGGGTTGACAATAATCCGGATGGAAAAATAATCCATAACCTACAGCTGACACTTCATCATCTACTTTGTAATCCGTGGTGTACTTACAAGGTTTATTTCCGGAATTCATGATTTTAAACTGATCGATCAACGATAGTTTTATCATGGAGATATCTAAAGTATCAAAAGGTGTGATTATGGATGATTTGTCCTTGATGATAATCTGATCATTGCTTAGGTAAACAGTTAATGATCCACCAGATAGGAAAGGTTTTATGACATGATGGTTTGTTATAAGGTATTGATTATTGAAAATAATACAAGAACCCCAAGTGGTCGTCTGACCAGTTACCAAAATAGGTAACACAGAATTAGTATGGGAAGATACCGGAGGTTGTTCCATTAAAGAAGATAATTTATTAGGTACGAGGGAATTGTTAGGGAATTTATTATTAATGACGTTCCAAATGGTTTTCCACGATACAATTATAATCAAATCTCCATCACCATTGAATTTTTTCAAATTTCCCATCACAAGTCCAACTGACCCTTCTTTACTTGTAACAACCGATCCTAGAGAATTCTCCAAATATTTTATATCACTCAAGTAACCATCGGGGATGAAATAATTGATAAATCCATTACTTTTGAATTCTGAGAAAAGTAAAGGAGTAGTGAAATTGAACGGGAATGATATCACATCAATGGGTAAATGATCCTTAGTTTCAATGAATTCTAAAGGTTTATAATCGAGCTTGTCTTGAAGTTTCGCCGATAAGTTAACAATTGAAGTGAATAAACTTGATGTTAGTTTATCTTGGGGTAGAATATTGAATCCCAGGTTTTTGAAGTTATGAAGGAAATCTGTAGTCGAAGATAACGGAAGATTGAAATCTATTGATGTTTGGTACCATATTATCTCATTGGTATCATTATTCATGAACTTACTATTGGAAATATAGATCTTGAATGATTTAAGTGATTTTATAGGGATGACATTAATGGTCAAATTATATTCTAATAAGACCAAATCTTTATTTTTCAATATGAGATTAATCCCTGAAGTAGCATGATTCTCTCTATCATTAACAAATCGTATTGATATAGGAGAATAATACCATTTCATTATGGGTGTAATTATCACAGTCTTAAAGAAAAGTGTCGCATTTGATAGTGAGAAAGTGTCGCACAGACGCAAAATGTCGTAATGAAGGGTTTCCCAAAACAGTGATCAAATTCGCACTAACATAAATAAACAATATGGATTTATCAATTGAAAACATCTTGAAAAGAACTGATAGTAACAACTCAATATTTGGTCCTACTACCCCAAATTTATCCTCCAACGCTACTGGATTCGATATCAACAACAGTAACGATGAAAATTTACAACCAACTGATAAAAAACATAAACCTATTAAATTCAAAGTAAGAAAAGTTAGTAGTGATATACCTAAACCAAAAAGTAATAACAAACAAGTTCAATCAGTTCAATTACAATATGATCAATGTACCAATAAAATCACCAAGATTCAAAAGGAAATCGATTTCTTAAATAATTTATTACCACCATACAATGTTGAAATTGATTATCATACAAGAACTAAAATAACCAGAGCTATTGAAAAATTAACCAATAAGATAGACGAGATTGAAAAGAAAAAATACAATTTAGGAATTACATTAAGTAGATTATGGAGAGATTTAGATGATAGTGATATTTGGGTAAGAACAGTTTCAAATTGAACGCGTTAACCTATACAAAATTTTTTTAAAAAAAGAACCGTGTAAAATGTACTATAAGATAGTAAATAGTAATGTATTATGAATCTCATTGAATCTTATTTACTGGAGAAAGAATTGGAGGTAAAACCACATCTTTTTTACCTAAACTCACGGGATTTAAATTTATTGGAGGAATTGAATTGATATAAGTGGGGGAATTGAAGTTAGGTGAATGTTGATTATACATGGGTAAATATTGATAATTGGGTATAGGCAATGAATTGTTAGAAGAATTAGAACTCACAGATAATTTCTTTTGATAATCATTTTGATCAATTAAATTATTATTCAAGTTCTTCACAAAGAATAAAAGGTTATTATTGAACTCATTGAATTCATTTAATTTCAAAAATTGTAACCAACTATTCAAAACTTCATTCAAATTATTCAAAATTTCAAAGTTCCAATAATTATTATTAATCTTGAAATCATTATTTTCATTATTTAAAAGGTACAAAATACATTGTAAAATATAATTGTCATTGAAATCGAAAGTTTTATCATTAAATAGATTTATAAGGATTTTATGAATGGTCAAGAACCATTCAATCAAAAGATAATAAATATTAATTTTTTCAAAATTCGAAAATGTTTCGATATCTAAGAACTTAAAGTTCTTATTCAAAAACTTACTAAGGAAGATTAATGGGAAACTTATTATACCTAAATTGTTATTAATGTCATTTAAATTTATTCTTAAATCATGGAAATTGATCAAATTGCTTTTGAAGTTAATATGATCAATTGATAAGTTATTATTAATGAATAAATGGAAATTGAAATTACTAAATATCAAATTAAATTCTTTCAATGAAATATTCAACAAATCCCATTGAAACTTCCTGTAAGGTAAAAAGATATAATAATTCAATAAATCATTAAATTTCACTGGACAATTGATAGTAAGCTTCTTTTTAAATATCTTGAATATTTCATTTTCTTGCAAAGGTTCACCGTCATTCATTTCCAGGAATGATGACTTAATAAACGATTTGTTAATAAGAATAATTGCATTATGGAGATAATTCTTCAGATCAAAAATCAATAATTTATTGAAATTCTTGAAATAATTAATTTCATTAATCAATGAAATTATCAAGATCTTCTTAATAAAATCAGAATTTATGATCAAAATAGATTTTGAAAAATTCAAAAGGGTCTTTTTCAAACTATTATTATTGGCCAATAAATTATTTATCATCAAAGGATAAATCTTTGGAGGTAATTTATTAATATAATAATTCAGTAAAAGGATATACACTGACCAAAATAACTTTAAATTATTATTGAATATCAATTTAAGATCGAAGTTGTTTTCGTTATTCAAATTGTTTAAGATTATATAAGAAATATCATTCAAGTAATTGAAAATCAAATCCAGATTCAAATTCTTAATGGTTTTGAAATGTTCAAAGTTATAATTCAAATAAACATGATTTATGATAAAAAGATTGGTTAAAATTTCTAATTGGTTGATGATATTTGAATTCAAATTAATAGAATCGGTTGAATTTGAATTAATAGGGATCAATTTTAAGATCAATAAATTCCATGCTTTATTAAACAAATCAATAGAATTATTAATATCATTATTCTTGAAAAAACCAATCGATAATATAACATAAATCAATACTAACTTATAATTATTCAAATCATCATTATTAGAATTCAAATAAATAACTAAATTCTTTAAGATATCATCAATAATAGGAAATTCATCTAAGTTTGATAGTTCAATAAATCCTACCAAAAAATTGTTATTGATATCGTCTTCTCTAAATTTCTTAAAATCTTGATCAATTTCAATAAGTACATTATAAAGTTTCTTAGATATTGAAAGTAAATTGATAAGATTGTCTTTAAAATCTTTCTTATCATAAATCATATCATCATCAACAGTTTTTGAAGGTATTTCTTCTTTTGAAACATTAACTTTAATATCTTGGGAAACCCCTTCACCATCAGTTAAATCACTAACATCAACTTTCTTAACTTTGAAATTACTACTATTCAATGTAATGTTATGCACTGTTCTACAGTGTCTTTGTAATAAATCTCTTCTAACGAAAGCTGATGTACAGTGTAAACATTGGAAAGGTTTTTCATTTGTATGTGACCTTTCATGACGTTGCTTATGTTCTGATCTTGTAAAAGCTCTCGCACAGAATGCACAAACATACTTCTTAGTTGCCATTTTTCTTCTTCTATTTCTTAAAAGATAAGTTTATGTATAATTCATTAATTGTATCAATAAGATACTCCAAATGAATATTATTCAAGTTAAAAAAAAACTTATCTTAAAAGGTATTCAGCAATATAATAGTCTCAACAATTGCAATGAAAAAGTAAGGATTTTTACATATTTATATTCTGTACCCCACTAAATGCGATTCCCCAGCTTTTTACGATTTAGGAGAGGGACATTTTTCATTTTTGATGGGGAAACTTAATACTTAAGAGTTTTACTGCATTAAATATTAAGCTTTTCATCGTAAGTGGGTAGATTTTGGAGTAAAAGGGTAATCATATAAACTAAATTATACTTTGGACGATGATTCCGTTTTTTTTATTTTTCTAATTTTAACATGTTGTACATTTCGGGTAACTATTTATGGAACGTCATAAATCATGTAAGAGAGATATCGGATAATTTAACCTTGGTGTCTCAACTATTGGAGTTGATGTATTTTTGGGTAGTGATTCAGATTGACGTAAAGGGTAACCACAAATCTCCACAATCTCAAAATCTTCCAATAGTGGAGTAATTACATATCGGGTGGAGGGCGATTATGTTCGCTGACCCTTAGTGCGATTTTCTTTGACCCGCAAACCTTCTAGACTTATTTATAAACTTGATAACTATTGTCTTTTTAATTTGATTGCTTTGACAAGTAAATTTTTTACTATTATTGAGGTTTTGGGTATTTTCAATGGTGGAATGGGGTCCAGTGACGGAAAATGGAAAAATGGAAAATTCATCGCGGTTGCAAAAAAGAAAGTCGAGATGGTTGCAAAACTTGGTGGCACGAAGCTTGGCCATGCATAATGTTAAAATGGTATAAAATCAGGGATTTATCAAGAACATTAGTGATGCTGGAAGGTGTAGATACCGGAAATTTTCTTATCCGGCCGAAGATTCCTGTGATTTTGTTTGATATGTCAAACCACTACCACCACCACCATCATCATCATTGGAAAATAACCCCTAAGCCTTGGTCCAGTCGATTTCTTCGGAAAGTACTAAAGTCTTCTGGTACCGAAGTTTCCTTCGTTATGACACATTTTATTCCCTATCTCATTTGATCTGATCGCGCATTTAAACGGGAATAATTTCATCATGTTAAACATATTCAAGAAATATGACGATTTTCCCTTTCGTCAGATGATAGTCATAAGTTTGATGAGGTTTAGTGAACCTCTATCATTCTCTTCATTGTTTGCCTACCTTTATTTCATGATAAGAGATTTTAAAATAGCTGAAACTGAAGATCAAATCCCCAAATTTTCCGGTTATTTAGCATCAAGTTATGCGTTTTGTCAATTTTTATTTAGCGTAAGATGGGGGAAGCTAAGCGATAAGGTTGGTAGGAAACCTATATTGATGTGTGGTCTTGTGGGTACTGCCACTTCCATGTTATGCTTTGGATTTTCCAAGAATTTCTATTTCGCTTTATTTGCCAGATGCTTGCAGGGAACTTTGAATGCCAATGCTTCCATTTACAGAACAGTATTAGGAGAATGCTGTAAGAAGAAATACCAAGCTATTGCATTTTCATTGATGCCTTTATTGTTCAATTTAGGTAGTGTCATAGGTCCCTTGATTGGTTCTTCTCCCTACTTGACCAGACCAAAAGCCGAAAATCCTTATAAGGATGCTACAAAAGTTGATATCCTGGGTTTGAAAGATTTTCACAATTGGTTTTTAGATACTTATCCATATGCATTGTCTAACATTGTCATTGCATGTTTCTTATGCTTTTCATTAATCATTGGATTCTTATTTTTAGAGGAAACTCACGAAGCGTATAAGGATAAGAGAGATATTGGTTTGGAGATTGGAGATTGGATTTTAAGAAAGTTGGGATTTGAAATCAAACCAAGACCTTGGGCAAGACATCGCGGTGCTATTGATGAATCTACAAGCTTGTTAGAATCAACTGGAAGCGAATTATCCAATAACTCAGAGAGTTCACTCATCGAGGAAGAAAAACCAATCATTTTCAACAGACAGGTGATATTGGCTATTTCATCGAATGTTATCCTTTCCCTGCATTCAATCGTATTCCTGGAATTCGTGCCTGTCTTCTTAGGAAGTGAATTCAAACCTGATATCAAGTTTCCTTTCAAGATTTTCGGGGGTTTTGGTTTTAGTGCCTCTGCTATTGGTACTTTGTTCTCTAGTACGGGTATCATGGGGATGCTTATCATTTTGATTATTTTCCCCTGGTTGGATAAAAAACTAGGAACGTTGAGAGGTTATAGGTTTTCATTATCTATTTTGCCTTGGATATACTTTTTCTTACCTTGGTCCATATTCACATTGCATAAATACAATCCAAACTTCCCAACTTGGTTAACACCAGCTGTATTATATAGTATTACATCTTTAAGAACTTTAGCCAATGCTACAGGATTACCACAAATCATGTTAATTAGTCATAGGTCTGCTCATAAAAATCATCGTGCATATGTCAACAGTTTCAACATGAGTATGTTAGCATTATCAAGATTCTTGGGTCCAACCATTTTCGGTTACATCATGAGTTATAGTGATAATATGCAGATTGAATGGCTTGGATGGTGGATCTTGGGGTTATTATCAATCTTTGGCTTCTTACAATCATTCATGTTAGAAGATGGTGAAGATTAAATAGGTTATTATTTATAGACTTTTTAAAAATCTCTTGGTGTACGGGTTTTCTGTCAAGCGAACTTAGGGAGAATTTAGACGGTGCACAACTCCGGTAAGATCTCGCGAGACAAGCGCGATAAATATGCGGGATAAATCTGAAATCAATTATGACTTCATTACGAGAACAATTGAGAGGATTCCCTGTGTTCCAGCTTGTGGTAGTTAATATCATGAGATTTGGGGAGCCATTATCCTTTTCATCGTTATTCCCATATGTTTATTATATGATAAGAGATTTTAAAATAGCTGAAACTGAAGAAGAGATCAGTAAATATTCAGGTTATTTAGCTGCCTGTTTTTCATTCACTCAATTCTTGTTCAGTGTATATTGGGGAAAACTAAGTGACAGAATTGGAAGAAAGAAGGTGGTAACTATTGGATTGTTTGGAACTTCAATTTCGATGTTAATCTTCGGTTTTGCTCCTAATTATTATGTTGCATTGGCTGCTAGAAGTTTTTTAGGTGCTGTCAATGGGAACGTTGCTGTCGTAAGAACAATTATAGCTGAATTGACCACAGATAGAAAACATCAAGCAATTGCATTCCTGACTTTTCCATTACTTTGGAATATTGGTTCGATTATAGGTCCTTTGATTGGGGGATCGAAATATTTCACCAGACCAAAGGAACACAATCCATATGAAGACGATTCAGTTGTAGTTTTATCGGGATTCAAAGATTTCCATGAATGGTTTTTGAACAAATACCCTTATGCATCTTCAAATATCATTATTGCATTATTTTTATGGACCGGAGCTCTTGTAGGTTTCTTGTTCTTGGAAGAAACTCATTATAAAAGAAAGAAGGATAGAGATTTGGGCTTGGATATGGGGGATTGGATTTTGAACAAATTAGGTTATAAAACTCCAGCTAGACCTTGGAAGAAAAATTCAAGAACCGAAGAAACTGCTTTATTGAATGATATCGAATCAATTTCATCGGATGATGAATCCTTTGTCAATACTTCCCAGCCGCAACAGATTTACGCTGGTGATAATGAGAGTATTAATTCTTCAGAATCTATTGGGCCAATTGGAAGAAGAATGTCTAAGCTGATTGTTAGAAGATACTCATCACTTTCATTAAGTGAAGGAAGACAATTGAGATCAACCATCAGTCGAATTTCTGGTGTTTCATTGAATGTTCAAGAAACAAGAGATTTGGAAAATTCTACTTGGGGTGATATTTTCACCGATGGAGTCGTTCAAACGATTTTTGCTAGTTTCATTTTGGCATTCCATAATGTGGTATATAATGAATTCTTACCAGTGTTCCTTGCTAGTCAATTGATGGTTGATAGGTTGAAATTTCCTTGGAAAATTGCAGGAGGTTTCGGATATGATAGTGATTCCATTGGATCCTTGATCTCTGTTACAGGACTAACCGGAGTTTTAGTAGTTATCATCATTTTCCCTTATTTGGATAGAAACTTCAAAACCGTCAATAATTATAGGGTTGCATTACTTGGGTTCCCCTTGTTGTATTTCTTTATGCCATGGTTAATCTTTACCTTACATGAATATAACCCATCATTTTCTCCAAATACTACCAAGTATTTGTTATATTTCAATGGGATGTGTTATCAATTAGCCTCAGCCACATCATTTCCCCAAGTATTATTATTAATTCATAGAGCTGCGCCAGCCAAACATAGAGCTTTCATTAATGGTTCAGCATTGAGTGTCAATGCATTAGCTAGATTTATTGCCCCTGTGACTTGGGGTTATTTAATGACATATTTCGATATTAAAGGTCATAGTGGATTTACTTGGTACATTTTATCATTCATTTCTGTATTAGCAGTCATCCAGAGCTGGTTCTTAAAAGATTATAATGAAGACATGAAATAAATAATTTTCATCTCCAATGGTTCGTAATATAAAAGTGGGGGGATGAGGGCTCTCACACCACCGTGCTCAAATTTCATCTCATTCTTTTAGACTTTTACCAGCACCATTAAATACTTATACCATCATATTAACCACTTCGTTCTCTAGTGTATAGTTATATTTCATATAAGACTATGTGAATATTGTCGGTTGTAAATCGGCTAGTATTCTCTACCGTATATATAACCAAAATGCATTACATGACGTAATTTTCCACCAATAAAGTTTCTCAATCTCATCGTCCAACAATAAAGTCTCAGCACACTAATCTTCGGAACGATATTGAGTTCAGGCACAATTAAGCGGAACAACCGTTCGAGGAAATTTCTCACTAGGACAGCGTCGGAGAAACACTAACGGAGAAGCAGAAAATTCAGAAAATTCAGAAAAATCGGAGTTTTTGAAGAGATGAACTACTGGTTATTATATATTATTCCCTTCCCTTAATAAACGATAATAGTGGATATAAAACAATTAAGTATTAAACATATGAAAACAAACAAGTGATAAGTAAAAATTAATAAAATCGTTAGTTTTGACTAATTGACAAATATTCAAAATACTACAATTATTTCTCTATAGATTTTAGACATTAATAAGACAAAATTTTCTTTAATTCGATTTTAAATTTTAAACATTTACTAGAATTGGGTAGTTCACTGAAGCATAGTAAAGTTATAAAATTAAAATTGAATCAATTCCAATAATTGACTTAAAAAAATCGTCCAATTTATAAAGATAACAATTTGAAAAAAACTTTATTTTGAATTTAATTTAGTTCAACAATTTGACCAATCCTTTCAATAAAAACAACAATTTATCATAATTTAAAACTTATCACAAAGAATCAACATCACTAAAACTTCTATCATAATTGATATAAGAAATAGCAATGTTGACCCATTATCTTACCAAATTTAAAATCTTTGGTTAGATTTTCTTTTCTTTAAAGCCTTGTTGATAACAGTAGCGGCAATAGCACAACCAGCAAGGAAAACTAAAACGAAAACAAGTATAACTCCTGGAGGTAACATAATTAATTTACTTTAAAAATAAGAAATTATTCAAAGTTTTTGGAAATGTGAGTATTTAAATACCTTTGGGAAATTTCGGTCAAAAACTTTTTCATCGAGGTCGTGGGGCGGATAATTTTTGAGAGATTATTTTCATTTGTCCTTCAGTGGGAATGTCGGTTATGGACTATCGGTTTTAAATTCAGTAAGGGAAGTATAAATGACAGAGATTAGGAGGGGATGAAATGTTGAATTAAAAGAATACGGATGCGATGGTGGGTTTTATCAAGAGAAGGGGAGGATTTCAAGATTATTTATATTTTTTTTTCTTCAGTCAAACTATTACCTTCTACCCGTTATCTCTTCCTATAAAACCGATAAGGATAAACGGTTAAGAAAAGGCTTTTCATTTTCGGTAACTTTGAGCAGGAAGTCAGTTCCTGGCTATTTCAATACTCCCTACTGCCATTACGTTAACCCTATCATCAAGTCTATCATAGGTTGCATTATAGACTGAATTTCTTGGACTCTTCATCAGCCAGCCGCACGACTCATTTTTTTCTGTTGGTGGGTATTACTGTATTCTCAATCCCATGGTAATTGCTTGTGAAAAGAGCGATAATCTCCATATGTATGAGGCAGATCTAAACATGGTCAAGATAAGAGGTGAATATTATCCCTTGTTTTTGAAAAATCCTTTATAAGTTTTAAATCAAATTCTTGAACTAAAGTTCTTAAGGTACCGTAGATTAATGACATTTTATTTCCCCCATCTAATTCTTCCCTATTCTATTATAAGCATCTATCGATTACAATTGAAACTGTTTATTTTCTTTTTCAACACTTTGTTAATCTGTATTGTTTTTTGACAAATTCGGTGTCCATTTTAGGAAATGAGTAAATATGTCAAATTCCGGGCGTTCCCAATTAGGCAGCAATATCCACTATTTGGTAATAACCTTTCCGCACCTTAACTTATTTGGAAACTTTACAGATTATAGGAAAATTATATAGGTTTATTAATATACACTATTTTACAGAATTTTTAACAGTAATAAATAAATCATTAACTCATTCTATCTCAATATCAATTAGATTCCTCAATTATAATCAATGAGAAATAAAATTATCAACCTATAACTAACATTGGGTATCAATAATCAAACTTTGTTTAGAACATTTGGTGTTGGATTATTGATAACTCTGTCGTCGATAATTTAAATTATCGAATAAAGGTTTTGTGCGGACAAGTTTCTTGTCCTTAAATTGAGATAGTCGATCTTGTTTGGTATCTAAATTCGTATCTTCATATCCTTTCTTTAAATAAGGTGGTGGTGAATTGATCATTTTCTCTAATTCTTCATCACCATCAGCAATCAAATCATATTCAACTGCCTTACGTTTTGGTTTCTTGGGTGTTTTGGGTTGAGATTTGTAAATCTTGCTGAATTCAAATAAATTGCTATTCCATTCTTCTTTATCAGCACTTGTCTCTAACTTAACTTGAGCAACTTTCAACTCATCATCTAAATGTTTAGTCAAATTATCAATCACTAAAGGTTTTGCATCGTACTTGAAGTCTCTGCTGTCATCCAATTTGAAATCTGATAAGATCTCTCCATTATTGGTTTTTTCTAATAATTTATAAATATCCAACGATTCTCCTGGAGGGATCGCTTCTTTTTGAGAAGGTGTTAAACAATCTAAAGTGACTTCTTTCCTTAACACATGGTCAATATCAACTTCAGAGAAGAAGGCCACTGACTGCGGTAATTCACTAAATCCTAATCTTTCAACAAACATGGCCCTTGTCCATAAATTACTTATTTGTAATAACAAAGCAGTTTTGTACTTATCCTCATCTTTGACCATGTATCTTAATTCATCGTGAACTGTAATCATCAATCTCGCATCGACTTTGTACTTCTCAATAAGATATTCCATAGAAACAATTAATAGATGCAAGTAATCCACTCCTGAACTTTGAATGGCCCAATTAGTTCTGGAAGTGATATAATTGTTTTTATTCAAATTCTTTGCCGTTAAAGCGTCAGTGATAGCAGCTCCTAAAACTGGAGTTCTTGGATCATCTGAATGAGCGATATTTTCCAAAGCATTGAACATTACTGATTCAGTTCCTCCATGATAGATCTTCCTTTTCAATAATTTAGAAGCTCCATATTGGCCCTTGGTTTCGTTATATAACTTCCTAGCCATGGCCACTGCTTGTTCATCTGTCAAAGAACTATTACATTTCTTCAATAAAGTGGTTGCAAATTTAACTCCAGCTCCATAAATTCTACCATAATTGAAAATTTTAGCTTCTCCCCTGGAGATACCTAAGATTTCGGCAGTTTTAGAATGCAAATCGGTACCTTGATTCTTATCACCTTCCAAAGTCATCCAACTTAAAGCTGTGCTTCCATGAACTTTGAAAATTGAATCTCCAATCAATGCAGCAATCCATAATTCTTCAGAATCTACATCAGCTCCCACAAATTTATACCCTGGAGGTGCTTGAATAAGAGATTTCAATTCTGATCCAATTCTATTCTTCTTAGCATTACTTGCTGTAAGCCAAGTATTTTCCGTAGCTCTTCTCGTGATGGTACCCATTGTAACTAATTTAGGTATAATAATTCCTAAGTTTTCAGTTCCTTTGTTGGTTTCTTTGACAGGAGCGATTTGATTCTTTTTATCATCTGAATAAACCACAAATTGTTCCAAAATTCTTGCACGGTTTCCCATCCAATAAGAAGCGGTTGAATTAAGGTCCAAGATTTCTGAAGCATAAGAATATTCTGATGTTAACACTCCATTAGAAAAGTATTGGGAATATGTTTTGGACATCACTGCTGTACATCTTTTATTGGCACCGTCGGGATGTGGAACCTTCCATAATTCATGACTGCCACCAGTCAAATCGTCATAATATAATTCAATATCCTCTTCAGTTAGCTTAGCTTTGACATAACCTTTCTTGGTTAATTCATCATCTTTCTTGTCATTGAATGGAACCTTGAAACACCAACCATTGGATTCTGTCCAGAATAATGGATAACCTTCCCATTTTAATCTCAATAACAAAGGGGTGATTCTAGTTCTAACGGATATAGTCAATTCCTTGATTTTTTCGCCATAAATGTCTTCAGTAGTCTTGAACAATTCCCTATACCATTCAGGGTATCCTGTAAGATAAGCTTGATTGGCCACTGGATCACCATTTTTCTTTAATCTTGGTAATTTCAAATCCCAATTCAATTGTTTCAACCATGGATCATTGAAATCGGGAATTTTGGAAGGATCATTTTGAGAAATATATTCAACTAATTCATTGGCTCTATCTTTCAAAATGTTAGTGACTTGATCTCTATTATCTTCATAAACTCGTTCAGCAGAATCAACATATTGATCCCATTTCTTGGTGGTAGGTAAAACTAAAGTACCCAAATGTCTTAAAGCTGCAAATGAAACTGGATGAGGAATCTTTTGTTGGAAAATCGGGAATAATTTCTTAGTCACTTCAAAAGTTGCAATGACATCACCACTACAATAATCCATTAAATTATTAAAATCATCAATTATATCTTGAGGATCGAGTGATTGAAATGTGTTTCTTGCATCTTTTTCAAGATCAATTCCACAATGAAATTTGGCAACGTTGGCTAAAGAATTTGGAGCTCCTTTATTTAACCAAGGATCATCGATTAATTCTTGAGCCAAAATTTCTTGATTTTCCAATGCTTCAGTGAGGTTCAATTCATCTGCTTCAGATTTGAGATCTTCATCGTTTGAAACTTTCAAAGTCTTTTGATGCTTATGCCATTGGGGTCTTTGATGAGAACATAATCCTGCTGTAGAAACATGTAATGACATAGCATCAAGATAAAATGCTTTCAGTTGCTTAATATTATACTCATCCATAATTCTGGCTCTATCATAACTTACATTGAACCCAACTATAAGTTTTTCTTCATTCAAACAGTTCATTGGAATCAAATGTTCATAGTCATTATAATTAGAATCTTGAGCATAATTAGTCAATAATGGAGATACCCAAGCATACCAGGCTTTTGGTGATACACAGGTTGCTAACACAGCGTATTGGGATTGCTTATACATGACTTCCACATCAAAAACTAATTGGGATTCAAGGGGATATTTAACTGGTTCTGGATCTTTGTTGGATTCATATCTATACCAACCAGGTTTGAAACACCATTTTGAAGGTCTTGGAGGTAAATTGCAATTCAAAAACTCTTCACAGGATTTTAAATAACTATCACTACTATACTTCCCTAACTTATAAAAATGTTCATCCAATGAATTCCCCAAAAGATTTGGTAAATTCTCTATATTTATTGGTGGTAATAATTGAGTCTTCTTACCTAACAAATCATGATGTTGGAGATGACTTTTGGCTATGGATAATAATGCATCATTATTTTCGGTACGATAATGATCTATAGGAACTGTTGGGAATACTTTCTTATGAATAGATTCTGATAAGTATTGAATACCTAGTTGATTTATTCGGGGTAATTCTTGTTGTGTATTGTCATTAAGGGTTTTGGTAGACAAATCATTCAACTGTTTCTTAGTTTGCAACCTTAGATTACTACTAAGATGCCGTATTGTGAATCGTCTCATCGAACACTAATGAAAAAAAAAATTTTGTACCCAATGAAGGATTGTGTTTTTATGATGTTTGATCTAACGTTTATTGAAACTGTTTCTATAGATTTTGCTTCTTTGTGATCTGATTCTATGACACTTGCCGCAATGATCAATTTACCCTTTTGGTCAATGTTTAGTAATTTCCTAAATGAAGAAATTATACTTGTCGCGGTATTTTCGTTTAAGGATTACTTAACAAAGACGATTTAAAAATACGGCTTCAATTGATTGATTTCATTGGTCAAATTAAGAAACATTTACTCAATATTATAAAAGTTACTGTTCGAATCCCCCCAACGTTTTTTTTTTCCTCGTTACAGTTGCATTTTTGTTGAAAAAAATAAACAACACATTTAGTTGCACATAAATAAATATAGCAATTTCCTAAATTATTTTACATATAAATTATTTAGAATAATAAAAATGGTTGATTTATCAGGATTTAAAAAAGCCGACTTAGTTGATGCTTGTAGTAAAGTAGGTGTTAACACCAACACCAAAGATACTAAAAAATCTTTGGTCGAAAAGATCGAAAAATATATCGAAGAAAATGGTGACGAAGGATTAGCTACCATTGAAGAAATCTTGGACGTTGAAGAAGTCGAAGATGATGATGATGAAGAAGCTGCTGAAGAAGTTACCTTAATTGAAGAAGGTGAAATCAAAGAAGATGAAGATGAAGAATTCAAAGGACCTCCAGTTGATTTAAAAGCAATGATTGTTGATCCTATATTAGATTTTACTGAACCTTATTATGCTCAATTATTAGATCATTATGATGAATTATCATTAAAAATTAATGAATTCAATGAAGATATCAGAAATAACTTATCAACTATCGTTTCATTGAATTATTTATTATTAATTTTCGAAGTTGCTATCTTTTCTTATACTTATATTCCATTGAAAAGTATCAAATCCAATTATTCAATTCATCCTTTGATTAAATCTAACTTACCTGAATACGTTTTAGATTCAAGTATCGTTTTACCAGATTTAACTTACATTTTAAACTTTAAAGTATTATCAGTTTTTATTAACTGGATTATTTACTCAGTTGCTATTCCTTTAGCTGGTAGTTTCTACTTAAACTTCACCAGAAGAACTGTTACTTTCTATGACGATGATGATGAAGAAGATTTTGAAATTCCAGTTAGAATTTATGAATACGACCCATTTGTTTTCAACATCTTAAAAGTTTTGATCTTTTACTTAATTAGTTTACCTTCATCCAAATTATTCTTCACTAGTTCATTTGGTGGATTCTTCAAAGTCTTTGCTGATCAACTCCTAATTCAATTCGGTTTCTACAAAGAATTTACTATCGTTTTAGGTAACTTGCCAATTATTTTTGGTTTAGCCAATTTAGTTATTGGTATTTATTCTCAATTTGAAGAATATTAAATATATTGTTGTATTATTAGTGTTTTAAATATACTGTATTAGTTAAGAGTAAGAGTCACTTTTTCGCCTTTCTATATTTAATTCCAACTAGATTGGATTCCCATTGATTCAAAATCATCTCCTAATTCTTCATTATTAACACTTTCAGGACCTTTGAAATGTTTCATGATCTTTGCCAAAAGATAACTTTCTGAATGTAAACTTTGTTCGTCAATTTCATTTCTTCTACCTCTTCTTTTAAGTTCGTTATCAACTGATATCCCACTTGAATTCGAATCTGATCCACTGGTTTCATATAATTTATTCTTAAATATTTGATGTTTCATGTTATTGAACTTATTTTCTTTCTTGAATTGATTGATAGTTCCTGTTACCATATTGAACTCTTGCATGTTTGAAATTGTCAGGAAGTCAGTTAAATCGTCAACCTTTTTGTCATTATCATCAGTTATCTTATTGATTTTTAAATCTTCTAAATCTTCTTCTGTATCCTCGTCATTAACAAGTTTCTTATAGAAACTACGTAAATCTTTATTATAATCTCTTGAACTGTCAGTGATGATTTTATTGAATTCCTTCCCATTTAAATCGGTTAAATCATTGAATAGTTTATCGGAATTCAAATATCTATCAAAACTGTTCTTTTGGAATTCCAAGAAATTCTTGAGCTTCATTAATTTGTTAACCATCTGCCCATTATACTTCTTATAAGTCTTGTTGGTATCGTGATAAAAGTTAGAAGATAATTTCAATAATTCGTAGTTATTGAAAACTCGAAGTTTGATCAATTCAATATCTTTTTCCATTTCAAGGTTCTGTTGAATTTCTTTCAACTGTTCATCTTTGATATCATTCTCAATCAAGGATATCTTAGATTCCTTAAGATCTTGTAATCTTGATAATATTTGACTCTTTTTATACTTATATATCTCTTGTCTTTCCCTTCTGGTGAATTGATCAATGTTGTTCAATGAAGATTTAATAACATCTGTTTTGAATTTCAAACTACCATTATTGAAATCTCGGTTATTTATCTTTGTGGATATGTTTGATAATTTGGGTACGTGAATATCGGATATTTCAAATTCATCATCTTTGAAATATTTATCAAGTTTGTAATCTGGAGATTTATTAAATTCATTACTCAATAACGGCTTGATTTGGAAACTGTTGGGTAAGGTTCCTAAATCATTCAATGGTTGATGGTTGTATTTATCAAATCGTTCATCGAGACGTATATGTTCGTAGTATTTTTGGTGCTGAAGTTCATTATTTTTATCATCATTATCATTGATTGAAAATTTCTCTTCAATGGATTGATATTTAAGATCCACCAAAGTACCTGCTGCACTAGCTACTACCATATCTTGTTTAGGTAACGCTTGGGATGCATCAAGAAGATCGGTGAAAAAGTCATAAGGTGTCAAACTAGCTTGTTGAGCATTAATAGGATATGGCATATAATTGCTAGGAGGGAATGGTAAAGGTGCCAAATTTACCATCTTGCCAAAATCAACAGGTCTTTCATTCTCATCTTCGTCATCTTCATCGTGTTCCTCTTCATCCTTGGATTTGATCAATGGATCAGGTTTAATGACTGGTGGTGCAGGAAAAATGAAAGGTATCATAATCCCTTCTTCATCATCGGGATTGGGTGGTGCAATAGGTGGAGGTAAAATGTTAGAAATCCTACTAACTTTTTCATTCAACTTTTCTACATTATAATTCAAATCTGTGAAAAAGTCATTGGGGTGATAAGGTGGTTGTAAAATTGGTAAAAACCCTCTAGGGGCATTATTCAATTGTGGAACATTTCTGATGTTGATTCCATTGCCATTGGAAAGTTTTATTTCATCTTGTGATGTCTTGGCGATGATGGAATGTAATTCATGTAATTTTTGTCTCTTTAACGGATTATCTAAGATATCTTCAGATTGTCTTTTAATCTCCATAATAAAAAGTTTAGTTGTCGCTTATTTCTCAATTAAATTTTTCAATAATCTATATTGGTAATTCAGTAATGGTTTTGTGGGTTTTGTTGAAGTTTTAAAGGGTTGTTATATGTTGTTTTACGGAAGTATTTGACCTAGTGGTTGCAGAAAGATTTTTTTGTCGCAAAAAAAATTGAGGTGATAAGTTGCAACAATTTCCTGTACCTTTCTGGTGATATGCTAGGATTTTTTCAATTGACTTGAAGAGCGAAGAGATTAAAAGGCTGTTAAGGGATAAATGGAGTAGTAAATCAAATCAGATTTTCGAGCCAATATTTTTCTTATCTTAATTTCGAAACTTTTTGGTGATTTTTACAACTTTGAAAGAAGAGAAAAATAGAGTTAAAAAAATGATAAAAAATTACCATTTTCAAACCACCGTCAAACATCTTGAATAATGAAGCGAGAGCTGTGATGTGGATTTACTTATCGTTGAAGGAATTAACCTGTGAGTTAAAGGGCCCTGAATTCTAAAACCAGCATATTCAACTTCTTCACGTTTTTACCGAAAATTCCATAGTCTTGACTCCGATCTTAGTCCTCATGTACTCCTTCAAATAACATTAAAATGGGTTCCCCATCTCCATCCAAGAATGGTCGATCGAATTCATTCATGCAACGTATTTGAAAGGCTGCAAAAAAATCATTGAGTAATAAGTATCTCCATCATTTCGACTGAAAAGTGACCACAACCTAACCCAAACATTTCCTACATCCCAAACCATCACCATCAATCTGATGTACCATAACAATCCACTCCTACCCCTAATCCATACCACTAGGTTTAAATTGAGTCTCACACGACCGGCGATTACTGCCAAAAATCTCACTCACAAAAATCTGAACGTCACTTTGAACGGGTTGTCAAATAAATAAACTGAAGATTGGATTTATTTATTTTAAAATTAGTTTTTAGAACCTTTGAATAATCAATCAAATCAATTAATCTGGTATTAATTACTATCATTTAACAAAACACGTAAAAACCCGAATTAAACTCGTCGTTTATTTATTGCTGTTTATTGTCATATATTCATTGAGGGTTTTCCATCGATAAAGTAATCATTTCCTACATTATTTGATAATTTGTATATCCCTTGTAGTTGTATTTCATTGTCTTTATTAGTGGAAGGTTTAAATAATTCAAATAGTCAACAATGGCTAAAGATAAATTAGAATTTAAACCCAAGTCATTTGTATTGGCAAAAATGCCAGGGTATCCCGCCTGGCCATCATATGTTATGCCAAATAATGAGATACCCAAGACCGTTCTACGAGAGAAACCTAAAAATAAATTAATTTGTGTGTTATTCATCCCTGATGCTGACTTTGTTTGGTGTAACCCTGAAGATTTAAAAGAATTGGACCACGAAACTTTAGAGAAAAAGATAACTGAATCATCTAAAAAGAAAGGGAAAGGGTTCAAATTGACAAAAGCATTAGTAGCAGCAAGAGAAATGACTTATGAGAAGTTATTAGCCAAATTAGGAGGTACAGGTGATTCATTTGCCGGTGAAGAAGAGGAAGAATTCGAAGAAGAGGTGGAGGAAAAGATTGAAGAACCTGAAGAACTCGAAGAACCTGAACCTGAACCTGAACTTGAAGAGGAAGATGTACCAGAGCCAGAAGCCAAACCTGTAGAGTCAGAGCGAGCAGCTCGTAAAAGAAGAAGAATCATTGAAGAGGAAGAACCAGTTGAACATTCTGGCAAAAATGGAGTCAATGGCAAGAAAGAAGAGAAATCCAAATCTGACGAAGAAAAAGATGGTAAAGAATCGAAATTTAATGGAACATCTAAAAGATTTAAAACTGTATCACCAGGTCCAATAGAATCCCCCCACAAAAAAGAAAAACCAATAAAAGTAAAAGATAAACCAACTGAAGAAGAGAAATTAGAACAACTTTGGTTATGTAGAATTAAATTACAAAAATCATTAATTCAAAGGAATAATAATGAAGCAACTATTGATGATCTATCAATTTCAAGATTAATATTACATAAATTAGCAGATTTCCCCATGGAATTAAATTTATTAAAGAAAACCAAAATTCATAAAGTTTTAAAACATATACTCAAAGAACAAAAATATGAATTGAATGAAAGCTTTAAATTACATGAAAAATGTAGAGAATTATTAGATAAATGGTCAAATATGATTGATTCAATTAAACGTGAAAAAGAGCATGATCTTTCCGATATAAAAGATCAATCTATAAATAATGACCTCCAAACAGCTTCCGTTGAAACTTAAACTTTAATGATTAATGAATTTAATTCTTGTATTATATATTCAACTGTTTCTTACAATATCTAAGATATCCAATGAAAATCAGGGTAACCGTCATCGTGATGAAATAAACTCTCAAATTTCGCCTTTTTCTAACAAATCCCGGTGCTCAAATTTACCCGCAATTTTTTGTTCAATACACCCTTTTGAGGAATTGAAAAAATTTTTCTCCCATAGGAGATTTTTCTTTTCGACAACAAATTCAAAAAGAATATTTTTAGTTAAACATGTCTGACGATCACGTATGTAGTAATATGAAATGAAATTAGAATGGAAAACTCATTTTAACATCGTGTTTACCTTGAAATTTGATGGGAAATTCTTTGAATTTAAGGAGGATGAATCAATTAGTTGGCTCGATCTATGATACATTATAATTCATCATATTTCTTTTTGATATAAAGAGTTTGGAGATTTTTATTAGTGTTTCAGGATTATTAGATCAACAACTATCATCATTTGAAGAGTAGGAATTCGAATCATTCACTTAAAGGGTAAAATATGAGATGCGATGGATTTTTCAGTGATTGGCTAAATTTCAAGCAATTGCAATTAATTGAATTTTTTACTAACAAATTATAGGATTTCGCCGTAGCTTCAGCTGGTGCTGCTGATACCTACCCAATCCAATGTTCCGCTTTAAGAAAAAACGGTCACGTTGTTATTAAAGGTAGACCATGTAAAATTATTGATATGTCTACTTCTAAAACTGGTAAGCACGGTCACGCTAAAGTCCATTTAGTCGCTACTGATATCTTCACTGGTAAAAAATTAGAAGATTTATCTCCATCTACCCATAATATGGAAGTTCCAAACGTTAGAAGAAACGAATTCCAATTATTAGATATTGATGATGGTTACTTATCATTAATGACCAGTGATGGTGATACCAAAGATGATGTCAAATTACCAGAAAACGATTTAGGTAACAAAATTCAAACCGACTTCGATGATGGTAAAGATCTTATCGTTACTATCTTATCATCAATGGGTGAAGAAGCTTGTGTTGATGCTAAACCAGCTTCATCATAAGTTGTTTAGTCTATTAAATAAGATATGGATTAAATAATTTAAGTACATTTCCTTAGATCAATAGTAAAGTATTTACAATTTTTGATTCTAAATATATATTCTTAATCATAGGTTCTCTTATTTAACTATGCTTTAACTATGCTTTAACATTTTTTCATTTTCCTCAAATGGAAATTCTTATAATTTACATTTTTAAAATATGTCATATGTCGATCGTTTACAAACGGCTCCGTTGACCTTTAGCTTAGCCTTGTTATTTCCTTTAACCCCATTATGAGCCTCAAAGATGATGCTGCAAAATCTATCTGCAAGTCCAGCCCCTCATATGGGGTCACTCAAATGCATGATTTTCACACTGTAAATCTTTACAACTACATACTTTACTATCTCCCCTTACTAACCAATCACATTCCGCCTTAACAGAACTATTATCTTATAGTTTAAATTGAAATTTCGTTTATGGTTGCGATCGTAACTAACTGAAATCAAAAAGTCATTTCTTATCAACTGCGAAGCGTGCGGTAGAAAATTTTTACTCCCCATATTATCGGATCTAAAGGTAAAGATAAGTTTCTAAGGTTGACATCAGCCCTAATAATTAATAAAACCTCCCCGTATATATAAATAAGAGGCATATATTCCAGTTTGTGTAATAATTTCAAGGATTTGTACGATTATTCTTTTTGATGATTCAACGTTTCATCTTATAAATCAGATTTCCTATATTGAAAATTTATCCGATTCAATATAATCTTGGTATAATATTTCAAAAACATATCCAGAGATGAGTTCTACAACCACTGATACTGCAACAAGTACTTCCAGTAGTTCTCCTTCAGAGACTTCCACAAGTGGGAATTTTTCATTTATCGGAAATACTCCATCATCAGTACTATTTTTTTTAGCTTTGGGTGTTGGGGTTTTCATTGCTTCGTTATTCTTATTTTTCACTGTCAGATATTTTATACGATCAAAATATGGTTTACACATATATCCAGTATCTCAACGAAGTATATTTGCTAATAGTTCATTAAATACAACTAATTTATCAATGATGTACCATACCAATACTGAATTGCAAGAACAATTAGAATACGTTCGTAGAAACCATTTCATCCGAGCCGATGTTTTAGATCGTCGATTGAATAATCGAAGGAGAAGACGGAGAAGAAGAAGAAATAGATTTGCTAAAATGAAGAAAATTTCCGAACAACAAGTTGAATCTTTATTCCCCAGAAAGACCTACAATGACTGGTTAAATGGTGGTAAAGAAAGAGATTATGATAACAGAAATGGTAATTTACAAGAAGAAGGTTACGATAATGATAGTCATGATGAACAATTAACCACTCGTAAGACAATTACCACTAGTTCCGAGACCGAACAAGAAATTCAACCTGAAGAAATCGAATTAACTGATTTACATCCTAACAGTGAAATAGTTGAAGACTTGCATTTCACTTCCGGTACTTGTGCTATTTGTTTGGAAGTCATTGAAGATGATGATATTGTTAGGGGATTATTATGTGGACACGTATTCCATGCTGACTGTTTAGATCCTTGGTTAACTAAGAGAAGAGCTTGCTGTCCAATGTGTAAAAGAGACTATTATTACAAAGATGAGAATGAAAATGATCCCAACAGAACAGAAAATAGTGAAGAACACGAAGGAGAAAATGAAGATAACCAGAATGAAGAAGAAAACGAAGGAGAAAACGATGAAACCCTTGATTTTGAAGTATTTAGAAACGATCCTACCCTCAGAGCAATGTTGCATGAGTTGATACCCATTCCCGAAAGAGTCAGGATGATTCTAAATGATGAATCTTTAGCACATCTAAATTTAGAAGTTTCTGCTCAAGAGTTGGCAAATCAAAAATACAGTAACATCTTCAAAATCATTTTCTGGAAGATAATGGGGATTTCAAAGAAAGATTTATTCAATTATGGTGTTTTGACTGCAAGTCACAACTACCGATTAGAACAAGAGATCAGAGAAAATTCCAATCAACCATTACCTGATTTGGACACACCCAATCCCGAAATGGGATCCATTATTGGTGTCGACGCTAATCATGAAATCACAAATACTGTACAAACTCCCGCTTCAGGTAATGTTTCTGAGAATAATCTGGCTGGTAATGTTGATGCACAAGACGGATCAGACCAAAGATCTCAAATAACTCCGCGTACGTCTCACTCACCTCAAGCTTCCGAAGAACAAGATCTTGGAAGTCTTGGAAGTGTTTATACAGCACCTTCCACCAGAGATGTGGTAGAGAACAGGGTTTAACCATTCAATTCTTCTATTTTATTTAAGGTCAATAATATTAATTCTATGATCTCTGATCTATCTCAATGTAATGAGCGAAAAAAATTTTCGCAGATTTTTTTTCAAATTATCAAATATGGGTATGTAACTTAACACAATTTAACTTTAAATTTGATAACACCTTATCGTGGGATAATGTGAAATTCAGAAAGATATGGATGATATCAAATGAAAAGTATGAGGAAAAGTTGGAAAATTTAAAGTCCAATACTAACAAATTAAGCACCAAAGAAAAATATTAAAATGGACTTGAGTTCATTTTTAGCTGATGATTCACTTGGAGGTGGATCATGGGCTGATGAAGAAGTCGACATGAACTCAATCGGTATTCAAAGTTCCACTGCTGCAGTTCCTGAACAATCTATCAATACCAACAACTCATTTGAAAGCGCTCCTTCAAACAGTTACCAAGAAGAAAGACGTGAAAGAAAAGAATTTCCAGTTCCTGACCAACCTCCATACAGAGCTAGAGTTGCTAACTTACCATGGGATATTGTTGAAGACGATGTCGCCGATTTCTTCCACAAAAGAATGCAATTAGATAACATCATCAGTGATGTTAAATTACCTTCTGAAAATGGTAGATTAAAAGGATTTGGATTCGTTACTTTCAATGAAAGAAAATTTTTAGAAGAAGCTTTATTATTAAACACTTCAGATTTCAACGGAAGAAGAATTTTCGTTAATGTTGCCGCTCCTCAAAGACAAGATGTTTTTGATGTTGATTGGAGATCAGCTAGAACTGGACCATTAGGAGGTGCTAGAAGAGAAAGAAGAGAAGAACCAGATTTAGACTGGGGATCAGCTAGAAATGAAATGGGATCATTACCACCAAGAGAAAGAAGTAGAAGAGGACCACCAGGTGATAGACCACCAAGAAGAGAAGAACCAGATTTAGATTGGGGTTCAGCTAGAAGCGAAATGGGTACTTTACCACCAAGAGAAAGAAGTAAAAGAATTCCATCAGGTGATAGACCAAGAAGACAAGAACCTGAATTAGATTGGGGTTCAGCTAGAAGTGAAATGAGTTCTTTACCACCAAGAGAAAGATCAAATAGAAAACCAAGAAAACAAGAACCTGAATTAGATTGGGGATCTGCTAGAAATGAAGTTGGTACTTTACCACCAAGAGAAAAATCCAATAGAAGAAAAGGTCCAGAAGATTGGAATAAATCCAAGAAGGAAGAAAAAATTGAAGGTCCTCAAAAATCAAGTTATGACGTTTTAGCTATTGAAGGAGATAGTGATGAAGAACCAGAAAAGGAAGAGATTAAAAAAGAACCAAAAAAATCAGAACCAGTTGAAGATTTACAAAAAGCTACTGCTAAATTATCAGTTGAAGAAGATGGTTGGGAAGTTGTCCGTAAATAGATATTTAATTATGTAAAATATTTCAGTTGTAAAATCTCTTTTAAAACCTTCAAATAAATAAAATCCAAAAGCTTGAAATGGGTATTAATGGGTCTCTCATATGATGTTTAATGTTAATGAAGAAGCTACAGATTTTGAATCCACAGCTCTTTTGAATTCTTCAAAACTTAATCTTCCATCACCATCTTCATCAGCTTCCATCATCGTTTTATCAACTATTTGTTGTAATTCTTTATCTTGTAAGTTTTTACCCACCATCATCTTCATAACTATGAATAATTCTCCATTACCAATATATCCATCTCTGTCAATATCATAAACTTTGAAAGCAAATTTTAATTTGTCGATTTTTGAAGTTTTACCACTAAAAGCTGATAAGCCTGAAATAAATTCTTGGAAATCAATGGTACCACTTTGATCTTCATCAAAAACATCCATTAATCTAGCAGCTAAAGGATTATTGGAAATACCTGGAATGGCTAAAAATTCATTTTTTTCTATAGTTCCACTACGATCTTTATCTAATTTCATAAATCTCTTTTTCATACGATCGATTTCATCTCTATCGAAGTTGGTTCCCTCCATAAGGGAATCAAGTAATGTAGACGAAGCTGCTCCCATAGTGAGTTAAAAATCGCGATCTGGATTTGAGAAAGAAAGACGTAGGGAAGGGGAATGGAAGAGGGATCGAAAAGAAGGAGAATGAAGGAAAATGTTATAAATAGAAAATCTACGTTACTATGAGACACAAAAACAAATTCAAGAGCCAGAATAGATACATAGTATCGTCGTACATTCCTATAATTTGGCACCACCTCCATTCAAGTAAGCTCCACCATCTAATGGTAATACAATACCATTAATATAATTGGCTTGTTTGGAACATAAGAATAAAATGGCACTTTGCATATCCTCTTTAGTACCTAATCTTTTTCTAGGATTTGATTCAATCATGATATCTCCAGCAGCTGCAATTAAACCATCACTCATTTTTGAAGGGAAGAAACCTGGAGCTAATGAGTTGACAGTAATGTTTCTTGGGCCCAATTGAACAGCTAAATTCTTACCTAAATGACTGACACCAGCTTTTGAAGCAGCATACCCATAAACACCCGCTTGATCAACATTGATCAATGAAACCACGGATGACATGATAACAATTCTTGCTGGATCTTCATGAGTTCCGGCTTCTTCCAACATAGGAGCAAACAATTTAATACAATTGAAGACTCCAACGATATTTAAACTAAGAACTTTATGCATAGCAGAGATAGGATGATCTTCTAATTGAGCACCCCAAGTAGCACCAGCATTAGCAATTAAGATATCAACTTTCTTGACTTCCTTCTTGGTAGCTTCGAAAAACTTAATACAATCTTCTTCAACAGATAAGTCTGATGGAATAGCTACAATTTTACAATCTTTACCATTATCTTTAGCAAGTTTCTCTAATAAGGCTTTAGATTCTTCACAAGCTTTAGCCTTTCTTGAAGTAATTACAACACAATCAGCACCATTTAAAACAAATGCTTCAGCACAATGTAATCCTAAACCTCTTGTACCACCTGTAATCACAGCAGTTTTACCATTGACGTTAAAATCAACCATTTTATATTCAAAGAACTTTTTAATTCTACCGGCGCATTAAATAGTCTCCACATTTTAGTGCCGATGAAAGTTCAAAACTTGAAGATCGCACTAACAGCCGATGGTAAGAGAAGCGGAGTTTTATTGTAACTACATTTATCATACACTCTTATTATACAAACTAACTATTAATTGTAAACCGGGTATTAACGGGTTAGCCATTGATAATGTCAAATTATCATTCAACATTTTGATATCTTTACCTATAATTACTTGGATCAATCTATTAGTACCTTTGACAAAATCACTTATTGACCAAATTTCAATAACTTCATCACAGACAACGAATAAATGGTTGTTCATAAAATTGATATATTTGGCCTTGTAATCGAATTTCAAAATTTTAAACCTGGAAAGTTTCCCATGTTTGTTGATAAAGATGGCACATTCATTGTACACCAATATGAACTCACTATTATTATTCAATTTGAACATTCCTAAAGGTTTAGACCCCGATGAATAGATTAATCTTCGAATATTCTCGATATCATTGGAATTATCATCTGATCTTCTGGTATAGCCATCGATTTTCTTGTCAGTAAATGGGAGTTCAGGAATTGATCTGGGTAGTAATTTATCTAATTCCAATATTTCAATACCTTTACTAGTATGAACAGCAAAAGATGAATTAAAGATAGATATACCAAAACATTCAGCTTGAACATAGAACTTTTTGACCAATTTGAAACAACTGAAAATCCCATCATTATCAGTTTCTGGTATATAAACTTTAAAGTTAGTGGAACCGGAGTTCCCTTTCTTTTTGGCAAAGAATAACATATGTATTTCTCTGTGGATGCCTATTTCAAAGAATGAAATAGCTTCATTGGTGATGGAAACACTGGATATCAGGTCTTTCTTTCCATAATAATATTTGATTAGAACGTCTAAGGGGAAATATTTCAAATTTCCTCCATTCAACATCAACGCAAGGTTCATTGTTGGTAATACTGATATCTTGGTAGTATCATTGACCAGGATAATCCTCTTCCATTCATTATTCATATCAGTACAATAAACTCCAGTAGCTGTACCAATGAAGGTAAATTTGGTATTATTAAAGAAAAATGAAGCCGATGATAAAACTGTTGAGTAAGCAACATGATTACTAGCATTATTGAAATTATAAATATCAACTCCACTATAACCCAAGTTGTTCAACACATTTAATGATTCTTTTATCATGGGTTCCACTAAATCATGGGGGGATATTATGGGTAATTTATTGATTCTATTAGCTTCTTCATAAGCAAAACAAGTATTGGAGATCAATCTAACACCATAAGGCTCGTTCTTTGACAATCTAAGACATAAATTGGATCTGGCTTTAGTTAAACTTTCAATCCAAATATCTCTATCTCTTTCTGATCGGGAGAAAAAGGTGAAAGAATTATTCTTCCCACGACCAGCGTACCTGATTTTGAAAGGATACACTGAAGGGTCTTCATTAGACTCGTGTTTAGGAGAATTGGTTGGTGATGAAGAAGTCAAATTCCTTGTTAAATTGTTCAATTCAATAGTCGGAGTTTCACGTTCTTTGACCTCAACTAGAAGGAATTCAATAGGTATAGGCAATTCAATGATCCTATAACTTACCAAATGATTTTTACTGCTTTTGACTCTTTCTGTGATCAACAAATAGTTATCAAGGAGTACTATATGGTTAGCAGAAGAACTAATCTTCAAATCACTTTTTCTATTGACATCACCTCTATGGAAAATATGCCTATTTTCAGATTTGAAATTGATGTTTATTTGAGGGATGTTTTTACCCCAAACCAATTGTTTTTGTATTCTTCTTAAAGAATGGATGTTATCAGCATGATGCTTCATTTCATTAACTTTGGTTGCAGTTTTCTTAATACCTTCAATTGCTTTGATCAAAGCTAAAGTTTCAGAATCATTGTCTTCAAATGATGACTTAATGTCGTTCAATTGTAAAGGTAACTGTTGGTACCTGGAATTGAAAGTACTGATGAATAATAAGGATCCGTTTACCTTCAATTCCTTGACTTTTGGTAAATCTCTCACATTAGTATCCACCCATCTCTTGATACTTTGAATTTTCATCAACTCTTCAATCATTGGCATTGTTCCAATGTACCTCAAAAGTGAAGGTTTCACAACTTGTGACCAGTTGTAATAGATATTACCAATATCCACCACATCTTTGATGAACTTACCGTTCGAGATTAAAATTTTCAATAATGGCTCGAATAAAGATTTTTGATGGATCTTGAGTAGCTCTCTTCCAGGTTCGAGAATGTCATCATCAAATTTATTGACAGATATAACGTCTGAAGAGCCTATTAATATTTTTACCGTCTTGATGAATTCAGGGCCAACGATTTCAACGAAAACTTTAGCTCTTTGGATGAAGGTTTGCTCATATCGAAGTAAGTCAAATAATAAGGATTGTCTTTTAGCCATATTCTTATCGAAACGTTTCAAATCATCAGCTGTCAATTTCCAATGTGAAGCCCAATCTTCACCTAGAACGATTTCACTGATATCTGTTTGACGGAATTTGATTTCATAATCCAACACTCTATTGATATAACATCTGGAAGAGGCACAGTGCAATTTAACTCCATTGATAGTTAGTTTATCTGACTGATGATCTTTTTCATAACAATAACAACTAGTCAAGTCCACCAACACCCCCGTTACTTCAACATCATCATGTAACTCGACACCAGGGTTAGATCTCGAAGCACCTGTTTTATTTTCTTCAGGCACCGGTAATGGTTTGACACCATCTTCGTCGGGAGACGTACCATAATTGAAGGTAATGGCACCTATTTTAAGGAAAGTGGCAATGATTTGATCAACATTAGGACCCAAAGTCTCCAATGGCACATCTCTTTTGTGATAAACAAGTAATTTGATCAAAGCTTTCTTAAATTCTTTCTTCAGAATGAACAGATCATGCAACCAAGTTCTTAATTTCAAACACCATTGGAATATCTTACTTAAAGACCAAACATTTTCACACATTGAAAAATGACTACTCACCAACGATGAGGAAGCAAAAGGTAATTTAGGTAAATCCAATGGTACTGGAGGTAAAGCATCATTCTTTCTTATGGTAGCATTCCTATTGACTTCTTCTACATAATTGGGACCCTTGACAAAACTGATAGCTGAATGTAAAGTCATTCTTTTGGTAGGTGAGGTACCCGTAGCACTGGATGAAGGTAAATCAGGTAACATTGAAAAATCAAACAATTTGGAAGTAGGTGATTCATTACCATCGTCATAATAATCCTCGTCATCATACATTTCATAACTAACATGTTCTTCACCATAATAAGTATTGTCTACTTCATAATCATTGTCTTCATAGGTTTCAGGCATTTCAAAGTCATACATCAAAGATGGTGATCTTCCATACACTTTCTTAGGCGAAGGAGATCTTGAACTAGCACCACGACCAGGTCTTTCAGGACTTGGGTTTCGAGGAATGGATAATGTTTGAGATCTTGGGAAGGAATTGGTAGGTACATTTCTACCATTGAATGTGTGATTCCTCGTAGGTGACGGAGAATTGGATCTATTGATCAATGGAGGTCTACCTGACAATAGTTCAGGACTCAATGATGTGTGATTATATAATGATGGGATTTTGGTGGGAGTAGTCAAGGATTGGTTTAGTATATCGTTATTCCTACTTCGAGTCTCAAAAGGTGACAAACTATTAGTTTGTGAGATCAATTCTTCCACAGGGTCAGAAATTGGGTATGGTGGAGTGTCATCATCATCGAATTGATGGGTCATTGAATCATCATAATACTCAGGTAATTCTTTAGGTCCCATTGGTTTTGGAGTTCCCATACTTACGATTTCTTCTTCATTGATAGAAGGATCGAATAAAGCTTGTGGTCCTTTGAGTGTTCGTGGTGATCTACCGATATTTTGGGTATATTTATAATCGTTTATCCCTGGGGAACGGAATGGAGTTTGTTGATCATAATATGTGGAAGGACCTGTGCCAATTGTATTGATACTGAAATTGTTACTCACCGCCGACAGTGGAGCGGAATAGGTATTGGAATCAGTGTCCACCACTTCCGAAACCATCAAAGGAGGAGGTTTCCTCCTTAACTTCTTCGGAGTTGTATTCAGACTCATTAAGCAAATATATTCTCAAACTTCTCAATCGTTTAAGCCACACGACTGCAGCCATCACAAACTCTAGATTTCCTCTACTTGTAAAAGTCAAAAATGGGTTAATGTTACACAATTGACCAACTGAATGACCAATTGAATCAATGAGAGGTTAAAAAGAAGTTTTCAGAGGTTTTTTAAGAAATTGAAAAATCCCATACTTTAAATCTTAATCTAGAGCATCTCAAACGCGTATTTAGTATGAGCTATTCAGAAGAAGTAGAGAAGTTACTCAAATCAGGAGCCAAAAATTTAGGTGAAAAGAACTATGAACAAGCTGTTGAAGATTACCTGAAAGCTTGTGGTTTACACCAAGAAGAAACTGGAGAAATCGAACCAGATTTATTCATGATGTACGGAAAAGCATTATATGAAAGTGGAGTTAGTCAATCTGATGTTTTAGGAGGACAAGAGATTACCAGTGAAAAGATTGAGGAAGCCAAAGGTGAAGATGATGATGAAGGAGATGCTTTTCAATTCAATGATTTAGCTGCCGAAGAATTTGCTGAAGCTGGTGGTGAAGAAGAAGAGCAATCAGAGGAAGAAGAAGGTCCTTCAGTTGAAGAGGATGAAGAAGAAGAACAGGGTGAAGAGCAAGAAGAACAAGAAGAAGAGAAAACTGATATGGAATTAGCTTGGGAAATCTTGGAAATTGCTAGAGGTCTTTATGAAAAGAAACTTGATGATAATAAAGCAGAAGAATCCAAATTAACTATACCTTATCTTACTTCAGACAAAGATACCCCCACCAATGAATATGTCAAGACTTTGAAGAGTTTATCAGAAGTTTATGATTTATTAGGAGAAGTTTCATTAGAATCTGAACATTTCCCTCAAGCTGCTTCTGATTTAGAGAGTAGTCTTGAAATGAGAAAGAAATTATATGACAACGATTATTCAGGGTTGATTGGAGAATCCCATTTCAAATTATCATTAGCATTGGAATTCTGTCTTGAAGATGATACTGCCAAAGAAAAAGCTGCCAATCATATCAAAGCAGCTATTAAAATTTTAAAGAATGACTCCCAAAAGAATCCCGATAAAAAAAAGGAGAATGATGAAATCATAGGAAGTTTACTGGAAAGATTAGACGAGATCGGCAGCAATGCTGAAGATGCTATCAACAAACAAAAACAGGATATGTTACAAGATATTTTAGGATCATCTAAAGGTACGGAATTATTAGTTAAATTATCATCATCTCCATTGATTCCTACTCCAGGTCCATCAAAAGTCAATGACTTGACATCAATGGTAAAGAAACGTAAATCAAAATCCAAAGATAACAACGTCAAACGTACCAAAAAATAAACTTTATCTATCAATGACCAAGGGAGGCTATATATATGCTTCAAACCAATGTAAATCTAGACATATTTGTTTAATACACGTTCCAGTGATGACTGGCTGAATCTTTTTAGAAATGTTCGTATTTTATGACGGTAAAAGTGGCATTTACGGTCACGGCACTTATGAGTAATTATTATGGGGTTCGTAGTATTTAGTTCTATCTATCGCATCGAAAATTTTTGTTGCAGATCCCAAGATCCATACATTCAAAAAGTAGCACATTTTACAATACACACACATTGACAAAAGGGGAAGATGTCGCTAAGCCAAGAAAGACCTACTGATAAAAAGATTTCCAGGAGAAGGAAGAAAAGAAGAACCGAAGCATCATCGGATGAATCTTCTTCATCATCATCGTCATCGGAAGATGAGCAACCAGAAGAAAATGAAGATACCGAAACTAATGGAAATAAATCGAATGAAGATGGTAAGCCAAATTTTGATAACGTAACGGATGAATTAAATGCAGCTATTCATGCTAGATTAACACAAATTCCTTTTGATAGACAAATAGATGAGGATGATAAAATAAAAGAAGATATAATTGATAAACACAGTAAAGATAGAGGTGAAATGGATAAAAAATTCATGCAAATAATGACAGAACAATTCGGTGACCAATTAAATGAATTACGTAAAGATCCAAACTTTTCAAATAAATCATTAATGGTTTTAGCACAAAGTATCCAATCAAGCAGTAATATTTATGATGATGATGAAATTAACCAATTAATTGAAAAAGATTAGATATACATATATTTATTAGATATTTTTATATGATTATATATTTTTAAAATACTATGCAAGGCACAGCGGATTTATTTCTCTTGATATGTATGGAAGAGCCCAATCTGAGGTTAGTTTTTGACACTTTCTTTTAACCCTTCTTTGGAACCAGAAGGGTATTTTTTCCGGAAGATTCTCCAGTTTTATGGAGGTATCTTTCAATAAATCGTTAACTTATCGAGAACCCTCTTTAGACCACCAGAATCCACCAAATGAACTAAAAGCTCGAATTAGTCAGATTTGAACTATATAATCTATTTCACTTTCCAAGCACATAATATTGCCTGGCTAGCTCAATCGGTAGAGCATTTGACTCTTAATCAAAAGGTTGCGGGTTCGAGCCCCGCGTCGGGCTAAGCTCTGAGTAAAGAGGTATCCGAGTCCGCTTGCTCAGACTTTCCCAATGACTTAGGATAAAACCTTCTTCATTTTTTTTTACTTCTACAGAATCTATACTTCTCAAACCCAGAATAAGGATACCTTGAAATAACACTTATCAGTGTATTGAAAAGGGAGACTAATAGGGGTTGTGTGAAGGGAGACCAATTGGCGATTGTTATCTAAGATTTTCCTATTGTTTGAGATTATTTTTAGGGAAATTGTACTTTTCAACGACCCACTTCGGCATTAACAAGATCGTTTGGGGTACCGACACAACGGTACACAACTCTTGTTATTTTTAAGCATGTTTTTACAGAGGAGGTGAAAACATATCTACAGAAGATGAAGTCTGGATTCGATCTTGTAACAAGAATATATGCAGAAACATACATGGAATGGACCCCTCAGGGTAACGTATAGCGATAATTGTAACCGTAGCAAAGTTCAGGGATAGTTGGTTGTAGATTCTGAAATGATGGACCTAAATCCAAGAGATAACCGTTTCCTTTTATTATAAATAAACTACTGAAAGAAATCACCGTAATAATTTCTTTTAAAACTCTGTAATAGGAAGTAAAATAATATTGTACAAAATGCTAATAGTAATAATAGTAAAATCGTTAAATTCTCCATCATCTTTTTTAATTGTTGTTGACGTTTCCATTCTTTGGCCCTTTGAATTTTCTCTTGTTTTAACCTTTTCATCTTTTCTTCAGCTTCCATTAGCATCTTTCTATTTGAATGATAATGCCTTTGTTGATTAACTACAATATCTCCAATATAATAAGGTTCTAACATTTCATAAGCGTCGTTTGAATGGGCAACATCATCAAAGGCTTCAGTGGCATCCGAACCTCCGAATTCAATGATAACTTCTGCACCTCCAGGGTGCAACTCTTCTTTTATAAAACTACTGACATCATATACTTTATTATAAACTATAATCCATAAATCATCATGACTAAAATGTTTATTAACATCTTCAAATGTGAAAAATTTATTTGGTCGATTTTTATCCCTTTCAATCGTCATCTTGGATTTAACTCTTCTATGATATGAATCTCAAGTATCTATTCTCCAAGACTGTGTGTGTTATATGTTATTATTAAGTTGATTATGTTATATGTATATCATGGACTTCAAAAATTTTCACCCTGATTGGATTGCCAAAAATGATTATTTTCAGTGCGACAAGATAGGAAAAACTAAACGTCGATTCAGATCACCAGTGTTAACAAACCATAGATAAATCACCAACAAATATCTTTGAATAAACCACAGGTAAAAGAATAAGACGATGAATCGTTCAAGAGTACAAACAGCTTTACCGTCATCGAAAAAGACCCATTCTGAAAAACATAAACAGATTTTAAAGCAACTTTTAAAAGAGAATGGAAATAGAACTTGTGTTGATTGTAAAACCACTGCTCATCCAAGATGGGCTTCATGGAATTTAGGATGTTTTATATGTATTCGATGTTCAGGAATCCATAGAAGTATGGGAACTCATATTTCAAAAGTGAAATCTGTTGACTTAGATGCTTGGACTGACGAGCAAGTTGAATCAATGGTAAAGTGGGGGAATGAAAAATGTAATTCATATTGGGAAGCCAAATTACCTGATGGATATATTCCTGATCAACTGAAGATTGAAAACTTCATCCGTACTAAATATGATATGAAGAAATGGGTAGGTTCATCAAATATTCCTGATCCAATGAAGATTCCAAGTTCTAAGAAAGCTAATGATCTAATGGAAACCACATCCACTAATTCTGTTCAATCAACACCTGCTCCAACAACTTCCAATTTACTTGATGATGATTTCGGTACTTTCACATCAGCTTCTTCATCAACTCCTTCAATCTCCAAACCTGTTAAATCAGTTTCAACTCCTCCAGCTCCAATTCCTGCTGCAAAAGAGTCTCCTAAATCATTACCTAAATTACCAATTCAAACTTCATTCTCTCCACAAACGACTGGTAATGGTCGACCTGATTTAAAGAAATCAATATTATCATTATATTCTTCCCCATCATCATCAAATTCGAGCTTTATTCAACCAAAAGCTCCAACACCCATTCAAGTTCAATCAGTTTCAAACCCTCCTTCAAATTCTTATGATCCATCAGCTTCATTAAGCAATTCATTACAAGGATTAAATTTCGGTTCAAACCCAACCCCAGCCCCAGTCCCAATTAATAACACATTGAATAGCTCGCATAGTACCATTAATTCCACCAACTCCACTAATTCTAATCAAAAAGCATGGAACAATGAATGGTCTGATATTAATAATAATAATACTTGGAATAATAACACATCAGTTAATAATACTGTCAATAATAATTCTTTAGATGATGACCTTTTCAAGAATGTTTGGAAATAGATAATATATAACATCTCATTCAATTCTACAAATCTACTTACTTTTAATGACCGGTTGCTGGAAGACCAACGTAAACTTTGAAAGAATCATACAACAACCATTGAGCTCCAGTTAAAGTACCTACCATAGCTATACGTACGGCAATACCATTCCATAAACCACCAAAACCGATTTTTCCATATATTTTCAGAATAGCAGCTCCAATTGATTCATCAGCTGTCTTTTCTGAAGTAATCTTGGAAACCATAACATCAGCAGGATGAGATACAATAGCACAAAATATACCGGCAATATAACCACCTAAGAAGGAAACCCCAGTTTGTTGTAAAGGAGTATATTCATCCATTGGCTTACCTAAATATTCATAAATCTTAGAAACTGTCAATTCAAAAGTTGCAAATTTAGTCATAGTATAAGGAATTTGTCTACACCACAAAGGGACCAAACCTTTATATAACCCACCAATTCCTTCCACAGCGGTGATTTTTCTCCAACCATCAAGAACAGAGGTGGCATAGGGAGGAATTGTGGTTTGAGTTTTAACTTTAATGGTTTCAAATGGACACAAAGCAATATCAGCTAAGAATTCAGCTGAAGCAGAAGCTGCTAAATAAACACCGGTTTTATAGTTGTTAGCCACTTTCTCTCCAACTAAATCACTATAAGTTTTCTTAAAATATTCATAAAATCCATACTTACCGGCTCCTTGTAATGAATAACCGATGAAAGTAGCACCAATACCTGTGAAAATAGAATCACCTGAAGTTCTTAAAATAGTTTTCCAACCTTCAATATTGGATTTGTACAATGATGAATTGACTTGTCTTCTACATTTCACTAAATCTAATGGAGTAACAGAAGAATGGGTAGGACCACAAGCAATAATACCCCCTAAAGTACATGCGGCATAATAATCTCTGGAGAAAAGTTCAATCTTATCTGGCATTCTATTGTTTAATTTATCTTGAAGCTTATCTTTAATTGGATGAGTTAATGAATCAGCTAAATTCTTTGACATAAATAGTAAAAAATTGACCGATCTATCCTTTTAGCAATTGAAAATCGGCTGCAAAATCTCGCGGATGTCGTAAAGTGCAATTGAGAGATTAAGGAAGCTAAAAATTTAAAACATATATTGGATCCTATGTGCTAGCACGTTTATAAAGTGGTCACTTGACCATTACCAGGTAATTCCTCTAATTGGAACTTGGCATTTGTTATAGTAACAGGAATGTTACCTTCTTCATCGAATTCTGACCAGTCGTTGGCTCGTAAATCAACACCTTCTATTATATTACCAGCTGATGAAGTGCATTGGAATTGATCTTCTAAAATAAACTCCTTTATTCTACAGCCATGACTATGAACTTCAATAATCGGTATAAAATTATCTTCATCTTCGGTATCTTTTGATTCGGCAGTAACTGGTTCGGCAAGGGTAATTATAATGAATATCTCATTATGACAATCCTTACAATAAGTGAAAAAATTAGCAGTTCTTTTTATTTGACTTTTAAGCTGTACAGCTATTCTATCAAATCTATTTATAATTATTTCTTTTGGATGTTCATATCGACATTTATTGCAAATAAATTTAAATCCGTAATCATGAGGATATTCCTCATGATCCAAAGGTTTTAAATCTGTGCAATTTTCCAAATCAGCTTGAAGCTTTACTAAAGTAGTTCTCATGTTAATGATTTATATCAAGGCATTTGGTGGTGTTTAAATAGTTTTCCATGCCTTTGTTATAGGGCTGTCGCATTTCCCTTTTTTGCAACTATTTGTCATTCGGCAGTCGGTTTTATCAAGGGTTCTCGGTGATAAAAATGAGTCAAACATGCGACACCTTTTAGGGCCTTACCATAGTACGGTTGACATTCGGATATCAAGATAAGGCTTGTAGGGGCTTAGATAATCAACACAAGACTTCTATAGCTTAGGTAATCAACTTATATTACCCGAATCAACACTTCCATTGACAGAAGATCAGAGATATTATATGTCATACGTCGTATATTTAGAATCGATTTAAAGACCATTCTACATTAGTGATACTGACTTCAGCACCAGCATCATCGTCATAATCGTACCATTCACCTTCACTTAAATCAACTTCAGTGAACTTTGCTTTTGAATCAGCTCCTTTACATTGGAATAATCCTTCGGGTATGAATTTCTTGAATTCCATTCCTCTAGCGTCAATAATCAAAATATCGACAAATTTCCCTTCACTTTCTGGAGAATAAGAATCATCAGTTCTCACTATTGATGAGGAATGTTCTGACTTACACATTTTGCATCTAAAGACGAAACTTGCTTCACCTCTTGAACCTGTAATATCATGACTTTCGAATCGATTGATGTTCACAGGTTTGGCATGTTCTTCACGACAATTGGTACACTCAATGATAAAAGTATATTCAAAAGGAGATTCTGGTTCATCAACGGGTTTCAAATCAGTTACTCCTTCTAATTCAGCCTTTAACCTTAATGCAAACTTCACCATTCTCTATATGAAAATTTTTGTGCGAAGTTTATCAGTAATCAAGGAAGACTAAAAAATTGATTGAGGACTTTTTAAGCATTATTGGAGGTTATTGATTTAATTGAAGATCAGGATTTTAGCAAAGGAAACAAAATAGGGGAATAAGTTTTTCACATCAAGAAATTTTAGCATTTAGGAATAAGCGAAAGATTCCGATTCAAAGATGGGAGGTATACGAAATGATAATGTAATACAGGACAATGATAAAAGTAGGAAGGGTAAAGATTTCTCCGATACTGTTCAAGGGGAAGAATTAGAGTTCAGGAAATCTACACAAGACAATTTCCCTATCAAGCATAAAATATCAATATTAGGAAGGTATTCACCACCTCATGTGCTTTCTAAATTTTCTCCTGATCAATTAGTAATGATGTCAGGAGCTGCATCAGGATTCTTAGCTGGAGTGGTGGTATGTCCATTAGATGTTGTTAAAACACGAGCTCAAGCCCAAGGATCAAAGAATGGGTATATCAAGACATTTAAAGGTATAGTTGAGAATGAAGGGTTTAGAGGATTATATCGTGGATTAGTACCCATAACTATTGGATATTTACCAACATGGACGATATATTTTGCAGTTTATGAAAAGACAAAGAAATTCTATCCCACATTCTTCAAGGAGAACTTCAACATTGAAAATGATTTCCTAGATCATTTCTTTTCGGCTATAACTGCCGGTTTATCATCATCAATAGCAGTCAACCCTATTTGGGTAGTCAAGACCAGATTAATGATTCAAAGTACTAGATCAAAAGAAGGATTGAATCAATTCAAACAAACTTATTATAATGGGACTGTGGATGCGTTCAAGAAAATGTACAAAGAAGAAGGGTTATCAGTTTTCTATAGTGGATTAGTCCCATCATTATTTGGATTGATTCATGTAGGAATTCATTTCCCAGTATATGAGAAATTGAAAGACCTTTTCAATTGTAACATCACCGACTCAACTACAAATTTACATCAAAATGGAATACTTTCCAGATTATTAATTGCATCAACATTATCAAAAATGACTGCCAGTACCATAACATATCCTCATGAAATCCTCAGAACAAGATTACAAATGCAACATTTACCACATCACGGCAAGACTGAGAAACATGGAATCATTGATGTTGGTAAGAAAATCTATAAAAAGGAAGGACTTCGAGGGTTTTACGCTGGTTATGGAGTTAATTTAATGAGAACCATTCCTGCCAGTGCTGTAACATTAGTAAGTTTTGAATATTTCAAGACATATTTATTAGAAATCAGTGGACATAGTAATCAAATATAATTATTCAAATATTTAACAGCATCATATTTAGGGACCTAATTGTTTAGGGAAAGGGTTTGTCCTTGATCTAACAATTTGGTGCGAATCCTATACATTTTAGCATATATAGTTCAATAGAATATCGCGACCAAACATCATGAGAGTAAACACCATTCTATGGGGGTTATTTGTCACCTTTGTCATTGGGGGTGATGGAGGAGATGTCTCTGATGAGAAGGAGACTTCAATTACTCCTAAGGAGAAAACTCCCCCGGAATCAGTGGAAATGCCTGAAGCTCTTACAATTAATGATTTCGATAAAATTACAAGTGAACAGTTGTCATTTGTTGAGTTTTTTTCACCATACTGTAGTCATTGTAAGCAACTAGCACCGACTTGGGAGAGAACGTATAAGAACTTCTATGATGACTTGAAGTCCATGAATGTTCAAATGAGACAAGTTAACTGTGTTGAAAGTGGTGATTTATGTGAGAGAGAGGATGTTTTTGGATACCCAAGTTTAAGAATTTATGCTCCTGTTCATGATAGGGAGACAGGCCAAATGACAGGTAAATCCAAATTGATTTCAGATTATCCAAGATCATTAGTAAGAACTGAAGAAAATTTCAAGAAATTCGTTAGAAATGCTGTAGCTGATTATGATACTGGATCGGTTGATTTACCTTCAGCTTCAAGAGAATTGACCCCCGATAGATTATTACAATTGATTGGTGGTAAAGCTGAACAACCTGAATTTGTTATGTTCTACCCAGGGACAGAAAAACAATGGAAAGATAGTGAAGCTGGTAGAAGTGGATTTTCTAAGACTTGTTATAATTGTATGGAGAATAAAAGATTATGGGATAAGTTTTCCAATACCGTTTTAACTACGGTTGGTACCAACCATTTCAGTTGTGTAACTCATCCTGAAATGTGTGCAAATTTGGGTTTGAAGTTATCTGATCCAACAAGAAATCCCCCACCTAAATTCATGATGTTTTTACCTGAAAAAGTTGGAAAGATCAGATTCGATTACAAGGGACCTATAAGTATTGAGAGTCTAAAAGCATTCGCTTCAGGATTATATAAAAACTCACAGTATGAAATTGTTTCTCCTAAGACCTTATCAGAAATTATGGACTTTAGAAAATCTTTACCCAAAGAACCTTTGAATTCATTTTATCCTTTACCTAACAAAATAGCTATTGTGTTTTATTATGATCCAAGAACTGTCACTGATGAAGATAGAGCCATATTACCTTATTTGCTTGATTATGTCACCAATTCACCTTTTAATATCCATTTATATACTGCTAAGAGTATCAAATATGAAGGAGCATTGAATGCTCAAGCAGGTAATATTCTTGAATACATCAAAACTGATGACCAAGAAAAGAAACCTTTTAATAAAGCAAGATATTTAAGTACCACCTTGACAACTAAACCAACCATCTTTGTTATCAAGGATAATACCTTATTCACATCTGTATTCCAAAGTTATGCTCCTGAAGATATTAGAGATGAAAAGAAGGTTATAGATTTCATTGAAAGTAATAAATTCCCATTATATCAAGAGTTAACACCTCAATTATATGAATATTATTTCCCTGAAAAGGCTCCAGCTTCCAACAAAGTAGTGGTAACATTTATAGACTCACAGAACGCTAAAAAGACCGACGAAATATTGTATCAATTGTCTTTAGCTGCTCATGAATATCATGAACTCAAGAACGAATATTATTTCGATGATTTATTAAGTAAAAGAAATGCTAAAGCTCAAAGAGTAGCTGAATTGAAGAAACAAAATGCCAATAGCGTAGCTATTATCAAAGAAATGAGGAAAGAGATCCCCCACTTGTATGATAACAACGGTGTATTATTTACATTCATTGATATTGCCCAAAATCCAACTCTTGCTAACGATCATGGATGGAATATTAACAGTAAAGATTATAAACCAGGGGATTCAATTGTTGTTTCACAAGATAAATCTTATTATTGGGATCAAACTATTTCTGGTGAAGATTTGACTGAAAATAGGAAATCATTGGTCGATATTTTGACCTATTTATTGGATCCTAAATTGATTACCACAACACCAGTTTCCATCACTAAGAAATTAGTAGCAAGTCCATACCCTAAATTTATGAGACCAATGGATCATGTTCACGAAAAAGGTCTCTTAGGTTATGGATTTATCATATGCTTGATCATAGCGGTTTTCAAATTTGTCAACAGACCTAAAAAGGCAAGTGGTCCTATAATAGGAAATTTGGATAAAGCCGATTAAGCTAGGCAGGCCAAAAAGACTTAATTACAATACTGAGACATTCGATGTGTATGAAAAATATACTCTATATTAATACATATCATGTTACATAAATTTACATCCCCAATATCTGTAATTCTTTAGCTTCGATCTCAATGGTTCTCTTGTACCCTGTTCCTAATTGGGACACTTTGAAATTCTTACCAGGAACTCCTCTGACTTCACTAAATGGAGGTATGATCATTTTGGGAGGTATGATGGTGCCTTGTCGTATGATACAACAATCGTAAATGATAGCTAATTCATCAACCTTACAATCAGACTCTATCACCACCCTATTCCCAATTGCTGCTGCCTTCAAGATACAATCCTTGCCTATAATGGTGTAATTCCCCATTTTAAATTGTCCATAGACTCCAGGTTTCAATAATGGGGGAGTTATATGACAGTTTTCTGATAAGTAACAGTATTTCCCTATTAAGATGGAAACTTCATTTTCTAAAGCATTTAATTCTACTCCTGGTCCGATCGTAGAGTTCCCTTTGATTTGGATATTCTCCTTATTGTGTAACTTACTGGAAACCGATATTCTATTCCCTGAAGGTGTTTCTATCCATTCCATGAAGTGCGTAGTTGAATTTTTCACTAGATAAGAGATACAACAAAAATAGAAGTCGTCCAGTAATATCCAAACACCATTACCCAAATCTACATTGACCTGTCATCACTAAACAGCAACACCATCACACTGACACGTTTGTAACTCCATTCATCAGCCCACTAAAATAATAACCTTGTTTTCGGTTATCGTGGTGTACCGCACCAAACACGTTCGATAAAACACGACTGAAAATTTTCAAACACCATTCTCGTTCTCACTTCCAAAACACTGAAACATATTATAAACATGTCATTAACTAGACTTGATTGTGGATATCAAAACTATGACTGGGGAAAAATCGGATCCTCATCAGCAGTTGCCCAATTTGCTGCCAAATCCAATGAAGAAACTTCCATTGATGAATCAAAACCTTATGCTGAATTATGGATGGGTACTCACCCTTCAGTTCCATCAATCGTTGTTGAAAATGGTAAAACTTTAAGAGATTTAGTCGCTTCAGATCCAACCAAATACTTACACAAAGACATTATTGAAAAATTCGGTTCTGACAAAGAATTACCTTTCTTATTTAAAGTTTTATCAATTGAAAAAGTTTTATCAATCCAAGCTCACCCTGATAAGGCTTTAGGAGCACAATTACATGCTGCTGATCCAAAAAATTATCCTGATGCTAACCATAAACCTGAAATGGCTATTGCTGTCACTTCATTCGAAGGGTTCTGTGGTTTCAAACCTTTATTGGAATTACAAAAAACTTTACAATCAGTTCCTGAATTAAATGAAATCATCGGTACTGAATTAGTTGAAGAATTCTCTAAAGGTATTAAGCCAGAAGCCGAATTAGGTTCTGAAGATGATAAAGCTAATAGAAAATTATTACAAAAGATCTTTGGTAAATTAATGAATACTGATGAATCAATCATTGGCGAAAAGGCTGCATCATTAGTTAAAAGAACTGAAACTGATCCATCATTATTTGATAACATTGCTCCAAAATTAGCTGAATTGATCCAACGTCTTAATAAACAATTCCCTAATGATATTGGATTATTCTGTGGATGTTTATTGTTAAACCATTGTATTTTACAACCAGGTGAAGCTATGTTCTTACAAGCTAAAGATCCTCATGCTTATATTAGTGGAGATATTATTGAATGTATGGCTGCTTCAGATAATGTTGTTAGAGCTGGATTCACACCTAAATTCAAAGATGTTAAGAATTTAGTTGAAATGTTAACTTATTCTTATGATTCAGTTGAAAAACAAAAGATGCCTTTATTATCACATCCAAAAACTTCTGGTGAAGCTAAATCTGTTTTATACGATCCACCAATCGCGGAATTCGCCGTCTTACAAACCATTTTCGATGGTCCTTCCAAAGTTCAATCTTTTGATAAATTCGATGGTCCATCAATTATAATAACCACTAATGGTTCAGGTTCTATTAGAATCAAAGGTGGTGAAGATAAACCTGTTGAAACCGGTTATGTTTATTTCATCGGTCCTGACACTGAAGTGGAATTGATCTCTAAATCTAGTGACTTTACTTCTTATAGAGCTTTTGTTGAAGCTTAAATATATTTATTCTAGTACTCTCAAAACGGTATTCAGTTTTTATGATGTATCAGGGTCCGCGACGAATTTCGAAATTTATCGAATACATCAACTTTCTCAATTGAATATTGACAATTGATTAGTCTGAGTAGGAAAATCTATATTTTTGTTGGGCGATATGACTGAAGAACAAGATAAAATTATCAAGGAATCACCAAAAGTCGAAGAATCTGAAGTTAAACCTGAAATCTCAGAAGCTAAACCTGAAAAATCAGAAGAAGAAAAATCAGAAATTCAAAAGGAAATCGATAGCAGATCTGTTTATGTAGGAAACGTTGATTTCAAATCAACCCCTGAACATTTAGAGAAGTTCTTCAGTAGTGCTGGTACCATTGAAAGAATTACTATCTTGTTCGATAGATTTACAGGTTTACCAAAAGGTTATGCATACATTGAATTTGAAACTAAAGAATTTAGTGAAAAAGCCATTGAAGAATTAAATGGTAAGGAATTCAGAGGTAGAGAATTGAAAGTTACTACCAAAAGAACCAATGTTCCAAGAATGTCTACCAGGGGTAGAGGCCGTGGTAGAGGTAGAGGTAGAGGTCGTGGTAGAGGTCGCGGTGGCTTCAGAGGTAGAGGTAAAGGTAAATCAGAAGAATTAGTTAAATCTGATTAAAAAGCATAAGGTTTAAAGGATACCACGCATTAAATCTTCACTTTGCTTAGTCCACAATAGGGTGACTTGTTGTTGAAATCCTGGAATTGAGTATGATTAGAATATGTAGTATAAAAAATGCATCGTGAGAAAAATCTCATCTCATCGAAAAATCTCTAAATCAAGATGACTTCAGTTAGAAGGAGAAAGATGGCTAGATCTTCTGTAACGAAGAATACTAGAAGAGTCAAAGACAAACAAAGAAACATTAAGATTTATTCTAATCCAATTATTGAAGCAAATTGGGATCATTCATTAACTTTACAACAAAATTATAAAAGATTAGGATTAACTGCTAAACTTGGACATATTGCTGGAGGTCAAGAAAGAAAAGTAGTTAAATGGAGTGAAACTGTTGGTAGTGCCAAACCTTTGAAAGCAGCTGAAGAAACTGAAGATCCTACTAAAATTCCTGAAGGGGAAGCTAGAATCGTTAGAGATGATAAGGGTGAAGTATTAAGAGTTATCTATGGTACTATGAAAAATCAAGATGATGAAGTTACTGAACAAAAATCAGAAGTCATTAATGCTTTAGAACAACAAGCTATAAAGAATGCCAGTATTGTTAAAGAAAGACATCAATCTGATAGAGAATCAGATTGGTTAAGATTATTGTATGAAAAATTCGGTGATGATTATGAAAAGATGAAATGGGATAAATTAAATATCTATCAACAAAGTCCGGGAGATTTGAAAAGACGTATCAATAAATGGAAGAAATCAAATTTAGTTTAGGAATGTATTATCTAGTGTAAGCTATATACGTGAAGGTAAGTTTTTATCTAAAATCTTGTCAATGATATCATTCATTATAGGTTTTAACTCTGACGTTTCGTATAAATCAACCAAGTTATTCTCATCATTTTGCATTTCTATTAATTCCACAAACTTTGGGTCGATAGGAATATTACCTAAGTAGTCCAAGTTTTGAGTTTCACAAAGGGTTTTACCACCCCCACTGGAAAAAATGTTAGTACATTCTGAACAATATGGACAAATGAATCCACTCATATTCTCTACCACTCCTAGTATATCTAATTCGATCTTTCTACAGAAATTTATTTCTTTACGTACATCAGCAGTAGCTACTTGTTGAGGAGTGGTGACTATTATAGCTCCATCAATAGGCGAAGCGTATCTTAATTCTTCTGCTATGGCAATATGCTCATCTGAAGTTCCTGGAGGTGTATCGATGATCAAATAATCCAAGGGGGTTTCAAGTTTACCTCCGTTCCACGAGACGTCTTTCAAAAATTGTCTGATCATAGCTGTTTTCTTTGGGCCCCTCCAAACGACGGAATTACCTCTATCACCAAGAAGGAATCCAAGTGACATTAAAGAAAGACTACCCTTAGGTATAGATTCTTTATCTTCTGTATCTTCTTCTTTATCTTCTTCTTTATCTTCTTCTTTAGCTTCTTTATCTCCCGCTTTAACCTCTACATCCCCCTTATATACAGTTACAGGGACCCAACCATTAGTAGATTGCAAAACTTGTTTCTTCTCTACTCCAAACATTCTAGGTAATGAAGGGCCAGTCAAATCAATATCCAACACCCCAACGTTAAACCCTTTATTTATTAACGTTAATGCTGTTTGGGTTGTGACTGACGACTTTCCCACACCCCCTTTCCCCGATAGGACTAGTATTATGTGTTTAACATTGAAAAGTGATCTGGGAGGTTCCATTAGTAATTTCGCAGATTCTCACTCATGGATAGCTTTGCAGATAAAGTGTCGCAAGATAGTTATTGAACACACCAGAGGATAAGAGATTACGGGGCATGGTAAATTCAAATGCTTAGAAATTTTATGGGCTGTTCAAATTCAAAAATTTCGAAAGAGAATGGGAAATCAATAGATCATCTTTGGATCTGACAATAGTCTGTGGCAAATTCCAACTATAAGCCATGGTATTAGAAACCCTTCAAACCTACAACTCATCGTTAGCACCACAAGGTAGCCTCTTGGTACCTTCACTCTGGCTATCATCTGGTTTCACCTAAAATACTCTTATTGTCTTTCTCATTATCCTCTTGACGATCGAGATAAGAAAACGCGATCATGACTTCAAGGTACTCGAGTAACATTCATCAAAGAGATTTAAGAACACAGTTGTTCTCGTCGGCCAATGGTATCACCAGAGGCCCCATCAGATCACAATCACCCTACGATAAACCCGTACAACAGACATCCAAAGAAAATGAATCATTTTTAAGTTCGTTGGAAAGTCAAAACAATGAAGAATTAGATTCTATGGCACAGAAAGTTTCCATGATCAAAGACTTGGGGATAAAAATGGGAGTTGAAATCAACAAATCGGTGAAATTGAACGATAACTTAAATGAAACGTTTGAAAAAGGTAAAGTCACGTTGAAAAATACATACAATAAAATGGTGGTAATGAGTGAAAGAGCTGGTATAAGTTGTAAATATTGGTTTATAGTGTTTTTCATAGTTTTCCTTTGGTTCTTCTACGTTTGGATAACGTAGTTTCAAATTCTAATATACATTTTATACTACAGATTTTAATTTATTGATTGAATTTTCTTCAATTATAATACCATTTACATATTGTACACTAACATCCTCTTTGGTTGGAGTGTTATCTACTGGTTGAGGCATTCTATTGATGGAATAGGTTGTGGTTGAAGGCTCTTGATAATAACCATCATCATCCAGATCAGAATCCACGTGATTATCGAAGTCATCTGTCAGATCAATTTCTGTCAGATCAATTCCTCCCAGACTTATTTCCAGACTATCTTCCAGAGTCAGATCTGAAATATTCTCTGATAACAGACCATCGTCTTCATCGCTTGATTGGTTGATATTCAAATCGTCCAGATCCAAATCGTCCAGATCAATAGTCAGGTCCAGTAATTCAGGTTCGAGTCTTGGACTACTGGCTGGACTTTTGAAAGGAGAACCTGATTCGGGACTTAATTTTCTGATTTCTCCATCGTAATAGTCTTGCTTATCTGTCATTTCATTGATAGAGGTCGATTCATAGTGATGATGATCATCGGAGTTTTCACATGGTTCAAATTTAACGTTGGAATGACAGATCTTAGGTTTGGCATAAGTTTTGAGGATTGATGCTTTTGGTTTCAAGCTATGGTGATTTGGTTGATGCTTCGGATTGGTGTTTATCAAATACCGTTTTCTTTTACTCAAGGATTTCCGGAAGTTTCTATAATATTCATCTACTACAGTTCTAGGTGCACTGGAGTCTGAATCCGAAGAACTTTCGCTACTGGCTTCTGTACTGACGTAATGTAGTTGCTCTTCAGTCGCTATAGGAGAACTGATCCGTAATTTCTTGAAATGTGATGTATGAAGGGTTCTATCAACAATAGGAGGCGTTTTAAGCGAGGTAGTCAAAAGGTCGATAGGATTTTGAGATTTATGGAATGATGAGGATAATGAATTATCAAAATGTGGTTGATTAAACAATTGTTGTAAGTCTTCTTCGTCCAATTCTCTTTCTATCTCTTGAACAATCTTGTGATTGACAGACTTTGACTTGACCTTCTCAATGGTTTTGAAAATATCTTCAGTGTATTTTTTATTCTGAGTTGATCGGTAATTATTCAATGTCTTATACATGAACTGTTCAAAGTCCGTACTTGTCATTTCCTCGATATCCTCTATTTCTTTTGAGTTTCCTTCTTTGTAACTTTCTTCTATGAATACCTCTTCTTCGTTCTCTTGCGGTAGCATAGGAACTGATTTTTTGGGGTAATCTTCCACAATGGTTTCTTCCTCTCTTTCTTGTGCTTCTTCATTCACCTCTATAATGTCCGTACTAACTGGGACAGTTTTATGAGGATTGAAATAACCTTCCAATGCTTCAGGAGGTGGTACACCTACCTTCTCACCTATTCTTTTAAGGTTTCCTGATATCCTTTTGAAATCTCTCGATAAGTCAGATGAGACTTCCAAAAGTAAATCTATCTCATTACTCAAACCTTCCATGTCATTCTCTGTTATGGAAATGTTCTCCTTATCAAGCTCCTTGTTCAATCGCTTTATGTCTTTTAGAATCTCTATATTCTTATTTTGAAGTTTCTGTTGAATGGATAACTTTAATCGTATCTCGTTTTTCAAGTCTTTCCTAAAATTTTGAGATACTTTAACGACAGAATTTGTGAGTTGAGTGGTTTCTTGAGGGAATTGATCTAGTATGGTAGATAGTTTGAATTCATCAATCTTGGGTAGCTTGGATTTTCCATGGTATTTGGGTATTGATTCATTCATAAATATTTCCGCACTGAAAATTCGCTATGATAAAGCAACGAGAGATGGCTATGGCGAGTTCTGACGATGTGGAGTGAATTTTGAGATGAATTGAGTGAAGAAATGTGAAAAATAAGGGATTGAATGAGCTCTGGGGGAGTTACCGAGTAGTTTCGATAGTTGAATCTGATTGGCTACCCCTATTTGATCACTATTTGATCCTTATTTCACCATGAACCTCTTAGTTTAATGGTCCTGATGGTCATATGGTGGGATATATTGGTGATACAAGCTGCAGTACGTCTATCAATTGATCAGTCGGAGTTGGAAATTTCATGTCAACTAGAAAATCACTCAATGGGATTCAAATTTATCTCTGGGATTGCCCTAGAGCTCTACCCCAAGGTCATATGATCATTTCATGACACCGTTTCTTACTAGTTGACCTCATCTCTGATACCCCATAATCAACTGTTCCAGTTTCCAAATTTGGATAAATTGTTACTGACGATCAGATAAGCTTAATTCCCTCATGATTTACGAATACGAATTTTTACCTACCTGGATCCCCAGGTTTTTCATATTTCAACGGTCATTTCCAGATATATCAGGGACTGCTTACGAACTATGACCCATGGAATAATCCATAATCCAGTTCATCCAATCAAAATCAGGAAAACCGTTTGAAAATAAGCCTGCACATATTGTGGAGTATCATATTATATAAGCAATCTTCCTATCAACGAGATAAAGATCAAAGTTCGTATTCTTCCTTTGGAAAGCCCACTGATAAATACTGCATATACCACACCGGTGAATAACGACGTTAGAGGCGAGCGCCGGTTGCCGGGTAACTTTTTAGGTATTCCATAGGGAAAGTACAAGCATTACTGGACCAATTATGGAAACTTATCAAGGATACTAATTAGGTAGAGTTAGATTAGATTAATTGAATAATTAATTACTTGACTCTGATAAGGATTTTTACTATGAGTATTTTTAAAAAAATACTGACAATTTCACTACGAGCTCAGGTTGTCTCATCTCTTCTCAAATGCCTTGGGCGAGGCTCTAGACATTTGGCTAAGGCTAAACATTAATGAATTCCCCCCAAAAAGTTTAATGATGACCAAATCATCGAATAAACAAATATTTACCAGGCGGACATATTAACTAAGGTGATAGATAACTCCATAGGATTATCCATTATCAAGGTTTCGGTAAAAGAAATTTGCAGCCATAGGGACATAGTTACCTGAAAGAAACGGAAAAAAAAGAAATTATCTAAATATGTCGTGCGTCGTTCATTTGTTGAAGAAAATTGTTTGACAGATTTGACACATAGTTTCTTGTCCTTAACTTTAAATCATCGGAATAACTCTAAAACCATCAATATATCAAATAAATTAATAATCCAAATCAATCTCATTATAAATATTCATAAATATTCAATAATCACTTACCATAAACCTCAATCACTTCATCATCCTTTGGATAATCCGATGGCAGAAAAGTCGTATAAATGTCTCTAAGGCTTTTTGTAAAAATTTTCAATGCGATAAGAGATTATTATTGGAAGATAAATATTACCTTTTTATATAAATCAGAGGAATCCCTTACAGAAATTTGTAAAATCTTAGTTTTTCAAACAATACAAAAATATGGATGCTGAAAAAGAATTAGGATTAGAAAAAAGATCCGTTAATTCATTTGAAAACTCTGTTGAAGATAATGGTGAAGTTACTTCAACCAAATTAAGTTTCATAAATAATTTAGCTACTAAATTAAATGCTGAAACTAAAGGTATTGAATTAGTTACTGATGAAGAAAAAGTTGGTGATTCTTTATTAAATGCTGCCACTATGTGGTTATCAGCTAATTTAGTTATTGCTACCTTTTCATTAGGTGCTTTAGGTATCACAGTTTTCGGTTTATCTTTCTGGCAAAGTGTTGCAACTATTATTGCCTTTAATTTCATTGGGGTTATTCCAGTTGCTTTCTTTTCAATCTTTGGTCCAAAATTAGGTCTTAGACAAGTTATTTTATCAAAATTCTTAATTGGTAACTTTACTATGAGAATTTTCGGGGTTTTGAATGTTATTGCTTGTGTTGGTTGGGGTGCCGTTAATATTATGTCATCAGCTCAATTATTAAACATTGTTAATAACCATGCTTTACCACCATGGGCTGGATGTCTTATTTTAATCCTTTGTACCATTTTAGTCACCTTTTTCGGTTATCATGTTATTCATTTATATGAAAAATGGTCTTGGGTACCAAATATCGCTGTTTTCCTTGCTATTATTGCTAGAATGAAAATTTCAGGTAATTTCACTACTGGTACCACTGTTGGTGGTGCTACTACTGCTGGGGATGTTTTAAGTTTTGGAGCTACCGTTTATGGTTTTGCCACTGGTTGGACTACTTATGCTTCAGATTATACTGTTTATCAACCAAGAAATGTTTCATCAATGAAAATTTTCTTCGGTATTTATGTTGGTTTATTCTTTCCTTTAGTTTTCACTATGATTTTAGGTAGTGCTTGTGCTACTGGTATTTTAACTAACACTAGATGGGCCGATTTATATGGTCAATATTCAATTGGTGGTTTAGTTTACGCCATTTTAGTTGAAGACTCATTAGGTAAATTCGGTGAATTCTTATGTGTTTTATTAGCTTTATCCACTGTTGCTAACAATATTCCAAATATGTACTCAATTGCTTTATCAGCTCAAGCTATTTGGTCTCCATTTATTAAAGTTCCAAGAGTTGTTTGGACTATTGTTGGTAACTTTGTTACTTTAGCTATTTGTATTCCAGGTTACTATAAATTCGAAGAAGTTGTTGATAATTTCATGGCTATGATTGGTTATTATTTAGCTATCTACCAAGCTTTAGCTTTATCAGAACATTTCATTTACAACAAAGGTAACTTCAATGCTTATGATTATGTTAATCATCTTGATAAAAAATCCCACCCTATTGGTATTGCAGGAACTGTTGGTTTCTGTTGTGGTGTTGCCGGTGCAGTTATCGGTTTATGTCAAGTATGGTTTGTTGGTCCATTAGCTGCTAAAATCGGTGATTTCGGAGGTGATATTGGTTTCGAATTAGCCTTTGGTTTCGCTTTTGTAGCTTTCAACATTGTCAGACCTTTGGAAAAGAAATATATCGGTCGTTAATTTTGTAGTTTAGGTAATAGGATAGATGTAATGTGTACTTATCTCTTTCTCTTTGAGGATTACAAAACGTCTCAACCAACAGTAGAGTTTTACAAGAAAAAATTTAAAGAGTTCCGGAATTTAAAGAGTTCCTGGATCTCAAACGTTCCTACATTATCTATATACCCTTCTCAGATCTTGACATCTTCTTCATGGCCTGTAATTTAACTTCACTATCTTTCTTCAGTTGTTGAACCTGATCATATCTCATTTGTGCAGCTCGAGCTGCTGATGCTCGAGAATCTCCTTCATTGGTCCCTCCTAAACTATGGCCACTATTAGTTCTAGCATTGGCAGCTTTTGAACCTTTTGGAACTCCACCATCAACCTTTTCATTCAATGTTCTACCGTCAGGAGACGAAAAACAACTCCCCATATGTGCGAAAATATTTCTTGGATTAATGTCTACATTACACTATATACAAATTAAAAAGATAATCCTATTTTCTCCATTTTTCATCTAATTGAGTGGTATTCATAATTTTGGTGAAGTCAACTGTTGGTTTTAAGTTTCTGAATTTCAAATCTGGTAAATCATTGAATTCATTTAATGCCTTTAAGTGTTTAAAGATTTCTCTATCTTTAAACCATAATCTGATAAATCTAACAGTAGCTCTATAATCTTGGAAATAGTTTTGATATTTCTTAACAATTTGCCAATATAATGTGTTTCTATCAAATTTTGAGAAAATTGTAGCATCTCTAATAGCTGCCCAATCAGCAATAGGGATATAAGTATATCTATCATGGTCCAAGTTAGATAAATTATTATTCCATTGGTTTAAAATTTCTTCATCTGAATAATCAACTTCTCCCATTTTCTTTAAAATGATTCTATTAGGAACTTGAGTTTTGGTAATTTTGAAGATATCATAGTATTCAATCAATTGTTCAAATATCTTCTTATCACCCCAGTTATAATTGGAGATTACAGTATTTAAAAGTAACTCATCAACTGGTAAGATAAGATTATAATCACTCATTAACTTCTTCAATAAACTGAAAGATTCGTCATTTAATTGTGGATATTTTTGGAAGAATATTTTGAAGAAAGCATTATTTAATGATGCAAATTGGGCATTCGATTTGATCTTTTTACTAACATAAAATTTCAAGGTGGTTTCATAAAAATAAACGATATCTTCAAAAGGAGCTTCGGATTCATAACAGTTGTTCAATAAGTCAATAACATGAGTAACTTTCAATCTAACAATATAAGGTAAATCGTTTTCAATAACTTTATCAAAGAAATGTTTAGCAATGGAAATATCTTTACTTGAACTAATGAAATTAAGATGCAAGTCACCTAATGATAATCCAACTCTGGTATCTTTCAGATTTTCAAAAATAACTAAAACTGATTCTAAAATGTCCAATGCTCTTTCATAATCATTCTCAATAGTACAAATTTTACCGATTGAACATAACAATTTAGCATCGACTTTGTTTTCATCATTGTTCAATTCAAAGATTCTTAAAATTTCTTCATAACTGAATCTTTTGGTTTCATAGGCAATTGGTAAAACAAGGGATAAGATTCTTGAGTTTAAGAATAATTTACTTAACTGTTCATCATTAACCCCAGTTTCCCAGTAATTGACAATTTCTTCATTCAAATTGTATTGAGACATTGACATAAAGTAATATTCTAATGATTCTAAAGTAATCTTTTCGTTCAATTCACCATTGATCAATAATGAATGGAAATCTAATAATGCGTTTCTATACTTAACATCATTTAACTTTTGATTATTGGAATATTGATCTCTATCAACATTTGATCTACGATCTAACCTATTTCTTCTATTTCTAAAAATGGAATAATTCAAAAAATGTAAATATTTAGTTAAATCAACTTTGATCAAGTTCTTTCTAGTTTCTTCATCTTTAAAAATTTCAATAACATTTTGGAAAGTCACTTCAAACACTTCAACATCTGATGACACTCTTTTATATTGGTTCAATAAACTTAATTGTTCTCTGAAATAATTAACTTGTTGGTTAGGTAATAAAAGGGAATCATTCTTGAAGGTTCCAATCTTTTCACTCAAATCTTCAATAGTTGAGTTATATCTTAAATTTTGGAAGTTTTGGAAGTTTTGAGGTACTATTATACCAGTATTTTGTCTAAGATTAGACAATATGGGTCTTAAACTAGCCGAAGCTTGAGTAAACCTAAACATATTTCAATACTTTGGGTTATGTCTTCTCAAAATTTTTCATGACAGTGCGTCTGTTGATAGTTTTATATATCACGCTAGAGATTAGGTGCGAAGGTTTACTGCCAAAATGGCGGTAGGGTTGTCATCAAATGGCGGTGCGCACTGGACCTGGATAGACCAAGTTATCGCTAAATTCTTACCAAATTTCTACCATTTCTAACAATAACCTTTTTTTTCTTATCGTATAGTATTCTTTAGAGTTTTCAGCCATCGTACGTTGATAATGGTTCAATTATCTCTCGTAGGTTAAAGTCCAGATATGTCTAGACCCCTAAAGTCATGTGGAACTAGCTTTTTCCCCTTTTATCTAAGGGAATATGCATTCGGACTTTGAAGTCCTGGTATAATCACCATATTAATGGTCCGGAGTCGCTAATGGCTTATGTTGGGTCCATAGCCCAACTGGCCTGTTCATAAGGTGGTGGTTTTTCATTTAACTGTTGGGTTCCTCGTATAGAGCGTGATCTGATGATGTGAAAAATCTCACCATGATAACTGATGAGAACTTCACAGAATTACATCTAGATCAAACTGTGGCACAAATTGATATTTACACTGATGGGGCTGTAAGAAACTACGGTAAACCCAACCAAACTTCAGGTTATGGTATAAATATTGAAGGACATCTGGAGATCTCTATAATTGGTGACAATATGAATATTACTATGATGGAAATGAAAGCGGTCAAACATTCACTTCGAATTGTGGAGTTTTTGTATAAGGATGGGTATCGAGGCCATGTTACGATACGAACAGATTCAAAATTTGTAATGGATGCTATTACAAAATTATCTATCAAATGGCAAAGGAGGCATTGGATCAATCATCAAGGTAACAAGATTATTTATAAAGAGATCATTATGGAATGTTTTGAGATATTATCACGAATAAGTCAACTTACTGACTTGGAAAGTATTAAATGGGAACACGTCAAAGCTCATAGTGGGGATGTGGGGAATGAGTTGGCAGATCAATTGGCACGACTAGCTTGCGATAGATCAGAAGTTGGTTGCGAAATAAAAAGTTAGAAGGAGAGTTAAAAGGAGAGTTGGAGTTAAAATAGAAGTAAATTTAGCAGTATGATAGCATCACTGGTACGACAATTGAAAGCTGAGTATACAGACTTTGTTACCAGAACATATTAGAAGTGGTAAAATTCCTGAAGAGCTTTTAATTTCTCTTCTTTGGTTCTCCTATGGTATTCGCTCCTTGGGACTTGATAATCATTTAAGATGCCGTTGATTACAACCATGTTTGAATTTTGAAGACCAATCAAGGTTCTAGGATATCTTCCAACATTATCATTTTGGTTCCAAATAATGTTATCAGAAGGTGGAAAGTTTGAATGGAAGTCTCCGCAATACTCTTCCATGAACCCGTGCATATGATTGAATTTTGTTTCCATATCTCCATATTTATCAGACAAGGAACTCACATTGCTAGTCAATAAATTAACACTGACATCGAATTTATCCTCCAATGAATCCATTCTACTATTCAATGAATTAACGCTGACATCGACTTTGTTTTCCAATGAACTCATTCTATTATTTAACAAATTAACGCTGACGTCG